AAACTTTGATTTACAAAATGATATGGAAGATGGAAACAGCTTAACTGCTAGTTTCAAATAGTAACCAATAAATAGAAATATTTTTGATTAAGTAGAAATAGATGATTAAAGCAAGCTTTTCTACTTGAGTTCAAAACTAGATAAAATTTATAAAAAACATAGTATTATTTAAGTTAACTAAGAAGCAATCAAAAATAACATTTCATCTAAATATATAAAAATGTCTGAAATTGCTGCTTTCGATAAAAACACATTTGATTTAAAGAAATTTAAAAAGGATGGTGGTGAAAATTTATTTGCTATATCAAAGGAATTCAAGGAAGAAGAAGAAAGAAAAAAGTAAAACATAGCCCAGATACATAAACATAAATATATTAACTTCTGGAAGGGATAACCTCTTTTGGGAGGCAGTAAAAATGTTGATTAACGTTTTAGTATTCCAAGATAAACAAGCAAAAAAAAATTAAATCTTTCTCCTTTAGAATAAGCTTAAATAGAAAATATGAAAATGCTTTTTAACTCTAGGTCATGATAGTTTATTAAAATAAATAAAAATGAACAAAAAAATTATTCAAAAAATATAAATAAATAAATTAAAACTAGATATGTTTTATAGATAACTGAATATTATTTTGACTAAATACTTAATATCTCTTTAAATTCAGTAAATGATGTTAAAAATATTAATTTAATTTAATTATTTAATAAAGACAGATAGATAGATGAGAAGGTGAACAAAGCAAATATTTTCAATATAAATAAAATTTATTTAAGAGTGAAGTTTCTTATTTCTTTTCTATTTAAATTTTACTTCTACTTCAAAAAAAGTATTTTCACAGGAAATTAAGTATTTTTAATTATATGTGAAGCAAATATTGAAAAACAAAAGATTAAGATAAAATAGACACAAGAAAGAAAGCATTTAAAGCAAATATTTCGAAATGAAAAAATAAATATTTATGTCTATTTCCATTTTGAATAATATAAGTTAAAATATATTTTAAAATACCATTAAGTAAAATTTAAAGTCAATAAAATAAAATCAGAGTTTGTTTCTATAATATAAAATGAAATTTTAAATTTTAATAAAAAGAAATATTAAAGCTTTAATGAATAGATGACAAATTTTAGAAAGATGTATATGCACTTAATATTGTATACAAAAGGAAGGATTAATAGTATTTTTTATATATTTATTGATTCATTAGTTTTTTGATCACAAGTGTTTTTAAAATTAGATTTTTATTCATAATAATAGAATGTTAATTTATTTATTTATTTTAGATCTTATTAATTAGTTTTGATTAATATATAGTATGTATCAATCACTCTTGCTCTTAAAAGTAAAATCTTTTGTTGCCTCTGAGATTTAAAATCTTACATGCAATATTAATAGCTTGTTTTGATCTTTAAATTGAGCAAAGTGATATATTTATTGTATTCAATTAGTTGTTGAATTAGCGGTTAGTATAAGAATATTTAAGGAGTTTTATTATTGAAGCAAGTATGAAATGGTTGAAGTGTGTATTTAATTAGTTTATTTTTTTTACTTTTTAACGCTTATATTTGAAATCATATTTATTTGAAGAGTTTGTATCACTTTTTTTTTCAGAGATTTTTAATGAAAAGCTTGAATTTTTATATATATTTTGCTTTTCACTAAGTTTTTTGATTAATGTTAATATATAATTGGAAGATATAGGTGGAGCTGTACCATTTAGATTCCTCAAAAGCACATTCCACTGTCTCCACCTTTATCAAAATAATTATTATAGTAATAACTTTATTATTATTATTGATATTAATTATTGTTTTAAAACATTATTTTATATCTTTCAGATGAATTGCGGTATTTATCTCTTTCTTCACTGATCTTTTGATTTTCCTTTTAAAGGTCTTCTACACGTTTCTCTAATTATTATTTCTTTCTCAAAATGTTAGAGAGACCTTTTAGTACTTGCTCATGAGTACTTATGATTTTATCGTATTGAGTCGCTCTTCTATTTTGCTCTTCATAATACTTGAAGGCCTGCAATATGATATCTGGGGCTACATCTATGCTAGAGCTTTTTAACTATTAGAGGAGTTGGGGGATTATTGTCTCAACTAGCTATTTTTAGTATTCTTCTATTTAGTTTAAGTCTTTAATTCTTGCAGTTTGCTACTAAATAGGTTATTATTGTTAGCTATATTGTTGATCTTGGTGTCTATTCGCAGATTATTCAGATGAGTTGTGCGATTAGAGTGATTGAGAATCATCTTCTTAGGGAGCAGACTGCTATTCTTCATCATCATTATTATCCTAGCGAAGTTATTATTGCTACTATTGCTTTTAATTTTACAAACCTGATTATCTTGAGTAGGTATCTATTTGATTGCTTGGAGTTTCTTGAGATATTTTGGATTCGAGTTAATTCATTGAACTATTCATTCCGTAACTCATTTGAGATTTAAGCTAAAGACCTTGTCTTTCATTTATGAGACTATCTTCCATTTAAATGGTATTAAAATTTAAGCTATTACTATTATCCTGATTAGATTATTGACAAATTTGCATATCAACGCTGCTCAACTAAAGTTGATTCTAATTCTATTACTACTATCCCTATAAGCTTTGATTTGCCCCTATCATATCTTTATTTATTTGTTTTGGTTTTAAATTCTTTAAAATTCTACGTTCCTTCTAAACATTTTTTTATTAATTGTTAAATTTATTTGCATCAGAGTTGATCATCTATACCATCATATTATTGCTGTTGTTTGTTTGATTGTGGAAATTATCTTGATGGGACATTTAACATTCAGAAAAATCATTATTGTAGGGATATTATTGATTTTTAAATGCAGAATTCACGCTACTTTATGAAGCAGAACTCATTTCAGAAGTTAAAATTTCGTGAGCTACTTCAACCTAATTGTCTAATTCCTCAAGCAATTTCATGAGTTAGAGCTTGTCTTTTGAAGGAAAATTCAAAAGGAGTCTTTCTGCATTGTATTCAATTTATTGATAAAAATTAGTAGGGCCATCTACTTTTTTAATACGCTTTATGCCACCCCCTGCTCTGTTCTTTAAGGGGAAGCTGCTTGAGCTTGGTTGTTCAAAGATTGTTGACATAATTGAGCTTGCCTCTTGATTGCTCAGTGAATTAATAATAGGAATATATTTATTTTTTATCTAAAAATTGGTTATATTCAGAATAGATGAATCAATAGCAGAACTTGTAGCTATTTAAATAATGTGCTAGCAAAATAAAATTTAATTTGTTTTTTATTTAGCTTGATCTAATTTATTTTTGATGGAGTAGATGATGCAGCTTGATTGCTTGCGATGCTTTAAATTTTTTGCTAACTAGTTTGTGTTTATTTTTCTCTTTTATAAAGTTTCAATTAATTGATAGAAAAATTTTTATGTAAATAATGTTTTTCTCTTAAGTAAATCTATTGTCTCTTTCTTACTTGGCTAAGATAATATGGGGCGATGCTATATTTAATATTTTTCTCTAAGATAGACTTTGATTTTCTTATTTTTTATTTAATGTTTTTCGGGTCTCTTTGCCTCTTTTTTTGTTTTAAATTGATTATTGAGTTTTAATCAAAAATGTTTGTAGAAAGAAAGCTTCCATTCAATTAAATCGTTTTTTCCCTACTATTTTTATAAAATTCACAAATAGAGTAATTCTGAGCAAGAGCTGATCTCACTATTGATGAAGACTAAAAACAAAAAAATCTCAAATAGGAGGATTTTGATTGCAATGTTAATAAATAGATTGTCATTGAAAATTTAAAAGTATTTAATAAAAGTATTTTTTTGATAACATTAATTTATTTTAAAATCGAATTAAAATTAATATTTAGGATTTATTTAATAAACAAAAAATAAAAATAAATTAGTTTGTTACATTTTTCAAACTCAATAAACTTTATAGAAATAAAGAGTAAATCTAATTTATTCACACATAACTTAAAATTATAATTTCTAATCTGATGCATAAATTATTTTTAATAATATAAAAAATATATTTTTTTAATTTATTTTGAAGTTATAAATTCCCACAAAATTAACTTATTTTATATAATTAATAATTCAAGGAAAAATAATTTCTTAATTAGTCTCATTTAAAGAAATCAATAAATATTTTAAAATTTTAAATAAAATCAGAACTATTTCTTTTTTAATTTGAGGAAATAATTATTTTTAAATTTTTAATTTTTACCTATGATTAATGCAAAATGACATACAAGAATAAAAATTAATTACGTAATATTAACAATATAATTGGCTAAGAGTTTTAGAAAAAATAAAATAGATTATTGAAATTTATATTTTTGTTGAAATTTAAATTCTTTTAAAACATTTAATATAAAATTATAAATGATAGAATTAAAATTAATCTATAAAAAAGTAAGAAAATATCAATGATCTCTTTGGAAGAGCTCTATTAAATTATTTAATTTTAAAATAAATCTTTAATTATTTAATTATTTAAATTTTTTATAATAAAAAATAATTAATCATTTTTATTTCTTTTAAAATAAATTTACAAATAAGTAAAGATTTCAGAAAAATTGATTAAAGATGCAAAAAATAAATAAATAAATTTTAAATTAGAATTTTTAATTGCATGAATTAATTAAAATTTAATTTATAATAAATAATAATAAAAATCATATTATTAGTGCATCATCAAAAAAAATTTCACATTGAAAGAGAAATAATTAGAAATATTTGTATCAAGATGATACTTATTAATGCTTATTCTTTTTGAAAGTATTGCTATTTTGAGTAGGTTTTTAAATATTATTTTATAACTAAAAATATAAATTTTTACGAACAATTAACTTAAAATCACTATTTAATTTTTTAATTTCTTGAATATGTGTGAGTATATTTTAAAAAAACTTTCATTGATAAAAAATTTTATGAGATGATTGACTTATACTTTTTTTTAGAAAATGTATTAAAAAGTAATCTAAAAATTTTGATAATAATTTTCCTTAAATTTTTTTAAGCTTGAGCAGATTCAAGTAAATGATATTTCAAAATTGGTATAAAATTCAAAAAATATAAATTTTATGTAAAAGTAATATTATTTGAATAAATTTAATTGATTGATCAGTATTAATTATATTTAAATATTTTAAGAAAATTGTAATTAAAGTCCATAAAACAAAATTATCATAAAATTTTAAATATCTTAAAAGAAGTCAACTACAAAAAGAAAATGTTCAATGTTACCTACAGATAATCATATTTATCAAGTATAAATCAAGGCATACATACCACTTATTTATTAAATAATATAAGTTTTTATTTTTAACAAATAAATTTTGCAAATAAGTGATTATTTAAATAAAATATAGAGACATATTTTAAGGTAAATATAAGAAATGTTTTAAAAAAGATAGGAATAGAATAGAGTATTATAAAGAAACATTATAATAAAAATTAGGAAATTATGAGTACATATTTTTAACTTATAGTTAATGTTAAAAAGTAATTAGCAAGCAACCTATTGAGGATAATTCAATAATAGTCTTGAAAAAGAAAAAAAATTTTTTATGAATGTTGCAAACACCTGCATGTATATAATCATTTAATCTTTTTTCAATAATTATTACTTGATAGACTTAGAAATTACATGTCATTCATATACACTACCAGATGGTATATGCGTAAACACAAAAAAAGACAAGGATGACAGTAGGATCATCAAATTTCAAATTTTTTTCAATCGTTCAGATCCTAATATCAAAAATTATGTCTTAAAGATGTAGGGTAAATTTTTATTATAATTAATAAAGAGTAAACAAGTATTTTGCTTTGTTAGTAAATTTAAAATGATTTAAAAATAAAAATTTACTTAAAAAATAAAAACCAATTCTTTTTTGTAAAATCAATTGATCTATATATTACTTTGTATAAATATTTTAAGAAAATTGTAATATTTTTTAATTTGTAAATAAATCTAATCACACAATCACTAATTTATTATTTAATTAAAATGGATAAATCTTTAGTAAAATTTATAAATTATATTACTTATTTAATAAAATATAAAGATACAGTTTTGATTAATTTTTCAAAATATGCAATAAAAAATAATATGTTAAAAATAGAAAATTATTTATTTTATAAAGTTGGCTTCTTAGGAAACCTATTATTTATTTTAAATATAAATGAATGCTTGCATGTAAATATGTCTGTCTAATATTTATTATTCTTTTATTAGGATAAAAGGCTTGAAATACTAATAAACTCTTTATTTTTATTGAACAAATGAATCCAACAATATTCAAATTGCTTTGATATTTTAGGGTAAATACAATCTAAAGCATATGAAAAATATTTGATCTTAAATAATAAATCAAAAAATAACAAGTTTACCTATAAATATTGATTATCACCTGAAATTAATTAATTATAAATAAATCTAAATATAAACAGAACTTATTATTTATTATTTAAAAAATAATAAATGTTCATTTATTTTTTATTAAGACTTACATAAGACCAACTCTTAAATTAAAAATAATAAAATAAAAAAGGTATTTAAAAATATAAAATTCTTAAATTAATATTTTATGAGTTTTTATAATTTTATAATAAATATTTTAAAAATTAATATTAAATTTAATATTTATTTTTTCCAAGAAAATTAATTCATCAGTTTTTATTAATCTTTTATTTTTTAAGGAAAGTCTAATTAAAAGAATTGAAAAAAGAAATATAGATATTTATCAAATTATTAATAAAAAAAGCCAATTCTTCTTTTAAAGTATTGAATATAGCCTGTATTTGATTAGCGCTAATTTAAGAAATAATTCACCACCAAAATTAAATGTATTTTTATTTAAATTTTTAAAAGAATTTTTATTAGATAAATATTTAGCTATATTTTAAGGTAAATCTAATAAAATATGACATTAAAAAAAGAAATACTTTAAAAATATAAAATACTTATTTAATATGGAAAATATTATAGTAATCATTTTAAAAAACAATTTTATTCTTTTAAATTCTATGCTTTATTGTTTCCTGGAATGAATGATTTTTTATTTGTTACAATAAAATAAAATATTTTTGATATCTATCTTTCTATTTTACTGTTGATCATATTTATTTTAAGGAAAAAATTTTTATTTTTAAATAAATAATTATATTTATTGTAATTACAAATTCTATAGATTAAATTAATCTTTTTATGCATCCATTTCGTAAATTTAATTAGACTTTATCAGTATTGAAATTATTGGTAAAGAATTAATTGAATTCTCAGTAAATTAAAGATATTTTTGAAAATTTAAAAAATAATAAACAAAATAATTAGATTTGTTATTAAAAACCTTAAACTTTTACAGCATATTTTTCTTCTTCTTCAATTTTTAGAAAACAATCATGTTTTTATACAATATAAAAATGATTTTAATAAGCAAAATTCAGTTAAAAGTAATAAATAAGCTATGAAAATAAAGTGCATTTATTACAAAAAATTCTAATATAAATTGTATTTTTTTCACACTGTACTGAATTTTCTTTAATTTTTTTGATAGATTGTTTACATATTTTGTTATTTTACTTAATTAAAATTAAAAGATAAATAGGTTCACAAGCATTAATAATTAATTAATTTACAATTAAGATAATGTAAAATCCATAGGGGAAAGTTAAGAATTAATATTTTAAGGTAATTAAGATTAATTAAGCAGATGAGTTTAAGGTACATTAGAAAGAATATGAATATTTTAATAGGTTTTAAGAAAATTAGTTTACTAACTTACTGATTTAGTTGGAAAACAATCAGTTATTATCGACAAAGCTGTTAAAGTTAAAGTCTTAATGCTCAAAAATAGAGAAGATTTCATTTTATTATTATTATTGTTCAATATCTTAATATTGGTTTTAGTAGTGAAAATTATATGTAGATATCTACTCTTCTTGTTGATATGACTACTATTCGTAAGGAAAGTAATAGTTTTCAAAAAAACAATAATTTTGCTTGAAGCTATGTTCCAACATTTCAAATTCTTGATTAATATATTAATTATTTTATACATTTTCAGCTAAATTGTTGTTATCTAGCAAAGGAAAATCTTCTTAATAAATTTTAAATTAAAACTAATTATCAAAGATTTTTCAAAAATTAACAAAATTTTTCAAAATTTAATTTATTTTTTTTTTTTAAGCTAAACATTTTTCTAAATTTCTTTTAAGTAAATATTCATTAGTATAGCCTATCAAAAATTAAAAAGGCATTTAACTCTACTTATGTATGCATTTTGACCTCCCTTTTTATTAAAAATGAATTGATAATTAAATTACTAAATTTAAATATTTTAAGAAAATTGTAATTAAAATAGGTGGATAAAAATGAATTACTATTTTTTAAAGTTAAAATACAAATTAATAACTTTAAGTAAATGATATTTAATATATTCTTAATTATAATTTATATTAATTTACCAGTTTTTATTGAATATTTTCATTTATTTATTTATTAAATTATTTTTTAGCAATTAAATAAAATATTAAGCCTTATTTTAATATATTTATTTTATGTTTAATTTAGGAAAGACTAAAAAATAATAACATTTTAAGAATTATTTATAAACTTGACTTTTAAGGAGAACTATTATTTAATTAATATATAATCACTTAGTTGCTCATAAAATTGCTTAAAAAAGATTTTAAACTTGATATTCATTAAAATATTGCTAAGTTGAAAATTATGTAAATAAAAATTAATTATCAATTATTATCTAAAAAATAAATTTATTATATAAAATACTCTTTTATATTTTAAGGTAAATTATTATTTAAAATTGGCGAAAAATAGGTATCTTAAATGATAAACAAAAAATTTTTATTTATCAAAACTGAATATTACCTAAAAATATTTATTTATTTATTCAAGAATATCTAAATATAAGCACAATTTTTATGTTTACTGTTTAATTAATAAAATTATATTTATTACTTTTTTATCAAGTAAAACATAAATAAAATACATTTTTTAAGTAAATATAATGAAGCATAATTTAAAAAAAATTATTTTTAAAATATGTAATTATTAATTTAATATGATTCATACTCTAATAATTTTAAAAAATATTTTATGTGTAATCAAAGAAGAAAAGAAATTATGTTAAGAAGCTCTATTAAATTTAATATTTACTTTTTTTTAAAAGTAAACATGCTTTTTTAAAATAAAGATGTTATTTTTTTCTAAAAAATTAATTCATCAGTATTTGTTAATCTTTGATATTTTAAGGAAAATGCAAATTAAAAGAGATAAGAAAATGCATATTGATATTTATCAAATAATTAATCATGAAAATAAATTCTTATTATAAAATATTGAATATATATTGTCTTTAACTGATTTTTAATTATTTATAAACAATAACCACACACAGTTAAGCTTAATTTATTTTAAGTAAAACTTACAAAAGAGTTTTTATTAGATAAGTATTTTACTTTATTTTAAGGTAAATGCAATTAAATACTTATAAATAAATAAATCAAATACATTAAAAATATAAATGTCTATTTAATAGGTTAATACTTCAAATAATTTATATTTTTTTATCAGTAATTAAAATCTCTATTCATAAAATTTAAGGTCAGTTTTGCTGCAATTCTGAGTATTTTTATTAGAATTTATCAATATCACAACAGATGGAAAAAATTAATTGGTTTTCTCTATTAATTAATTATATATTTGATAATTTAAAAAATAAAAAGAAAAGAATTTTATTTTTAATTGACAGTTTAAATTTTTACAAAACAATTTTTTTTAATGTATTTAGAAATCATCTAAGTTTTTAAAAAAATAATCTACATAAGTAATATATATGCACTTTTAAGACTTTTAATAAAAAAAAATAGCAATTATAAGAAGAAAGTTGATAATAAATAAATAATTCTTTTTTAGATTGGATTCAATTTTTTAATTATTTTGATAAATTACTTGCAAATTTTTTTATTAAGCTTAATTAAGATTAAGTAAAAATATTTAGAGACATTGATAATTAATTAATTTAATATCAAGGTAATATAAAAAAATTCAGGGATAATAATTAAAAACTAATATTTTAAGGTAATTAAGATTACATAAAGAGATGAGTATAAGGCATATTAGAAATTAATTATATAATTTTTTTAATAATGTTTAAAAAATATTACTGCTCTTAATAAGAGGATATAAATTTTGTCATAGGCTTTTATTTATTAGTTATTTTAGTCGCTATTTAATCAATTATTATCAATAAAGTTGAAAAAATCTTATGGTTCATATAGAGAAAAAATGTCATTTTATTAATACTGTTATTATTAGTATTATTACTATTATTGTTGCTATTTATTGCAATATTAGTTTTAGTAATGATAATTACTTATCTATTTGTATTATTCTTATTGATATTAATCTTATTCATAAGGAAAGAATTAATTATCCAAAAAGCAATAATTGTGTTCCATCATTTCAATTTCTTAATTCAAGTATTCATTATTTTATTGATTTACTTCTAAAAGGTTGTTATCTATCAAAGGAAACTCATATTAATTTGTATTTTATTGATTTTGTTGCAAAGAAATATTTTATTATTAAATTTAGTGAGTTTATTAAAATTCATTATTAGATAAAATATTTTCGCTCATTTCTTCTTTAGGATTGAAGCTTTCTTCATTTTAAAAATTTTTTATTTAATGCGTATTTTCAGATGAGTTAAATCCTGTATAAATCATCTGTTCTTCCTATTTAATTTATTTTTAATGGCTTTTTCCCATCTAATATTGGTTTCTTCTTCTCTACATAATTTAGTTTTGAGGGAATGTTATATTCCATATCTAGAAAAAGTTCTGACAATTATAAATATTCATTTTATCTTCTAGGTAATAATTGAAAAATGTTTAAACAAGGACACATACAAAGCTATTTCTGATTTTCTTTAAGACACTGTAATCGTCTAACTGGTCTTAGCTAATCAATTGAGGAAAACTGAAAATACATGAAAACAAATTTTTTGAAAATTACTATTCCAAGTTATGTGAGATTATTAGATCAAAGTATTTTACAATAACTCCAATATATTCAGGAACATTTTTAATTTTATTTTATTTCACTAAGTTTTATACATCTTCAGTTTTTTTTAAGTTTAAGGCTTTTAAAAGGAGTGGAGCTGCTAACTTTCTCATGATATAAGTTTTAGCATTATCTTAAAACCACTTATTGAGGTAGTTTTTGCTTGAGCTAGATTTACTACTCTTTTGAGATCTCTCAAGGTACAAGATATTATAGAGAATTATTTCATTGATATTGTTGCTCATAAGTATTTTAAATTTAAGGAGTTAAGATTTTGTTATTAATTTATTTAAATTATTATTATTAAAATAAAGATATCAATAAAACCTTAAAGTGATAAGATGCACAGTTTTTTATGTATTTCTTTACTCTTATTTGTATACTAGCCAAAAATTTTTTCCAATTTCATAAATAAATAGCTTCTTACTTATTTATTTGAATTGGATTTTTGATAATCAATTATAATGATAAAAATCATTCTTAAAAAAAACAGATAATAAATATTTACCACGAAAATGAATATACTCTTTAATCTAATTTTTTCAATTTACTCTGAAATTCTTTTAAAAAACTACATAATTTTCTTATAGTTTAACTTAGAAATTCTGCTCTCATTTGTATTTTAATTTACATGGTCTATTTTAATTTATAGCTATTAGTATTAAGTTTCTATTACCTAATTAATCGTTCACTTGAATATTATTTAGTTAAAAATATAAAGATATATAGCTATTTGAAAAAATTGGCTATTATTATCTGCGTTTTTATATAATTTTGCTCTCAATTTAAATTCGATTACTTAATCAATATCAAAATTAGAATTTCATTTGAAAAATTATTTTTATTTAATATATTGTAATTATATAATAAGCTATATAACTACTTATTTAAAGTCACCTAGATTATCTTTATATAGAGTTTAAATGTATATCTTTTCCCCTAAATGTTCAGAAATAAATTAAAGTATAGGCAATAGATTAATACTAAAAATTACCTTCTAATATGAATTTAATGATATATATTATGGGATTCAAAATACATGTCCCCCACCATTTATTTTCAAAACAATGAAGTTGGGTATATTAAAAATTCTTCTTGTCTATATAACTCATTTTAAGAGGAGGGGGACATGTATTTTGAAACGATCAATAGATTTCTATCTATCAAAAACTTAACAGATCAAAATCTTAAAAATTATGAAATTCACGAGTTGCTTCAATTAATTTGAAGTAAAAAAAAATATTCAATTCTTCAAAAAAATAAAAAATTGTAAGCTAAATATTACTAAAATTATGTTTAGTATTTATTTTAGTAATAAATTTAAGAACAATATTTAAAATTAATTTAACATAAATAATAAAAAATTGATATTATAGAAAGTATTTGAATCTACATAAATTTTAATAAAATACATATTCAAGGTCAAACAAGATTTATAGTTTCTCAAGAGTGCTTAGTCGATAAAATAAAATAGTATGACTTTTATTAAAAAAATAAGAAAGTAAATCAAAAAATTAATTAATAATTTATATTATCATACATTATATCTTATACAAAAAAGTTTATTTTTCATAATTAATTAATTAATTCATGCATTTATTTTAAAATTAGATTTTTCACCAATCAGCGAGATATTTTTTTTGAATAGGTAATAGTAAATTTGATTATATTACTATTTAATTAGATTTAACTTTACTCTACATGAATATAAAGAATTCTGATATACAAAATTTTTCATTTATTCCATTAATTCATAACCATATTCTCTCCCCACAATTTATTTGAAGATAAAAATAAACTATAATATTTAAAATCTACAGAATTTCAGTTAATCGGAAAATATTTTATCCTCGAAAAGAGTTTTTAGAGAATAGATCATTTTAAAATATTTATTCATTACAATCCTTACATATGTCAAACCACTTTTAAAAATATTTTTTTAGAAATACAATAAATTAACTATTTATTTCATTTATTTTTTGATTTTCACTTTTTATTTAATTTTTCTTGTTAGTAAAAATAAGAAAAAATAAATTATCATGTTTTTATGTTTTTGAATTTTAGAATTACTTCCTTTCTTTAATTTTTATTAAATTTATAATGAAATATTTTTGAATTTATGAATCAATTAGGAAAAAACTTGTAATAAACAATTCTTCATACCTATGAAAGTAACTTATGGATTTTAGTGAATTAAAAATTAAATTACTGAAATAAATTTAAATGTTAATATTTTTGATAAATCAGAAGTAATTTAAATATTAATAGTTTGAATAATTCATTATCATATAAATTAATGCATTCATATACACTTACTTTAGCAAATTAATTCTATTTTAAATCTTAAAGCAAGCAATAAATATTTAAATAAAATAGATTTACTTTATTAATGAACCAATTTTTTGAATATAAATATGTCTCAAAAATATGTATTGAAATTTAATTAAATTTTAAAGTAGTTTCATTATTCTCTTTAGTCAATTTTATTTACTGTCATTTTATTTGTTAGATGCTAAAAAATTTGTTTTTCTTTAGATAAAATGACTACAGTAAACCCTCGTTAATTAAGGTTTTCGTAAAGAATAAAATATCAAGTAAAATTTATGAAATAAAATAATCTTTTTTGGTTTTTTAAAATTAGAAGTACATAATTTCAGAATAATTAAGATGCCTGATTTAATTTTTATATACAATTTAAACATTATTTCTTTATATAAACTTAAGATATGCTTATTTTTTTAGGTCGACCTAATATAATTTAATCAACTATCTTAAGATTTTTTCTCATTTGATGTACTTTACTAGTCAATCTGTGACTCTTTTTTTTCACTAGAAAGATTTAACTTGTCATCTTATTAATTATTTTAGCTTTTTTAAATTTATTCATCAGCCTATTGTTATTATTATTATTTATATTGGTTAATCTACTAATCATTTTATATCTAATCAACTTTTGAGTTCAAATCTTAACTTTCTATAATTTCTACTTCTTCTTCTGAAAACTAAATAAGTGATTTGGAATTTTGTTTTTGCTGGGTATCTAGTTTTGTAGGTAAACAATCAAGCTATTCGAAAATGGACTTTTAAGCTTTTGCATCACTTTTTTAGCAAAATAAACTTTTAAATTTACTATTTTATATTTTACTATTTCGGCTTATATTTTTATTTTTAGGACTTTTTTGTTTTAAACTTACTTATTTTCTGTATTGGTTGTATTTTTTTATATCCTTTTAGACATTCAAAATAAAATTTCTGATAATATAATTTGCACTTGTAGAAATTCTAATAAGGATTGTTTCTGTGTTAGAGAAATCAGGAGTACCTTTTAAAACAATTAAACCTGGCTATGTGTCTAATTACATCCAATTAGGAAGCTAGATATTACCTTGAGGCCCATAATTTTTAAAATCTAAACCTAAGATTCTCTCTATGCACATACATGAACCAGGTAGATATCTTAAGGCTATAATTTAGTTAATTTAGTGAGGTTCAATATAAATAGACTCCCCACTGCTAGGAAAAAATGAATTTGGCAATTTGCTCTAAACACCTGCAGCATCAGCAAAAACAATCTATTCAACCAAGTATAAATTGATACCATGTTTTTCTTTGACTTAATCAAATATTTAGTTTTTATTATTTGTTTATGTATTCTCTTAGTTTAGATTTATCAATTCATTAATTTCAAAGTCAAGTTAAATGTCTAAAAATTTAAGGGCTTCTTTTAACTTAAATAATCTAAAAGAAAATTGCGGAAAAACTATCTATTTACCTGAAGAGTCTAAATCATCAGTTGATTGTATTTTAAGCAAATGCTTATACCAATCATTTAAGGTTAGTTATGGATTTACTATTTATGAGTAATTTTTCAAGAAATCATAAATAGCCATGCTTTTTTAATCATGCTTGATTATCTTTCTTGCAAGTTAAAACATTAAGCATTATCTTAATACTCCTAATTCATTGACTAAATCGTTTTAAATAGTTTTTGTTGAAGAATCAGTATTATTTAAGTTAAACTTTATATTATATTCAATTAGATTATCAAAGAATGCTTCATAATTTAATGTCCCATTTTAATTTAAGTATTTTTATTCAAATATAGATTTGTTTTGAGCAGCTTGCAGATTTTTTAGTTAAACTTTATAATTTAAAGCAAGATGATTTATATTTGTAAAAACGATTCCTTTCAATTTACCAATTAAGACAGAGACTTTCCCTTTAATCTAATTTAATTTGGAAAGCTCTCTTTTTTGTTTTCTTTCTTTTAGTTAAAAATTTTAAGATTATCTTTCTTTATTTGTTTTATTATTTTCGACATTATCTTTTTCTCTTTTCTAATTTTTTTTTAATTCCTTCTGAAACTTTTTTATGATTTGTATAGAAGCATCTGCTTCATGAAGGATTAAAGGAATTTTAAGGATAAACAATTTGTTTGGTTAACAATTTATTTAGCTATACTTGTTTCTTTTCCTGTATATTATATTATAAATATCTCCTCTAAAATTATATAGGCCAAATAATCCAGTAATAGGGCCTAAAATAGATATTACCCACTAAATGACAATTAAAAATGGTACTTGATTTACATGAACTGTAAAGGTTTAAGAAACCTTTGTGTATCCATCAGAACCTGTAACTTAAATAGTCAAGCTCGTTCTAAAAGCACTCTAAGGAGGAACTCCATAAAATTTAGAAGTGTCATTATCAAATTATAACCAGTCATTAGTACTCAAATCTGTATAGTTTTATCCTTTTAGGCGCTTTACTTCGTATGAAACAGTTTTGTTTAAATCAGGAATGATGAATGTCAAAGAATGAACACTGAACTCGAAATTAGTTTAAATGGAAATATCATCTGCAAATTAGCTCTACAATGTTTTATTTGGATTGATTTAAATTTGCTACTTCTCTGCTAAAAATGGAATCATAGAAACCATTTTGTTAATTACGATAGGATAGTTAATAGAATCAGTGACTGTTATAACTGATGATATTTGATTATATTAATTAGGAGCTAACGGAAATATAATTACCTTTTATTGTAAAAATGAATTCACATTTGATACTCTCCCAGCTATGTTTATAATATTCATATCCGCATTTAATTATATATTAACTGAACCTTAGTTCACATATATAAACTATCCTTAGAATTTAGGAATTTCAATTTAAATATTTACTAAATTTGCTCTTGTTGATATAAAATTATTCGTTGATCCATCTATAATTAAACCCAATGATGACTTTACCATAAAATATACTGGAGTATTCTAAATAGCTTACAATAATGTGTATTTTGTTGTATTGCTAATACAGCTATTATAAGTCTGTTATTCTAAAGTTAAGTTAGGAAAGAGATTTTAGTTTCTCATTTCAATCACTTCAAGCTCGCTGAATTGTAAATTTTCAGAAACTAAATTATTTTCATCTATAACTCCATTTTATTATAACTATAAAAGAATAGCTGCTGCTTAGGCTATATTTGTTGGGCATTGTCCTTTAATAAATAAAAAATCATTTTTATAAAGCGGTCTTACTGTTGTTATAACTAACGTGTTTAAAAGAGGCTATTTTATATTCGAAGGATCTACTGCATCTTTTGTGATTTAAACCACAGCTGAAATTTCAATTGGATTATAAGAAATCCAAGAAGGTAAACTCTTTTATATTTATTTCTAGAAAAGCATAACTTTTTTTACAACCAAATCTAATGGTTAATATAAAAAACAAAAGTTTAGCTTAATTGTTTGCCCTACATAAAAAATTTGTTAATCTGGGCTATTTATTATGCTGAACTGCATGTCACCTGTTTCTGAATAACCCAATACTTCGATATAGTCTGTATGAAATTATACAGAAACTTCAAGGGGAAGTTATCTCATTTCTTTATTATTATCAATAAATAATTTTGTAAAATCTTAAGTAGAACAAGATACAAATCCATTATAATCTCCATACTAATAACTTGAGATAATAATTGGATTTTTATTATTTGATATATCTACCAAATAGATCATACCCTACTGCATAGTTGCAATAATAACAGTTTTTTCATCTTATAGATATGTTATATCATTAGTCCAACCTGGCACATTGAGCTAAGAAAACTGTACAAACTGAGGTAACTTCGTTTAATCCATGATATAGAGTCCGCCAAGTCCATCAATTAAGTAGTATTAGTAGCTATAAGCTTGTGATTCAAAAACTTATTCTGCTCCTGTAGAATCTAAGTAATTCACTAATTTAATATTATTCCAATCTTGAATATCTAAAACAAAGTAGCCATAGCCTCTACAAGCCCCAATAAAGTATTTTGCATCATAAGATATCATAAGTCCAGTTGTAAATCCTTTCAATTGTGGCAAAAATTACCACACTGCTAAAACATAGTAATTCCCTAAAGTTCTGATATCTACAAATGCTATTGCCCTATCCATAGCTGCAGCTAAAAAAGTATTACCATTATTGCTGTCAAAATCTTTTATGTATCCATTGACAGGTAATCCTAATGGAACTTTTTAAATAATCTTAATATTTGCATAATTTGTTACATTAAGGACAGCGATAAAATTTATTCCATCATTCATTGCAATAACCAGTGTTTGGTAATTATTTAAAGCATAAAAGGCATCAATATTAGCATCTTAGTTTGGTGGTTTGTATGAACTTTGAAGTACATTAAATCTAGTAGGATCACTGACATCTATAAACCAAAGACCATCTGTATCAAATGCTCCTATATATACCTATCTTTAAGGGTCATAATCACATCTCCAATAATACCTGGTATTTGCCTATGAAAACCCTAAAGAGTGATTACCGTTATAAAGACTGACATACTTTTATCCCAAAATTGGTTTCATTCTTCTAAAAACCATAAATGAATTCGAATTAGAAAAGTAGAGATAATTGGCTGTAGGAGATAAGCTAATAGAATTGCCATGATAGGGTAAATATGCCCATGTATAAATAAGCGGATTTAATTTATCTGTAATATCAATAGTATAAATTCCAATTGACCTAACTCCTACGAATAGAAAATTTGAATCTCTTGAAAGACAAAATGAGTAAGGAGCAGGTACATTTACCTAAGACGGCCACCACTAGCTTAGGTAGTATTTAAAAGAGTAAGGATATTTGGAGGGATTAGCTTTTAAAATTTGACTAAAATCTGCAAAACTTAACCCATTTCTATTGTCTAAGCTTATCAAATATCTTTAATCAGTGGTTATAATTGCTTGGTGAGAACTTCCTTGCGTTTATCCTGAAAAAGAACCTACTAATTTACCTATCACTTAATTTTTAGACTTACTGATTGAGAATACAGCTAATCCAAGATAATCTTAGCATAAAATTAAAAATCTCTCATCTTGAGTTAAAACTCCTCCATAAATTTGCTAAGAATTCCATTATATCTATCCAACAAGAGTAGGATTACTTTTTAAAGAGACATCAAAGATACTTACAATTCCATTTACTTAAAGAATGTATAAAGTATCTTCTTATGAATTAAGAATCAAATCTGTGGTAGTTGTAGAAGATTATTAAACTATTAGCGTAAATGTATTTCTATTTTAAAAGCTGTAAATAGACAATAAGTTTTTAGTTGTAATAAATATATATTTAGCATCTGCAGTGCATGTGAAACCTTCGACATGATCATCAGATTTTAAGTTTGCAATTACTTTGTACTATTAATCTGGATCTATGACTAAAATACCTTAGTTTCCAGCAGATACAAAGACAATGCCTGTTTAAGAACTAACCAAAATCTTAGAAAATAAACTCTACTACCCTGATGCTTTGATGATATAACTATATTAGGGAGAGTATAGCCAATTTTGAGCTTTCGAGCATACAAATAATTGATGAATAAAATTAAAAAGTAGGCTAATGTAAATATACTTTATTATAATCATTCAAAAAAATCAAGCTACTTTAATATTTTTAATTAATTTATCTAATTATTATTGTTATAAACAAAATTCTAAGTTTTCATATTATTTCATAAATTTAATTTGCAAATAAACTTTTTGGTTATTATGAATATTTTAAATAAACCCCTAAAATTGATTAAACAAAAACTAAAAAATTTATTTTATAACTTAGTAAAAGCATTAAGTAAAAGGATATTTTATTAAAAATTAACTAAAATAGTGAATAATTTTATATTATTTTTATAATTTATCAATATAAATGAAATAAAAATTATAATATCATTTGTTTATTCATAGTCAAATTATTATTTTTAATTTTTAATTAATAAATAATCACTATTAAAAATCCATATTTTATTTTATTAAATAAAAACTATTGTAAGATTTCTAAGTTATGATTAAACAAATAAAAAACATTTTTTACACAAATTTATGATATGGCATTTTTTTTGGGCAAAAAAGATACTTAGGGAATGCCTTAATTAATGAGCATTTACAGTATATACTTTTTAATATTTAGATATGATAATTATTTTCTTGATTTTTAAATCTATTTTAATATGTCAATTGATTGTACTGTTATTTGTATTTTATGTACTTTTCGCTTCTAACTTCAACTTTTTTTAGAATTTATTGAATTTCTAAATTTATTTGTATTTATTTAAGTCCATTTCAACTTTTAAAATGAAGCTTCTTATTGTGTAGTTCTATGTTGTTGTTATTCTGATAAGTATTTCTTCAGTATCAGAAAAGCTAGGAGTTCCTCTCAAAATAATTAATCCAGGTTATGTATCTAATTCTAGCCAATTTGGAAGTTATATATTACCCTGAGGTCCATATGGTTTATATTCTTAGTTAAGTAATTTTTCAATGCACTAAAACATCCCAGGTTAATATCTCAATGCAGCAACTTAATCTATTTCATGGTAATCTAAATACAAACTCTCGCCAACGCTAGGAAAAAATGTATTTGGTAAATTATCCTTGACTCCTGCAGCTTCAGAAAACATGTATTATTCTATCAAATACAAATTAACACCTTTCTTTTCTAAGACCTCATTATATGTCTTTTATACTTTTGAATCTTACTCTATATCATCAAAATAATTTACTTATTTAAGGTCTTAGTCGATTTAAATTCCTAACAGATTGAGAGCTTATGACAATCTATTAAAGTTAAATTAAAAATTAGGAAATACAATATAATTGCATTGATGATCTAAAATATCAGTTGATTTAACTTTGATTAAGTACTTGTACCAATCGTTGTTTGTCAAAACAGCACTCTTAACTTTTGAATAATACTTCAAGAAATTGTAAACAGCCAAACTTTTTGCATCATATTTCATTAATTTCTTAGCTAATTAAAATTTAAGACAAGCATTCAAACTCCCGTTTTCATTTTTTATATTTTGCTATTAATTTTTTGTTGATGTATCTAAGCTACCAAACTTGAATTTAATATCTAAATCAATTATTTGGTCTAAATATTTTTAATAATCAATTTAACCGTTTTCTTTTAAATATTGCTCTTCAAATATATTTAATCTTTAAGATTTTTATTATTTTTCCAATCTCTTTACATAGTTTTATGCTACATCAGATAATTTTGAGGAAGCTAAGTCTTACAATTTTTAGACTTACTTTTAAAATTTGTTTTTAATTTTAATTATTTATGATAAAATTTTAAAGTTATTTTTCTAAATTTTCTTGACTTCTTTATTTTAAGTACGTTATTATTGTTTCGTCTTTGCAATATTCAGTAATTCTTTCTTTAATTTTCTAATAATTTAAATAGATGAATCAGTTTCACGAAGAATTAAAGGTATTTTAAGAATAAATTTTTTATTTGGTTAACATGTAATTTGGCTATATTGATTTCTTTTATTGTAAAATATGTTATATAAGTCACCACGAAATCTATACAAACCCAAAATACCAGTTAAAGGACCTAAGATGGATATTATCCATTAAAGAATTATTGAGAAAGGTATCTTATTTACGTGAATAGTAAAATCTTGCGATACTTTTGTAAAGCCATCAGACCCTGTTACTTTTATTGTTATGCTTGTTCCGAATGCATTTTATGGAGGAGTTCCATAAAATAGATGGGTATTACTATCATATTATAGCCAATCTGTGCTATCTAATTTAACATAGTTGTCTCCTTTCTAGCGTAAAATATCGAAGGAAATGGTGGTGTTAAGATCAGGAATAATAAAGGTTTAAGAATTTATAGTAAATCCAAAATACGTTTATATATAAATATTATCTTAGAATTAACTTTGTAATGTTTTATCAGGATTTATCTAAATATTTTTTTTTTCTTTTAAAAATGGAAATTAAAAAGCTGATTAATTTTTAGTTATGGGGTAGTTCATTGAATCTGAGACTGTTACTAATGCTGTTATTTGTTGGTATTCCACAGGAGCAATAGGATATACTATTATCTTTTACTTCAAAAATTCATTAACATTTTACACTCTTCCAGTTATGTTGATGATATTCATATCTTAGTTTAATTAAACATTTACAGATCCTGAATTTTGATAAATGAATTAGCCTGAAAATTTAGGAATTTCAATCTAAATATTCACTAAATTCGCTGTTGTTGAAATATATTTGTCTGTTGAACCATCAATTATTAAATTCAAAGAAGATTACACAAAAAGATAAATAGGAGTTTTCTAAACAGCTTAGGAAAGTGTGTATTTTGTTGTATTACTAATACAGCTATTATAAATTTAATCATCTATAGTCTTGTTTGGGAAAAGATCTTAGTTTCTGATTGAAACAAATTGTATTTCATTAAATTACTATTTTTCAGAAACCAAATTGTGTTCATCAATAAAACCATCTTACTAAAGCTAATCAAATATTGCTTGTGCTTGAAATTTAGTTGTTTTGCATTTTCCTTATTTAAATAAAAAATCACTTTTTTAAAGTGGTTTTATTGTTGTGAAGACTAATGTATTTAAAAGTGCCTACTTAATATTTGTGGGATCAACAGCGTTTTTTGTAAATTAAATTGTTACTGAGATTTCAATTGGATCATAAACTATCCATGAAGGTAAGGACATCTCTCTTTACTTTTAAAAAAGTTTAACACTGCTCACGACTATATCCAAAGGCTGATATAAAATGCAAAAATTAATTTTAATTGTTTATCCTACTAAGAATTTCTATTTCTCTGGGTTATTTATTACGTTAAAAAGCATATCACCTGACTCCGAATAACCTAAAACATCTAAGTAGTCTGAATGAAATTGCACAGGTACATTGAGAGGAAGTTATCTCATTTCTTTATTATTGTCAATAAATAGTTTTGTAAAATCTTAAGTAGAACAAGAAACAAATCCGTTGTAATCTCCATACTAGTAGCTGGAGACTATTATCGGATTTTTATTATTTGATATATCTACCAAATAGATCATACCTTACTACATAGTTGCAATAATAGCTGTCTTTTCATCTTGTAAATATGTAATATCATTTGTCCAGCCAGGTACATTCAGCTGTGAAAACTATTTAAACTACGGTAAAACAGTTTGATCCATTATGTAAAGTCCACCAAGTCCATCAATTAAGTAATATTGATAGCTATATGCTTACGATTTAAAAACTTATTCAGCTCCTGTAGATTCAAAGTAGTTTACCATTTTTATATTAGTTAAGTCTTGAATGTCTAAAACAAAATAGCCATAACCTCTACAAGCACCTATAAAGTATTTCTCATCAGAAGAAAGCATAACCCCAGTTGTTAACCCTTTCATTTATGGTAAGAATTGCCATGTTGCTAAAACTTAATAGCTTCCCAAGGTAGATATATCAACAAATACTATTACTCTATCCATAGCTGCAGTTAAAAAAGTATTAGAAGCATTGGTGTCAACGTCTTTTATATATCCGTATACTGGTAATCCTAATGGCACTTTTTAAATCATCCTAATATTTTTATAATTTGAGATGTCTAAGACTGCCATGAAATTAACCCCATCATTCATTGATGTAATCAAAGTTTGATAATTATTTAAAGCATAAAACACATCTATATTTGAGTCTTAGTTTGGTGGTTTGTATGAGCTTTAGAGTACATCAAATCTAGTAGGATCACTAACATCTATAAACCAAAGACCGTCTGTATCGAATGCCCCTATATATACCTATCTTTAAGGATCATAATCACATCTCCAGTAATATCTGGTTTCTGACTAAGAAAATCCCTAAGAGTGATTACCGTTATATAGACTGACATAATTTTGTCCTAAAATCGGTTTCATTCTTCTAAAAGCCATAAAAGAAATAGAATTAGAAAAGTAGAGGTAATTAGCTGTCGGAGATAAAGCAATAGAATTTCCATGATAGGGTAAGTATGCCCAAGTATAAGTAAGCGGATTTTATTTGTCAGTAATATCAACAGTATATATTCCAATAGACCTTACTCCAACAAAGAGAAAATTTGAATCATTAGAGACACAAAAAGAGTAAGGGGCAGGTACGTTTACCTAAGATGGCCACCATTGATTTAAATAATACTCAAACGATAAAGGTTTACTTTAAGGATTTGCTTTTGAAATTTAAGTGAAATCTGCAAAACTTAATCCATTTCTATTGTCTAAGCTGATTAAATATTTTTCATCAGGAGTTACTATCGCTCTATGAGAACCTCCTTGAGTTTCCCCATTAAAAGAACCTAAAAGCGTTCCGATCACTGAGTGTTTAGATTTTTTTATAGAAAATACAGCTAATCCAAGATAATCTTAGCATAATATTAAAAATCTTTCGTCTTTAGTTAGAAAACCTCCATAGATTTACTAAGGATACCATTATATTTACCCAATGAAAACTGGATTGCTCTTTTAGGAGATATCAAGTATACGTACTACTCCATTTACTTAAAGAATATAAAGTGTGTCTTCTTATGAGTTGAGAATTAAATCAGTAACAAATACTTGAATATTATCTTAACCTACTTATGTAAATATTTTTCTATTTGAAAAATTATATACAGTTAATAGGTTATCACTAGTTGTAAAAATATATTTTGCATCCATAGTGCAAGCGAAGCCTTCAATGTGATCATTTGTTTTTAAATTAGCTATTACTTTATATTATTAATCTGGGTCTATAGCTAATATACCCGATTTTCCTGAAGAAACAAAAACTATACCTGTCTAAGAGCTAACTATAATCTTAGAAAATAAGCTCTACTAATTTTCTGCCTTAATAATATAGTTATACTATGGAGAATAAAGCCAATTTTGTGGATCTTTGCTATAAATCTATTATAAAATCAAATGAAAAGATAAAAATTGAAATAATGTAAAAGTTCTCATTTAATTTTGCTTGCTTTTATTTAATTGTCAAATTTTATTTAAAAATTATATTATCAATTTTTTATTTTGCATTGTTACATATATATAAATGTAATCAAATGCTAACCTTTAAAATTAATTAAAGACTAAAAAAGTGAATACTGAAAATATTTATCCCAAGCATGAATTAAAGAGTTGTAGAAAAATAATTGGATTTATTTACTGAAGTAAGATTATTTTATTTATTTGATTAATCTACAAACCATGAATCTTCCCTATTAGAACCAAGTTTAAATTTTCTAATATTATAGAAAAATTACAATTTATTCCTTAAAATCAAAATAATGATTTAGTATTTCAAAAAGTTATTACGAGACTTTACATTAAATTAAATTATATTAAATTAACTCATTTTTTTTTTTAAGAATTGTTGTATTTTAAATAATGAATTCTAAATTTGATAATTATTCCGAAAATACATTGAGAAATTATAAAATATCAACATATCTATTAAAATTCAAAGCTTATACTTGAATAAAAAATTAAATATTTTTAATTAAAAGTAAAATGACATGATTTACATAATAATACTATTTATTTACATTAATGAATCTAATATTTGCTTGAAAATCAAATAGCAAATAATTTAGCTAAAAGTAAAAATTTAAGGTAGATGCATCAAACTTAACAATAGATAAAGCTTAAAAAAATTATTGCAAATTATTTACTAGCAATGAGCAGTCAGTCAGTCAAGTTATTATTTAACAATTCAAGGATAAATATCAATAACCATTAAAACTTCTTTATTATTCTACATCTGAAATGATTAATTTTCAGTATTAACGAAAAGAAAACGAAAATAACTTTATTAAACTTTCAAAATAAATTAATTTAACACGATAATGCTAAAAATTTCTTTTAATAGTAATATCAGAAGTAAACATTTAGCAAATATAATGTTATAATTTTATAATTCTGTTCATTTTTATATTTAACTTCTTCATAAAAAAGTAAAATATATTGCTTATCTTAGGATAAATAATAAAATAAATAATATTTTATTATTTAAAACACATCTTAATTACAAAAAATGATAGAAGTAAGAAAATTTTAAATGTATTTCTAAATTTCAGCTATATATTTTATTAGATGAGCAAAAACTATTTTATTTTAATGTGTTATTTAAACTAATATAAAAATATAATGATTATATTAAAATATTTATAAGAAGTCAATTAAATATAAAAATTGGAAAAATTTAAAATATATATAAGCATAAATTAACAAAATAAAATAGAGAATAAATTACATTAATTAATTGAGTATAAATAAGATGATTTAGTAAATATTATTATTTAAACAAAAATCTTTTCTTCAAACATTAAAATTAATATTTTTTTTTCTTTGGAAATTAAAAAATTCAAATAAAGAGATTTAGATATATTAAACTACTATAATATTTAATCTTACATTATCAAACTAAAAGAAAACAAACATTTTATTTATTTTATAACTTAAAAATATCTAATAAGCACGAAATAAATATAATAGTTTGAATCAATAAACAAACCACTGTTATAGTTTTATAATTTGAATAAAAATGTTAAAATAAATAGTATATAAATGAATCAATATAAATAGTAGAATATTAATGAATTAATTAACAAAATATATATTTGGAATATATAACATAGCTAGCTTGTTTGTTTATGTAATTATTACTATTGATAGTTAAATGTTTAAATTAAAGTTTTCCTTTTTTTGGATTCATTAAATTCTAAATTTTAGTTAGATAATTCTTTAACTGTTTCATCTTCTTCCACCACCAGTTCTTTGTCTAGCCCAGTCAGCACTTAAAATAGATGCACCATAATCGATTCCATCAATTTCGTCAATAAGATTTTCAGCGTTGTTTCTATCGTAAAAAGTAATGAAGGCTTTAGCCATAAGTTCTTTAGTTTTTTTATTTTTAGGGAATCTAACTTAGTATTTATTAAGGTGAGAGTTCTTGCCACAGAATTCTTCCAAGAATTGTCTGAAGTTCTTTTCTTCCTCTACAATATTTATAAATTATAATTTTAAATATAAACAAACGATGATATAAATATCTTTAAAATTAGCAACATTTTAATATTAATATATAAAGCATAAATTGATTTAAGATATTTTCAAGTAATTCAATTTTAAATGAATTTAAACAAATTAATTGCTTTTATTAAAAACTATTTTTTATGAATGATAAAACTATTTTTTATATGATTCATCATAAATATTAAATTGACTAACTAACTAACTAACTAACTAAAAAAACATACCTTGAATCTTTTCTTCAGTTTTAGCATTGTAGAAACTAAGAATGTTAGTGATTTCTACAGTGTATTCTTCACTATCATGTTCAAACTTAATTTAATCAAGAGTTTTGGGTTAAGATTTTTTAGATTTATCAGTAACTTCAATAAAGTCATTATTTTAAGGAGCTGAACCTCCATTATTTTTAGTATCTTTAGAGTTTTAAGCTTATTCCAATTTTTATTGATCTTTTTTCATCTTAACTGATTGAGTATTGATTTTGGACAACTTATTAACTATATCAATTTCACCCTTATCAGCATTAAGTTGAGTTTCAATATTTACTTCTGCACAAGCAGTATAATCTCCCTATTTGTGTTTTCCAATAGGAACATCGCTAACATCACCGAATTTTTTCATATTCTTTCTTGCAATGGCAGCTTTTTTAATTGGGAAAATTCTCTTCTCTACTTTAACAGTTTCTCTTATTTTTTGATTAGGATTTGCTCCATCTTTTTCACGGATATAGGTTTTAACTTCTGTTCTTGATTGAGCTTTTTAAACTTCGTCCTTATCAATTAAATCAATCCAATTTTGCTTTCCTTGAGGTGCAGTGCTATCTGTCATTTCTATTATAAATCTGTATTAATTAATATCTTTAATTATTTTTTTGTGCTTTTTATCTTTTATTTTTTGTTTTTCTTACTTTTAACTTTTTGATTGATCAATTTTATATGAATTAAAGCCTAATAAAAACAAGGTTATGTGAAAAATGATTCAAATATTATAAGAATGAATATTGATTGTTATTTAAAGAAAATATAAATTATATAAATTTGTCTATTATTAATATATGCAAGCAAAAACTGTATTAAATTAATTTCTGATTGTATTTTATTGTTTTAGAATTTCATGTTTGTTTTTAAAGTTATTATTAATTTAACTTAATTTTTATCTAGAATGAAAATCTTTTTATAAAAATACATTTTATGTAAAAAAAAATATTCAAGGCAGTCAGTAAAACAAGCAAGATTTATGTGTAAAATCATTTAAATATTATAAAAATGAAAATTGTTATTTAAAGAAAAAATAAATTATATAAATTTGTCTATTAAACGCAAGCAAAAACTGTATTAAATTTCTGATTGTATTTTATTAGAATTTCATTTTTTTAAATGTTATTGTTAATTTAATTAAATTTTGTTTTGAATTAAAATCATCACATTCATCTTTTTAAAAAATATATTTTATGCAAAAAGTATTCAAGACAGTAAGTAAGTCCTCTTTAATCTAAATGTAGAATTTCAATTATATTTTAATACAAAAATTAAATCTTCAAACAAATTCATAAAAAAACTTTCAAATATTGCCAGTCTTAAAATAATAATTTTAGATATTTAAAACTCTGCTTATATTTTAATGATATATATATAAATTAATTTGGTTTAATAATATTTTTATAAACCTTTTAGATATACTTTAAATAAAAAAATGAATAAACACAAGTAGCTTGCTTGTATTTGTTTAAGCATTTTAGTAACTATTAAAGGTAAATTTAATTTTTAAAAATACTAATTTATTAATTATATTTATATACATAGATTTAATTGATTTTTATTATTATTATTATTATTATATTAGCTTAGTTTATCTTGTTTTAATTATTTATTTATTTATCTTCTTATTCTTTTAGCTTTATTTTATTAATTTATATCTATTTAAGTAAGAAGTATGTGGTTGTTTAAGTATGATGTATGCATGTATTTATGCATTTGTATGAGGAAGAGAGATAATTTCTCTCTCTTTCTTTCTTTTTATTATTAAAATCAAAATTTTATATACATTTCCATGTTTCCACTTAATGCTAAACAAAAACCATCTAGTGATAAATCAATAGATTTTATTATACCGTCTTTTTCGAATATTTCTTCTTCTAAATATTTATTAGCCTCATCTAAAACATCAAATGCCTTAAGTTTATTACTTTCTGTACCACAAAAAATAAATCTACCACTGTTACTGAAACAGATTGAATATACACCATCAAAATTCTTTTAGTCTTAAAACACAGAAACAATTTCAATCATTCTTAAATCAAATAAACGAATGCATGAATCATCACTGCCTGTGGCGAAGGTTGTTGACTCTCTAAAAGGCATAAACTTTACTGCATTAACTGCACTTTCATGTCCTTTTATTATATAATTACAAATTTTATTTAAAATAGCAATTACTTTTATTTAATTACCTCTAAATGTATGCTATACGGGATTTTTAACTCTGATGTCCCAAATCTTAGCTGTCAAGTCACTAGAACCAGACAAAAATATGTTAGGATCATTTTCAAATACGCTTAGGCATAAAACTTCACTTGTATGAACTTAATTCATTTACAAATGTCTTGATGGCTGGTTTAAATCCCACAAAGAAACCTAAGAATCTGTAGAACCTGCAATTAAATATTACTAACTTAAAAATTAAACTGTTTGAATAGCACCTGTATGACCTAAAAGTTATGCTTTATGCTTTTTACCTTCTGGATCTACACCTTTTTTATTTTCTATTAAAAAATGTTTTAACAATAATAACCTAAGCTGAATTCCTTAATTGAACTGAAAATGATAGAGAATATATTCATAAACTATTCAAATAAACTTGTTAATTGTATATTGTTAGGATTTATAAAATTTACCTTTGTTTATTTCAAAGATAAGAATTTTATTGTCTAATGTTCCTATTGCAGTAATCTTTCCTTCCTATCTTTCTACATCTGCTGATGTCAACCAAGTAGAGTTTGAAGCTTTAATTGAGTCTATAACTTTATTTTTATTTGGCACCCAAACGTTCATTAAACCTGATGAATCAATAGCTATAAGTTGATCAGAATACTTCTTATTTTTATTCCAACACACAGTGTTTATTTTATCTTTATGTGGATAATCTGTTGAATCTAATTTTTTTTTTATTCCATGCCCTTGAAGGTTACTGAGCTTGATTTTCTATTAATATATGCTTGGTTCGTAGAGTAGATTGTTAGTCTTTTCAGCCTAATTTGAAGGTCTAGTATCTGCATGGCTAGCTAGTGTTTTATTTGTTTTCGATGACATTTTATTAGCTATTTGATAGAATAAAATTATATAAACTTAACAGATTTATTTATTATCACTAATATAGTTTGTATACTTACTATTGATTCCTTTCTTAAACAGAAAAATTTACTAATATATATATAGTAGCACAGTAGTGAATATTGAATAATTTTAATGACTATAAATTAATCAATCAATCAAGCTATCAAAATTATAATAAAAAAAACTCAAAATATTTCTTTAACGTAATCATAAATTTTTATCTTGAAAATGATCTAATTTTTATTTTTATTACATAAACTAAATGAAAAATAAAAATGCAAATAGAAATATAAATATAAATAAACAAATTTACTAATTTTAATTAATTAAAATAAGTTTTTAAAAATTAAATTATTAAGGCAATATGCTGCTGATATAATAGCCGTTTAATATAACTTTAATTTATATTTTAAATTAGTTAAAAAAAATATTTTTATATTCAGCTTATTTTGTTTATTAAGGCTTTTGTTAACTTAAAACTTTTTTAAGTTAAGGATTTAGATATTTATATATAAATAAATATAGTACCCTAGGCTACTGCCTTTTTCAAGGCTACATACAGGAATAATAATAATATATTATATTATTATATAAAAACTTTTTAATAAATCCATTATCTGTTTTGTTAAGCAATTAAAATAAGTTAAGGTGTTTAATCATAAATTTTTATTATATTTAAATATGTTGACTTAACTTAGAAAACACTTGGTATAAATACACAAATTATGAATTTTATATAAATAAATAAATAAGAAGATTTAATAGCTTATTTAGATCTTTTTTGTATAATTTAAGTAAAATTAAAATAAATAGTATTATGAAAGAATAAATTTATATAAAAACCTTAATAAGTTTAATAATATTGATTTTTAAATACAAAAACAACTGTTTTTATTATGATAAGTTTATAAAAATAATTAAAATGATAGATACTCTGATGTTTAAATTATAACCATTTATTTATGCAGCTTTTATCAAAAGAATAGAAAAAAATAAATATTTAATTTGTCATTATTTTAGTATTTGCTTAAGATTATAAGGATAATGAATGACTTTGTATTTAATTTAAAAGATCATTTAAATTTTTAATTAATCCTAAATAAAAATACTTTGAAAATAGGATTTCTAGAATATGTTGAATCTTTCAAGACTAATTTATTCTGTTGACTTGCAAATTTAACTTTGAAGAAATTTTGATTCATAAATATATTTTTGTTCTTCTAGAACGAATTTTCTAAAAAAGGGAGATAACAAAAATTGAATAATAAAGATATGTTCGTTGACGCTTAATTTTAGTAATTAAATTAATAAATCCCCAAATTTAAAAAGAAATACTACCATACAATTAATTAAAGTAAGTAGTATTTGTAAAATAAAATAAAAATTGTCAAATAGAAGTTTCTTTAATGGTATTTAGAAAGTTATACAAACAAAATAAGCCTGACATGCAGGCAAGCAATGTTTATTAATAATTAAAATTTTAATTGTTTTAATTTTAAATTTTGATGCAAATGATTTCATTTATCTCAACTTTTTTCTTTTATAATGCCAATAATAAAATTAAAAGATTCATCTCCAAAATATGATATATTCCAATTATATGTGTTTTGAATGTTTCTTTTAAATTTAAGTAAACACACTATCAATAAAATCAAACAAATTTATTCTTTTCTTTGGTTGATTATGAAAAGATAAAGAGAAATCGATTGTTTATTTGATAAAAAATTAATAAATAAATAAAGCATAAAACAATAGTTGTAAAGTAAAAGAGTTAAAAAGCATTTATTTGTATTTTAGCAAAAATGAAGAGAATTGAAGCAGTTAACAATCAAATCAAAGAAAGAGAAAGCAAAAACAAGAATTATCAAGAATAGGTAAAAAATTCAAAAGCTATGAGCATGACATTATTTAGTTATTTTAGCAATTAAATATGTTTGGTAGAGAGTGCAGTAAGTAACTCAAATCAAGCACATTATTTTTATAGGCAAGGCATTTTATAAGGAGAACTATTTAAAAATAATTTTTTAGCACTTCTTTAATGAGTTTTCTTCATAAACACCTTGTTTATTTTAAAAATATTGCTAAATAATCCCAAATTTAAAAGATAGTTTCTAAATGATTACTTCAAAGCTTCATAACTTTAATTTAATATTATTTATTTAAATGAATAAAGAGACCTCTTGTTAAGTCTGATTGGTTTAAGAATCAAGGTTGGGGTTATAAGGATACTGATTTCGTATTAGGAGCTGATGGAGTTGTTTACTTATCTGGTAGCAGATATCAATTTTCAGGTGAAAAAATGCCCAAGTTCAAAGAATGGGCTGAGAATGTTATTGGCATAGATCTTAACAAGCAAACCCCAGCACAAAACGAAGTTCCCATTGATCCTGCTATTATCAATGAAGCTTTTATTGAAGCTATCAGAGGAAAAGTTAATGAAGCTACTAACGATAAGACTTAAAGAATCCACCACTCTCATGGTCATACTTTATAAGAAATATTTGCCTTACGTCACGGCAAGCTTGATCGTTACATTGATCTCGTTGTTTATATTTCAAGCCACGAACAAGCTGAAACTTTAGTAAAAGCTGCTAATGAACACAACGTAGTTTTGATTCCTTATGGTGGTGGTACTAATGTTACCTAAGCTCTTCTTCCTTTGAAGTCTGAAACAAGAATGATTGTTTCAGTAGATATGAGCAGAATGAACCACATTAGATGGGTTGATAAGAAAAATTTCACAGCTTGCGTTGAAGCCGGTATTATGGGATAAGATCTCGAAAGAGAACTCTAAAGATATGGAGTTTGCTGCGGTCACGAACCTGTAATAAAAAATAATTATCTATCTAATTTAAAATAAAAAGTTACAAGTTAAATTTATCTAAAAGTCTAAAAATCAAATCATTTTATAATTTTGAATTAATGTAGAGTTAATAAAATAAAGTAAATAAACAAATAAACAAATTAAATTAAATTAGAAAAATAACCACGAATTATCTCTAAAACTTAACAATTTTAAGACAAAATTAGATAATAAATAAATAAATTAATATAAAAGGAATTCATAATTTCAAAATATTTAAATGATTTGATCAATTAATTTAGTTAAATTAAACAACAAAATAAATGAATAATTAATTAATTAATTAAGCAATAAATTTAATTTTTGAATAAAAAATAATTTTATATTTTTTAATTTTTAAAGGATTCTCATGAATTCTCTACTTTAGGTGGTTGGATTTCTACAAGAGCTTCTGGTATGAAGAAAAATAAATATGGTAACATCGATGATATTATTCTTAATGTTAAGATTGTTACTCCTGCTGGTACTTTTACCAAGAGCTAAAATGTTCCTAGAATGAGCAGTGGACCTAACTTGAACGAATTTGTTCTCGGTTCTGAAGGTACTTTCGGTATTATCACTGAAGCTGTCATTAAAGTTAAACCTGTTCCTAAAAATGTAATTTATGATTCTATTATTTTCCACGATTTCGAAAGTGGTACTGAATTTATGTACGAAGTAGCTATATCTAAGCAATGGCCTGCTTCTTGCAGATTAGTCGACAACGAATAATTCAAATTCGGTATGGCTCTTAAGACAGAAGCTAAGAGCAAAACATAAGAGTTAGTTGATAAGGCTAAAAAGTACTTTGTTACTGAAGTTCTTAAATTCGAACCAGAAAGAATGTGTCTTTGCACTATCGTTTATGAAGGTACTGATGCTGAAGTCACCACTCAATAAAAAGTAGTTGGAGCTCTTTACAAGAAGTATAAGGGATTCAGAGCAGGTACATATAATTTAGACTTTAAATCAATTTTATTAAAATCAAAATTATTTATTGCATTTTAGGTGCTGAAAATGGTTAAAGAGGTTATTTCTTGACTTACGTTATTGCTTATTTGAGAGATTTCGCTTTCTAATACGGCTTCATTGCTGAATCATTTGAAACTTCTGTTTAATGGAAGAATGTTTCTCTTCTTTGCAAGAATGTTGGAAAGAGAATTGTTGATGAATGCAAAAACCAAGGCGTAGTTAGAGAACCTTTCGTTTCTATGAGAGTAACCCAAGTTTATGACACAGGTGCTGCTGTTTATATCTACTTTGGTTTCCTTTACCACGGTTTGAAGGACCCTGTTCAATCTTACACTGATATTGAAAATGCTGCCAGAGATGAAATCATGAGATGCGGTGGTTGCATTTCCCATCATCATGTAATAAATTTTAACTTTGCATTTGACTAAAAAATAAATAAATAAACAATTTTGTATCAACATAAAATTAACATTTTTCTAATCAAATTCCTCAAACAATAAATTAAAAATTCATTAATTAATTTATTAATAGGGTGTTGGTAAACTCAGAAAATAATTTATGAGAGATTCAGTCGGTGATATGGGTATTAAAATGATCAAGGCTGTTAAAGACTAATTGGATCCTAAGAACGTTTTTGCTAATGGCAACTTAGTTTGATAAATTTATTTAAATAAAAGAAATTATATACAACTTTCAATATTAACAAATACATTTGTCTGAAGATACTGTTGGAATAAAAGCCACAACACAAAATTAATTTTCATTCTAATATATACTATATATATTTTTTTTATATGTATGTGTGTATGTATGCTTGAATTAATTGGCTAGTTGATTTTTTAATTAATTAATTCCTTTTTATTGATAGAATATTGATTATATTTTTTGTTATTTTCAGAACAGATTGTTTGAATATTTTTATATTTCTAAATATTGATTGATATATATAGAGAGTAGATATTAAAACTAGTTATTATATTTTGCTTAAAATATCATTTTATGTCTCAAAATTGTTTTATATTGATGTGTTAAAGTTAATAAACTCCAGACAAGTTTAAAGCTAGCATTAATTATACTTGTTTTTAAATTGTGTATAAATGACTTTTTGGTTTTTGGCAAACAAAAAAGCTTCTTAAATTATGTGGAAAAAATTTTAGAATCTTTTTTTATGTTATAGAGAAAAATTATTTAAAAATTAGTTAATATTATCTTCTTTAATTCTGAAATTTCCTATTAGAACCCACTATATATCCAGTTTATAAATAAAAATTTTATAATTATTATCTAATTTATACTTTAAGTAATCAAAGTAGACTTAGTTATAACAAAAAAAAAGAAGTAAAGTGTTAAACACAAATAGAAAAAGAAATGTTGAGAACATCCCCTTAGAAATAGAACTATGAGTGCTGGAACTGTTCTGATATTATTGAAGGAAGAGACCCAGAAAAACTAATGAACGACTCTTATGGACATCATATATTGAGCAAAGACCCTAACGAAGAGGAGTGTCAGCACCATAGCTTTGAATAGGATTAAAGAATAACTGAAAACAAAAGAGGATCTGAAATAATCTCTACATATCCATCAATTAACCAACCTCTAAGCGAAGAAGAAGAAAAATATTTACATTCCCACATGTGTCATTTTACCAGAGAATAATACCTCCGCTCTATTATTAAAGATTTCTATGATTGACCAAGCTGAGTGAGTTTGTGATAAATTATTCCTCCAGCAAAAAATAATATATAAGCTTCAATAAATTTGAGGTTAATACTTCTCCTTATCTGAATTATAATAAATTAATATAATAATAATAATAATAATAATTAATTAATTACCTCGCTATAAAAAAAACAAATGCAAACAAAATTAGATCTATAAGAATAAAGATTAATCTTAATATTATAGTTACATACATTTTTTGCACTTAGTTTTTATTATTTTATCATGTTGAATGTCGAGATAATATTTTATTCTAAAAATCTATAATTTCCATTTATTTCTTCATGAAAAATATATAATTAATTGTAAATTAATTTTTAAGTAATTTCTTTATTAATTTATTTGTAAGATAAATCTTAAAAATTATGATTGATACATTTATAATAATATAATTCAAAATAATTAAAATTTATATTTTAATATATATTTAGGGCATCAAATATTCATTATTTGAAAACTTTAAATAGAAAATGAAGTTATTTCCATTTTTTTGTATGTATAAAATAACCTCATTTTTTTATTTTAAATACAAAAATAATAAATTTTTGCATAAAATTTAAATTATTATTATTAATTTCATTAATTTCTAAGATTTAAATTTTTAAATATAAAATATTTAAAGAATATTTTTTAAAATAAATTTATTTTAGATAAAATAAAATTTATTTGATTTATCATTTTTTGTTTAATTGATAACAATACTGATTATATTGAAGCGGTGATTGGGTAAGACGATAATCCCTATTCATGTAAAAGAAGATAAATTCAATAGTTAAAATAAGAAATTGTATGTGTATCAATCAGCTTTGAGACCTCTAAAATGAATGATTGATCAATGGATTAATCAATCAATCAGTCAAATTAATCAAAAATAAAAGTCATATAAATTTTGATAAAAAATAAATAATTATTAAAATAATTAGAAAGCAAAAGATATCTGCTTCAATTAATCTATCAAGCAAATACTAATATTATTGTACTTAAGATATATTTTAAGGTAATTAGCCAAGAATCAAAAATGCAATACATGAAATTAGAACCCTTTAACCCTGTGGTTAAGAAAGAAGTCAGCAACACCATTATGTAAAGAATAGTTTTATCTGATTAGATTTATTTAAATTGCCAAATTCTAGTGAAAAAAATATATTTTAGTAAGATTCTTAGTTAGAATAGCCATTTTTCATCAGGAAGAATATAAATAAATAAAAAAATTTAAGGAAAGAAGATATTTTAGGAATATTTAAAATAAATGAAAAGAAAAAAAAATCTAATTTACTTTTTGTATGAAAAAGAAATTCACTTGGTGGTGTATTTACTTGCCCTGACTATGATGATACTAGATACTGTATTCAATATAATGAAGAAAATAATACATTATACTTTAGCTTCAAGATTCCCAACTTCAATGATATTTATAAGATCTCTGGAGATTACTTGATGAAGAAATTCTATAAAGGTAACAATTAATAAAAGTCATCTAAATATATTCATTTGTTAAAATATATATATTTTTAATTTGTTAGAATACACACTTGAAAAAGTTCCAGCTGCAGGTTTTGACATGACAATTTCAAGATCATTAGACATAATAAAAGAAATACCAAGTATCAATTAGCAAGTTAAAAAGTGATGCTTAAAATTATATTTATATAAATAAAGAGATTAAAAATCCTACTCCTGAAGATGAAGAAAATAAAAAAAAGATTAAGGAAGAAAATAAAAAGAATATTGAAAATATAAGCAACGAACTTGCCAAATTCCGTGTTAATTTCTTATCATGCCCCTTCCAACATGCTTTTGACTAAGTTAGAGAAGGAAAGCAACCTAAATTTACATATTCAACAAGATAAGGAGATAGAGTATGGTGCTTGGGTGATGGTATATAATTAATTAGCTTTAATGTTTTTATCATAATTAATTTAAAAATTTATAATAAAAGCTGAATAAATCACATTATTTTTTGGTTTGAGCTTTTAAGATATAGTCGATAGAAATATCGCTAAGCTTATGCTTGATGTAAATTTCTAATTTTTTTTAGCAGATGTGTTTAAATTAGAACTTATAATTTTATATAGGAATTTGTTGATATCAAAAAACATATAAAAAATCCTCCTAGTATTACCAGAACAATGGAAGATTAAAAATTCGTATATCCTTAAAATCTTATCGATGCATTCCCTGAATTAAAAAATATCAAGGAAGTTTTCTTAAATGGTCTTATGCAATTCAGTAAAATAAAAAGTTAAGATATTTTTCTTTTTAAAGATTTTTAATTTGTAACAGCCTTCTTCAAGAAGCAACATCTCAATGGTGACACAGACGAAGTTTGCAACTTTTTGGGAACTTTCAGGTAAATTTTAATTAATATTGATTTTTTTCATTATTTACTAATAAAAATTTTAAAAAGATAATATCTCCACTATCATATTTCAGCTTCTAAGAGCTATTTGCACATTAGATTACTTAAAAACATAAACACAAACTTAACAAATCTTTAACGTACCAAATTCGAATAAGAAGAAGAAAGAAATTATCGTTCTCAAAGAGATGAATTGCTTTCTAATAAAACTTAAGAAGATACTAAAAAAAATATTCTCATCAAATAATGAAAGCTTTGACATGTAGAATCGCGCCAATAATTTATATGATGAAAAATTGTTTTTTATTTTATGAAATTAATTTTTTATTTCTAATTTAATTTGTATTAAAATTAATGTGTGTTTTTGATCAGAATTATAACTAAAATAATAACTAAGTATTAAATCTATTTAACTTTATATCATTTTTTAACAAAATAATTATTTATTTTGATATTTAATTAATAAAAACTGAAATTGAAATAATTTATTTATTTAATAATTAATTAATTAATTTATGGCTTTTGCTTACATTATTATTTCATTAGAATTAAGCATTCACATATTATTTTGATAATTTATACAATAATCAAAAATTGCAAAAATTAATACAATTTTACTTAGTCAATCAATTAAGTTTCCACTACTAGGTTTTTAATCTTATGCACAAATTATAACCAATTATTCCTGACTGGGATTTAAATCCACATACAGTAATTGTTGGAGGCGGACCTGCTACATTATGCTTTTTAATATAATTATTAAGAAAGGGAAGGTAGAGTATTTATAAAAAGGATTTTCAGAATGAAACTAATTTAGTAAATTCAGAAAATTATATTTTATTATATTATAAAAAAGATTAAATGAAATGTTAAAAGATGAATGTTTTGTCATTTTAGATAAAGGAGAGTATTTTGGATGTGGTCATTTACATTAAAAAGGTAAAACAAAATATTAAAGTTTGAGAAGCAAATTATAAAAATAAAATTATTATCAAATAATTAGTTGTAACTTGCAATTATACTGGAATTAATTTAACTAGATTGATTCTTAGGGATCCTTTTTATCAGCAAAAAGTAAATTACTTAAATGCAATCACTATGTTACTAAGCAGATATTGAAAATAATTTAATTAGGACATATTCGACAATTTATTTCAAAGAAGGGATAAAAGTAGTTTTTAAGAAAAATAAAGCACCAAAAACAATTTTAGCAAAAATGAAATAAATTTAGAGTCTACTTAAAAACAGAATATGAATTAAAGGACAAGTTTAAATTTTAAAGTTGATGGAAATATTTTTGTTGATTTAGAAAAAGCTAAGCAATTCTATGAGGCTTCTGTTATAGGAGCGTTTAGAGAAATTATTTCTACATAAACATTTTAGGAATTAATAAAATATGGAAACCAATATCCTCCAACTTCTTTGGTTTCGTATTATCTACAATTAATTGGAAATACACTTTTAAGATACATTTATAATATTAAATAGAAAGTTGTTTTTAAGGCTTATCATTTTGTAAATCAAATTAGAATGTCTTTAAATAAGCAGTTTTATAAATTAACTCTTTAAATTAATTCTAGGTTAGATAAATATAATTTTAAAATGATGGTAAATTCAATGTACGAGTTTAAATTATGAATCCTGACGATGAATAAAAGTCTAGTGCAACAGAATTAGATGAATCAAAAGCATTCGAGCCTAAAGTTTTAGAAAATTTCTAAAATATTTGCTGCAAATCACTAATAGTTGCTAAAGGTTAAATGTAAAATAATCTATTTATATTAATAAATTAATTCCCTTAAACCACTAATAGCTTTTTTTAGAAAAGAGATTTGAAAAATTAGCAATTTTTAAATTATTTTATTATTTTTTTCATTCATTTTTAAAGTTTTTATGAAATAAATTTTAAATCTTTTTTAAAATAAAAATTTGTTAAAATAGATAAAATAATTTAGATTTTGATATTTTAAGATAAAAATATTCTAAGATTTAGTAAATTAGCAGCGAATACTTTTTGAAAGATAAAGGATGTGTAGAAGTATTTAAGCAGTTAAATAAGTTTTAATAAAATAAAAAAGTAGTAATTATTGGAGATTCCTATAATGCTTTTGCTTGTGCTTATTTGTTATTAAATGGACCTAAACTTTATTAATATGATGAGCTAGATGCAAATGCAAGTAGCTAGTTTGCCTTTAAAAGAAAATCATATAAATGCTAAGAGTGCTTTTGTGAAGAATAATAAACTCAAAGTGGAACATCATCACAGGCAAATACTTAATCTCAATTTGAGAAGTCAACAAATGTAAATTTTAAGACTTTTTTATAATAAAATATTTATTTAATTTAGAAAAAAATAAAAGAAACTAAACAAACAAAAGAAAACTCAAAAAATTCTAAGTGTAAATGTTTTGGTAATATAGAATAAAACAATTTCTTGTGGAAAAGAGTTTCATTTTTGAAGCCTGAATTTAAAAAGGGAGAGATTATTATTGCCCATAGCAGTGAAATAAAAGTTCATTTTCAAACTGAAAAAGAAGCCATTGACTGTGATTATAGTCGTTTTTAAGGTATCTCTAAAAATAAAGATGGTGAAATCCATGAGCTTACAGGACTTAAATCTCCTTTAAGAGACTTATTTTATGATGTAATTATTTTAAATTTAGCAGCACATAAATTTAGTCTTTCAAATTAAAAAAGATAATTGAAGGCTATGAATAAAGAATTGATTTGGAGCCTTTCAGAACAGATGAAGAACTTGAAAAAATTCTTGGAGACGATACAAATTTGATAATAAATGCTACTGGATTTTGTTCATCAGAACTTATTATTAAAGATCTTCGTGGAAATCAAATTAATCTTCTAAAAGAAGAAAACGATGGAGTTTTTGAAGTAATTAATTACTTAAATATTTTAAATTATAAATTTTCCAATAAAATCAGGTAGATGAATTTTGTAGGATAAAGAGCTAGTAAGGAAGTTTAAAAAGTATATATGGAATAGGTGATAACTTTGCACTACCATCAAATCATATCTCTATATAATCAGAAACACACAAATCAAAGATCATAAGGTATAAATAAATTAATTAATAAAAGTAAATAAAAATGATTATTTAAAACAAAAAAGAGTTAGAGATCTTAAGTATTATAATAGTGTTATTCCAGATTTGATGATTGAAAGTTATTTTAACAGCTTAAGAAATTATAAGGATATTGAAAAGTACATATAATATCAAGACTCGGACTACCCTATAGATGCAGAGAGCTTCAACAAGAAATCTCCTCAAAAATATTATTATAAGTATTCTTTACCTCTTGAATTTAGTTTAAACATATTTTTAAGAGTTGCTTTAAATTTTAATATATTTATTTATAGTAGTTTTTAATCTAATTCAGATGATCCTGAGTTAAATATGAATTAGCACTTGGCAAAGATTGAAAAAATGTAATTTATTAATACACAGAATTGGTTTATTCATTAATATTTATTTAAAGGAATAAGATAAATTTCTAAAGAGCAGAAAACTTTCATAAAAAATCTAAAATATGAAATAAGAAATATGATTTATTTATTTAGGAATTTAAAAGTTAAAAAATAATATTTAAAAGAAATGAGAATAAAAAGATAACTAATCTAAAAAAAAAAAATGCATAATGAATTGAAATATTTATATTAACGTGATTTAATAAAGAATTATATAATATTAAAGTACTGTTCTTGTAATAAAATACATATGATTTATTTATTTAATTATTTGATTATTAATTAATATTTTTCTTTTATTAGTAAACTAATAACAATTTTATAATTATTTTATTTATACCATAATTTATAATTAATTACTAAATAATATTTATTCTTAAATACTTTAATTATTCTACATCACTTGACCTCAACTATTCAAATCCTTTATTGTGAATTTTTTTTTAATTGAAAATTTATTAAAATATATTTTGAAAGGATTTTAATAAGAATGATTGAAAATTCGCGATAGAATATTTGAGCAATTTTAGCAGAAATATTAAATTTTCAGTAAATTATTTTTAATCGTTGTTTGTTATTGTTGCCAATAAATGAATGCTAATTACAATTATTATTTAAAATGAGTAAGTCATCAATTATATCTTATATTATGATTTATTTTGTTAAGGTAGGTCATTATTATTCATATTAGTTGATTGTTATTATTATCGTTATTAAAATGTAAAAATTCTTATGTCTGTCTTTCATATAATTTTATTTTTTAAATTGATTAAAATGTTTAAAGAGATGTTTTTGTTTTCAAAAAATAGAACAATTAGACATGCATTTGTCATCTGGGTCTTAAAGATATTTCTTTTTATATTTTCTTTCTACTTATGTTGTTTGGTCATCAACAAAACTACTTTAGGCATTAGAAACAAGGCTTTCTTTTGCTTAATTATAAAAAGAACTATTTTTTTATAAGTAAATATCCTCTGTTTTGCTTTTTATCTCACTTTTATGAAGGTTTTCTTGGGTTTCAGCACTATCAGAACTTTCTTAGGTTTTAGATTTTAATATTGGTGCAGTTTTTGTTTAGTTGTCATATTCATTTTTTTCTATTTAATTAATTTTTGAGCTGTTATTAGAATTTTAAGTGATTTTAGTTGCTTTAACTTGCTAAATATCACCAAGAGCTTATGCTTTCTTTTCATTATTTTAGTTGGAAGGTGATATTCTGGAATTGTTGGAATTTTAATTTTGTGATATCTTATTTTAACTTTATCTCGAATTTTCCTTATCACAGTCAGATTATTATCTTAAATTGTGGACGCTAGGAGCTCTTCTATCTAAAATTCCTGAAGACATAACAGATTGAAATAAAGAAGAAGTATTATCTTGAAATGATGACTGGTCATCAGTTTACTCACTTTAAGCATCGATATTAAATGAATAAATAGTGTTCTCGTTCCCGCATTTCGAAAGTGTTTTACTCTCTGTAAGAGCTCTATTATTGTTATTCTTTCCTGGAGTAAGTTCTTAAGTAGGATCGCTTTGCTATCTCATACGGAATCTGATATCAGTTTCTGATTCAATATGCTCAATTAGTTCTTGTGCATTTTAAAGATTCCTTGGAGATTTTTAATAGAAACAAATTAAAAAATAAAGATTTTAGAAACATTTTGAAAATAAATATAAAATAGACTAAATCTTTAGTTTAAAAAATAAATGCGTATTATTTGCATAATTTAATTTCCTAAAGTGTGGAATATCAATAGAAAAATTAAATTAATTTAATTGGGGTGTAACACTTTATTCATGTACAATAAATCAATCAACTCGAATAACTTAAATCTCAAAAACATAAAATTGTATGTATTTTTGTAATATCCCATATTAAAATGATGCCAAAACTATTTTCCTTAATATTTACAGCAATTAATCGTTAACTGTAAAAATACTTTTAATTCTACATCAACTAAATTCTTACTGCAGATATAACAAATATAACCTGTTTACTCTATCAATTCTTGCATTTTATGTTTGTAGCAAAAGATATTTATTAAAAAGGATATTTTTTCAATTTAAGAAATAGTTGAATTTTTCTTATTTTTGCAACCAGTTAGCTTTTTAGCTAGTAGAAAATTTTTTTTGTTCTTTATAAAATTTGAAAATGTAATTTTGAATATTTGGAGTAATATTATTTATTTATTTGTTAACTGCTTCTAAACTAAGAAAGGCGGGAATTGTATATAAAGTACGAGCTTATTTGCCACATTATTTAAATTTAAATAATTTATTCTAATTTACTTTTTATCGTTTAAGTGTTTTTCGAAGGTAGCTATTGCCTTTGTGAACTAGAATGTGAGAGTCTTCAGTTCTTTGATGACTTTAAACTTTAAAAAAACGAAATTAAAAAACGTAGATTGTGACAAGGTATCTATCTATCAATTTGTAAGATGATTTATTTATTGTTTTGCGAAAACAAATTTAAATTGAGCTTCTTAGCTCCAAAATTAAGATAGACTAAAAATTATATAAGAAATAAGTACCAATTTAGTTATGTATTAAATGAGTGGTATTGTTTTTATTTTGTTATATTGCTTTTTGATATTAGTAATTTCATCTATCAGTTTAGAGTTTCTTTCGTCAATCTATACATCACTTATTTTACAAACAATATAAGTTATTTAAGTTAATTCATTCATTAAATTTACTGATGAAAAAAATACAATTAAATTCATTTTCACTCTTCATAATATTTGTTAATAAGGAGCTTAAATAAGTTTATTTGTATTTCTTCATATTAAATATTATTTAGTTGAATTTACATTATTTATAAGCGCATGTCTTAGAGTGAGCTTCTAACTATCTCGCAAAGTCTCTCAAGAGAGTAAGTTGTTTTAGGGAGCTTTGATTTGTGCTTGATCAAATTCTCAGAAAGAAGTTTATTTACACCTTCTTTTTAAGAATAAAGTTCCAAGTAAGCATCTTTTTGGCATTATAGCTTCTACAAAAAGAAGCGGATAGAACCTCTATTTTAGATAAAGGATGAATTAAATTAAAATTAATGTTGTGAGATTGCGTAATAAACCAAACAAATCCATTCAATTATCAAATATATACTTGTTTATATAAGAAATAAAACTGCGTATTTATTAAGAAATGATGTAAGATATTTTTCAACATTATATCATTATTGGTATTTTGCTTAATTAAAAGGTATTTCTTTCACATAATTTTTGTTGGAATATGATGAATTAAAAAATATTGCTTAACAAGCATTAACATCAACAATAAAAATTTTTAAGTTTTGATATCTTGAACCATATTGCCTTCTAAAGCTTAACATTAATTGATTAATATTTCAATTAGAAATATTTGTAAGTTGTGGTGTTTGATTGTCTAAAATGATTGGTTTTAGATATTTATTAGTTTAATCTGTCATTCATTTATTTGTATCTTCAAAAAAAGAAAAAATTAGCCTAGTTTATAAAAATATCTCCCAAATAATATCATGCTAAAGTTGTTTTGTGCTTAATAGATTATTTTATACAAACTAGCTTGAATGTAGAATAAATACAGTAGCTCGAATGTAATGCGCATTAGAATGAAAATTACATTCAAATAAAATCAGCGCGTTACAATTAACAACTTTATTAGCTTTCAATTTAATTGAATGGAATCAAATGAATTGTTTTTCTTGTAATTTGAAAATAAAATTTTGGCTAAATATTTTAATATTAATTTACATGAAGTTCTTCTTTTAGTTGACTCTACCATCGAACTAGAAAGGTGATGAAGGATTTGAGGAATTCATTGATTGTTAAGGAGGGGAAATGTTTGGACTTGAAGGAGTATAAAAATCAATTCTTTGAGAGTTGCAAAAAAGATTGTTTTTGCTGATAAATACATTAAAATCTTTCCTCAAATTTTCTATCTATTTTAGAAATAAATAAAGAAATTAATTTAGTGATGAGGGAATTCATGAGTTAGGGTAAAAATGAAAGCAAATTTTTTTAAAATCAGCAATAACTGAAAGTATTTTATTAATTTGTTGCTGAAACAATAATCGTACGATTTAAATCTGTAAGCCTAGTAAGCTGTTGTTTTAATTAACAGTTTATCATTAAAATGTGTATGATACGAAAGAGATCATAGTTCTATTAAAATAATGTGATCATGAACGAATGAATGAATTTAAGTATTAATGATATCAAAATTAATGCACAAACCAATATATTTATTTATTAGTTTTGTATCTATTACTTTTTTTAAATAATTTTGCTGGCCTTTTTTAAATTTTAAAGGTTTTCGATATTAATTAAGCTTTGCATCATATGGATCCAAAAATATAAAGAATACTTTCAATTATATGTGCTACTAAAAATTAATGTATCAATCAGTCTACTTGAGCACTGTGAATAAATTGATTAAACTTTTATTGTTAGCTTATCAAGGCGGTAGGTAGGTAATACTTTTCATAATTATATTTGCAGTAGTGTTAACTAACACAATTAAATTTTAATGCGGTTTATTCGATTTGAATAAATTAGAAAAATTTTAAATTTATATGTATATATACATGATTTAGCTGGTATTATAAATACTAACAAAGGATCTATTTATTTTCTTGTGTTTCTATGAATTTACTATATGCGACCCCTTCATGAAGATCATTTTTCAGTGCCTTTAAGTTTATTATTAAATATATAATTAATTTAATCAACTTTTCACAACCAGAGCTATGCTTGGCTGTCTTCAGAAATATTTAAATACTTTGATTTCAACACTAGTCAATTAAAATTGTAAGTGATCATCATCACTCAAGTAGGAATCAGATTCAATATAGTCTCTAAGAGAAGTAGAGAGTTTAATTAATTTTTCAGGCAAGTTGCTCCATACGGATTATAATTTAGAGGAGTTCATTTTATATGTTTAAGTTTAAAAAGTAGTAGTTTAGATTAGCGGAATGATTACTTTTAAAATGTCTTTAGATATTTATGAGCTATTGAAAGATTAACTATTTGCTCTTGTATTACTTAAATTTTTTGTTCCACTTTTTATTTGTTTGTTAGTAGAATGAATGAATAGCTTTGAATTAGTCAAAAAGCTTATTAATTAAATAAATAGAAAAAAATCTTATTTTTGATTCTTTTTTTTGTAAAAAAATTATTGATTTATAACAAATGCAAATAGAAATTTATACTCTAAAGTTGATTGATTCTAAAGGAAACTTATTAAAAGTCAAGCAAGATACAAGCAAAAATTTATTAATTACAACAAACAACATTAAGATCAACTAAGAAATTCCTTAATTTAATTGAAAGCTGGTAGCAATTAATTAATCATATTTAGCTTTTACTACTTTTAAAGGCAGGAATCGATATTTGCTAAATATTTTGAATTCATTTATTTTTTTTAAAGACTTTTTAGCTTAACAACAAAAGAACAACAACCGAAAACTTGTTGAATTTTTATAACAAATAAGCGATATTAAAATTTCATTTTTCATACCATTAAACGATCATTTTAATTAAGTTGTTTTCTCAATAAATTTTATTGAGAAAAGTTTTTTGAGGTATTTAAGACATTAATTTTCCATAAGAAGATATTAATTTCATTTGACATACAACTTTAGTATTTTAATTAAGCGAACAAAATAAGCAAATCAATAAACATATAAAGCAACAACTCTTTAATTCTGTCAAACTCCTTTTAATATTTTCCTCCTTTTGATAATTTATTTTAATCAATTAGATGACAATCCCCCACCTTCATTCTGATATTCTTTCATTATAGATCAAATGTTGGTTGTCGATTTTTTTAGATTTAGGAAAGATAAACAAATAAATAATTAAATAGAAAGATAGATACATATTGAGATATATATACTTTCATATTACTTCAGATTCCTAATAAAATTTACTTATAGCTTAAATTTAATATTAAAATCCATACATATTACTCCCTTACATCACAACAACCCACAACCGAATGTTTCAAACAAATAATTTTTCATATTAAATCTACATATTCTTTTTTTTTTCTTTTATGAGATCCCCCAATTAGTATTTTTGATGGGCAATTAATTTACATCTTATCTTGAAAATACATTAGAATATTTGTAAGGAAAAAGTAGTGTGTGCATTATTAAATCAATTTCTTTGTTGACATTTTTTCAATTCTTCTTTACTTACATTTAATATAACCTACCCTAGCTATTCACATGGCTTTGAAAAATATTTTAGTAAAGAAAATTTAATATCATTATAAATTAATATAAAAAAAGCTATTCTTCTTTATTGAATTTGTTTAAGAAATTTCTATGATTGATATGTATATTTACACTGTAAAATACCTATTGATTAAGTGTGCATTTTTAGTTTACATAGTCAATCATCAGATTAAATAAATTTAATTTCCACTGCAGTTAATTATTTTTTATTGGATTTGCCATTAAAAGATATATCTAAAATGTAGTTAGGTTCATGCAAATTAATATAAGTAAAAAAGTTAAGTAAATCTATTAAAAACTATCGTTTTATAAGAAAAAATGTAGAAAATTTAATTTAAACCGCTCACTTTAAAGTAAATGCTACGATTAATATTCAATTTTAATTATTATTTACAAATAATTACACCGTGTATTGATCAGATTTAGTGTACCTTGGCAAATATTTAGATAATACAGAGAGCATTTATTTCCTATTTAATAAGTTTTGATAGCTATTAAAGAAACAATCAAACCAAATTAATTTAGATTTAAAAAATAATAGCGTTAAAATTAATGTTATTATTAAAATCTATCTTATAGAGATATTATATTTCTTATAATATCATTTATTTCTAGCATCTTTGATAGTTAATTATATAACAAATATACAATCACCTTCTAATGAAATATAGTTTCAATGATTTGTCAATTCTAACTGCTTAACTATTAATTTTAATAGAAAAATTGCATTAATTTTTTTAACATTCATTTACTATTTAATGATAAATTAATCCTTTTTTGGAAAAATTTTACTAGATTTCATAGATAAAAATTACAAGTTTTCTAGTAGTTTCTTCAATTTTTCTAAATTATACTCAAATATCACTTGAATTTTGAAAAGTTTTATCAATTTTTATATTACTTGCTCTCAAAAATTAACCTTAGTTAAAATTCAAAAACTAGATAGTTATATTTCAAAAATTATTTTAGGTAGCAAATTAAATTTTATAGAGAGTTTTTCATTTCTGATAATAAATTAATTCGAATACTACTCATTTAGAGTTTATACAAATTATAAATATTATATTTAAAAAAATTCTACATAAGAATTTTCATTCATTCATATCTAAGCAATTGAATGTCTATAATTATTTTATTTATTAATTTAATTGAAGAAAAAAACTGAAATTCCCAAAAACAAAGTTTAATTTATCTATCTATGCTTACTTTCTAAAAACTTGTTTTAAAAATATTTTTATTTTAATTTAAAAAACTTTGTATTATAAATAGGAGAATATTATTTGTTCCATGTATAATATTAGCATTTATCTTGTTAAAAGAATATAAGATAAATTTTACATAATTTGAATTATTTTTAGCATTTTAATAAAGCTTTTAACTTGTTATTTTGCTATTTTGAAAATAAATTGATAATTTATAATTAAAAAAAATTGATTAATTTAAGTTTTCAGTTTATTTGTATGAGTAAATTTCATTTGATTATATTTTTTATTTAAATGGTATTTTAAAATTAAATTAATGTCAATATTTTATTTATTAGCTGATTAAATTTGTTAAAAATATCTTACATTTTATTAATAATATCGTACAAATGATCCAAAATGTATACTTGCAATGGTTATGCTGGCATAATTGTATAGTAGTACAGTTAGCTTCAAAGCAATAAAATTATTAATTTAAATTTTGATTTTATTTTTATAAATAATTTCAACATTATAAGATGATTAATTTTAATTAAAAAATATCCTACTTAAAAAAAAGTTTTTTAGCTCAAGTTATCATGAATGTATTTTTTTGAATAAATTATGATTGATTGATTTTTTCGAACTATTTACTTGATATTAATTAGATTATTTTAAATTATGATTTGCTTTGATTCCATTTTATTATTGTAAAATACAATTGGTAATAGTCTTTATAAGATGATTACTTTTTAATAAAAATATCCTACTTAATTATTCTTTTTAGCATAAATTATTGAGAAGGTATTTTTTTGATTAAATTATAATTTCATAGAATGATTAATTAATTCAAAGTAATAAGATTTTTAAATAAAATTTGAATTTGCTGTATTTATTTAATTGAAATTATAAAGTTGGTAACAAATTTATATTTTTTACATTATTACTTTTTTACTAAAATATCCTATTTTTATGTAGATATATATTAAGCTTTTTACGATAGACTATTAAAAGTGTATTTCTTTGATTAATTATGAGTGCATAGAACTATTCATTTAATTCTAATAAGATTATTAAATTTACATAATTTATGAGTTGGAGAATCAAATGCATAATTATATACAGATCTTTGATATTTAGTTTTTATCCACAAAATTAATTAAATAATTTTTAGATATATATTTCTTTTCTTTTTTTGCATTATTTAATAGATTGTAGACAAATAATTAATTCAATAAAGAATATTGCAAGCAATATACTAATAGTAGAGACAATATTTATAATAGTAAATAAATTAGTAATAAGAATACTTTATGAACGATCTTTAACATCCTTTGTCTTCTAATAAAAGCTTAGATTAATAAAATGCTAAATCAACTGTGAAAGACCATGCAAAAGTATCTATGAATGCATCATATATTAATTAAATATAGCAAAATCAAGTACAAGTTAGTGATATGGAAAAACCATAAGGAATTTTTTAATATTGCTTTGGGTTCAGCTTGTTATTTCAGATAGTTGGAACAATTATTGTTTTAATTAACCTTATCTTGCAAATCTTTGAATACGATTATGACTCATTAACTCTTGGGCTTTAAATAGGATTTTTTGTCTTCTCCATACTTTCTGTTATTACATATATCTATTTATGCAGTGAAGCATCTTAATGGGAGCCTTTAAATGTTTTTAACTCAATAAGATTATCTTTTATATTTACTTTGATTAGCTTTGGCATAGGAGTAGCTATTTTCAATATATTTACAACAAAAAGTTGGGATTGCTCTACCAATTAAAATTGTTAATAGTAAATAAATCAATAATCATCAAGTAACCAAACAATCTAATCTAATTGCTAATAAAAATTATCTAATTCAACATGTTACGAATAAAGAATTGCTTTATTAATGAAATATATTATCTTAATTTGTTGTGGAGTTCCACTTATTTTAATGGCAATTAGCATATACAAATACAACCAATATAAAAAAAAATCAAAAGAAGAAAACGAAAGTATAATTAATTAATTAATAATTTGTTTATTTAATTATTTATTAACATAATTTTCAAAATAATGTTTTTATTTAAAATAGAATAACATGAACTCTAAAATAGTAGTGTGTAATAAGTTATTGAAAACAACTAAAACTTTTTCTCAAATCGCTAAAAATTAATTTACAGTACAGATCTAGAAACTAGCAAATACGCCTACTCCAGTAATGCTATGGCTAACCCCTAGCAAATGAGTAATTTAAGTGGAGGTTCAAACTAAAAAAATAGAGTATAAATGAGTAGATAAGTTTATGAATTAAATAATGAACAGCTATGAAAAAACAAATTAAGCAGTCTTAATTATTATTAATTGAATAATAAATACTATTTCTATTGGATAAACTTAATAAAACCCTATTAAAATTAAATATTTATTTATTTATTTATTTAATAAAAATTAAAATCTTTTGAATATCTATCTAACATTTGTTTGAATCAAACCTTTGAAAAACTTTTATTTGATTCTATTACAATTTTATAAAAGTCAATATTTAATTAAAAATCCCTTTTTAATTTTGTTATTATTTAAGTAATTCTTTTGCTTTATTGTACCAATAATTAATTAATTTAGTAAATTTGTTTTGAATATCATTTTATTTTATGGTTATTTTTTTTCTCAATTTACTGCTTTGTCTCAATATTATTTAAGGAAAATACCTAAAATTAAAGCTATGGGTAAGTGTTTAGCATAATAAAAAGTTATTTTTAAGTAAAAATCTGATTTATTTTTAATATATTCTTTATGTTCTCATAAAATATCACTATTTTTATTTTGCAATTAAAATTTATCACTTTAAGAAGAAAATCTTTGTTTAAAATATATTTATATAAAATTTCTTTTAATGTTTTAAACGCATTATTTACTCTATATTTTCTACATTAAGAACCCACTTGATTTTAGGGGATACTAATTATAGATAATACTAAAATGTTAAAAAATTTTTGTTTTAAAAAAATAAATTTCTTTATTAAAATAAGATAATTTAGGGATAAATATATTATTAAATAAATAAGTTTTGTAAAATATATTTTGATGTTTAGCAAAATAAAATTATTTAATAATAATTTTTAATTTTAAAAGAAAGAAATAAATGTTTAAAATTATTGGCTTAAAAAACTTATTTAAGATAAAGATATTTATCAATTCTAAATTTGAATTAAAAATTAAAAACTATGTAAGGATTATATCCATAAACTTTTTAACAAAAATATAGATTATGTATATTTTATTATGAAAATTGTTTTATGGTACATAAGTGTCATATAAAATTAAAAGAATTTTCATGCTTACAAATTTTAAAATTAAAAAGTCAATAAATTTGTTTCTTAAAATCATAAACATTTATTACAGAAAATAATCTTAAAAAAAAAGTATTTTTTTTTTTCACTTTAGATTAAATTTATTTGAATGAGTACACTAAAAAAACCATTAAAAGACGAAACAAATTTGGCATAAAACGCATTTAAAAATTAGAAAGAAAGCTAAATGGACTCTAAGCTTGCAAATCCTTTTTAAGTAATCTATAAAATTGAGAATATAAATGCAAATATTAAAATGGATGAAAATGGAAGTGAAAAAACAATTTTAAAGATTATGCTAATGATTAGCTTTTTATTTTAAATATCTAGTTTTGTGCTAATCATTTTGAATGTATAACTAAGATTACTTGGATTAGAAAGTGAATCAAAGATTATTGGAATAGAATTTACTTACTCTCTCTTATCGCTGCTCTCATTTATTACATATATTTATTCATTAAATGAAATTGATCATTAAGGACTTTAAAGTCTTTCTAAATTATTTAAGATATCTCTTCTTTTCGCACTACTTACTTTAGTTCTAGGTATATGCGTTTTCGGTATAGTAGTAAATGAAGATTTGAGCTGCTACGCTGTATAAAAAGGAATTATTTGCAATAAAATTAACTTATAAAATACTACCAACTCAAGTGATTAAGAATGTTTAGTTAAGCTACCTTCTAACATATGTGATTCTAATAGTGTTACAGGTGCTGTAAAATACACAATACTAATACTTAGTGGTGTTCCACTCATATTAATTTTTATAGTGAATTTTAAATTTTATAGATATTGCTAAAGATTAAATACCTCAAATTAAAGTAATAAATATTCTTTAACATTCAATTTATAAATATTTTATCTTTTTTTTTAATAGATTAGTAGAATTTAGATAATAGCAGTTCTTAAAAATTAATTAGCAATCCTGATATTGAAGATAAATCTTAATAATATATAACTAGGGGTAAGGTTAATCCTTTTAAGATAGACTCAACAACTAAAAAGAGCTTTTTGTTTGCTTAACAAAATATTTCAGCATAGTATTCAGCAAATAATATTAGCAACGACTAGTTATGAACAATATTTAACTTATATAAACAAACTAAATTTTCCTTCAAATCATATAAATAAAATAATAAATTTTCTAGGTAAAATTATTGAGATTCTCTAAATTTATTTATCACTTTTCAAAATGAATTATTTTTTAGATGAATTTTCTTTAATTTTACTTTTAATTAACAAATTTTAAAAAATGTAAATTAAAAATAATTATTTATGTAATTAATTAGTATTACTATTTAAAATGTTTGTTTCTAATAAAGTATATATTAAAAATATAGTTTGCATTTTTATATCAATCAAAAAAACTAAATTTTAATTTATTTAAATTTTTATTAAACTTGCCCAAAAAAGTTATGTTGGATTAATAAAATAAAAATAAAATTGATTAAATTCTTATTGAAAGATTGTATTTTTTATAAATATTAATACATTATTGTAATATTAATAATCTAAGATTTTTATAATATTAAAATTAATAAGAAAATATTGTTAGTACATTCTATTAAAGAAGTAGTTAGGAGGTTGGTAACGAACATAAACATATGCACTTTATATTATAAATTTAAAATTTAAATAACCACCTCTTCCTTTTATTTTTTTTGATATTTAAATAAAAATAATATTATCAAAATCATAAAATATTAAGTTATATAATTTTTACTGTTTTGTTTTCAACTGAAATAAATATCCACTCTTTGTCAATTTTATTAAGAAAATTAAAATAGTTTAAAAAATAAATATTTTAAATAAAATAATTAATTAGTTTCCTTATTTTTTATGAAACAAAAACTGATGCAATTTTTAGAAGTTTAATTTTATGCAATTCTTAAAAATATTAAACAAAAATCAATTATAATTGATTATCTTTATTCACGTTAACAATAAAACCATTGCAATTAATATTTTTAATCAACTGATTTTATTTTTGATTAAATAACTTAAAGTTAGCAAAAATTTTATTTAAAAATAATTAGTATTATTAAGTTTTTTGCTAACGAATAGGTACGAAATTTAGTAATAATAACTAAACTGGGAATAAAAAAGAACTAAATGTTTAATATTAATTAATCAAAGTTAAATGTGTAGAGCGTCCTAATAGACAAAGTGTTATAAAATATAAGGTAACAATTTTTCAAATTATCAATTTTTAAGAGACGCTATAATTATTCAATAAGGGTTAACTAATAAAAAAGAGGAAAATAATCCAGGATTTTGCCTATTGAAACTTGAAAAATAAAGAAAGGAAATTCACACATATTAATAATTGAAACCAAATTAAAAAACCCTTAAAAATGAAGGGTCTTCACAGAGATACAATGCTTTTAAGTGAATTTAAAATAAAATGAAAATTGCGGGAAATTTTAAAACTTTATTAATTATTTCCAGAAAAAGAAAGGAAAGGTTTTTACTCTGCAAAAATAAGAAGAATTATTATATAATATGAAAGAATTACAAGTTTTGAAATTTTCTAATTTTAATTTTTTATTGTGTTTGTCTGTAATTTTTACAACTTATAATTTGAAGAGTAGAAAATATTAAAAAGTCGTCTCTAACAAAATATTAATATAGTATTTATGTATGCATGTATGTCTATATTTTTGTAAATACATATAATTATTTCTATCAGCATTAGCGCTTCTAATATCATATTAAAATTCAAAAATTAATAAAAATATTTTTTGTTTACCTAAAATTTGACAATTTTTGGTTAATTTCAATCAGAAAATTCATTCATTTTGCTATTAAAATAAATTATTAGCTTGATTTCTATACAAATTTTCCATTCACAAATCATGTTATTTACTTTAAATAATAGCAGCTTTTCTTTGATTAATAATTTTAAAAAAAACAATAAATAAACAAAACTTAACAAAATTTAAAACATGAACAACAAACCAAAACCAAGTGGTGAAATGCCACCATAATCGCGAAATCAGAGGTTCAACTCTCAAAATTACTCTCAATAGAGTGCAAATAATTCAAACTTTAAAAATAGCAACTATAATAACAACAAGAAAAGATACAACAACCATAACAATAACAATGGTAAAGTAAACAATTCTAAAACTTTTGAATATGTCAGAAAAGTTGATACTGCAGAAGGCCAAGAAGAATTGCGTCGTAAACAGCAGTAATTATAGGAAGAAGAAAGATTAAGATAAGAAAATATTAAGAAGCAGCAACTTGAGGAGGAAGAAAGACTAAGAGAACTTGAATTGTAGCGCTTGAGAGAATAAGAAAGACTTGAGCAATTAGAACTGTTAAAATGTTACATTGAAGAAAATATAATCATGCCAATTTTTGCAGATGCTGAAAAACACGCTTAACAAAGATCTTACCTTAAGTCGTTCGAAGGTCTAAATTATCTCTTATCAACTAACTTTATTGATTTTGAAGATGAAATCACTCAAAATATCCCCATAGAAATTCAAGAATTTAATGCAAGACAATATGAGTCTTTCACAAAATAAAGTAATTTAAGAAGAAGACACCAAACCAGTTATTCAAATTAATCCTATTAAGACGAAGAATCAAATTCTTCTTAGCAACAAAGACATGGAGGAAACAGAAACCAAAGAGTCACAGTAAGATAAACTATCAATAATTTCTAAAACAATAAGAACTAGAATTATTAGATCGACTTGTAAACAGAAGCTAACAGTAATAGAAGACATTAAAATAATAGAAATAGAAATTTAACTTTACCAATCTAACCAGATTCTATTTTAGAAGAAAACTAAGATTCGAAATGGAGATAAATTAGAACACCTTTGTTTTCTCAATCTCAAGATGAATTGAAATTCCTACTAAATATTGTCACTCCTGATAATTTCAATAATTTGAAAGATTAATTCTTCTAATTATGTTAAAGAAACATAAACAAATGTATCTTTTCTTTAATCAGTAAAGTCTGTAAAGAAGCCAAATACACAAAATTATATGCTCAAATGGCTATTTACATCTAAGAACGTGAAGAAGAAATAGAAAAGGCAAATAACAATTCATCAAATATAGACTTATAAAAGACTTTCAAAGGATAAATGTTTGCTGTTTTGCAAGACTTATTTTATGACCAAAATAAGCTTCATAGTATTTTGAGTAATAGCAGGTAGACAGCGAATGATCTTAACGATGAAGAAGAATCAACCGAAAGCAATAAAAAGATTAATTCAAAACAAGAAGCTATGGAAAAAAAGAGCTTTAATCTATTTTTGAAGTTCCTCGGAGAACTCTTTTTGTCTAAATTTTTACCTAAGAAAATAATATCATATATTATTTAGACAATGATTCATCAATACATTTGCGGAGGACTTATGGAAGAAGACAGAAATTTAGAAGGTATTATTCTGCTTATTGACTCAATAGGTCCTGAGTTTGAAAATTGCTGGAATCATTTATCCTCAAAGCAAATTAAAATAGATTCCTAATTTTTGAGTTAGATCACCAACTAATTCTGTGAAAGAACCTAAGACTAATTAGACCTAGATTTATTTGAAAACTAATTCATTTCTTTCGATGGTGTTATGAATATACTCAGATTCTTAAAGACCACTGATCGTATTTCTAAGAGAATTTAAATTCTTATTGTCAACTTAAACAAGCGTTGGGAAAATAAGTGGAAAAAAGCTCTTCATTAAAAAGAAGACCCTCGTACTAAAGAAGAAATCCGTAACCAACATTTTAACGAATTAAATAGAAGACAATAAGAAATATATGAAAACTTAGACTACACAAAGGAAGTTAAAAGAGTATTTTTACAACTTGACAATAACTTATTGAGCTAAGATGAATGTCTAACCTAAATTACATAATTAGGAATTAGCAATGTTCTCTAAAGCCTTTTCTCAACATTTTTCGATGCTCGTATTGAAAATCTTTCTTCAAGATATCAATTAATGAGCAGCATTCTTTTTGAAACTGATAAATATTAGTATACAACTTTTTTAAGCGCCCTAAACAACGCTTTGAACACCATTTACTCTTAAGCTTGTGATTTCCCACATTTAAATGATAGTTTTGTAAATATCTTATGCCCAATGATCCTGAATGGTTACTTAGAACTAGGCTAAATAAAGCCCACTTTATGCGGAGATCCAGACGAAGACGAAGATAAAAACTACTTTTTCCAACAATTTAAAAATGATTGTGTATCCTACTTAAAGTCAATTAATTACTTCATGATAGAAGATTGATTTTCGATGTCAAATTTCTTTAATAAAAGCAAAACATTTATAAAGAAAGAGAGGAAGAAGCATCAAAGTTAAGTTGATCTATCAACCATTTTTAGGGTGTCTGACTATCAAATAATAATCACTATATTTTCTAAAATAAATCAAAACCTAAATTATCATCATACACAATCACACTTTCCTTTTATTCTTAAGTACTTTCACCCTTCTTTCTCTATCTATCTATCCATCAAATAAATAAATAAATTAAATGAATGAGCTTTTCCTAATTTTTCATTCCAACCAAAATCTCAAAAATAAATAAATAAATTATAATTCCAATCTATTTATATAATAATGTATTGTTACTTACTTTTAAATTCATGTATTCTACTTTAATTTTGTATTCTATAATTTTTTTTTTTAATTTTTATCATTTCCATAAAATAAAGCTTCTTCAAAAAGATTAATTTATATAGAATTAAAGCTTAAAATAGTGAATTCTTTGATATATTTTATATTTTATCAGTTCAATTTTGAAAACTCTTTATTATTACTATTAAATAAATATTAAAAAAAACTCTTTGAAAAAGAATAATTTATCTAAACATATATATTAAAATGGATAGCAATTCCTTTACTATAATTTATTACTTTATTTGTTCATTTCTAAGCACATTATTTAAATATAATGTCTTGAAAAATAAATTATTTATCTAAACTAAGACTAAAATAATGTGACTCCTCTAAAAAATCGATAATTTAACTTTTTGTTAATTTATTATAATAAATTATAAAAGTAAGCACTGTTCTATAAATAAAGTATCCTATTATCTAATAAATACTTCAGCCAACATAAATATTTAAAGGAAATTATAAATATGGCAAATTAATGTATAAAGATTAAAATGTACAAGTAAATATTAATTGTTTTTTATTTATAGATTAAAATTATTTTTCATTTACAATTATTAAATTTGAATTCAAAAATTTACAAAAAAATTTTTTATATTAATTAATTAATTAATTAATTAATAATTTTATCAGATTTGTGTTATATAATATTATACATCAGAATCAGTATCTTGTGCAAGAGATCTTTTTGCATTAGAACTAAAACTTACTCTTACAGAGGGATCTAATTTATCTTAAATAGAAATATAAAGTTTAAGCAGATTAATTTTAACGTTAGGAACAGGATCGCTCATTAGTTTACTAGACATATCTTCAAACAAACTTTAAAGATCAGACTTAGGGAGTATTTCACTTATTATTTAGATACCCTAAAGAGAAGAAACCCTAAATATGTAATTACTTGATTTTGCTAAATTATTTATACCCTCTACTATGATGGGTTTTATGTTTTAATATCCATGCTATTTTGATAGAGTAATAAAATTTTTAAAGTTTTACTAACGGATTTCTGAATAATGATCAAAGAAGAACTACTTCATATACTCAATTAAATTATCTTTAAACTCTGCAAATCCTAGTTATTGTGTGAGCTTTGGTAGGAATTCAACAAAGGCCAGACGGAATCTCCACTGCTTTTCTGTTGATATTTACTCAAATAGAGGCAAAACACTCTTTTTGACATTATCATTACCAATATGATTATTTAAAGGTTCAATATTATTCATGACATTTAGTCTAACATCAAGCATATCGTCTTTTAAAAGATTCTCTATGATAGGGAGGATACCACTTATTACATTTTTTACTTCAAAATTAACAGAAATAGAACAGAGAACTTCACCAAGAGAGGTTCTTACATGCTAACTTGTATCTTATACTAACCCATTTAAAATAGGCAATATATTATTAACCAATACACCTTCAGTTAAGCACTTACAAATATCTTTTAATTTAATTAAAGCTACTGACCTAACTTCATGCTCGCTATCCTTTAATAATGTTTCATAAATAGTTACCATTTCCTTTCTACTAACTTCCTTTTCTTTATTTATAAATAATTTATTAATATTATCTATTTTTTATATTATTCATATCATTTCAGAAATGTGTTTTAACAACAATAAAATTAATTTTTTTTAATATACCTAAGTGATTAACAAGATCACCCAAAACTTCAGCAACTGCATATCTTATTCTCCAGCTCTTATTTTTAAGGTTTAATACATCTTTAAGAGGCTTAACAAATTAGTCTGAGACTTCTTATTTATTAAGTTTATCCATAAGTTTAATTGATACTTCAATAGCCTTTACTTTTACTGAGTCAGTTTAGTCTTAAACTAAATCTTGCCATAAAGGCACTAAAACTGAGTAAATAAAATCACCCTTCTAGCAGTCAGCAATATATCCTAGATTCTCTGCAGCTGTTCTTCTTACCATAGGAGTATCGTCTCTACATAACTCCTAAAAAAATTAGAGTATTTCTTTTTTCTCAGTCTAATTAAATTAACTATAGCAAGCCCCAAGAAGACTGCAAGCAGATATTCTTGAAGAATAGTTATCCCATTGAGCAAGCTATCTGACCATTGGAAGGAAATTATTAGTGAAGAATTCTATGTATTTTTTAAGAAAAAAACAATTACTTATATTTTAATGTTAAGATAAAAAAATTACTTGGCGACTAATCTTGAGCAATTTAAATTAAGCATTTTACTGCCTTTTCTCTGACAGAATTTTCTTCCATAGATGAGAGTAATTCTAAAGGAGAAATTAATAAATGAGAATGCTCTTTTCCATCAATAAAGTCGTTTAACAAAAGTATTTGTTCTGCAAGCTTAATTAAAAATTCATCTTCGTTATCTAATTCCTCTATTATTTCAATAATGTAAGGTATCAATTCTTCTCTCACTCTACGAGGACCTATTTACATACATAAAATAGTTATTTTTTTATCTTTAATGTCACAATATGTTTAAGATATTCTTTTATTTGATGAGCAAATGCTTAAATCTAAATTTGATAAGTCTACCTAATATTTCAGCGATAGAAGTTATTTTGCTAACTGCATTGATCTTAAGATTGGGATCATCAGATTTAAGTTCTTCTATATATATTGTGCAATCTTCATCGTTATCCTCTAAATTCATTTATACTTAATCTAATTTATTATATCGTTTTTAAGTTTCTTCTTTATCGACTTTTCAAACCTATTTATTTCCTTATTAAATGTTGGCTGGTACTCCAAAAAATTAATAGATAGTTGTTATATTTTCTTTCTAAAAATCAAAATTTATTTAATTTTTTAAAAAAGGATCTTCTAAATTCTTAAAAAGCTTGAGTGATAAAAAATATTTGTTTTATTTGTTTATTTATTTTTCATAATAAAATTTATATTATATTTCAATTAAGCTGAATACTATTCTAAATTTTTTAAATATTTCCTTACTTGTTTAAAAACTGAATATTTTTAATTTCATTTAAATTTCTTTTCTAATTAATATTTTTTTAGTAGATAATTTTATAAAAATATAATAATTTTTTTAATAATTAAATTTTAATTAGAAATTATTTAATTTAAAAAAAATACATTAATTTTATATGCTTTTTCTTAACACTAGTTTTATATGAATGGATATATTTTATCTATTAAAGCAGTGATCTCTAAAAAAATATTCTAAAATATATATTTTATTCAAAAAATTAATGAAAATTTTAGAATATTCTCATATTACTCATTCATATTAGAAATATTTTTCTATCAATTTTAAAGTAGTTTACCTCAATCCTCCTCAAATATTAACTACAAAATAAATTAATATCAAAAATATTTTTTTGAAAATTTTACTCTTTTTTCTCTTATAAAGTTTAGGAGGGGATATTGGTTTTAATTTATGAAGACTTACAGTATATATTACCATTAATAGAAGATATTTTAATCCATTAAGCATAAATTATTGATTATTAATATATTAATTGTGATATAATATTTTTATAATTTCATTTAATGTACTAATATTATTAAGAAGAATAAATAAAATATGATTAATGAGAAAAATAAATCTAAAATTTCATTTGATTCTCATAAAATTAAAATATTAATTACAGATTCTATTTTTAATTTTAGTATTAAATATATTTGTTTGTTAAAATTGTATTTAGGAATGCCATTATTATATTTTTAAATCTATTTTTTAGGGTGCATATTTTTTCTGTTTAAGTTTTATAATTTATAAATTTTATAGTATTATTTAAAATAAATATTTAAGAATATCTATTCTAACCAATTTTATAGAAATTTAAAGATATGTAAAAAATATATTTTTATATGGAAAAGCTCTTTAGTACCAAATATAAAAGAAATATATATTTATTTTAATTACAAGATTTATATTAAAATAAAATGTTTTGATTAAAAAAGGCAAAAGTTACTTTTCTTACACTTTTATAAAGCTCATAAGCTAAAAAACTATTCCAAAATAGAAGAAACTGAAGAAGAATAAATAAGCTTACAAAAATTAAATAGGTTTTTGATGAGAATAAATAATTTTAAATAAACACATATCTGAATATACAATTTTGATTAACACTCAATCTGATTATTTTTGAGAGTCCTACAGAGATTTCTTATATGTTCTTCATATATCATAGGCATTTAAAAGAGCATATCAACTAGTACAATATAAAAGTTAATAATAATTGCAAAATTATAAAAAAACATAAAGAATAATCAAACAAGCAAAAAATAAACTGATTAAAATACAATAATTAGGTTGATAGTAAAATGGAAAAAGATAGCAAATAAGGTGCTCTTGTCAAAAAGTAGTGGTTCATCAAATCAAACGCTGGTAGGATAGATGATTTCTATGAGTGGTCTAAGAAGAGAGTAAAATAATTATAATTCAAAATTTTTGCATTTTAAAATGCCGTTTTAATTCAGACTTTAGGAAGTGGACAATTTGGAAGTGTCGTTTCATGCAAGCTAAAAGGAACTAATGACACAAGAGCTATTAAAGTAATCCCTAAAAGTAGAGTTAGAGATCCTCAATAATTTTTGAATGAAATCAACATTATGAAAGAATTAGTAAAATAAATTAACTTTACTCATCTTTAAATATTTAAGTAAAAAATATTCTTTTATTTTAAATAAAGGACCATCCAAATGTCATCCGTCTTTATGAGACCTTTGAGGATTAGAGAAATGTTTATCTTTCTATGGAGTATATTTATTATTTTATTTAAATCACTCATTAAGTTGTTTTTGTATATTTTACTTTTCAGACTATGCTCAGGAGGAGAGTTATTTGATGTTATTACTGCTAAGAAAAAATTTAGCGAAGAAGAAGCAAGATTAGTTTTTAATTAAATTGTTTCAGCTGTCAGCTATTGCCATGCAAACAATATATGTCACAGAGATCTTAAGCCAGAAAACTTTTTGCTTTTGTAAAAAGAATCTTTGGATAATATTAAAGTGGCTGATTTCGGTTTAAGCTGCATATTTGTTGATAAATAGTAAAAAAAGTAAGATATTTTAGGTAAAACTGGAAGTTCTTATTATATGGCACCTGAAGTACTCTAAGGAATATATAATGAGCTTTGTGATGTGTGGTCTTTAGGTATTTATATTTATTTTATTATTTAAAATCTTCATAGAATATTTAGAAGCTTAATAAATTTATAGTAAGTAAATAAATAATAAAGCCAGTAAAAGATATTATCATATAAAACTAACTAAAATAATTAAAGAAAACACTCTATATTTTTACTTATTAATTATTTATATAAAAGGTGTTATTTTGTACATTCTTCTTTCAGGTATTCCTCCTTTCTTTGGAAGCAATGACTCTAAAATATTTGAGAAAATAGAAAAAGGAACTTACTCATTTGACTGTAAAATATTTCTCTATTAATTTTGCATTTAATTTTTAAAATTAACAAAAGTCCCATAATTTTAAAACGTCAGCGAAAACGCTAAAGATTTAATCCGTAAGTGCTTGGTTCCTTAAGATTAAAGGTTAAAAGCTAATGAAATTTTGAAACACCCTTGGTGTGCTACTGAATAAAAATAATCTGCTAATTTAAACATCGATGTAGGTAATCTGAAATCCTTTACCTCCAATTCTAAATTAAAGAAAGTCGCTCTTACATTTATTGCAAGTCAACTTTCTGAAACTGAAATTATTGATTTAGGAAAGCAATTTAAATAACTCGATAAAAATGGTGATGGTGTACTTTCTATTGAGGAGATAACAGAAGGTATTCATTCAGCAATCTTCGTTTTTTAGTTTCTTAAATAAATTTGAATAACAAAAAGGTATGAAGAATTTTGATGGCAAATAAAGTCAATTATTAGAAATTATAAAAGAGATAGACACAGATAAAAATGGTTAAATTGAGTATAGTGGTAAAAAAGCAATTTATGATTTCAATTTTATTTTATTAATTATTTTATTTTTTAAGAATTTATAGCAGCTTCGATGGATAAACAGTTGTATATGAAGCAAGAAAAATTATATTAGGCATTTAAAGCTCTTGATATTGATGGAAGTGGCTCAATCAGCAAAGATGAACTAAAATAAGTTTTAGATTCTGATGATCATTTTTTGGATCACTCAGTTGACTACTGGAAGAGTGTCATACAAGAAGCTGATAAGGACGGAAATGGAGAGGTATATTTTTGTTTAAATCAATCAAATCAAATCAATAAATTTATTTTAATAAAGATCGATTATGAAGAATTTGTTGAAATGATGGTTCCCTCTTAATCTGCTTGATTTGAATTATCTTAATATCAAACAAATAAATTATTTGAATAACTACAATAAAGGATACATTTAAATGACTTACTTACTTACTGACTACATAACTAACTAAATAAATACTTTAAAATAGTTAAACTTATCTAAATTAAATATATAATTAATATATCTAGAAGTAATAAATAAATAAATATTTTTATTTTTTTTAAATTTTCTTTCTAAATAATTAAATACTAAATTCATCTAAATTAAATGCATAAATAAAATGTGTAAAAGTAACTTTTGAATAAATATTTTTATAATATAAATATTGAATAGATTTATTATTTCAATAATATTTTGTTTAATTCATTATTAAAAAAATTTTTATCAAATTTGACCTGATTTTTTCAGTAAATTTAATGATTTGGATAAACTTCTTCTCTTGAAGATGCTGTAATATAAATAGCCCAATTAACTAGCAAATAGAAAACTTAAAGAGATCATAATTGATATTTCAATCAAATTTCTCAATATTTCGCTTAAATTATTCAACCCATCATCAAATGATAGCCATACAATTAATACTAAACTTAGAAGTAAAAGAAATCTTCCAAGAATATTTAACTTAAACTCTTTATCTACTTTAAAAGGTTTTATTGCAAGCATAGCAGTCGTCTCAAAGCCAAGTATTAAGAATATTTATAAAGCTTAATAAATTGGTGAAAGCTATTTGAATACAAGAATGAATATGATAAATGTTTTTCTCAGTAAGAATATTAAATTTATAACTAACTTTTTTCTATTAAATCCTTCATTAAAAAACCTATCATACTACTTTAAATTGAAATTGTTTTGACTTTTCTGAGTGACATAAAAAGTGACTGCATTTAAGCCAAACATTAAGCAAATAAAACCTATGCTACAAATTAAGCCTAGTATTTGCAAGGGTTACATATTCTCTAAATCATAAAGCTGTAAAAATACAGAAAGAGCAATATCACAATAGGTTAAAAATCCTAAGCCAATAATAATGTTATACTTATAATTATTTCTATAGTAATTGAAAAATTTAGAAATTAAGTTTTATCCTACTGGCTTCACTATAACACTTATTCCATATATAATAAGAGAAATAACCCATACTGTAAAGGCCTAAATAAGATTACTAAAAAGAAATGTGTCTAAATTTTCATGTTTAAACTTTTACGGAGCATTTGAATTTGAGCTTTTCACATTCGGAATTATTTCGAAATTAGCAAAATTAAATAGCTAAAAAAACGTATATAGATTGGAGGAGTAATTTGCATTTATGAACAGCAAATAATTTGTTACTTATAGTAAATCAAAGAAACTCACTAACATATAAAAAGGAGACAACATTCCTGCAGAAATAGATAAGACTGCAAAAGACGCATTTAGAGATTACTGAAGTATTTCGTTATTTTTTGAAGGACTTGTCTAAACCGTTTAACATTCATTTTCCAAACATTTCTCACATACTTAGATATTGCTATTTTTACTATAAGTTAAATAATATCCTTTTATACATTATTTGCACTTATTATGATCATTCGAGCAATCTTAACAGTTTATATCTGAGCATCTAACACATTTGAGTAAATTTTTGTTTTCATGAAACTTCTCTTTTGGACAACTACTTACGCATGTTGTTTCATTATAATGAAAATAACCAGCTTAACATTCTATGCATAATAAATTATCTTTACACTTCTTGCAGTTTTTATTGCAAGATTGGCATGAATTTGTTAAAGTATCAAAAAATTTATTTTCTCCACAATAATCAACACAGTTTTTTTCATCAAGTAATTTAGGGTATGTGCAAGATAAACAATTATTACTATCTCTTGCATCGCAAGTTTTACACTTATCATTATTACACTTATAACAGTTTTAATCGATTTAACCTTTATACCAGCTTTCTCCACAGTCATCTAAGCACTAACCTTAGAAAAGATACTTTGGAGCTGAGCATGAGGTGCATGTCGAGCTTTTTGGTTAGCATGTTTTACAACTTTATTCTACACAAGGCATACAAATGTTATTTTCTTCATACATTTTATCTCCACAATCCGTAACACAATCTCCATTTAAAAGATAAAGATTGTTAGGGCAAGTTAAGCATATGTCTTTATTACCCAGAGAGCAAGTTAAACAATTTTTATTTTAACAATCTTCACATTATTTTGAAACAGGATTTTTAACTTTTCCTTTACCGCAATCTACCACACAATCAGAATTTAACAAAGCATAAGGATCTGAGCAACTCGTGCAAATATTTTCATTTGGGGGATTTGAACAAGTCAAGCAATTATTATTTTTATTTGAGCAGCTCTTACATGAATTTGAAAGCAGATCAATATACATATTCTCTCCACAAGAATCCACACAATCATAACCTTTCTTTATTTTTGGGTTTGCACATGAAATGCAGTTAATACTATTAGAAGGATCACAGTATTCGCATTTATTATTTTAGCATGTCTAGCAAGTATTCATAGTTACATCATAATACATGCCTGGTAAGCACCTATCTAAGCAATCATTTTTATCTAAAATTTTCTAGCTTTCACAACTCAAACATTTTTAAGTGTCCGGAAAACTGCATGTCAAGCAATTACTATTTAGACATTTAACACAAATTTAATTATTAGTATCAATTACATAACCATTTTCACATTTGTCAACACAGTTATCTTACCAAAGAGCTTGAGGACTTTCACAACTATTACATTTCTAAGGTTACAAAGGGTCACATGTAAGACAGTTATTGCCTGGGTTTGAGCAAGGAAGACATTAATTAAGTGAAGTATCCAGGAAGTATCCTTTATAGCATTAAGCTTAACATTAGCTATTTTATAAATGCAAAGGAATCTCGCAAGACAAACATTTATCAGAAGAAGATTCTAAACAAGTTTTACAAGATAAATTAGAACAGCTTTTGCATATATTTAATACTGAATCAACATACATACCACTAGGACAATTTTTTAAGCATTATTTGGATATTTCAAGTAAAGCTAAAGGTGGTTCACATGAAGTGCATTCATTTTTATTTAGTGGATCACACCTTTTACAGTCTTTATTTATACATTATTCACATGTATTTGTAACTTCATTTTTTGAAAAACCATCTCCACAATCTAAAACACAATCATTACCTAACAGTGCAAAAGGAGCTTCACATGATATGCAAAATAGTGGGTTTGATTCTAAACATGTTTGACAGTTCTGTTAGGGATTAGAACATATTTGGCATGAGTTGTTAGTAGAATCTACATACATATTGCTCTCGCATTTATCAACACAATCAACCCCTAAAAGAATTTTTGGTTTTTTACAAGAATAGCATTCGTTAGATTTAAAAGGGTTGCAGCTAGAACATAATGGATTCTAACAATTAACACACTTATTTTAGCTATTATCAATATACATTCCTTCATCACATTCTAATTTACACTAAGAATTACTTAAGACATTAGGAGGATGACAAGCTGTGCAGATAGATGGATCAGATGGCTCACATGATAAACAGTTGTTTAAACACTTTATGCAATCTTTTTTCACATTATCATAAACTTCTGATTCCTTACATTTATTGACACAATCATTTAAATAATTTTGTTTATCTTCTGAGCACGTTAAGCAATTTTTAGAGTTATTTGGATCACATGTTAAGCAATTTTTGTTTTCACAAGATAAACACTATTATCCTGAGACATAGTAATTATCATTACAAGCTAGAACACATTACCCATCTTACATCAAAAATGTAGATTAACAAGTTAAGCATATATTTGGAAAGTTAGAATCACATACATCACAATTATTGCTGATACATAATAAGCACTACCCAGTTACAGGATTTTTATAATAGCCGCTTGGACAGTTATCAATACAATCTCCCTAATGCAATACTTTTGATGCCTCACATGATAAGCAAATACTTGAGTCAGATTGATCGCAGTGCTAGCAATTACTATTATTACATTTTTAGCAAATTTAGAGGTTATCAATATAATATCCATCTTTGCATTTTAAAGCACAAACAGAATCCTGCAAAACATAAGGTGCTATACAGGATAAGCAATCATTAGATGGGAGATCAGCACTGCACTTTTAACAATTTTCGTCAGGGCATTTGAGACATAAATTAGAAGAGGTAGATTTATAGAAATTATCAGGACATTAATCTTTGCAGGTAGAATCATGAAAAACTTTATCTGAAAAACAAGTTAAGCATATTTACGAATCTGCTTGAGAACAAGTTTTACAAGATTTATTGCTGCATTCCTAGCATATTAAATCTTAATCAAAATAATACATATCTCCACAGTCCAACACACAAGCAGATCCTAACAGACCAAAAGGTGGTATGCACTTGAGGCAATTACCAGGAGCATTTGGATCACAAATTTTGCAATTCAAATCTTAACAATTAGTACATATTTAATCTAAATTGTTTATATATTTACTATCACCACAATCAAGAACACAAGAACTTCCTAAGAGACCTGTAGGACTTTTACATTTAGAACAAATATTTGGATTATTAGAATCACAGGATAAGCAGTTTGAATCTGGGCAATTTTTGCATTATCTATCTGACTCACTTTTATAGAATCCTAAAGAAGGGCAGTCAGTAACACAGTCGTCATTGTACAAGTAATAGCCTTCCCCACAATTAAGGCATTTGTCTGTTTAAATGGGATCACATGAAAGACATTTATTATTTAGACAAGCTTAGCAATTATTATCTTCATCTATATAATTTCCTTTACCACATGAACTGCTGCAAACTCCATCCTTCACAGCTAGAGGTGCATGACATGACAGACAATATGCTGGATTATCAGGTTTACATTCCTTACATATACCTGAGCAAATGAGACAATTTTAAGTCAAAGGATCTTTGTAATAACCATAATCACAGGTATCTTAGCATTTTCCATTTTATAAAACTTAAGGGGAATAGCATTCAGTGCATTTATTATCAGGTTAAGGATTGCATTTTTTACAGATGGGATTGTAACAAGCTAAGCACTATCTTGTATTAATATTTTCATAGTACTTTTCAGGACATTTAGACTCACAATTTTAATTTATTAAAAAATAAGGGTCTTTGCAAGATAAGCACTTTGAAGATTACAAAGGATCACATGTATAGCAGTTTGCTTTTTAACAATTTTAGCAAGCACTATTTGCATCAGCATACTGTGCTGATGGACATTTATCTAAGCATTATCCATTAAGGGATAAAACTTTACCAGGATAACAAGCTGTACATGTAGAGGGTGTTGAAGAAATGCATGCTTTGCATTAATTATTTGTGCACTATAAACAATCGTTGTTAGAAAAGTAGTAACCATCATTGCAAACACACTATTTTAAAGAGTTCAAAACAAAATTAGGTTTACATGATTTACATTCAGCTGAGTTACTACATGTTGCACATAAAGCTCCACATGGTTAGCAAGAGTTAGATTGTAAATAGTATCCATCTATACACTACGAACAACTAGAACCTGAACATAATAAGCAGAAGTCAACAGAGCACTTTAATTAAAAATCCATTTAAATAAAAAATAATAAGAAAGAATGAAAAATTACATCAAATCCAAAAACATTTATTTCTCTAATGCCAAAGTAAGTATGAGCATTTCTACTTGAACTAGAGCTACTAAAGTCAGAGCTTTTATTTGAATTAGTAATTTTTATAATAAAATTGCTAGATTTAGGCAATAAAAAGTTATTCGAATAAAAACCAACGATGTCTTTTTTGCTTAATCCACAAATATTAATTGATGAAGCAGTATCTGTTCGAATTTCATTTTTTACTGATTAAGAGCCTACAATAACTTCAACAAAAACTCCCGAATTTCCAGAATTTTCATAGTCAACGAAAATATACTTAAAAGAAACACTAACTTATTTATAAATGTTAGTAGTTTCTGGGAAATTGATTGTACTATTCATTTAGTTTATAAAAAATCCTCCAAGAAAATTAATTTAATTGCATCTTGAAAACTAAGATTATTGAGAATTTGATTGAAGATAGTTTGACATAACAATCCCTAAATTAGCAATAGATATCATTGAAAAATCATTACCTAAAAGCCCTGAGAAATATTTTTTACCTAAATTTATTAAAATGTAAAACTATTTCAAATATTCTTTTTATTGTAGATTTTATTATTTTAAAGGGGAGGGATAGTTATAAATCCTCAATCGAAGAGTTAAAAAAATTTTGAAGAAATTAAGTACTTAAAATTCTGAGATTATTGAATTAATTATGAAAATAAACCTCCCTCAAAATTTAAAATAAAATAGAAAAATTAAATAAAAATACCTATGAGGTTAGCATTTTTGTACAAGCAGTTATTATTAGGCATTTGCTAATAGCCAGCAGGACAATCTGTGAAACACTAACCATCTGCTAAATAGTATCCACTCTTACATTTTTAACATTGTGAATCAACATTTTACAAGCAATTTGGAATTAATACACATATTTTATTACTTTCAAATAAAAACTTAGATGAGTCACATGTTTTTAAGCAAATACCAAATTAAAAGACATTAGTTGGGTCATTACATGTGCATTTACCTTTCACAGGACCTGAAGCTCCTGAAGAAATAGCACATGACAGACAATTATTTTCTAAAGGGCCATCACAACTTTAGCATGTAGGATGGCAAGGACTAATATTTACTTAAATACCTGAAACTCTAAACTACGAAAATTTATAATCTTCAGGACAGCTAGAATCGAAAGCTAGTTTGATGGTGTTTGAAGACGATTTTAAATAAGTCCATGATCCTTTTTTATTAAGATAGAATTTAAAAATATTTTAAAAATGTAATTAGAAATAATTTTAAAAACGGTATTAGAATAAATATGTATAAAATCTACCTCTATAAAATTGATCTATGTCTTTATTAAAACTTTCATCAGCATCTGATGTGCAATCTACTTATAATCTAGTTAATAAGATATTATTATTACTAGTATTTACTTAAACTACTGTTTATGCTTAATCATCTGGTTTAATTGTAACGGTTGCTTTAGAATCTCCGCTATACATATGAATTATATCAGCCCTTATACTTCTTTGGTAATGAGGTATTGCTGTAGTAAAAGAAAATATAGGAATATCCTATGCAGGGTTAGCATTTAAAGATTTATTACATTAGAACATTCCAAAGTAATAATTTTAGAACTCTGTATTAGTGACTTTTTCACAATTTATTTTATTTATTTTAATAGTTGAATCGTTCAAGTTTGAACGATCAATCATTTCTATGTTGATGTCATCTATTTAAAGTATATAATTCAAAATCAAAAGACAAATTTAATGTTACAAAATTTACTTTGAAGAAATACTTATTAGATAAGTAGTAAACAAAAAAGGAGGAATTTAGTTTTATGTTTTCTCATATGCCAATAAAGAGAAGTTTGGTGTTTGTTATATATTTATTAAATCAATAAATTTTAGTAAATATTTCAATTATATTTATAATTAAGTTTTTTTTACCTATTTAAACTCAGAATCACCTTTTTGAAAGTGTAAATCCTAAAAATAGCTGATCTATTGAGATGATTTTTAATAACAAATTTACTAATTTGGTTTCTATCAAAAGCTTTTTTACGATTTTTGTTTATTTAAGGTTTTTTCTAATTTAGTAAAGACGGGTTTACAGTTTAAATAGAAATGAGAGAAAATTAAATAAAAATTCTTTTATATATAAGCAAATGCATAAAGACACATAATACCTGAATAAATAATAAATAATAAATTTCGATTTATTTAATTTACTCAAGTTGAGATATATAATAATCTTCACCAATGCAAAAAATTAGATATTAATATTTTGGAATGTAACAATTTCGATAATTATATTGTATTTGTAATTAATATTGCGATTTGTAAGCTAAATTTTAAATTAATTTCTTTTTTAGTTTACACTTTTTAAATATTGTTAATGGAATTTGATTGAGGTGAGTGTTATCTTATCTAAGTGTTTTTTTTTAAATTTAAAAATAAATTTGTTAACAAAAATACATTGCCAAATATTATATGTGGCTTTTAGACAAAAAAAGTTAACTATCCCTTTATTTTATTGTCTTTATTAGCTTAGTTTATCATTTTTGTAATCATAAATTAATTTGTATTTTTCCAATAATTTATAATGAGTTAGGGAATTGAATTTGTGGTAATTTAATAACTATCTTAAATTATATTGAAATCATTTAGGTTTGATAATTTTATTATTGAAGTAATATATCTTAAGTTTAGAATGAAATAATTTATAAGGATAAGGTATTTTACTATTTAAAATGGTTGAGTTTTGATAATATTAAAACAGATTTTGTTTATTTAAGGTTTTTATTTAGTATTTATAGTTAGATCAAGTAAAATTTATTTTATTTAGATTACAATAAATTCTAAAAGTAATCCTTTTTTTTTTTTGCGTTATTGAGCTAAATTGAATATCTGGTTTTCTTTTTAAATTACTTCTTTCTCAAAATAATTAGGTTTTTATTAATAATATAGTATGTATTTAAATTTACAAATTATTTTAATGATTCTTAAAAAGATTTATTTAATTCTTATAATATGATTTAATTATTTGATAGAATCATGGTAATACTATTATAATTATCGAGATTTACTTTTACTTTTTATTAAATCTACTCATTTTACTTACAGTTATAAACAATAGTCTTTAAGTTATCAAAAAACCAAGATTAAAAATTCATTCAAGCACTTTAGCAAATTAGAGAAAATACAATTCGGTGATATTTTAGCTATATAATTTACTCAATTATCAATTCTGTAAAGTTGATAATAAATTTTTTCTATAAATTAAATTTTTTTAAGCATCTTTTTTTCCACAATGTAAATCACATAAATAATTTATATTGTGTTAAATTAGATTAGCAAATTATCTGACCTTTATTTTTATAATTTATATTTGTAATTTATATGCACAAATACAGGATTAATTATAGAAAATTCAAAAATTTTATTCAAAAAAATATTTTTTAGCTTAAATTTTATTATAAGTAAATTATTTTGAATGTCTTTTTTTTCTTTTTATCATTACAAAATTAATTTGTCTAAAGCATAAATTAAGACAAAATTTATTTACATAAAACTAAGATTTTTATGATTTTTCTTTTTTAATTTTCGTAATTAGCTGTTTTTATAAATAAATTTATAAAAATACTTGCTTTTACTTCACAAATAATTAATTATTAGAACTCATTAGAAAGATATAAAATTATTTATTTATTTAATTAATTAAATATTGATAAAATTTATTATATTTTTTTGTTTGAAATTATATATATATTATTAAAAATTGTAATCGCTTGTATGTCTGTATTTCTAAATATCTATTTGCAAGCTATTCGTTTATAAATTTTGATTGGAGTTTATTTTGTAATGTTTGATTTGAATGTTTTTATATTTATTATTATTCAACTTTCAATAAAGAAGTTAGTTAGCTCTTCAAAAGACTCCCTAATTATTATACTTTAATCTATTTCCTCAAATATTCTTTTAATTATTTATATTTGTTGTTAGGGTGGATTTTTTATATTTTAACTTATTAAATTTTCGACTTCGTTTTTGTATTTCAAGTAAACTGATTCACATTTTTCTTAAGCATCAAGAGATAAGAAGTGCTCGTCAGTAATTTTATAAATTTAGTTAATTAAATTCCTTAGTACTATGTTTTTTGATAGATTGTTTTCATATAAATAAATACGGTAGCGATTTTTGAATTTTTTGTATTAGAATAAAATTGCATAATAAAGATATGTTTAAAAATTTGCACTTTCAAGTATTTCTAGTGCCTCGTAGCACAAGCTTTATAAAAAATGAGTTAGTCTTTGACGATTTTCGATTATCTCTTCTTCATCTAAAACAAGGCTGCCTTCATGGTCGCTAGATATAAACTCTTGAGTGTCAAAAGCTCCTTTGGGACTAGGACTATTGCCCTTACTTAAAAACATTTAATCTTAGGTAGAATCTTTTGTTTTTCCTTCATTTGTTTGAAGGAGTGAGTTATTTTGATTTGGTAATTTATTCTTTTTTTGTTAATTAAAATTTGGGAAATAGTCCTCTTCATCTCCATCTTCTTATGATAAAAATCTATTTTTATAACTCAACTATTTTAAATTATATAAATCTTCTTCCTCCTCTTCTGTTTATTTTAGCTGCTTTTTAAGATCAAAGTTAGCATTATCATATTAAACATTAAACTTCATTAGATTCATCTTATGAACTTTCTAAGGAGATGATCCGTTTTCATTGGTGCCATTAAAATTACGCTAAAATTGATCATTTTAATTATGGTATTCCTTTTTTTATTGTGCATGCATTTAATGATGCTATTCTATCAAGTTTTTTTTCATATTTTTCTTAGATCCTTTTAATTCAAGCAAAAATTGATCATTTTTTGTATAACAGTTCTCTTCATCTTCTTCGTCTTCCTCCTCTTCTTCATCATAATCATCTTTATACTTTTCTTTTTTAGAAATATAGTCATCTTAATTGACTGTGTTTCTGCCTAGCCCATCACTATATTTCCTAACTCTTCTACCTTCTTCTACTTGAATGAGGTTTTGGTGTTACTTATATTGAATATTAGGTCTTTGCATAGGGCGATAATCACTAGAGCTTGCTCCATTTCCATTACTATTACTGCTATGAGGAAGCTAATCTGATCTATCAGATTCATAACCATCATCTTCTGCCTCAGGTATGCACTGCAAAGAAGGCTAATAGCGTTATTCTCTACACCTGCAATCAACTATTTCAATATGCTTTTCAATATACTCTGTATCATTTAGTATCTTATTCTCGCTTATGTCTCCTAGAAACAAATATATTAAATCTAACTTAGAGTGAGGAGCTATTACTGGCTGATCATGAGGTAGTAATGCACTATTTTTATTATTCGTAGTTTGTTTGTTAGATCCTCCTGCATTGTTTCTTTGTGTTATTAAATGATGCAAATTTAAACAAGGAATACCATTTTCATGATACTGAGTGTCATTGTACTCTGAGAAATTTATTTGATGAGAAGATGGAGGATTGCATTTCCTTCTGTTGTTCCTAAAGAGAGTCATAGAACTTCTCTTTTTATGGTCTGCTGGCTTTTTCAAGCAAGAATTCGATTTTAAAATATCCAAAACATATTCATCTAACTCTTTAAAGATTTTCTCTATGTGAAAAGACTCTTGTAAAGAAAGGTCTTGCAAATTTTTTGGCAGCTTTTATTTGACATATGCTTTAACGTTTTTAAGACCAACTAAATTAATTTGCTCAAAAAAATCATTGAGTATCTAGTTGGTTATCTCTTAAGGGTCATGTAGAGATGGATAGTCAGTTTTTAATGAATGCTCATATTTTTTTTTCAAAACTTCTCTCAAAAATTCTGTGCAAATTAGAAGGGTACTTGTGACGATACTAAAAGGAAGAAATGAAAATACCTCTTTTTTTAATGTTTCTAGCTAATTTTATTTCTTCTCAATATTTAAATTCTAGACAATTTCATTCTACAATTTCTCTATATTAAAATGATACTCTACTTCATCATGAATGTGCTATGCTATATCCCTCCAATTTTACTAAAAGAAAGAACTTCTTATTTCTTTTAAAACCTTTTTTAATTTATCTTTATTTTCAAATTAGCTGGAAGAGCAGCTACAAGCTTAATCTTTATCTTTTTCTTCTTCTTCATCATCATATGCTTTTTATCCTTTATAAGATATTTTATCTTTGCGTTCATTTGTTTGTACAAATACTTTACGTCCAAACAAGTAACATTGCAATATTCTAACCATTGCAGGTAATTTTCTTCTAATAATCTCAAAAATTATAATTTATATTATATGCTATATTCCGCTTTTAGTTGTAAAAATCTTAGAGAATTCATGGATAAGCTCTTGGAGATGCTTATGCTTAGATAGCAGCTAATCCATATTATTGCGAGGACTATTCTGGCAAATTTTATCAAAAAGGTTGTTTGTTAATCTTCAGCTTTTATTATATTATTCTCTTGGATATAAAATAAACTAATGTTTGTGTTTTCTTTTATAATAAAAATATAGAATACAAAATACGCTCATACATACATACATAAAAATAATATATTATTAAATTGTAAATTTCAAAAATAATCATTAACTATTTCAATATAAAAAGTTATTTCTTTGTTTATTTTTTATTATATAAACCCTCATTTTTAATATATCCTTTATCTAATCTATTTCTGCCCAAAAATTGGTTATTCTTTCTTTAAAATGACTTTGTTTTTAATTGAACAATCAATTTTATTTACCCTCTCTACATTAAAAAATTATTTTAATTAATAATAAAAGTTATTGAGTAATTTGAAGGATAAATGAAGAACTATTTATTGTGTATATTATAATAATTAATTTTTTATCCTTTTATAACCTAAGTTACTTTATCTTACTAATCTCCAAATAAAATAATATGATAGCACGCACCACTTATTTAATATTAATAATAAACATTTCTTTCTTTTCAATATTTAATTAAATTTTTAATTTAGATTGTATCAGAATTAATAAATTATTTTATTGATATTGGACTAATTATTTTACTAGAAAAATGTTTATTTCATTAAATAATAAATGAAAAATTAACTTTTTCCTTTTTTTTTGAATTTTATAATTTTTTAGAGAAATGCAGAAATTAACATTTATTTTTGAATTTTAATCAATAAAAAGTTCTTTTTCAACAAAAAATATTTTTGATTTATTTAATTGAGTTATCTTATTAGATATTTTTTGTATCTATCTATCTATCTATCTATCTATCTATCTATCTATCTATCTATTTTCACATTAATTAATTTCTTTAATTTTGAAAAGTTCCCATATTTTTTCTAAATATAATATCTCAGAGTAGCAGGAGCAGATTCAAATACTTTCATTATAAAGTTCATTTTTTTATATCCAATAGGTTTTTGTTGTTCCTCTTTTAATTATTGTAGTTACAAATAGAAATTAAGATTGAATATAGGTTCTCCAAAGCATATTTCAATTAAATAGGTCAATATTTTTAATATACACATTCATCATCAAGCATCTATTTCTAGTTTTTTATTACTGTTTTCTCTTGATCTCGATTTTGAATTATGATTTCATTATTTTGTTTTTTTGAAGAAGGAGTCTAAGGAGATAATGATTGGTTTAATCCTTTTTTTATATCTGTTGTAAAATAGCAAATTTTAAAAAATATTTTGAATATGTAAAAATTGAATTTGTTAATAATAAGTTAATATCCTAATTATATAAAACTGATTCTAATATAGAAACCTGAATATACTGAGTCTTTTGATTACTTTTTGATGATTATATTACAGGTTTGAAATATCATAAAGTAATATATAATGGTGGTTCTTCTTTTTATTATTGTACCTTATAATTAAATTAAAATAATATAAATCCATAGAATGATAACTTAATAAAGTAGTCCTGCTATTATTATTAATATCCTTGATTATAATAATATACATGAAAGATTGATTAATCTTAATAAGAGTAATAATAATAACTTTATTCTATTATATTTACAAAAATTGTTAAATCAATATTTAAATCAAAATATGGTTTCTTTTAATTTATTTTATAATGAATTTATAAATATAAGTTCTTAAATTTTGTAATTATATATAAATTCTAAAGATTTACTTACCAATATTTTATAATTAATTTTGAAACTTGAAAGAATAAAAGAGAAGGTATTAAATGTTATCTATAATTGCATTTGCATATCAATATGAATTTATAAAAAATAGGATTGAAAAAAATAAATAATACTTAGGTATTTTTTAAAAAATATTGATTAAAAGTCCACAACATCAATAGCTATTAAGCTAATTTAAATAAAAAGATCGAAATCTATATTAAAGATAATTCTCTTTTTTTAAAAATTTTGACTTAAATATTTATAAATGTTTACTTTACAACTAAAAAATTTTAAAATAAAACTTAAATGATAGTTAACATATCATTAAACCAGAAGTATCTGAGTTACTTTATTTAATAGATGAATTTATTTGATAAATTTTCATATAGGAATTTTTATCATATTTAATCATTAATCTTTCTTTTCTTATCAATTGAAGATATCTTTTTTAAACTATACTAAGGGGTAAGATACTTTTTTTTTATGTAGTTTTTTAGCTTTATACTTTAAAAAACAAATTATATTTCACTATTTATATTATTTTATTTATTTATTAATTGTTTTTTTTAATATTTAACTTAAATTCCCATTTTCTTACATCAAAATTTATAACTAAATACAAATAACATATATTTATAGTGTTACTTTGTTTTTCATTTTTTAATTTATATTCTTTTCAAAAATTTAATAAGAATTATTCGTATCTTAAATCCCTTCTTATCTGCTTAAAAGAGGACAAGAAAAATTTAAAAAAATTATAATAATAATTTATATTAAAAATTATATTTGATTATGGGAGCCTGTTTCTCAGATAAAAAACTTAGGAAAAATAACAATGTATATTTTAACTAAAATACCTTGAATGATTCATTAAGTAGAGATTAAAAGTATAAGTAATAATAATTAAACTAAGAAAATAGAGAAGTATTCAAATAAAAATCCAATGAAGGATCTAAATTAAATCCTTCAATTAGTTAAATGCAAACTGAAACTTTAACCAAAGATTCCTAAAATTCAAAGCAAAAATTCAATACTCCAGAGCCTTAGCAGGAAAATTAGTAAAAATAAATTCAAAACTAACATATAGAGTAAAAGTAAAAAAAAATAAACTAACAAGATATAGAAGTGTTGTTTGAATAAAAAATTAATGCGGGATTTAAAAAATAAATTAGTTAAATATAAGATTCCTAAATTTAAAAGCAAAAATTAAATTCTTCTGATTAGGAAATTAATTTTGACGAAAACATGCAAGAATATTAAGACGTATAAAATTTAAATTTAAGAAATGTTGCTTCTCAAAATACTAATCCTAATTAAATTAATAATTAATTTTAAAATTCAAAATATTAAAATCCTGATGTAAACAAAAATATGGAAAAATAATAAGATAAAATAAATTTTCCAAATAATACCTCTCAGAATAATACTAAAATTAATTATTAATTTTAAATTCCAAAATAATAAAATCCTGCTCATAAGGATTAACATTTAGAGCCATTAAATTTAAATGAAAGAAACGAACAAAAATTATTACTCTAAAAAAAGGAATATGAATAAAATAAAAATGAGAAATAATAATTAAAGCCTCCAAATCCAAAATATTCTAATTTTAAAGATTATAATGTAAATTTGATTAAAGGTGTTGAAATGTTACTAAAGAAAAGTAGCTCTGAAACTTTATAAATAAGTTAATATCCAGATAAATCCATTAGAATGATAGCTTAAGAATCTTCTAATCCCAGTATTTATTATTTAAACTACATCCTTGATTATAATCACAAATATGAAATTTTATTGGATATTAAAAAGAACAATATTTTAAATATCATTTAATTACAATTAAAAACTGAGTCTTTTGAAGATTTAACAAATTTTATTTACTATAATGAAAATTATGTGTCTATTTATCCAGAAATTTAAGCAGATAAAGGCAAAAATATTGTAGGATATTCTGAATAAACAATTGAAAATTTGAAATTATAGATTTGCTTAAAAGATAGTGTTTATAAATGTAAATTCGCAGGAAATGAATGCTCAAATAATGGATTGAAAGATTACGATTCATTTTAAAATGGTTTTTTTGCATTTTATATCAACTCAACATATAGTTAAGCTGAAATAATTTTAAAATCTATTAAAGTAGTTAAGGAGTTTGAAGATTGAATTTTATTAAAAAAATATTTAGATTAAAAAACTTTAATTTGTTATTAAAAAATTTTTAGAACCATTCATTTTGTATAATTAAAAATTAATTTACTCTTATTTGATTAGAATTTATCAAGATTTGAAATATATTTATATTAAGAGTATTTATTATTTTTTTGTAAAAAGCTTAATTATTTTTGCAAATTTTTTTTACTAGCAATAAGAAGGATTCATGTTTAAATTATTTTATGAGTAAGAAATTAAAAATCTTAATTAATGCAATGTGTACATTAATATTGGCACTTGAATTCTAATAAAATTAATATAAGTTAGCTAAAATTAATTTACTCTTTTTTTGATTAGAATGTATTTAGATTTGAAGAATATATATTTATAGGGTATTTATTATTTTTTAGTTTTAAGCTAAATAATTTTTGCATTATTAATATTCTTGCAATAAGAAGGATTCAAATTAAAAAATTTTATTTTATGAGTCAAAAGAAATTAAAAATTTTAATTAAATAAAATGTATAGATTAATATTTATACTTAAATTCTAATAATACATTGATAATTTTATAAAATATTTTTAGAAATTAAAAAGATAAATAAATAAATAAGTAAACTTTTCATTTTATAATTTAACTCAAGTTAAATATGAGAAAATAAATACATACATTTTATTTGATAATTTAAAAAACAGTATTTTATAAATATCATGTAAAATAACTTTATAAAATAATCTTCAAGCACATTTAATTATTATTTATATAAGTATATAATATTCTAAGTTTAATTTCTTCAATATGTTTAAATGAGTATCATTATTTTTAACCATTTTTTCAGTCTAAATTATTAACGGACAGACACTTCATATATTTTAACTTAAACAATTAAAAATTATGTTCTGATAAGCAAATATAAAATTTAAATTTAGGTTTATATAATTATAAATAAATTTGGAGTCGAAAAAAATTCAGAAATAAATTTGTTTTTTAAAATTTACTAATACTATAGATTTTTATGCATTAGTGTAGTTAAAATATAACAAAGATTTGCTTGATTAAATCAATTTTAAGTAACGTTATGATAATTACAATAAAGCTTAAAATACAAATTACAATCAATAATCTTTATTTAATAAAGATATTTCGCCTATATCGAGAATGAAAGGCTATTTTTCTTATCCATAAATAGTAGGTGTTTGTAAGTTAGCTTAGTTTTCTACTTAGCATATCTCAGCTGCATTACTTCTGTAAGTAACTTTGCCATTAAATAGATTTTTACTTATAACACTCTCTCTGTTTGTAATGAGCTATGATCCTATTTTTGTAATTGCCCCTTAATCAATTTATTCATCAGCAATTGTGTCTAAAATACTTTAATTTTTATTCTATTTAAATTTATAATGCTATTATTCTTTAATTTAGCTTCTTTTCATATCAGAGTTTTCGTAAAACTCACCTACTAAACCACTTTATGTCAAAGAATTTTTATTGTTTACAGTATCATTTCCTAATGCAGAATCTAAAATTAAACCTTCTTCATTACTTTTTTCAAGAATTTTCTCTGATTAAATGACATCTCTAAAGAATAAACTTTTGTTTCTATTTTAAGTCAAGCTTGTTTTCATGTTAGCTTGATTTTAAATAGCGTTCATAGATGATGAGTTATTATATTAATTCAAAGGATTAATTTCTTCTTCATCGTCCATCTTATTCTGCACAAAGGCATTATCAATTTAGTTTTTATTTTCTTCTCCTTCATCTTCTTCGTTGATATTACTTATCCATTTCTTTAATTATTGATTATTATTTGTTTGAAAATCCTTTTATTTTAAAGAGAGATACTCATCTATTTTTTACTATTTAAACTCTTGTTTCTTGCCTTCAGGTTAAGTAAGGAGAGTATTATCTTCATATCTAGTTGTGGAGATGTTATTATTTGTTACGAACTGTTAAATAATATAACTCGTATAGGCTTGCTACAAATCCTTATTCACCAAAATAGAATTTCTACCAAATAGTTAAGTAAAATTTTCTTTTTCTTTTTAATGCATCAGTGAAATGTCTTTGTAAATTTGAAATGAAGCTATAAGAGATTGTTTATTTTAGAAGTCTGAAACAGAAAAATTAATTAACCCAGTTGGTCCTACTCTCTTTAAAGCAAGTCGGCTGACATAAATTCCAAGGGTATACCTCAGCTAACTCTTAAGCATATCTTTAGGATTGACTTGAGGACTCAAGGCAGCTGAGTTGGTTTTGAATTATTTTTTTAGCAAATTTTAAGATATGTTATTATAAACAGCTATTTGTTTCTAATAAAAAAATTTAAATAAATCATCTTACGTTTAAATTCTCATCATTTCTTCAATCTAAAGCAGTTGCTGCTCAAGATTAAAAGAATTTAATTCATTTATAATGTCTATATTAATTAAATTATCATCGTACTAATCTTCTTAAACTTAAATTTATATTTATCCATCCTTCAAACCGTGCTGCTTACAATTTTGCATTAAATTGAAAAAAATATGATTCAGCCAATAATATTATGATTGAATATTCTCGTTTTACAGCTTATAATTGAAAATCTCTTGAGGAAAAGAAGATTAGTTAGAGAATTCGTTAGAGAATAAGTTCAGCAAAGAAGAGATTAACATTTTTAAGTTAACTTTTTACACTTAGTAGGGTATTAAATTGCTAATATCTGTTAATGCAACAATTATATTTTACTAACTCTGTTTCATTCTATAAAGATTAGTCATTATTAATTTATAATTTTCCATCTATTTAAATTTATCAAATTCATCTTTTATTGATTGTAGAATGAATTCAATTTATTCTTTCATGAAGTAAGTTAAATTGTCTCTAAAAGAAAGGGCCAACTTTTACTCTTCTTTTTACTTCTTAGCTTTTATCTTGTAGTCTTCTTCGTCTATCTAAATGATAATATAATCCTCTGATAAATTGTAGTAAAATAATTTAATTTATATAATCTAAGATTTAAATTCAGTCTTCTAACTCTTTTCACTTTCACTCTAATTTTGATGACCTTCTAAAATAATTTAATTCTACGTCTAGTTTGACTTTTCTGGGACTATTGTTCCTATAAACTCTTGTACAGGGGAGATATGCGAAAGAGAATTGTTAAAAATTTATTTCTGGTTTAATTCTATCATCTGCTAGCAAATTTAGAGTAAAGTTCTTTTATTTGATGAGCTCTTATATCTATTTATTAAAATATTTGAACTAGCTTTTTCACTAACTGACCTACTTTTTAGTAAGTCATCAATCATGTCTTCCTCTTCTTAAATAATTATTCTCTCTAAAAAAGCATTAAACTTTTCTTGTGTATTACATTAAAATGTTTGAGATGCTTATTTATTGATAAAATACATCTAAACTTAAATTTTATCATCATAAGAATTTAAATGCGACTTTTTTTTTACATTTTTAGCGATAAAAAAGTTAGATTTACTTTGCTTATCAATAAGCTAATGCCACATAAATAGTTTTTGATTATCAAGAAATACCTACCTTGATTTCATATCAGTCAAGTAAAGGTGAATTAAATATGTAGAAAATACACAAGCTAGGGCAATATAAACTGGACTTTCTTTGTTTTAGCTAGTATTAAAAGCAATATCCTATGAAATATAGCACAAAATACAGAAGAATTTATAAAAGTAATTTGGAGATTAAAGATGGAGAAGGAATTCTAGAATATTAATTATCCCTGTTAAGTACTATTAAGAATCGCTCATCGTTAAGCTATCAGTATTATTAATCCATCTTAAAACAGGTTTAGAACATGCAAGAAGAGGCATCAAATATATCCCAAGGTTGTGCTTCCTATAAACTAAAGATAAGATGATTAAATAGCTTAAAGTTATGGTTATAAATGACGATAGTAATCTTGAGCTAACGACTCCTTATTTAATTAATCTTACAAAGCCATAACTATAGTTCGCTATTTCGACTATACAAAGAAAGAAGAAAAAATTTCGGATTTGCTAATTTTATATTTTTTTATACTCACTTTCCAGCTTTTCAGATTTTAGGAAAGGCAAAAATCTCTACATACTTACTTTGTTTTAAAATTAAATGAAATTAATTGAGTTAATATTTTTTAATTATTCTTAATTTAAATATGATTTAACTTTGGAGTAAAAATTTATACAAATAAATAAATAGCATCAAATAAATGAATTAGTAAAGTACGTTTAAATGAATATTTTTGTTTTACTACAAATGAATTAAAATATAAATAACATTTATCAATTATTGAAGCAATTTAGACGAAATCAAACTTTAGGATTCTTATTTAGGAAATGCTTAAAAATTTATTAATTGAGGCAGTAATTAATTGCTCAAAAATTTTAATTTCAATAAAAAAGATTTGCTTCATTAAAATTTCTGATATAGAAAACTGTTTTTGTATGGTTCAAATTCTTCCACTTCCTTAAAGTAAATTAAGCTTATTTAGGTGAAATTGTTTTCGTTATTACCAAACTGAACACCTAAGTAATATTCAGTTTATGGATTCAAAGAGTACGATTTTTCTAACTTATTTACATTATTCTGCTCAGGATAGTCAGAAAACTCCAAAACATTTTGAGAAATATCTATTCTCATTTCTAACATTTATTTATTATTCATTAACAAATTTAATTAATTTCCTCTTACTATTTCACTGCAATAATTTCTTGATGAGATACCAATAATTTTTCCTAAAAATGTGTTTGCTAATTTTAATATAAATTAGATTATAAAAATGATTTAACTAAATATTGATTTTAATTAGAAAGATTTAATTTTATTTATTTCATTATTTATAAATGATAATTGAATTGATTATTTAATATATTTAATAGAATAATAATATGAAGTAATTTTATTTTACCAAGTTATGTTGTTTGTGCTGTATCTTTTGGTAAAAGCCCAATTATAATAAAATTTTTAATGGCTTCATCAAATTAAAATCTTACAACGTATTTCTTTCCAGCTTTCAATTCATATTTAAAATATGCACCTGCAAAAGCTCTACTTTAACTCTAAATTTCTATTTTTTAGCAATACTTTTATATACATTCAATTTTATGAGAATCGTTGTAAATGCACTTCTCTAATGTTCCATAAATTTATGGCATGATACCATTTTCATATAGCTCATTATTCTCCAAGAATTCAAAAATAGGGTAATCTAAAAGGAGGTTTTTTAGCTTTTCTTTGTTTTAGCATAAAGGAAATAAATTTTAGTAAACTCTATAACTCAATTCGTTTTATACAAGATTATAACTGTAATTAGAAGCTATTTTTTGGCATAATTAGTATATACTTGATGCTGCTCTTTCTGAAAGAGTATTTAGTTTTTTTGGATTAAAACCTGGTTTGTATATGTGATTACTATTTACATTCAAATTGCTGAATATTGGTTCAACAGATACCAAAATTGATCGAAGTTCTTTCACAAACTCATTATTTAAAAAATTGAATTTATTACAGACTAGATTCATAATTTCCTTAGTTTAATTTAAAGAAGGAAGAATATTTGAATCGGGTTTCAAAAGTTTTTATGTATAATTGTAAACCATTTGAAAATCTTCCTCTTTGAGTTAATGAAAGGGAATAGGTTTCTTAGATTGCTATAAAACTGAATTTATATTGATTGTAGATTAAAAAATGTATTCAGCTTCTTCGTAAGCTTAATTAAACTAGCTAAGAAATTACTAAGTAATGAAATTAGTCTTATTGCTAAGCAATTAGTTAATAAGCAATTAAAGCTCGCTGCATTCTTTATTTACAACATCTTTTTAGCTAATAATTAAATTAAAATTTTAAGTCTTGCTTATTATATTGTTACAAAAATCATTCAATCTTGATATTTCAAATCTTGGCTTAATCTCCTTATACTAATTTATAATATCTTCAAGTTGCTTTGTATTTTTATCTATATCTTCTTCTCTCTCTCTAATATGGTCGGACAGATTATTTCTATCTTATTCTGATCTTGTTCTTGAGCAGGCATTTAAGTAATTTTTTAGCTCTTCAAACTATGCAAAGTTATGATAGGTTTCTATAAGCTCGTTTTGGCAAATGCTTAACCTTTTAGCTTTTTATATTTCCTCATTTTTTTTAATTTTTAAAATTTCAATCAATCTTTCTTATAATTCTTAGAATTTTTATTCAATTAAATCTTCTTTAATCACTTCATTAATTTCTTTATTAAGGTCATCGAATAGTTTAGTATTTTTAACAGGTGGCCATTATTTATTTACAAAAGATCTATCTTATTAATATAGATCTTTTAGGCTCATCACGCTACATTCATTTTTTCTTGTATATCTTTCTACACAATCTTCGCAAACATAAAAAAAATCCCCATATCCCATAGATAAAAGAAAATTTGCCTAGAGAGCTCTGTGGCTTCTACAAGGTAACTTAGGAATTTAATTATTTTCCTAACTTTCCTTTTCAATTTTTTCTTATGCTTAGTCTTCCATCGAAATGCTAACTTATATACCTAAATAAGATATGTATACTTTTATTTATTTTATTATTAGAATATTTGAAAAATTATCTAGATATAATTTTTAAAGTGTTATTTTTGTTATCAATTTAATATTTAAGTATTAATTTTTAATAAATCTTAAAAAAATTTTTAATATTTTTTGATATCTGATCTAAATAAAAATTTGCTTGATCCAATTATATTATTTGTTCTTAAAGAAAAAAATGTAGAATGAATGCTTTAGAACATAAACATATTTCCACAAATGATACAATTTTAGTCTTATAAAATTATTTTACATTTAAAAAAATATTGATAGATATTAAATATTATCAATTAAATTTTTCTTAAATATCTCAAATAGTATCAATACAAATAAACCAAAAAATATTTATCATAAGTTTAATTGGGGGTGAAAGGTTTGGTGCATACATATATTTTTATTTTTTTAAATATTGATAATATGACAAAACTAAATAAAATAATTTATTTCATTAATTAATTAACCCACTTTATATATCGAATATTCGAATTACAATTTTGCATTTAAGCATCTATAATTATTTAAAACCTGGGATGGATAACTATATTTATAATAAATTCTGTAAATATATTTTGTTGATTTCTAATTATTTACAATATTTTAGAAAAAATTACTTTAGAATTTGTAAGTTCCAAACAAAAAAATTAATATTGTTATATAAATCAATAAGGCATTTATTTAATTTTTACAAATACTTAAATATATTAAAATAAATTTTTTGTTAATTATCAAAAAAAAATAATTTAAATTTCATTCTATTTTTATTTTTAAAATTAAATAGTAAATTATCAGTATATTTAATGATAAAATTCAAAGCTTTTGATATCTATAACATAATTTATAAATCAAGTATATTTCTTGATCAAATAAATTTTGAAAGTTTTTTTGATTGATTGATTGATTGATCCTTTCTCTCACCTACAAATAGTTTAGTTTGCTAACACAAAATAAATTATTTGTTTTTGTGAGAAAAATTATTGTGATAAATTAATTTAAAAAGAAATACTAATAAATTAAAATATTAAAAGGAAATGTTCAAAAAGCTTTTTGGTGGTTCAGAAAAGCCTGCTCCTCCTCCTCCCCCTCAACCTAAGAAGTTCAATGAAATGAGTAAGGAAGAAATGAGGGAAGTATAAAAGGAATTCAGAAAAAAAATTAACACAGAAGTAAGAGAAGTTGATAAGCAGATTTTTAGAATCGATATGGCTAGTAAGAAGGCTGAAGAAGACTTAAAAAGAGAAATAAAGAAAGGAGATAAAGCTGACAAATTCGTTAAATAAACATATGCTAAGTAAGTTTTACAATGCAGAACCCAAAAGCAAAGATATATGGCAAACAAGGCTAAGGTTTAGGGTCTCTAATATACTCTAGATAACTTCTTTGCTGATATTAAACTAGCTTAAACCATGTAAAATACTGCTGGCATCATGAAAGCTATTAACTAATGCATCAACATCAAGGAATTGCAAGTTTCTATGGCAGAAATGCAGAAAGAAATGGCTAAGATGGGTATCATTCAAGAAATGATGGATGATGCTATGGAAGCTGTTAACGATGATGTAGAGTTTGATAATGAGTAAGAAATTGATAGTTTAATTGATCAAATGGAAAAAGGTTTAAAAGAACCAAAATAAAATCAATTCAACCAAAACTTAAATCAAAATATTTAATAAAATCATGCACAAGAAGAAGATGACTTCGATGCTCAACTAGCTGCACTTAAAAATTGATTTGAGTTTATAACATTTATATTTGTAGTTTTAATTTAATAAATATCAAATTTGGTTTAGTAAATAAGCAAATAAATAAATAAATAAATATATATATTCATTTATCTGATATAAATTGTAGTCTTTTAATTAATTATTAGCTAAGCATATTAACTCCAATACAATTACTTTCTTTTTTCATTTTAATATCTTTATTTTCGTACTATAAAAAGTAATAGACCTATTTTATTTTGCAAAAACTTGTTTTAAAATTTTTCTAATCAATTATCTATCTCAGGATACCTGATGTGATTTGATTTATTTTCTAAACGTTTGTAATTAGAATATCACCAAAAATTATACAGCAAATTGTGTGTTAAGCAAAAAAAATGATGTAAAATCAAATTCTTGAATGTATTTTCTATCTTAAATTAAGATTTAAATAAAAATAATACCATAAAAAATCATATTATTAGCAAAGATTTAGTCATTGAAAATGTCAAAAAAATAAAAAATATTTCTGTTTAATTATAAGATATTATAACAAATTATAAAAATATTAAAAAAAATAGTTTTTACGATAAATTTTTTTACATTTATGATACCTTTTTTAATTTAAAATTGTTAATTATATTAAATTTACTTTCAATTTATGCCATTTTTTGCATATTTTTAAGATTGACTTCTCATTTTATATTTTAGCAATACTTTTTTAATAAACTTTAGGATTAATTGTACTTTATTATTTATTTTATGCTTAAAATAAAATATTATTTACTTAATCAATCATTTTAGAAATTTTATAACATGAAAAAAATTTTTATTAAAAATGCTTAAAAGCTGACTAAATAGTAAATAGTAAAAATGATAATTGTTCATTAAAATTTAAGCTGTTATAGTTATTGATATCAATTTATGGTAAAATATTTATGTATTCATTAAAATTTAACTTATTTTTATAAAATTTTAATATATATTCTTAAATAAGTTTAATAGATTTATTTTAATTTTTTTTGTTTTGTTTTGTTTTTTAATTATTAAATTGTTTTTAAGTTTAGCTATTTATAATAATTTAATGAAACTTTTTCTATATTAAAATTAAAAGTACTTTAATAAAATTATTTAATAAATTAAAATATTTTAATTATTTCTATTGCTCTATTTATAACTTAAAACTATTGATTTTTGTATCACTTTGATTAGTTTTTACAGTCATTTATTACTGATAATTTAATTATTTTGGTTTATAAATATTACATCAAATAATTTACTCAAATTTTTGATGGCATTAACAAACATTTTTGCCATAAATATATAATAATTCTTTTAACAATAAAATTATTATTTTACTAAAACCTTTTATAATTAAATTTATCATAGCATAATAAAATTTTTAAAATATGTATGAACGATTTTCCATGATTCGAATATTAAAATAAATGTAAAACATTGTAAAGTTAGTTAAAAATCTCTTAATAAATGAATTTTTTGATGAATCAATAAATAGAATAAAAATTGTGAATGTTTCACATTAACTTTAATACTTCTATCAAAAAATAATAATTTGAAGATTATGACTAAATTAAAAGATAATATGTCATTTTTAGTCAGACTGCCAAAAAAATAAAGAAAAGTGCATTTAGATTAGAAATATCTAATATCTTTCTGTATCTTTAAAAACTTTTGTGCCAATTTATTTATAAAAAATAAACATATTTTAATTAATTAATTTATAATCTTAACTCAAAAAATTAAAAAAACAAAAGAAACAAACAATGATTTCAAACATCTTTAAAAACATTGCTTTGAAAACCACCAAGCAAGGCTTCTCCAACATGCCCATGTTCATGTTTAGCAATCTTAAAACACTTGAATATATCAAGTACGAAGTCTAGGAAAACCAAGTTGCCTTAGTTACATTAAACAGACCTAAAGCTTTGAATGCTTTATGCGATGGTTTGATTAATGAATTGAATTCCACTCTCGAATAATTAAATAAAGACCCCAAGGTTGGTGCTATTGTAATTACTGGTAGTGAAAAAGCATTCGCTGCTGGTGCTGATATTAAAGAAATGAAGGACAAGACTTTCCCTTACACTTACAGCGTTAATATGCTTGCTAGTTGGGATAATTTGACCACCATTAAAAAGCCCATCATTGCTGCAGTAAACGGTTATGCTCTTGGTGGTGGCTGCGAATTAGCTATGATGTGTGATATTATCGTCGCTGGTACTTCTGCTAAGTTTGGTCAACCCGAAATTCTTATTGGAACGTAAAATATTTCACAAAAATTTAAACATTTTAATTCATAAAAAATAAATTAAAAAATAGTATTCCTGGTTGTGGTGGTACTCAAAGATTGACAAGAGCTATTGGTAAATCAAAAGCTATGGAATTAGTTTTAACTGGAGATTAAATCGATGCTCACACTGCTGAAAAACACGGCTTAGTCTCTAAGGTTGTTGAACCTACCGAAACTGTTAACGAAGCTGTTAAAATTGCTGCTAAGATTGCCTCTCTCTCTCAACCTATTGTAGCCATGGCTAAGGAAGCTGTCAACTAGGCTCACAATCTTCCCTTAAAGGACGGTCTTCAATATGAAAAGAGACTTTTCCATTCCACCTTCGCCACACAAGACAGAAAGGAAGGTATGACCGCTTTTGCTGAAAAAAGAAAGCCTCAATGGAAAAACGAATGAAAAAATTACTACTTATAAATAAAAATGCAATAAAATTATTAATACTGAATTCTATATACAAGTATATGTAGTAGATGTAATTATAAAAAAATTACTTCAAGTATTTCTTAACTACAATAATTACTATTTTTATAATTATCACTAAAAAATATATAAATATATATGATAGTCAGTTAGTCTTTCATTCTTTCAATCATTCATTCATTCATTCATTAAGTCAATTGATCAATCAATCAGATTTTATATGATAAACTTACTTTGCTTTTTTTACAATTGCCTTTTAGATTATTTACGTGAATAAAAAATCAATAATAAGTAAGTAAATCAATTGATAAATAAATATCTTTACTTTCATGAGCAGAAATGATAAAGTTCCAATAAAAGCGCTTATAAAAATCATATAAACAAAAATATTTATTTCTTTGTATTCATCAAACATCTTACTTGCTTTATTAGTCGCCTCTGATTGTATATCTGTCAGCGAAAGCTAAGGTTCGCTAATTTTAAAAAATAAAAATTAATAAAATCATAATTAGTTAAATATCCCTACCTAATGAATGTGAAACCAAAAAAGAAAATAAAGTAAATCACAAAAATTAAAGAGGATATTAAAGGGCAGAAGAAAAAAAGCATTTTAAATTAAGACGAGATAGGCAGAGGAGAAGGATAGATAAAAAATATGTGATATTATTTTTTTATTTTATAGCAAAGGTTTATTTCTTTTTCTTTAGATAATAAGCAAGAGATTTAATTTTATGAAATCAAAATCAGACAAACTTGTTGAATATTTCAATTCATTAACACAATAATTTTTACAGAATATCTCTGTATTTTTAAAAAATAAATTTAATATTTTGATTCTTCTTTTACTTTAATTTATGCTAATCAAATTTTAAAGATTATATTTTGAAATGTCATTTAAATTTATTGTAGGCATTACATACTTTATCTCGAGCTTCTATTATATTACAGGTAACAAGCATTAACATGATTACCATAAGAAAAATACTAGAAGATTTTTGAAAATTAAATTAAAATCTAGTATGTTTTCTTTTGAGACAAGCAGTATTACCTAAGATATAAAAAAGGCAAGAAGAAAAAAAATTAAAATATCAAAATGTGTTATATCATAAACACACCTATTATACATAAACATTTTCTTTAAAGTGATATATTTATCAAATAAATATATAAACTGCTAATTAATAAATAAGTATTTACATTAATAAAAATAAAATAAATTTTTCTGTCTTTTTTTATCAAAATTTGTTTATAATTTAGTTAAATATTAATTTTTAAAAATATTTTAGAATATAATCAAAAAAAAACTTTTGATTTTTTTAAAACAAACACTAAATAATTAATTATTTTATATTTCTAGATTGTATTAGAAATAAAGTAACTTTTTTAGTAAATAATATTTTTATTGTCAAGTGTTTCATGTTATTAAAGAAAATATTGAAATAATACATATTTGAATACTAAAATATTATCATTGATTTCTATATTTTCTTTTCACGTTCTATCTGAATGCTTTAAACATGAGTAAATTCATCAATTTAAATCAAAATATTTTGAAGAATTGTTGACTTATTGATATAAAAAGTAGTCATTTAATATCTTATTTAACAAATAATAAATTCAAATATAAAAAATATTGACAGGAAATATAATTCAAAGTTGTTGAAGATACAATTAAGTATTTTGGTTATTTAATTAACTATTGAATATATTTTTTACTTAGAATAATCACAAAACTTCTTCTTCTTCATCTTAATCATCTCCTTGCTAAAATACACCATTGGAATAATTATTTTCTTATGATGTAACTACTTAGCTACTTAAATGGTCATTTCTGTTTTAATAGTCATCAGATACTAAACCATTTATTGAATTAGGATTAAAAGATTCGTAGTTACCTTACTGTAAATGGTTTTAGTCTTATTCACTGTAGAATTACTATTATTCATTTTCATTTTAGGCTAAAAAATGTTGCTAAAAGAATTAATTAAGCTAATCTTATGGAATGAAAGAAAATTGTTCAAATTAAGATTATAGGTATTCTATATCTTGCTACAATTAGTTGATCATAGCATCATAATTTTCAATTTGATTCTTATAATAATCTAGCTATTGATTTAGCTATATCCTGTAATCATTAACTCTATTTCTTTGCTCTTCTGATAAATTTTATTCTGCCTACTATGCTTATCTTTGCTTGCTAAGCCTTATTCTAGAATTCGGAGATAAATTCTTAGATATCTAGCTTTGCTAGTGTTGGTATTATCCAGCTTGCTAATACTGCATTCAAATATATTAAAAATAATAAATAAATAAATTATATTTTTTTATTAATATTTAATTTACGTTTTGCTATGAAATTTTAAGGCTATCAAGTTTTTTTATCTGTTGATTGAGCTAATCATTATGCTTATATTGTGTATTTAATCTTTCCATTTTTGATGTGAGTTGAGATGACAATTTTTCAAATATTTTACTGCAGTCTTTTATTTTTTGCTAAACAGCTGCATTTTGTTTGATAGTTTGAGCTAATTCTTTTTAAACTGATTTGTAATTCATTTCACTCTTATCTTTTTCTTAAGTTAGGTATGCTTAAAAATCATCATTTTCTTTGATTTTTTATAGTTATTCATTAAGCTTAGTTTTTTATGCTTCCAAGTTATCTACTTAGGACTGTATAGCACTTTCTAAATCTTTATCACTGCCGTTAATAAGAGTCATCTATCTACATAAAATATTCATTTCTTCCTTTAAAAAACTCTATTACTAAAGCTTATCATGAATGATTGATTCTTTTTCTTTTAATCTTTCTTCTAGATTCTTTTTTTGCTCAATGAGAATCTTTTGCTAGTTAGCACTTTAATTAATTGCTGAGATTATCTATACATTATTACTTTAATAAGCTTCTAAAATTTCCTAAACCTATTTCAACTATTTTTATAATTGATCCTTTTCTTAATCTAGTATTTCTTATGTCTAAATTCTTTTCTCGTTTTCAGAAACGATGATTTGCCTAAGATGATCATTTGACTTCTAAATTTCTAACTTATGTTTCCTGTTATCTTTTAGCTTCTAAAATAATAACTAAAAGCTCTAGCAAAGCTAAATTAATTGTTAACGAGATTTATCCATATTACTTAAAGATATTTTTATTTTAATAAATTTTCTTCTTATAAATTAATTGATGAATTGAAATTTTATTTATCAATTTATTTTAAATATCTTGAAAATTTAATAATGTTGGTTATTGTTAATAATATTTCACTATAAACTGATACACTTTTTTACTTAGGATTAAGGTCATTCAATCATTACTTTTAATTGCAAAAATGTCCAGCCATTGTAAAAATTTAGATTCATGAAACTCTTTAAAAAATATTATTTTCAAAATGCAAGGAGTTAAATTTTAACAATTTTTATTACTTTAGAATTTTTTAAACAAAATTTGATAAACGTTTAAATAATATCATTTCACTCAAACTCAAGAGAAAAATGTAAAAAATTATTATTTTAAAAAAATGCAAACATCAAAATAAAAATTAATCTTAGTATATTTTTCATTTAAAAGCTAAAATAAAAAACAAACTGCAATTTTTTTGCATTAAATAACAAATATTTTATTAGTTTAAAAAAATATTTAAATTGAAAAAGGAAAAAATATATTTTAGTTTTTTTACAAAATTAATTTAAGCTTGAAATTTTAAAGTACTTAAAAAAATTATTTAAAATAAATATCTCAAAATAGGAGTTTAAAATAAAAATAATAATTTTAATTTCAAATTTTGTGTTCAGAAATAGATAAAAAAAACATGGAATAACGTTTATTAGATCAATATCGTTTTCGTTTCTCTCTTTCTATTCAGGCTGAAATTTTTTGTTTTCTAAGTTTGCTTAGTGAAATATTTTAATTTTAAATAATTCTTAGCTTTAAATAGTAAAATATAAAATAAATAATATTAATGTTCAAAATTTTTTTAAGTTATTTCATTAAATATATTTAAAATATAGAATAGCTAGCTAATTAATAAGTTTTTGAGTTTATTACCTAAATTAAGATTTACTAATTTAAAAATGAGAAATCCTTAATCCCACCAATTTCATAATTTGGAATAGAGGTAAATAAAGTGCAGATATTTATCGCATTTAAATTTACTTAATTATTGTTGACATAATAATATTATCAAAGGGTAATTTTTGTTATAAATAAGATAAATTAATCTTATTTTCACATACGATAGATATCTTCAGATTAAACTATATCTAACTTTAAGATGGATTTTATCTCGCGGGCTTGTATCTCAGTTTAAATATCTAATGATCTTCACTCTTAATAACTTTGCGCAAAATCTATTGATCAAAAATCAATTGAAATTAAATCTGTTGGCTTTAAGCGCAATTTATAAAATAATTAACTAAAAAAAAAACAAAAATAAACAGTCACTTGATTGAAAAAGGAAAAAAAAAGATTTATTTAACTTAAATATAAATGAACAAAGAAGAAAATTCTTGCAAAGGCTCAGTTGACTCTAAGGCAGAAACTGCTCCTTCAAGCGCTATGAAAATTGAAGTGATGAGTCATGAAAAAGTTTTCTTAATAAATAAAGAATAAATGAAATGTAATAAGCAAGATCATGACAATAATAGACTTAAATTCTTGTGCATCGATCCTGCCTGCAAGATTGAAGCAAAATTAGCCTGTGCTGAGTGTATCTTAAACGATCACTATTAACACAAATACGTTGTTTTAGAAAAGTTTACTTCAGAAGTTTCTGAAAAATATATTAAGATTAATAAGTAAGCCAAAGCTTTAGAATAAGAAAATTAGATGGAAGAATTTTAAAAGACAATCAGTGAAGAAGTTCATGCTGAATTTGAAGAAATCAAGCAGCTGGTAATAAAATCTTTCGAAGAATTCGAAAAGGAATACCTTCAAAACGTCTCTAAAATTTTAGAAAGCGGCAAGCTCAAAATGGATCACCGCGATAAGTTTTAAGTCATTGAAAATCTTACCCAAAAAGAATTTGGAAAATTCGACCCATAAGATATTTCTCATATAATTGACTTCTACCAAGACGATAAAATTGAAAAAGCTTTGGAAGAAAATGAAAAGCACCTAATCAAAACTAAGGGAGCTATAAGCAAAAAGCAAGTAAAATACTTCGAAAAGTTCCGCACCATCGTAAAGGACATATTGAAAAACTGCAAAACTACACCAATTAAAGAGAGTTCTATCTCATCACCTGTTTCTTCTTCAATGAATCTCTCTGCTACTAATTCTTCAAACAATGCAAGCTAATCTTAAAATAGTCAAAATAGTAGCAGTTAAGATGAAAAGAAGAAGAGAAGATTAACTATTAGCGAAGAAAACAATATAATTTATGATGCTCCTGCAGTTAATTAAAGTAACTTTAAGAGCATCAGTGAGCTTTAGTCTTTTGCCCAAAGATCTTTTGCAGGTGAAACAAGAAGATTCTCTAATGCCGTCCACAAAAAAATAAAAACTGAATAATATCAAACTTAACCAATATCTACTTAATGAAGAAGTTAAAACTGATCTGATTGCATTATAAAATTAATGAATGGTAAGCCCAAAATCAAATTATAATCAAATAAAGCTAATAAATTTTGTGGGGGTTAATTTTATAACCCAAAGATAGTAAGATAGATATACCAAAAAAAAAAATATAAATAAATTTCTAAACAAATAAATTCACAAATGAATTTATAAAACTAGATTATTCCAAAAATTTAATTGAGTTAATTACTCACAATTAAGATAAATAAAATATTAAATCTTATAATTTTGAATACTTTATTAAAAATATATATTATTTTTCTATTTGTAAATTAATACTTTGTTGCTTCTATTTTCGTCATTTTCATTTATACTTATAAAGCTTTAATTTTTTTTTTCCTTATAAGAAGCAATAGACTGAATAATATTTTTGTTAAAGACATTATCAACTTACTTTTAAGCAAAATTTAATATTCTGAATTTCAGGCAAATGCTTCCAAAAAAAATCAGTTTAAATCGAACTAAAAACAATTCATAAATAAATTATTAATATCAAATTATAATTTTGCAAAATATAATAAATTTAATGGATTCATTTTAAAGTATATTTCACCTGTTTCAAATTATTCTAATACTACTATAAATAATTATATTTACTGATAAACTAAATCATTCATTTTTATTAATTTAAATTATATTTTTTAAAATTTTTGCTCATTTTTGTAAAATATAAAATAAAGGAGGATTTATAATTTAACTTAATATATATTTTTGAAGTAACTTTGTTTATTTATAAATAGAATATGGAGATGGAATAAAGCAAACTATTAATTCCATTTAAATTGAATGTAATACTTTAAAAATAACATAATATTAGGATATAAATCTATCTTTAAATTTCTTTACTTTAGTATTTATTATGTTATTCTATTAATAGATTTAAATAAAATCTTCATATTTCAACTAATGTATTGATATTTATTATGAAAGAAATCTAAGCAAAAAAAAAAAGAAATATAGACTTAAGTAAAAAATGTAATTTATATAAATAAGATCACTAGATCTTATAAAAACCATTATTTAAATCTACCGTAAGTCATAATAAAAGACTAGATCGAATAAAACCATTAAGATTAACTTCTTGTTTCAAAAACTTTAAATCTTATGATTTTGACCAACCTCATCTTACAAAAACTTTAAAAATAAAGTTAAGGTACATTATTAAATAAATTAGAAATTATTAGTTAAGTTTTTAAATTTGCATCAATGAGATTACATAGAATTTTAAAATAATATACAAGGTTAAAAAAAGTATGTGTTCGTTTTTGAATTAATAGAAAAAGTAAATTCTTTTTTTATGCATAAAATTAAGGTAAAACTTACTTAATCGAAATTAATTAAATATCATTTCAAAATACAAGTAGAAAATTTCTCTATTGAATTTTAGATTTTAATAATGTTCTATTAAGGGTAAACATTTAATATAAATAATGCCAGTAAAATACAAGTAATTATTATACTTCACCTGATCTATTTTATTTTTCTACTTTTAAGTGTTTCAAATATTTTAATGAATCCCTACTTTTATGATAAAGAAAATAAGCACCTAAATTCTTGATTAATTTTCATATAACTATAAGAAATACTTTGCTTTACTTCAGGAAAAATTAATTACAAAGTGTTAAATTATTTGTTAACAAATGAGGAAATTTATAATAATAAATTAAATTTTTTATCTAAAATTTCTACTTCATTTAAGATTTATATGGATAATATAAAAAAGATTATAAGCTTGAAGAAAGATTCAATTAAGAAAAAAAAATATCCTTTTAAATAATTTATTTTTTAAATTAACTTTAAATTGTCTTGCCAGAAAATATCGATCAGCTAATAAAACTCAATTTAGATGAAGGGTTTATTAATTTACATTTCTTTTAAAACTCCTACGATAATTGACTAGTAATTAAATATACTAAATGAGTGAAAAATATATCGTATAATATATGTTATATTAAAATTTTTGATATTAGATCATCTACGATATTATATATTTAAATAATTTTGAAAGCAAATAAAGAATAAATGCATTTAAAAGTTTAAACGAAGGCTATTAAAATTCTTTTAAATCTAAAAAATGAGACAAATAGAAAAAATTACTATTTTAATTATAATTAATATTTGTAGCTTTTATTATAAAACCATTGAATAAAACCAATGCCTAATTTAGAAATTATTTCTACTATAAACGAAATACATACACTATCTAGCAAATTTAAGATTTGAGATAGATAAAATATTTCTAAAATGAATTTTATCACTGTTACTCGTTTTTAATTGCAATAAAAATTTTCGAGCTTATGTAAAATCAATAGCTAGCTAGATATTTTTAAATTAAAAATAAAAAATAAATAAAAAGAAAGCACTTTATTTAAAATATTTTTGAAAGCTTAAAAATACTTTAAAATATTTTTGAAAACTTTTAAAAACTTTAAAATTAAGTTTTTTATGATTTGATTGAAATTGGTTAACTTTTTTGGTGAATTTGTAAGAAGTTGGAAGGATTACTTTTTAAACAATAATAATATTAGTAAAACCTTATCCGACAGAGTCAGAATAACCTTGCATTGTATAAAAAAAGGAATAAGAAGTATTAGAAACATATAAAAATATATTTGTGGTTGCTTGAATTTTGATTTTCGTAGAGAGAAATTAAATTAATTATTTATGGATATATAAAAAGTAATAAGAAAAACAAGGGCTTATAAAAAGCATTATAATTTGCTTGATAAAAATCTGATTTGTTCTTGAAATAAAAATATAAAAAATTAATAAAATAAAAGAAACATAATAAATTTATAAAAACAAAATAAATACAACTCTAATCAAATCGCTATTTAGTAAATTAATTGATGGGTTGCACATCTGCTAAAGGCTTCAATGATAAATAGAAGTGGTAATAATAATTGGAATACATCGTTTAACAATATGAGTCACTTGAATTATACATTTAGAATTAAAGACAAAATGTATTCAACTATCTCTCTTAAAATGGAGAATCTCTCTTACGCTTGGAAGTGGAGAAAGATAGAAACCTTATGATTAATGTATGCTAAGATATATCTAATTTCCGTAAATACAGGAAAGTCAATAAATATAAATATGAAGTGACTATCCCAAAATTCTTTAAACAAATAAAATACTGCTACCATAAAATGAAAATAGTAGATGACATATATTAAGAATTTTTCGGATAGTACTAATTAATTAAGATTTCTACTGAGGGACAAAAGTTTTTTAAGAAAAATTAAATAATCTTCACTCACATTTAAGACTTGAAACAGAAGATTAATGGTTACCTTTAATTTAATAAGGATCTTAGCGAAGAAGAAAATAAACACACTTTGCTCAGCGAAATCAAAAATTAGCCGACTTCTGCTAGCGAATTAGATTTAATTGACCTAAAAATAAAATGAAAAAAATATTTGGCTTCATTAACAATTAAATAATAAGCCAGTTAAAAAAATAAAACCAATTCCTTCCCTTTTCCCTTAATCACTTACTAATTAACTCACTTAGAAATCAAATAATTCCAAACAAAAATATTAATTTTTGTATAATAATAATCTCTCTAACTATAACAAATATTTATATCAAAATAGCAACGCCAGTTGCTTTAGGATAAAAAATTCTTTAATCTGTCAACGGAATCTCACTAAATAAAAAATAGACTTTTATCACCAAACCTTCTCAAACAAATCTGATAAACAAAACTTCACTCATTCATAACATCTATCAATTTGTTTCTTCTTTAATCTTCCCCTACATTCCTTAAAACTAACTCTAATTTAATAATGTCCATTCAAATTTAATAAAATTTATTCACTATTTTATTAATACTTTATGTCTATCTATCTATATATCTTTCTTGTCAATTAATCATTCTACTTACTTACTTATTTATTTATTTTGTATTGGCACTTTCCTATTCCCTTTACTCGCTTTAATTAATATTTTAACAAATAATTTTTTTTTCACTTTAATTAAATATCAGTAAAACTGAAATTATTGATTACACTCGCAAACATGCATTGCTTTCATCTTAACTCCAATATTTTATTATAATATACGCAATATTAAATTTTAAGACTTTTTTGATTATAAAATTCATTCAGTAGTTAGAATTCAAATCTTTCAAGAGTGGCTTTTGAAACATTTTTAAAAAATTAATAGATATCATATTTACATTAATCTACTATTACAATTTTATCATATTTAGATTATTCTACTTGACTAGCTTTTAGCACGCTATGTAAGTAAATTTAAGTCACTCTGATTAGATTTTAGAAAATTTAATCCATATTAATTTATAAGCCACAAAAAAAATATATTAAATGTTCTATTGAAATAATCTGGGAGTATTGCAATATAAAAAAAAATGTATTTATTTTCATCCAGACAAACAGAAAAACGATTATTAAAGTGGGAATAAATATTTTTAGTCCATACAAAAATTTTTCTATTTTTATTTGCTTGTAATTTTAAATATTTACTATTTGTTATCTATTTATTCTTAAAAGGCTTACTCACTAATATAAATTATTGCTTTCAAAAAAAACAAATTTATTTACTTATTTCGTTTGGCTGCAAGGGTTATCTATCAAACCTTTAGACTTAAATATAGTGTATGAATAAATAATAGCCATTTATATACAAAATTTGATAGGAAATTATTATATATTTTAAATGGTTTTCTTTAGAAAAATTAAAAATCTTGAAAATCAGCCATGTCTCATCACAAAGATGGATTTAGATGCAGATAGAAAAAGGATATGTCTAATAGACATATCTAGCACAGTATATATTTTTAGCACTTAATCCTTACATAATTTAATAGAAGATTGGCGCTTTAAATTTTAAAAAGATTTAAACTATGCTGATATGAAATCTTTGGATACTCCTTTGTTTAAATTCTCACCTTACGAGCTTTACAAGCCATCTTAAGTTAAATTTAGCTCTAGCATATGTAAATTATAACATTCTGCTGCATAAATCCTTGTAAAAGATTCATTTGAAGAAAGAGATCATGCAATAAAAACGAAAATAGAAGATAGCTCATTTTAAAGTGAAAATTAAAATTAAACACCTTAAGCGCAATAAAAAAACATGACAGAATCAAATTTAATATATCAAAAACCTAAATACCCTCGAAGTTACACTACATATTCTGAAAAATCAAATAAAAAAATAAAAATTAACATGATATACAGTACAGAATAGAGTATGATTCGCTAAGATTCTTCAATTTTATATAGCAATTTTAAAAGAGAAAGAATCTAGAATAATTAAAATAATAGCAATAATGATTTATATGCACTAGCTATACAAGAATCAAGAGGCAATATAAAAGTATATTCACCTCTTTTCGAAATAAATGACTGGATTAAAGTGGCTAACATAGTTTACTAAGATAATTAATTTTCTACCCTAGATTTCTGTTGGTCAAGGGAAAGTAAATTCATATTTGCTATTTATTCAGACTCACAATTAGTATAATATGATTCAGCTCAACAGTTTACTCCTGTAAATATTTAAATAAAAATTATTTGAAAAATATTTGAATTGAAATTTATTTGTCTACTATCAAATTTTTTAAGAAACTTTTCAAGTCGTAAGCAAACAAAAAATAGATTTTATTCATACTCCAAAAGATCAATTTAAAAAATTAATAGAATGAAAAAATATATTTTAAATATTTATTTTAATGCAGATAAAAAAGTTTAAAGTGGATCCATCAGCAAATTATAAAATAATTTCTAATATGAGAAATGATTGTCTACTCTTAAAAAATGAAAAAAATAGCTGCTAACTAATTGACTTTGAAAGTAAAAAGGCCTACACCTTTGAGGTATTCAAAAAAGAAAGAGGATAAAACAATTAAAATTAATAGAAAAATTCAATTTTATAAGATAAATAAATATCTTTGAGTAATCAAAACAAATAGAATAATATTCATATCTTTCCAAACTCATAAAAAGTAAATTTACACTTTTTAAAACAAAAGATACTTATTTCAAATATTAATTATTTATTTAAAATCTTATTAGGTTGTCTAGGACAAACAAACAAATGATTTCTGCAATTAAAACAGTGCAGGGAAGATAAAAACATAATTTAACAGTATTTAAATTTTATTTAATAAATTTAAATTATTTTTGGTTTTCAACTATCACTTTTAACGTAAAAGATTAATTAATAATGTCTTCTCAAAAGAGTAACAATATAATCAAAGAAACTAATTTAGACGATAAAGATGAAGATAATGAATATCCCAGTGAAAACTTGAGTGCATCAGATGAAATGATAGTGGATAAGTGTATTTAAGAAAATATTAATGAGTATATTTATGAAACACAAGCAAGTGTTAGTTCAGATGCAAAATATATTTGTCTTGGATCAATACATGAAAAGGGGGTTTTACTTTACTCTGTTTAAACAAAAGAAGAAAAGGGAGATATATTTGAATGGAAATATGGATTCAAAAAAGCTTGTTTTGAAGCTGATATTGATTAAGTAGAAGGTTCTAGTTTTAGTGAGTACTTTTACTTACAAGATAATATCTAAATCAACAATTACCTTACAAAAAATCACTCAATTAATAGCTTTATCAGTAATTTAGATGCTAGAATTCAAAAAAGTAAATATAATGAATTAGTTTTGTAACGCATTCTAGCTGTTGGCTAATCTAAATCCATCATTTTTTACTCAATTATTGATTATGATAACAAGCCCTAATTTAAAAAGATTTTAGTTGTTAACCACTTAAAAAGTGAAGTAAAAAACATATTTTGGTTGAATGCTTATACTTTAATCCTCTTGCTAACTGATTATTCAATTATTTATTTTAAACTATCACCTGTAAATATTGGATTTGCTGTTCAAATTTAGGCTAGTGATTATATCAAATGATTTTTGCTAACTTTCTACCAGCTAAAAAAATAAACTAAATTTTTATTAACGTATGTAATTTAAATAAACACAAGCCAGATCAAATTGTTTTCTTGTTTATAAAAACTGTAAATTAATTATAATTGATTCTAATTTTAATAATTGGTATTAAGATTAAAAATGACTGGATTCAAACATGCATTTTCAATTTTTATTTATTTAAAATGAATTTCTAATTTATCTAAACATAAAAGATTTTATCAAAATATTTAATTTAAAGGATGTTTTTTAAATATAAATTCTAAGTTATTTTGTTATTTATTCTTAAACTTAAACATAAAATATGCACTATTTCAAATCTTAAATTTTATTTTAGGAAAACCGAAGTTTTTATTATTAAAGTAACAAATGAGTATAATTTAAAAATTTTAATTTTTATATGTAATAAAATGTAAACTTCATTAATTTAAGCGAAATTTACTCGTAATCTTAAATCTGTTAAAAATTTGTTTTATACTAATTTCCATCTCAAAAAATAAATTATGTTAAATCTAATTTGTGTAAGTTAAATTCCTAACTTCTAGTTTTGTGAAAATTTTGCATAAATTATCATTCATTTTATTAAAATTCTACAATCTAAAATAAATAATTTTCATTTTAATAATTAAGACTAAAGTATCAAAAAATGGTTGGAAAGTTTTTAAATTACTTTATAAAAATTATAACTTCTATCATGAAATATTTTAAAACATTTTTCATTATAGGTTTTCTTGAAACTAATTTATGAAAAACCAATAATTATTTTAATTTAAAGTATAATAAATTAAACTTGGAGTCATGTTAATGTCATAAAGTAGAGTATATGAGCCTATGAAGATTTTAATTGGATTACCATTTTAAAATAAATAAAAATTGTTTAAAGATAATTGAGTTATTTTTAAATTCTTAACTAATTTGTAAAAAAATATATTTAAATTAGAAAAATTACAATTTAAATGTTTTTGAGGTAAACTTCTTAGATCTAAGGATTTTTATTAAAAATAATTTTTTTAAATTAATTTTATTCTTAATTTAAAGCAAAATTCTTTTTCTAAACTTGGCTTCATTCTATAAAGAACCATAGTGAATTAATTAGCTACTTATTTTTTTCCAAATAATTGAATCATTTATAAATCATTATTGCCGACAAAAGTAAAGTTTCGTTATTTTACAATTTTATCTTTATTTTCAATAGTTTTTATAATATAAAATTTAACTTAGAAAAATAATTTTAGAATGTTTTCAATACAAAATTTCTTGAAAATTTAATTTCTATTAAAAATTATTTTTAAATTAATAATATTTTTTTAGTAATTAAAACTATGAGCCTCTTCAAATTTTGTTTAAATTAAATGAATTATTTTTAAATAAATATTACAACAAAAGTAAAGTTTTTTTATTTTACAATTTTATGTTATTTTCAATAATTTTTATAATATAAAATTTAACTTAGTAAAATAATTTTAGAATGTTTTCGATACAAAATTTCTTGAAAATTTAATTTTTATTAAAAATTATTTTTAAATTAATAATATTTTTTTAGATTCATCATATTAATTAAAACTCTTCAAATTTTGTTTAAATTAAATGAATCATTAATAAATAACTCTTACCAATTCAATGTATCTTTTTAATTTATAAATTTACGTTTGTTTTAAAGCATTTTGATTATCTAAAAAGTTAATTTATTCAGTAAAAAAATTAAAAAATATTTGTCATTAACTTGTTAACTAAATCTAAATATATTAATTATTCCGATATTTGTGATTATATTAGATATGGCGTAAAGTTATGCAAACATTACTTTTGTTATATTAAATTTTTAAATATTTATGGTTTTTAAACAGCTATCTACCAAAGAATTTCAATGGATGCGAAACCTTAATCAAAAGTATTTGTAGTATAAATTTCACTATTTTTATGGTTATAAATTTTATTTTTTTATTTGGAAGCTTGAAACTATAGACTATTTTGTGATCTAGATAATAGTATATTAGATATATAGATACATAATGCTTAATTTTAGTGATAATTAATTAATATATAAATAAACTGAAGGATTGATTGATACATATCAAATTTTTTTAAAAATAGCTAAACACCAATTAATAAATTATAATATTGTTTGTTTTAAACATAAAATTTATTAGCATAAAAAACATAAAATATATAGAAAGTATGGAAATTAAAGCTTTAGCACTTAATTAGTTTTTAAGCGATATAAAACTAGTACATAGCTCTAACGAGAAGTAGAAAGAATACTTAGCTCATAAGTTCGTTTTGGCTACATAAAGCTAGGTCTTTTTGAAGATTTTAGAAGAGCATAAATAAGTGGAGAAAATAGTATTAGCAAAATCAATTAAGTCTGCTAAAAATCAAGATCTTTTAAGAGTTTAAAGCGAAGAAGATCATTTAGGATAAATTCTAAAGTTAGTTTATTTGTCAATCCAAAATCCTTAATAAGTTAGAGATGAGGTAGTGAAAATAGTAAATAAAAATAATTGTTTTAACTACTACTCCATTTGTCAATCATTAGGATTGGACAAAATTAAAATCTATTTTGGAGAATACATTGTGTCTAATATTTAAAAAGAAGACGACTCTGTAAACCTTCTCCTTGACTCCATTCAATTCTAGAGCGAGGAGATGAAGTAATCTGCTTTAGATGTGATTGTTCCTAAATTTTCAGATTTTCTTCGTAGTTCTTTCTTAATGAATGAGCTTATGAACTTACCTTATGAAGCATTTAAAGCTCTAGTTTAAAGAGATGATATATGTGTAAACGAAGAAAGTGATGTCTTCAATCTCGTTTATAAATACATTCTAAAAAGAGAGGTAAATAAATAAACTAATTATTTTATTCATAAATAAATAAATATATTTTGCCAATAAATAATATCATCAAAAATTGAAAGTGAAGAAAATATTTTTAAATTTTTTACAAATATGAAAGAAAATCTAATTTAAATAGGTTTTTTTTAAGCTATTTATTTATTAAATATCTAATTGTGAATTATAATAGAGTGACCCAGAGCATCCTTCCGTTTTGAAATAAGCCTAAGATGCTAAGCAAAAAGCAGAAGATCTTATAGGTGAAAAGCCAAATCCTGAAGAAGCTCCATAAAACATTGAGGAAGCACCTAAGTAAGAAGGAGAAGAAGCACCTAAGAATGAAGGAGAAGAAGCACCTAAATAAGAAGGAGAGGAGGCTTAAAAAGTAGAGCAGCAAGAAAATAATGAAAATAAAGAATAACCTCCTGTTTAGGTTGTTTCTGGTTTAGATGAAAAAGTTTATATTATGCCTGACAATTTGGAATCTCAAGCAAAAGAAAGATTGTAAAATTTCAAACTCACTTAAGAATAGAAAAAAGATTTACTGCTCTCTATTAGACTTGGTTATGTAAGTCATGAAACACTTTTAAAGTACAGCAATATGGAAGTTTTTTAAGAATTCAAAGATATATTTTTGCAAGCAATATCTTCAAAATTAAATTTCTATGATAGCTAGGAGTTCTTAAATAAGTATTAGTTTAATCTAGATCCCAGAGCAAGTTACTAAGATCGTGTTAACAATTTAAGTGTTGCATATCCAAATAATACATCTAAATTAAATTAAAATTCAGTTAATCACTAAAGAACTTCATCAATTAACCAACAATTCCCAAACCATGATAAAAATATTTTACTTAATGATACTATTAAAAGCGAGAATGTTCAAGCTACAAACAGAGCAAAACACTCTCCTTAGTAAGTTAATAATAACATTTTGCAAGAAAGTTCTCGAGTTGGAGCTGCTAATCCTTATTCCCTTATAGATCCTAAATTGCAGTTATAGCATCCAAATAATAATTTACTTTCACATAATAATATTAGCATAAATCCTTTTTAAGGAAACTCAGCCTTGAATTTGCCCTCTTACAATAACTTTTAATAATACTAAAACCATTAATAACTTCCCATCCATCAATCACTCTATTAACCTTCAGGCTAGCTTGGTAATAATATGCGTCCTCCTTAACACTTAAACCAATCTTAATAGCCTTACCCAACAATACAAAGCCAATTCTATAATAACGGATAAGAGAATCATTAAAACTTAAACATAACTAATAGCAGTAACTTGAAGTCTCCTACTCGTTTACCTCCAAGATAATCTCATGGAAATATTGAATTTGTCTATAAGAGTGATCTAGACGATAATGGTGTCCTATATTATCTTGGTACTTATGGAAAAACAAAGCCTTATGTTAACCCACATGTATTAGGATAAGTGCAAGCATTTGCTTCTACCATACGTGCAGGTAAAATTGAGTATTTTGTCGGAAGAGAAATTTAAAATTTCTCAACTTGCAATGAAAAAATGAGTTTCATGGGAGTAGATTTAGGAGAAGACAGATTTATTTATCCCACAGCTTATACTATAAGAAACAGAAATTCTACAACCTATGTCATGTTAAATTGGGTTTTAGAAGCTTCAGCTGATGGAAGCCACTACATACCAATAGACAAAAGAATTCACTATGACCCAAATGACTCTCATTTTAACTATACAACTGAAAGAGAAAGAGAAGCTCTTAAAGAAAGAGGAGCTTCATCTTCTTATTCTATTGATGAAGTGTCTTTAAAAAGAATTCTATCAGATCATTAACTCAAAGGATTTAGATTCTTTAGAATTGTTCAAATTTCCAAAAACTCTCATGGTAGTGATAACTTAAGTCTAAGTGGTTTTGAATTATATGGAATCAGCTATGGCAATAGTTGGTTTTGAAAAAAACTTAAAAAATTAATTAGTGATTCATTCCAATTTTAGTTTTTACTTAGTAGCGTTTAATTATTTTATATACAAATATTTGTTGTGTTCAAATATTAATATTCTTGATTATTTACTTATAAAATCATAAAAATTTTTTGCTAAACGCTAACAAGGTATATGGTAGGTATGATATATAAACTTTCGTTTCCAAAAAGTAGAAAAAAATATTATTTTTATTTAATTAATAATTTAAAAAAAAATAGATGAAATTAAAATAAATTTTTACATAATATTAAAGCAAAAAAATAAAAGATTTTACTTTATCTAAAGATCAAATAAAATATTTTTAGTTTGAGAGTTCTAAATAAAATGTAATAAAAATTGTTATAAAATCATTATTATAGATTTTTCAAAATTTTAAAGAAAAAAAGTAGAAAATATGATAAGGAGTTAAAATTAAAAATAGAAGAAGTGATTGAAATTTTATTATTTAATATAATTAAAATTTAAAAATTGTAAAATAACCCATTTAAATGGTTTAAGAATTATTTTTTTTATATTTAAAAATTATGGCTATGTAAAGTTTTGAACACGTAACAAAAAATTGTAATTTAGTGAAGAGAATTCAACTGAATAAATTCTTTTATAATTTAATATATCTTTGTAAGTGTTGACCCCACCTTTTCTATTTAAGTTAGTAAGGTGGATATTTTTTTCATCTAATTTGCCCTTTTATAAAAGATATTTTTTTCACTTGAAATAAAGACAAAGCAAAATAAGCTCTACCAAATAAATAAAGCAAATTTATTTAATTCAATAATCGAATTTACAAAATTTTTAGAAACTTTTGAATTTAATATTGTAAAGTTGAGATATTTTCCTTTTGTATAAAAATTGATTTGAATATTACATAAAAACTAACTAAACGTTTTCTGATTTATATTTATTTTCACTAAAATTATGATAAATAAATAAACAATTTTTCAATAGTAACTTTAATTGATGTTGATAAATATTTGTTTATGGCCTTTCAATAATTTAGGTTATTGTTTTTAAAAAGTGTTATCTTCTAATAGAATTTGACTATTTTTGCTTGAATTTATTAATTTATTAATTAATTAATTCATAAATAAGTAAATTCAAATTAAAAAAATAGCTAAGTAAAAATAAAAATGTATAAGAATATTTTGTTAGCTTTCTGCTTTGCATTAGCTTTAACAAATGCTAAGTTGCTTTTTGTAAGTGAAGCTTACAGACATGGAGCTAGAGGATCTCTAAGTCCTTATTATGATGGAAAAAATTAAAGTGATATCGCTGGTCAATTGACTGCTACTGGCCAAAGACAACATTTTAACTTTGGATAAATTTTAAGAAATGAATATATCTACAATTAAAATTTTATGTCTGAAAAATACAATTACACAGAAATTTATGTTAAGGCTGATGACTGCGATCGTACTATAATGAGTGCACTAAGTCACTTCTAAGGGTTTTATCCTGAACATTTCGGTGCTAAGCTTCCTCAAAATTTACCTTAAAACTACACTTATCCACCTTTTTCTTCTGAGTTCATGAATACAACTTAAATTAGTGATAATTATGCTTTCCCTAATGGAATTTAAGTAAAATTATTTCATTTATTTTTAAATAACTTAAAATTTTAAATAGGTTTTACCAGTACATGTTTCATCTGAGAAAAATGACTTTATTTTCTTAGCATCAAAAATTTGCTTAAACTATCCTATCCATGTTGCTGAATTTATGGCAGAAAACGTTAAAGATTCTGCTTATGTAGATGCTCATATGGCAAAATATTACTTAGAATTAAGTATTATATTCAAAAAGACAATAGCAGGTTGGATCATGACTGAAGGATTACATGATACCTTGATTGCTGATTTGTACAATGGTCGTCCTATTCCTTAATTGTCTTAAGATACTTGGAAAGCTATTGAATTCCTTGATGACTTCTACTGGTTTTTTATGTAAAGTGGTAGCTTGAAAGCTGTTAAGTTAATTACCTAACCTATGTTAGAAGATATTTTATAGAAGTTCGATGCTGCTATTGCAGGTACATCTCCTCTTAAATGGTTAAGCTTTAGTGGACATGATAGTAACGTTGCACCCTTACTTAGAATATTAAACTTTACCAATTATGAATGTTTGATGAATGAGTATTTTAAATTAAATTCAACACAAACCTATTTAAATTGTGTTCATAGACCTGCATTTGCCTCTTCTGTTATCATCGAATTACACTAGAATGATACTGATAACTCTTAAAACTTTGTAAGAATTAGATACAATGGTGAATATATGAATATCTGTGAAAGAAATAGTACATACTGTGATTACAATGAATTTAAGGCCAGACTTAATTTCTAATTCCCTCAAGATTATAAGAAAGAATGTGGTATTTAAAATCTATTTGCAAAATCAAGTAGCTTTTCAAATGTTGCTTCAAACTCCTCTAATGAATAAGAAGATAGTTTAATAATCATAGTTTTTGTTTAACTAGCCGCCCTTATTGCAATCGGATGGTATGCAATTAGAACCAAGAAATAACAAAAAAATTAATAAAACTAAATGTACACCATGCCCCTTTAATAACAAGTTTACTATTAACAAGCATTCTGATAAATAAATAAATAAATAACATGAATTATAATTATATTTATATCTTTTTGTTTAGCAAATTTATTAAGTATAACACAAAGAAAATTCATTTTTTTTAAAAATTTTTTTACATTTTGATTTTTGATTTTTTTCTTTTAAAATTTAATATAAATTTTATTCTCATAAGTTATTTGAATAATTTGTAAAAATTAATTTCTAAGTTGATCTTTTGATTGCAATCAATTTATAATAAAAAGTAAATATCTGATTTGCAAAATGTAAAAATAGTTACTCTAATTTGTATACATCTGATCACTTGCTCAAAATTTTCTGCTGTAAAGAGAAAGGACCCCATAATGAATATTTTTAATGATTAAAAAATATAATGAAAAAGATATTACAAATTTAATATTTTTAAATAAGTATTTATTTATTTATAATTAATTAATCAAAATTCTCTTCAAAAGAATCAAAATTAGATGAAACAATTCAGTTTGATATTTGTACTAATTATATTGTCTATCAGCTAATCCCAAGCAAAACTAAAGATAGTAGCTGAAATTTATCGTCATGGTGCAAGAGGAACTTTATCGAGCTATTACGACGGTAATTCTTAACCTGATATCGCGGGGGAGTTAACAGCAACCGGCTAAAGGCAACATTACAATTTAGGATAATTCTTGAGAGAAGAATATGTAAATAAAACTAATTTTATGCCTGAGTAGTATAACCACTCTTTAATCTATGTCAGAGCTGATGATTTTAATAGAACTATCATGAGTGCCTACAGTCATTTCTAAGGATTCTATCCTCAAGGCTTTGGAGCTTAGTTACCATCTAATCTTTCTTATGACTACACTTTACCACCCTTTAGATCTCCAGATATTAACATTGATGCATCAAAAAGCTTAGGAATTAATGCTCTACCCAATCAAATATAAGTAAAAATTATTTAAATAAAATCACTTTAGCATTTTAAAGTTAAATACTTAGTGCTTGTTGAAATTTTTAGCAAATAATTAACAAAAAACCTTAAACAAACATAAAAAAAAATTCCTTAAATTGAATGCAATAATTGAAAATACTTGAGTTTATAGTTTTATTAGTAGATTCAAATACAATCGGTTTCTATTTTACCATAAATATTAAACAACACAAACTTTAAAATTAGTATTTTATTTTTTAAATGGTTTTAATCTAATATCATTAATAGGTATTGCCTGTCCATGTTATCAGCACATAAACAGATTTCATATTTTTAGCTTAAGATATTTGTCCTAACTATGGAAAATATTCAAATGATTATCATTAAGAAAAGACTCAAGTCTATAATTTTGTTAACTCATAAATGTCATAAACTTTATAGCAGTTGACTCAAATCTTTAACTAAACAATATCAAGTGTAGATGATGCTTATTCATTAACTGATGTTATTTATTGCGATACAAACAACGGTAGATATGTTCCTCCTATTCCTAGTGAGGTTGAAGCTAATCTTACTTTTATTTATAATTTCTTCTCATTTTATGAAGGTTTAAAGGAGGTTAAAGTAGCTACATAGCCTTATTTCGAGGAAATATTTGGATATTTTGATTAGATTATAGCAGGAAATTCATCACTAAAATGGATCAGTCACAGTGGGCACGATACCAACATTGGTCCTTTACTTTAAGCCCTAAACTTGTCTTCTATTGAATGTTAACTTAACCAATTCTACAAATAAGGTTAATCCTTCCTTAATTGTGCTGATGGTCCTCACTTTGCTTCACACATATTGTTTGAAATTCACGAATAAGAAGAAAATGTTATAAATGATAAATCTTAACTTTACGTCAGAGTTAGATATAATGGTCAATATATGAATTTATGTGATAGAAATTCTACTTAATGTAGCTATTTAGAATTTGAAAGTAGGATTAAATAATAGTTTGAAAACTATAATTTATTATGTGGTATGCAAACGGATGTATTCAATAACCCTTAAATATTGAGTCAAAATATTGGCGTTGAAGAAGATGAAGAATACTCCTACAAATTGAATGTTTTCTAAATACTTATTCCTGTATTTGTTTAAATATTTAGTGTTTTGATTCTCTTTTATGCTTTCAAAAAGATCTAACTATAACAAAAAGAAATTAAAGTACTTAGAGAGAGACTATTAGAAACAGGAACATTTGAATATTAATAATAAATAGATTGAAAATAAAAAAATTATAAACTAAATTAAATGCTATTACTTACATAATAATTTATATAATAGTTTTACAATAAAATCAAAAATTTTTAATATATAAATCAAAAATTTATTTTTTTTAAATTAATTTTATTTGAGAATGTTTGACATTCATTAATTTTTATGAAATTAAATAAGTTAAAATATATTTACTTATTTATTTTTTATTATCTATGATAACTCCACATAAAAAACTTTTAATTTTTGGGTATTATTTTATAAAAAAACAAATATTTGAAAATAGAATTTTTTGAAAATCTTTATGATTTTTAACTGATAAAATAATATATGAACACGTAAAATATAATTTATTTAATAAAATAGATTGTAATTTTTATTTTAATCTAATCAGAATAATGTAATTTTTTTATTATAACTAACTATTGTCAAAATAATTATCAACTAAAGATAATTTATGTTGATTTGATTCTTATTTTTGGAGTAAATATTATATTTATTATTTAATTATTCACATCTAATTCTCTGTTTATTCATACATTTCATTGTAAAAATAAACTTTCTAAGTCTATTAAGTGTGTAATTTATTCAGGTAAAACTAGTTTCAAAGTCTCTATTACACTATTTTTGAAGATTTAAATGATCGTTTAATTATTATCAGAAATGAATATGGCAAAATTAAAATCATATGATGAAAAGATGTCATTCAAACTTAAATAATAATAAACTATGTAATCAAATGCAGAAAAGAATTTAGTGTGAGAAAGTTAAAAATTATTTATTTTTAAGTTTTTTTCAAAAATTGAAGTGAAATAGTTTTTTAAAGTTTATCTAAACTCTTCTGATTCATATTTTAATTTAAAATTTTCAATCAGAGAGAATTTTATTTTTTTAAACCTTACTTTTATATCATAGATAGTTTCTGCTTAAACTTAATTATCATTTAATATTTCTTCAAACGCAGATTATAAAAAATTTAAAATTTAGAAATCTAATTTTGTAAGTCTAAGCTTTAGTCCTTCTATCAAGTTAGTTAAATTTTGTTAGAGTAGAATATTCTCCATAATAAATTAAGCTAAATCTTCATAATAACAAATTTAGGTAGCTTTATTTATATTTAGATGGTTATCATTCTTTGGCGATTAAGGAATATCAGTTTAGCTCTTTTGTAAATTATTGAATAATTCACTAACAACTGAGAATCTTTTATGGGTATTAAAATATTTCTTTTAGATATTTTAAATGCTATTTTTATTATTTGGGGTGAAAATGAGATAATCTTAATCATGAAGATTCTCTTATTGAGCAGAATTATTGATTTATTTTTCTTTTTATTAATTCAAATCTCTTAGAATGTAGTTGTTTTAATTCTTTTAGTACCTGTGAGATAATTATTGTACATGATTTAATACCTAATAAGAATTATTAAAGTTTTTATTTTAATTTTATTGCAGAATTTATGCAGAGTTAATATTTAAGGTATTCATTTTTTCTATGAAATATGATTCAAATATGTGTAATGGACATGCTATATAAAATTTCATCTTTAGTTCTGATTTAATTTTTTTTATTAATGATTGATCATCTAATATTTGATTTTCTCTTTATATTAAAAAGATATTTCTTGATTACTCTATCTTTTCCATTACTTGTGGAAGTAAATAAATTCTTTCATCTCTGTCAAAAACCTCTAAAAGTTATCTGTGGATTAACTATTTAAACAAATAAAACTCTGCAAATGAAAGTTTACTATTCATATTCAGTATATTAGAATAGTGTTTGAGCTGTTTCCAATCTGAATTTAACAAACTGTTTACGAAATTTAATATTTCTTGTTCTTGTTAGAATTCTTAAATTTGAATTGGAAGTAAACTTTCGCTAATTAGCTTATTTATAAGAACCTTAGCTGTATTTTAAATTCTTTCTACTGAGCCAAATTCTTCAACTAAATTCTAAGGCGTATATTCTTTTTTATGCTCATTAAGGTATTTTATTAAATAATTAATCTCATTTAAGTTTTTGACATTATTTCTTAAGATTTAAGATAGAATCTAAACCAACTCATCATAAATCAATCCAGGAATCTTAAAAAATAAATTAAAAGATAACTTTTATTATGTAAGATCAGATTTTTAATCTTTTAATACTGTATATAATTTTTCTTTAACTGTTGCTCTTTGAGTATTGTCTATGTTATCTTTTTAATCTATTTCATCTTCATTATTAACTATTTCTTCTAAATCCAGGGAATTACCTTTATTTAAAAATAAAATTCAAATTAATAAAAGATAAAATATTTAATAAAATTTAGGAAATAGTTTCTTTAATTATTGTAAAAATTGTAATATTTTGTCTTATTTAAGAAGTAAAAATTTATTTAATTTTTATTAAGTTTAAATTAATTTCTTAGAGAGATAATTGTAAAGAAGATTTAAGGAAAAAATAATTTTAAGAAAGAAAGAAAGAAAGAAAGAAAGAAAGGAAGAAAGAAAGAAAATTTGTTTACTAAATTGTTGGGCTGTTTAAGAAATGTGTTAAGTAAGCTATATTTAAGGTTGAGTTCTAAATTAAATGTCTTCAATTAAATTTGAAGAGATATGCGCTAAAGAGTGAATTTGCATAACACTTTCATCTATTTTAGATTTTTGAAAATTGACTCTTTTTGTTGTTTATTCAAATTTATTTGTAAATATGTTGGTTTATGAATAGATTGCGCTGTGTGTGTTTAGATCTTTTTCAGATGAGGGATTTGTTGTTAGATTATTTGTAAATTTAGAAGAAGAGCTTGAGTTGGTAGTATTATTATTAATTTAATTGTGTAGACTATATTAATAAGTTTTTTCAAAATCTTCCTGATTTTCTAAATTAATTGAGTTCTTTCTGGTGATAATTTTTTTTTGGTTGTTTGAAAAAGTAGATTATTCTTAAGGATAGCTGCAGTTTGTCACTATGTTTTCAATTAGCTTTGAGAAATAAAAGCACAAATTCTATGGTTTATAGCCCTTTAATATAAGCAATTTTAGCATAGGAGATTCTTTATTTGAAAGTTACTGATCAATTTTTTCTTAAAATAACCGATTTATTTAGAAAAATTTATCTTTGATTTCTAAAAAGCTATTCGTTTTTTCTAGTCTAATTTGATTAGAAAGATCTATTTTTTCAGTTTAATCACCTCTAATTTTAAATGAAATAAATTTCTTTTAAACTTGTGAAATAGGAAGATGTCTCTGCAGAGATAGCTGCTAAAATTAACGTTTATCCTAACTAGGAGAATTAAGAAAAGTATTTTAAAAAGGAGAAGGAACTCTATTTGAATACTTGTTAGTAGAATTATTCTTATGATAAATTTATTAAAGTTATAAAGGTTTTCTTGCTTTTTATGGATCTTTTTAGTGTTCATAGCTAACTTTATTATCTAAACCATAAGAAGCTATTTATTCTAATAAATTTTACTTATTAATAGGTTTTTTTTGCCTTTGCTGAAGATTTGTTACAGCTGTTTTATCATTTCTATAAAATTTGCTAAAATCTAATTATATTGTATCTTAAATTTTATCAAGCAAAAGCTTTTAGGATGGTGTTTCTAAATCATCTTATAGCTTTGAATCTTACAAGTAAAATAGCAAAGGTGAGTTTTATATTATTTTTTCATTTTTTTACTCAAATATTTTCAAACTTTTTAATTTTTTGTATTTAGAATTTCCAAATTCTCCTTCATTTTGTTAAGAATAAACCTTTGTAGAATTAAATTCTACTTTTGGAGTTAAAACTTTAGAACTAGACCTTTAAAGCTTATTAATACTAACTAAATTTTATTCCTTAAGTTGGCTTCTGGGAGAAAACACTACCTGAGATGCGTACGTCATAGCCTTTTTAGTTGATCTAACAAACTTTGAAGGCGTATTGATTATATTTTCAGACATCTATAAAATCTTTGATCCTTTTTATTTATCAATTTTGTTTTACTTTTGATTAACTTTTAAACTAATTATTTTACAAAAGAGATCTTTTTGTTTAAATTAAAAGCGCATGTTTTTAATAATAATGTTTAATCTTTAAATTAAAGAAACCTACCTAATATTAAATATTATTTTAAATTTTATTATCGTTTAAAAATAAAAATAAAAAATAATCAAGTAAATTTATAAATTATTCAAAAGTTAGATAGTATTTTATTTTATAATTAATATTAATTCATTTCTATATACATCAAAACTATATTTTTATATAATCAATCAATCTATAAAATAATAGTTGATAAACAGACAATTAATACTTTATAATTTCACTTAATTACCAGATATACATAATAAATAAAAGTTAAACATAAATATTTGGCTAATTAGTTATTTAGTTAGTTGGCGAGAGAAATTTTAGTGAACTACACCGTAATATCTTAAATTCTATTTCAATCATGTGTTATTATTAAAAATTTATATTTGGCATATAATTTTATGGATTTAAATATAGTTTGAAGAAAAGAAATATTCTGATTAAAAACTATCTTACATTAAATATAATTTTATTTGCAACTTATATATATTTGAATTTATTTACAGAAAATAATAAACAAAGTTTTATATTTTAAAGGCTTAAAATCTTATAAAGTAATGATAATTAATTGAATTTGTTTGTTAGAGTAAAATATTGACTCAAATATTGAAAATTAAAATTACAAAATGACAAAAAAATAAAAATGTAAAGAAAGAAATATAAAAGGGTTGGTCAGTAAGGTTTATTTCTATTGAAAGAATTATTTGCATTTTTTTAAGGAGTTTATGATAACTAACTTACTTCCTCTAAAATTTAATTAGATTTTTATTTAGACTAAAATTTTTATAAACTATTAGCCTATAAATCTTAGCCCATTGACTCTGTTGTTGGAGAACGATCAAGTTATATATCTTTGAATTTAGAAAATTTATTATTATTATTATTGAGAATATTTGCATTCAAAACATTCGGGGTTGATTCTGCAAATTCGCTATTTACTGGAGTATTTATACTAGACATAACAAAACCTTTATTTAAGGAGCTTTAATCTCCTTCATATGCCTAATTAGTATCTCCTTTATATAATGTATTTTAGATATTTTAAGTAATTTCTGAGCATATTACAGTAAAAGAATCTTTTTTCTTATTTTCATGATAGTTTTTAGTAAAACTGACATTGTGAAGCTACGAGATAGAGTCAATTGATGGTTATTACACCTACAAAGTATTAGGTAAAATTTTTGAATCTCTTCTTTCTATGTGTCTTTGCATCTATGTGGAATACTATTCTTCATTTGCATATAATTCACTAACATAGAAATTCTTTTTAATAATTATATCTTCGTTGTCTTGGTCATCTTCTTCTATATCTTCGGTATCAGCTGCATAGCTCTTCTTCTTAAGTACATTATCTTGTATCCAAAATTGCATACCGTTCATAATTGTAGGAATTATAATCATAACAAAAACGAGTTTAACAACTGGCATGCTGTTAAGCCAGTACAAAAGGAAGTAACTAGCTAAACCAAGAGGATATTTTAATAAAGCCTGCACAAAGAATAAAATCATTTTAGAAATAAATGTTAAAGTGAGCCAAATAGCTAGTTGTATAAGCCAAGTAAGATAGTCTATTTCTATATAATTGACGTCTTCCATTGGTATATTCATTATATTCTAATTTTCGTCTACTATAGTCCTTTTTTTAAAAACTTTGGTTTCTTTGTAATAATTTCCAGTACGGAGGTTTTCACAGCCTTTTCTTTTGAGCAGATTATCTAACTAAAGCAACAAAAAACAAGCCAAAAAGACTCCACATGAAGTGTCAATGACAACAGTCACAAAATAATAATTACATGGATCATTTTACTCATCAATAGAAACGAGATTAAAGTTATTATCCATTTTTATTTTTTAATAATAACCGTAGATATATAATGCATGATTAGAGATTAAGCTTGGAGGAGGAATTGATTCTCCCTCTTCAGGAGTAGTTAAAACGATTGAAAATATCATATTAGCTAAATGGGCAAAAAGAGAACTAAGTACTTATTTAGAGCTATCCAAAAGCCAAATTTTGAAGGGTCGCTAAGGTTTCTCCTATGTTCTTTTGTAAACTAAAACTGTAAAAGAAAGGAATCCTAAAATCATTTAAACAATCAATCCGCTTCCTCCCACTAAATTGCATTGCTAATTTTCAACTGCTATTGGATCTGGATGCATTTGCTTATATCTCTCTAAGACCCAATTGTATTCCATGACAAATAAATTAATATGCTTTTGCTTTTTATAATTTATTTTAAATTCCTACTGTAAAAAGTGCTCGATCTTACAATATTTACTAAATCCTACTGCTATTAAAATATTGGCTGCGTTAACAATTTATATTTATTGTTATTTTTTTTAAAAAAATTATCTTTTAAATATTTTGATGAATTTATAGAAATTGCATCATATTAAAAATTGTTAATGTCTAATTATAAAATCAAATATCTTAATTACATTCTACACTGAAAATTCTGTAATTATTTTCAGACTTAATTAATGATTTTTGTAATGAAAAAATTTTTAAAAATTAATTATTATTTAGCTTATACTGTTATAAATTATTTATTTTATAAATAAATAAATAAAATCGTTTTGTTTTTAAGTTATTGCTATTTAGTATTTAATTTGTAATTCCATAAAATAATTTATTATCAATAATTGTTAGTGTGATTATTAAGCTTCCGACTAACAAAGAAAAAGTGTTTTACAAAAATAATATTAATTTTATTTAAAAATATAGTTTAATATTAAGAAGGAAAAGCATAAAAGAATAAATAATCGTAAGTATTTCTAAAAAAAAAATCATACCCTACTTATCAATATTATAATATTGATTATAATTTAAAATCTATCAAAACAGAGCATCTTAAGGATGGAAAGTTTTACTTAGAATATACAGAGGTAGAAGACCATTATATAGATGGCTCTTATAATGAAAATGTTAAAATGGTGAAACATTTAAGCCAATTTTCAACGAGTGCTTAGTTTATAAGGGTAATTAGATTTACTGGTATTACTGTATTCAATTTCAAAACAATTATTTATTTTAAACCAGTTAATAAATCAAAATACCTTACTAAATAAACATTTTTTAGTATTTATCAATAATTATTTACAAAGATATAATTTGAGGTTTAAATCTATTGATTTAAAAGATTTTAGAATCATCATATTGAATGTTGATAATAAATAATTCAAACGAATTTAAGAAATTTATAAAAATTTTCGGGATTATTAATTCCTTTTACATGTGCAAAATAATTCTAAGATTATAATATTAGCAACCAAGAGTGAAAATAGTTATTTATATTAAAAAGGTAAAAATATATTTGGCTCAAGCAAAGGTACAAATTTTAGTGAAGACTTTAAATTTTGGAAAGATATTAATTAAATTAAGATAATAAAATGGTGTTAAATCAATTTATTGAATAATCAAAAACGAAATGAAAAGAGTATAAAAAAGAGTATGAAAAATATGAATTAATTGAAGCTAAAAGCAAATTCTAGATATAGCTATGGCTGCATGCATATTAAACTAACTTACTAACTATATACATCTGAATAAATACTAATTTTAATCTTATATTTTTAATAATACTTTTTAATCATATGAAGTCATCCTCATTAAAGTTAGCCTTGTAGTTATAATTATCTTCATCTTCATCATCTTCGTTAGATTCACTATCGGATCCCTTTTATTTGTATTTAGCAACATTTTTAGCTCCAATGTTAGGACCTTTACCCTTTTTACTGTTATTTTTAGCATTTCCTTTTTCCTCTCTTTGCTTTTACTATAGAAGGACTGTAGTTTTGCTTAATATTTCTTAGAGTTCCTTAGAAGTAAGTTTTTCATAAGTGCTTTGTAAGAGATTCTTGAAGAAGTCTTCAATGTGGATATTAAGATAATCAGGATCGCATAATTTATTTCCGAGAAGTTATCCTAAAACTTCAAAATCTTCAGCTTCTTGTAATTCAATATTTTAAAGATGTTCATTGAATTCGTGATTGGCACCGTCAAACATATCATTTATATCTTATTTTTTACGTTTTTCTTCCTTAAGTTAGGTTAATTTCTTGGAAGTGTCTGGCATGTTGAATTAATCAGTGTAAACGATTTTTTAAGGGCCTTTCTTTTTATTTTTTGCAGCCTTAGCTTCTTCTTCTTCCTTTTTCTTTTTTGCTTCTTCTTCAGCTTTTTTTTTTTCTTCTTCCTTGGCTTTCTTTTCAAGAGCTAAGGTATCAACAGCATCTTCTTTGGCAAATTGATTCTAAGCTTATTCAATTTTAATGTCAGCGCTTTCCCAGTCTTCGTCCCAGTCACCCATCTTTTTAATATAAATTTGCTAATGTGTTTATTTTATTTTTTTTTGATTGTTTTGAATTCTTAACAAAATAAATAATTATTATTTTTAATATTAACTTTTCTTTATAGTATACAAATATATTCCTAATTATATAAACTATGTATATTTTTATCTATTCTTATTCATATTTTTTTTCTTTAACTTTTCTTTGAACTTTTACTAACATAGTTATATGGTTATGCGATGTAATATGATGCTTATTTCTCTCATTAAAATATTTTATAAATTTTTTTAAAATAATTAAAAATATAAATTGTAATTAAAAAAATTTTGTTTTTATTATGATTAACACAAAATTAATTATTTATCTCTAATTAGAAAAAAAAGGATTTTTTATGCTATTTTTAGTAAAATCGATTAATTATATCTTAACTATTAAGATCTTTAAGCAATGAATATATAATTTGTATTAGATATTTTAAATAAGTAAACCTTAAATTGTTTCTTAAATTCATTTTTTTTGCAAAAATTTATAAATTATGTTTTTCTAATGTGCACTATTTAGTGTATTTTTATATTTTAATCATAATATTCATCAACAAAGTTAAATTATGCCTAAATTTTATTTTTTAAACACATTATTAGTTTGAAGAGAATTTCTTCAATCTATAGCTATTATAAAAAATAAATTCAAGTTTGAAGAAGATTTTAACTTTTTATATTATTTATTTATTAGAATTAATTTGTTTTATTTAATTTGAATAATTCTTTCTATTAACTTCTAAAAAAAATATTTATTTATTTTGATTGATTATTTTTTTTACAAATTGATTTTTAAATTTTGTAAAAATTAACTTTAAATAAAAGTATGATTTTTATATTAATAATAAAATAAACTTATTTTTTTAATTATTCCTAAATTGAATTAAAAAACAATAAAATATATTTTATTTATCATAAAACAAATGATAAAAATTTTTCACTTAAAGTCAGTATTTTTTTATTAATTTAATAAATTATTCTACCTTGACTATTTTAAGTACATATAAAGCATGATTCTTAGGCAAGTTTCTAGTGCTTATCCAAAATTTTAAAAAATAACATTAATTCCATAGTTTAATTTGAGAAAACATTAAAATATTTTATAATTATTTCTACTAAAATAAAAATGAAAAATAATTAACTAGCTATTTTTCAGTAAAAATTCATTTATATACATTGATATATAGATAATAAATAAATACTGTGGTTTGTACATAGATATAATATTTTAAATCATTAATTAAAAATAAATAAAAACATACTAACTTTTTTTAATAAAGTAATCTATAATCAAAATTTCATTCAAAATTATTATTGGTTAATGAAGTAAATTTTAAGAATTAAACTATCAGATCAGATATGTGATAAGAAAGTTTCAAATTCTTAGCCTAAAAATAACTTGGAGCTCATGCCAATTATGTCCCCTAGAACATCTAAACTTTAGACTCCTGTTTCAGCATTTTTAGGAAGTAGATCTCAGCATGCTCAGATCTCTGGGTTTAGTTACCATTTAGAATAAGAGGAGCCAATTAATGAAGAATTTTGCTTCACAAACGATGATGATTTATCTATAGCAATCCAAATTCTGAATAAAGATCCGTATAAGAGAAGCCAAAGAGAAATAAAATTAATTTAGCAAGCTATTAAGAAAACTTCCTTGTATGAGTATTATAAGCCTTTTTTAGATGAAGAATAAAGATTTAACAAACTTTGCATGCGTTTATAATATTTCTACTTTAACCCTTACTAAGAAATAATTTCATATGGTGAGAGTCCTCGAAAAATGTACATTATGATGAAGGGCTCTGCCTGGGTATTAGTACCATCATCATAGAAAGATAAAGAAGTTGAGAAAAGAGTAAAAGAAAAAATAACTTAAGCGTAATAGCTAGGTTCTACTGATATTTATTGCTTTGTTAAGGCAGAAGATTATATACTCTTTAAAAATCCGAATTACAAGATAGTTAACTAGATAGAAGGACCAACTCATATAGGAGATTAAGCTCTGAGGTACAGATGCAATAGGACATCAAGTATTTTTTCAAAAACTACAGTTCATTTAGCATCTTTAGACTTGAAAGATTTTAATGAAATATTCATGCAGTTCGATTATAAAATGATCAACTATTATTATCCTCATTATCAAGTTATATAAATGTTTAAAAAAAATGATTTGTTTTCTAAGTTTGATGATTCTGTTGTAGAAAGCATAGTTCGAAGCAGCGATAAAGTTAATATTTGTCGGTCATAGATAATATATAATTAAGTAAAAATACTTTTTAACTATTTCAATTTACCAGTTTGCTTACTTGTTTGTTTTACTCAAAAGTTAATTTACCACAAACAAATTAGACTACTAATCTTATTTACATGCTTTATTAATTAAAATTTACTTCTTACGCTTATAGAAATCTTTTAATTTACTGATTACTTTTATTTATTTTGCAAAACTGTAAATAAAAAAACTCTTATTTAAAATAATTTATTAGGGAGATAAAAATGATTATTTGTACTTTATTGAAGAAGGTGAAGTTGAGTTGAAGCAGAAAAATATAAATAATTCTGATAACTAACAAGAAATATTTATTGACCCATCTAAATTAATTCAGCAAATAGAAATGGAGTAAAAAGTAGCTTTACTTTCAAATAATTGCAGGAGGAAATACAGGGACAGTTTTTAAAAGACAGAAACCTTTCGGTACATTGCAGTACTTTCTAAAGGAGAGATTTTTGGGGAGGATTTTATCGAATCAACTGAAAGAAAATATTAAGCTGTTTGCAAAAGTGTGTAAGTGAGTCTTTATAGAATTAGAATAACTGTTTTTATGAAGTACTTTGAACAAATTGGAAAAAATTAAAAAGCTATGCTACAGACAAAACAATAATGGAGAGCATAGCTATAAAATACTACTAAATAAGTTTAGAGTTAATTTGATTTATCTAATAAATTTGATAAGCAAGAACTTGAGGAAATTAAAAAAAAATCTACTTAATTCATTTATTTTGATGCTTACGAAGAAGATCCAAATTCAAAATTTTTGTTTAACAAGAACTCATAGATTAACTCGTATAATAATCCACAAATGTTAAATCAGAATACGGAATCACCTTAAAATATATAAAATGATTAAACTTCAGATTAAGGAAATCTTAGTGCAAGAAAAACACTAAGCTATTTTAATAAAAGCAATTTTTTATCTTAAAAATGTCTTATTAATACTTCTGATGAATCTTTTTCTAAAAGTACAGGATATGAGGAAGGAAATTATTTTAATAATAGCATAAAAGCAAATCGTACTTCAATTAAATTACAAAACCATTTAAATAAATTATCTTCAGATACATTGAGTATGAGAGAAATTTAGAGTAAAGCAAGAAACCGCTTTTCGAAAAATGATAACCACAATTTAGAAGATGAACCTTCCATTATGCGTTAATTAAATGAAATTAACACTTCATCTAACAGTATAGATAGAGGTAGAGGGAGCAAATTTTCTTAAACTGTTGACAATATTTTTTAAAATCTATAATAAAATCCCAAACAGCTTTAAAAAGAATAAGAATTAAAAGATTCTATTTATTTTGTTGGCACTGATTTTAAGGTACCTCAGTAGTAATAGGTTCAATCATTTCAGTTTACTAATAAGATTGAAACAAGTTAGTTTCTTTAAAAAAAAACTTAAAGAGACTCAATATCTTCAGAGTCTCAAAAAAGTGTCACAACTTAATAAAGTACAAACAAATTGCAAACATAAGTTTAAGCAAAAAATTAAGATTCCATCTAAAATTTAAAGCGTGCAAAGTAATTCTCTTTGATAGCTTTAAACTAAAAAAGCAATTAAAATGATAAAATAATTAAAAGGCAAAGCTAAACTAATTAAGGTTTTATTGTAAAGACATAAAAAAATTCAATTGAATTAAAGCAGTTAGACTTAAAAGAAATATAATCTAAACAAGTACAAAACGAAGCCTAAGAAAATGCTCTCATGTCAACAGAGAGAAGTAATAGCTGTTAAAAAATGGAAAGATCTGAGTCAGTCAAACTTAGGCTTTCAATAAGTAAACTTGCGAAGAATCGCTCTGCTGTTTCACATATTCCAACAAGTACTTTAGGAAAGTTTGATTTTAATCAAGCAAGTAATAAAAGAAGTGCCAGTCCCTGCTTTACAGAATATGAAGATGATAATATAAAAGAAAATAATTAAAAATAAACATCATTGCACTCAAATAAATACTTTCACTATTACAAATTTAATGATGCAATAACAGAAGAAAAACAAAAGAGAGAAGCTATAGTAATTAACAATGAATTTTACCTCAACTAAATTGCTAGGAAAATGAAAAAAATTTTAGATACTAAGTTAAGACAAAAAAAGGAATAGCATTTTAATCCTTTTAATTTAACTGAAGACCATAGTGTACCATTACTGAAATAGTTAAAAATAGATGAAATCTTTCCAAATTCAGAATTTGCTGATTAAACAAAAAAAGGAATAAAAAATATTAATAAAATATTACAAGATGGACACGCACACTTATTAGAAGAGAGTAATTTTGTAAGAATTAAAAAGAAATTGCCAACAATGATGAATGAATAAATATCAAAAGATGATGTTCTAGATATTGCAGGTCCTCATACAAAAAAGGACCAAAAACTTGAAAATATAATCTAATCCCAACTTAATAATTAGGATTCTAGACTCTATATAAAGCTACTTTTAGAAAAAATATAAAGGCAATAAAATAAAACCGATCCTAATTTATACAACTTCATACCATTAAGTGATAGCAGAAGGATAAAAAGAATTTAAGAATATTAAAAGACAAAATAAAATGAAAATATAAAAAACTAATGAACTAACTAATTAAAATAATTATTCCATTTATTCTATCCAATAATCTTCAAAAAATTTAAATTAAAATATTTCTTTTAATTGACATGCTTATAATTAAAATTATTAATGATATAAAAAATGTAAAATATTTGTTTCTTTTTTGAATTAAAAAAAAAATTAAAATACTAATTTACTTTCTTACTACAAATATTTTCAAGAAATATTATTTATCTTCATAAATTAAAAAATATTAAACAGGCACAACAATTTTTTTTTTAAAATTTGATTCTGAACAGTATGGAATTTTTTTAAATTATTCTTTCTGTTTAACTGAAGAATTTTATAATGAATCGTCACCAAATTATAAATCTAATTATTGTAAAATAATAAAATTAGCAAAAATAAAAAAGATTTTTTATAATTTAAGCAATCAGCTTTTCAATATAGATTTAATTTTTTAGAAAATAATAAGCTTTTTAATAGAGTTCTACTTTTTTAGAATTTAACTTATTAATTACTTATTTAAAAATAACTTAAGCTTATAAGCGATTATTTATGAGTATCCCTAAGACTATCTTATTGTAATATTATTTAGTTAACATAAATATTCAAAAATAATGTTTTTTTTTTACAAATTAATTAATTCTTTGAAATACATACAATGAAATAGTCAATAGTTATTTTTAAATTTGTTAATGGATTTATTTTTTAAGTTAAGAAAGAATAAGATGATTAGAAGCTAGATTTATTAATCCTACTTTAAAGCCTTTAGAGCTTCAAAATAACTTTTTAAAAACATATTCACCTATTATTTCGCTTAATATTTAGAGATACCTTTTTTTTAAATAATATGCATCAGTTTAATTTTTCTTGTTATTAGTTTGCATTTCTTCACCAAGATGATTTAGATTTACCTTTTACTGCTAGAAAGAAGTGTTTTTATTATTTTTAGCATTATGCTCTATTTTATCCATTATTTATTATAAACTTGTTTTATCCTTAATCATTTCTTTTACTTTTTCTTCTAAATTCAAATTTGAAGCTTTCATTTTACTCAGCATTTACTTAAATTCTTCGTGTTTTAAAGTTTAATTTTATTTCACTAGAATACCAGGAAGTTGTATTCTATGGCTTACTTTTTTTACCTACTTACTACTTTCCTATTAAATTTGATCTAGATTTTCAGAATTTTATTTAATCTTTGGTTTATTATCAGATTCTCCTTTGTTTCCTCTGCTTTCTTAGACGATGTACTCATACTCTTAGCTGGAAACTAATTTTTATATTATTTTTTTTCCATCGCAATTCCTATTTATATTTAAAAATTTATTCTTATTTTAAAAAATATTTGTGCTTACTTGTATGTAACGAGCTTATCAAAATCACATAGAGGAACTAGCAAGAATCCAGATTACGATTTCATCAAATCTATCATATTTTGTTAATTATCCTGTGCGTTATTAGACTCTTCTTAGAAAATATTAAATGAGTTATTCTAATAATTAGAATTTTATATTTAGTTCTGATTTAATTTGTTTCTGTCTCTAGTTGTTTTTATTATAGGTGACTACTCATTACTGTCAAATATATTTTTTATTGGAAGAGAAAGATTTATCATAACAAGCTTTGTGAACTTATTTTATTTTCTGTACTGTTTCATCTCAAAAAACTCGATATTTTTTAATGATAATTACTTAGTTGCAGTTTACTCACCCTCAGTTTCACCTTTCATGTATTTTTCATGGTAATAAAATGCATTTTCTAAATCTCCAAGATAAAAGTAATTTAATCCCAAATTATCGTATATTGAAAGCTCCCTGTCATGATCTTTAGTAAGCCATACAAATTGCAATGCTTTTTTCAAAATTAAGATAGAACTGTCATATAATTTAATCTCTTTTGCACACTCTGCCAACTTTATCAATGCTTCTGATTTAACTGCCCATTGTCTAAATAAATCTTTAATTGTATATTTGAAATTAATTTTGAAAAAGAAAATTATTATTTACTTGCTAGCAAATCAACTTGTTAAAAAAAGAAGATAGCTTTATCAATGTGATTAAAGTCCTTTGCAGTGTATCCCAAAAATAGAACAAACTAGCAAAATAATTAAATTTCATTCATTTCAACTAGTAAGTCTAATAAATTAGTAACTAAAAGTATAATATGATCCATGTCTTTGCGCTCAATAGAAGTAAACAGCATCTCTACCTTGTTAAAATAATGTCTTAAGAACCTGCTGCAATCTTCATTACTTTTTAAAATAGACTCAACATTTAATGATTGCAAATTTTTCTGAATGGGTGAATTTGAAGACGTAGAAATACCATTTTTCTACTAAATTAGTTGTTAAATGTGTTTGTATATGAGCTTCTCATGATGACTTGAAGTTGTCGTTACTGATCTTGGTGAGGAAAAGGATTGATTATTTTGTGATTACTGTAATCTAGCACTTAGCAAACTAAACGAATGCTTAGAAGATTAATCATCGAAATTATAACCGCTAACAGTTTAATTTAAATTTAACTTTGTAAATTTTACTTGCTAGCTTGTGTTTTATGAAAACGAGTATCCTTAGTTAGTTTGATTATCATGTGAAATATTTAGATTTTGCTTATTTTCTCTAATATTAGTTTAAGTATTACTTAAATTTGAAAAGCTTGCTTGGAAAGGAGAGTTTTTGGTTAGTGCTTATTTACTATTTTACTACTGCTATATTTCTTTCAGATATTTATGACTCTGCCTATTATGGCTTAAACTTCGTGTTTGAGATTACGATAAGGGTGAAGAAGGGGATTATTTAAGTTACATGGAAATATCGAAACTGGTATGTAAGTCTAACGACTAATTCGGATCAGGAGATAAAAGTTTGCTTTTATTTAATTGAGACTATGCATATGTTGAATTGATTATTGTTTTTAGCATACTTTTATTTATATCCACAGAAGTAGATAAAATATTGTTTGATAGGATAGAATCATGCAGCTAATTAGTTATCTATTATCTCGTATTGCTTTCCTATTTTTATTAAATTTACTATTTATTCTAAAAAGACCTGTGCAAATAAGTGGTTTTCTTTGGTTTGTTTTAGGCCAGCTAAGAAGTCAGAGGATAATTTACATTATAATTTTAATATATTTAATTATCATTTTATTATTTATTTTTATTGTAAAATAAATATTTATTGTTATTGATGATTTATTTATTTTCAGAAAAGCAATTGTTGTTATCTTAATACCCTCTTTTCCTAAATGGAGAGTCATCCCTTTTTTATGGAACTTATTCGTATTAAGATTTTGCTCTTTTCTCTCTTTTAAGAGCTTCGTCTGTACCTACAGTTTATGAGCTTTTGAGAGGATAATGTTCTTATTAATCCTGCTATTAAGTGTTGTTACTTGTGTGTATTTATTAAGCACTACCCTGCTTGAATCTTTCTAAAATATTATTTTTCAAAATACCAATTTTAATATTGTCTGCAGCTTAAGCTTTATTTTGATTATGGTTTTAAACTTGCATTGCACTTTAAGTTTTATAAGAAACTTATCCTTTTTCAGGATTAGAGTCTCCTTAATCTAAGAAATTAATAAACTCGCTTTAATTCCTTGACTTTTTCTAAGCTTAAATGTAACTTGCTTCTTAATATTAATTATCTTAATTAGTATATCTAGAGTTTGGCTAAATACTTTAGATATTATAAAGTGCTTCTCTCTCTGGAGAGGAAGACTTGTATTCAGACCTAAACCTTTAGCTATTTGGAATTCTATGCACTAATATTAAACTATCATCAGGAGTATTTGATTCTAAATCATCAAATTTGTTGATTTTTTCTGAAAGTTAAGGTAAACATAATTTAGAATCAAACCCTTAATTAAACATCTGAGAATTTTCATTTTAATCTCTATTTTTCGATTTCTTTTTTACTTTTATTAAAGCTGAAGGTAAATTATTTCTAACATTTTCTTAATATCTATTATCCTTCAATTAATACTTCTGATATTAGGGTTGATCTAAATATTAATCAAATGGTCCTTCTTTGATTGAAACAGATTTATTCTTTTGGTGAACACTCAACAACTTCTTTTTAGAAGATTATTTGTCGACGGAAGTACTTCGGTACTTATTTTATTAAGATGGATCTTCATAGTTCACTTTATACTTTTCTGTTTGCATGTTAAAGTTATCTAAAATTTATTATTCACTTTCAAAGCTGATTTTGTTATTAAATCAACCTTTTAATTTACATAAATATCAAATTAAATTTCTTTATATCTAATAATAATATAAGCAGATATTGGTAATTCATGATCCTAACTTACAAATCTATCTAGTATTTAATTATTTTAGAGTACGGATGGTTTGTATTCAATATTTATTATTTTTTATATTACTCACGCTAAATAATCTTTACCAGCTGATTTCAGACAGATTGATTGACACTTAAAACTGCAAATAAAAATTAATTATTTATTATTAATTTTACTACTTTACTTTTTATTAATCTGTGAAAAGAATAAATGTAATAAAAATATAAGCTAAGAAAATACGAATTTAAAATAATAAATATTTTCCATAAAAATATCAAATAAAAAATCATTTAAACGATTCGATAAAGATTTATAATTTTTGATAAATAAATCAACAAGCAAAAACAAATAACTTGATTTCAACATATTTTTAGTATTTATTAACAGCTTAAGTAAGAATTAATTAAGGCGAATTCTAAGACAAAACAAACAATGTAGGACTTTAATTTGTAGAATATTTTTAATGCATCAAACAGTAAATATAATATTGTGTTTTTCTTTATACATTTAGGCATATTTTGAAATGTCATTATTGAAAAGACTAGCTTTTGTGATTTCTTCACTTTCAAGAGCGTATAAAGCAGCTAAACAGACTTCATTTAGTGAAATAGATGATTCAAATTTTACAATGTTATTACTGCACTATTTTCCTCCAAATATATTAAAGGCTAAATCTACTGGCCCCTTAAGAGGAGAGCTCCACCACCTTTCTTTAGCACTGTAAATAAATCCTGGTTTTAATATGACATAGTTGAGTTTAGTTTCATTTTTTATTATCTATTCAGCTTCTTCTTTAGTTTCCAAATATCTCTTCATGAATGGAGGATAATGAGAAGAGCTAATCATTAAAAATTTTCTGGCTAAATTATCCTACTAAGATAACTCATCAACATATTTTGCAATTGAAACAGCACTATCTCTATTTAATTAAACATATTATTCATCAGACTAAGCTCTTAAAATTCCAACACTATGAATTATTTTATCGCTATGTATTAGAATATCTTTAAATTCTTATGGCTTCAATGCATCTCCTTTGATATGATTGATTTTTTTATCCCAGTGACTTTATCCACTACCATCTTTAACTTATCCACTTCTACTAATACAGTTAACATTAAATCCTCTATTAATAGCATGCTTAGCAATGCTCCTTCCTATGTATCCGTTGCCACCTATAATAGTTATTAGATTCTACTTCATTTTATATTAGTATCTTTAAAAAAGAAATTTCTTCTGAAATCTTTCACTTTTTGATAAACCATCCTAATTATAAGACACAAAATAATCTTATTTAAGTTTATCAATCTAGGATTTTATTTTTTAAAAATATTTATTCTTATTAAACCAATCTAAAAAATAATAATTAAAATTCAATAAAAATATGAAATAATTATTTCAAAATAAATAGGGAAAAAAATACTCTTTCTAAGTATGAAAAAATATTTTTCTAATTTATTTTTTTAAAGAAAATATATTGTAATAAAAGGAATGCCAAAATATTGATTCTTTATTACCTTATCTATTTAAAATTCGTTAATTATTCAATAACTACTACATATCTTCCATGAAATATTAAATGAATTAGTTTGAAAATATTTTCTATATTTTTTTAAAAAATTTATTCAGTAGCTTGCTTGTGTTTATATCTTATAGACTTAATTATTGAGGTACTGCAGTATTGTTATTGAAGACTAGATAAAGTGAGTAAGTGTTACATAATTTTTAGCATGATTAAGAGAATTTTATACACTATATTTCTTTTCTTTGAATCTTAAAATATATATGTAAATGAAAAATTATAATTTTCCAGAATGATATCTAATAACCAAAAAATATAAGAAGCCAATATTTAATCATTAACTATAAAGTAATATAATCTGATATACCTATTCGAAATAGATATGATGTTCAGCAACTTGAGAAAAAAATTAATAAAGGTATTTAAGAAGATGTCTGCTAACCTAACAACATTAATATTAATGAAATATTAAAAGAATTTAGTTAAAATTAAAACTAAAAAGATATTCGAGATATTAGAGGGTTACTAATTCCTTTATCAGCTTATGCTTTCTACATATAATTATTTAAAAAATAATTAAAGAACTTTCTCCTTAAAATAAATCAAGTTAGATAGAAAAAAAGACAACAAAAATAAATATTTTAATAAAAATTACTTTCTTTAATTATAAATTCTTGATATTAGTTTAATAAAAATTACTTTTTTTAATTATAAATGCTTGATATTAACTTAATAAAAAATAGATATATCTTTTTATTTTTAATGAGGAAAATATATTAGAATAAAAAAATTAATTGTTGTTTGTAAGAATAAAAGACAATAATAAAGAATTTTTTAATTAATTGATTTTAATATCCGCAAAAAATGAGTCATTCATTATAAAAAAACTTAAAAAATATTGAAAATACTAATAAATAAATTGATTTAGATTGATCTTTAATTTATTATTCTAAAAAAATTATAATTAATTAGATTGTATAAAAAAGAGAATATTTAAAAAAATGATTACTAACTCAAATATTAACTCAAAAAGGAATATTAATTAGACATTAAATATCGAAGATTAAATAAATGATGCTGAAGCTTAAAACCTAGGAGAAAAGACAAAAAAGAAATAAAAAAAGGGTACTTCTCTCTAAGGAAGACCTGCTAAAGCTAGTACAGATTTAAGAAAAATGGAAGAATAAATTAAAAAAGCTGCTTGGAGAATCGCAGAATTCGAAGAACATTTGTATATTTACTTTGGTGGTGCTTAAGCCTCACATAAATAGGAAGATTGCAATAATGCATTAGAATATTTTAATCAGATATTCAAAAATGTAGATGCCTAAAATTGGCTCAAGTAGATGATAGATGATTGGAATCAAAAAAAATCAGAATTAATTGATCCTATTGGATAAGAATATGTCCCTCTTAGCGATAGATACTTCTTGAATGAATTGATTTCTAATGAAGACTAAAAACAAACAATTAAAGTGGAACTTATGAAATTTTTGACCATTTATGCATTTTAAATCTTCTTACGTACGAATTAAGAATGCTTTTAATTTATTGTTTAAATGCTGTATTTAATTTATCAGAAAGTCGAAGTTGATAATGAAGATTCAGTAGGAATTTCAACAGGATTAAGTAAAGAGAAAATAGACTAAATTCTTAAAAGTAACTATAAATAAAATGAAGAATTTTTAAAATGTCAAAACATTTATAGTTTACTTTATCCTGTGATGCAGGATACTTATTTACACTTCTCTAGTCATAAAAAAATAAAAATCGTAAAACAAATATGAATGAATTTAAATAAATTTATATATAATAATTAAAATGTTAGCAATTTATTGTTTTGTAATGTTTTGCAAATAATAAATAAATAAATACATGAAAGTTTTATTGAAATAAAAAGAGTAAAATTTAGTTAAATTAGTTTTCAAATAAGCAATAAAAATAAAATAATATTTATTTATTTATTTTTAATAAAACGTATACACCTAAAACCTATCATTTTTAATGTACACTTGACTACAACAATATATAATGTACACTGCTTTCTATCATATAAATTTTCACATGGTTAAATTTAAATTAACTTTTATGCAAAATAAATGAATCATTTTTAAAATAAAAATAAAAATAAAATGCCCAGTTTTGATCAATACACTAGAATAAAAAATATAAATTAAATGTTTCTGAATCAGTATTATTATAATATCTTATCTGAAAATAATATATCATATAAAATACACAATAAATGAGTAAAAAAATATTATTTGTTAACATATATATATATAGATGGTAAATTATATTTAAAAGATATAAATATTTTTAAGTAAAATTAATTTTTATTTTTTGAAATTGAAAAGAGTTTTATTGATTTGATTACTATTTAAATATCATTTTTTTATTTTCAATGAATGGTATTTGTAAAATTAAAATCATTAATGGAATATTAGATATAGAAAAAGATTATTTGTGTTAATTAAATAAATGACTAAATGCTTTTCTTTCAAATTAAATTAAGAATGATGCTTTTCTTTTATTAAATTTAAAAGTTGGATTTTTATTTATTAATGGGTTTTTTATTTGCTGCTTGATTAAGATTATGGCTAAATTGTAAAAAAAAAGCAAAAGAATTAATATTCTTTAGATCGGAATTAAATAGAAAATATTATATTTATCAAATTAAAATAGATTATCTTATAGAAATGCTCTTAGATAGATAATTATTAACTTTAATTAAAGAGAATTAAGAAACTTAAAGAGTCTACAAATTTTTTTACTTTTTAAAATTAAACATATAAGTGTTTAAACCAATTTAAAATAAATATCAGATTTTTAACAATGTTGAAATGGTTTTCAGTTTTTTAGAGTAAAAAAAATGTTAACCACTTTTATATTAAAAAGAAATTTACTATTGTGAATGAGGATTATTTGTTTTTTAATAAATGATTTTCTTTTAATTTTAAAGCTTCTAATAATATGATAATTGTAAAGAAATACCAAAGCATAAGAATTAATTTATTTAGATCGGAATCTAATGGAAATAATATACAAGATAAAATAAAAATAGATTACCTTATAGAAATACTATTTGATAATTAATAAAAAATTTCTTTAATTAATGCATCATTTTTTAAAAGCTTAAAGAGTCTACTGTTTATGCTTATGAAAGTTTTTAAATTATAATGAAAAAAAAATAAACTTATTACACTCATATAAAGATCTAAACATAATAACATGGCATTTTAATGATACTTTTTCAACTTTGTTAGTACATTTAAAAAAAAATTAACTATTTTTCTTAAGTTTTTGACTTTTATTTTGATATTTTAGACATATTTATGAAAATTGTTTACAGCTGAAATGTTTAAAAAGAATTTTTGATTTTTGAGACTAGTAGTGTAATATCCTAATTTTATTGTTTGTAAATAGACGATACTTATTTAATAGGAAAATTAATATTATGAGACATTTTTGAGGTTTTTTTACCCCAAAAATGATGAGATAACAAATATTATTAATTATTATAATGCTTAATGGTAATGAATCTAGTTACTATTAGAAAAGATTCGTGTTTATGATGTGAATAATTTAATTTATTTATTTAAATAGATAAATAATTAATTAGTATTAATACAGCAGAGAGCAAGTAATAATTTAGATATTTTTTTCAAAATAAGATTATTAAAAACAAGAGAAGAAAAAAGAAAAAAAAAGAAAGGGATTAGTAAATATTAGTCAATAAATAATAGGAATGGAAAGTTTAGCAGAAAGACTCAAAGCCTTCAGTATTGATGAAAAGTAAATCGCTGATATCTTGAAGAACAAGAAGATTTGCGAATCTATTGAAAAGGTTTTAAATTTATCAGGAATTAACTCCGCTGACAAGAAGAGAGGTAATCTTTTGTATGGTATTGCTACTAAGATTACTCCTTCTATTGAAGAATTCAGATAGACACTCACAAAGTATGTTGTCGAAGATAAGATTGCTAATTAAAATCATCTCGATTACACTATTTCTTATATTGATACTGCTATCAAGAAAGAAGGTAGCATTGCTACTGAAGTTCTTGAAAAGAACTGCGGTATTGGCGTCAATATGACTGATGCCTAAATCTCTTAAAAGATTAAGGAGTATCTTACATCTAAGAAGGAAGTTTTAGAAAAAATTAGATATACACTCAGTATTTCTGACTACCTTAAGGCTCTTCGTGAAATAGTTCCTTTCGCTGAAGGCAAGCTCCTTTCTACTGAATTTAAAGTTTAACTTGAAGCTATCATAGGACCTGAAACTGAATAAGATAAGTAGATGAAGGCTGATTTGCTAAAAAAAAAAGCCAAAGAAGAATCTAACAAGCACAAGAAGGTTGAAACTGCTGCTACTGAATAGGAAGTTGAAGAACCAAAGAAGAAATTAGGTGATATTTTCAATGCCAGAGATCTTGCTTCATCTAGAAACACTCCAGAACTTATCAAGTAAAGAAACGAATAGTTTGGTGATGTTATTCTTACCCGTTTCCCTCCTGAGCCTAATGGTTATCTCCACATTGGTCATGCTAAGTCAATTAATTTCAATTTTGGTATTGCCAGTGAATACAATGTAAATATCAATCATAAATTTTACTCTTTTTAAAAACGTTTAAGGGAAATTATTCTATTTGAAACGTATTTTCATTATCAAAGGCTTAAGAATTAAAAAATTTGTTAGTTAGCTAGCTATTTTCTCAGTCATAGATTTTATTCTCTTTTCTGAAAAGTTTTATTGCTTGATAAAATAAGAGAAGAAGCCAAATAAAATATCCTTATATCGTCTTCTAAGATAAATAGATAAATACAAAAATAGTTAAATCAATTAAAATTTAAATTTCAGAAACAAGCTAAAAAAATTCTGCCAAATATTAATAATATTAATTGATTTATTAGCATATATTTTCTTCAGATATAAGAGACCAGAAAAATTAGATAAACATAAAGATTATAAATAATACTTAGTTAGTGTGTTAATTAGAAGATAGATACAAAAAGATTGAATTAGATTTCAAAAAAAAGTTTAAAATTCTCATTTTTTTAAAGCCACTCTTCAACAATTATTTTATGAGTTATGAGCAGTCATTTATATCAAATTTCCCTTAAAATTTTAGCAATTAAACAAATTTTATTCAGAAATTTTAAACATTCGTTAAAGAATTTTGAATAAACATTTTAAAATCTTACTTATTTTTAATATTAATAAATAGGGTTAATGCTATTTGAGATTCGATGATACCAATCCTGAAAAAGAAAACATGGAATATATTAACTCTATTAAAGATAATGTTAAATGGTTAGGAAGAACTCCTTTCAAGACCACTTACTCTTCTGATAACTTCGAAATTCTCTACTAATGTGCTATCAAGCTCATTAAAAAGGGATTCGCTTTCGTTTGTCATTAGAACAAGGAAGAATCAAGAAAGTTCAGAGAATAAGGTATTCCCTCACCTTACAGAGACAGACCTGTTGAAGAAAATCTCCGTATTTTCGAAGAAATGAGACTTGGTCTTTGGGATGAAGGAGCCGTAAATATTAATAAATTTTATTTCACAAATATAGCTTTTAGATAAATCATAAATTTGAAATAATATTTGCAATTAAGTTAAAAGAATAAAATAAAATAGTTTTGAGTTTAGCATAATATATAAATTTTTATTAGCTCAATCAAAAAAATATAAAAGCTTTCAAATTAGCTATAAAATTTTATTTGGTTTATTTATTTTAGCATTCTTAAGCATTTTATATTCGAAATAGGCTGTTTTAAGAGCTAAGATTGACTACAAGTCACCCAACACTACTTTAAGAGATCCTGCCATTTATAGAATTAGATATGTTTCTCACCCTCACGCTGGTAGCAAATGGTGTATCTATCCTCTCTATGATTACACTCACCCTATTTGCGATTCATTAGAAGGTATTACTTACTCTCTCTGTACCTTAGAATTCGAAATTAGAAGAGAACTCTATTACTGGTACCTTGAAAAGCTCGATATGTATCGTCCCTACGTCTGGGAAGTAAACATTTTAGAATATATTTTTACTTTATTTTTTACAATATTTTCATGCAAATAAAATAAAGTTCTCTCGTTTGAATGTCTCCAACACTGTTTTGTCAAAGAGAAAGTTATAAGCTTTGGTCTTCGGTAATCACGTTAAGGGTTGGGATGATCCTAGATTGTTAACAATTTAAGGTATGAGAAGAAGAGGTTACACTCCTGAAGGTATTAATGCTTTCTGTGATTTAGTTTCTGTCACTCGTAACGGTAATGAAAATGTTATTGGATTCTAGTTATTAGAACATTGCATTCGTAAAGATTTGGACAACACTACCAAGCGTACCATGGCTGTCATCGATCCTGTCAAGGTTACCATTACTAACCTTCCTGATACTTATGAATAGGTTCTCGAAGCTCCTGATTTCCCAACTTAAGTCGAAAGAGGTAAATTAGATTATTATATATTGAATGAGAAACGATTTATTTTAAGCTTTAAATTTTATTTCATTTTTACAAAAATAAATATTAAACAAAAAATTTAATTATTTTAATAGGATCTCACAAAATCTCTTTCACCAACTCTGTTTATGTTGAAAGAGAAGATACTTAATTAAAGGATCACAAGGACTTCTTTGGTTTAGCTCCAGGAAAAGTTGTTGGTCTTAAGTACGCAGGTGTTGTTAAGTGTATTGATGTTAAGGCTAAGGACGGAGTTGTTACTGAAGTTGTTGCTGAATTCATTAAGGACGATCCTCCTAAACCCAAGACTTATTTGAATTGGGTTTCTGCTAAAGAAGCTTTTGATTGTGAAGTTAGAATTTATAATAGTTTATTCACTGAAGATCCTACTTCTTCTGATAAAGAATTCCTCGAATTACTTAACCCCAACTCTCTTGTTTTCAAGAGCGGTGCCAAGATTAACAAGAATATTATCCCTGAACTCTAACACTTATCTAGATTCTAATTCGAAAGATAAGGTTATTTCGCTATCGATTTCGATTCTGATATCACAAAGAAAACTTTCGTCTGGAATAAGATTGTAGGTCTTTCCGACACTGGCAAATAAAAGGCTTTATAGAGAGTTGCATAGGCTTGATTTAATAAAAAGAACAAGTTAGTGAGTAAAGCTCAACTTAATCTTATATAAATACATATAATTAGATAATCTATTTAAATACATATTCTATCTAATAAAATTATAATTAAAACTAAATAAATGCTTTAAAATTTATAGAATAACTAACTAACTAAATGGTTTGTATTGTTCATGTTTTTTTTTAAAATTTATTCACTTATTTTTTAGAAATTATCTTCAAAATAATATCTAAACTTTTCAATTCTATTTTAATATTCATAAAGCAAATAATAAAATTTGTGCATAAATAGATTTAATTTTTTCAAAAAAAACTAATTTAGAATTATATCAAGCAAGATTAGCTTTTACTAATTATGTAAAAAATTGTGTATATATATATATATATATATATAATACTATTTTATAAATTTAAATAATGTTAACTTATTAACTACTATAAACTCTTCATTTTAATGAGCTAGATTAATTTTCTTATGAAAATTAATTTCATTTTAAATCATCAAAAAGTGTTTATTTCTTGGTTTAAAAATTTGAAGTTTAAAATCAAGGTTTTACAGTATTTATTAACTATTTGAAATTTGTTTAATTACTTTTTTATTTTATATACTGAGAATAATTAATTAATTTTTAAAGTAGTTATTTTAAATAAATTTTTAGTTTTAATCTAATCAATAATTTAATATTTAGTCCTTATTTATTTTTTAAAACTCAAATTTAATATAGTAGTAATTTAATTTAGTAATTGAATATCCATAGATACTTTCATGTTTTATCATTTGAATTATTTTTGCTATAAATTTTTGATATGTAGCTCATTTATAAAGAATATTATTTTTAATCTAAATTTTGTACTTTGTTACTAGCAAATTTTTCAACAAATGAGAGATTTTGTTACTCCTTTTGTTTTTAATACTTAACTGGGATATTAGAATTTGTTAAAATAACGCGATTTCTATTATCATCTTCCAAGTCATATTTTTAATTAGACTCAGTTGATATTGAAACAATTAGCTTGCCTTTATTTAACTGCTATTGAATGAATTCTATACAAATCATGGCAATATCATAAAAAAAGGAAATTATATAAACGCTATTAAAAATTGATAAAAATATGATCATCATTAATCCAAACATATTTAGTTTATCTTAGTCATCTTTGGACATGATATTAACAGAATTAAATTAAGAGCGAATTATTCCTATGAGTAATAAGCAAATCCAGGAAAGTAAAAAGGATGTGGTTCCTATTATTTTTATTATAAAATAAACCTTACTCTTGAAGGGCCTATTGTATAAGATATATGTTAGAAGGAAGGCCTAGATAGATACAATAATAGATACTGTAACAATAAAGTTAAAGGGTGTTAAAATTAAGCATAAGCAAGTGAAGAATTTTCCTAGCAAACTGTAAAAATGAAAATAATATTTATTTTAATTCAATTCCAGCCTCGTTGTAAATATTGGTATTTTTTCATATTGATTTTATATCATCTACTATAAACTATACTTAAAGCAAAATATCGTTTGTATCAAGAATATGCACATTATGTAAATCGAATATCTATTTGCAAAGTAGTCACCTTACAAATTTTAAAATTAGAGATAAACTGAAACAAAATAAACAACAAAGTTAGATTCTAAATTAGCAATCATCAATTTTCTCAACAATATGATTATACTATCTAACCTTTCTTAAAATTTACTTTAAGATTATTCAGTTTAAGGGTTATTTTATGGGAGTAAAAGCTAAATATTATCTTTATCTTCTTGAGGATTTTATTTTAGCTGTTCTATAAGACATTATTTATTATTACTTAAGTAGTTTAATTATACAATATATTAAAGTTATTTTAGCTTATATTGTTCAACTTTATGTTTTTGATCAAACTTAAATTTGTAGGTGACTATGCATATAAAATGTAATATTGTAAAGATAGTGAATAGAAGTGATGGAATCTGGGTGTTATAAAAGTAATTATTCAGAAACCCAATTTATTAGAAATATTCATTAGTTGGTACATCATTTTTTAATTACTTAGAAAAATCTAAATTTAGGATTTTGTATTCGTTTTAATCTGACTAAGTAGACTTGTAAATTTAATACCAGCTGAAGAATTTATTTTTACTGAAGACAAATTATCCTATAATTTTTAAGTATAACTAAATATTTAATGGCAGCTAGATTTGAGCCAGTAGAAAAAGTATAGTAGGTTGCAATGTACTCAAAATATATAGAAAAAAATAATATGTTGTTACAAACTAAACAAATGGGTTGTTTTATACAGACTCAGATGCAGCTTTGAGTTCAGCTAGATTTCGTTAACTACTTGAATAATCTACATTATCTTATACCATTTTAACAAAAATAGGATTTTCTACATATTTAATATCTAAAATTGTATTGCTAACCCCTTAAAAGTAATTTTACTTTAATGCGATTACAAATAATTTTTATCTTGGTATTACTTTTTAACTTATCATAACAAATTCAAGCATATTTTAATCATAAAAGGTCTACTAAAAGGTATATTCACTTTTTGGAGTACCTTCTAAATAAATTGATAAATTTTACATAATCAAATCACTACTAATCTTTTATAGGATAGTATCTGAAAAACTAATTCTATATATTTGTTAAAATTCGCTATTTATATATATGCTCAAATTTATATTTAGAGAAGTCACACATTTTGGTAGATTGTTATCTAATTCATCTTTAAATAAAGTCATATTTGCTCCAACACACTAACAATAACCATCTGAATTCTAAAGAAATGAATCATTATAGCACTTTGTGCATTAATTTATATTAGGACCACTACAGTGTTTACAAGAAAAATGGCAAGGTAGGCATCCCTTTTAGTTATCATTTAGCATACCAAAATATTACCCATCAGGGCATTTTACACAGTCAGTACTTTATCCATCATCATAATAATTTTATTAACACTAACAAGTGGGTGGATTTATTCTATTTCCTTTGCATTTTAAACAGTTAAATGAATTACCATCACAAGAAACGCATTTATTGTCACAAACTAATGGTACACATTCCATACGCTCATAATCAAAGATTTCATAAGCTGTGCATTATATTTAACAAATAGGCGAATTAATAAAACCTGCAGCACAAGAAGTACATTAATTTTATCCCGAGGCTTATTTATTATATGAGCATGTATAGCAATTACTATTGCAGTCTTTTTTAAGTAAATATTTTATCTTAATTTTTTTGTTTTTGTAATAAATAAGTTAACAAAATAATTTTTTTACCCTAAAATAAATTAATATTTTAATATACCATAAATACTATCTATCTTCATTTATCATTAGATTAATAAATATAAACTATAAAATTTCATTAATTTTTATGAAATATGGTGGGTTAAAATTAATTTCAGTGAGAATTAATGAGGATTTAAGGTAAATAGGTAAATAAATTATCAAAAAAAAATTAGTCTTCAAAATCACAAAATTAAATTAAATATTACTTTTGCATGAGGATGAAACTGGATCGAAAAACATTCCATTTGGACAAGAACAATTAGGAAGAATTTAATTTTTGTCAATACATAAAGTACAATAATTTTCTGTAAAGTAGCACGTTTTACACATGACATTGCATTCTAATTTTAAAATATAAATTATTGGTTAATTTTAATTTGATGAGCTAAAATTAAATTAAATTTTGTAATTAAAATTATTTGATTTCTACCCAGAATTTTAGATTACTTTAGATACTTTAGAATTGTACACATATAATTAATTTCAAACTTTTTTGATGAATTTCTATTCGAAATTATTTTTTTAGACCAAAAACTTATTTATTATCAGTAAAAATAATTATATGAATTACTTTAACAGCGAAATGAGTCATTCATGAAATATCCAGCATTGCAGACACATTAATTGTACAATAGAGATGCATTTTCAAAACAATCTAAGCAACCAATAGTGTCTTAGCATGATTTGCATGTTGGCAAGCAAGCTATACAAATTGGCGAGGAACTTTACTCGTAATATCCTTTTTTGCATACACATCTACCATTATCAATAACTCTGTTTTGTTAGTTTTAGCAGGAGCTGCAAAGTTCTATGTTATGTATGTCTGCAAAGCTTGGACAAAGGTTATTTGTTAACTGTTAGTAGTAAACTCTTTTTATAATTTTTTTTAAAACAAATTTAATTGATTTGAGTGTAATCTTAATCAGAAATAAAATTAAGAAAAGACTTATATAATTTTACTTTTAAACTTAATTTTCACTTTGAATTTAAGGATTTATTCCAGGATTTAAAAATGAGCAAGTAGCCGTAGGAGAAGAAGTAATTTATATGATTAATATATTGTTTATTGATCCAACATATTAATTCCAATCAAAAGTTAATGTTTTTTAATAATAATTATAGCAAGGACTAATAGATAAATCTTTGTTTAGTACATTATTTCCATTAAATTCTATTTAAAGTTATTCATTGCATGTTTATCTAGATATTACATTAAAATTAATTAATATTTTGATTTAGAAAAAAACATTGTTTTAAAACAATGTATATAGATTTATTTTACTGTTTGTAAGTGACACTCATGGTTATCTTATAATAGCTAAATATGGTTAGCCGCGAAAACTAAATAGTTCCTGTGTAGTATAACAAGCAATGTGATGGGTTTTAAATATTATGTTATAGCCAAATATTCCCGTTTTATAAGCTAGAACTTATGCTGAAAACTTAAACTGTAGTTGTACCTTTGAAATTAATATTTATCTTTTTAATTCATGTCATAAATAAACAAAACATATCTTACTTAGAGTTATATAGCTATTTTATGATTTGACTACTTTTAAGAATTCTGTAGATATAAATAAGAAGAGAATCCAGTTTTTTAAAAGTAAAAAAATGCCTATCCTCATTTTTTGAAATATTATAGGATTCTCAATATTCAAAATGCAGTTTTTCTCTCTTATTTATTTACTTAATTCTTAATTAAAAAAGAAGAATATTATTATTTATCCTTCAAATTTTTAAACATCAAAAAAATTTCTCTGTAATTTAACTTAGTCAATCAACTATTATTATTTATTTTTACAATCCTTAGTTTTCATTTAAATGATATCAGTAAAAGCTGATATCTTCAATTTACAATCCACTTGTATTAAGTCAACATTTGGATGGTTTATTGGTTAGTTTTAAGACTTTTTTAGATTTTAGTTAGATGTTATTTTTAAATGATAACTATAAATAACTTTAGAGATTTTTGTAAATATTTATTCAATTACTATTAAAAAATTTATAAGATAAACTGTGATTTTTATTTTTTTACCAATATAAATTTCAAGCATTTATTTTTAAATATTTTCACTATAATTATTCTAAAATCAAAATTTTTTTTCCTTCTAAATTATTTCAGATAGGCACACATATTATATATAAAAAATTATTAACACACTAAAACTAAAATTTGTTGAGGAATAGGGAAAATAAATAGTAGAATCTTAAACTAAAAAATTGAAATATCTAGTTTTTTGCTAAAATAATATTGAGAAATATATATAACTAAACAAGTAAATTTATCTTATTTAATAAGACAGACAGACGAATTTAACTATTATGAGTTAGCCAAAAATAAATAAACATTTTATTATTAATAAAAATAATATAATATAATGTAATATAAGTTATATTTTAATTTTTTGAGATTTGATTTTTCACTATTTATTTAATTTAATTGTACTGAATTTTTATTAAAAAACTAAAGGGTTTTTTAATTCATTTGGAGAGTTTTCGTTTTAAGCATCATCAGTTTATTTTAGTTCATATTTTGATAAATATGGTAAGAATTATATATCAGTTAAATTTAAGTTTCTTGTATTATGTAACTCTATGCAAATATTTTAATTATCAACAATGTGAATTGTGTCAAACTTTTTATTTTTTGAACCAAAACATTTAAATATTAATTATTTAATTGTAATGAAGATATCTAAAAAAAAAGATAATAAATACAATCCATTAAATAATGACAATGTAACCATCATAGCAATACCAATTTTATTTAAAGTTTGCTAATCACTGTCAGTCATTAGATTATTTTGATCGAATCGAGACTTTATTATTCCAATAGTTAGCACACAAACCCAAGAGGCTAAAAAAGAAAGTGTACCTAAAACTTTAATGATCATATATATTATGCTTTTAAAAGGTCTATAATAAAAAATGTAGGCTAAAAGCATTATTTATGTTAATATAATTATTGAGATATTCAAATTAAAGGTTTTAGAGCTGAATATGGCACATATAGATATAATTAATTTTAAAATCAGGCTGTAAAAATGGAAATAATATTTTGAATTCTTATTCTTTAATCTATCTGCAAACATAGGTACTTTGTCAAATTAGTTTTGCTTCATATAATGATAGGCTCTTACTTAGATGTAGATTGCTTAAAAAATAAAGGCAAACATGATATAAATAGATACTCTATTTATATAAACAGAGTCTTAGAAATTGTAAAATTAAAGATAGATTGATATCAGATAAAGTACAAAATTAGATTCAAAATTAGAGAGCAGTTAATTGTTTAAGAGCACAGTGATGTTATAAATTTTTTATGTTATATTTGTTTATGATTATTAATTTAAAATAAAAGGTTAGTTTTGATTATTTTAATTAGGATTTATCATTTTATTATATTATTCGATTAGTTCAAAATACTAAGTCTAACCAAAATTCTAAAAATTCAATTCTCTATACAGTAGGATACTCATTTTTAAATCATTCTAATCTTTGGTATCCAAAAACTTGTGAATTAATCTAAGAATCCAGTAAACAGACAGAAAGATTATGAATAGCAGGCTTGGGACTTGTGTGTTGTAGAAAAAATTATTTAAAAATCCTATTTAATAGAATTATTCATTTTCAGGTATTGAATTTTTTAATTCATCTGTTAGATCAAAACTAAAGATGTAATATTAATTTTATTTGGTATAGTCATTACCTTATTCTTCATATGAGGAAAAAAATTAGTTATGGCTGAAAACAAACTACCCAACTATTTTCAAATAAAGCTAAATATTCAAAGGAAATTCAATAGGCACAATCAAGAATAGGATAGTGGGTTGAAGAGTACTCAAAATAAATAAAAAAAAATAATACTTTGTAACAAATTAAACAAAGAAATTATTTTAGACTGACTAAGAAGCTGCTTTAAGCTACTAAAGATTTTATAAGTTATTTTAAGAGTTAACCTCTTCTTAAACCAAATAGACAGATAGTGGTTTTTAGAGATATTTTAGGTCTAAGATACTTTTGTTAACACCCTAAAAAATGTGCTACTCAGCTGCGTAAACGTATAAAAATTATCTAGGTATAACTTTTTTAGTAGAGATGCAGAATTCAATATATTTATTGTTATAAAAAGTAGGAATCATTTAATATTCTTATGGTGAAGAGTATTACAAGTAAATAACTAGATTATTTACAGCTTAATCTAGAGAGACGCTCTAAATTAGTTAATCAGAAAATTCAATTCTAAATATTTATTTAAATGATTTATTTATGTAAATGGTAAGATTCATATCTAATCTATTCATGCAAATAGGTTTATTTTTATTTAATTCATCCATGATTTAAGTTTTTGTATTGTCTACGCATGCACATCTACCATCATATGTCCTAACAAATTCATCACTATAGCAATCTGTACAATCAAATTTATTTGGACCAGTACAGCGCTTACATGAGTAATGGCAAGGCTAGCAGCCTTTATTACTATTGTCATTTATGTCTAAAAACTATCCTTCAGGGCATTTAATACAATTAGTGCTAACACCATCTTCAAATAAAAACCTATCGCATTAACAATATGGTGGATTTTTTCTATCACCTTTGCACTGCTAGCAATTAGATGAATGCTTTGAACATGTTAAGCATTTATTATCACATTATAAAGGTATACATTAATTTTAGGTGTAATCATATACTTAAACATCAGAACATTCCTATTAACAAAAGGGAGGGTTTATAAATCCAGGAAGGCAAGAAGTACATTAATTTTTAGAAGCTTTCGCTGGATTATACTAGCAAGTCTAACACTGAGTATCACAAACTAATCATAAATTTAATTAATTAATGTATTTAAAATAAAATTTGCCTGATTTAAAAAGAAAAAATTTTTGTTTAACAAGGCGAAATTAATTTATGGTGTCTGTTTAATAATTTCTTGACCCCTGTTTAACTTAATAAATAAATGTAATGTAAAATTAATAATTGCGACTAAAATTTGGGTGGATTTTTCATACTTACTTTCTTTTTATTTATTTATTTTAATAAATTTAATTTACCTTTGCAAGAGAGTGCAGATGGCGTTGGATCAAAATACATTTTTGGAGGACATTAGCAATTAGGTAAAATTTGTAATAGATCAATGCATGAAGTGCAGTAATTCTAAGAAAAAACACAAGTTTTACATGGGAGATTGCACTCTAAATTAATAAAAAAAATAATTTATCTTAATTGAGAATTTTTAATCTAATTAATCTTTAAACAGCCTTTCAAAAATTAATGATAATTTTGAATAATATATATATTAAGATCAGAAATTAGATCTTTCTTTTTTTAATAAATTTTTTAATTATTTTAAGACAACTTGAGCTGAATATTTGGATAAAAAAAATTTCAATTACTTTGGCATTGATAGGAATCATTCATAAAGTATCCTTCATTGCAAATACATTAATTTTATTTTAGGGTTGCATTTTCAAAACACGCAGTGCATTGTGATTAATTATTGCATGTAAGACAAGATGGTTTACAGGCCAAGCAAATTAAATTCTATTTAGACTAAAAATAACCTTAGTTACATTGACAATCATTATTAACAAGATATCGATTTTAGCTGTTTAAACATGAATAACAGTTTTTCAAATTTGATTGATTAGTAGCTTCAGGACAAAAGTTATTTATTAAATTTTGAAAATAGATCCTTTATTGTTAATAAAATTTTTTAATTATTTTTAGCTTACTAATTAGATAAGTGGAATATGCATATCTTGAAAAAAAATCTTTATTTACTTTATAACATAAGATTAATCTGATAAAGAAGGAGTCTATTGCGATCCAGTTAATGAACAAGAATCAGTAATTGTTTTTATAATTTGCAATTCAAAATTATTATTTTAACTTGAGATATAGAGATCAGTCGTGATATTCAAACTAACATGATAGTTAACATAGCAGTTATTTATAAAGACATGACTGAAATCTAAATTATTACTATTCCTTGTAAAGATTATTTATTCGTTGCAGGTTTATCTATTTGTAATGTTTAATATAAAATCTTATTAATAGATAATAATAGATAAAACTAACTAACTAAATATGTATTTTTACGCTCTATAATAAACAATAAAGGTAAACCTATAAAACTTATGTATGTCTTATGATGAGAACTATATTTATCCAGTATTGCTAAATAAACATACTCCTGGGTTGCTTACTAATTAATTAAACCAGTTTCCTTATGATGCCTTGTAAATACTGAAAACATTGTTTTAATGAGCACCTAAATAAATAATATATAAGAGTTAAGAATAAATATTAAAATCGCATTTAGATTTTCTAAATTACTAATTTGTATATTAAACGGATAAGAAGAGCTCCCTAGTTTTATATTGAGCAATATAATAAATAGACTTATAATATGCCTAAAATAAGATATTAAAAATATCATTTTTAAGCTTATATATTTGCTATCAGCAAAATTTTGTATTAATTTTTAATTTTAATTAAAGGTTTTTACTGTTTCTCAAAATTAATTTACTTTTTTTTCAAAACAAAATTTTACATTAATTCTTATATTTTCTTTTGTTATGGCAGAATATGTGGCGATTGGATTATTCTAAATATATTTTACTTATGAAATAGTATTTAATATTCTCTTAAATTAAATTATCATTTTCTGAATATTAAGCTATTTTTATTTTATATATAATTTAAAAGTAATAAATATATTCATGCCTAAATTACAGAAATATGATACATATTTATTATTTAAATAAAAGCTCATTCAATTACATTAAATCAAATCAACAAAAGAATTATTATTTTTTAATTAAATTAATGATGTTTCTTAATTGAGCAATTTACTTTGTTAAAAATTCTTTTTTAAAATGTAAATTTCGTCAAAATTAAACAGAATTGAATATTTAATTATCACTTGAATACAATAAATATCTATTATTACAATTATAATCAATTTTTTATTTATATTTTATTTCTTAATACTCACAACTAACTTGTTATTAAAACTAAATTTTAATAGCACAAAATTTTGATTAAAAATTATTAACTTTATTTAAAAGTCATTTTATTTAGATTATTTTGTTATTTTTTAACTTTAACTTTATTTTATTTAACTATAAATAATATCTTTTTGAAATTAAAAAATATTTTTAGGTCATTTAGATTTTTATTTGATTTATTTGGAAATTAATTTTTCATAAGGCAAAAATCATAACCAATTTACTAATTGATTTCTTATTTTATTTTATTTTTAGTATGTGCTGTTAAAAATAATCATAATTTTAACAATCTCAAAACTAAGCAAAGAAGTTAAGCAGTTAGCTAGCAAGAACACTATCCTTTGACTAAATAACTTTTTAAATACTTGAAATTTTTTAATTTTTAATGTTTATTCTTGTAAACTTTAATAATGTATTAAGATAGAAATTTTAAATATTTAAATTAAAACTAAGCAGCCAAGATAGCAATAAGATCCTTTTACTTCATATCTTTTTGTTTAAATATTTGAGATCGTTTTAGTTTGTAATGCTAATTCCTGTAAGTTAAATGCATTAAGATTTAAATTACATTTTTGTTTTATTATTGGACTCTTCGTATTCCATTTTTTTATATTTATCCTCGCTGTTGTTGGTCTAAGTTTAGAGTTCAATAAATTGTTACTTTATATTATTTTTCATATTAAACTATAAATATGTGTCATCTGAATTAGAATTTTTATACACTACTATCAAATTAATTTCTTTCTTAGACCAAAGAAGCTTACATAATTCAACAGTCTAATAGGCAATTTTTATTAAAAACAAAATGAGGTAAATTGCGTTAAATACTATTAGTAGTATTATAATCGAAAGACCTAAATTATCCATATATTCAACGTCTTTTGACTCGTAAAACTGTTCAGATTAAGAATTTAATTGTTACCTTTTGATCAAATAAAGCAAAAGGCAAAACCAACTAAGCAAATAGCTGGAGGTTGCAATTACTTTTAAGCAAAGGAAAATTCTACTCTTAAATGGTCTAACAAATATAATGTATATAAGCAGGAGTATTTAAACAATTAATATCATTGAAACAAAGGCTATTTAATTAAAGCTATTAAGCTATACGCAGATGATAGTTATTATTTTTCCCAAAAAACTATAAAAATGAAAGTAGTATTATTTGTCTTCTTTTGTTGATAATGTAAACACAGGTATCTATTCCCTTTTTCCCTACTTCATTAATCTGAAGCACTTTATATGAAAGTATATAAACTATATCAAGAAAAAAAAACACAAGTACATTGAAATTCTATTTACAATATTTTGTTATTTGAAGTTAGTAAATTACATTCCCATAGAAATAAAGTAAATAGCAAAATTAGATTCCATATTAGAGACTATTAAATTTTATAAAATCTATTTGATCTTTTTAATCTTGCTTTAATCATTTTATTTTTCCTATTCATCAGTTATTTTGGACTGATCTTGAGAATCAATTGATGTTTTTGTTTCATTAGATTCTCTTTATTCTTATAAAACTTATTAGCTATTCATTTGCTCATATCCATTTATTGATTAATTCTAATTTTGATTCATATAAACTTATTCTTATTTTTTATCCTAAATATTTTATCCTTTTTATTATTGCTCTTTCATTAAACCTTTAGAATCTGTTATATATTATTTATACTATTAGTAAGTAAATTTGCAATTACTATTACTTTACGATGTTTAACTAAGATGTTAACTCCCATTATCAACTTAATCTTCTTATTTTTATTTAAAACAGATCTTACAAAGCTTAAACACGTCAATAAAGGAAATTATCCAATAAATAATGCAAAAAAGAGTAACAATAAGTAAAGGTATCTAGTTGTTAAATATAAAGTTTTTCATAAATCCTAACTACTCTATTTCATAGCTTTGTGGCTTATCATTTTTAATATACTCAGTAACATCAAAAAAGAAAATATAATACTCTTATTTCGCATTTTCCTAAGATAGTTCATACCATGCAAAAAATTTATTTTTATTAAAGACAAATTATCCTATTATCTTTAAGAATAGCTCTAAAGTAATTGGTAGTTAAGTAGAAACTAAAATAAAAAGTATCGTAGGTTGAAGTGTGCTTAATATAAATAAAAAAAAGTAGTACTAGGTTACAAATTTCACAAACGGATTGTTCTAAACGGATTCTGAAGCCTTTTTAAGCCTGAGTAAATTTTATTGTTTGTTAGATAAATCTTGAAGGTCTTGGAACATCTAGATTTCTATAGGGTTGTTCAAGTACCATCTACTCAGTATATTTTAGCCCTCTCCATATAAAACATATTGAGTGAGCAGCTATACAAATATTTTTTATTTGGGAATAATCTTATTAGCAAATATGATAAATTCTATGTAGTTTCTATCTATTATATCAAAAAACTATATTTAGTATTCATTTTAGCTAACATTCTCCAGTTTTATTTATAAAGCTTCAACTAAGTCTAGTTTTTTTATGCTCTTTATTAAAGGCGAAGAAAACTCTATTCTAAAAACTTACTGAAAATTTTCATTAATGTAAACTTTCAAGCTCATTTTCATCATAGTTTAGCATTTTGGAGTTTTTGATTTTGTATCATTTATTATATCCATTTCTTATTCAATGCATTCGCAAGTAGACGAAGCGCTTAAATAAAACTAATCTGGATAACATTCAGTGCAATCCGTTATTAGGCTTCCTTTGCATCTTTTACAGGAAAAGTGGCACTTTTAACATTTAAAATTTCCTGAATTGACATCTATGAATTCTCCAATAGGACAGGTTAAACAATTTTCACTTTTCAAGTCATCATATTTGTGCTATTCACATAAACAATAAGGAGGACGCTAGCGATCTCCTCGGCATGTAGAACAATTGTTTCTTTTTCCAATACAAGAACCGCATTTATTATCACAAGAAAGTGGTACACACTCATTTTTTTAAAAGTCTAGCTCTTAAAATTAATCGCATTCTTTTATACATAATGGCGCCAACTAGTACCCTTTTGTGCAGGTAGTACATTAATCAGGTCTATCAGTGCAAGTCGAACATTTATAGCTACAAACTAATTAGTTAAAAAATTTTTAGTTAATTTACACTTGCTTAATTAGTTAAGATATTTTCTAGCACTAATTAATTTTTTTAAATCAAAATCGAAAATTTTATTTTTCTGTCGAATATCTGAATTTTCTGACAAAATTTAATTTCGTCAAAAACATCAAAAACACAAGAGTCACACATACATACATACCAGCTCACAATATTTAATTGAGAAAAATAAGATATTGATCTATAAATTTTTACATTTGCATTTCTAATCAGCAAGGTCAAAATACATTCCGTTTGGGCACTTGCACGAAGGGGGTTTCATATTAATATCATCAATGCATTGAGTACAAAAATCTGAACGGCCTTAGCACTTCTTACAATTAGAACTACATTCTATCATTAATGGATTTATCAAATTTAAAAATAGAACTTAAAAAAAAATTTACTTTCACATTTCTAATCGAAATTAGAAAAGAATCCATCATAACATTTACATTAATTATTTAAATCTAAATAAGCATTTTCAAAGCATTCAGAACATTTATTTTTGTTGTAATTGCATTTTTTGCAACTTCCATTACATCTTGAGCAAGTCAATTAATTTTTATATTAATAGTAGCCATCTTCACATTCACAATAATTATTCACCATAACTCTGTTGTATTCCTCTAAACAGTTATAGCACGAGTAAATGCTTTCAGGTGAGGATTTTGTAGGACACAAAATATTAGTTATTTTAGTAATAGTCATACTTTTACAGTAATAAAAAATATTTAATTTTTCTTGATAGGAAAAAATTAATTAATTACCTTTTAATATTTCCGTAGGTAAAATCTACATTTTACAATTCTTCAGAATTGCAATTAGAATCAATATTCAATGGTAATTTTAATTCTAACTCTAATATTTTAGTATTAACAAAAATATCAAATGAAACTTGAATGTATTTCCAACTGAAAAATCTGCTGTCATATTCAACTTTATAATCATCAATTTCTTTTCTTTATGCTTTGACAACAAGTTTTTAAAAGTCACCTCCTCTATTTAATACAATCAAAATAAATTCATTTTTTTCAAAGTATTAATAATGATTTAACTTACTATATTTTATATTAATAGTATATCTAAATTTAAAAGAAGTTATTAATGTACTCAGCTTCGATATACTATTTAAAATTGTACTTAAAAATGCACTGAGTTGAATCTATTTTATATTTTTTCCAGTCAGCAGAAAAGCTCGATCCAATATTTTTATACACTCCTTATTTATAGTAAATTAATATGAATAAAAATCATAAACAATTCATTATTATTATTTACTTCTCTAAATCTAAACATCTCCAGTCAGTTGCTATCCTTATGACAAAAATATATTTTAAGAATAAATAGTTATCAATAATAGTAAATTAATAAGCCTATTCATTTTGCTTCTACTTTGTTTTAAATTAATTAACAGCGTTTGCTAATTTTTTGTTAATATTAATAAAATTAAGAATTTTACCTTTAATATTATAATTAAATGAATATTTTTATTTTCTTTTTAGCTAAATTAATTTTTTTACATAAAAAATTTAATACTTAGAGGGTGTAAGAGATGATCAGATATAATTCTAAAGTGTTAATTTTACATGTATTTTTTACCATAATTATTGACTATCTAGTAGTAAGAGTACTTCTTAATTATTGCAAGATAGAACTAGATAAAATTGTAGATTAAATAAAGATGATATATTTTTTATTTACATTAAATAAATTTTTTTAAATTTATTATTTTTACTTATAGTTGAATTCTGAATGAAAAATACATTCATAATTTATTTTCTTAATAAGTAAATTTTACTTTTATTATGTAAACTTAAGCTTTTAATTTGTAAATTTCTACTTTAAACTTCCAATTTTTTTAAAAATATGCATTTAAAATATTTTTATTAATAATGTTAATAATTTTATTAAATTTTATTTAAAGTAGATTTTGTGTTATAAATTAGCTTAAATTAGGAGTTTTTGAGACAAATATTTTAAATACATTTTTTTTAATTAAAAGCTCTTTTTTTAATACTCTTTACTCTTAGCTTTTAATCTTTTTATGGAATAATATAAAAATTATTTTTGAAAATATAAAATTAAATTTAATTAATTAATTTTAATAATAATTGTTTATATTTTCTTTATTTAATTTGAGTGTGTTTAATTTAAATTAAATATCTAGATAATTTATATTTGTTGAAATTGATAATTAAAACTAAATAAATTCAATAATTAATAATCTATTTCTTTTATTTTATTTTTGTACTAATTTTTATTTTGAAATAATTTTATTATAAATTTTAGTTGACTCATTTCTATTTAAAAGCATTTATAATCTTATTTTTATAAATAAAAAAGAATTTATTTAGTCATCTCCTTTATTATTCTAATTATAATTTTTGAATGGCTTTTTCACCAGAAAATATTTATAACATATTAATTTTATGGTTTGCTAACTCTTAACAATAGAAATATTTCGGGATATGGATGATTATTCCTTAATCTTCAAGCTACAATAATCTTTTTTATAAAAAATTACATTTTTAGTAGTATTTTTATAATTTGCAATTAAGTAAAAATGTCTCACCTTATATTAATGAATATTATCTGATAATTATTAATTACAAATATTTTGAAATATCTAAAAAAACAATAAGAAAAGAGATAAATAATCAATTAATCAATCATAAATTAAGAAAACTTACTAAATGGAATTCTTAAAATTTTTTGTATTACTAACTTGTATCTTCGGCTTTTTAAGAGCATAAGAAACATCTAATACTTCATAAAATTAAAACTCAAGCAATACTCCATTAGAGAACGCTGTAGCATGTGTAAATCATTTAGTAGATCCATGCACTAATATAGATAAATAATGTAATTAAGATTACTATAAATATAGTTCATGTAGTAGTGCTTGCTCCTCTAATCCAACAGATATCAATTAATATTAAACTTGCATAAGTGCTTGTGTTTCTACAAATTAGGCTCTCGCAGGCTACATTACTTAAATAAACAATTGTATAATATTAGCAACACCTTCATCTAGTTTAATCATAAACCTTTATTCATTAAGTGTTATTATACTTATCTTAATTTACTGAATAATAATAACTTAAAAAATCATTTGTAAAATTACTTTAATGCTATATTTATATGTTTGTTAATTTTATAATTAATTTTTTTTTTTCTATTATATTTGGTCTCTGTCATTTTCATGATTAAAATTAAAAATATCTTTTGATAAGATTAATAAATAATCAAATAAATTAATAAAATTAAAGGATACTCACAATTTAATTTGTATTTTGTAGAGTTTCTAATAAGTCAAAGATTAATAGTTGCCCAGAAATATATAATCAATAATTTATATTTCTAATGTTACAAATTTTTTTATAAATGAATCTTAGAATTAGGTCAAATTTTACTGCTAAGACACAAAACAACCATAATAATAAAATAAAATAAAAATTATATTAATATTAAAATATATATTGTAAAGAACACAAAGATATAATATTTTATATCAGGTATTTTTATGCATAAATATGTCCCCTTAACTAAAATATTTATCTCTCCACATTACCTCATTCATTCGACACAGCTGGGAGAATTAAGGTATATTAAATATTTTATTTTAAAAATAATATATCTCTCTAAATTTAAAAAAAAAAGAAAAGATAATTTATTTTCTAATTAATTAGAGATTACAATTATTAAATAGGATAAAAACAAATTAAATAATAAATAAACTACAAATTTGTATTTTAAATAACTTAATTTAACTTAAACAAAAAATTTTTGAAAAAATTACTACAAAATAAAAATTTTAATTTTAATTAATTCTTTATATAGTAGACTAATCTAACTAAACTCTTCTAAATTATAAAATTTAAAACTGCAATATATTTTATTTTTTTTTTAAACTTAACTAATGTGACAAATAAACCTGAATCATTTGTCTATCAAAACAATCATTTGAAACTATTTAAATATTTTCCTATTTTGTTATTTTGTTAATAAATTTTTATAAAACACAATAAAAACATAATTAATTGAAAGGATATTTCAGTAATTGTAAGTTAAAAACAATTCTTTTTTTGAAAATAAGAATCTTATCTTTAATTAATATAAAAAATTAACATACAAAATTTAGCAATAAAAGTTAAGTTAATTTATTTTTTTTTTTCACTTTTTTTTATCTTCTTTATCAATTTTTTCCAAATCTACACCCATATCTAAATCTATTATATCATCATCGTTTCTATTTTCATAATCTATTTCTATTTTGGAGGTAGGCACTGTGTTTCCATAAACATCATAAGCAGTGGGTCTAGCTTTAGTTAAGATGGTTTGAAGTTATCCGATTTTAAAAATCAAGAATGGAAGACTTAAGTATCCATAAACTAACTTTGCAACAGCAAACTAAACAGACGTTTGATGGAATTATGGTGGTACTTTTGTAGAATATGAGTAGTAAAATGCAAGACAAGCAACTCCAAAGGCAAGGAAGTCATAAATCATAAAAATGTAAAGTTTACCACCTTTTGAGCAGTCGCAACATGATTTCTAATTTTACTAGGCTTCCTTTTCAAGCATTTTTTCCTTTTCTTCTTGTTCTAGCTAATGAATGGAATTTTCAATATCTTCTTGATGAGCTTATTCTTCACTTTTTTATTCATTATTTTCTTATTAGTCCAATGCCTATTATAATTCTTTTGCCTTTTATTACTAATCTAAGTGATCAAAATCAGCTTTTCCTTTAGATTCAGAACAAGGTAGAAGTAAGAAAGCTAGCCAAATAAGTATAATCTAAGAAGCGAAGTCAACTAGATCTAAATAAAAATCTAACATAGGGGAAGATGGAGCTCCATAGATACAATCATATATAGGGTCCTTTTCAGATTTGTCATCCCAGAGTCTCATACACTAAAATTAGCTCAAGTACAAAGTCAATGCTGCAATTACTCCTTGTCCTATAAATTAAGCCTTTTTATAATCTAAAATGTAAGAAACAAGCATGAATTCATCACCAGTATCCATGCATAGGAATGCAAAAAAGTACAATGCTTGCTAGATGCCATAAAATGGAATAAGTGAAATTAATGTTAAAAGCCAGTAAGAAAAGGTTCTCATTCTTTTCCATATAGACATGTCTACAGGGTTAGTTGTGTAATTATACCAAGCTTTTATTTTGTAGCAAGGAACACAAATACAGCTTACTTAAGGCTCTTTTATGGTTTTCTTAGGCTTAAACATCTTCATACGGAACTGGTACTTGACTTCATCTAGAATAATAGGATATGTTTCATCAACAGCAACATCAATTCCTTACTTTACGAATTCTGGCATGTCTGGATCTTTGATTGAGTTAGCAACTTTAGGCTTGAATTTTAAGAGAAACTCAATCATTTTCTTTTCCATTTACTTTTTTATCCATAACTCGAGCTTATTCTTCTTTTCTCTGATAGCTGAAGAAACAAAATTGTCAGCTTTTTCAGCAGCTTCAGTAGCTTATCTAACAAATTTATTTTCCTTTACTGAATCTATAGCTTTCTGATATTCTTTAGAAAGACCATCAAACATAGAAGTTTTTTTTGGCTCAGCAGTCTCGTTACTATCTAAGCGTTCTTTCTAGCTTCCTTGCTCCTCTGAACCCTTCCTCTCTTTTTCCTTATCTTTTCCTCCACTAATCTTATTTTTTAAAGAATCAAACATTTTTGAAAAATTGGGAACCTCTACTTTTCTTTATTTTTAATTTAATATTATTGCTTATCAATTAATATTTATTAATTATTTTTTAGATCTAAATATTGGTTTTATACTAAAATAGATAGATTTAAATAATCTAAAAAGTGGGTGAAAATTGAAAACGTAAATTGAATACAAAATATAAAATACAAATAAAATAAAAGTATTTGTAAAATAAAATTTAGATAGATTGACAGGCAGACAGATTTAGATTTAAATCAGGATTTGATTTAGTTTTCCTTCTATAACTTTTGTAAATTTTATTTAAATCTTTGGAGATATATTCTGAGTGATCATGAATATTCTTTTCGTACAAATAATAGATAAATAATAAGGAATATTTTTAATTTATTTAGGAAGAACAATAAAATAATTATTATTTAATATTTCTTTTATAAAAAAATACTTTTTAAAGTTGTTGATATTATTTTTAAAGTAATACATTTATAAATTATTTTTATATATTTCAGACCAAATAAACAATTATATTCAAATAATGATTCAATATTTAATTTTTATTTAAATATTTTTTAAATCATTATGGCTATATTATAGAATTGTTAGTATTACTTTAAATATTTATATTTTAAATAGTTTTATGAAAATTAGATCATTTCATAATGACAGGCTTAAGTAAAAAAAATAAAGGTATGTAAATTAATCTTTCTATAAACTATATGTAGTATGTGTCTCCTTTAAGTTATGGTTGTATCTTAAATAAATTTTAAAAATTTTTATGCGGTAAATGAAAGAAAAAAAGAATCTAATCATTTTGAAATAAAATAAAAAATTGTTCTTTTCTCAAACAAATTAAAGATCTAAATGTAAACCTGAAAATAGAAAATAATATTTTTTTATAAATAAATAATTTGTTTTTTAATTCTAAAAATTTAATAAATGAAGATGTGCTTAACAAATAACTTCATTTGTGAAAATATGAAAAACATACGTAAGTTATGAGATTCTATTATATTTACACTTTAAAAAAAATAAATTATCCTTATATAGTTATTTGTTTTTTAATTTCAATTATACCACAAATCTAATGTAATTAACCTCGGATTTAATTTCATAAACAAAGCAATTTATGAATTAAATACGATTAGTTATTAAACCCTCGATCTTCTGAAATTAACAAATTAACTTATTAAATTAAATAGACTTTTTAGTTTTTGATTACTTATAATGAAATCTTTTAAATTGATTTTGGTTAAATATGGCAATTAAACAAGCAATTTTGAAAAATCAACTATAGGCTTTATTTGATTTGGTTTTTTAGAGTTGTTTATGCTTTCAATTATCTATTGTATTAAGACTATTTCTACCAGCTTTTCTTTTATACAAATTATGTTTTTAGTTAATTATTCATAATTTATCTATTCACTACTATTCTAGCAGAAGTAAATAGACAAATTTGGAAAATTTTTTGGAGAATAGGATTCAAATATATTACTCTAAATATATTCAATGCTTTGTGAAATTAATTATTCTTCAAAATCCTTACTTATAGTGAGTACTATCAATGAATTTTCATTTTTTGTTTCTTATTTTTTTACATTAAGTTTAAGATGCTTTAGATTGTCTAACTTTTTTAATTAATCAAAAAGTAAAATAACTCCCTACTTAGAAAAGGAATTTATGGAGTTAAAGACTAATTCAAGCTTTTTAACATTCTTAAACAATCCTAATATATCTGATACAATATACACATATTTACCCAGTTGAATTAAACTGTTTATGTTCCACTTTAAATTTTTAGTATATTTTGCTATTTTACTAATTTAATTTGCAAAGTTAATCAATATGTGATTTTGAGAAAACTGAATGTCTATACATAAGTCTAACTATTTTGGGCATATTTTCATTTTATTATAGATTTCGTTTATATTTTGAATGAAATTAAATCCTTTTAACTCTTAATACACTAATTCATTTGCTATTAAAATACTATCTGAGTTGTTGAAATCATTTCTTTCAAATTTAGTTTATCCATCATAACATATTTTTTCATTTTCACATTCCAAATAGCATAATGATGGTTATTAGTTTCTGTTTGGAGCAATGTTTTCTTTATCACAACCTTGAAAGAAATCAGTAACAGATGGCATCAAAATCTGTCGTTTGTGTATATTCAGCTTTTAAATATTCATATGTTTATTATCTTTTCCAGCAATTTAAAAAAAATACTTATTTTCAATAATAAACAACAAAAGTTGAATAATATTTAAATTTAAATCTATTTTTTAAAATTCTCTACTTAAAAAATGATGTAAATATTTTTTAAACAAACTAAATATTTAATAGTAGAAAAAAGAAAATAATAATAAGAAAACAAAGATTTTTTATTTCTTATAATTTCTATTAATTAATTTTCTATATCATAATTACAAGATTAATATTTTCTGATTTACAATTATTTTTTTTGTTTTTTCTATATTCTTGGATATTTAATTAAAGAATCTATATAAAAATTGTATTTAGGTTTATATTATTATTTAAATTCAAAATTATTTTAATTTTAAAACACTACTTTTTTAATGAAAATAAATTTTGAAATTATAAATAAAATAAAAATTAGGAAACAAACAACTTAAAATTTAAATGTATATAATACTCTTGATCTCAAAGAAAGTAAGCTCTATGTAAATTATAGAAAATTTACAGATTACTGCTTCAAAATAATGAATTACTGATCAAAGTCTAATGCGAGAAAAAAAAGATGTAAGAACATATAAATAGAATCAAAAAAAAAAATTTTTTTATCAAACATAAAAAACTTTATAATGAAAGTATTTTTCATATTATTGTTACAAGGCTAGCCACTAATCGAAATTGACTATGAGACAATAATTATTTCAAAGAATTATATATATAATTTATTTTTATTTTGATTTAAGGATGTAACATTAATGAAATGAATAAAAATAGTATATTAGTTAAGGCACAATTATCTCAAACATTTAAATCAAATATTAGTTTATTAATAACAATTTTATAACCTATTTATGACAAAAGAATTTATATTTATAGTTGTATAAATATTTTTGATACTGAAATTAAATTATTTAGACCTTACTCTAATTTATTTATTTTCATAAGCAAAATTTTAATAACTTATTTAAATTTCTTAAAGTTTTATCTAAATATTTTTAATTAGGTTTTACAAAAGAAAGTGAAATTTATATTTAGGCCATTAAAAATAATCCTACTCAAGATATCGAACAATAACAGAAAAATAATTAGTTTTTCATTTAAAAATGTTTTGTAACATGTTAATTATAAAGCAAGACTGCCTGAAACCTTGCTATAAACACATTAAAATCAGTTGAAATTTCATCCATTTTTAAATCTAATAATGTTAGTATTTATTTCTGGAAGTGCAATATTTTAATGAAATAAACACTTATATTTTTATTTAGAAATAATTATCTCTAACATAACTCAAAAAAGCATAGTGAACAATATAATTGAAGAAAGCTGGAGATTTTTTAATTTTTTTATAAAATATTGTAACATGATTTATAATTAAAATAAAGTTAGGCTAATTGAATATTTAGTTTATTAAAAATTAATAAGATTTAAATATTTAAATTTATAGAATATTTTATTTGAAATCATTTTAAATTAAACGAGGTGTTATTTTTCTAATATAATACAAACACCGAATCGAAAATTAAAAAACATCCAATTATTATCATTGCAAAAATCACATTTATTTATTTAAAATAAACATGATATATCTCATAAAAATATAGTAATTAAAACAAAATATAATTGATAATTTATCAAAAATAATTAAAGTCAAAAAAAACAAAAAAACAAAAGCACAGCACTATAAACATAAATTAAACAAAATGAGTTTTCTTTTGAGGGTTTTTATGGTTTTAACTTTTGTAAATGATGTTTATTTATCATTAATAAATATCTTAGATAGCAATTTCATACAGACTGGTAATTTCGCTATCTACTAGAGAAACACTCCTATGAATATTTAATTCTCCTCACCTTTTAATTCTACTCCTAATATTATAACTTCACTTAATTTTTTGGACACTTATAACAAATAGGTTGAATTAGACTTTCAAATTTTCATTACAAATCAAAGCCCAACTGGTTTTTAAGTTACACTCCAAGCCTCTGATTTTTCTTCTCTAGCATAAGCAAATTACTCCTACATAGCTACAACAGCATCAAATATTTATTAATTTAACACTACTAATTAAACATTTTTATTAGATAACAGCTAAGACTAAAACTATAACATTTATACTACTAAAATACCTTATTCTTAATAAAACCTTCTCTAAAATTCGAATATGAAAGTTTTAATCGTTGGATTTATGACTGGGTTTTATGTAGATTATTTTACTAATATCTTAAGTGTTTCCTTTTAAATAAGCTAACCAACCAATGATCCTAATAATTTTTTAATAAATTTAAATGAAGATCTCTCAGCAAATGGGTAACTTAATGAAGTTAGATATAATTATTTTGAGTTTTATTATCAAGAAAACAACTCTATAATGATGAAAACATACAATGATCAAACTTATGAATTTATTTCTAGTACATCTAACTGCTTGTATAATAATTTAATATCAACTAGTTATACAAATAATTTGAGCCCAATATGCAAGCAAGGATTATGTTGTTAAGATCTCACAGTAGCATATGTTAGACTTTAAACAATACCTATTCCTATAAATACTATGCAATCTAATAAATTCAACTTTTAATTCGGTTTTTCTAAAATTTCAATAGATTTAAATGCTTAAAATGGAAGATTATTAATCATTGACTTTTATTTTAAATAATAAAATGGCAACAATGGAATGTATATAACTTATAGAACTTGGGAAGGTTCAAAAATATTAGGAGCTACTTCTACTATTATTGAATACTATAATTTATCTTGTCCTACTGGATATTTTTATTCATTTACTGTTAAAGATTGTGTATAAACCTGTGAAAGTTAAACTTATTCAGAATAAAATTCCTTAAATAGTAGTCTTTTACCTTCATGTAATCCATGTAATTCGAGTTGTTTATAATGCTCTGGCCCTCTATCCACTAACTGTAAAAGCTGTCCATCTTCCCTCCCTTTCTATGTTGTATAAAATAATTAATGTCAGTCAGTATAACCGGTTACTGGTTATATTTGTTAGCAAAGTACAGATATATCTTTGCCTTATTAATAAAACTGTTATTCTTGTGACTCTACATGTTTAACTTGTTCAGGAACACTTTCAACTAATTGTCTTAGTTGTTCTTAATCTTTTCCTTATTTTGTTACTTCCACTAATTAGTGCCTTTCATCTCCATAAAGTAATTTCTATTGCTAGCAAAATACAACTACTCCTACTTATCAATTCACTTGCTAAACTTGTGATCAAAACTGTTAAACTTGTTTTGGTCCTTTATCTAATAATTGTTAAAGCTGTCCTCCTAATCTACCATTTTTTAATACTTAAACAAATGAATGTCTTCTTTAAGCTCCAGCTACTGGGTATTATTGTTAAAATAGCACTGGCACAACTTAAACATACCAATAAAATTGTTATCCTTGTGATCCTAGTTGCTTTTAATGCTCAGGACCACTTTCTACAAATTGTTTAAGTTGTGCTACTTCTTTTCCTTTCTATAATCTATCAACCAATTCTTGCTTAGCATCAGCTCCTAATTAAGGTTATTTTTGTCAGTAAAGCTAAAATACAAGCTTACCTTATTAATAAAATTGCTCACCTTGTGATTCTACTTGCTTAACTTGCTCAGGTAGTCTCCAAAATAATTGCATCAGTTGCACAAGTTAGTTTCCTTATTTCAATATTTAAACTAATTCTTGTCTTTCAAATATTCCAAGTTCAGGCTTTTATTGCATATAAAATTAAACTAATCCCACTTATTAGTTTAATTGTAATAATTGTCATGTAAATTGTTTAAGCTGTACAGGCCCATAGTCTAATAATTGCTTGAGCTGTTATCCTTATCTACTTTTTTTTAATACCAAATCTAATGAATGCCTAGTATAAGCACCCGCATCAGGATATTATTGTTAAAGTAGCTCTAGCGCATCGCCATGGTATCAATAGGACTGCTATCCGTGTGATCAAAGTTGCTTATAGTGCTCAGGTCCTCTTTCTACAAATTGCTTAAGCTGCACTACTATTTTCCCTTTTTACAATTTATCAAATAATTCTTGCTTAGTTTAAGCACCTAATTCAGGTTGCTTTTGCACAAAAAACTCAAATATCAATTTGTCTTACCAACAAAATTGCTATCCTTGTGATGTAAACTGTCAAAATTGTAAAGGACCTCTTACCACTGACTGCACAGCATGTTCGCAATCATATCCTTATTACAACACTCTCACAAATACTTGTATTTCGTAAGAACCTTCTGGCTTCATTTGTTAATAATCTCCTAGTAACTATCCTTCATACTAATCAAATTGTTATCCTTGTAACGATAATAATTGCCTTATATGCACAGATGTTATGCCAAACTCCTGCATACAGTGCTAATCAAATACTTATTTGTATAATAAAAGCTGCTCGTTAACAAAACCTTCTCCAGCATTTTGTGATAGCAATAATAATTGTCAAGATTGCACAATTTAATTCTGTCTCAACTGTGATTAAGGGCCTTAGACTTGTAGTTTATGCCCTCCTTCATTTTATATAGATCCAAATTCAAACTAATGCAAATGCCCTTATGCTTCTTACTTAGATTCAACCAATAATAATTATCAGTGTTTATCATGTCCTGTAAATTGTGCATTATGTGTAAATAGCACGACTTGCTAATAATGTGCTTCAAATTCATCACCAGATCCTTTATATCCAGGAAATTGTATTTTGAATTGCTAGTCAGGATAATTTTATGATAGATAAACACAAAGCTGTTAATAATGTGCTCCAACATGCCTTACTTGCTTTGGGTCTTATAATAATTGTTTATCTTGTAAAACTGGAGCTTAAACTCTTTTTAATTAAATTAATAAAATAAATGAATGCGTTTGTATAGATTAAAAAGATACATTGAGCGAAATAACTGGAATATGTTAGTAATGTTCTGATCCCATGTGTCTGTAATGTGACTCAGATAATAGAAGTATATGTTTATAATGTATAAAATAAGCATAATATTCATAAGCTGATTAAAAATGTGAGTGCTCTTAATCAAATTATTACTCTTCTATTACAAATAGTTGCATCTAATGTCCTTAAGAAAATTGTTAGGAGTGTTTACCAGATGGATCTTAATGCATTTAATGTAAAAATGGATTCTTTTATGATAATAAATTATAAACCTGTAGCTTTTGTAAATAAGGTAAATTTACTGATAATGAAAACAAGTGTAGTTTAAGTTGTACTGATTAATGTGAATTGTGTTCAGATACCAGTTTATGCTTTTAATATTATTCTAATTCCACTTTTGTTGGGAACTAATGCTATTTTACATGTAGTAAATGCACAGGAAGCAATAGTGATTAATGCATAGAGTGTAATTCATCAACTAGGACTCTCGATCCATAAACAAATAGTTGTATTTGCTAATCATCATTTATAGAAACTAATTAAGAGGATTGCTAATTTGATCCTAGCTCAAATATTTTATTTAAAATAGCAAGTATAGTTACAAATATTTAGTATTTTATTTACCTTCCAACTTTGTTTGTGAACCATCATCCTTTCTCTGATTATTTTTTGATGAACTCTTAATTAATAGGCAACCATTTTTATTCAAAAAAGCTAGATTAAACAGGTATTTTTGCATGCCACAATGCTAAATTCAACTATTTTAATCTTCTTGATAGTTAAATTTTAGTATTTAGCTAAGAAATTCCTCAAACCAAAGATTCATCTAATAATTTAAGTGTTATGGTTTTTTTTGGTTATGCCTTTTTATCATATTTATTTATCGCTATAGGATTTGTTTATTTTAAGATTGTTGATATTAAATGTTTGAATTTGAGAAATTCTCATAGGAGCTTAGTTATAAAATACTTTTTAAAATGGAATTTATTCATAAAAGTGAATAGAATATCAAGTAATATGATACTGATGTACTCAATTAATAATTTAGAAATGTTTAAGTAATTAAACCTTTACTCTGTTTGCACAATAATATATGGAATATTATATCTAATATTTCTTTTGCTTGAAGTATATGTAGTAAAGACCGTCCCTAGTAATCAACAATTAAAGTTTTTAACAGATAACTTAAATACTAACTCCAAAGTAGGTTTGATGTTTTGGTTAATAGCAGAATTAAAGAAAATAGCTTTTTGTTCAGCCTTTTTACTCAGCTAAAGTTACTTTTTATGGGTGTAGTTTTCTATTTGTACCTTTAGTCTAATAATATTATTACTAAGCAAACCTTATAATAATAAAAGAAGAGATATGTACTATGTATTAATAAGCGATATTATATAAATAACATTTGTTTCATGCCTAATAATAATCAATTAAACTTAATAAAATCAGTCTTTAGTACATTTAGTAAAGTATGAGTAAAATAGCATCTCCTTATTATTAGTAAGTGAAATAGCTTTGGCAGCATTTCATTGCCTGGTTATTATTGAATTTGCCCATCGAATGTACCTTAAGATAAGTAAAAAATAATTATAAAAATCTTTAATTAGAAATTAAAATAATAGTTTCTTATAGACAAATAACTGCTTTATCTTTGAATAAAAAATAAAAGAAGAAGGTATTACTGTAGATTAAATTCAAAGTATTCTAAATATCAGTACAATTTCAATCCAATTTACAAAAAGAAAAAAAATTCAAAAAAGCTAGCCTACTTTTAGCTGAGTATTTAATATTGGTAGCATTTTTAAAAATTATTCCTAAATAGAAATAGAAATATTTAAATTTTTAAAAGAATTTATTCATAGTTAATTATATATCTTATTATATTTACTATTATTTTTTTATAAAATTTATTAAAAAATATTTTATTTTATTCTAAATAATTCTTTTTAATTTAATTTTTCTCAATAATGTATATTTAATTTTTCTCTACCTTCAAGTAAGAGTTTATCTTTATGTTAGGTTGCTTATAAAATAATTTGTTTTTAACAAGCAAAACTTATTGAAATCAATAAAATAAAAATTATACCATAGTTTCTCACAGTCTCGGATCCTCAGCATGAGGAATTTCCTATGTCTAGGAATGAGGAATAAATTTTTACTAAAAAATTTTTAAATTCTCAAGTATAATAAATAAAAATTATGAAACAAATAGTTTATATATTTAAAAATATATAATATTGATCTCAACAAAAGTTAACTCTATCTAAATTATAGACATTTTTCAGATTATTGCTAATAAATGAACTACTTACCTAAGTTTAAAAATAATTATTTTAAGAATTAAATACAAAATTTTAAATAAAGATTTAAAGAAATATAAAAAGAATCAAAAATAAAAAGTATTTTTGTTATCTAACATAAAAAACGTAATAATTAATATATTTTTCATATTTTTGCTACAATGCTAGTCACTAATCAAAATTGATAGTGAGGTAATAATTATTTCAAATAATTAAATAAAAAATTATTTTTTATTTTTAGTAAAGGAAATAAAATAGTAAATATTAAAGAAATATATAAAAATATGATATTAATTGCTAAAGAAATAATTAACTCATATATTAAAATATAATAATACTTTATTAATAACAATTTTTCAACCAGTTTATGATAAAAATAATTTTTATTTATCAATATTTAAGGCTGTATATATATTTTTGCTACTAAAGTTAAATTATTTACAACTTAATTTGATTTATTTATATTCTTAATAAAGTATTATTTACTTATTTTAATTTCTTAACATTTTATCTAAATTTTTTAATTAAGTTTCATGAAATAAAGTAAAATTTATATTTAGGCCATTAAAAACAAATTTTAATTAAATTTTTCAATGTTAAATAAATAGAACAAAATATAAAGAAACAATTAGCTTTTCTTTAAAAACAAATTAATCCAAAACTTTCTTTTTTGTTAAAATTCTATTAAATATATTAATATATATTTTGGAAGCAAAATTTTAGATAATTAATGAGTCTGCTGTAAAATTCACAAAAATTTATTTAATTTTGATATAAAAATAATCAGATTTTAAAAATAGCAAGACTGAATAAGAATTTGCTATAAACACATTAAAATCTATTGAAATTTGACTTATTTTTAAATTCAAGAAAGGAGAAATTTAAATTTCTGGAAGTGCTATTTTTTTTATTAACAAAAAACTATTATCTTTATTAAGAAATATTTGCTTCTAATATAACTCAAAAAAACATAACCAGTAATATAATTGAAGATGCTGGAGATTTTTTAAATTTTTTGTAAAATATTGTACTAAGATTTATATAATTAAAATAAAGTTAGACTAATTGAATATTTAGTTAATTAGAAATTGAGATGAGGATTATATATTTAAATAAAAGAATATTTTATTTGGAATCATTTTATATTAAACGAATCACATTCATTAAATTTATAATAAATATGAAAGAATATACCTAATAAGTAAATTATAATTAAAACAAAAATTTAATTGATCATTTATCAAAAAAATTTAAAGGTAAAAAACAAAAAAACAACAGCGCTATAAACAAAAACTAAACAAAATGAGTTTTCTTTTGAAGGTCTTTATGCTACTATCATTTTTTAAAAATATTTATTTATCATCTATAAATATCCTAGATAGCAATTTCATATAAACTGGAAATTTTACTCTATCATAAACAAACACTACGCTCACCATTTAGTTTACCTCTCCTTTTAATTCTACTCCTAATATAATCACTTCACTTAATTATTTAGACACTTTAAATAATTAGTTTGAATTAGACTTTCAAATCTAGATTACCAATATAAGCTCAGTTGGTTTTTTAGTTACTCTCCAAGCTTCTGATTTTTCTTATGTATATTAAGCTAATTACACCTACATAGCTACAACAGCATCAAATATTTACTCATTTTCTACTTCTAATTAAACATATTTATTAGATAATAGCTAGGACCAAAATTATAATATTTTTACTACAAAAATACCTTATTCTTAACAAAACCTTCTCTAAAATCCAAAAACTAAAGTTTTAGTTGTTGGATTTATGACTGGGTTTTATCTTGATTATTTATATAATCTTTTAAGTGTTTCATTTCTAATAAGCTAACCTACTAATGATCCTAATAATTTTTTAATTAATGTTAAAGAAGATCTCTAGGCCTAGTGGTAACTTAATGAAATAAGGTTTAATTATTTTGAGTTTTATTATCAAGAAAATAACTCAATAATGATGAAATTGTATTAAGATCTAACCTATGAATTTATTTCAAGTTCGTCTAACTGTTTATATAATAATTTAATATAAACTAATTATGCAAATAATTTAAGTTCTACTTGCAAGTAAGGTTTGTGTTGTGATGATCTCTCTCTTAAATATGCTAGAGTTTAAACCACGCCCTCTCCTATAAATACTATGCATACAAATAAATTAAACTTTTAAATTGGTTTTTCAAAAATTTATAGTGATTTAAATGTTTAAAATGGAAGATTAGTAATTAATGACATTTATTTTGTCTATTAAAATAGTAACAATGGAATGTATATAACTTATAAAACTTGGTAAGGTACAAAAATATTAGGAGTAACTTCTACTTTTGTTGAATATTACAGTTTATCTTGCCCTCAAGGGTATTTTTATTCATTTACTGTTAAAGATTGTGTTTAGACTTGTGAAAGCTAAACTTATCCAGAATAAAACTCATTAAATACTAGTCTTTTACCTTCATGTAATCCATGTAATTCGAGCTGTTTGCAATGTTCTGGCCCTCTCTCCACTAACTGTAAAAGCTGCCCATCTTCCCTCCCTTTCTTTATTGTATAAAGTAATTAATGTCAATCAGTACAACCAGGTACAGGTTATATTTGTTAATAAAGTTCAGATTTAACTTTACCTTATCAATAAAACTGTTATTCTTGTGATTCTACTTGTTTAACTTGTTCAGGTAGTCTCCCAACTAATTGTCTTAGTTGTTCTTAATCTTTTCCTTATTTTGTTACTTCCACTAATTAGTGCCTTTCATCTCCGAATAGCAATTTCTAATGCTAGCAAAATAATACTACCCCTACTTATCAATTAAATTGTTAAACTTGCAGTCCAAACTGTTAAACTTGTTTTGGTCCTTTATCTAATAATTGTTAAAGCTGCCCTCCTAATCTACAATTTTTTAATACTAATACAAATGAATGTCTTCTTTAAGCTCCAGCTACAGGATATTATTGTTACAATAGCACTGGTACATCTCCATCATACCAATAAAATTGTTATCCTTGCTATATATCATGTTTATAATGCTCGGGACCACTTTCTACAAATTGTTTAAGTTGCACTACTTCATTCCCTTTCTATAACTTATCAACTAATTCTTGTTTACCCTTAGCTCCTAGCTAAGGTTATTTTTGTCAATAAAGCTCAAACACAAGTTTATCTTATTAATAAAATTGCTCACTTTGTGATTCTACTTGCTTGACTTGTTCAGGAAGTCTCCCTACTAACTGTATTAGCTGCTCAAGTTCATTTCCTTATTTTAATATTTAAACAAATTCTTGTCTTTCAAAAGCTCCAGGCTCAAATTTTTATTGCCAGTAAAATTTAACTAATCCTACTTATTAATTTAATTGCAATATCTGCAACATAAATTGTTTGACTTGTTCAGGATAATAATCTAATAATTGTTTAAGTTGTCCTTCTACTCTATCATTTTTTAATACTAAAACAAATGAATGTCTTCTTTAAGCTCCAGCTATAGGATATTATTGTTAAAATAGCAACGGTTCATACCCATCATATCAATAAAACTGTTATCCTTGCGATCCTAGTTGCTTTTAATGCTCAGGACCTCTTTCTACAAATTGTTTAAGTTGCCCTACTTCATTACCTTTCTATAATCTATCAACTAATACTTGCATAGCATCGGCTCCTATTTAAGGTTATTATTGCCAATAAAACTCAAACACTAGCTTGTCTTACTAATAAAATTGCTCACCTTGCTATTCGACTTGCCTCAATTGCTCAGGTAGTCTCCAAAATAATTGTTTAAGTTGCACAAGTTAATTTCCCTATTTCAACATTTAAACTAGTTCTTGTCTTTCAAATATTCCAAGTTCAAACTTTTATTGCATACAAAATCTAACTAACCCCACTTATTAGTTTAATTGTAATACTTGTCATATTAATTGTTTAAGCTGTACAGGTCAATTGTCTAATAATTGTTTGAGCTGTCCTCCTTCTCTACCATTTTTTAATATCAAAACTAATGAATGCCTAGTTTAAGCTCCAGCATCAGGATATTATTGTTAAAGTAGCTCTAACACATCGCTATCATATCAATAGGACTGCTATCCTTGTGATTAAAGCTGCTTGTAATGCTCAGGTCCTATTTCTACAAATTGTTTAAGTTGCACTACTATTTTCCCTTTTTACAACTTATAAAATAATTCTTGCTCTGTTTAAGCACCTAATTCAGGTTACTTTTGCACAAAAAACTCAAATATCAATTTATCTTACTAATAAAATTGCTAGCCTTGTGATTCTACTTGCTTAACTTGCTCAGGAACGCTCCCTACTAATTGTCTCAGCTGCGCTAGTTCTTTTCCTTACTTTAATACTTAAACTAATTAATGTCTTTCCTAAACACCAGGTTTTAATTTTAATTGTCAAAAAAACACAAATTTTCCAAACTATTAGTTTAATTGCAATTCCTGTAATAGTAATTGTTTAAGCTGTACAGGACCTTTACCTAATAATTGTTTAACTTGTCCAACTTCTCTACCATATTTTAATACATCCACTAATGAATGCTTTTCATAAATTCCAAACCAAGGATATTTTTGCTAAAATAGTTCCAGTCCATAACCATCATATCAACAAAATTGCTATATTTGTGATATAAGCTGTCAAAATTGTAAAGGACCTCTTACTACTGACTGTACAGCATGCTCGCAGTCATATCCTTATTATAACACTCTTACAAATACTTGTATTTAGTAAGAACCTTCTGGTTTTGCTTGCTAATAATCTCCTAGTAACTATCCTTCATACTAATAAAATTGCTATCCTTGTAACGATAAAAATTGTCTTATATGCACAAATACTTTACCAAACTCCTGCATACAGTGCTCATCAAATACTTATTTGTATAATAATAGCTGCACATTAACAAAACCTTCTCCAGCATTTTGCGATAACAATAATAATTGCCAAGCTTGCACTATTTAATTCTGTCTCAACTGTGAATAAGGGCCTTAAACTTGTAGTTTATGCCCTCCTTCATTTTATATAGATTTAAATTCAAACTAATGCAGATGCCCTTATGCTACTTATTTAGATTCAAGCAATAATAATTTTCAGTGTTTATCATGTCCAGCAAATTGCGCGATATGTGTAAATAGCACAACTTGCTAACAATGTGCTTCGAATTCATCACCAGATCCTTTATATCCAGGAAATTGTATTTTGAATTGTTAGTCAGGATAATTTTATGATAGATAAACACAAAGTTGTTAAAAATGTGTTCCAACTTGCCTTACTTGCTTTGAATCTAATAATAATTGTTTATCATGTAAAACTGGTGCTTAAACTATATTTAATTAAATAAATAATATAAATGAATGCGTTTGTATAGATTAAAAAGATACATTGAGCGAGTTAACTGGTATATGTTAGTAATGTCCAGATCCCATGTGCTAAAAGTGTGACTCTAATAATAGAAGTATATGTTTATAATGTATAAAATAAGCATAATATTCATAAGCTGATTAAAAATGTGAGTGTTCTTAATCAAACTATTACTCTTCTATTACAAATAGTTGCATCTAATGTCCATAAGAAAATTGTTTGGAGTGTTTACCAGATGGATCTTAATGCCTTTAATGTAAAAGTGGATTCTTCTTTGACAATAAATTAGAAACCTGTAGCTTTTGTAAATAAGGTAAATTTACTGATAATGAAAATAAATGTAGCTAAAATTGTATTGATTAATGTGAATTGTGTTCAGATACAAGTTCATGTTTTTAATACTATTCTAATGCCACTTTTGTTGGGAACTAATGCTATTTTACATGTAGTAAATGCACAGGAAGTAATAGTGATTAATGCTTAGAGTGTAGTTCATCAACTAGGACTCTTGATCAATAAACAAATAGTTGTATTTGTTAGTCATCATTTATAGAAACTAATTAAGAGGATTGCTAATTTAATCCTAGCTCAAATATTTTATTTAAAATAGCAAGTATAGTTACAAATATTTAGTATTTTTTTTACCTTCCAACTCTGTTTGTGAACCATCATCCTTTCTCTGATTACTTTTTGATGAACTCTTAACTAATAGGCAATCATTTTTATTCAAAATAGTTAGATTAAACAGGAATTTTTGCATGCCACAATGCTAAATTCAACTATTTTAATATTCTTGATAGTTAAATTTTAGTATTTAGCTAAGACATTCCTCAAACCAAAGACTCATCTAATAATTTAAGTATTTTGGTTTTTTTTGGTTATGCCTTTTTATCATATTTATTTATTGCTCTAGGATATTTATATTTTAAAATCGTTGATAATAAGTGTTTGAATTTGAGAAATTCTCATAGGAGCTTAGTTATAAAATATTTCTTGAATTGGAATTTATTCATAAAAGTGAATAGAATATCAAGTAATATGATATTGATGTACACAATTAATAATTTAGAAATGTTTAAATAATTAAACCTTTACTCTGTATGCACTATAGTTTATGGTATATTATATCTAATATTTATTTTGCTTGAAGTATATGTAGTAAAGACCGTCCCTAGTAATCAACAATTAAAGTTTTTAACAGATAACTTAAATACTAATTCCAAGGCAAGTTTGATGTTTTGGTTAATAGCAGAATTAAAGAAAATAGCTTTTTGCTTAGCCTTTTTACTAAGCTAAAGTTACTTTTTATGGGCATAATTTTCTACTTGTACCTTTATTCTAATAACATTATCACTAAGCAAGCCTTATAATAATAAAAGAAGAGATTTGTATTATGTATTAATAAGCGATATTATATAAATAGCATTTGTTTCAGGCTTAATAATAATAAATAAAACTTAATAAATTCAATCTTTAGTACATTTAATATAGTATGAATAAAATAGCATCTCCTTATTATTAGTAAGTTAAATAGCTTTGGCAGCATTTAATTGTTTGATTATTATTGAGTTTGCCCATCGAATGTACCTTAAGTTAAGTAAAAAATAATTACAAAAATCTTTAATAAGAAATTAAAATAATAGTTTCTTTTAGACAAATAACTGCTTTATATTTGAATAAAAAATAAAAGAAGAAGGTATTACTGTAGATTAAATTCAAAGTATTCTAAATGTTCGAACATTTTCAATCCAACTTTCAAAAAGAAAAACAATTCAAAAAAGCTAGGCTTCTTCTAGCTGATTAGTTAATATAGGGAGCACATTTAAAAAATTAAATTATTCCTAAATAGAAATAACAATATTTAAATTTTTTAAATTCATAGTTTATTTTTATCTAGTTTAATATTTACTACTTTGTTATAAAATTAATTAAAAAATATATTATTTTATTCCAAATAATTAATTGTAAATATTAAAAGTAATATTTATAACTAAAATTAAATTAAATAATTATAGATTTTAAAGTTACTCAAAATTTAAGGGTTATAAAGATTCTAATTTTTTGGTTGGCAAAATATTTTTTTAAAAAGAAAATATTTTGTAAGCCCTTTTATATTTGTTTATCAACTTATTCTTAACAAGGATTAGTTTTTTAAATTGAATCTTTTATAATTCTTTAATAAATATTAAAATTTAGATTTTAATTCAGTATATAATTTTAATTAACTAATAGATTTTATTAATTATTAGCATTTTTCAATTTAATTTATAAATTGTAGTTAAAATGGGTTAAAGTCATCCTAAAGATAATAGAAGATAAGTCAGAGGAGGTATTTAAATTTAATTGAATAAACTAGCTTTCGTTAGTAATGAAGTTATATAAGGTATGCTTTATATAAGTCTTGAAGAACCTTTTTAAGGGTGCTTTCTATAAATCAATCTTTAAGGGTTTGAAGATGTTCACTATACATATACTACAGGGAGCGGTGAAAACGAAAGCACTGTTTATGCAAAAGCTATGAATAATTTTTTAAATTATAGTATGCCTATCTATGATTTCTCTTAAGGGATAGGTAACTAAGCATTTGTAATTCAACCTTGTTAGTTATCTATACCATTTTAGCTTGTAATTGCTTAGTAATTACCTTCTTCAATCTAATATTTTAGCAATGAACATAATAAATGCAGTCTAAAATATTTATTAACAGCATAAATACTCTCCACAGAACCTAATGTAAGGCCTGTTAGTGGAAGCTAAGAGATATTTATAGGGTAAATAAACTAAGTTTAAAATTTACCCAATTTTACTACTTCAAAATAAACACCAGTTGTTTGTTGCTGCTGTAAATCAGGAGAAATAAATTACAATATGATTTTGAACAGTAGATCCTTTGTCCCTAACGAGATTATAAATATTAGAATGAATGCAGATCTTGCTTAATATAGAAATACAGTAAAAAATTTTAGTGTAAAACTAATTGGGAAGCTTGAGATGAAGGCAGGTAGTCGTTATAGAGACTAAATTGTTAACTAATTCGAAAAAAGCACTTAATTTTAAATAAATAGTAAGCAAGTTTCTTAAGAAATCTAATTACAAATTCCTAGTAACCTTTTATTAAGTTCTCAAGGTTAGCTAATTTAAATGAACTATTACTTATAAATTATACCTGATATTAATTCTTGTTGCTGTGTAACTAATAAATCCCCTCATGAAATGCTAATATATATAAATCCTAATTCAAACTAGATTTTACCCTTTCAAAGTAATTAACAATATTAACCCTAATCAATCCCTTAAAACTGGAATCCAGTTTAATTACAATAAGCTTAATTTAATCCAATGTAATACAATTAAATGTAATAGTAGCACTTGTAAAATTTAGCTTATGAATAAAAATTATATGATAATTACTTAGCTATTGAACCAGCAAAAATAAAAGTTGATTATTAACAAGAAATGCTTAATACTTAACAATAAAATATAAATTAACAGTAGCAAATTTACTAGCAGCCTGCTTAATATTACCAAAACCAAATCTAAGCTAATATTGTTAATGGTTAATAATAATAAATTTACGCAGCTTAAAATTATAATAACAATATTAATTAATTCAACTAAGTGCCAGGATAAGAGATTCCTCTAGGTTAACCAGTAATGTAAGATCAAAATAAAGTTTATATTTGATATTTTTTTTGTAAATTAAAAATAATAATTATTAATTGAAATATTCAAAATAAATTCAGAAATTGGCAAATTAAAAAAGTTTTTTGATCAGAAAATTTATTTTTTGAAGAAATTTAAATTAACTAACTTAATTAATTCCTGATCAAAAATATAAAATTTAATTTTTAAAATAGAATCATGATTGATGTATAACAATAAATAAATCTATCTTATATTTATTTATTAAATATTGTTATTTCAATTTTAAATATCTTTTTCAATAAAAATTTAAATCATTTTTATCATTTTAAATTTCAGTGAATTGAATTAAGTATTTATGAAAAAGAAAATAGAGCTAAAAATCACATTCTTTATATTCATATCTATATATTAAAAATATATCTGAATTTGAAACTATATTTTCAATCTATGAATATAAACTTTTTAATTCAAAAGATACTGTGGATTCTAATTTAAAATTAGATTTTTTAATACAAGCACCTTTTATAAAGTGTGTTGTTTAAATTTTCTTTTTTCTATAAAAAATTAAAAATTTATTAATGGTAGGGAAATTAAGGAAGTATATTAAATTAAGATGCTGATCTAAAATAGATTCTGAATTATGTTTAGTTAAAAAAACGATATTTTATCAATAATTAATTAATTAATTTAAAAGATTCTGATAATATATATATCTCTATTTTTTTTAAAATTATGATTTTTATTTATATAATATATTTAGTATCATTCCTCACATTCGCCACTTTTAAAATTCTTCTTAATAATTTTATATTTTTATGGTAATACTATTACTTAGCAAACCTTATAATAAAAAAAGATGAGATCAATAATATGTGTTAATAAGCGATATATATTATATAAATAGCATTTTTTTCAGGCTTAATAATAATCAAATAAACTTAGTAAAATCAATCTTTAGTACATTTAGTATAGTATGTATAAAGTAGCATCTCCTTATTAGTAAGTTAAATAGCATTAGCAGCATTTAATTATTTGGTTATTATTGAGTTTGCTAATAAAAATAATAACAAAAATCTTTAATTAGAAATTAAATATTTCTTTTAGACTAATAACTGCTTTTTATTTGAATGGAAAATAAAAGAAAAAGGTATTACTGTATATTAAATTCAAAGTATTCTAAATGTCCGAACCTTCTCAATCCAATTTTCTAAAAAATAAAGAATTCAAAAAAGCTAGCCATCAACTATCTGATTATTTAACATCTGGAACATGTTTAAAAATTAAATTATTCCAAAATAGAAATAGCTTTTTAAAAGAATTTTTTTTATAGTTTTATTCAATATTTACTACTATGTAATAAATTTAATTAAAAAATATATTATTTTATTCTATAAAACTCTTTTAAATTTAATTTTTCTCAATAATGTTTATTTAATTTTATTAACCTTTCAGATAAGAGTTTTTCTTTATAAAAGGTACCAAAGTTATTTATTGTAATTATTATAATTTTGAATTTAAAAAATTCAAAAAGAAACTTCAAATAAAAAAATGGAAAAGATGTAGAACAAAAAATTTTAATTAAAATATAAAAATCATTTAAGATATCAGAAATCACGATATAATTGATGGTGATATTTCAAATGAAGGAACAGCTATATTTATATCAAGATTATTTTTAAATCCTGAAATTTTATTTATATAAGTTGTGAAATTATTAAAGTATTCTTAGAATTTAGATACTTAATAAAAATAAGTTGGAAAAATATTTTGTAGACTTTATTTGTTTATCAAATTATTCATAAAAAGGATTACTTTTTTAAATTGATGATTTTATAATTAATTAATAAATAAATATCAAAATTTAGATATTCAATACATTATTTTAATCAATCTATAGACTTTATTAATTATTAAGGAATTTATAAATTAAAGTATAAATGGGCTCAAGTCATCCTAATGATAAAAGAAGATAAGTCAGAGGAGGTATTTAAATTTAATTGAATAAGCTAAGTTTCGTTAGTAATGAAGTTATATAAGGTATACTTCATATAAACCTTCAAGAGCCTTTTTAAGGGTGCTTTCTATAAATCAATCTTTCAGGGTTTGAAGATTATTATTGTACATATGAAACTACTGAATATAATTAACATACGGAATAAGAGGAAACAAAAACTTAATTTTTGGAAGGTCATAGTAATTTTTTAAATTATAGTATGCCTGTCTATGATTTCTCTTAAGGGGCAGAAAACTAAGGATTTGTAATTCAACCTTGTTAGTTATCTATTCCATTTTAGCTTCAAATTGCTTAGTAATTACCTTCTTCACTCGAATATTTTAGCAATGATCATAATAAATGCAGTCTGAAATATTTATTAACAGCATAAATACTTTCCACAGATCCTAATGTAAGGCCTGTTAGTGCAAGCTAAAAGATAACTATAGGGTAAATACACTAAGTTTAAAATTTACCCAATCTCATTACTTCAAAATAAACACCAGTTTTTTGTTGCTGCTTTAAATCAGGTGAAATAAATTACAGTACACTTTTGAACAGTAGATCTTTTGTCTCTAACGATAATGTAAATATAGTAATCAATATAGATCTTGACTAATATCAAAAAACAGTAAACAATTTTAGTGTAAAACTCATTGGGAAGCTTTCGATGGGGAGTTTTCATGTTATTAAATAGTTTAAAAAAAGCACTTAAATTTATACAAATATTAGGCGAGTATCTTAAGAAATCTAAATTAAAATTCCTAGTAATCTTTTATTAAGTTCTAAAGGTTAGCTAATTTAAATGAACTACTACTTAGAAATTTTACCTCATATTGATTCTTGTTGGTCGGTAACTACTAATTTACCTCATAAAGTGCAAATTTATATAAATCCTAATTCAAACATACACTTTCAAGGTATGCAACAAGATTAACCCTAACAAATACCTTAAAACTGGAATCCTGTTATATTACAATAAGCTTAATTTAATCCTAAGCAGTACAATTAAATGTAATAGTAGCACTTATAAAATTTAGCTTATGAATAAAAATTATATGATAATTACTAAGCAATTCAACCATCTAAAAAAAAAGTTGAGAATTAACTAGAAATGAACAATTTAGAACAATAAAATAAAAATTAGCAATAACAAATTAGCAATCATCAAGACCAAATTTAAGTTAAAATTGTTAATGATTAATAATAATAAATTTAACCAAATTAAAATTAGAACTTCAATATTAATTAATTCGACTAAATACCTGGATATGACTATCCTCTAGGTTAATCAGAAATGAAAGATCAAAATAAAACTAAAATTTGATATTTTTTTTGTAAGTTAAAAAATATTTGAATCAATATGAATTGAAATATTTGAAATAAATTCAGAAATAGGCAAATTAAAAAAATGTTTGATCAGAAATTTTATTTTTTGATGAAGATAAATGAACTAATTTTATTAATGCCTGATCAAAAATATAAAATTTAATTTTTAAAATAGAATCATGATTGATGTATAACAATAAATAAATTAATCTTACAACTATTTATTTTTATAAGTATTGTTATTTCTATTTTAAATTTATCTTCTACAATAAAAGTTTAAATTCATTTTTATCATTTTAAATTTAAGTAAATTGAATTAAATATTTATGAAAAAGAAGTAGAGATAAAAATCATATTCTACAAAGCGCATACATGTATTAAAATATATCAGAATTTGAAACTATTTTTTCAATTTATGAAAATAAATTTTCTAATTTAAAATATAATGTGGATTCTGATTTAAAATTAGATTTTTCAATACAAACTTCTCTTATAAAGAGTGTACAATTAATTTTCTCAAATTTTAACTCTAAAAAACATAGCAGCTTCCATAATTGAAAATCGATGGTACTTTTTAATAGTTTTGAAAAATATATAATAAGATTAAAAAAGTTAAAGAAATCATACTTGTTGTTAATTTAGGTATTAAGAAGTTAATATGATACATAATTATTTAAATTTAAAGACTATTTTAATTAAAATCAATTTAAATTTATAGATTGATAAAAATTACATCTTCATTTACTAATTTTGTAAATAAAAATAGAAGTTTTCATTTTAGTAAGTTATTAATAGAAGAAAAAAAAAGTTAATTTAAATTTATCAAAAAATTCAATTGTAGAAAACAAAAAAAATTGCAATGCCATATTAAAAATTAAATAAAATGAGCTTTCTTTTGAGGACTTTTATGGTATTATCTTTTGTAAAAGATGTTTATTTATCATTAATAAATATCTTAGATGACAATTTCATACAGAGCGGTAATTTTACTATCTCATAAACCAACACTATAGTCAACATTTAATTCTCCTCACCTTTTAATTCTACTCCAAATATTATCACTTCACTTAATTATTTGGACACTTTAAACAATTAGTTTGAATTAGACTTTCAAATTTTCATTACAAATCAAAGCTCAACTGGTTTTTAAGTTACACTCCAAGTTTCTTATTTTTCTTCTTTAAAATAAGCAAATTACTCTTACATAGCAACAACAGCATCTAATATTTACTCATTTAACACAAGTAATTAAACAATTTTATTAGATAACAGCTAAGACTAAAACTATAACATTTATACTACAAAAATACCTTATTCTTAGTAAAACCTTCTCTCAAATTCGAAAATAAAAGTTTTAGTAGTTGGATTTATGACTGGATTTTATGTAGATTATTTAAATAATATCTTAAGTGTTTCCTTTTAAATAAGTTAGCCAACTGATGATCCTAATAATTTTTTAATTAATTTAAAAGAAGATCTATCAGCAGATGGGTAACTTAATGAAGTAAGATATAATTATTTTGAGTTTTATTATCAAGAAAATAATTCAATAATGATTAAAACTTACTAAGATCAAACTTATGAATTTATTTCAAGTACATCTAACTGCTTGTATAATAATTTAATATCAACTAACTATGCAAATAATTTGAGCCCGGTATGTAAGTAAGGCTTGTGTTGTTAAGAACTTTCAGAAAAGTATACTAGAGTTTAAACAATACCTATCCCTATTATTACTATGCAATCTAATAAATTAAATTTTTAAATAGGTTTTTCTAAAATTTCAAGTGATTTAAATGTTTAAAATGGGAGATTGATAATCTCTGATATTTATTTTAATTATTATAATGGCAGCTATGGAATGTATATAACTTATAGAACTTGGTATGGTTCAAAAATATTAGGAGTTACTTCTACTTTAATTGAGTATTATAGTTTATCTTGCACAACTGGATATTTTTATTCATTTGCTGTTTAAGATTGTGTTTAGACTTGTGAAAGTTAAACTTATCCAGAATAAAACTCTTTAAATACTAGTCTTTTACCTTCATGTAACCCATGTAATTCGAGCTGTATACAATGCTATGGTCCTCTATCAACTAACTGTAAAAGCTGTCCATCTTCTCTCCCTTTCTTTATTGTATAAAATAATTAATGCCAATCAATATAACCAGGTACAGGTTTTATTTGTTAAAAAAGTTCAGATATATCTTTGTCTTATCAATATAATTGTTATTCTTGTGATTCAACTTGTTTAACTTGTTCAGGAACTCTCCCAACTAATTGCCTTAGTTGTTCTTAATCTTTTCCTTATTTTATAACTTCTACTAATTAGTGCCTTTCATCTCCGAATAGTGATTTCTAATGCTAGTAAAATAAAACTACTCCTACTTATCAATTCAATTGTTAAACTTGCAGTCCAAACTGTTAAACTTGTTTTGGTCCTTTATCTAATAATTGTTAAAGCTGCAATCCTAATCTACCATTTTTTAATACCAAAACAAATGAATGTCTTCTTTAAGCTCCAGCTACAGGCTATTATTGTTAAAATATCAATAGTACATCTCCATCATACCAATTAAATTGTTATCCTTGTGATCCTAGTTGCTTTTAATGCTCAGGACCTCTTTCTACAAATTGTTTAAGTTGCACTACTTCTTTTCCTTTCTATAATATATCTACCAATTCTTGCTTAGCATCAGCTCCTAATTAAGGTTATTTTTGTAAATAAAGCTCAAAATCAAACTTTTCTTATTAATAAAATTGCTCACCTTGCTATTCGACTTGCCTCAATTGCTCAGGTAGTCTCCAAAATAATTGCATCAGTTGCACAAGTTAATTTCCCTATTTCAATATTTAAACTAGTTCTTGCCTTTCAAATATTCCAAGTTCAAACTTTTATTGCATTCAAAATCTAACTAACCCCACTTATTAGTTTAATTGTAATAATTGTCATATAAATTGTTTAAGCTGTTCAGGCCCATAGTCTAATAATTGTTTGAGCTGTCCTCCTTCTCTACCATTTTTTAATACCAAAACTAATGAATGCCTAGTTTAAGCTCCAGCTTCAGGATATTATTGCTAAAGTAACTCTAACACATCGCTATCATATCAATAGGACTGCTATCCTTGTGATTAAAGCTGCTTGTAATGCTCAGGTCCTATTTCTACAAATTGTTTAAATTGCAATACTAATTACCCATTTTATAATTTATCAAATAATTCTTGCTCTGTTTAAGCACCTAATTCAGGTTACTTTTGCACAAAAAGCTCAAATATCAATTTGTCTTACTAATAAAATTGCTAGCCTTGTGATTCTACTTGCTTAACTTGCTCAGGAACTCTCCCAACTAATTGTATTAGCTGCTCTAGTTCTTTTCCTTACTTTAATACTTAAACTAATTAATGTCTTTCCTAAACACCAGGTTTTAATTTTAATTGCCAAAAAAACACCAATTATCCAACCTATTAGTTTAATTGCAATTCCTGTAATAGTAATTGTTTAAGCTGTACAGGACCTTTACCTAATAATTGTTTAACTTGTCCAACTTCTCTACCTTATTTTAATACATCCACTAATGAATGCTTTTCATAAATTCCGAACCCAGGATATTTTTGCTAAAATAGTTCCAGTCCTTAACCATCTTATCAACAAAATTTCTATCCTTGTGATGTAAGCTGTTAAAATTGTGAAGGATCTCTTACTACTGACTGTACAACATGTTCGCAGTCATATCCTTATTACAACACTCTTACAAATACTTGTATTTAGTAAGAACCTTCTGGTTTTACTTGTTAATAATCTTCTAGTAACTATCCTTCATACTAATAAAATTGCTATCCTTGTAACGATATTAATTGTCTTATATGCACAAATGTTTTACCAAACTCCTGCATATAGTGCTAATCAAATACTTATTTGTATAATAATAGTTGCACATTAACAAAACCTTCTCCAGCATTTTGCGATAGCAATAATAATTGCCAAGCTTGCACTATTTAATTCTGTCTCAACTGTGATTAAGGGCCTTAAACTTGTAGCTTATGCCCCCCTTCATTTTATATAGATTCAAATTCAAACTAATGCAGATGCCCTTATGCTTCTTATTTAGATTCAAGCAATAATAATTATCAGTGTTTATCATGTCCAGCAAATTGTGCCAATTGTGTAAATAGCACAACTTGCTAATAATGTGCTTCAAATTCATCACCAGACCCTTTATATCCTGGAAATTGTATTTTGAATTGTTAATCAGGATATTTTTTTGATAGATAAACACAAAGCTGTTAATAGTGTGCTCCAACATGCCTAACTTGCTTTGGATCTAAAAATAATTGTATGTCTTGTAAAACTGGTGCTTAAACTATTTTTAATTAAATAAATAATATAAATGAATGCGCTTGTATAAATTAAAAAGATACATTAAGCGAGGTAACTGGTATATGTTAATAATGTCCAGATATCATGTGTTAGTTGTGTGATTCTAATAATAGAAGTATATGTTTATAATGTATTAAATTAGCACAATATTCATAAGCTGATTAAAAATGTGAGTGCTCTTAATCAAACTATTACTCTTCTATTACAAATAGTTGTATCAAATGTCCATAAGAAAATTGTTTGGAGTGTTTACCAGATGGATCTTAATGCATTTAATGTAAAAGTGGATTCTTATATGACAATAAATTATAAACTTGTAGCTTTTGTAAATAAGGTAAATTTTCTGATAATGAAAATAAATGTAGCTAAAATTGTATTGATTAATGTGAATTGTGTTCAGATACCAGTTCATGTTTTTAATACTATTCTAATTCCACTTTTGTTGGGAACTAATGCTATTTTACATGTAGTAAATGTACAGGAAGTGATATAAATCAATGCTTAGAGTGTAGATCATCAACTAGATCACTCGATCAATAAACAAATAGTTGTATCTGCTAGTCTTCATTTATAGAAACTAATAAAGAGGATTGCTAATTTAATCCTAGCTCAAATATTTTATTTAAAATAGCAAGTATAGTTACAAATATTTAGTATTTTATTTACCTTCCAACTTTGTTTGTAAACCATCATCCTTTCTCTGATTATTTTTTGATGAACTCTTAATTAATAGGCAACCATTATTATTCAAAATAGCTAGATTAAACAGGAATTTTTGCATGCCACAATGCTAAATTCAACTATTTTAATCTTCTTGATAGTTAAACTTTAGTATTTAGTTAAGACATTCCTCTAACCAAAGACTCATCAAATAAATTAAGTGTTTTGGTTTTTTTTGGATATGCCTTTTTATCATATTTATTTATTACTATAGGATATGTTTATTTTAAAATCGTTGATAATAAGTGTTTAAATTTGAGAAATTCTCATAGAAGCTTAGTTTTTAAATATTTCTTGAATTGGAATTTATTCATAAAAGTGAATAGAATATCAAGTAATATGATACTGATGTACTCAATTAATAATTTAGAAATGTTTAAGTAATTAAACTTTTACTCAGTTTGCTCAATAGTTTACGGTATATTATATCTAATATTTCTTTTACTTGAAGCCTATGTAGTAAAGACAGTTGCTTGTAATCAACAATTAAAGTTTTTAACAGTTAACCTAAATACAAATTCCAAGGCAAGTTTGATGTTTTGGTTAATAGCAGAATTAAAGAAAATAACTTTTTGCTTAGCCTTTTTACTTAGCTAAAGTTACTTATTATGGTTGTAGTTTTCTACTTTTACCTTTAGTCTAATAATTCTATCACTAATCAAGCCTTATAATAATAAAAGAAGAGATCAGTATTATGTTTTAATAAGCGATATTATATAAATAGCATTTGTTTCAGGCTTAATAATAATAAATTAAACTTAATTAAATCAATCTTTAGTACATTTAGTATAGTATGAATAAAATAGCATCTCCTTATTATTAGTAAGCTAAATAGCTTTGGCAACTTTTCATTGTTTGGTTATTATTGAATTTGCCCATCGAATGTACCTTAAGTTAAGTAAAAAATAATTACAAAAATCTTTAATTAGAAATTAAAATAATAATTTCTTTTAGACAAGTAATTGCTTTATCTTTGAATAAAAAATAAAAGAAGAAGGTATTACTGTAGAATAAATTCAAAGTATTCTAAATGTCAGAACATTTTCAATCCAACTTTCAAAAAGAAAAATAATTCAAAAACGCTAGGCTTCATCTAGCTGAGTAGTTAATATCGGGAGCACATTTAAAAAATTAAACTATTCCTAAATTTAAACAACAATGCTTAAACTTTTTAAATAATTTTTTTATTATTCGAAAAAAATCCTATTCTAATCCATTTTATTTTACAAATAATTTATAACTAATTCAAAAATATTTTATTTTATTTATTAATTTTATTTTTCCAAATTAATATTGATTTGTATTTTTTTCAACCGTCCAATAAGAGTATATATTATAATTAACATGCTTAATCAATTATTGATGAGTTATTAAATAATTAATTGTAAAATTTAATAATATTGATTTTAAAAATGGAATAAAATAATATTAAATCAATCTAAAGACTTTTTGAGTCACATTTTTTTAAAATGATAAATGAAAGAAAAAATAAGTATAAATTTCTTCTATATTAAATAGAAAGCAAATATTAAAGTATAAATATTGATGTTCTTGATGTTTAGTTATTTATTATGCTTTTATTTGAGAATTTAGCATCAGCGAAATTATTAGGAAAAATGTGAAATATCTAAATCTAAATTTATTTTTTGGTAATTGTGAATTAAATTGTCTTGTGATTAAAAATTTAAATAAAAGCTTATTAATTTATTAATAATTATTTATTAACAATAAAATATCCAAAAGTTATTTGAAATAATAAGCACATGATATAAAATAGGATCTTTTTTTTTTAACAAACAAACACTAATCTAAAAAAATTATTTTATTTGATAAATAAATTCAAAAATTTGCTAGTATAAAATTATTTTTATCTTTGGATGTTCAAATTAAGATTAAAATAAATTTTTTATTACTGTAAACTAAAATAATCAAAAATAAAAATCTATTAAGATTAGAGACCAGAGCTCTATCTATTAATTTATTTTACTCTCTTTTAAATGGATAAATTATTCATTTTTAAGCATTATATGACCTAATTTATTTTTAATTACAATCACAAAAACATAATTGCTATCATATATTTATTTTTTAGATAGTAATTTATATCAATTTAAATAAAACTTCAATATTTCAAAAAACTACAAAATAAAATTAAAGAAAGTAAGTAAAATACCTAAATACCATAATAAAATTGTGAATTTATTAAAAAAATTCTTTTATTTATATTTTGCTTCATAACAACTTAATGTATTATCAACTTTGATTCATGAAAGTATTTCATTTTTTTGATTTTTTTTTATCTAATGAAATACAAGTAGTTGTTTCTGAATATCTAATTATCTTAATCATACTAAATAGCTATTGAGAGTAAAAACTATTTAAAGTTATTTTTAATTAATTAAATTAAGAGTAAAAAGAAGACAGGCAAATAAAATGAGTTTAATTTATATATTGACTACTTTCTATATTCTGATTAGGTATTCATATTCACAATAAAACAAATAAATAATCGAAGTAGACAGTAATTTATGCAAAATAGGAAAATTTTCGATTTAAATTAATAATAAACCAACCAGTGTTAAATTTAATAGAACATTTTCTTTTATCCCTTAAGTGATAATCTCTTAAAGCTATTTGGATTCATCAAATAGTACAAATGAACTAGATTATTAAGTTTAATTAATAGATATTGATTAGACTGGCTTCTAAGCTGTCCTCAATTATTCTTAAAATTCTTAAGTATTTGAAGTTTAGTATAACTATATCGCAACAATAGTTAAAAATATTTATTCAATATCTAAATCAATTGAGATTAATAATATGAATGTAACCTCTGACGAAAGTTATTAAATTTATTCAGCTTCCATTCCTTTTTAAAATTATACTCTTCTTAATAATCCAAAAATCAAAGCCAGAGCTATCGGATTTATGACAGGATTTTCTATAAGTTCTATATCTTAGCAATTAGATGTATAATTTGAAATTAGCTCATATTAAACTAGTATTTTAATTTAAGTTAGAAACAACAAAAAATTTTAAGAATAATTAAAAATAATTAGATTTAATTTTTTTGAATTTTACTATCAAGATAATAATTCAATTATGATGAATATGTATTAAGAAAAAAGTTATGAATTTATTTAAGATCGTTCAAATTGTTTGTTCAATAACGTAATATAAGACCAATATTTATAATTAAACTCAACATGCAAAATAGGACTTTCTGGTGATGATATTTAGGAAAAATGTGCAAGAGTTTAGACTTCTAAAACTCCAATAAGTGTCTAGCATATGATTAAACAAGATTTTGCTATTGGTTTTTCTAAAATTTCTTGTAATTTATCTGCCTAAAATCCTAGAATTGTTCTATATGATTTTACCTTATCTAATAATACAATCTAAATCACTTACTACACTTGGTAAGGTTCTTAGGTATTAGGAGTAACTTCTACTATTATTGAATTATATAGTTTATCATGCCCTACAGGTTTTTTCTATTCCTTTGCTGATTCTGATTGTGTAAACAGTTGTGAATAATAAACTTATCAAGAATAAAATTTATCCAATAATAATTTATTACCTACTTGTAGTGAATGTGATACTAGCTGTCAAAATTGTATAGGGCCTCTTCCTACTAACTGTACAGCTTGTTCATAATAATATCCTTATAACAACACTCGTATAAATAATTGTGTTTCTAAACAACCTTAACCTGGATTTATTTGTTAACAATCTCCTAACAACTATCCCTCATATTAATATAATTGTTATCCTTGTCAAGATAAGTACTGTAATAACTGCACAAATATTACACCAAACTCTTGTTCGTAGTGCTAACCAAATTATTATTTATACAACTAAAACTGTTAATTAACAAAACCTTCTCCAGCTTATTGTAACAATTAAAATATTTGTCAAGATTGCACTATTTAATTTTGTCAGAACTGTGATCAAGGACCTTAAATTTGTAGTTCATGTGCTCCTTCATTTTTTTTTGATCAAAATACAAGCTAATGCAAATGCCCTTCTGCTACTTTCTTAGATTCGAATAATGCTCAATGCATATCATGTCCAATTAATTGTGCTATATGTTAAAGTAGTATAGATTGCTAGGTCTGTGCTTCAGATTCATTAAAAGACCCGTTAAATCCTGGAAAATGTATATTAAATTGTAAATCTGGATAATTTTACAATAGATAAACTTAAAGTTGCTAGTATTGTGCTCCATAATGCCTTACTTGTTCTGAATCTCAATCTAATTGTTAATCATGTAAAACTGGTGCTTAAATAAAATTAAATTCTGTGTCTGATTAAAATGAATGCACTTGTATTGATTAGAAAGATACATTAAATTAAATAACTGGAAATTGTTAATAATGTCAAGATCTTATGTGCTAGTAGTGTGATATCAATAATAGAAATTAGTGTTTATAATGCATATAGTTAGCATAATTTTCACAAACTGATTAGAAATGTGTGTGTTCCTAATCAACCTATTACTCATAAAGCACCAATAGTTGCATTTAATGTCCTCAAGCAAATTGTTTGGAATGTTTACCTGATGGATCTTAGTGCATTTAATGTAAAAGTGGGTTCTTTTTTGATAACAGGCACAATACTTGTAGCTTTTGCAAATCAGGTAAATATACTGATATTAATAATAAATGCACTTAAAATTGTATTGATTAATGTGAATTTTGTTTTGATTCTAATTCCTGTTTCACATATTACTTAAATGCAACTTTATCTGAAAATGAATGCTATTTTACATGTAGTAAATGTAATTCAATTAAGAAAAATTAATGCTTAGAGTGCAGTTCTTCAACTAGGATTATTGATCTATAAACAAAAAGCTGTGCATGCAAACCTTCTTTTATAGAAACCAATCAAAAGGATTGCTAGTTTAGTCCTAAGCCTAACATTTTATTCGAAATTACAAGTATAATGACAAGTATTTAGTACTTTATTTACCTTCCAACTTTGTTTATTAATCATCATCCTTTCTCTGATTACTTTTTGATGAATTCACAGTTAATAGGAAATCAATTTTATTCATAGCAACATGATTAAGTAGGTATTTTTGCTTGTAATTATGCTAAATTCAATTATTTTAATCTTCATGATAGTTAAATTTTAGTTTTTAGTTATGATTTACCTTCGTCTAAAGACTCTTCAATCCTCTCAAACTTAATTGCTTTTTTTGGGTATGCATTTTTCTCATATTTATTTATTACTTTCGGATATGCATATTTTAGAATTAACAATAAAAAGATCTATAATGTAGCAAACAATTTTAAATCTTTCTTAAACTGGAATTTGTTCATTAAAGTGAACAGAATATCAAGTAATATGATACTCATTTACTCAATTAATAATTTAGATATATTTAAGGAATTAAACTTTTACGCTGTAGGCTTGCTTGCTTATGGAGTGTTTTATTTAATTTTTATATTGCTCCAAATAAAAATAATAAAAAATGAGCTTATAATTTAATCTTTTAAATATCTTACTGAAAATTTAAATTTTAATTATGGATTTAGTAAGTATTTTTGGCTAGTAACAGAATCAAAAAAAATAACCTTTTGTTTATTTTTCTTGCTAAGTGATCATATATATCTATGGACATAATTTTCTGTGTGCCTTTTAAGCTTATTTATAAATTTGATATTTAGACCTTACAATCATAAAAAATTAGATTTGTTCTATCTGCTTATTAGTGATATTTTATAAACTTTAATAATGCTAATTTTAATACTGATGAATTAAAATAGTTAATATAGTTAATCTTTACAGGATTTAATATTGCACCAGGAATTGTTAATTAATATTTTATTATTATTATAAATGTTTTTCTCAATTGTACACTCATTTATTTAAATTGAATACACTTATAGATAATACAAACAATTTAGTTAAAGAAAATTGAAATAGAGTTTTATTCATAAATAAAATGGTACAATAATGATTAACAACTGCTAAGAAGATGAACATAGAGTAAGATAAGAAGGAATTTCAGCTAGTTAAATTGAAAGCATATTAAATTCTAAGGCATTTTAAATATCCTTTTCAAAGAAAAGATCAAAGTAAACATCTATTTTTTGATTTCATAAATAAATCTAAAATAAATTCAAATTATTCATTAATATGATTATTATATTATATTGTATAAAATTATAATCACAGTAGTTAATTTTAAATTAAAATAAAATCATTATTTTTCGATTTAAAAAAGATAAATTAATTAATTTTATATATCTAAATTAAATTTAATATTTACAATTTCTTAGAAAAATTTAATTATTTGTTAATATTACATATCTTGTAATACATTTAATTCAGAACAAAGCTTTAGTAGATAAATGTGACCTTTAAATTATATTTTCATTTTTAACTTTTAAAAGAGCATTAACACTGCAATATTATAATTATTGTATTAAATAGTAATATATTTTTAACTTTTAAGGGATATTATTGAAAACTTAAATTTGTTTGATTTAAAGAGATCAAATAAACAAAGCATGAATATTGATTAAAATTATAATTGCGAAAAAGTATTATCTTAAAAAAAAATCAGCTTAATTACAAGTATTTAATTTGTTTGGCTACTAATAATCTAATAGATTAATTGTCTATTTTTATTTTTGGTAATTTGGCTTAATTAAATTTCTTTAAGATAAAAATAAATTTTAAATAAAATTTGCTGCATGATATATATCGAGTATTTACCTAAAATGAATTTTTTAATGTGAATAGTCTAATATAGAGATAAAATTTTGAGTAGATAATACCATTAGTAAAATGAATACTCCCACACAATTTTATCATATAACTAATCAATAGATTACTGCATTTTAGCTTTATATATTTAATATTTTATGTACTTTGCAGTTTTTGCACCATATAAATATTCTGGAAATCTTCCAAAAAGAAAGTATGTCACTATCTATAAATTTATTTTTTATGAAAAAACCTTACATTTTGAAATCAAATTTAAAGAAAATTAAACTTTTACTCTGTTTGCACATTAGTTTATGGTATATTATATCTAATATTTCTTTTACTTGAAATATATGTAGTTAAGATACTTGCTTGTAACCAACAATTAAAGTTTTTAACAGATAACTTAAATACTAATTCAAAGGCAAGTTTGATGTTTTGGTTTATAGTAAAATTAAAGAAAATAGCTTTTTGCTCAACTTTTTTACTTAGCTAAAGTTATTTTTTATTAGTGTATTTTTCTACTTGTACCTTTAATCTAATAATTTTATCACTAAACAAGCCTTATAATAATAAAAGAAGAGATCAGTATTATATATTAATAAGCGATATTATATAAATAGTATTTGTTTCATGCTTAATAATAATAAATTAAACTTAATTAAATAAATCTTTAGTACATTTAAATATTGTATGAATAAAATAGAATCTCCTTATTATTAGTAAGTTAAATAATTTTGGCAGCATTTAATTGTTTGGCTATTATTGAGTTTGCCCATAGAATATATCTTAAGTAAGTCAAAACTAATTACAAAAATCTTTAATTAGAAATTAAAATAATAGTTTCTTTTAGACAAATAACTGCTTTATATTTGAATAAAAAATAAAAGAAGAAGATTTTCTGTATATTAAATGAAAAATATTCTAAATGTTAGAACATTTTCAATCCAACTTTCAGAAAAAAAAACAATCCAAATAAGCTCGCCTTCATCTATAGCTGAGTAGTTAATATTGGGAGCTCATTTAAAAATTAAATTATTCCTTAATATAAACAAAAATATTTAAATTTTTAAATAATTTTTTTTATTACTCATTATAAAACTTATTTAATCCATTTTACTTTACAAATAACTAATAATGAATTTAAAAATATTCTATTATATTTTTTTATTTATTATTTCTAAATTATAATTTTCTTCAACTTTCTAATATGAGTTAATATTATACTTATCATGTTTGATCAATTATATATAAACTGTAAAATTTTACAATTTTGATTTAAAAATAAAATAAAATAATATTAAATCAATCTAAAGATTTTTTAAGCCACATTTTAAAAAAATGATAAATGAAAGAAATAATAAACATGAATTTCTTTTATATTAAATGAACAGCAAATATTCAAGTATATATATTGATGTGCTTGAAGTTTAGCTATTTATTATTCTTTTGTTAGAAAATTTAGCATCAGCGAAATTATTAGGAAAAATGTGATATATCTAAATCTAAATTGCTTTTTGGTAATTGTGAATTGAATTGGCTTGTGATTAAAAATTTGAAAAAAAGCAAATTTTTATATTATTAATTTATTAACAATAAAATCTCCTCTCCCTTTAATAAATGGCAAGCACATGATATAAAAATAGCATGTTCATTTTTTTAACTAAAACAAACACTAATCAAAAAAAAATATTTTGTTTGATAAATAAATTCAAATATTTGCTAAAATAAAATTATTTTTGCTTTGGATGGGTGTTCAAATTAAGATTAAAATAAATTTTTTATTACTGTAAACTAAAATAATAAAAAATAAAAATCTATTAAGATTAGAGACCAAAGCTCTATCTATTAATTTATTTTACTCTCTTTTAAGTGGATATTATTCATTTTTTAACATTAAATGACCTAATTTATTTTTAATTACAGTCATAAATACATAATTGTCATCATATATTTATTTTTTAGAAAGTAATTTATATCAATTTAAATAAAACTTCAATATTCCAAAAAACTAAAAAATACAATTAAAGAAAGTAAGTAAAAGTAAGTAAACTACCTAAATACCATTAATATAAGTTGTCAACTAATAATAAAACAATTCTTTTATTTAATTTTTGCTTCATAATAACTTTCTGTATTATCAACTTTGATTCATGAAAATATTTCATTTTTTATGAGCTTATATTATCTAGTAAAATTCAAGCAGTTGTTTATGAATATATAATTGTTTGTTTTAATCATACTAAAATAGCTATTGTGAGTAAAAACTATTTAGAGTTATTTTTAATTTAATTAAGAGTAAAAAAGGAGACAAGCAAATAAAATGAGATTAATTTATAAATTGACTACTTTCTTTATTCTTATTAGGCTTTCATATTTAAAATAAATAAGTATTGTAGACAGTAATTTCAGTAAAACAGGCAATTTTATACTAACTAATTAAAATCCATCAATCAATGTTAGTTTTGAAAGCAAATTTTCTTCTATCCCTTAAGTGATAATCTCTTAAAGCTATTTGGATTCATCGAAAAATACTAATGAACTTGATTATTAAGTTTAATTATCAGCTATTGATTAGACTGGCTTCTAAGCTGTCCTCATATATTCTTAAAATTCTTAAGTATTTTAAGTTGATTATAACTATATAGCAACGATAGGTAGTAATATTTATTCAATATCTAAATCAATTGACATTAATAGTATGAATTAAAGCTCTGACGCAAACTATTAAATTTATTCAGCTTTCATTCCTTTTTCTAAAAATAATCTTCCTAATAACCCAAAAATCTATGCTAAGGCTATCGGATTTATGACAGGATTTTATATAAAGTAAAATTCTTAGGAATTAGATATATATTTCGAAATTAGCTCAAATTTAACTAGTATATTAATTTATGTTAGAACAAACATAAATTATTAAGTTTAATTAAACACAATTAGATTTAATTATTTTGAATTTTACTATCAAGATAATAATTCAATTATGATGAATATGTATTAAGAAACCAGTTATGAATTTATTTTAGATTCTTCCAATTGCTTATACAATAACGTAATATCAAACCAATATTAATCATTAAACTAAGAATGCAAAAAAGGACTTTCTGGTGATGATATTTTAAAAAAATTTGCAAGAGTGTAGACTTCTAAAACTCCAATAAATGTCTAGCATATAACTAAACAAGATTTTGCTATTGGTTTTTCTAAAATGTCTTGTAATTTATCTGCCTAAAATCCTAGAATTGTTCTATATGATTTTGCCTTATCTAGTAATACAATCTAAATCACTTACTACACTTGGTAAGGTTCTTAGGTATTAGGAGTAACTTCTACTATTATTGAATTATATAGTTTATCATGCCCTACAGGTTTTTTCTATTCCTTTGCTGCTTCTGATTGTGTAAACAGTTGTGAATAATAAACTTATCAAGAATAAAATCTGTCAAATAATAGTTTATTACCTACTTGTAATCAATGTAATACTACTTGTTTTGATTGTACAGGTCCCTTATCTAATAATTGCAAAAGCTGCTCAGTTAATTTTCCTTATTTTAATACAATCACAAACGAATGCTTATAGCAAAAGCCTATTTCAGGCTATTTTTGCATACAAAGCAAAGATATCTCATACCAGTTTAATTGTTAACCTTGTAAAGATATTTATTGTAATAACTGCACAGATATTATACCAAACTCTTGTTCGCAGTGCTAACCAAATACTTATTTATACAACAACAGCTGTTAATAAACAAAACCTTCTCCAGCTTTTTGTGACAGTTAAAATATTTGCCAAAAATGCTCTATTTAATATTGTCTCAGCTGTGATCAAGGACCTTAAACTTGTAGTTAGTGCCCTAGTTCATTTTATATTGATCAAAATACAAACTAATGCAAATGCCCTTATGCTACTTTCTTAGATTCAAATAACCCTCAATGCATACCATGTCCAATTAATTGTGCTATATGTTAAAGTAGTATATATTGCTAGGTCTGTGCTTCAGATTCATTAAAAGACCCGTTAAATCCTGGAAAATGTATATTAAATTGTAAATCTGGATAATTTTACAATAGATAAACTTAAAGTTGCTAGTAATGTGCTCCATAATGCCTTACTTGTTCTGAATCTCAATCTAATTGTTAATCATGTAAAACTGGTGCTTAAATAAAATTTAATTCTGTGTCTAATTAAAATGAATGCACTTGTATTGATTAGAAAGATACATAAAATTAAATAACTGGTAATTGTTAGTAATGTCAAGATCCTATGTGCTAGTAGTGTGATATCAATAATAGAAATTAGTGTTTATAATGCATATAATAAGCATAATTTTCACAAACTAATTAGAAATGTGTGTGTTCTTAATCTACCTATTACTCATAAAGTACCAATAGTTGCATTTAATGTCCTTAAGCAAATTGTTTGGAATGTTTACCTGATGGCTCTTAGTGCATTTAATGTAAAAGTGGGTTCTTTTTTGATAACAGGCACAATACTTGTAGCTTTTGCAAATCAGGTAAATATACTGATATTAATAATAAATGCACTTAAAATTGTATTGATTAATGTGAATTTTGTTTTGATTCTAATTCCTGTTTCACATATTACTTAAATGCAACTTTAACTGGTAATGAATGTTATTTTACATGTAGTAAATGTAGTGGAATTAATAAAAATTAATGCTTAGAGTGCAGTTCTACAACTAGGATTCTTGATCTATAAACAAATAGCTGTGCATGCAAGCCTTCTTTTATAGAAACCAATCAATAGGATTGCTAATTTAGTCCAAGCCCTAACATTTTATTCAAAGTTGCAAGTATAATGACAAGTATTTAGTACCTTATTTACCTTCCAACTTTGTTTATTAATCATCATCCTTTCTCTGATTATTTTTTGATGAATTCACAGTTAATAGGAAATCAATTTTATTCATAGCAACATAATTAGGTAGGTATTTTTGCTTGCCCTTAAGCTAAATTCAATTATTTTAATCTCCTTGATAGCTAAATTTCAGTTTTTAGTTATGATTTACCTTCCTCTAAAGATTCATCAAGCCTCTCAAACTTAATTGCTTTTTTTGGGTATATATTTTTCTCATATGCATTTATTGCTTTCGGATTTGCATATTTTAGAATTAACAATAAAAAGAGCTATGACGAAACAAATAATTTTAAATCTTTCTTAAACTGGAATTTGTTCATAAAAGTGAATCGAATATCAAGTAATATGATACTCATTTACTCAATTAATAATTTAGATATATTTAAGGAATTTAACTTTTACGCTGTAGGCTCGCTTGCTTATGGAGTGTTATATTTAGTTTTTATTTTTCTCCAAATATATATAATAAAAAATGAGCTTCTAATTTAACCTTTTAAATATCTTACTGAAAATTTAAATTTTAATTATGGATTTAGTAAGTATTTTTGGCTAGTAACAGAATCAAAAAAGATAACCTATTGTTTATCTTTCTTGCTTAATGATCATATATATCTATGGACATAATTTTCTGTGTGCCTTTTAAGCTTATTTATAAATTTGATATTTAGACCTTACAATCATAAAAAATTAGATTTGTTCTATTTGCTTATTAGTGACATTTTATAAATTTTAATAATGCTAATTTTAATACTTATGAATTAAAATAGTTAATATAGTCAATCTTTACAGGATCTAATATTGTACCAGGAATTATTAATTAATATTTTATTGTTATTATAAATATTTTTCGCGATTATGCACTCATTTATTTAAATTGAATACACTTATAGACAATACTTGCAATTTAGTTAAAGAAAATTGAAAGAGAGTTTTATTCATAAATAAAATGGTACAATGATGATCAAAAGCTGCTCAGCGGAAGAACATAAAGTAAGATAAGAAGGAATTTCAGCTAGTTAAATTGAAAGCATATTAAATACTAAGACATTTTCAATTTCCTTTTCAAGGAAAAGATCAAAGTAAACATCTATTTATTGATTTCATAAATAAAATCTAAAATAAATTCAAATTATTCTTTTATATGATTATTATGTTTTATTGTATAAAATTATAATCAGAGTAGTTATTTTAAATTAAAATAAAATCATTATTATTCGATTTAAAAAAGATAAATTAATTAATTTTACATATCTAAATTAAATTTAATATTTACAATTTTTTTGAAAAAATTAATTATTTGTTAATATTGCATATCTTGTTATACATTTATTTCAGAATTTATAAGAAAGGCTAAGAAAAAAGCAAAAATATACCATATTTTTTTATGGAAACAAATAAAAAATATTTTAAATTACTGATTCTAAAGATTAAAATATTTTAAATGTTAGTTTCTCTTTATGAATCTATTGTAAAAAATAAGTATATTTGCTCAATTTAATCTATACTTATTTTATCAGAATTTATTAATATCTAATTTTCAAAGCAGCAATATATCTTGGAATTGGAAGCTTACTAAATTAATATAATAATAATATACAAAGCTATTGTTCATAAATGTGTACAAAATATATTTTCATTTTTAACTTTTAAAAGAATATTAATACACTGCAATATTATAATTATAATATTAAATAGTATTATTTTTTTAACTTTAATGGGATATTATTGAAAACTTAAATTTGTTTGATTTAAAGAGATCAAATAAACAAAGCATGAATATTGATTAAAATTATAATTGCGAAAAGTATTATTTAAAAAAAAAAATCAGCTTAATTACAAGCATTTAATTTGTTTGGCTACTAATAATCTATTAGATTAATTGTCTATTTTTATTTTTGGTAGTTTGGCTTAATTAAATTTCTTTAAGATGAAAATAAATTTTAAATTAAATTTGCTGCATGATATCTATCGAATATTTATCTAAAATGAATTTTTTAATACTGAATAGTCTAAAATAGAGATAAAGTTTTGAGTAGATAAAACTTTTAGTAAAATCACTATTCCCACGCAATTTTATCATATAACTAATCAATAGATTACTGCATTTTAGCTTTATAAATTTAATATTTTATGTACTTTGCAGTTTTTGCACCATATAAATATTCTGGAAATCTTCCAAAAAGAAAGTACGTCATTATCTATAAATTTATTTTTTATGAAAAAACCTTAGATTGAAATTGACACAATTGCTAAATGATAAAATATATTTTAAGAAGTTTTGCAGATAATCTTAGTAGCATAAGAGTGTTCAATTCGATACTCTTTAACCAAATATTATTGGAGTTTTTTGCTTATTCTTTAATGAATATTCAATACAATTTCTTTTTTGCCTTCTATAAAATTTTATTATTTTGTCTATTTTAAAAAGATTCTATTCATTTTTTGAGATTGGATTAATTAAATTTTAATATTTGATTAAGTTAAATCCAGAATTCTTACTTGAAATTACATTTATATTTAATGCAAGGCGCTATTTAATTATGGCAGTACAGCTAAAGCAAAGAGAGAAGCTAGTAAGAAAATTCTTAAAAGGAAAAATGAAATATCGATTAATCTTCATTAACTTAGATATTTAAATTAAATTAAATAGCAATCCTATATTGTTGATAAAAGAATATATCTTGAATTAGAAAGTAAATAATTCAATTTGACTTGTAAATTCTTATAGAATCTCTCAGGAATGGATAAATTATTGAAATTTATAATACCAATGATTTTATTACTTTTAATAAATATATATAGGTACTGCTTTATATATATCCAAGGCTTAAATGGTCCTAGCAAGATTTAATAATTAATAATTTGATTTAAATTATTTATAAATATTGAATTTAGGTTGATGCTTTCTTATATAAATAATATATTGGAAGACAGAAGAATAAATAAAAGAACTCTTGCATTTGGAATATCATTTGTATTAGCTGCTTTTGCAATAACAAAAAGCTCATTAGTTTAAAGGTTGAAAGATAGAATCATGGGATCAAAGGCTTCCTGTTGTTAAAGTAATACAAACAATTCTCTGTCTTCCGAAATTGATGCATAAAATTTACCATACACAAAAAGACTGAATGCTGTTTCATAAGAAGATAAAAAAGAATTTGTTTTTGTTCAATCATCCTCTATTAAAGAAGGTGAGTAAAAACCAGTTCACAGCATTCTCAAAAAGTCTACTTCTATAGAAATTTAAAAAAATAGAAGTTCAATATTGAAGTCAACGAAAAATAAATCTTCAAAGGAACCAGAAAAAAAGAATCAAGCGGAAGAATAGAAATAACAAAATATTCCATTTATTTAATAAAATTAAACTAATTCTTTAATAGGTAGCAAAGTTACAGAAATACCAAAAATTGATGATTCCGTTAAAGTGGAAACAAGAGGTACTCTTAACGTTGTATATGGGACAACTGGAGGTAACAGTGCTAGATTAGCTGCTAACTTAATTGCTGAAGCTAAGAAGCATAAATATCAACCAAAACTAATCCATTTAGGTGATTTTGATGCTACCAATTTTGTCAACATGGATAGAGCTATTTTTGTTATTTCTACCTACGGAGTAGGTGGACCAACAAGCGATGCTTAAGTCTTTTATGATTGGATTTCTTAATAATCTGATTCTAAATTGTTTTCCCATATGAAGTACACAGTGTTTGGGCTTGGAAATAGCACTTTTGAAAATTTTGCTGGTTTTGGAGTAAAAATTGACTCTAAATTAGAGGAATTAGGGGCTAAAAGATTATATCCTTTGGGAAAAGGTATTTTTATAAATTATCATACTGGATTTATATAACTATAATAAATAATTTAATTAATTTTCAAACCATTAGTTTCGAAAAAATATAAAATATCATTTATAACAAATAAAGGTGATGCTGCCGAAGATACAACAGATTAAGATTTTAACAAATGGAAAGAAAACTTATGGAATGTTTTGAACGAATAATTTTCAATTCAAGAAACTACATTGAAGGAATTACGTAAGGCAGAAGCAGGTTTCTAACTCAAGATGGTGTAAGGAGTTAACGAGCTTGATTTTGATAATTATACTTTTGAAGAATAAAAAATTGAAAGCAAGTTAAGAGAATATTTTAATGCAACAAATGTCCCAGTTAAAGAAATTCGCGAACTTAGACAAAAACCTGATGAATCAAGTTGCTTACATATTGACTTTGATATTTCTTCCACTGGATTTAAGTATGATACAGCTGGAAATTTAGGTGTATATCCTGAAAATGACTATAAATCAATTCAAGACTTTGCTACTCTTTAAGGATATTCTTTAGATGATGTATTTGTCTTAGAACCTTCATAAGAAAGAACCAAATTACCTTTACCTTCTCCAATGAAGGTTAGTACCTTTTTGTCCAAGTTCTGTGATTTGTTTGGTCCTGTTAACAAAACAATTTTATAGGGTTTAGCTGATTTAAGTGGTAATCAATAGTTTATTGCGGATTGTGAAAAATGGGTTAGTGATAGTCAAGGCTTTGAAGAAAACATAAGAGAAAAAAATCACTCTATCTTTTCTTTAAGCAAATAATATAAGATAAGAATTCCACTCTTAAGCTTGATTAAAATAAGCAATCGTATATTCCCTCGTTTCTATACTATTTCTTCCTCAAATAATAGTAACCCTAAAGATCTCCATATGTGTATTTCTATATCAAAAGTAAAAGACCCATCAGGTACTCGTAATGGTTAAGCTTCTTCATTTTTCACTGCTTTAAAGTCTAACTATTCTGGTAAAAGAGTTAGAATTTTCCACCAAGAAAGTACATTTAAGCTACCACAAGATAAAGAAAAACCTATAATAATGGTTGGTCCTGGTGCAGGACTTGCTCCTTTTAGAGCCTTCTTGTAAGAGAAATAGTTCTTTGAGGAATCCAAATAAAACACTTAATTTGGTGAAACCGTTCTTTATTTTGGTTGCAGAGGCAAGAAGGTAGATTACATATATAAAAGTGATTTAGAGGACTTTGAAAAATCTAAAGTGTGCAATAAACTTAGATTGGCATTCTCTAGAGATGGTCCAAATAAAGTTTATGTCTAAGATTTAATGTAAGAAGATTTAGAATTAATTGCTGATCTTTTCTTGAATAAGCAAGGAACCATTTATGTTTGTGGTTCTAAAGCAGTTGGAGAGTCTGTTAAAGAATTTATAATAAATATGTACTAAGAAAAAGAAGGTATGGTTCCATATTTGGCATACTCAAAAATCGCTGAATTAGAATCTGAAAAACGTATAATAATGGAAGTTTGGGGTTGAATAATTAGTGAATGAATGAATGTATTTATTGATGATAAAATATTTATTAATTAATTAATTTTGTAAAAATATATTTTTATACAAACTTAAATGCTCAAGTTTAATTTTATTTCATTCATTAATAATTATCATTTTTAAATATATACTGAGATTAAAGTATATTAAGAATTATAATAATTAACTAACTAATTGCCATACTTAATCAAAATACAAGTAAATTTATATTTTTTAAAATTTAAAATATTATCAATAATAAAAATAATTATATTAAATATCTGAAAAAATAATTAACTTTTTAATTAATGGTCAAATTTATTAAAATATTTGTCTAAAAACACATGAAATATCTTTAATTAATTCAAAAATTATTAATTAAATCTATTTGCTATTGTAACATTTTTGTCTTTAGAAAAACTTAGGAATAATTAAAGAACATTTATTTGCTTATGTTAAAAATAGTAGCATATACAACTGTATTTGATTATTTGCTTTATTACTTGGTTGTTAATAAAAAAATTTTTATTATTTAAGTCAATAAATTTTATTTTGAATCTTTATTTTGCAAATAATTTTATAAAAATATGTAAAAATTAAATAATTTTAATTTTCCTTTTATGTTTAGCTAAAAGTAAAATAAAAACAAAATATAAATTAATACTTTATTTATAAATATTTTAAATTTTAGCTTCTTTTTGAAAGACAGACTTCATTAATTTATCCAAAAAAGATTTATCTACAAGTTTATTATTATTAATCTTATATAAAATTCTGAAGAGTTAAGAGTAACTAAAATTTCTAAAAATTTTCTAAGATTTTTTTAATTATTTTTAATATTGAAAAAATAAGGATGAAAAATATAAAAAAAATAATTAAATCTAATAATAAGTCTAAATTATAAATGAAAACTACAAAATTAGCTTAAACTGTGTTGCTTAGTGATGGAAATAAGATTCCTATTATAGGGCTTGGGACATTTTTGACTACTAATAAGGATTAAATGACAGACCTTATTAGAACTGCATTAAACGTAGGCTATCGTCATTTTGACACTGCTAAAGTTTATGAAAATGAAGTTTATATTGGTGAAGCATTCTAATAGATTTTTAGCGAAGGAGTCTATAAAAGAGAAGATATTTTCTTAGTATCTAAAATAATGTCCAATAAAAATGAAGTTGTTAGTGATGTTATAAGATAAACTTTAAAAGATCTTTAGGTAGAGTATTTAGACTTGCTTTACTTACACTGGTCATTTACTCCACCTTCAGATTAGCTAGAATGGAATCACAAGCCAGTCCATCAAGTTTGGGCCGAGTTAGAAGAAGTCTAAAAGAAAGGCTAAACAAAATCTTTGGGAGTCTCTAACTTTAATGTTTAAGGATTAGTTGATTTGCTTTCATATGCAAAAATTAAACCTGTCTCATTATAAGTAGAACTTCATGTTTTTCTTTAACAAAATAGACTCATCGAATTTTGTAAAAGAGCTAATATACATGTCACTGCTTACTCACCCCTAGCTAGATATACAGAAGTTATAAATAACTAGGTCCTAAATAACATAGCAAAAAAATATGGTGTTCCAGTAACTTAGATTTTACTTGCTTTTCTTATTTAGTAAGGAATATCTGTAATTCCAAAAACTGAAAAATCATTTAGATTAAAGGAGAATTTTGATGCAATTAACATAACTTTAGAATAAAACGATGTTGAAGAACTTAAAAAATTGGATATAAATCACAGAACTATATAACCAGCCACATTTTAGCCATTTTAATTTATACCTATATTTGATTGATATTATATTAATTTGTATATAAAAAGTATTTCAAGTGATTATTAATAATTTTTATAGTACTTATTTAATTTTTTTATTTTAATTGAAATTTTCCAAAAACTTTTTAAGATACAAGAAATTGATAAAAATACTGTTTTATAAAAAAAGAAATTTACATTTTTTAGTTCCCTCATTATTTAATAGGAAAAAGATTAAGCATTCAAGTAAATGTAAAACTAAAATATGAAGCGAAAACTGGATTAAATTGAAATTTCGTATATTTATTTTTTAATTAGGCTACTGCCTTAACTTTTAACTTGTCTTTTACATACTAATTCCAAGCATTTTTATTAAATTGCATATTTTAAAAGTCATATAAGCTAATTAGAAGATGTAGAATTAGTTTCCAACATTGTCTACAATGGGTATTTAATTGAAAGAAATATTTTAAATTCCAAAAAATATCTTTAAAAGAGAAGAAAGGTATATAAATGATGAAGTAGTAAAGCAATTTTCTTAAAAAGTTGCAAAAAAATACCCTAATTTATAAGGGTTAAAATTGAAATTTGAGTAAATTTAAAGATCTTTATTTTTTCTAAGAAAATCTAAATTTAAATACAAATTATCAAATTAGGAGAAGCTATATTAATATAGAAGGATTTAAGTATTTAGGAAAGCTTTTTAAAGGATTATAAAACCTTAAATATCTCTATTTAGATTTATTGTAAATTATTTGGATATATTCAATAATTTATAAAAAAATTTATAGTAATGCAGGAATAACAACATATGATATCCATGAAATAGCCTCTTCAACTTCATAGTGTATGCAGCTAAGCTATTACCATATATACATCAAATAATTGACTTAGATTGAAAGTAGTGATTTTACTTTGCTTATAACATCTGTAAAAGACCTTCCTTAACTATATGATTTTGGGATAGAGATTCAAAATATTATTTTAGAAAATGAAACTTTTAGCGACCTCAACTAAAATATTAAAAATTTTTACTGCCATCTCAAGTAAAATCTAAGATTTTTTTAATTATAATTAAAATTTAAATTATACAATATTTTAGTTTTTGCACTATTAATGATGATTATTGTTTGGAGTACTTAAAGATATTTTTGAAAAAGAGCTACAAGTAACTTTAATCAGTAATTCTTAAATTCAGGTAACTCATTTATTTGAAAAAAAGATTTTTTAATAGAAATTTTTTATAAAAGTGACACATTTCTGTCTTAGTAGAATTTTTAATGCATTCAATATTGCTTAGAAAATAAGTAGTTGTTTACTGTAGAAATTTAAGTGGAGTAAAAAATTAATCTATTTTAATGAAATAAACAATAATTAATTTAATAGGGATTGTGAATTAGAATTGGATGGAGATTATTTCATATATAGACTCAAAAGACTATAAAATTTGTAAAACCTAAATATTAACTTTTGGTAAATAAATTTTCTTGTTTGTGATAATTGATAGCTAAATTATTTCTTCCCATTATTCTAGCGGAAACAAATTGGCTTACAAATCAGATAATAAAAAGACTTCTGAAGATAAAAAGATAAAAAGCTTGAAGAAATTGATTATAAATCTAGAGTAAAATAAATTCAAAGAAATTATATTTTATAAAATTTTTTATGTTAGGAGAGTTAAGCTTGCAGAAAAAAACTGTTTATAGTTTTTAAATAATTTTACCTCAAATGTAGGCCTTTAAGAATTATCGCTTAACTTTAAGTAAATTTACTGAGCAAAACACATCCTAAAAAAATTTATAAAATAAGTGGGTTGAATTACAAAAATGAGTTTTATAATGACTTAGGAGATTTCATAAAAAAATAAGCGAATTTAGGTGAACTAAGCTTGGTGATGTAGATTAGGTTACATAGAATAAATAATAAATAAATAAAATTTAAGTTATTTTAATTTTAAACATATAGCTGTAATGATTTTTAGAAGCTCATAGAAGACATCGCTTTCAACAAATAAAATTTAAAAAAAATTCATTTAGATTGTAGGTAAATAAATCAATTAAATATTTAAAAATATATTATTGGTATATAATTAATTTCCTATAATTGATTATTTTTATCTTTTTAAACAAATTTTATTATCAATTATATTAAGATATGTGATCAGTAAAAACGAAAATTCAGTTGAAGAAAAATATTAATTATCTTCCCTAAACTAAATCAAGAATTTATAGTCATTCACTTTTCTAACAAGGTATTTAAATTTTTTTTGTATTTCTAATATCATTAAGTACTAAAAGTTTTTTTGCCTAATTTATTTTTAATTTAGAAACATAGGTTTTGATTAAGATGATATCATCGATTTAATAGATAAGTTACGATTGAATACAAGAATCAAATCCTTCGTTTGTTATTCAATGTAAATTTATATTTACCATCCAATATTCATTTGTTCGTTTCAAAATATTTTGTTAATTTTGCAAATAAATTTAAGGGATTAGAAAAAAAATGTGAATTCGATATCTAGTTTGTGCAACTATTTTATTAATTTACCTTACTAATTCGATAGATTAAGTATTATTTTTGGGGTTAGTGAAAAACTTTTAAAGTAGTCGGATATTTTACTTGACTAAATAGAGCTAACTATGCATAGAATAGGATATATTATTTCTTTACAAAGCATTGAAGTAGTTGAAAGGTAAAATTATAAATTAGCTTTAGAAATATCTATTTAAAATTTTTTTTAGTAAGTACAGCATGAACAAGGCTTTTAAAAATTTTTAGAGATCTATCACAATTTAAATACTTCAGTGTGTAGCTTTTAAAATATAGATATTTAATGAATTAACATATAATCCTATTTTTATTTATTAAGATTTATGTGTGTGACGACAACTGATAATTAAATAAATAATCATTTCTTTTACACTTAATTGAATTTAGTTAGTATTTATATATATTAAGCTTAAATTTTAAATCAAAATTATATATAGAGTAAATAAATAAATTCACAAATAAACTATTAATAGGTTTTTATATTATGGCATCGAAATAATTAGATGCCAAAAACATTTAATTAAGTAATTCCAAATAATTAATTGTATTACATAAACTATATGAATTGCTTTGTATAGTAATATTTTTAGTTTATTCTTTATAAAATAATAAGGTATAACAAAATTTCATTAAAAATATAAAGAAAGAACACTGTAGTTTTTAAATAAGTATTAAAGCTTTTGTTTGTTTATTTTAAAAGATAAAGACTATGTAAATGAGGTTGTTGTCATTTAAGTAATAGATCATTGAAAAGTTTAAGTCCTCCTCAGAAGTATTTTATAATTATTTAACTTTAAGATACTTGAATAGTTAAATGGAGGAAGAGTTCTATCAAGAAGAATCAAGGGCAGTAAAATAGAATTATTGTTTATGTTTAATCTGAATATATTACACTCTAATTGCTAATAATTTATTTTAACTAACCTTAGAGAATTAGACAAGTAGGCGTCGTCATGATATACTAAGTACTTATGAATATAATATACATCATCGGAGACTTTTAATATCTTTTTTTAGGCAACATTTTTTTTTGTATAATACTGTTTGCAATTTGCTTCTACTTTCGAAAGATTCACAAGTATATTTATACAATGGCTTTTATCTATATCTCATATGCTCATACAAAATTCCTAGTTTCAGATAATATTTCTAAATATACCTTATTTAGTAATGGTCAAGTATTTATCATATATATATCTTTTATTTGCTATATCTCTACTTTTAATTCATACCATAAACTTATCTTCTATTATTTATCTTTAAACTATTACTTTTAATTAATAGATTTTTGTACTTTATTACACTGTTTCTCCAAGTGATTTTATAGTATAAATGCTTGCAATTATTTTTGGACAAGTATGGGTTACATATAAATTAGCTGATGAGTGGTTAGACGCTGTAAGGTAAACACTATGGACGTTGACATTTATGTTGTTTATAAGGGTTTAGTATATCGAGAAGAAAACATCTTACTTTATGCAATAAAAGTAGTTTAAAGTCGATTAGATCATTAAAAACAATATATTTTAACAGATTTTAATTACTTCTTTTGACAGTCGCACTAACTTAATGAATGTCTATGGTAAAATAATCATCTTATCAAATGTTTTATAATAAAATTCAAGCAAAATTAAATCAAATATATCCCTATTATTAATATCATCTCAGCATCAATTATAATCTGTATTTTTTATTTACAATCAAAGTCTTATAAATTTGTCAATTAAATAATTTTCGAAGAAAATTTTTTAAAACTTAAATGGTAGAAAATAGCCAAAAAGAATTTTCTCTTTTCATTTTCAACTTTTGATTAAAATCTATAATCAATTTAAAAATACAATTATACCCACTAATTATATTTAAGAATAAAATCTTCAATAAATTTTTGCAGTTTTGATTGATATTAACTCAGCAAGATATTTATACCAATTTTAACTATCAATTATGCTATCATTTTTCTTTAAATATGATAATTATGTTTATTTTAGAAATTTAAATCTAAATATTTATTTTTTAAGAAAAAAATGAATAGATGGATCAAATATTAGATGGTTAAAAAAACTAAATAAATTTGAAGAAATGCCTCGAGACTTTTGAAATAATTAAAGCAAGTAAAGATGCTGAAGTAAAAGGCAATCTATACAAATATTTACAAAAAAAACATTTTATAATGCAGAATAAAAGTAAAGATAGGTTCAAGAAAAAAGAATTTAATATATAAAGCCAATTAAATATACCTCTTTAAAAAACAAAAAATACATCTTTCAGCGCATTAAATTCATAAAAAAACTTAAAGGTAGAATCAAAGAGAGAAACTGTTACATAGAAAAATATGAATGAGTAACTTGAGCATGAATTTTTATATTTGATGCACAATGAACAAACATATAAAGCTCGAATTTAAGAGGTTTACTTAGATCAACCTTTGCTCATGATTATTTTTGAAAATTAAGAAATAGTAAAAAATAATACCAAGCTAAAAAAATAGTTAGAAGTCTCAAACAGTGTTTTATTGAATTTTTTTTAAGAAGTCAACTCTAAATGTAACACTTTGAGAAGCCTCATTTTCAACAATGACATATTTAACTCAAAGTTTTTATTTCAGCTGCTCCAGAATAATATTTACAGTATACAACAGTATCTTCGAAAGAGAGGGAACAATGCTCAGCAAAAAGTAAATAGCAATAGTGCAAGTTTATCTTAAATAAATAATTTAGAGAACCCTATCTCTGCACCTCTTTAAATGCAAAATCTAAAAAAATAAATATTAAAATTTGAATGTTGCTCTGACACTTAGAATGTACATATGTCAGTTGATATTTCCAATCTATTTAAAAATAATTTTCATCATAACTTAAAAAAATAAAATAAATGTAATGGAATAAATGGCTAAGCTCACTAAGCTCAAAGAGATAAATAAAAAAAAAGACATAGTAGTTTTGATTAAAACTCTTCAAGCTTTTAAGATGATGTAAAGTTAAATTGTGATGGTAAACACTCATTTACTTAGTAAGCTCATTCTAATTCAGATGAAATGTTTTCTATATCTAAACTAGAAATGTTGGAAGAATAAAACTAAATTGACTATATTGATAGAGTTAAAATTGACGATAATTATAACTTTCAAAACATTTAAAAGAATAGCATGAGTTAGCTCAAATCAGTTTAATAGATTTAAAATGAATTGAAATTATAATTACAAATTCAAAATGCAAGTTAAAAATAATAATAATAAATAAATAATAATAATTTAAACAAAATATAACAATTTTAAAACAAATCTTTTAATACCTAAAAAATAGATTAAAACAAGATACTCAATACAAATGAAAATAAAATATAATTTGATAGTTTTAATTAGAACAATATCAAAAATAATTTTAACAATATAAACAATAATGCATCAGTTATGGCAACAAATATCACATAAAATAATACATTTATACTTAATGTTAGCAATAATATCTTTATTAATTAGAGCAGCATGGATAACAATAAAAATAATCTGAATGACGAATAATTTAATATGAAATCTATTGAAGGTAAAAATGGATAATAAATAGATAATATTGCATCTAAATTTAATTCTAATTTCCCTTCTTCAGTAAATTTTTCAAATGTATAGTTAAATAATTAGCCTGTATCATAGAATTTAGAATAAAACCAAGTAAAAGCAACAGATAACAATTTAAACTTTAAAAGCTCAATGCATAAAATAAGAAGTAATAATCGACACCTAACATAGGATTTATTTAGGGGAAATATAAGATTATTTAATTTCTAAGAAATATTAGAGGAAATTAAAATTTTTCAAAGCCAAATTAACATAAAATATGATTAAGAAGTCGCTCATAGTAAATTTTAGAGTGATAAAGACATGATTATTTATGTTTTAAGGTCGTTCTTAAGTAGTATTTTAGTAATTAACAATTATAGAAGAAATTAAATAAATTAATTAAAATTAAATTTGTAAAATAGTTTAAATTCTCCTAATTTTAATTAAATTAATCAAGTCATTTAATTAAACACTTAAAAACCCACTTTAGATTAAAATAATTCTAATGATAAAACTTATGAAGCTCCTTTACAGAATGGTTAATAACTCACAGAATCATGCTATTCTTACAATTTGCAAAATCTATTTTTAGAAGAACCTGTAAAGTAAACAAATATTCGTTTATTTTTTGAAGATAAATCTAATAACTAAATAATTTAAAATCCTTAAAATAAAATACCATAAAGCTAGCAAACAGAAAATAAAAATATTTAAAAACTTGTTTCAAGTAAATTAAGCTAAAAGATATTTTTTTAAATAAATAAAGAAAGATAGTCAAGTGAAAAAAAGCTCAGTAATTTTTCAAACTAAAATAGTCAAAATAACACATTAAGTGATCTAAAAAAATAAAATAGTTAAATGCAGTTAAAAGAGTAAAAAAATTTAACAGATTAATAAAAAAGCAAAACAGATTTAAGATAAGATTAATTGGCTTCAAAAAAAATCTAAATTATTGATTAAAATATGTAATAAAGAACTAAAAAATAACAATAAGCAGGAGAAATTATTCAAGGAATAGATATTCCTTTTGATTTATATGAGTCAGAGCTGGAATTTAAAATTGAATAAAGTAAGTATTGTAAAAGTATTAATGTAATAATTAATAATGTAAGTAAACATGAGCTCTTGAGCTGTTTAAATTTAAATACCAACAAAGAAGTTAACTAAACAGAATATGAAATCATAAAATTAATCATTCAAAAAATAGGTCCTTATCCTTTATTTTATGAATCAAGAAGAATATCTTTTTCTTTTCTCTTAGATTTAGCAGATATAATTGAAGGGTAGTCAATTTTTAATCTCCACAATCAAGATAATCTTACTCAATGAATTTTAGAATAAACACCTGAACCTAATGAGAGTTCTTAAATTGCAAAAAAAAAAGAAAGCTCAAGTTATTAGCTTAATTATTTTCAAAGTAAATTATGAAAAGTATCTTAAGTCCCTCCATATTTATTCTTATATTTTTCTTTCTAATTAGAATAAACCTTATTTCTCTAGTTTAATATGTATCAATTATATCATTGTGGAAATTTACTTGATTGAAATATATTATTTTCTATTTAATTTATGTTTATTTTGTAGCAAATTATTGGCTTTGACTATTTATTAATATTTCTTGATAGTAAATATAAATTAATTTGTGAAATATTATTATATACATACATATCACAATTCCCTTTATCTAAAATTTGTTAAATGTTTATAATTTATTTAAATATTAAAAATATAATTTGATTTTGTTTATTTTATAAATTTAAAAAAAAGCTTGTTAAAAAATTATTATTAAGAGTTATTTTAAAAATTAACCATCAATATGTTTAATAAATAGTAGAACAAACAAAAAAACAAAATTCTTAACATTTTGGGATTAAAAAATTTGTATTATATTTTTTAACTCTAAATCAGTAAATCTAATTAAATCTTAATTGTTTAGCAAATAATATGAAGAAAAGCATGAAGAAAAGAAAGGTAGACCTTTCATTTAATGTCAGTTCTGTCTTAAATAGCTTTACTTTAAGATACAAAAATAGTGAATTAGAAAAGGGATTTTTTTAATATGAAAGCAATTAGGTTAGCCATTTTTTAATTATTATTATTTTTTGTTAACATTTTCTAAATCACATTGAGCTTCATATTTTTTATAAGTCATAAAATCTAGATTTTCTTAACTAATTTATTTTAATAGAGAATAAATCAAGCAAAGCTATTGGCTTTATACATAGTGATGGTTAATTTAATGATTATAGCAATGAAATAATTTTAAATTATCTATTTAGTTAATTTATTCGCTGGTCTTGGATTTTATTTTTTAATGCAAAAAATTCAAAGGCTACATAATATTATCATTGTTGTAGTTATCATATATTCAGGATATGCAATATCAGATCACTTAAAGAATCCAGAGACTACAAATAATGCTTACTTTTTATCTGGAATGGTACACTTATTAACATATGAATTTTATTAATATTTATAGTTTATATTTAATAACTTATTTCTTTTTAATCATTTTACAGGCTCTTACTCTTTATTATAGTATCCCTCCAGGGGACTTTTTGCTATAATTTATAGCGATAATTATTTCATAGATATTTGTAATGATAACAGTTCCAAAAGAAATAAATGAAAGAACTGCCTTGATTTTGTGGAATTTAGGGTTCATTGCTTATCATTATATCTAACATAAAGAAAGAAAGATTTCTTATTTTCTAAAGTAGAAGTAATATAAAGTAGACTAGCTTATTAAAAACAATATTTTTTAGCAGATAATCCTAACATAGTTTGAAAGCACAACTTAATAGATTTAAATATATGGTAAGATAACTTTATTTCTACTTTTTAAATAAATTTCATATTTTCAATTATAGAAAAGAATGATCAAATGAATTAACTATTGAATGAAAAAGATTTGTCAGATTTAAAGCTTTGCTTTGAAGCTTTTATCATACCAGAAGAAGAGCAACGATCAAAAAATATTCACTTTTAAAATTTATATGCCTACACTTAATAAATGCATTTTGAAATGGACCAATAAATCCAGAAAACTAAATCTAAAAAAAACTATTATACAGTTCTAAAGACTAATCTTGAGAAGCTTTGTACTTTCTTTAAAAAAAAATCAAATCAAGACGACTAGTATCTAGAAAGCTCAAGTGCAAGAAAAAGGAGAAAATTAAGTACAAATTAGAATGATTTTAAAGTTTTTAAGGTTGTAAACATTGTTTTGGATATTTAATTTTTTGTAAGAATCAAAGCTGTACATTTAGATTGCCCGTTAGTGATGATAATTTTCGAAAATCTTGATATTGTTAAAAATAATAAAAAGCTTAAAAAATTAATGGAAGTAAATAATCTCTTAAATACAAAATTCTTTTTTGAAGTCAATAAGAAATGCGAATATTTGAAATGGGCTATGAAATAAAAATAGATAGATTAAATATAATTTTTTTTCTCTATTTTGCAAAATAATGTGTTTTCAATTATGAGTAGATAGTAAAAACAAGATACTTTTAACAGCAACAGCCCTCTTTTAAAGAAAAGACAAAATGACTCTATTTTTAATTAATCTGCTCAATTTTCTCCTGTTATAAAATTCAAAATATTTAATCAAAACAATACATAGCTTGGTAAATTGAATATAGTAAAGCTATTTAATTGTTAGTCTTAATAAAACAGCAATTAAAATTTAAATGAAAATAAACTCTCTTCAAATATTTCTAAATAATCATTGTGTAGCAGTCTAAATAAGCATATTATAGCTGAAACCAATTTTTTTAATATTGACAAAAAGTCTTAATCTGTTGACGAATATAAATAAGAATAGGATTATTATAAACTTTCATATTTTTTTTAAGAAGGAGATATGAGTCAAAGTTTACAAGAAATCAGCTAGAGAGATATAAATTAAAAATAAAACATAGAATCTCATTATCAGTTTTCACAAATGTATAAAAATTACTTTCAAAAAGCTTCCATCAAAATAGATCTTGAGAGTAAATTAGAAGATCCTAAATAATAATTTAGCAAATAAAAAAATGAATTATAGGAATTAAATGATTTGAATTTAAGTCCAAATCAGGCTAAATCTATAAATTAATCTGATTCAATATATAAAAACAATAACAATAATTCTTTTTAAAGCACTCATAATAACCTCTTGCAATCTCCTTGTTAAGAAATTTCAAAGCCAAATTTATATAGCTTGAATGGCAGCTATGAATAATAAAAATACAATAACAATAACTACGGATTTAACTTTCTAAATTCTACTTAACAAAAAAAGAAATCATTCGAAAAGCACAAAAAATAAGTATTAGGAGGGACTTTTTTATAACCTATTTCTGATAAAAAGCGAAATTCACTTTAATTAGTGCAAGATATTGTTTTGTTTTAAATAAATTAGCTTAACTTATAAAACGATAAAAATGTTAAACTAAGTCCATAATAAATCAAAAACATTCAATATAGCTCTGTTTTTTAAGATAAAGAATAACAACTACGTTTTGACAATAAAGATAGAGATAATATTAATGAATTTGAATTCTAAGATATTATTCAAGAACTAAGTATATTTAGAAAATTTGTTAAGATAAAAATAGATAAAACGTTATTTGGACTAAAAATATCAAATAATAAGGAAGCAATGTTGTATGTCCTCAAAAGTTTTTTAAGTAGTGTTATAGCTTTAAATTATATAAAATCTCGTAAAGCCAAATAAGATAGTAAATAATAATTAAAGTAATTTGAAGAAAGTAATGAGATTTAGTACAATCAACCCTTTAAAATTTAAGAGTAAGTTTAAAATGATTTATAAAACTAAAGGGTTTCTAAGAATAGCAGTGCTTCTTCTTTAAATAATGTCGTTTAATCAAGCATTTAAAAGTCAAAAGAAGTTTCATTTACACCAAGTTTGAAAAGCAATTCAATAAAAAAAATAAAAAATAATATCAATTTTAGTTCCTCTCCATATAATAAAAATAAAATTAATTAAGTTAATTTAAGCTTAAGAGATGAAAAAGAAGAAACCAAAACATTATCATTTTTCTAAAATACAAATATATTCATTAATAGCAACTCAAAAGATAGAACGAGTCCCACTTACTAAGAATATAAACAATATTTAGAATAAGATACTGTTTTAAGTAACACAGTTTAAGGCTAAACATAAAATAAATTAGAGAGTAGTACTTTAAATTTAAAGAAGTTTGATAATTTCAAAGAAATTTAATTTGAATTTCAATTAGAAACTAATTCGTTAACAAAGTGTTTGCTTGTTAAAATTGCTAATGTGTAAAAAGATGAGCTAATCAGTTGCATAAATTTTAATTCAAACAATTAGATAAATTAAATGGAATATGAAAACATTAAAGATATTATATAAAAAATAGGTCCATAGCCTCTTTCTTACTATTAAGGAAATGCTTATTTTTCCTTTTTAATTGATTTAAACTAAATTTTAAATAGAGAAAGTGGATTTAATCTAAGACCTACTAAATCTGAACTAAATAATGAAAACCTTTTAATTATTCCAGAAGAATAAGAAATAGAGAAAAAATCTTTTATCAAATTAAGTCCAGTTAATTGATTTAATATTTATTATTAGTTTTAAAAATTTTTGTTTATTTTTTGGAAATATAAATTAATTAAGTATTTATCATAAATTTAAATAAAATATATTTAAAAATCGTGATTAATTCTTAAAAATCTAAACATAGAATATAACTAAAATTTCTCTATAAAACTAAAGTAAATAAATATGTAAAGATTTTATTTATTTCATAGCTTTTGTATATTGAAAATTTACAATTATTTAAAAAAAATTTGTTCATGTTTAAAATACTTAAGTTTAATTAAGTTAACCTATTTTAATTAAAGAAGATACATTTTTAAATTAAAAAATCATTTATTAATTCATATTAAAATTTTTTGACAAAATTTAAATTAAAAGCAAATATAAATAATTATTAATACTCATTAAAAATAGTGATAATTTTTTTGCTATTGAAAAATAACTAAACTCAGCATAAAATTAATAATATTTCTTTATAAAACTAAAATAAATATATCAATTAATATATGCATGCATTTATATATGATTTAATCATAGTTTTTGTATATTTTAAATTTACTATTGTTAAAAAAGATTATTTATGTTTAAAATACATACTTAAATTTAATTAAAATTTTCAGTTCATTAACGAAGATTTAATTTTAATTTGAAAAATAATTTATTTAATTTAAAATTCATATTAAAATTTCTTTTCAAAATTAAAAATTAAAAGTACATCTAAATATTTATCAATACATATTACAGTTTATAGCAAATTTATATTAAATAGATAATGTGATTCTTATTAGACATAAAGCTTTAGTATATAATTTAATTTTTTATTATAAATATAGAATTAATGGAATAAATATTTTAATTAAAGTTGTAGATAGGTAGGCAGGTAGGTAGGTAGGTAGGTAAATGAAATTTTTAGGATTTACTTTTTCAAGTTTTTTTATTAATTATTTATTTAGTTGATTCTCAATTATTATAGTTGTTATAGAAATTCAATCTATTAGGTTTTTATTAGTTTTACTATGCTTAATGCTATTGTATTTATTATTGTTATTATATTGAATAGTTTTAGAGATTTATATTTTAATTAAGATGATTCAAATTTTAATAAGACATAGGCTATTATAATGGTTGCTATTATTGTTGAATTGAAGAGTTGCTGCCAAGAGCTGCTCCAAATCTATCTTTTGATCTTTCTCTATTAATATTATTTAAGTAAGAACTGTCTTTAACATTTAATTAAAGTTATAAGTATTTCTTCTCTAATTCAGTGTATTTTATTGTTTTTGCGTCTAACTCTCCTGTTAAATTTTTTATTTTATTTTCTTTATCCTATTTAGTTTTTTCAATTAATTAAATATTTATTTATTTGAGACAAAAAAATATCTTACAAGTATTTCTTAGACAATCTATTTAACTCCACTAATTAAGTCTCTATCAAGAGAAGATTTTTGGAATTATTTGAGTCCTTTGCTTGATTAACCCATTTATATGATTTAATTTGTTTAAATAATAATATCTTGAAGCTTCTTGTTTTCATTTATTTGTTTCTGTTTTAAAAAAATATTTTTATTACATAAATAAATTCATAATTTAAAAAATGCTTACTTCAAGTTCCATTTAAATTGATTTATCTGTTGAAGAAGATGAATTACCAAACCTCTGATTTCCTATATTTTTTAAGGGGTTGCTTCTATCAGGATTTGTGCGAAGCTATTCAATTTATTTTAATAGCTATTTATTTTCTTCTGCAATCTAGGCTAGTTAAGTAGATAATTCTTTCTTTTCGTTTTTTAATAAAGTATTTTCTTCTTTTATTTTATTAAACATTTTGATCTTCTGGTCAGGATTGCTTTGAATATAAAGAATTTAATTTAATATTATTTATCTAAATTAAATAGTTATTACTTATGACCTCCGATGTACTGTAATTCTCTTTACACATTTTCATAATCTTCCTCCAGTTTTTTATTATCTTCGTTTAATCTTTTATTGACTTCAATCATATCATTCAACTGCTACTTGAGTTTTTTTTCATTACTTTATAGTCTTTTTTATAAAATTCATATTAGCTCTATAATTAATCTTATTATAAATTTACTTTCTAATTTCTTAATTAATCTAAGCTTTCTCTTTTGCATAGTCTGATATTTCAACCTTTAATTTATCCATTTTCTCACTTTGTTCGTTATATTAGGACTAAAATTTAAATACAAATTTATAAATAAAAAAGCAACTTAAAATAAGTTATTTAATACCATAATTTTATTGTGTTCATCTAATAGCTTGCAGTATTAATCTTTAACTTCTTTCACATCTTTGTCTCTTGTTTGAGCAAATACCTAAGTTCTTTCATAAAACTCTTTCAGTTCATTTTTTTATACATCTATTTCTTTGTTTTTTTAATCTAAAATCTTTTTCATTTCTTACATGTCTCTTTTAGCTTGAATCAAGTTAACTTTACTTTCTTCAATCATCTTTGTCTTCTTTTCTAAATCGTTTTCAAGTATTTTATTAACTTCAACTAGTTTCTCATACTCTTCTTATATATATAAAAGCTCATCCCTTTTATTTAACTCTTACTTGAATTCATTAAGAGCAACTTAAAATTAATTGCAAAGTTCTTCTTTCTCAGCGTTTTCTTTTTCAAGGAATTCGTTTTAGTTTTAGAGGTTCTTTGTGAGTTTTTTAAAATTATCTATTTCCTCTGCATATTTTAAACATAATTCTTCAATTTCACTATCCTTTTGTTATTTTTGCTCTTCTAACTGCTCGAGCATTATTCTTCTTTCTTCAAATATTTTATTGAGCTCTTCATTATGCTTTTTTAAAAATTATGAATTATTATTTTCTTAAAATAAATTAATTTTACCTTATTTTCAAGTTCCTCAAGCTTTGATTTGTGCACTAACTCAAGTCTTTCAACTTCTTTTTATTTATGAATGATAGATTGTTTTTCTAGTTAAGTTTGAGTTTCAGAAATTTGATGCTTTAGCTATTCGTTTTATTATATTACTTTTGAATATTCTTCATTAAGAGTCTGGATAATATCCTTCTTTTGCTAAATTTCTTGAGCTGTTTTTTGAATATAAGTGTCTTATTGCTAAATATTCTTGCTCAATTAAATTATTTTTGTTTCCTTCTCTTGATTCAATTATTCAAGCTAATGAGCCTTTGTTAAATATTCTCCATTTTAAACAATAAGTTTTTGAGTTTCTTCAGCTTTTTCTTGTAGTTTTGCATTAAGATTTTCTAAATTTTGTTTAAGTGAGTTCTTTTCAGTATTAACTTAATCTAATTATTTAGTGAAAATCTGGGTATTGATTACACTTTACTTTTCATTAGATTCTTAAATTTCTTTTAACTTTGTTTAATAAGTATGACTCAAGCTCTTGAATTCTTCTAATTGCTATTTCATTTAAAGCAGTTCTTAATTCTTTTCGAACAATTCATTTTCCTTTTGAGAAATTGTCATTTTATGAGAATGAAGTATTTATTCTTTTTCTGCTTTCCATTTCTCATCTCTTAAAGCTTCATTTAAAAGCACCTACTTTTGAGTGTTTTATTCAGCTTCTTTCTGAAGATTTGTAAACTTCTGCAAGAACTTGTTATGTTCTTCTTCAAGTTTATTGTTAGATATATCTAGTTATTACTTTAAATATGCTATTTGCTCTTACAAATTTGCTTCAGTTTAGTTGAAAACTAATTAATTATTCTCAGCTTCAGCTAAGATTTGTTTGTTCTATTCCTTTAATTCATTTAATTCTCTTAACTACAATTATTATTATTATTCTATTTTTTATATTAAATTATTATTCTCTTTTACTGATTAATTCTTCTCTTACAAAAGCTACTCTTTTACTTATTCAACTAGTTTGTTAGCTTATTACAACTCCTCCTCCTTTTATTTAATTATTTTTTCAAGTTATCTCTTTAATTCTAAAATTTATTTTTCAGCTGTTTCAATTGCTTCCTAAGATTCTTGCTAGATTTTGTTTATTTCTTAACTACTTTTTTCTTCAATTTACTTAATCTACATATCAAATTATTATTAAGTTTCTTATTATTCTTCCCTTTCTGCAATAAGTTATTCAGATTTATTGACTATTTCTTTCTTTAAATTCTCAATTTGCTTTACTAATAAACGATTTTCTTATTGCTGATTCTCATATAATTACTCTTGCTCAGATAATTTTTCATAGCGTTGAGTTTTTAATCCTTCGATTTCAGTTTTCAATTCATCTATAATATTTTGATGTTCCTCAATTATCATTTCCTTTTATTCAATTTGAGACTGATGAGCTTCTTATTCATTTGATAGTTATTCTTAGTAACTCTTAATTTATTCTTCCATTTGCTTTTGTTTCACAGAGAATCTGTTTTCAAGTGAAATTTAAAGATTTTGCTTTTCTTCAGCATATTTTTCAATCAAATCTTGCTTTTCCTTGCTTTCTCTTTCATAATTTTCCTGCTTTTCCTTTTCCTTTTAAGATATTTTCTATCTTAATAAGATAACCTATTAGTTTAAGCTATCTATTTCCTCATTTTAATTTTGTATATTTTAACTTTATTCTTCAATTTGCTTTAGTAAATCAGAAATTTTATTTTCTTTTTCATTATTTTTGTCTTCATACTGAGTAATTATGATTTCCTTTTCTGAAATAGCCTGTTGAACTAATTCTTCTAATTCTTTGATTCTCTCATTGAAAATCAATTCCTGTTTTTAAAGTGAAATATCTTTATCTTACTATTACAATTTTACAATTTCTTCAATTTCTTGCAGCTTACTGTCTAAAATTTATTTTTTTTCCAAATTTAAATGAGCAATTTCATTTTCTTTGTCTAAGAGCTTTTCATCAGATTCTTACTATAGTTAATTATTCAATTTAACCATACTAGCTTTTTCCTATTCTAGTTAACGAACCTTATCTTCTAATTCATAGACATATTTTTCAGATTAACTAGATTCCTCTTACTGTCTTTCTTTTAATATCTTGATTGTATTTTCTTATTAAAGAATTTTCTCTTGTTAGTATAGAATTTCATTTTATAATTTTTCAACCTCTGCTTTAGCCTTAGAATATGCTTAAGTCTAGCCTTCAAGTGATTCTGCTAATTGAGATGCTTTATCTTTTAATTCTTAAGCTTCTTCTTTTAATTATGAAGATTCACTTTCTAAATGACGAAGCTTAGATTGTTATTCCTTAAAAGCATTATTTTTTTCTATGTAGAGACCTTCTTTTTCTATCAAAGAACTCTCAAGTTCCTATATTTATTATTCATAAGCTTAGATAGAATTTTAATGCATTTAAATCTCGTCTTTATTTAGTTAAATTTATTTTAAAAGCTGCTATTTCTCATTTAAAAGACCCTATAACTCCTCAGAATTCTTTTCAATTATTTACTGTATTTCTTAATCCTTTTATTCAGTAATTAAAACAACTTATCTTTCCAAATCTTCTTTCAAGGTTTCTAATTCCTATTAAGTTTCTTCTTAGCTTTATTGAATAACCTTGCTTTTTTCTTCTTCTAACTTAGCAATTTTTTTCTCACGAATTTCAATTTATTTCTCTAATTCAATACTAAAATTTTATTGTAGCTACTCACATTATTCCTAAAGATCTCTCTTACATTGTAAAAGAGTTTCTTGTTTCTCCTTTTTAAAATTTTCTTCAAGTTTGGTTTTTTCATTATTGAATGATTCAATTTCCTTTTGAATTGATGATTTTAATTATTAAACCTATGATCTCAGTTATTCAATTTCAGTTTATTTTTAGTTGATAACTTCTTAATTTTAGTCATCTTCTAACAATAATTTTTCTTTCAGAATTTTTATTTCACCTTCTAAAACTTAAGTAATTCTTTCTTTTTCATCAGAAATTTCATTTATCTTCTATTAAACAAATACCTTTTCTTATTCTAAAGACTTAATTTACTCCAATTTATTCTAAATAACTATGTTATCTGCTTCTTTAGTCTTTCTGATTTCGTTTAATTCTTATTCAATAACTACTTTTTCGTCTTCTAATTTTTTCACTTCTTCTACTTTTTCCTCTAAAAGTTTATTGTTTTATTCATTGTTTTGGCTTTCAAGTTCTTCGATTCTCATTTTTAAGGTTTGAACTAATTCTTCAATTTAAACTTTAGCAGCTTATAATTCTTAGATTTAGTTCAAAAGTTGAGTTTTTTATTTTTTCATTTCTTCAAGTTCATTTTCTCTAAAGTTTAATGTTTCATTTAATGTTTCAATTTCTTCTTGCAAATCTTTTCTCTAATTGTCAGCTTCTTCAAGCTCAATCAACTATTCTTCAAGCTATTCTATTTGATTTTTTTTCTACTCAATTTCTTGTTAAAGAGAGTCTTAAACTTGTTTTGCTTAACTGATATTAGATTCTAACTCACGAATTCTTTCATTACCTTGAATCACTTCATCCTTTATTCTTAAATTTTCAAACTCTTTTTCATTAAAATTCGAAGTGAGTTCCTAAATACTTGCTTGAAGATGAGTTGTTTCTTCATTGTATTTTTCTAAGTATTTCAAATATTTCTCGTGAGCTTACTTTTTTTCTTCAGCCATATCTTGTCTTTGTTTCTCTGATTCCTTGCTTCTTTCATTCAATAGTAAATTCTACTGTTGTAATTATTTTATTTGTTCTACTAAATCAATATTTCTTAAGCGCAACTCTTAGTTCATTTCATCAGTTACATTGCTCTTTTCAGCAATTAACTTCTTCAATTAATGAACTGTTTCTTCGTGTTAAGCTTACTTAAATTCTTACATAAGCTTCATTTATTCAAGTTCTTTTGACAGCATTTAATTCTCTTCAACGATCTAATCAATCATTCTTTCTTAATCGTTTAATTTTTATTTTTATCTTTTTATATTAATTTAACATTAAATAAAAATCTATTAATTCTTTTAATATTTACGTGAGTAATTCCGAATTTAAATTTTCTACTGCTGACTTGTGCTCTTTTTCAATTTGAGTGAGCTAAAATTCAAGTTTCTTTGAGCGATCAGGTGAAGCATTTTTTTTTGACTCTTCAAGATCTTCAACAACTTTTTACAATCTAACTCTTTGTTCAATATTTTGTTCGAGCTTATTTTAAATACTTTTTAAGACATCAACATTATTTGTTAGTTGCTAGAAAATTGATCTGCCTGGTTCTTAAATTTTTTCAACCTATTATTACAACTCAACATTTTCATCAAGTAATTTAGCACAGTACATTTAATTTTCTAATAATTCTCTCAAGTTGTTCAACTCTTTTTAAGTTTTTTCTCTGTCCTCATTAAAAAATTCTTGAACTTGCTCTTTTGTTAATTGCTTATTTTTCAACATTAATTCAACTCTTTCGATCTTAGCTCTTTATAATTTAATAATTGAGCGATATTAATATTCGTTTTATTAGAACTTCTCAACGTATTTCATAAGATGCATTAATTGATCTTTAGTTTTACCCATATTATAATTCATTTTAAGCTCAAGCTCTTAAGCTTATTCCAAATAGTGCTAACAAAGTTCTTCAGTTTCTTGCATTTTTATATTTTCATCTTTAATCATTCTTAAATTGTTTTTTTACTAAATTTTAGTTAAAATTTCAAATTTAAATTAAAATAGCTAAATTAAATATTACTTCACGAATAGAAGGCGACTGAGGTTAGCTATTATTAGGTTAAAAGAATGATGGAATAGATCCTCCTTTCAAGAGTAATTCTCTAAACTTTAAATAAAAAAGTGAGATTAATATTATTGATAAATCATAATTTAAAAATTAATAATATTCTTGAAATATTACTTGCAAATTTTCTAATCTAAGTTTTTTAATTTCATTATTGAGAGATTCAACATTTCCAGAATGATCCTCGTTGATTTGAACTTTATTTTTGATTAATTTAGCTCTTTTAGCAAATTTAAGTGTAGATAGAGTTTCCTAAAAAGCGCTGCTAGCAGGTGAAATATTAGCTATAACTCTAGTTTTACTATTACCTCCTAGAGAATCCTTTAAGAAAAATGTTAGTTTACTATCTCTATAATGAATATGTCTAGCCCTTCCATTATCTACTTCCACTAAAGCATTAATTACATTACCAAGTATACTGAGAGATTTGTTAATATTGCAACCTTCTTTAAGTCTTTCTCCCATAGCATTTGTTTGCTTTGTTCTCTCACTTCCTGCCAAATCAACAAAATGAAATCTGCTATATCTTAAGTGAGTGACTCCCTCAGAAAGAGTCTATTATTAAAAAGTAAAAATTTATATGAGTATTAATCCATTTAAAAATATTCAAATATTTATCTGGAATAATTTAGTTATGTTATCAAACATTACTTTAAATAATATTTTATTCTAAGCTTTTTTAATTGAATAATTTTTATCTTTTGCAAAATAAAAATTGATTTGATAGAATTTTATTTTATTCTAAACATTTAATTCAAGCTAAATTAAATATTTTCTACTATTGTCTCATTTTCATTTCTAAGAATTATTTAATACCTTTGATTGCAGAATGATAGAAAATACAGAGTGAGAGCGAGATGACTCTCTATTCATTGATGTTGCTCCGTTGTGGCGATTTCCACTTCCTGTTTTTAAGATTTCAATAGCTTACAAGAAATTTTAAGTAACACATTCAGTAAGTCCTTCAACATAAACACCCTAAAAAAATAATTTTATATATTTTATGTTAAATTAACAAATAATAACTCATAGAGAAATTTCTCTAATAAATATATTATGAATGCATAATTTAAATAGAAGGAAATTTTCAAAAAATTATCTGTTATTGATGCTATTTACTTTATTTATTTTTCTATCAATAAAGAAAACCTATGATTTTAATTTCTTTTTAGCTCTAAAAATTCAAACGCATCAATTATTTGCATTAGTAAAATTGAATTAAAAATTATATTTATTTTAGACATCAAATTAAATTACTTTTTTAAGATCTTCTCTAAGCTAGAGATTATTTCCATTATCTGAGAGAAGATCAATAATATGTTCATTATATATTTCCAAATAACTGCATTTAACTAAATACTCTACTGACAATGATTACTATTGCTTTATTTTTTAAAATATATACTCCAAAACACGAGGTAGCATACCTCTGTGGTCTGTATTTAAAACACTTTCTACATTACTTGCACCAGTAATTGTATATGTCTTACCAGCGCCAGTTTAACCATAAGCGAATATACATCCATTATAACCTATTTTTATATTCAAAATTAATTTATTTACACTAAAATTTTCCCTTATTCTTTTTTATTATTTTTTAGAAGCTTAAAGAATTTAAATTTCAAAAACCTATCATGCTATTCATCTAAAAATATATTCAAAATATTATTAATAAACTGAATTTACCTTCTAAACACGAATCTGCTGCAGGTAGCGCTACCTTATTAAAAACTTCCTATTATGGAGTAAATTAATGGGCAATATAATCAAAACAGAACATTTTTGACTCAAATGAGTTGGTTTCTAAAGTTATTGTATTTGGATAATTTGGATCTACTTTTACACATGAAATTTCATTTTCAGATAATTCTTTTTCATTCAAAGGTCTAATTCTGACAGTGACTTAAATGGAAGTCTTTTCTGCCTCGCTAAGATCTGCTTAACTCATAGAATTTAATGGAGTTTATACAGACTGCATACCGATGCTATCAGACATTTATTTATGATTCTATTGCTATATATTTATTTGCTTGAAAGATAAATGCAAAAATTAAAAAAAATTTTTGAATAATTAGTATTCCTTTTGATTGTAATTTCAAATTATTTAATGATGATTATTGCAAATTTCTATTTACTTTAATTAAATTCTTATTAATTTTTTTTTTTTGATTATAGCATTATATTGACTCATTTCTTGTTGGGTATGGAAAATATCAATTTTTACTAATTAAATCTTGATTTGTTATTAATTTGAATATCTTTGATGATTTTGTAATGAATTACTTGATGTGTTTAGAATTAAGGTAAAATGCATTAAAAAAAATAAGGAATTTATTTTTAAATTGTCTTTAAAATCTTCTTTAAATTTACTTGTTAATTGAATCTTCACCTTTCATCTTATAGTCTAAATTTTAAATTTGAATAATAAAGCTTAAATGTTTGGAGTTATTAGCTTGATGTATCTTTAAATTTTGGCTAAATCAATTAATTAATATGTGTAAAAGTGATAAAAACAATTTACTCCTCAATTTCAAAAATCAGTTTCTTAAAAATAAATCAAAAAATAACAACTCATTTTTTTATTAATTATAAATAAATTAATATTTTTTTTCTTATTTTTTTTGAAATGATTTAAAATTAAATTTATAAAAATATTTAAAATAAATTTTTGGAATATTTGATAAGTCAATTACAATAATAAAAATAATAATTAAAATTAACTATTTTTAAAAAATTTAATCATTTTAAATAAAATTTATACTAATTTATATAAGATGATTTAGGTATTTTGCTTAAAAATATTTTTTTTAAATTTAACTTTAAAACTTAAATTTATATAAACAGTTGTAAAACATCCAAAAATTGGTTACTATTCTAGTAAGCTCACATTCTTATTATCCTTTATATTGCATAGAATAAATAAGAAGAAACTTTTTAAAAAGTTATTATTGATGTTATTTACTTTATCGATCTATCAATAAAGAAAACATATTATTTTAATTTGTTTTAGTTCTAAAAATTAAAATGTGTCAATTAATTTGATTAGTAAAATTGAATTAAATATTATATATATAAATCGCTGTAATATTTATAATAATTATTTAATTAACTCAAAAAATATATTTTTATTGATTTTCTATCTAAATTTTTTCAAGTTGCGTTATTTAAGTAAGACGAAATTTAGATATTTTTAATATTTTGATTTAATTATTTATAAGGTAAAGTTAATCACAGCTTGTTTGAATTAGTCAAATGGCGAGATATTTATTATTAAAAAATACTATATCGTTTTATATAATTTTAATTAATATTTATTGCATTAGGTAAGTGGTTTTAATCTCAATAGAGAATTTTGTTTCAAGCTATTTCAATAAGAAAATATCAAAATTTTAATATAATTATTCACTTTATTTAGCTCGGAATCTTCTAAGATAGGTTGAATAATATAATTTTCTTCAAATAATGATAATTACAATGAAATCTCCATAATTCAATTATATAATCAGGCTTCTATTATATATTTGGAAATTCCAGCTTCTTATAACATATACTGTTTGGCAAAGATAGCTTTTGACATCATTCTATGCTTTCCATGTTTAAAATTATATCCAATTTTACTTTTCTTAATTTTTACAAGGAAGGGAGTGTGAGACTTTCTGAATAGTGAAAAGGATTTCAGAAGTAGTTATCAATAAGCTAATCTGAATAGATTTATTTATCTTGTTTAAACCTAGCTGTATGAGAGTATAGTATTAAATGGTCAAACTAAAAATATATGTAAGGGGAGGATAGATAACAGGTGATTAGAATTATGTCTCTTAGAAATGGGAAAAGCTAAGAATCAAAACCATTTTAGTCTAGATAAACTTAAGATTTTGAATATTTAAGACCATATTAAGATAAACAAGTGGCTTCTTTACTGATGCATTTGTCATTTCCTGTTAACTGAATTTTAATCAAAATATACTTTTTAATTCTAATACCGTAAAACCTATTTTCTTATGTTTCGCAATTCGTGAAAAATCGCGAAAAACAAACGTTCTTATATATAGTGAGTTTTTTGACCCTCCTCGCGAACTCGGTGCAAACATTATTGAGGATTTACAGTAAATAAAAGAAAATATGATGGCAGGCATGCTCTTAAAAGCTTATTTTAAATAAAAACGTTTAAATTGAAATAATTACTATGAAATGGATGGGATTCAATTATTCTTATCTGATAACCTCTCATCAAAGTAATATTTATAATCTATTATTACAAAATTATGAATCGAAGAGTTAAATTTTCCTCGAATAATATTTCAGAATATGTAAGAATTAAAAACCTTAATAAATATACCATGAGTCTCAGAGATATTTCTCTTTTTTAAATTTGATAGATACAAAAAGAGAGACTTTTTCTTAAATCAATAATGAATAATTAAATACTTATAAATTATAAAAAATATTGATTTCAAAAAACAATGGGCTGCTGCAAATCATCTGATAATAGAACCTAAGAGGATTTTGAATCTAAAAAACCTCAAAAGCATTCAGAGAATCTTTAAAATAATAAATAATATTCTGAATAAGAACCAAAGGAGAAGGTCTCTGAAAAAAAAACTCAAGCAGATTTTTCTGATTAAAAATTTAATAATAATGAATCTTAAAATGCCTTAGCACTCTATAATAATGATAATGAAGCAAGTAATACTAGGATTATGCTTTATTAAAATAAAAATCAATAAATCTTAGCTGCTTAATATAGTAATCAATATTAAAGGATTTAATATCTATAATCAACGTATAAAACAAATACATTTTCTGATTCTTAAGTGGAGCTTTAGCAAAATCAAGAGGATGATAGTGAAAATAACTAGGATCACAATATGTCTATGTTAAGAATTAGCATGATTGGGCACAAGTCTAATTCAGATAATACAAAAATTGTTTTGTATTAGAAAATGATATAACTCAACTTTGATAAGGATAAGATGTAAATGATTTTAAGCTAAAATATTTCTATCGGAAATATAAATTCTTAAAATATTTAGTACTCGTAATAATTTTATTAGTATCGTATGTACAGCTACTTTAAGCAAAAAGAATCTAAAGAAAATGCTTTAAAAACTAAACAATAGGCAGTGAGTGATCAAGTTGAGCGGATGATGAAAGAAAAGATTCAAAAAAATAGATCAAGCTTTGATTTATGCTTTTAAGAGATAGCTTTACTAGCTTTGAAAGCTTATTATCAGAAGCAATAAACAAATTTGCTATTTGAATCACCTGACAGAGATAATAATATTCTAAATAATATGGATGATGATGATGATGACTCTTTCAGTGAAGAAGATGAGGATTATGAAGATATTTAAAGACACTTTACCTAAATAGGTTTTAATCTGGAAACATATTATCAACTCAATTTAAATAATAATTAAATAGGCTGGAATTGCTAATAAATTAAAAATAATGAAAAGGGTTTTATTGACTTTTTAAGGTAATAAATTTTAAAAAAATATAAAAATTTGAAAGAGGATGATATTATTATCCTCAGCATAACAGATGGAAAAGTTGTAGATTTTATATGCCCAATATAACTTGAAAACATCTAAGTTGGAAATCAAATATTTAGGTAAGTTACTAAGAAGTCTATAGTTAAGGAACTCAAACTAAAATTAAAATATTTTGATCATAAATATAACTAAAAATGGCAGACTACTAACTTGAAATGCTATAGAGGGAAAATAAATAATAATAAATAGGAATACCACCTTCCATTCGATTATTATGGATTAGGATTAAGGGTTCTAGATAAATATCCTCAAGATGGTTGGATAAATTCAGATACAAGCGATTCTACTTGGATTGTTCTTTTTCACTCTACACGTCCAGAATCTTTATAACCTATTTTAGAAAATGGGTTTAAAGAAGGATAAGGTTAAAGGTATGAAAAAAGCCTATGCAGATTTGGAAGAGGTAAAGTTGGGAAAGGTGTCTATTTTTCGGACAATATTAAAAATTGCGAAAAATTTGGATCTCAAATTTCTGTCTGTGGTAAAGACTACTAATTAGTTTTTTAATGCAGAGTTAATCCAAAAACAGTAAAAAGTCCTTCAGATAAGTAATCATACTATGTTGTCAATGAACCTAAAGATATTAGACCTTACAGGATATTAATTAAAGAAAAAAAATGAAATTAAAATATAGTATAAAGAAAAATGTTCTATAATAAATTTTAGTTAGTTAGTCAGTCAGTCAGTCAGTCAGTCAGTCAGTCAGTCAGTCAGTCAGTCAGTCAGTCAGTCAGTCAGTCAGTCAGTCAGTCAGTCAGTCAGTCAGTCAGTCAGTCAGTCAGTCAGTCAGTCAGTCAGTCAGTCAGTCAGTCAGTCAGTCAGTCAGTCTAATAGTCTAATGTGAAGCTAAAAGCTTATCAGATCTAAAAAAAATATTTTTTTATTTTAATAATAGAATTGTAAAAAATAGAATAGTTGATTTTTATTTTTGTTTTTCAGGTATTTATTTTTTAATAGAATGATTCTATCATATATTTTAATAATAATCTTATACATACTTACTATTTTAACATTATGATTTAAAAATTACAAATTAGAAATGTTTGAATAATCATTTTATTTTCATAAATTAGTTAATAAAAATCATATTGCTTCAAACTTACTTAGACACATTATTTATGCTTATTTTAATTTATAAAGTAATGCAAAAAATAATATTTATTTACTTTGATTTGCATTTTATTTAATCAAAAAATATTGTTTGTAACACTCATTTAATAAATTATTTCACTTTTTCTTACTTATTTTGCAGCTGATTTTCAATTTATTATTTGATTAATATATATATGATATTCCTCAAAAATAAATAAAACACCAATAAAATTAATTTATAATTTTTAAGAAGTTATTTTTTAAGTTGAAGCAAATTAAATAAAACATGTTCGATTTCCTTAAAGAAGTTTTACAGTAAATTTAGCTATTATTGTGGCGTGGTGTTGCGTTGTTAGTTATTATATTCTTTGTTCCTTTTTTATGTATTAATTAATAAATATGTGCTTTACTTTTTTTAATTCTATTTTTCTAAAAATAAGAAAAATACTTTTTGCTAATTATTCAGAATATGTTTTGAATATTAAAATATCATTCATTTAATTAGAATCTCCTCTTTAAAAAAATATATTTTTAAATTTATTTCTATTTCAAAAATATTTTGTAATCTTTATTTTTTTATATGAGTATTATTTGATAATACAAAGCAAAAAATTAATAAAGAAAGAAAGAAGTAAAGAATATAAATAGAGTAGTAGATATGGTATAGGAGCCAAATGAAATCATCTATGTAACTAAAAATATACTCAGTAAAAGAAATAAGAAACTTTTAGTAATTCCAAAAATAGAAAATGACTTAAAACTATAAATTTAAAATATAAAGAAGAAAAACATCTTAATGATTCTTATTGGATGTATTTTAAGCAAATTTGGGATCATTTTATGCTAGTAGCTATGCAGCTATAGCTAAAGCTAAGTAATTGACTAGAATTAATCTTATAAATTTAATATAATTTAGTATTTTAGTGTTCTTTTTTCTTAAGGACTTCTTGGTTTCACTGTAGATTTGATATCCTTAAGTTCATCATGGAGATTTACATAATGTGTCTGTATCATTGGTATGTTAATATTTATATTAGCGTCTTAAAGTTAAAATTCATAAATAATTATTGTGGCAAATATTTTAATAAGATTCAGTTAAGGATGCAATTATATTTGTGGAACTTATATTTTGTATGACTCTTCTTACTACCTCAAGAAAAGATTTTTATATCAGTCTCTTTTCATACTTATTGGAAGTTTTGGGGGTTTTTTAATATACTTGATATTAGATTGGCTATCGATTCTTAATAAAATAAATCAAAAATACTTAATCTAAGTAATTTGTGTATGCTTATTAATTAATTTAATTGGAGATATCATAGTCTCCTAATTTTATAATAAACTTGATAAAATTAAATTAATGTCTCAAAGCTATCAGTAATATTTACAGAGTAGAGGAGTGGCAATATCTTTAAGAGCTATTTTCAACTATTACTGGAACGAAAATATTATATATTTAGCAATTACTATGATCTCTTATAGAAGTATGTCTTCAGTTAATAATGTTTTATTCACTATCACTAATATATAATAAAATAAATAGATTAACCTTTCAAATAATTTAGCAGAGTTACTAAAAATGTTATTTTATTTATCTACCATAACGATAGGAATAATTATTATGTACAGGATACAAAAAAGGAAAAAAGTAATTTAATTTTCATATTAAATTACTAGAAACTTTATGGTTATCACAACCATAGCTTAGATTCTACTCACTGCTACTTTATACTTCTAAAATAAATTAAATTTATACTTAATATATCCATTGTTGATAATAATTTTAATAACCAAAGGAATTGCTTTTATTCTCAGTTCTATTTTGTGTAATCAGTTACTGATAAGTTTACAATCAGAAAAATCTTCAATAAGGTGTATGGGAATAGGAATATTTGGTATTTGCTAAAATCTATTTGAAATTTTCTACTACCTTAGCATAAATCCCATAATATTAAATTCTATTTTAAGCTTAGTTGGTATTTTATTCTTGCTTTACAGCTTTTATTATTTATAGAATAGGAGATTTGATTTAATAGATTAAAAATTAAATTAAAGCAAATTGGGCGAGCCTTTAATTTCAGTAGATAATTCTAATGCTTGATTTAATGGATAAAAAACAATTTAAAACCACTTTTATACATATCTTTATAATTATTAATAATTTTAAATATCCTTACCTGATTATTTATTTAATTTAAATGATAAATAGTAGGAAAACAAACATAAAAACAAAAATTTTTTAGAAAGTGTTGTTTAACACGAGGTACAGATAAATCCTTTCAAATTTCTAATTTAGTGATTTGTAATTGATTTGATGTTTAATATTATACTTTTGTAAATATGAATTTGTATATTTGAATATATATAAACGGCAATATTTCTTTTAAAGTCTTTATATTTAAAATTTTTTTATATTTTTATTCAATTATTGGGGTTGAAAGGTGTAAAAAAATTTTTCATTTTTAGGCGGTCTTAGAGTTTGCTGTTTTCTATATATAGAAAGTTTATCTTTCATATATTTATTTTTTTTTGTTATCAACAACATTTTTCAAGTTATTTTAATTATAGCATTTCAAAAACGAATATTTTAAATAAATAAATTAAACATCTTTTTATTAGAATAGATTAGTATTTTAAATGTGACTATTAAAGTGCTGATGTAAGGCTTTTGTCTTGTCATCATGCCACATATTTTTATAACAGGAATACTACCATCATTCCTCTACACTGAAAAATATCACTTTTATGCTTAAGTTTTGATAAATAAATGAAATAAAAATATCTATTACAATAATAATTTAGATCAAAATTTAGATTCTTTTATCAAATATAATATGATAAATTTTATTTTATTTTTTATATTCTCAATTTATAAAAATTTTTAAATAAAAAATTAACAATAATGTATCTTAATTAAATAAATAAATTAAAAGTCTTTTAGTAGAACAAAAAGAAAGTGCTTCAAATATGGAAGATGAAATTTTTTTGATGTAAGGCTTTTGTCTTGTATACATGGCACTTATTTTTATAACAGGAATACTACCATCATTCCATTTCACTGAGTAGGATGATTTTTATGTAGAAGCTTTAAATTGGTCATAAGGATTAATAAATGACTTACAAATTGTTAATTAACTTAATGATTGTCCTTAATAATTTGAGTCTTTAATAAATTATAGCTGGCCTGGATTAAAGGGAGGATGTTTTTGTGCTGATAGTAGGTACTATGAAATGTCTTAATGCAAAACCTAAATGAAAAAATAAATTTGTTAAGATTTGCCTTCTATTAACTCAAAGACACTCAACAGCTACTTATTTACATAGGTTGATAGCAATAGCATATAGAAAGAAATACCTTTCAAAATTTGTGGCAAAAAAATATCTTCTTAAGCATAAAAGACTAAAATGAGGATAAAAGATATTTGTAAGTAGGGCGCAGGAGAGAGATGTGTCATAGAAAACTTAGCATTTTGTATGCCAGATAATACGTAATGTCCTTAACTCAAATAAACTTGCTTAAAAACAGAAAAAAAGTGTCAAATAAACAATAATTTGAGTTTTTGTGTTTAAAAGAATTAATATTGTCCATAAACTTATGAGTGCGAATCTTCAAGTAACAGACCCTGTTTTTCTAAAGACAGAATAATATGCATTGATAAAAATGAAAAATGCCCAATAACTAACATCAGATTTGTTGATAATAAGACATAAATAAATTTAAATCTTTCTTAAGATTATGAAGAAAAAAGCATGTAAGTTAGCTCTAATTACAGATTGTTTATTGATAGAAGTAAAAAAGGAATACCTATAGTAGACTTTACAATATCCTCAATTGATGGAGTTTGTTTGGGTGACAAAAACTAAATATTAGTAAAGTACTATCCAATGGATATAAGAAATGTATGCCAAGAATAGGATTTTCGTTACAATTCTGTTTTTGAATAGCCTATTCTTTCTACTGACCTCTATAAATCAAATGGAATAGAATTAGGAAATCATGAAAGTTTAATTCCAGAAAGTGATTAATATGATATGTACTTTAGACGATTTTATGATAGTTCATATGAATGCTAGTATTAAGTTGATATAGACAGTTGGAGAGATCTATTTAGAAGCATAATAAATCTATCAAACGCTATGTTTTACTTGTCTATTATAGCTATGATTTTTTTGATATTGTCAATATACTTTTACTTACAACCACATTAAGATCCAAAATAAATGATGGTTTTTATTCCATTCATAATTGTTTTCATAAATTCAATTATTGTATTATTAATTGAAAGCGATATTGAAGAAATCGATTAAGGTCTAAAACTATTTTCAGATGAAAAGTGCTACGATTAAGTTTTAATTAGTGAAATAGATAATCTAAGATATTATTTAGGAAGTGGACCATTAATTTTTGTTAAAATAGTATATTTTCCTATTATACTATATTTAAAAATAGCATCTAATTTTTGATTGAAATGAATGTTTTTGAGAGATAATTGAAACATACATACATAATATTTTAAAAATTTTTAAAATATTTTTTATTATTAAACAAAATATAAAATATTACTTATAAAAAAAATATTTACTTATATAAATTCGAATAGCCTAATTAAAATTATTGAAAACTTTATTTTTTATTTAAAATTAAAGCATTAAAAAAATTTATTTTAAAAAATTTAAATAATATATTTGAGAGCTTTTTATAGTATATTTATATATAGGAGTTATTTTAAATTTATCAATTTTATTGATGAGTGTCCTTACTTATTTTTTAAAATATTTTTTCAATTTCTTGATTTTAAAATAAAGCTAATCCAAGTATTAAAATTAATTTAATGCGTATCAGTTTATCAAATATTCGTACCTGGAATAGCAATAGTTTTTTAATAAAATTTGAGAAAGTTTATTTTTATTTTCTATCAAAACCGCATTTTTCTATTTTTTAATTATGAAAACTAATCTTTTGAATAAATAACTTATATTTTACAATTCATAAGTATTTTAAATATGATTGATGAATTAATTACTGATGTCAGGCTTTTTTCACCTATTTTTAAACATAAGACAATATCAACAATCCTCTACACTGAAAAATATGACTTTAATTTTAAACTTTTGATAAGTAAATGAATTACAAAAATCACTAATTACAATAATAATTGCTTACAATATTTTAAGTCTTTTTTTAATCAAAATAAATTTGAGAAAATTTGTTTTATTTTCATCAGCAGAACTTTTCAATATGTATTTTAGATGATTTTATGATAGTTTATATGAATTTCAGTATTAAGTTGATATAGACAACTGGAGAGATCTATTTAAAAATATAATAAATCTATCAAATGCAATGTTTTATTTTTCTATTATAGCTATGATTTTTTTGATATTTTCAATATAGTTTTACTTGCAATCACATTAAGATCCAAAATAAATGATGGTTTATATTCCATTCACAATTACTTTCACAAATTCAATTATTTTATTACTAATTTAAAGAGATATTGAAGAAATTGATTCAGGTGTAAAACTAATTTTAGATGAAAATTACTACGATTAAGTTTTAATTAGTGAAATAGAGAATCTAAGATATTATTTAGGAAGTAGAACATACATTCTTGTTAAAATAATATATTTTCCTATTATAATATTTATAAAAATAGCATCTAATTTTTGATCAAAATGAATGTTTTTTGTGAAATAATTGAAACATACATAATGTTTTTTTTTAATTTTTAAATTTCTTCTCATCATTAAACTAAACAAAAAATATTAAATTATATAAATTCGAATATCCTAATTAAATACTTTATATTTTAGATAAAATTACCTTAAGTTTTTTTTTATTTTTTATAAAGCTGAAATAAAAGGGGGTAAAAAAGATAGAATTGAGTATAATTTTCAAAAATTTTACAATGATTTATGTATCGTTATTAAATATTTTTAAAAAAAATTAATTATTTTAACCCTGCTTATTCAGAATTGCTTACACTAATTTTATAATTGTTATTGAAGATACTTTTATTAAATGTAAATATCTTATAACATATACCAAACAGATAAATAAATTAATAAAGCTTTACTTTTTGTTGAAAAGATAATTAATTGGCTTTATAGTTTAGATATCAAAGCTTAATTTAATTGTAAATGCAAGAGAAATACCATTTGTAAATTTGAAGAATAATTAATAAGATAAAATAATAATTAATAAATTTGCGTAAAACAAAGCTAGAAATGGAAGTATTAAAAAATAACTTGATAATTTAAGTAAATTAAAATAATTTAAAGCAATAAGATAGAAGTCTAATAGAAATTCCGCCAATTCAAGATAAAATTTAGTTAGAAATTGAATTAATCAAAAAGAAATATTTACATCTTATTCTAATTGGTTGCATCTTAAGTAAATTTGGAATAGTATTATGTCTTAATCTATAAAATGAAAGCTAATATAAACAGGTAAATTATGAGGATTATCAAATTATAACATATTTTACAATCAATATTTTAGCTTAAACATTTATTGGATTTACAGTTGATTTAATATCCTTAAAGACATCTTGGTTATTTACTTAGATAATTTGTGTTTTATCGATAATGATCTAAATTGCTTCTTCATTTATTGAAAATTATTAAACAAGTTTATTAGCAAATTATCTTTTAAATTTTAGTTTTAATTGTAATTACATATGTGGAACATACATATTATATGATTCATCTTATTACATCAGAAAAAGATTCAATTACTAATCACTTTTCGTTAGCATAGGTAGTTTTATTCCATATACAATTGCCTTGCTATATTAATGGTTTTTTATTGAAAAACAACATGCAAAAACATATGTTTTTTTAAGCATAATATGCTTCTGTTTACTTATAAATTTGATAGGAGGAGTTTTGATTACTCATTTGTATAGTCAAGTAGAAAATGTTAGATAAAAATCATAAAATTATTAGCATGCTTTAAAATACAGAGGAGTAGGTCTCACTTTAAAGATAATTTTTAGATATTATTGGAATTAAAATATTATTTATTTATCTGTAATTTTAATTACGATGATGGCAATTTCATCAATGAACAATGTGAAATTTTTGAAGAATGTAATAGAAAATAATTACAATTTCAAAAATTATAAAATGGATAATGCTTTAAAATTGATATTTTATCTCTCAGTGATATTTATAGCTACACCTTTAATTTATATTATTAATAAGTAAAGATAAATAATCACATCTTCCTTTATGGTATTAAGGAATTTAATTATCATTTTGACAATAATTCAAATTCTATAAACACTTTTAATATAGTTTTAAGATAAATTTGCATTTTCTTTTCTTTCAGTAGTATCTTGCATTATCTTAGCTGTTAAAGCTATTGGATACTTGTTAAGTCATGTATTATGTAATTAGTTGCTGATAAGTCTTTAATCTGAAAAGTATTCAATAAAATGTATAGGACTTTCATTTTTTGGAGTATTTTAAGATGTAACAGAAATTTTTTATGAGATTCAAATTGAGCCTAAAATATTTTCACTTTTACTTTGTTTGGCAGGAGTCTTATGTATATTGTATAGTTTTTATTATTTATAGAATAGAAGGTTTAATGATTTAGAAAATAAGCTTCTCCAAAAAATAGATGAATAATAAAATAATAACAGATCTACAACTTTAATAGAGGATATATATTAATGAAACATTTATTTATTTATAATATAACAAAATATAATTTAATTATTGATGAATACATATTATATGGTTATTATATATCAATTAGTAATAGTATTAAATTTATTAAATTCTAATATACAATAAATAATTTTTAATTAATAACTATTTACCATAAAGATTATTAAATTATCTAATTTTCTAAATTGAATAAATAAATTAGTCTAAGTAATAAGAGATTTATTTTTTTCCCATTTTTAAATTTATCATATATTTCTTTTTAACAAGATATAATTTAAAATATATTGAAAAATTTGTAAATTAAAAAAAAAAGAAAACCAAATTTATCATTTTTATGAAAACTAAAATAACAAATTATCTTTTAAATAATGCTTAGAAAATGGTGAATTCTCAAGCTCATTTATAATACAAAAATGAAGCTAAATTAGTATTAAAGGCAGCTTAGTTTAAGTCAATAACATTTGATTATGATTCAGGTATTAATCAAATTATTACATATATTTCATTTTATTCTAAGCAATTTTTAATTTATGACTGTTTGTCAAAAAGGTTATCTAATAATTTGATTTTGTTGATATTTTTGCTTATTAATAAAGTAAAAAAAATAATTGGATTCTATTTGAGCTATTGATTAAATTATTAAAAATATATCATTCTAATATGTTAGAAGCTACTTTTAATTAATAAATATTTACCATAAATATTATTAAGTAACTAAATTAATTTTCTTCATTAATAAATCAATTAATCTAAGTAAATAAGAGACTAATTTTTTTCTATTTTTTAATTTTATTATATCTTTTAATTCAAGATTTAATTAAAATATCTTGCAAGAATTTGCAAATACAAAGAAGTAATTTAAAAATCTTATTAAAACTAAAAGAATAAATTATCCTTTGAATATATATAGTTCATTAAAATGGTGTAACTTAAGCAAAATAAAATGAGAAAATAGGATTTAAAGCTTCTTCTTATGCCAGATCTTTAGTAAGCAAATGAAACCATATTTTAAATAAAAAAGAACTATAATTTAATTATCCTAGTGTCCTTGATTTTGTCTAAATTTAGTATTTCATTAACTAATTACGCTATTTCAGATTATAATCAGAAGCTAATAACAAACTCAAACTTAGTTTTTATAGTATAATTTATTTTTGGGAATATGTTTAGTCAATTAACTATTGGATTTTTAAATGATTTAATTTCTGTATAAACGAGTTGGATTTTTACTTGGTTTATTTCTATCCTAGCTATGTCTTTAAATATAATTTAGATATGCGGAGATTTAGATAATATTTATCTTTTAGGAAGTATATTGGCTATTTGTTCTTTTGTTAATAATTACATAGCTGGAACTTTTATTATTTATAATTCATCCTATGCTTTAAGCGTTAGATTTAATTAAGCTGTGCTCTTTGTTGTTATTGGTTCGTATGCTTCAAAATGCTTATTTGTATTATTATAAGAGCTTATTTAAATGCAAAAGTAACTTTATGTATATATGATCACCATTTGCTTATTTGTTAATATAGTTACAGGTGTTATTATATTTTAAGCCTATAATAAAATAGAAAATGTAAAGAAAGATCAACTTGCTTATTAAGTATTTCTTAGGCATTAAGGCGTTGGACTGAAAATAAAAAGCATATTTTACTATTATTTTAATAAAAATATGGTTTTTTTGGTTGTTCAAATACTTGTGGGAGATCTTATTGGATATAATTCACCTTAATAGCTTCTTGATATCCTTAAACAAAGGCAAGGAGATTGGATGATAAGTGAAAAATATTACACATTTTTTTTGAATTCTTAACACATATGTTGTTTTTTCTTTATTTATTTCTTATTTAAACGAATCAACTCTTCTAGATAGTTCATCAGTACTTAATATTTAATCCTAAAAATAGTGATGATAATTTCGTTAGCAGTGTATTTGCTTGCATCAATAGTTTTGATAATTAACGAATATCTACCATTCATTTTTCTAATAATTTTCTTTTAGCTACTTTTAATCTACTAAGGGGTAATATTTCTTTTGAGTGCAACTATCTCATTTCAAATAAATTATTGCTTGCAAGATGAAAAGTGTTCAATAAAATGCATAGGACTTGGTTTATTAGGATTTATATAGGATCTTCCATCATTTATATAAATAATTGATGTTAATGCTAAATTATCTTATAGTTTTCAAACATTAATAATATTTTCAAGTTTAATCTATAATAAGAAATATTTAAGAAATATTGAATTTGATGAAATAGAAGAAAGGATTAAATAATAGTATCAGATTTAACAAACTTGATGCTCATTTATTTTTAAAAATATCAATTTATATTTTTTATATATTTAAAAAATGATATTAGTTAAGAAAACTATAAATATAAGATCTTTTTTTTTTAAACAATTTGTTTGGTATAAAAATAAAAAAAATTATTTTATGATCCCACAGTTTTAAAAACAATTTATAAAGCATTTTTTTACTTAAATAGCCATGATACTAGGTACATATTTTTATATGCGTCATATTTTTAATTTATTTTTTTGTAAATAATTTTTAAAAATAATGAAAAATATAAAATTAACGAGAAGCATGTTTGTTTTTTTTCAGAATTGCACCAAAAAATTTACAAAATGAAAAAAATATCTTGATAAATTTCAAATTATAGTTTAATTAAATATAAATAAATCTAAAATTAATTACATTTTTACAGCATTAAGTCTATATTAAAAAAATACATATTTTAAGGTAAAACTTTATAAATCAGTAAAGTTAGAAGCAAAAAATGAAATATAATTCAATAATATTTGTAAATAATTCCTTAATTATAAGAAGATAGAAAAAGTGCATTTATTACTGCAATTTCTCAAAAAAGATTTTTTAATTATGGCGTTTAATATGTATCTGCATATAGTTATTTTCTATTAATCGGGTTATTAGTAGATAGAAAATTCAACTTTTTAGCAATATTATAATAATTAATGCTTATATTGTTTAATATCTATTAGCATTTATATTTGTTTGAAGAAAGATTATTTATAACTAAAAGATAGGAATAACAAATTGAAGGTTAACAAATAAGTTTGCAAGTATATAGAATTTTTTTAGGAACAGCCAAGCATTTTTATATTATGAAAAAGTATAACTTAAACAAATACACTCTTAGATATTTTAATTCTAGCTATGAAAAAGAGTTTAATGAGAAAGATGCTATAAAAGTAAGTTTTTACAATAAAATAAAAGCCATCTTTAAGTTTTTTCAAATTATGTTTATTAACAATTATAAAATAGAAATACAAGCTATAACTTGCAATTGCTATCTACTATACAATTATGAATTCTATATATTTAGGAGTGGATGGATTTGATTTGAATCTCATTTTGTATACAATAATGCTTTTGATTTTTATAATTTTAGTGCACTAAAAAAAGATACTTGTTTATTATACAAACATACTTATAATATTAGCGACGTAGTTTTCTTATTTAATATATATCAAAGAAAGAGAAGGATAGATATCTGCTGGCGAAATCTTTATAAATGGTCAAGTAAATTGCATCTTTTTTATTAAATAATATGATTTATTTCTTCAACTCAATATTTTCAAATTAATACTGACAAATATTTATATGTCTCTGCATGAGAAATAAGTTATTTTAGAATATTTATAGTGTTTAAATTTAAAGGCAAAAGTGAAAATAGGTTAAAGAATTGAATAATAAAGATTTAAATATGATTGATTTTTGATTTTTATTTTGAAAATATACAATATTAGGCAGTATCATCTTTATTTCTACTGAGTAGTTAATCGTTTTATTTTGATGCTATAACAATGATTATATGTTAGGCCATGTTGAGATACATGATGCAGACACTTAGTTATCTGAACCTACTGGATGCATTTTAAATTATTTTTATTAACTCGACCTTTAAGTATTTGCAACAAAGATAAGAGAGATAGACATTCTTCGAGAAAAAAAAAGCAGAATAATGGAATTTATGCACTGATAATTTATTTTAAAACACAGTCGTTTTAACTAAATACGATAAAGTAACTTGTAAAGTTTGTGTCTAAGGTAAAAAATATTTAAATTATATAATTTTTTTATTTTAATGTTTTGTATTATTATGGAATTTACTTTTAGAAATATAATGGATGAATATTTATTTTTATATGGTTTTTCATTTATTAAAAACTATTTAATCGTTAGGCTTTAAAAAAATATTCACCAATTTAGAAATCTTATGGATAAAAATTGTTTTTAAATTTGTTATCAAGATATTGAAAATTATAGAATATTTTTCTAATTTTTTTATTTGTTTCAAGGACTTACTTATCATGTGATTAAGATTTGATTGATTTAAATTTCAAAAATTTTCTTTTCATGCTTTTAGTTTATTCCTTAATTTTTCTATAAGCTTATATTTTTTAACAAATTAGATTGTAATTATCAAGCGAGAAAGCTAAAGATTTATGATGATGATTCCTTTGAAGAATTTAGTTAGACCGTAAAGATTGATTTAAGCAAATCGAAAATAAGCTTTTTGCTTTCAAATGAAAAGAATACACTCAAGGATTACCTACTTTTAAAACACTACCTTTAATCAAACTTAAAAAAGAGGAAAGCAGGAAAAATACCAAATTAAATTTAGTCCTAATCAGGATCTTCTTAGTAAGATACGAATTAATAAGAATCGAAGAAGGTTACACAGTAAAATATTGACGGAAGCACTTCTATAAAATATGCAAAGCATGATGTGTTGTATGTTACATATGAGAATCCAAAGTGTTAAGGAGAAATAAAAAGAATGAAAATAAAAGCAGGAACTCTGGAGTTAGATTATCCATTTATTATATTATCTATGTAGGATGTTTCATCTCAAACAAACCTATCAAATTTAAAAATAAAATCGACAAAGAATGATCTTATTTACATAAAAAGTATAAATGAAATCAGAGACAAAGTAGTCAAAATAATAAGCTAGATAACTTCATCTAGATTTTCATCTTAAAAAAATGAGACAAACTCAATTAATTAGTAAAACTAAAGAAGGGTATCAAACGAAGAAGTCTAATTAAATGGTTTCATAACTTATAAGAAATAGAGAAGCTTTTACGATTAAAGGGAATAAAATCAAACAAATAAGTAGAATGCTAATACCCCAGTAAATAATACTTTCTTAAATGTGCAAGATTAGATCACATTTTAAGCAGCGAGTGAAAATTATAGCTAACAAAATTGTGTTGAAAATAAAGATGAAAAAGATAGCAAAAATATAAAGCTTGAGGGAAATGATAACAATAATTAATCCCCGTTATCAGCAGATATTTATCTTAATAAAGCTAACTTAAAAAAAGAAATAAAGTAATTATAACAAAACTCAAAATAGCAAGATGAATAAATTAAATATTATAATTAACAATAGAATTTTATATTACAATAAAAAAATATTTCAACATCGATTTATTAAAAAACTAATTAGTTATTATTACCTCCTCAATCAGAACCCCTCATTAGCTAATTTTCTTAGAGAATTTCAGATTTTAAAGAAAAAGATGAATTAAGTGATATTGCTAGCGAATATAGAAGCTAGAAGTTATATCAATAAAATAATAATTAGAATAATAAAATTCTTAAAAAGTCATCATTTAATAACAGCTATTATGAAGGAGATTCAATATAATTGATTGAAAATGATGAGATTGATTATAAAATATCTAGTTTAAAATTGGGTCTAAGCTGCTTGCTTAACAATACGTATTCTTTGCTTGATTACATCATACTTTCAAATGAAAAATCACATTTTAAAAAATTAATTGTTAAACCTAATTCGCTATAATTAAGAAAATTAGAGTAATTCCTAAAATAACTTTTTCCTAACCTCAAAGTGACTTATTAAACTTAGGAACTTTAAGACAAAGAGCTAAAGACTGATATAAGAAGACTCAAGTATATTTTAATATCTATTATTAGTTCCTACTTTTATAGAAAAAAAGAATTAGATGCTTAATTCAATAATCCCATACGCAATCACAGTAATACTTTTATGATTCTAACAGATTAACTGAATTAGACAGTTTTGCCAAATAAGACAAAGTAATTGTATAAATATCAATAACAAATTCATAATTTAGAATATGATAAATAGATTGAAATTCTTTTAAACATATCAATAAATGAGCAACCCCATTTTACTTCTATTAGCTTTTCAGTTTAAAATTTTGGTAGTATAAATCTACAACCTGAAAATTCCCTAAACATAATAAACTCCCCTAAAGTAAGAAATATATCTGATACTTGTATCCCAATTTCTTACACAAACAAAATAGCGGGACCTGAGAAATTCACTTCTTTCATGTCAAAAAATATGTGCATAAATGGAACTTGTGATTTAACAATTAGGGAGATGGAAATTAGAAATATATATTTCAACATAATGAGGCTAGGACCTTATATGCCTGAATATGATTCAAGTTTGAATTTGTTTTAGTTTGATATATTTGAAAATATAGATGTAATAGAGCAGATTCCTTCAGCAACAAATATTTAGACTACTTAAACCAATATCATGATGCAGCCAACATCAGGTTTTAATGTAGAAAATAGTGTCAAACAGACAAACGGGGTCTAACTACTAAATAAAATTAATTTAAATTTAGCACCTTAATTTTCATCAGATAATTAAAGTACGAAACATCGAAAAAGCAATTTCTTTCAGCAAGGAGCAGCTAATTTAAATATTACTTTTCCTAATGGTAAATCCTAAGATGTTATTAGAAAGAAAAGTGCTTAAAGAAGTAAATTTAATTCCAACGAGAGTGTATTTAGTAAAAAGAAAATCCCTCTAGACGAATTTAAGCAGCAAGCTATTGAAAGAATAAAGGAAAATATTTAATCATTTGATGGAGACTTTGATATTGGCTCATATATAACGTTTTCTAGTGGAAATGAGTAAAAAATGGAGGAACATATGGAAGATTCTCTCTATATTTCCAAAAAGTTACCAAAATCGTTTTGGGACATAGTCTAATCAGAGGAAATTCAGTAATAAATTTGAATTTAATAAATAGCATTTGCTAAAAAAATAAACATTTGTTCATATATTTATTGCAAATACATTTAAAGTAATAAAGTAAAATGAATAAATATATTATAATTATATTTTTGATTTATTTTTAAATTGATAAATACTCTTTGAGCTAAAAAAGTTTTAAATAGTTTAAATTTTGTTAAATATTTTTAACTTAAATTAATTAAAAAATATTTTTAGAATAACATAGTTCTTATTGCTTTAAAAAATTAAAAATTCACTTTAAATGATAAAGAAATCTTAATTCAATAGTACTTACCCTATTTCTAGTTTAAAAGAAATAAATACTTTTTCAGTCAAATATGTTTTAAATAAATTAACCCCTTTTAATCTTATTTAAAGTTGTTAAAAAAATATTTTATAAAAAGAAGTATTTAGTGAATTATTTGACAAACTTCAAATAGTTTAATTTTTCCTAAATATATTTTTTGGACACATTCATGTTGTTTTAAAAAATTTATAACTTTTCTCAAAATGACAAGCTAATCTAAATTGAATAATATTAATTTTTTTTAATCTAGTTTAAAACAAATAAAACCCCTTTAATAGACAATATTTTAAATAATTTTAATTTATATATATTTTTAACTGAAATTATTTAAAAAATATTTTTTTTTTTGGACAATTACTTGTTGTTTGAAAAAATTATAATTTTACTGAATATGAAAAACAAATCCATATTAAAAGTGATTTTTTTTGTTTATTATTATTCTTCTAGGTTGCAATTTATAAGAGGGTAAAATAAATTCTTCTTTCTTCCTTTTTATTCATTATTTTAAATTCAGCTATATATATAAAGACTAAATGTATAGACTAATTATAGGAATTTCATTTAAATTAATAGTCTAAATGTATTGATTATATAATAGAGGTCTAAAATCTATTCATATCCAATCAATGATTCATTATTGTTTTAAGAAATATTGAAAATTAATCTTAAAGGAGTGCTTAATTAAGAAATCTATCAGTTTCTTTTAGATTATTTAAGTAAAAATTAAATCAAATTTGTTTGTGTGTTTGTTTGTTTGCTTGCTTGCTTGCTTGTTTGCATGCATGCATATATGAATGAGTGTCTTTTTATATGAATGTATAAGTGTTTTTTAGTTGCTTATTTGTTAAAAGGATATATATATATTCTCATCGTCTTATATTTATAAAATTAATATAAATATTCTACATAATTGATTGAAATTATCACTAATTAAAAAGGATAAAAAAGATATTGTTAGTTGACATTTTAAATAAAAAATGAATTTGTATTTCGATAAAGATGATGATGATCATGATGAGTAAGATGCCATTTAATAAATTCAATAATAATAGTAATCTTAGATGCATACATTCATATTTAATAAACAACTATTTAGAAGTTCAGCTGAAAAAGATATCTTAAGTTTAATTAGCAAACTCCCATCATCGTAAAGCTTTTCTTAAATGAAAACTACTTCTCATTTGATTAATTTAACAAACAGCGAGTAATATATTCAAAATTTAAAGAAAAAATATAATATGTTAAGAGATTATAGAGATAAAGAAGCAATGTCACGCACAAACTCTTCGAATTCCAACTAATCAGGATTAATATTATATAATACAAGACTTTAAGGATAATCAGAATCGGATGATGAAGATCAGATTTAAAAAGATGATATAAAGTATGGTGAAGAAGAACAATTAGATGAAGATGATGAAGATTTGGAGTCGTTGTAAGATTAAGAAGAAAGGAACTATTCCAATTCGGAATCTCCAATAAAATATTCTAAAAAATTAAGTCAGCATGATTCAATTAAAGAATATGATGATGGCAGCTATAATCCAAACATTCGAGAAGAGGATTCTCTAATCAGCAAAGAATAGATAATAGAGTATAAAAAGTTAGAACCTATAGAGAAGCTAGCAACTTTTAAGAAATACAAATAGACTTTGCTGAAGCAACCTACCTAGAGTGTAAGAGAATTTTTTTGTGAAATTCTTCATGATAAAATTGAAGAAGAGAAGATAGTAAAAATGAAGTATATCGCTAGAGTGATTGGATTTATTTTCTCATTAGAAAAATATTTTCCACATAAATACTTAGTAAAATTGATAGAAGAGAAGGATCTCAGACAAAAAAAAATTAGAGAAGTGCTTAAAGAAATTTATGATGAAAAAAACATTGATAGAAATTCAATTCTTCCATTCATCTCAGCTTATAAAGTTTAATAATTTGTAGATGATCTGTAGTCTCTACGCTCAATAAAAGATGATGATAAAAAAATTTAGAAGGAAGATGAAATATTAAAAGAATTCATTAACAGGAAATAAGAAATTTCTAATTATGAAAGCAACGAAGAGTTTAAAAACCTTATTGAGCAAATTATTATTTTTAAAGCCTAAAGATATTATGATTTTTCAAACTCTGCTGAATTAATTGCTTCATTTTTGCTTAAGTTAAACATGTCTTCTTCATTTATGTTTAAATATCTTCTAGATAGTTAAAAGCTGTAGAAAATGTGCAGCTATGCTATGGAAGTCATTAGGTTTCTCTCTAATAATTAAAAATATGATGCACCATAATAAAAATGATAAAAAACTATATTCTTAATTATTTAGATAATAAATTTTCCTATTTTAACATTTCAGCTAATATCTTCGTTTATTCATTTAATTAATCTATTTATATTGAAGTATCTATCGTTAATAATTTATAATAAACAACAGACACTCATCCAATAAATCCTATTGCAAATTTAAATATTTCTATGTTTAAAAGTTATTAATTAAAATTAGAATTTTCTTAAAAATCACAAAATTCTAAAGAATTTCATCTTTTAATAATAAATGGGTTAATTATTAAACCAACGATCGATCTCACAAAATAATTTCAAAAATAATATATCCAAAAGATAAATTTTTTACATTTTAAATGACTACAAAATTTACAAAAAATGAATTCAAAATTTTTATTAATTTAGTTTGAAAAACTTTTTAAATAAGTTTTAAAATTATTTTTTGTGATATTAAATAGATTTATTAACTTTTAAATAAATTAAAAAAAACTGTGTTAAATTTTTATCTTGACCTTAACATAAAAAGAATAAAATAGAAAGAGCTGAATTAAATTATTACAGATTATGCCTTTAATTAATTTAAATTTAAAAATTTTACCATTAGAAAAATATCATTCTATGAAATATGAAGTTAAAAACATTTTTAGTATGAATGACTAGATTATTCCAATAAAATGAGATTTAATTTTAAAAATAAAGTATCATATTAAGAATATAAAATAGTAGTCATAGTATATTAGATAATTCATAAGAAAAATATTATAATTCTTCATTTATAAAATGAAAGTTAATCAAAATTACTTGGCTTTATAATCAAGGAAATTAAATTTAGAGTCAATTAAAATTATTAGAAACAATTAAGCTTTTTATGAGCTAGTTAAATTTAATTTAATGTAAATTATTTTTATTTCTAATTTCCTTCTTATTTTTAAAAATGAATTTTACCATTTTACTTATTTTACTTGAGATTTCTTAATACGATTTTTTTTTTAGTGTTATTTATCTCATTATTTAAAAATAATTTTATTTTTTAGTTGATAATAATAATATAAATTAAAAATAATCATTATCTACTTTACGAAAATATTACACTTATTTGAATATATTGACTTGGGTGTTTTTAATTTTTGGTCCAACAAGTGGTTTACATTGATTTATAAGAAAAATTTTTTCGACTCAAAAAAATTTTGGTAAATTATGGTAATTCTTTTACTTTTTCTAGTTGTTTTTTGATAAGTTGTTAAATTAAAATAGCAAACAAACAAAAGAGTAATAAATAAAAAATAATCAAATCAAATTTTTTATTTAAATAATATAGTACTATTTTACAATTATGGGATAATAAAGCACTAAAATACCAACTCAAGAAAAATCAAAGTGGTTTTAATTAAAATGTAATTTTATTATTCAATGTTATCATGTCTTCTCATATATACCTAAAAAATAAATCTCCACATTGATTTGGTAGATTCAGAAAATGATTCGAATATAAATTATGTATAACTTTAATATACTTCTCATTTTCAATCTAAAAATAGAAAGAAGAATCACTGAGTTAGAAGAATAAGCATTAAGTTAAAGAATTAACTTTCCTTTTGAGAGTATTTAAAAAGCTGTAAACTTTCTAGAGTAAAAAAAGTATATTGTGGAGAATGGATTCCTTGGAATGGGAGGATCTGCGCTTGTAATGAAAGCATGTAGCGAAGAAAATGATTACTTAGCCATCAAATTTATAATTAATCCTAGTTAAGCATAAGTAAAAGCATGCTAGTAAGAATTCCAAATACTAAGCCAATTTAATAGCCCACATATCATAAAGGTCTATGATATCATTTAAGAATAATATGAATAGATGAATTATTAAATTTTAATCATGGAAAGATGTGCATGTAATATTTTGTTTAGTAGTTTTTCATATCGAAAGAAAAATAATTTTTATCTATCAAATTTAATTTTAAATTGAATACAAATTTTTATTTTAATAGATGATCTAAAGTCCTACTTATAAAAAAATATAAAAAATAAAAAGATTATATCAAATAATTAAACTTATAGGCTAAGTCTGGAGCTTGCCAAAGGACTAAGAGATTTGCATTCTAAAAATATCTTGCATTTAGATATTAAGCCAGGAAATATTTTGTTTGGCATTGATCTAAAATGGAAATATGGTATTTAAAGCTTTATGAATTTATTGATATTATTTGATTAATTAATTAATTAATTTCTGTAAAATTATAAAGCTGATCTAGGAATCTCTAAATTTCTTGATAGCAAAGACCATACAGATCATCTTGTACAGTTTTTTATTTTTATCTAAATTGTGAAAATTAATAATTTAAATAAATTTATTTTGACTTTAAAATTACTTAACAGGAAGGTTTCACAGCTCAATATTCATCACCCGAATAATACTAGCTTGCTAATTGCCATTCTAAGAAGTCTATTACTAAATCTGTAAATTTTAAAGAATAATATTTAATTTTACATAAATACTCAATATATTTTAATGTAATAGAGTGATATTTATAGCCTTGGATTAGTTTTTATGCAATTGACTGGAGTTGATATTAGTCAAAAATGGGTTTTTTCTGAAAAACTTAACGGAGGAAACTATGATAAATGTCTTAATCCAAACTATGAATAATTTAATACAATAATCAAATAAATGGTTTGCTATGAACCTGAATAAAGATTAGAAATAAATGCCGTTGTTCTTAAAATTAAATAAATAATAAAAAATGAATATGAAAGCAATTAGAACTAATCAAAAATACAAGTTTTGAAAAAAGCACAATCAAACGGCCTCTTATAGAAAAAAGAAGATTCAAGAGAGCAAACTCCAATCAATTTGTCCAGAAATAGTAGTAACCTAAATATTCTATAAAACTCAGTTGTTGAATAAGAAGAATAGCCCAAATCGACAATAAAAAAGTTAAAAATAATAAGAAGACCAAGCTTAAAATTATTTTAAAATGATATAATTTAATAAGAAATAAATAAATAAGGAAATTAATCTCCTATCTCTCCTTAGGTTTTTAAGTAAACAATTTATAATTAAAAAAGCGGAGATAATACACCAAAGCTTCCATAAATAAAATAAAATCCTGCTTCATTTAATGTAAGTGGCTATTTTAATCATGCCCAAACACCAAAATAAATAGTTCAAAACAAATATTCAAATATTAAACTAGGATTTTCTAATGTTTTAGCTTAAAGCTCCTACAGTTCAGATTTTAAAGAATCGAATTCTAATTCTCCATTAAGTATCTACAATTCTCCTTCAAACTCTTCAAATTCTCAAAAATTTAATTTCAGATAAAAAACGCCTTCATAATTTTCAAACTATAATCAAGATTTTGATTTCTTCTAAAAATAACAATAACAAGAGTTAAATAGTCCATAATATAAAATTCCTTTAAGAAAAATAGATTCCACGTTAGCAGTTAAAGATTTTAATCTACCAAAGTTAAAATTAGAAAGTAATAATATCCATAGTAATATTTACTAGGAATATGCAATTCAATAAAACCAACATAAAATACAAAAAGTTAATGGTAATTTGTTAAATAGTAGTAATTATTTTGGATAAAAATAAAAATAGTAAAATCACAATTAATTTTAAAACTAAGAATAAGGAAATAACCAAAAAAGAAGGAGCTCATCTTTAATTACTTTCTAATGAATTATTCAATATATATTATTTATTAAATATTAAAAATATTAAAATAAATATAAAAAATAAAATAATTTATCTACAAAATATTTTGAAATATATAAATATATATGAGTGTTGTGTGCGTTTTCTTGTTTTATAGTATTTTTCCTCAATATTTAATTAACTTAGAATAAAGATCATCTAAAATTTAAAATTGATAAATACTTTTCACTGTTAAAGTAATCTGCTAAAAATTATATAAAATTTAAAACATTATCCTTATTTATAAAAATACTTAATTAAATTGAATTACAAACCCACTCTATCTCTAATGGAGGTGCAAGCAGAATGAATTTTAGGCATAAAAATATGTATCTTAATTAATTAAAACTTATATATTAGTTAAATTTTTTTTGCAATTTAGTTAAAATGTAATAATATTTCATACCTTAGATATAAAATCTCTAAAATACATTATATTTAGTAACGAAAACATTCATTTGAAATATTTTTATATTTAATTTTCATTTACATCTTTATTAAAATACATTTCAAAATTTTTTGACTCATCAATTTCCAGTTATTATGATTCTAATTAAATTAAATAAAGAAACAGATTTAAAAAAATATTAATAAATTAATAACTTAAATTTTATTACAAATATATCATTTCATCAAGCAAATCTTTTAAAATATTTAATTAAAACAAAAAATAAAATTATAACCGGAATTTTATTTAAGATTATAAAAAAATAACTAATCAAAATGTTATGCACTTAGTCAGAGCTAGTAAGGTAGATATACATATATACTGTCAGTACTATTTGATAAGGTGAAATTTTTACTAAGGTTTAAAAATTTTTTAAATTGTTTTTGATTATATCCTAATAATATGAGAGTAAATATTTATTATCACTTTTAGATTTTTTTCATATATTTTGATATTTGAATGATATAAATTTAAAAAATTCATATTATTTATTATTAATTATTTAGCATCAGTATTTTTAGATTAAAGTTAAATTTATTTTAAATTAATACATAATTTAGAAGAAGATGATGACGATGATAATATCAGACATCGATGATGATATTGATAATTGTTTTAACTTAAAAAAAAAGTGCTACAATATAATATTCATTATTTATTTAATATTTTAAAACTATTTTTTTAATTTAATATAAGGTGAGTTTTTCTTCCTTTCAATAAAATACTGAACATATTTAACGTAGATTAAATAATATCTAAAATTAAAAAATTAAAATTAATTAGATAAATAAATTAATTTTAATAATAGTTAATATTTGTCTATTTTTAATGGATTATAAATTTTAGAAAGATTCTACTTGAAATCTATCTATCTATGGATCGATCGATCCTAAAATTCCTCGTCAGAAAAAGTAAGCAGATTTAAGTATCTTTGCAATAAAAAGAAGCTCATTAAAATAAAATACAAAATTGATTAATTAACAATTATAAAAAATATTTGAATTGAAATGATATTTTTAGACTGTATAACTAGTATTAGAATATAAGCCTTTCTATTTTAAGTTACTGTGTTTTTATCCTATCTTGCAGCAGCTTTAAGCCTTTGGCTAACTATTTGCCTATTTGATGAAGATATTAGCATATTTTATCCTATAATCGCTTTATTTTTAAATATAGTGGAGAAATTTTTTGGGTTAAAACAATTTTATGGAAATGATAAAATAAATAAGTTTAGTTTCATAGTATTAGAGATATTTTATGCTTCATTTATTGGATTTTACTCAAAAGCTTGCTAATCTTTGGTTGAAAACTAACCTCTTAAGAACTTCTATTTTATTCTTCCTTTTTAATTGATATTAGTAATATTAATCCAATAGGATAATTTAAAAAGCTCTACTTACAATCTTAGCATAGCGTTAATAATTATATTGCTTGTGATTAAGCTTCTACAGCTAATTAATAGACTTGCGGTTAAGGATAATCATTCTATATCATTTTTGAGTTATATTCTTAATTTAAAGATTTTTATAGCAGCTTTTTTGATATTCTTCTGTAATTTAGAAACAATATTCAAATATATTTTAATAACGATTTGTTTAAAAATAATATAATACGTTCTAGTTCTACAATACTTGCAAAGAAATTTTAACTTTTATAGGTATGAAAAAAATAATATGTTTTTATTCTCTATAATTAATTTTAATCATGGTAATTTTGAGCATAAAACTCTAAATTAAGAACCCAAGTATTATGAATGCTCTTAAATGCAATTTCTATGCTTCATACTTAAATCTTTGTGTCTATTTCTGTTAATGGTAGTTACATAATAGTACTCTTTATGGTATTTAACAATAAATTTGTATATCGAAATGATGTAGCCTCATCTCAACACAATAATTTTCAATAAATTTAGTACTGCAGATCCTCATTAATTAAAAATATCTCTTTCCCCAAGCTTTTTAAACTCCCAGTTGACCCTCTAAAACTTTTAAAAAATGATTAATGAAAATTTTGACCCATAATTTAAGGAGATCCATAGTAATTATATAATAAAAGAATTTAAAAATATATTGGATTTATTAAACTTTCTTAAGAGCTAAGATACGAATTAAAATTTAATTATTTATTAATCTTAAAAAAAGATTAAAATAACAGAAAATTACATTCAATTAAAAGATGAATAAGAAACAAATGATGAAAACTTCAGTCTAAATAGCCAGTTAGAACTTCATGACATTCTTCATGCTTTTTATAAAAATGAGAAATAGATAAGTATATAATAATTTACAATTTATATAAACAAAATTTGTTTTGTGGTAGAAAAGTGTGTTAGCAAATAAGCTCTTTTCGAATTTTTATACTATGTAAAAAGAATCCCAGAGCCTTATTTATCACCAATATTTTACTTAGATATCAACATTTGGTCTGTTGTTTTTAATAGAATCTTGAGATTGTAAAGAATATCTTATTATGAAATAGGTTATGTTCCTCATTATATGCATGTTATTTACTATTAAGCATATTTAAGGCTGACTCCTGCAATTTTGCTAATAACAGTTTTTGTAAAGTATGTAAGTCAATATTAAATTACAAATCCTACATATGTTCTTTATGATCTTTATTAGTGATAAATAATTTTCTTTATTTAGGTAGTGTTAACATTTTTTATTTTTTAATCTTTATTAAATAAATATTTAATTATACACTAAAAATTTCAAAAACACATAAAAAAAATTTATAAACAACTTTATTATAAAGATATTAAATAGAATTTTAAAAATAAAGCAAGAAAGAATTTATAAAAAAGCATTAAGTTTTTCTACCATCTTAGTTTGTTTATTTATTATTTTAATCATCCAAATATTTATCTTTACATTTTTATTAAGTGAAAATAGAACATAAGCCATTTTAAAATATAATTATTTTATATACTTTTCTTTCATTAATAATTATTTAATTGCAGGATTATATTTTTTCTTACATGTAAAAAAAAGATTTTTAAAAATTTGAGGATTTTACTAATTAGAAAAAACTCATTAATTTATTTATATATTTTAATTAAAAATTTTAATCTAATCAAAAGGGTGTAATTGATTGATATTTATATTATTTATTTATTTAAAACCTTATTGGTCAGAATTAAATAATAAAAATAAAAAAACTAATCATAATTCATAATTATTTGAATAGAAAAAAAAAATACATAAAATTACTTATATTTTAAATATAAAACAAAATTGATTTTTAAAAATATTTTTGATAAATCAAAAACTAATTGTGAATTATTATTTAAATTTTTAATACATTAAAATTGCTTGCTAAAGTATAGATGATGTCAGAAAATTATAAATATAGTACTTACTATCTGTAATAGTTTATAAAAGAAAATAGTAAGATATTTAAAATAAAGCATCAAAAATAAAACAGAGATTTATAAATAAGGAATAGAATTTTAGCGTTAAAATAAAAAGCTGGGGTAAAAATAGACAATTAATTTCAAAAGAGTTTCATTCATTCATTTACACTTTTTTTATTATAAGCAGGTTGTTAATAAAAATGCTATTCACTATATTTCTTGAAATTTAATTGTATAATTTAAGGTAAAAAAGCGTTGTAACATATGGTAATAAATCTATAGAAATTATAAAAAATACTTTTGATTTGTATCATAAAAAATATTTAAGCAATATCAATTTTATTTGATATATTAGAAAATTAATTTGAGTTATACTATTTATATCAGGTATAATTATAGTGTGCTAGGATAACTTTATAAAAATGCTCCTAATTATAAAATTAAATTTATTATATATCGATGATCGCTTTATTCGTTCATGCTAATATTAGAATGTATAAATAAGTTAGGTATAAAATACAAATAAGTTAGATAAAAAATTGAAATAAGTTAAGTATTTATTTTGGATTACATATACGAAATTCTTAGTAATTAAAATTAATCTCTTTTATTCTATTTAAGTTTTCATTTTCTACTTAAATTTTGAATATAAATAGATAAATGGTTGAATAAATTTGTATCTAAATCCAAGAAATACAAAGAAGCGTAAAAAATTATAATTTTTTATGGATTTAGAAATTTGAATTAAGCTTGAAAATAATGATAGTTTTATGTATACTGTTTAAATCTTATTTTATTAAATGAGATTTGAAGCATTAATTATTTAATTCAGTACGATCAGTGTCGTAAAAAAAGCATAATCATGTTATCTATTCAAATCAGTAAATTAAAATTTTAAGGAAAACAAAAAATTGAAAAAATAATTAAGAAAAAATAAATACTAATTTTATATTCACTGAAAGTACACTCTGATAATGGGATCTTCTCCTACTAAGAATTAAGCTATTTAGCTTGAAACACCTGCTTAAAAGAGCCCTCCTAAATCGGAATAATGGATTAAACTGAAAGGTAAAACATAAAATATTTTATTTCATAAAGCTTAAATATCAAATAATTAATATATTTTACTCAGCTTGAAAAATCTCTTTATAAAATTCTATAAAAATAAATAGAAAGATAAATTAATTTGCAAGAAATGACTGAGCTTGGTTAAAAAATAAAATAACCTTTAGACTAGATACAAAAGGCAGTCAAATATATAGAAAAACAAGGAATAATAATTGAAAATGGGCTCCTCGGAGCTGGAGGAAGCGGGTTTGTTTTAAAGGCATGCAGCGAGTGGAATGAACATCTCGCAGTAAAATTAATGAAATACTCTAATCTTGAATAATTTGAAAGTAACAAGAGAGAATATGATATCTTAAAAAAATTTAACTCAAATAATATCACGAAAGTTTATTAATACTTCACAGAATCTCATGAGTCAAACGAATATTAATTTATTGTCATGGAAAGATGCGTGTGTAAATATTTAAAATCCTTTGTTTTATATATTATTGCATATATTCATAAATAAATACAAACATAAATATATAATTTTTAAAGAGCAATTTTACCAATCGTAATATAATATTAGCTAATTAATTTGCTAATTGATCTTATTTATTTTAGTAAAGAAGTACATTACTCTGAAATGAATTGATTGGTCAAATAATTTATTAACTTTCAAATTATTAAAATTAGATGATTTAAAGAATTATATTGCCAAAAAAATCTCTTCAAACAAGCTTCTCAGCCACTAAATTTTGTATACTCTATGTCTACAGCTATCCAAAGGATTGCAGGAACTTCACTAAAAAAATATTATCCATCTTGATATAAAACCTGCCAACATACTTCTAGGTTTAGATTTAAAATGGAAGTACGCAGATTTAGGCGTCTCTAAGGTAGTATCAGAGCAAAGATAACACACTAAAAACTTAGTAATTAATTAATTAATTAATTAATTAATTAATCATTTATCTACTTGCTATTTTAGTTTATCTTACACTTGCCAATATTTAAAATTATTAATAATTTTTTTGTCCACTTCTTATATTTAATATTTATTCATCAAAAAAGATAGGATTTACAGCCACTTATTCTTCTCCTGAATAGTATTAGCTCATGACCACTAGTGCTACTCATAAAGTCACAAAATCTGTAATTTATTTTTATTACCACAAAAAACAAAACAAAAATATAATTAATTTATTTTCTAAATGTTTTTTAAATTTTTAAATATATTCAAAAATTTGATAATTAAAAATATATTTAATGATTTATTTCTAATACTTTAGAGTGATGTTTATAGTCTAGGAGTAGTTTTTCTGCAGCTAACAGGAGTCGATGTCACATAGAAATGGATTATAAAAGAAAAGATTTCAGCACATAATTATGATAGATGTCTGAATCCTTACTATGAAGAGTTCAATAACTGCATTATAAAAAAAATGATGTAACATGAAGCAAATGATAGATTATAAATTGAGGAAGTGATTGATATTTTGAAAAGACTATAAAAAAATAAAAATGAAGAGCCTGCCAAAATTAAAAATTCAGCAAATTAAATTTAACAAGATTAACTAGAACAAAAAGAAATAATTAAAAATAATCGAGAATAAATAATATAACAAATTAAAACATAAAGAGAGTCAAATAAAGAGTAAGAAGATGGATAGAGCGATTAAGTCAAAGTTTTAAAAGTATACAAAGGTTAAAAAATGGTAAAAGTAAGACCTGTTTCTACTATGAGTTTAAATGAAATATTTAATATTGATGAAAAAGTGAGAATTCCAATACAACCTTAGATTCCTCAGTCTCAAAAATAAAGAGTATATTCATCCAAAAAATAACTATTTATTAATCATAATTAGAATGAAAATATTGAAAGCAAACCCTATTAAAGTGATAGGATTAGAAATTTTTCTTCGCAACCTTAATTATAAAAAAATTAATATGATAATAGTAATATAGAACATAGACTAGTAGTTAAACTTCCATAAATAACACCACCCCTTCGTTCGATGGATAGATTACCTTAATTATCTACTAAAGATACAAAAAAAAAATTCATAATTTCTTCACTCAACGATTTGGACTAATTTTAATCTAGCAATAATCTTGATAAGAAGTCTTCAAATAATCTTCCTTCAATTGATGAATTTAAATCCCCATAATTAGCATAAAAAAATTAAAGATATGTTAATATAATGTAATACCTTTCATCAGATAAATAATAATAAAACTAACTATAAGAATTATAGTAATACCATTAAAAGTAATAATACATATTTGTATCACCTGATAAAAAGAGCTACACAAAAAAATTATTTGGTTCAGGATAATTTTCCTCTCACTTTTAAGATTAAAGATTAAATAAATTCGAAAATCCTTTTAACTCTCCTTTTAATCCTTTTTGAATTTATTACTCTTAAAAAGCCTTTAATAACTACTATATATATACATAACAAAATCATCTCATATAATTCTTATACTAAAAAATATTTCAAAATCAAGTTAAAAATAAATAAATTCAATTAATGTATTTTTATTTATGAAAATATATTTTTATATGGTACAATTTTAATTTATTAAACAAAATTAAAATACTATTGAGAATTAAATGTCAGTACTTACTTCATTTTTACTTAACTATTTTTCAAATTTTACCAAATTTATTTTAAAGAAAATACAATAAATGATAAATAGTATTTATTCATTCATTTTATTAAATTAATTTACTCATTTTAGTGTTTAAAATTCCTAATTATTTAAATTAAAATTCCTAATTTAATATTGTAAATATTTTTTGTCACTTTTTTATACAATGTGAATTAGTAGAACACATCTTTTCCTTAAAAAAAACTTTATTTACAATTTTTAAAATGAAAATATGCTAAAATTTTTAAAATTAAAAAAAATTTTTTTCGTACCCCCCCCCCCTTAATATCTATTACTAATATTAGAATGTATAAATATATGCAGAAAATGTAAATTAATTAATTTGATAAAATATTGAAATAAGTTAAGTATTTATTTTAAATTAAATATAAAAAATGCTTATTATTTTAAATCAATTACTTTAATACTATTTAAGTATTAATTTTGACCTAAATTTTGAATAAAAATACATAAATGGTTAAATCTAAATTCAAGAAATACAAAAAAGCTTTAAAATAATATATTTTTTAAGATTTAAACATTTGAAGTAAGTTTGAAAAAAATAATAGTTTTATGCGTTTTATGATTAATGTTTAAATCTTAATTTTTTAAAAATGATGCCTGTAGCATTAATTATTTAATTTATACTTTTAGTATCTTAAAATAAGCACAATAAATGATATTTTTTATTCAAATCATAAAATTTTATGGAAAATAATATTTTTATTGAAAAAATAATTAAAAAACAATAATAAATATAATCCACTGTAAAAACAAACTGATAATGGGATCTTTTCCTACTAAGAATTAAGTCATTTAAGTTAATACACCTACTTAAAAGAGCCGATCAGAGAAATGGATTAAACTGAAAGGTAAAACAAAAATATTTTATTTCATTCATTAAATTTAGAAATTAAAAATAAAATTTATTGAACTTTAAAAATTCTTTAAAAAAAGAAAGAAAAATCAATTTGCAAGAAATGATTGAGCTTGGTTAAAAAATAAATCAGCCTTTAGACTAGATACAAAAGGCAGTGAAACATATAGAAAAACAAGGAATAATCATTGAAAAAGGGCTCCTCGGATCTGGAGGAGGCGGGTTCGTCTTAAAGGCATGCAGTGAGTGGAATGACCATCTTGCAGTAAAATTAATGAAATATTCTAACCTTGAGTAATTAAAAATTAACAAGAGAGAATATGATATCTTAAAAAATATTAACTCAAAATATGTCACTAAAGTTTATTAATTCTTCACAGAATCTTATGAGTCAAACGGATACTAATTTATCGTCATGGAAAGATGCTTATGTAAATATTTAAACTCCATTCTTGTTTTATTATGATATTATTACATAAATGTGTACTTAAATATATAATTTTAAAGAATGAAATTAGTAATCGTAATATTAAATTTGTTAATTAATTTAGTCATTGATCTACTTACTATTTATTTTTTTATTTTACAAGGAAATTAATATTACTTTGAAATAAGTTATTATAGTTTGGTCAAATAATTTATTAACTTTTAAATTATTAAAATTAGATGATTTAAAGAATTATATTGCCAAAAAAATTACTTCAAAAAAGTTTCTCAGCCACTAAGATTTGTATTATCTATGTCTACAGCTTTCCAAAGGATTGCAGGAACTTCATTAAAAAAATATTATTCACCTTGATATAAAACCTGCCAACATACTTCTAGGCTTAGATTTAAAATGGAAGTACGCAGATTTAGGTGTCTCTAAGGTAGTATCAGAGTAAAGAAAACACACTAATAACTTAGTAATTAATTAATCTTTTAACTGATTTGCTGTTTATTTATATCTTACACATATATAAATTATTAATTATTAATTATTTTTTTCCTCTCCTTAAATTTAATTTATTCATCAAAAAAGATAGGACTTACAGCCCTTTATTCTTCTCCTGAATAGTATTAGCTCGCGAATACTAGTGTTACTCATAAAGTCACAAAATCTGTAATTTATTTTATAAAATGATTTTTTAAATTTTTAATTTATTTATTAAAATATTTGATAATTAAAAATAATTGATGATTTTTTCTAAAATACTTTAGAGTGATATTTATAGTCTTGGAGTAGTTTTTTTGCAGCTGACTGGAGTAGATGTTACATAAAAATGGATTATAAAAGAAAAGATTTCAGCACATAATTATGATAAGTGTCTGAATCCGTACTATGAAGAGTTCAATAACTGTATTATTAAAAAAATGATGTAATACGAAGCAAATGATAGATTATAAATTGAAGAGGTGATTGATGTTTTGAAAAGACTATAATAAAATAAAAATGAAGAGATCGTCAAACTTAAAAATTCAGCAAATTAAATTAAACATGATTCACTAGAACAACAAGAAATAGTTAAAAATAATCGAGAATAGCTAGTGTTACAAGTTAAAACACCAAGAGAGTCAGAAAGAAAGCAAAATAAAGGATAGAGCGATTTAGTCAAAGTTTTAAAAGTAGACAAAGGTTAAAGTAAGGTAAAAGTAAGACCTATTTATAATATGAGTTTAAATGAATTATTTAATATTGAAGAAGTATAAGAATATAAAATAGAGCCTTTGATTCCTTAGTCTCAAAAATATAGGATATATTCATCCAAAAAATAAATATTTATTAATTAGAATTAGAATGAGAATAATCAAAGTAAACTAAATTTAAGTGATAGGATTAATAACTTTTAATCCCAACTTTAATTATAAAAAAATTAATTTGATAATGTCAATATTGAAAAAAGACTATCAGTTAAACTTCCATAAATAACCCCTTTCCATAGTTCTTTGGATATATCACCTTAATTATCTGCTAGAAATAATTAAAAAAAAATTGAAATTGCTTCATTCAACGATTTGGATTACTATTAATCTTGCAATAATATTGAAAAGAAGTATTCAAATAATCTTACTTTAATTGACGAATTTAAATATCCTTAATTAATTTAAAAATAAAAAAATTAAAGATACGCTTATTACCTTTCATCATAAAAATAATAATAAAACTAATTGTAGGAAATATAATAATACCATTAAAAGTAGTAATACATATTTATATCACCTTGATGAAAAGAGCTTCACAAAAAATTATTTGGCTCAGGCTAACTTTGCTCTAACTTTCAAGACCAACAAAATAATTCCAAAATCTTTTTTTAGCTCTCTTAGTAATCCTTTTTGAATTTACTCTGAAAAAGCTTTTAAAAACCACTATTTATGTATAACAAAATAATCTCATAAAATTCATTTACTAAAAAATTATATATCTAAATTAATTAATAAATAATTTTTGTTTAAGGAAATATATTTTAAAATTATTTATACCCTTTTAATTTATTATAAGTTAAAGAAAATTAAAATATTGTTGATAATTAAATTCATTAGTGCATTTTTAGTAAATTTTTTTTTAATTTTGCCTAATTTATTTTAAAGAAAATATTTATTAAAGTAATTTATGAATAAATACACCATACTTCACATTTCTTGAAATTAAATTATTTAATTTACAAATATTTGCTAACATATGGTAATAAACCAATAGAATTTATAAGAAAAAGCTTTGATTTGTATGATAAAAATATTTGATTAATATAAAATTAATTTGTGTTATCCTATCTATATCAGATCTAATTATAGTTTTCTAGGATAACTATTTAAAAATAATCCTAATTCTAAAATAAAATTTATCATATATCAATTTATATCATTACTAGGGAAAGGACTATTATTTTGAAATAAGTTATTTTATTCAAATAATTTATTAATAAAATTATTAAAATTAGAGGATTTAAAGAGTTTTACTCCCAAAAAAATTAGTTAAAAAATGCTTCTTAATCACAATATTTATATTTTTTATGTTTACAGCTTTCCAAAGGCTTCACTAAAAAATATTATCCATTATTGATATAAAATCTTTCATCATTCTTCTAAGCTTAGATTTAAAATGGGTGTACGCAAATTTAGCTGTCTCTAAGGTAGTATCAAGTAAAGATAACACACTAAAAACTTAGTAAATAATCATTTAACTGCTTTACTGTTTATTTATATTCTAAGCTTACCAAAATTTCAAATTATTAATATTTTTTTCCCTCTCCTTAAATTAAATTTATTCATCAAACATATAGGATTTACAGCCTTATATTCTTCTCCTAAATATTATCTGCTCATGACCACTAGTTTTACTCATAAAGTAACAAAATCTGTAATTTATTTTATAAAATGTTTTAAAAACTTTTTAATTTACTTATTCAAAAATTTGATAATTAAAAATAATTGATCATTTTTTTCTAAAAAACTTTAGAATAGATTTTTATAGTCTAGGAGTAGCTTTTCTACAGCTAACTAGGGTTAATGTTACTTAGAAATAAATTATTAAAGAAAAGATTTCAGTATATAATTATTATAGAAGTCTAAATTCATATTAAGAAGAGTTCAATAACTATATTATTAAAAAAATGATGTAATATGAAGCAAATGATAGATTATAAATTGAAGAGGTGATTGATATTTTGAAAAGACTATAAAAAAATAAAAATGAAGAGCTCGCCAAAATAAAAAATCCAGCAAATTAAATAAAACAAGATTTAATAGAACAAAAAGAAATAATTAAAAATAATCAAGTATAGCTACTATTACAAGTTAATATATCAAGAGAGCATGATAAAAAACAAAAAGAAGGATAGAGTCATTAAGTCAATTTTCTAAAAGTAAACAAAAGTTAAAAAATGGTAAAATTAAGACCTGTTTATGATATGAGTTTTATGTATTAATTAATATTTGTGAGAAATAGAGAAATCCAATAAATGCTTCTACTCCTCAGTCTCAAAAATAAACGGTAATTTTTCCAAAAAATAACTATTTATTAATCAGAATTAGAATGAGAATATTGAGTGCAAACCCTATTAAAGCGATAGGATTAGAAATTTTTCTTCGCAACCTTAATTACAAAAAAAATAATCTAATAAAAGCAATATAGAACATAGACTAGTAGTTAAACTCTCATAAATAACACCACCCCTTGGTTCGATGGATGGACTACCTTAATTATCTACTTAAGATACTAAAAAAAAATTTATAATTCCTCCACTCAACGATTTGGACTAATTTTAATCTAGCAATAATATCGAAAAGAAGTCTTCAAATAATCTTCCTTCAATTGATGAATTTATATCCCCATAATTAGCTTAAAAAAATAAAAATATGTTAATATGATGTAATACCTTTCATCAGATAAAATAATAATAAAACTAACTATTAGAATTATAATAATACCATTAAAAGTAATAATACATATTTGTATCACCTGATAAAAAAAGTTATACAAAAAAATTCTTTGGTTCAGGCTAACTTTCCTCTCACTTTTAAAATTAAAGATTAAATAAATTCGAAAATCCTTTTAGCTCTCCTTTTAATCGTTTTTGAATTTATTTACTCTTAAATATTCTTTAATAACTACTATATATGCATATACATATAGTTAATTTAATTGTGATTTAAAATAATTTAATATTATCTTTTAACAATTTTTATAGGTTTCTTTTTTTTCAAAAGAAATAATCATTACTTGACAAAAAATTTAAAATTAATTTAATATTTTAAAGAAATAATTAAATTTTAGTCCTAAAAAATTCATGAAAATAAAATCATTTTTAAAATAAATAGTATTTTTAAAATAAAAAATTGGTCTAAAAATAGACAATTTATATCAAAAAAGTTAAATCGATTATTTATTAAAGTAGTTTGGGAATAAAAAAATAAATAAATATATTATAAGTCATATTTTAGAAATTAAATTGTATAATTTAAAAATAATTGCTAATATTTGACACTAGATCAATATAATTTATAAAAAGTATTTTTGATTTGTGTTATCAAATTTTATTTGACATAATATAAAATTAAATTGAATGAATAGATCTTATTTATATTAGATATAATTATAGTTTTCAAGGATAAATATTATAAAAATAATCCTAATTCTAAAATAAATTTTTTGAATATCAACGTTTACTTTAATTGCTATTGCTAGTATTAGAATGTATAAATATGTGGCAAAAAATGTAAATTAATTAGATAAAATATTGAAATAAGTTAGGTGTCTATTTTAAATTACAAAAAAAAATTCTTTTTATTATTATAAATTAATCTCTTTTATATGACTTAAGTATTTGTTTTTACCTAAATTTTGAATAAAAATACATAAATGGTTGTATCTAAATTCAAGAAATACAAAGAAGAATAAAAAATAATACATTTTTAAGGGTTTAGACATTTGAAATAAGTTTGAAAAAAATGATAGTCTTATGCATTTTATGATTAATGTTGAAATCTTAATTTTTAAAAATAATACCTGAAGTTTGTTTTAATTATTTAATTTATACTATTAGAACCTTAAAAAAAGCATAATGATATTTTTAGTTAATTAAAATTTTAAAGAAAATAAAATATTTATTAAAAAAAAAACTTAAAAAGCAATAATAAATTTATATCTACTGAAAATACAAACTGATAATGGGATCTTCTGCTACTAAGAATAAAGCCATTTAACTTAATACACCTACTTAAAAGACCCCATCGGAGAGATGGATTAAACTGAATGGTAAAACATAAAATATTTTATTTCATTAAATTTAGAAATTAAAAAAAATAATTTACTCAACTTGAAAAATTCTATAAAAAAGAAAGAAAAATGAATTTTCAAGAAATGACTGAGCTTGGCAAAAAAATAAATGAGCCTTTAGACTAGATAGAAAATGCAGTCAAATATATAGAAAAACAAGGAATTATAATTGAAAATGGGCTCCTTGGATCTGGAGCAGGCGGGTTCATCTTAAAGGCATGCAGCGAGTGGAATGACCATCTTGCTGTAAAATTTATGAAATATTCTAACCTTGAGTAATTCAAAATTAACAAGAGAGAATATGATATCTTAAAAAAACTTAGCTCTAGATATGTCACTAAAGTTTATTCATACTTCATAGAATCTTACGAGTCAAACGGATATTAATTTATTGTCATGGAAAGATGCTTATGTAAATATTTAAAATCCATCCTTATTTTATTATGATATAAAAGTCTACTTAAATATATAATTTTAAAGAATGAAATTACCAATCTTAATATAAAATTTGTTAATTAATTTGGTAATTATCTACTATTTTTTTATTTATTTTACTAGTGAATTATTATTACTTTGAAATAAGTTATTATAGTTTGGTCAAATAATTTATTAACTTTTAAATTATTAAAATTAGATGATTTAAAGAATTATATTGCCAAAAAAATTACTTCAAAAAAGTTTCTCAGCCACTAACATTTGTATTATCTATGTCTACAGCTTTCCAAAGGATTGCAGGAACTTCACTAAAAAAATATTATTCACCTTGATATAAAACCTGCCAACTTACTTCTAGGCTTAGATTTAAAATGGAAGTACGCAGATTTAGGTATCTCCAAGGTAGTATCAGAGTAAAAACAACACACTAATAACTTAGTAATTAATTAATTAATTAATCATTTAACTGCTTTGCTGTTTATTTATATCTTACACATTTCTAAATTATTAATTATTTTTTATCCTTTCCTTAAATTTAATTTATTCATCAAAAAAGATAGGACTTACAGCCGTTTATTCTTCTCCTGAATAGTATTAGCTCGCGACTACTAGTGCTAATCGCAAAGTCACAAAATCTGTAATTTATTTTTTTTAATGTTTTTAAAATTTTTTAATTTATTTATTAAAATATTTTATAATTAAAAATAATTGATAATTATTTCTAAAATACTTTAGAGCGATATTTATAGTCTAGGAGTAGTTTTTTTACAGCTGACTGGAGTAGATGTCACATAGAAATGGATTATAAAAGAAAAGATTTCAACACGTAATTATGATAGGTGTCTGAATCCTTACTATGAAGAGTTCAATAATTGCATTATAAAAAAAATGATGTAATACTAAGCAAATGAAAGATTATAAATTGAAGAGGTGATTGATGTTTTGAAAAGACTTTTAAAAACTAAAAATGAAGAGATCTCCAAGCCTAAAAATTCAGATAATTAAATTAAACAAAATACACTAGAACAACAAGAAATAAAAAAATAATATCTAAAAAATCTATTACTAAAAAAATTTATTTCAAAATCAGGTTATACATAGTAAATTAGTACTTAGTATAATATTTATTAATGAAAATATGTTTTTATATAACTTTTATCATTTTAATTTATAAAAAAAATTGGAAATTAAAATTTAATACTTCATTTTTACTTAAATATTTTTAAAAATTTTGTCTAATTTATTTTAAAGAAAATGTAATATATGATAATAATCATATTGTGAATATTAGCTGTTACTTTGTTACATTATTTTGAATGAGAACAACACATTTTTTCTTTGATTTATAAAATTTTATTTACAACTTTTAAAATGAAAACATGCAGTTTATACTTTTTTTATTAAATAAAAGTAAAAGTGATAAAAAGTTTAGTTTAAATTGCTATATGCAAGGAAAATTAAAAATATATATCAAGTTATTTCAGAATTTTTATTACATATTTATTACTCATTTTCACAAGGAATAATAGGTACATATCAAATGTCTTTATATAAATTTTATTACTATTTATTTATTAATAGAGCATTTTAGTTTTATTTATTGGTAATTGCAATTATTTTTATTTTAATAGAATAGCAAAAATGAATTTCATCTATATTATAAAAATTTTTTTATTGATTTTTAATTTCTCATCAGATCAAAACTGCTATTTACTCTTGAATAGTAACTTCTTAGTAAATTTGAATTTTTATAATAAAAAATTTAGTTAATTAATTGATAGCGCTTCAAAATAATTTAATATTATCTTTCAATTATATTTGTTGATCTATTATTTTCAAAAGAAATAATCATTATTTAAAAAAATTTTTTAATTAATTTAATGGTTTTTATATATAATTCAATATTAGTTCTAATAAGAAATGATAAAAATTTTTAATTAATTTAATGGTTTATAGAAATAATTCAATACTAGTTCTAAGTAATGCTAAAAATTAATGAAAATATAATCAAAATTCATTTATTTTCTAGAACTGAATAAAATAGTTCTAAATTTATCATTAAAAAATTAATTATTTTTTTTGGAATGCTCACTTAATTTTCTGAGGTTTTGAGTATAGTTTGTTGTTTTATTACACTATGAAATGTTATTAAATGCTTTTTTTAATTAAAGTATTTCTTAATAATTTTTTTGCAAATATTTATTGATTAATTATTGAAAAAATAAAAATAAAAAAATAAACTCCGATTTAGCTGCCAAAAAATAAAAAATGAGTGATTATTATTCTTATAAATAAATAAATACTGAATAAACAACTTAAGAATCTACAACCCCTTAGAGTTAGAAATGGCTCCAAATAAAAAGTATAGATAATCAAACCATTAAAAAATTTAAATTTTAATATTATAACCATTTCTTATTTCAAAAAAACAAATATAGGCGAAAGACAAATAAATCAAAACTAAATACTAGCACTGTGCACAAAAATTTAACAACCATATGAACAACTCAGCCTTGCTTTTAAATATTTGCAAGAAAAGGGTATTTTTATAGAAAATGGATTAATGGGATAAGGAGGGAGTGCTTTTATTCTAAAAGCTTTTAGTGAATGGAACTTATCTTTGGCTGTGAAGTTTATTAAGTTAAACCAAAATTAATAAAATCAAGAAGACTATAAAAGAGAATATGAAATTTTGAAAATTTTTAATTCTCCTTATATTTTAAAGGTTTTTACCTTCTACAACAAATCTAATAGTAAAAACTTAAGTTACCAAATAATTGTTATGGAGAGATGCAAATGTAATTCCTATTTATCAATTTATTTAATTTTTTTGGATTTTTCAGATTTTTATTTATGGTGGAATTTGAGTAGTTAAATTAATATTCCCAAAGTTAAGTACACAAACGATTCATTTATTTATTTATTAATTTACCCAAATATTTAAAGATGACTTGAGAAGATATATAAACAAAGTAATTTATCCTTAGCAGTCAGATAATCTGTTGAATATTTATCTCTTGTCTCTTTAATTAGCTAAAGGTTTACAAGTGCTTCATTAAAATAACATCATTCATCTTGATATTAAACCTGGAAATATCCTTTATGGCTATGATTAAAGTTGGAAATTTGCAGATTTTGGAATAGCAAAAGTAGTTTCAGATGACAGAACTTTTACCAATCAACTTGTAATTAATATTATGCTATTTACTAAACGACATTTATTTTTTAAAAAAACTAATTAAGTAAGGATTTACTATGAGGTATTCATCTCCAGAGCAGTATCTTTTAGCAATGGGAGTTCCTTCTACCATAACCAGGGCTGTAAATCTTTTTATTAATTTAGACTTTTGTAATTAAATTAAATAGTTTACATTTTGATCAGAAATCTCCCTGATATAAAATATATTTAATCTTTTTATACAACCCAACCAAAATAGAGTGATGTATATAGTCTTGGTATTATTTTCCTAGAGTTAACTGGTGTAGATATTACTCAATAATGGATAGTGGAACAAAAATCATGTGCCTTAGATTTCGATGAATACCTAAACCCACAATTTGAGAGATTTAATTCTATGATAGTAAAGAAAATGATCTAATTTAAACCAGAGAACAGAATATCTTTATAAGAAGTTATTCAAATATTAAGTGCATTCATAACTTAATAAATTTCTTTTACAAAAAAATTAATTAATCCAATGGTCAAAGGTTATAAAATCTCTATACCTGTCAAGCCAATAGTTAAAGCCCCTTAAGAGGAAAAGCCATAGTCTAAATCAGAATTAACTAATATCAAAGAAGCTGATCCTAATAAAGAATAGTCATAATAACAATTATAATAAATACCCTTAGAAGATAAACAATAGCATATATATTTAAAATAATCTAAAAGATCTTTTCATAACCATATTGAAATATCATAAAATGAACTTTCTAATAGTCCGAGAAGATTAAGGTCTATTCATAGATCGATGGATTATATCTTATCAGAAAGATCGAATAGCCTTTATGACAAAAAGCACTTATTGATGTAAGAAATAGAAAATAAAAACTAGTTAAAACTTAAATTAAATGAAATTCCTTCAAAAAATATTTAGAAGAGTTCACCATAAAATGTAAATCTAAACATAGTGAGAAAAATTGGTGATCAAAACACACCACTAAAATAAGATTAAATAAGTAAAGTGAGTAATCTAAATTAAATAATAAAACAAAATTTCTCATAATCTAAAATTAACTTTAAATAAAATGCCTAATTTAAATTGAAATTGAAATAATAATTATTAAATTCTTAGTAATAGAGCCCAGCATATTTGTTTTAAAAACAATAAAATCCAAACAAATAGTTTGAATTCTCTAAGGCATTAAAAGATATATAATTCAAATCTCCTTAGTAAAAAAATTTTTTTGTCACTCCTATTGATTAAATGTATAAAAAATAATGAATAATCTTTGTTATATAGTTAGTTATAATACAAAAAATATTATTGTATAAATAAGACAATGTTTTATAAATCAAAAAACATTTATTGATTGTTGTACATTTTTGTTTTGTTATTCTTTCTTATCCGAATATAATTTAAATAAAAAGTTAATTATTCTTATGATTTATTCTTATCAAAAAAAAACTTCTTTTTCTACTAGATTTCTGATTGCGATAATAAATTTTGATATTTTAATATGCGGTTTATAATTTTGGAGATTGATTAACAACTTTTTTATTCATTTTAATAACTATTTAAATAATCACTAATATTTGTTTGTAGATTAAATTTCTAAATGATAAGATAATTACTTATGAAAGATGATCAAATAATAATAAGCTATTTTAACTTTCTAAATAATTAACCACTTTGAACAAAGAGTTAAATTTTATTACTTGAAATATTCTTTTATATTCATTAAATTTAGTATTAAAAATAATTATTCTACACGATTATTACATCATTTTTTAAATAATGTAAATTTTCATATATTGGTCACCTCAATTTCAGTTTGGATGCATCACTTAAGGGCCTTTATGACCTTATCAAATCAAATTACAAATTTTTTAAAAACTGGTCTTAATTTATAAGTATTTACAGTATTTTATAAGGCATAAAAACAAAAAAAACAAATTTATTACTATAACTAATGATTTTTTTATTTTTATTTAAAAGAATAAATTTAAGCAAGTGTAAAATAAAAATAATTAATGTAAGATACAAGCAAAATACAAAATAGAATAGAAGGTAATTTCAAATAACTAATATATACAACTCAAAGAATATTCTAATCCAATTTAACATTTAAATAAAGCATAATTACATCATTTTGCAAATAATTTTTAAGAAATTGGCTTAGAAGAATTAATTTGATTAACATACATTTCTAAGAACAAATTTAAGCAAATGTTTAAATAAATAATTAATTATATTTTTTGTATATATTAATTAAAATTGAAGAAGATTTATTATTATTATCAAAGAATTTTCAAAACCAATTTAAAATTGTATTCTAGTAAAAACAATCTAATCTGAATCAAATTATTTATTTTATAGTAGATTAAATTTTTTGATATTAAAAATAAAAATAAATTTTTTTTATTTAAATTATATTTAAGAATTTCAATCATATGATTTAGAACACTCATTTTTTTGTAAAAATTGTAACTGTTACATTTGATTTTAATTTATTAATAAATATTATTAAAATTTAAATTCCAAAATATGAAAAATATTTTATGATTATTTAATCAAGATATAATATTTTTAAACTGTTTTTATTAACTTAATTATATTTAAAAAAATAAACATAAATATTTTTATTTTATTTATTATGTTTATTGTTAATTGCATAAATATTTAAAGTATGGCTTTTAAGAAAACCATTAAAAAATTAAGGTTATTGTTAGAACATAAATAAATATATAAAATACAACAAATTATTGACTTTGTTATGACTTTTAAAGTAATAAATTTGTAAAGAAATGTAATAAATGTTTCGATAATTTGTTTTCCTTAAAATTAAATAATTAATTTTCCTCTAGTATTACAGATTGATAATTTTTTAAGGAGAAAAACTAATTTATGTTTTTGCGTGGCTATAATTTAATGGGGAAATGAAAAAGAATGATAAGAAATTAATAATTAAAAATCAAATAATAATTCAGTCTCAAAGATATGATTTAAAATCAGCCAGTTTGGTTATATTTGATTTGAAAAGTAAATCGGTGGAGATATTTTAATCAAATTGAGATATTAATAGTACTGATTTTGAATAAATAAATAATAATACTTCTAAGAAGATATACCTTGAATTTAATCATATAAGGTGTTGATCTATATTATATTTTGCGGGGGAAGATATTACAGAAATTAAATGATTATTATTTTTCGATAAACTTGATATTTTCATCAAAAATCACAAACACTATTTAAATTTTAATCAATGCACCTTTTTTTTTCAAAATTATAATTTTTTAGGTATACATTTATAAGGTTTAAATTTAAAATGGTGTCAACAAATAGATATAGTGCATTTTGCATAATTTTAAAATTAATTATAAAATCTCTCTTTTTTTAAAGAAGATTTAAATATTTCAAAAACTCTAAATTAATTCACAAAAAAATGTATTTTTTATCTCTGTCTTAGTTTGGTAAATCAATCACCATTTATTCTCAAAAAAATATGATGAAGAGTTTTTGTATATAAGCTATTATCAAGCTTAAGCTCGCCAATTTAATTGAATTTTAAATCAAATATTCTACCATTTAATGCATAAATTTAAGTTTTAGGTTTTTTGTGATGACTGTAGATTTGGAAAAGTTGTATTAAAATCTCCATTTTTGGTTTAAATAAAATGAATGAAATAAGTTTCTTAATTTGTAGGAGAAAGGTGTGATTTCTGTCTTGAAAAGTGAATTTCATATTGATTTTAATGCGTTGTATTAGTGATAGCATAACAATAAAAATAAGTACGTTTTTTTTGCAATTTTTAAGAATTGAATAAAAAAATGAGAATTTAGAATTAATATACTTTTCAAAGTAATAGGATAAGATAGAAAAGAAAATGCAATCTTATTAATTGACAATAAAAGAATATAAAATATGTTTTTTTTCTTTTTTTCTGTTGTTTGAATTTTGTATGGCCATCTAAATTTTCAAATTGTTTTAATTAGAATGTAACATACTCACAGAAATAGTAGGTTGATCCAATAATAAATTGATTACTAATTTATGGAGTTGAAGCAAACAAATGTAATATGATAATAATTGATTGATATGAATTTTAATAATCTTACATTTAGAAGACTTGTAGTAAATTCATAAAAAATGCTTGATCTAATTTTTTAAACTAATAATTTTTTTATGTACCAATACTTTACAAAAATACACTAAATCAAAAACAAACAATAATATTAAACATTAAAAAGAAAAATTAAATACTAATCTAACTTTTATACTTCAAACTAATGGGTTAAGAGCAAGCTAAGCCTACCAGGCAAATTAACCAACATAATAATAATAAATAAATTAAATCATGTAATGCATTCGAAGATAATAACGATCCAGCTAGTCCCTTAAAAGCTAAATAAAACAGTAAACATTCTTAAAAACTCTAACCTTAATAATATAATTCATAATATTTATTTTAAATTATTAGATAATGCTACTCCTAGTATTAAAGACCTTTAACAATAAATGGGATTAGATGATAGTGAGATCCTTGAGATTATCGATTATCTCAAAAAAAGCAAATATTTTTTGGATTAAACCATTTTAGGTAAAGGAGGAAATGGTTACGTTTTAAAGGGAATTGACGCATTTAACTACAAAGTAGCAATTAAGGTATTAAAGTGCGAAACAGAAGAATAATATCTATAAAATTAATATGAATATGAAAACATGAAACAGTGTAATTCAAAATACGTAGTAAAAGTTAAAGATTTACTGCATTATCACAATAGTAAATCAAGTATCTAATTCCTCATAATGGAGCGCTGCTTAAGTAATAATTTAACAATATAAATAGCTAATTTTTAAACATTCTTCATTGATTAATTGATTCATGAATTCATTCAAAATTCAAAGTTTGAATGATGATGTGTATGGATAAAAAATAAATGTAGGTACTTTGTATCTATAATATTTATTTATTAATTTAATTCTATTTACAAGAAACAATAACCAATAGAAACTTTTAGTTTATAGATGTTTGTTATTAATCTTCTTGAAAATATCAATTAATAAATTCCCCAATATTTCCCTCCCCATTCACTCTTAGGTGTTATCTCTTGTTATTTCTTAATTAATTAAAAACAAACCATACATCGATTATTTCAAAGATAGTTTATTATCCATAGACTTCTTATTTTTACTTATATAATACAATTTCATTACATTTAAATAGTATTTAATGATTTTTTTTGACATTTTTTTTTTCTATTTTAAAGCTGATTTGAAGCAATTTATGAAAGATAAACTTGCAAATAACATATGGATGTCTAAAAAATATATTTATGAGACATGTTTATAGCTAGTTCTCGGTTTAAAAGCTATACATAATAAAAATGTTTTACATCTTGATATTAAACCAGCAAACCTTCTTCTTGGACTCGATCTTAAATGGAAATACAGTAAAAAATTATTTTTAATTGATATTTTGTCTTTTTTAGAGAAATTTTCAATTTACACATTTTTAAATTGAGATAAGCAGAATAAGCAGAGAATTAAAAATTTACCACAAATGAAATTTAATTTTCTAAGCAATTATTTAGCATCTTATAATTAATATCTTTTTATCAAAAGCCGATCTTGGAGTATCTAAAAATGTTGATGATGAGCGTGACCATACTGTTAATCTAGTAATTAATTATTCTCTTTAAACAAATTATATTTAATTTTTAGCTGAATCATACCCAAATTTATAAATTCCACTTAATTTATTTTCCTAATCTATTCTTAATTAAATTAGAAAGGTATCACTGCTTGCTATTCATCACCAGAACAATATTAGCTTTACCAATTTTAGAGCAACAAAAAAATAACAAAATAGGTAATTTATTTATTTTAAATGTCATTTTATATCATTTTAAAAATAAAATATTCTCAATTTGACATAACATATTTTTATTATTTAATATGTTTGTTATCAACAAAGTTTAAACAAATAATTAAAAATTCAAATAAATAAATCAATCAATCAAAGAATCTTTCAATAAATATATAATTTTAATAGACGAGATAAATTATATTTAAGAGATATCAAAATAAATTTGTGTTATTTTATCTAAATTTTCAATAATTTTACTTAAATAAATAGTGTGATATTTACAGTCTTGGTGTAGTTTTTATGGAACTGACTGGAGTTGACATTCGTAAAAAATGGGTTATTAAACAAAAGATTAGATAAAAACCATTTGATAAATATCTTAATCCTGAATTTTAAGAGTTTAATGATGCTGTTCTTAAAAATATGATGTAATATAACGCAAACTAACGTATATAGCTCGATGAACTTGAAGTTATTCTAAAGAATTTAATAAATTAAGAAAATAAATAAAGTGATTCACAAGAAAGTACTACTTAAGACGATGCTACACGTAAATCTGTTGTATTTTTAGTTGAAGAATCCTCACCTTCTAAACGCGTAAAATCCATACACAAAAAAAGTTTCAGTGTATCAGAAGACAAATTTTAGGATTAGTAAGCTTCTAATTCAGCTGCAAACGGTCCCTCATAGATCTATTAGATATAAAAATCAGGTAATTAATCTCCTTCTAAAAGAATCATAATTCCTATTGAAAAAATTCAGTCATATAATTACTCAAAGAATGTTGGTGATTCTCCTGAAAACTCTCCTTTAAAAAAGCGTACCACTAAAATAATAACTCGTTAAGTTGGAGGATCTAAGACTCCTTTATCAAATAAATAATCTGAAAACATTTACATGACAGGAATGAGCTTAACTCCTAACAAGCAAAGAAATTCTTAACAAAACATTCCCGATTAATAAGAAATATTTACCAAATAAAACTTTAACCCTGCAAGGAGAGCTGTATCAATGCATTAAAACTAAGAAATGCTTCCTCCAATTTAAGGAATAAACAGAATTTAACAAATGAATAATAATGCCTATAATAATTCTCCCTCTCCCATCTCATTTATGAAAAGGTCTTTTATACAATAACAATAATAAAACATACCTGTTTAAATGGTAAGCAGCTAATTAGTGTAAAATAGTTCAAGCTAATCTCCAATCAACAAAAATAAAAAAGCTAGCAGCAAAAGCTTTTCTTAAAAAATAATTATTCCTAAAAAACTGATTCCTGGAAATTTTAATGGAATAATGATGACTAAAAATTAATTTGACTAACAATTCTTAGTGAGCAATTGATTTAATTAATCACTTCAAAATTAAACAAAAATGTTTCTTCGAAATTGACTTCAAAATAATTCTCAAACTTCCAACAAATAATTAATAATTAAAATTAATGAACAAATACTAAACAAATAAATAAACAAATAATAAATATATATATTTGATTTACCTCACTAACTTATAAATATTCATAAATGAATAAATAATTAATCAATTAAAAAAAAAACATTCTTATCCTTTTATTCTTATACTCTTTATTAGTATTACTGTATGTTTTAACTGAGTTTTTAAATAAATTCAATTAATTGCAATTGTCCTAAAAATAAATAAATAAATTAATTTATTAATTAATTTAATATTTATGTAAGTAAATTTATTTATTTTTTATATTAAAATTAAAAACTACTTTTATTTTTGTGATAATTTGTAATTTTTTTTATCTGAAATACTTTACATTTTTAGCATTTTCAGTGAAACCATGTGATTCTATTATTTTATTAAATGCATCAACTGGTAAAGCATATTTTAATTTTATGATGGTGTTAAGTCTATGAATTAAAAATAGATCAAAATAAGATAAATTAATAATTTAAAATTTATTAAATAAATTAGACAGATAATTAGTACAGTCGATATAGCTATTATAATAACTCTATATTGATTTATACATTATTTCAATTAAATTTACAAGCAAAATTAATATGATTTTTTTAAAATCTAAAAAAAAAAAAATTAAATTATTAACATTTTTAAATTGGAAAACAAAATTTCTTTAAAAATTAAATTGGTAGCATTTTTACAATGATGGTAAATCTTTAATACATTTCAAGTATTAATTTATCAGTAATTTAATGATTTATCTTAAAATTTACTATCCATTAAAATTGTTCATTATTTTTAATTCAAGCCTGAAACTCTTTTTTTATTCTGATTCATTGAACAAACTAGTTGATTACAAAAAATTATATTGAGGTATCAATTTTAATTATTAAAAAATTTACACAAATAGTTTAAACAAATAGAATACTTTAAAGATTAAAAAAAAAAAAACTTGAAATGGGAGCAGTAGAAAGTTAGCAGCAAGACAAAGCTTTGACAAATGGTAATTACATTATTAAAATTATTTGATAAGTCTTTTTAAAAGATGGTAATCGAACTATTTCAGATTTTTACATTCAACAATAATATTTTTATCTTCTTAAAAAAGTGACTGATAGTGTTTTGCTAGATAGAGTATTCTTAAAAAAAATAGCTTTAAAGCTAAACATTTAAGAAGCTGAAGCTCAAGATATTAAAGAGTATCTTAATTAAAAAGGCTACACGTTTTCAAATAGGCTATTAGGAAAAACCCCATCAACTAAAATACTCAGAGCACTGAATAAATAAGGTAAAAGTGTGGCTATAAAAATACTTAAATGCAACAGTATGAAAGATTATGAAAAGAATCAAAATGAGTTTAAGTTAATGAAGCTATTTAACTCTGATTACATCATAAAAGTTCAAGAGTTACTTGAGTATAGAACATAAGATAAGCTACTACATTTTCTTATCATGGAGAGGTGTTTATGTAATTCTTAATAACTTAAATATTTGTTTGATAGACTAAAACTTTTTTTGAATAAATGCGTTTAAAACCAAAAAAAATTCAATTAAGAATAATTTCTACATCTTACGTAAATTAAACGCAGAAGTCTATGATTTCAATATTATAAATATTATAAGTAAAAATATTGATTCAATAATAGATTTATTCATTCAAAATAAGACTCAACTCCACAAACTTAATAAAATAGTTTTTAATGTAATTTTAAAAATAATAAATAGATGATCTCCATTCATAATTAATGCTGATGACTGTTAATCAAAGTCATCCAGATATTTACAAAATTTGCTTAGATTTGATAAGAGGACTGTAAGATATACACAATAAGAATACAGTTCATTTAGATATAAAGCCCCATAATATTGTACTTGGAGCAGATAATAAATGGAAGTTTATTGACATGGGGATTTCGAATCAGCTAAGCACTAATGATGGATATGTTTCAAAATTAGTATAAATTTTATTTTTTTATTTATGTCTAAGTGTTATGAAATCTGTCAAACTTACAATTTATTTATAATTTTATTAATAGAAAGGATTAACTTTAAACTATTGTTCTCCTGAATAATATTAACAATTCTATGGTATTAACAAAGTCAAAGCTACTAAATCTAGTGATACATTCAGTTTAGGTCTAGTCTTTCTAAAGCTAACAGGAGTAACTATCCCTAAATCGGATGTTGAAAAATCCAAATAAGAAAGCTACAACTATGTTAGCTTTTTTAATCCTAAGTTTCCAGAGTTGAATATTATTATTAATCAAATGCTTTCTTAAATTCCAGATCAGAGGCCTTAACTGATAGAAATAGAAGAAAATCTTAAAAAGATTATAAAGTCATCTACTTCATCTAATAATCTCTCACCACTAAAATAACATAGAAAAAATAATTCGTCGGTTACTGTACCCATACCTATGAAATCAATATAAAATCCAGTAAATTAGGATGTCGAAAGCAGTTTCTTTGACTATAAAAAGCTTACACCTCTAAAATTAAGAAAGGAGGCATAATTTGATAAGAAGAATACCTCATTTGATATGATTGATAAAAACATGTTATCTCCTGTTAAATCTTCTTTAAACCTTCCAAAAATGAGCCAGTCTGATTAAAGAAAATAAAATTCTTCATAAATTAATCTAAATAAACATCCAAACATATAAAAATTTGCTCTCCCATAGATCTAGCAAAGATCCTCAGTCCAAAGTGTATTCTAGAGTGCATATATTTCTAAATGAACTAATGAATGAATGGACTTACTTAACAAATAAATACATAAAAATGAATAATTTAAACAACCTCTTCTTAAACCCATCTTGACTCTTCAACTTTAAACTGCTACTGCAGTTTAACTAATTAATTAATAACAATAAGTTAAAAACCTATTATATAAATAAATATTTTTCCATTTTAAAAACTGTAAATATATTTATAGTTTTATAAAAGTATCTTGATATCTATTTTTAATATTTATTTTTTGTTATAACTATTAAGAAATCAATTTTTTAAACAAATCTAAAGCTAATATAATATTGAGCGACCTAAGATTAAAATTATTTTTACAACTAACCAGTAATATTGCAGTATAAATGATAAAATAAAAGTATTTATTGTAACCAAGGTTGAATAATTAATTAAAAAAAAAAATATGAGAAATTCTTTATCAAGTTACATTATACTAAATGATATTTTTATAAAAGTTTAATGAATAAAGCTTAAGATAGATTACAATAATTAAAAAATATCAATAGCTAAATATAAAAATACCTATATATCTTTGCGATTTTTTTAATTTTGAATTGGGGTAAATAAACTAAATTACTTAAGTTTTAATGCTTAAATTTTTTGGTTATACTTAGATTAAAATTATTAATTAAATATAAACTTTAACTAAAATTTTTTTGGCTTGCTAGTTTATTTTCATGCAGTATTTTAAATATTTTATATTTTTTTTTTTTTTGATGAACGCCTGATAAGGCTCCCTAAAAATCCAATCAAGCCTTTAGTCAATTATAGTTTATTGTGAAGAACTAATATTTAAATAATGAAATTATAATTTTTTACCAACAAATACACTTCTTTATTTAATATTGTAAATTTAGGTGATAAATTATTTTTTTATTATTGCAAAATAACAACTTATTATTCATCTTAAAGATTTTAAAATTCTCAAAAAAATGGCATAAGCTTAAAATTAAAGTTAGAAAAAGGTGAAACCTATCAGCAATACTAGTTATGTTATTGATTTCAGAGAAAATCCTATTGCTAAGGGTTCTTTTGGATAGATTAGGAGGGTTTATGACTTAGAAAATACTTAAAAAAAGCTTTGCTGCAAAATAATATCTATTAAAGATTTTAAAAATTTACAATCAGCATTAAATGAACTGAGAATAATAGAGCAACTACCTTAAAACAAAAACTTGGTAAGTTTTGAAAAAATAAAATTTAACACATAAGAAGATATGTATTTTATTATGGAGTACTGCGAAGGAGGAAATCTTTAAGATTATATTTATAATAATGACTATCTCAGTGAAATAGAGATACAAGATTTTTTATATCAATTTGTTTCAGGTTACGCAGATTTACACAGTCATAACATTTTGCATAGAGATTTAAAGCCTGAAAATATTTTAATTCATAAAAAGTAATACAAAATTGCTGATTTTGGTCTCAGCACAATTTTAGAGTTTAAAAACTAAAAAGTTGAGGGCCTAGGTAAACAAATTGATTAATTATTTATTTATTTTTATTATAAAAAACAAATTTATTCTTCTTTTGGCTAATATCAATATTATGTATTAATGTAGGTAATTTATTAACTAGAGCGCCAGAGCTTTATCCTATGCATTTGAGAGACTAGATGTTTAAAGATAATAAGGATTATTCAAAGGTAATAAGATTAAGTTATTATATATTATTAAATTATATAACTAATAAACAGATTGATATGTTTAGTTTAGGAGTAATTCTTTACAATTTAGCATATAAAGAAGATAGCCATCCTTATGTTGGAACTATTAGATCACTCTTTGGCAATAATTTTTAAGGTGATCAAAGTATACACTTCTGTAAATCTGTAAATGCATCGAAGCAAATAGTATTTCCTCCTTTTCCACCTCGCTCAGAATAATTATAAAATATAATCAAAAAATTATGCCAAAAAGATGTTAACCAAAGAATGAGCTTTGATGAACTAATATAATGCGACTATATTTTTGATATCAAGCCAGTACAAGAGAATGAATCTCAGTTAAATATCTTTGACTCAAAAATTTAAAGTGAGAGTGACTCCATTTTAAAGCTTACTTAAAGATAAAGTTATCGACAAACAATTTATCCATAACCAGAAATTCGTCTTATTTCTCAATTTTTTTATGAAATGGATTTATAAAATAATTTAAATTAATCAGATATCTAAAACAGTTCAAAAAGTAAAATCTTATTCGATGAAAACGATGATTTAAATTAAACCTCAATAAAGATTATGAGTGAAATAGAAGAATAAGAACTACAAAAACAATTAGATTAAATAGAAGAAGAAAATAGGAGAAATGATAAATAAAATGAAGAAACCTTTGCAATTTTTGATAAGTGTTTATATTTAAGACAGATTGTTTTTTTTTTTGATAAAGTTTAGCTGCACTTAGACGCATTTATTAAGATGCTTGAAAAAAAAATCAAACCTCTTAAAAAAATATAAAATATTGACCTTTATATAAAAATATTCTAAGACCTGAGGATTACATGTGCTCTTGAATCAAATAATAGAAACGAAACTATTTATATGTAGTTAGAAAACTACTATCCAAAAAGTAGTATTTATAATTTCAAATTAACTCCAGAATGTGTAAAATTCGAATAGCTAAGATGCCAAGATGAATATTAATTAATCACAATTATAAAATAAATACAATAATAGAATCAATAAAATATAAAATTAACTGAAAATTTAACTTTAAAGGCTTTTTATACATTCTAAGAAATATTTGAACTGTTTGAAAACTTGGATGAATAGCAATATAAATTTGAAAAAAAGCAAACACTCATTAATTATTGGTATATCTATCAGATAAACCGATTTTTAAATTGTCTCTCTTTTTTTTGCAACTCTCCTTCTTTTGAAAAAAATACAAATAAATTCCATTAGTACTATGAATTAATTGATCACTATTTAACTATAGATGAATTAAGATATAAAATATTAGAAGCTGTCTAGTTATTCAATATCCATTGCATAATAAACATAGATTGATTGTTGACTTATGTAATTAATTACATATTATGCTTTATACAAAAGCAAATTTTTGACCTTAAATTAAGTAAAAATTAAATTATTGATAAAAATTAAAAATGTTAAGCTGGTTTTGTATTAAATTTTTAATACTGTTTGATTGGATTTTCTTTAATTTTCATTAAAATAAATATAAATTCTTGTTTTTATGTATTAAGTAATTTCTTTTATAATTTTATTTGATAAAAATAGCATCAAAAATTTAAATAAAATGATATCATTTCCATATATGCTGAAATAATAATTTATTTTTCTTCATTCTATGTTTAAAAGAGAAGAAATTAATATTTTTGACATTTGTTATTCATAAAAAATACAGAAAAATCAATTTTTATCTATTTTTATTTCTTATTAGAACAGATAAAATCTTAGAAATTATTTTGTTTTAAAAGTTTAAAACTCCATCCATTTATTCATACATATAAATCAAAAAAATAATAATAATTTAGATTTTTATATTTTGTAAATGTTAGTAAGAATATTTAAGTAATTAATTTAAAAATTATATTTATTAGAAGGATTTTTAGACTTTATCCCCCAAGAAATCCTTATCTGAATGGTCGAAAAAGAGTACTTAATTTTAGTTTTATAAAAAAGTATGTGGTGCTTAATAATTATAATCTTAAGCTAATATTTTTGATAATAACTATAAGCTAAAATCATAAATAAGTTTATCAAAGTTAATTAAATATTCATACTTTATCTTTAAATAGAAAAAACTACCTAAAAATGCTAAATATTAGATAAAATAAATCTTTTTTTCAATTTAGAAGCTTGCTTAGTCAATTTAAAGTATATTTTTTGATATAAACAGATTTCAATAAAAAAAATAATTTATAATCAACTTTAATTTTAAACTATTACCATCAAAAAGTAATAGATTACTTAGTTTTTATATTTATTTACTAAATGTAACACTATAAATTTTATTGATAGCAAATATGTTATATATAGAAATAAAGATGTTAATAATAGTGCTATTCATAATACCAACAAAAAAAAATGTAAGCAAAGGTAAGCAAAAAAAGAGTGGTTAAAGATTTTTGTATATTTTTATTTAGTTATTCTTATATTACAATTTTAAGATGTTTTTACTTATTCGCAATATTTAGAAAATGAGATATTTGCTCATATATATCCAACAATAATTACATTTCTAGTTAACAAAAAATTATAATTTGAAAATAACACATATTGCTCATCAAAATTAATTAATTTAGAAGCAAAATATATTTGATAATTATTATACAAATAAATAAATGGGTTCATAGCAAGCTAAACAAAATTAGGAATTCTAAAATTTTTCTGAATACTGTAATTAAAATTATTAATTCTCTTCATAATCAACTGATTCATTTATGAGAAAGAATTTTTAACATGTTTTTTAATTTCATTTTAGATTTAACTGAAACGGGTCCTTCAAATAAAGAAATGCAATACATAGAGAAATTAGCTACCAAATTGAACCAAACAACGGAGGAATTGTAACTCATTAAGAATTTTTTAGAATAAAGAGGATACAAATTTTCTGAAAGACTGTTGGGGAAAGGTGGAACTAGTGTTGTTTTAAGAGCAGAAAATATTCAAGGACAGAAATTAGCACTCAAAATATTAAAATGCTCAACTAAAGAGCAATATTTGAATAATCTATAAGAATACCGCTTAATGAAATAAACAAATTCAAATTATGTTATAAAAGTGAACGAACTTCTTGAATACAGAACAAATAATAAATTAATTTAATTTTTGGCAATGGAGAAATGTTTATGTAAGATTTATTTATATATCAAACATTTTATTGTTTATTTAGCTTAATTGTGTTTAAAATATCAAACAAGCAAACATAGATAGATAAATAAATAAATATTTTGATTAATTTATTAACTTATGCTAATAATAAGCTAATATTTTACTTGGATAATTAATTAGATAATTTATAGTCTTAGCTCTGTGGAGGCAAGAAGATGAAAAAAGATTAAATATATGAGATTTGTCTTCATCTCACAAAGGGATTAAGCTCTCTTCATAAATAAAATATTTTACATTTAGATATCAAGCCAGGAAATATTGTTTTGGGATTTGATAATAAATGGAAATTTATTGATTTGGGATTGTCTTAGGTTTTACCTCAGAACTAAGATTGCTGTGATGATGTGGTAAATGAAAATTCAATTTAATTGTGAGCTTACTTTTATTTTTATATGATTGGGTTAGTAAAAATTAAATAAAAATACAATTTTTTTAAATTAATTATTTTTAGAGAATGGTTGTAGTTTCTCTAAATAAGTTAACAAACATTATAATAGTTGTAAAGTAAAGAAAAATTTATTAATTGGATGTCAGCAACCACCTATTTACACTTCAATAAACTATTTAAATTGATTACAATTAATTGCTATTATTTAATTAAAAAATGAGGAAGTCTAAATAAAAATAAATTTCAATCCAAAAAGCAAAAAAAAAAAAAACATTCCACAAACAATTATTTGAAAAAATAAAGAAAATTAATTAGCAATTATCAATTTTTTTAAATATTTATTTTATGAAAATAAAAGCAAGGCCTGACAAGATATTATTGCTCTCCAGAATAGTACTAATTGTTCTATAAATTATCTAAAGCAAAAATTGGCAAGTAAAGTGATATCTACAGCTTGGGACTAGTATTTCTCGAGCTTACAGGAGTCAAAATACCAGAAGCATAAATACAAGAAACAAAGTTGAAGAAAATAAACTTTGAGCAGATGTTTAATCCAGAATTTGAGGAAATCAATATACTACTAAATAAAATGTTATAATATAATCCTGAAAATAGATGCAGTTTATCTTAAATTAAGAGTTATTTAGATTAATTGAATTGCGAAGAAGGTTAATGTACTACCACTGTTGGCACTTCTCCTATGAATACACTGCAATTCTAAATTAAAAATATATCAATAAGTAAAAAAGACTAAAGATCGAAATCAAATCTTAAATAAGATATTGATTAGTAGATCTTTGAGAAAAGAAGACATTACAAGCATGGGAGTATGAATGATTTGTCTTCTTTAGAAAATGTATCAAGTTTATCTCCTAAAAAAAACATGCTTTAAATCAAATAAGAATAAAATTATTAGAACTAAAACTTCTCTCATTTCTTCGAGCTGAGGAGATCTGGGTCTCAGGCATAAATTCCCTCAGAAATGTTTAGTAATAACTAACATCAAGATGGCTTATCTCCTACAAAAAAAGTAGTTTATCCTTAAAAATTAGAACAAATTTAATTAGCAAGAAATATTATTTCTAAAAAACTATCTGTTGCTGATATGTTTAAAAATACAAGTACACAATAATTTAAAGATGTTAGTCCTATAAGACCTAAAATCAAAGTAGTTCTACCTTCTTTAAGTAAGGTATCTTCTAAAGTAGTCTCCCCATCTAGTACATAAACAAAATTCTTTTTGCATAGATAACATATAAATGAATAATAAAATTGAACCAAATTCAACTAAGAAAATAACCATAATATGAATAACTTAGCGAACCAATTAATAAATAAATTTAGTCAAATTAAAAATATTTAAAATAGATTTAAATAAGAAAGCTGTAAAAATTAAAAAAAATTAAAATAGCCACAACAGAAATATAAACAATTTTTGAATTTTATAATTTATTCATGAATTAATTATTAATTAATAATAATAATTAGCTATCATCAATTCAAAAACGAATTAAATAATAATCAACTTTCTATTTCAAAAATTGATTCTAAAATTTGACAAATTTTCTGACGAATAATAATTATTTATCTATCTATCTTTTAATTAAACAGCAGTAATGCTTACAAAAATTTAATTACACAAAATCAAATTTATAATAACAGAACACATTATAGTCTAATTTAATTTATAAACTAATATAAATAAAATAGTCTTATTTATTTAAATATAATAATTAATAACAAAAATCAATATAAACTATATTTACCTATCTTCCTACCTATCTACTATTATATATATTATGTCCTATTGTGATTAACTTATTTCATATTCAAATAAAAACATAATACTTTCATTTTTAGATATATTATTTATCTTAATAGCAAATATAGACATTAATTACTCCTATAACTAGAATTGAATAGTTATAAATGATTTTTATATTTTTAGGCTTTGTAAATTGGTTTTGAAAACTAAACTTACAAAAATCTAAATTATTAAAAGGATGAAAGTGGGTTGTAAAAAGCAATTCATACTGTAAATCAAATTGAGATTATCTAACTTTAATTTAACAAGCGTTTATAAATAAATATGTTAAGAATAATTAAATACAAAAATTAGACATAATAAAAAACCACATCCTTTGCTTTTATTAAAAAATTTAAGTTTTATTTAATATATATAAAAATAAAATAGATAAAAAAATATGAGTTCAGTTTAACTTGAAAATCAATTTTTATAAGTGTAAATTAACTACATTTAAAATAATACTACAAGAAAACAGTTATTTGAAAACAAAATGTTATTTCTAAAACATTAAATTTAGACTTTTTATATTTTTTATAAGGCAGAATTAGATTTTTAACAAGTAATGAATTTTCATTAAGTAGATGTAGACTTACCTACCTAAAAATAACTATTGTAATTAATTTTTCCTTTTTATATATTCCTTAAATTAGCTTTCTAGCTTTCAAAATCATTCATATTGTGTAATTAAATTATTTATGAGTTATTCATTATCAGATATTTATATTTATTTTTTAAAAAAAATCATCAATTGCAAATAAAAATAAGTAATTGCATAATAAGCTCTATATAAAAACATATAGCCATATTTTCAAAAATATTTTAAAATAAATAACAATCAAACTAACACAGTACTATCTTAAAAATATGGGATCTGAGTAAAGTAGCTCTGTTTTATCCACAGACAATTAATTTTATATGGAATGTAATTAACGCATAAACATCAAAAAAAGTTTATCACAATACTCTTTTTTAAAAATTAGATGTCTCTAAAAAGAAGATGACAGTATCAAATTTAACAGCAAAATTATAAATTGAGGCAGTAGAGGTATGCAATCTAATGAATTTCCTTGAATAAAATTAGTACCTAATTAGTGACTAAGAGTTAGGAAGAGGTGGTTCGGGAATAGTTTTAAGTGGTGAAAAAATGGATAGGTAGCCTATTGCTATTAAAATAGTAAAGTGTATAAAAAGGGGATAAGTAGAAGGTATGGTAAAAGAATTTAATATACTAAAATCTATCTAAAGCACTCATGTTGTAGAGGCTTATGACTTATTGTAATATGAATCTCCAAACATTAACATCCTAATCACAATCATGGATAAATGCGAATGTAATTTTTTAGTCTTTGCTAAAACTTTTAAACTTTTTAAGAAATCTAATAATTTAGATTGATTTTGTTTAGTATTTGTATTAAATTATCCATACATACATATACTTGTTAAATCAATTACTCAAATGATAAAAAGAATTTTTTAATAAAAAGGTAATCTAACAACATATCTTAGATCAATTAGATACTAATTTGAAAAATAATAATATGAAGAAAAAATATATGAAATATGCAGATAGCTCATAAAGGGACTTAATGATATTCATTCAGCTAACATCCTTCATTTAGATATAAAACCAAGCAACATTATGATGGGAAGAGATAAATTATGGAAATTCATTGATATGGGAATCTCTGTGAGACTTGAAGAATAGCACTTTATTAGCAGCGTAAATATTTATTATACTTATTTTCCTGCCGAAAACTCACTATTATATAAAGATAATTATTTTTTCTCTCTCTCTAAATAGATTTATGATTTTCAGATTACAATATTACCTAAATATTTTTATTTATACAAACCTTTTTAATTTATCTATTATCAATTCTTCTTCTATAATTTAACAATAATGAAAAAATGAATTTCATTTCTTAACATTTTATTTAATCATTTTTTTTAAATATAGTTTGGACTCACTTAACTTTATTCTTCTCCTGAATAATTTAAATGTTATATGGCTAATATGCAAAAATCTTCATCAGTAAAATAACAAATAAATAAGTAAAGCGATATTTATTCACTTGGTTTAGTTTTCTTAGAAATGACAGGTGTTAATATGGATAAAAATATAATAATGTAAGTAAAATAGAATTAACCAGCTGCAGAAGGCTTAAAAGGAATCTAGTTGAATTCTCAATTCAATAAATTTAACACTAATGTCATCCTTCAGATGGTTTAGTTCAACTAAGAAAGTAGACTTAATACAGAGTATATAGACAAATAATTGTAAAGCCTCTATTTAGAAATATAGAAAAGCGGGTAATCTGAAAATAGTTATCCTACAAACTAAAATTACAAATCTCATCCTCTATCAAGATAATCAACACTTCCTATTTCTAATTCATAAAATGTTATGATAGCAAGACAATCTTCATTAAAAACTGGTTTCCTCCAAAATTAAGAATAATAACAATAATAAAGCATAAGCACATTAAATTATATTCAAGATCCCTCAACCTAAGTGTCTTCCAATAATATTAATAATTAATCTATTTCTCCTCCAAATACAAATTATTGTACCAATCATATATTTAAAACATAAAATATACAATCTAATTTATAAAAGAACTCATATTAATGCTAACAATATTTTAATAAGAGTCCACAGAGTAACAATAGTCATCAATAAATAAGTAGTAAAGTATTTGATTAAACTTCTGATTTTAATAAGATTAGCAGAGAAAGTGATTTTTAAAATAATAACTACAAAAAGCGCTATTCTGTTTTGACTCAATTTTAATAGTATTGATTGAACATTGAATGTAAAATGATAATAATATTAAAATTTTTCAAAAAAAATATCAAAAAATATTAATTGTAAACAACAAAAAAGTTTATTAATTAATTAACTAAATAAATAAATAAATAATACATTTCTAATCAATAAAAAATAAATAATTTAAGTACTATAAAACAAACAAACAAATAATTTGAAATAAATAACTAGCTAGTTGGCTTTCTTGCTTGTAGCTGACTTGTTAGCGAATAAACAAAGATAACTAATTAATTTATAGTTATTAAAATAAATTCTTTTATAAAATTACATATATTAATTTGATTTATTTATATTTATGTATATATAAGATTTCTAAATAGTTAATAATATTATCAAAATCAAATCAAATTAAATATCAAAATATTTAATCAAATCATTTCATTTTTTGTATATATATTGTTAAAGAAATTATGTTTAATAATTTATGTAAATAGTTATTAAATTATTAACTAATATTTGATGATTTGTTTGTTGACTTGCTTAATTAAACGCACTTCAACTAATACTTTATTCTTCGTTTTATAAAAATTATTCATATTACTCTTTCGTTAGTTCAAATACAACTTAGTCATCAGATACTCCATTTAATTATGCTCCAATTTCTTATCTTTTGAAAATTTAAAATCCAAGTTTTAAGCCTACATTTTAACTTCTTAGATTGCTAGATTTTGTGATTAATATAAATCTTTATATTTAGTACTATTAAAGGGCATATTCTATCATAAATTTCATACATTTTCTTAAAATACCTTTACCTTAATAGTCTTTGTCCATCATATATCCTACTTCAGCTTCTTTTTTTGTAAGATCTATAGTCCTAAAACAAAAAAAGCCAGCTACATTTTCATTTTGCATTATGTAGTAGCATGATTTTGTACCTTGCAAATATGCTTATTGCCATGTATCTATCAACTTTTTAGAGTCCTCGATAGTGTTAAAACTTTACACCCATGGAATGGTATTTAAAAATATATCTCTATTTTTTTAGATAAAGTTGTACAAGACTGTGTAGTCTACACAAAGTTCAAGTCTAAAATCATTATCTATCTTTATAGTTTATTCTATTTTTATCTCTTATTAAAATTGCATTGAGAAAGTAGAAAAGTAACAAAAAATCAAAAATGTATCTAAATTTATTTAATTTAATTTATTTATATCTCTAAAACAATAGTATCAAATTATAAATCGATATATATTAACCAAATATGCATTTTTTATTTAGTAAATATTTTGATCAATGATGTATTATAAAACCTTAAAACTATTCCCTAATAATAAGAAAACAATTAAAATAATATAGCCTTTGATAAGTTTTAAAGATTTTCGTAATGAATAAATGATAAAATAGTACTTACTACTCATTCAATTAAATTAAAAAAGAAAAAACCAATTAAATAACGATCATATATATAAGATATTTAAATTTATTAACGAAAAAAAGATATGATAAATTAAATAAAAGCTTTATCATAAATATTGGAATAGAAATAAAAACTTTATCATAAATATAAGAAATAAAACAATTAACCAATCTAAATTAATTTTTAAAATATAAAAATTAAAGAAATAAATTAAAAGTAAAGTGTATTTCATATAAACAATTTATTATAGCAAAAAATGATCTGATCATATTTAAGATTATATAAATTAATTATTTTCTATTTTTTTTTATTTTTTCTAAAATATAAATTAATAAATTTTTTATGATTCTTTTAATTAAGCATTTCCATATTTAAATTTTTTTAACTTTTCATTTTTAAAAAAATGATGAAAAATTTTTAAAAACTATTATTTTCTATATTTAATTCATAATTTAATTAATAAGTATATTGATTTATAAAAATGTTGATTATATTTAAAATTTAGTTAGAATTAATATTTTTTTGGATGTTTCTTTATTAAATTATTTCAAAATAAATTAGTCAATAAATTTATAAAACTTTCTAATCCATTTTTTAGATATTAAGTTTATAAATTAGATTATTAATTAATTCATTTTGCAAAAAAAATTTTTGAAATTAAATCTTTATTTTAACGATCATATTATTAATAATATAGTAAGAATAATTAAGATATATTTTTTCTTGTATAATAGATAAACACATATTTTTGCAAGAAATGAAATCAATTGATTACTAAAACAGCATTAAAAAAATAGCTCAAGCTAATTGCAATTATAATAGCGAATCTTCAAATATATAAAACCTATTATAGCCCCCCAAATATTTGAAAACTTAATGTATTTACTCATATTATTTATAACTATACATTATTTTTATTTTATATTAAACATAAAGAAATGATGAAGGTTCTTTCTTTTGCTAACGGGGTTTATTAAGGACATGTAGATTAAGATAATTAACTCAATGGTTTAGGTGTGTTTATTTGGAAAAACTCTTAAACATATTATGGTACTTTTTCTGTTTTATTTTAGCTTAAAATATATTAATTTTAAATCATAAGGTTAATGGTAATTAAATTAAATGGCAGGTAGAGGTATTATTGTCTTCCCATAAGGAGGTTATTTATATGGACACTTTAAAAATAATTTATTAGAAGGAAAATCTAAATTAGTTTTCCCAAATTAAGATGCTATGTTTGTATATTGCAGCTAAGGATTTTTTTAAGGTAAAGCAATTAGAAAATTCAAAGATTCTTCGCAATACATCGAATGCTTATATGATAAAGGAAACATGATTTCTATTAATAGCAAATTGACAAAAGATTAATTTAGTAAACAATTCTACTCTTATTTTAGATTATTAATCATATTCTTATTTTATAATATGAATAGAGCATAAAAAAAAACTAGAATTTGATGAATTAATAAATATGAAAGAATTTTTCGAACATTTAAACAAATCAGACCAAAATAGTTAAACTGTAACTAAATTAAATGAAGATTATGTAAATTAAAAATATTAAATTTCTTAAAATTCAATTAATTAAAAAGGATATATATGACAAGTTTAATAATTAAATGAAATGCCTATTGATAAATGATGAAGAAATATATTTTGGTTCATCTAAATTTAACTTTCCTAGAGGTTATGGAGTTAAATTACATCTAAAATCTAATTTAATTTAAAGGGGTAGATTTTTAGATGGACTGCTAGATGGTAGAGGAAGGAAAAACTTTTTGAATGGTGATATTTATGATGGAGGATTTACTGAAGGTCAAATATCAAATAGTGGTTTGTTCTATGATAATACTAACTTTAACAGCTATAGAGGCTTTTTCGAGTATAATAAGTTAGTTACTTTGTTCGCTATTTTTTAGACTAAATTTCCATCTTCTTAGTGTAAAAAATTGATTAATAATACTTATTTTGTTTATTAAGAAAAATATATTATGATTCAATTATTTATTTTTTTAAAAAAGATGATTATGAAAAATAATAAAATTAAGACCTTGATTGCAATATAGAGTTACAAAGTGAATGCATTTTTTTCACTTAAAAAGAAGCTCTTTTTATGATAAATTCCCTTCATACTTTAGGTAAAAAATACGTTTTAAGTACAAATTCTACAGAAGATATTATAGTAAACAACGAATTGATTGAATTATAATAACTTAAAAATAGCTTGTAATAATAATAATAAGTTCACTTTTTAGATTTAAAAACATTTTAATAGGATGAAACAATAGAAAAAACTCTTACTGAAAAAAATTAAAGTAAAAACTTCTCTGAGTAAAATTAAAATGAAAAAGTAGATTTAGATGCAAAATAAAAAGCAGTAAATAAAAAATCTGCAAAAAGTCTTTTACCACCTTTATCAAGAAAAGCTAGTTTATTAGATGGATAGAAGGGAAATGCTAATACAGTTTTATCAACTTCAATGCTTAACTCTACACAACCCTTTAGTAGCTAGTATAATTCTAATACAAGTAGCAACACAACTTTTATTTAGTAAAACTAAGGAGAATTTTCTAATACTGATAAAAATTCTCAACAAAGTAGTTACTTTAGTAAATTTAGGTCAACTCAAGAAGTTAATTAAGAAGATAATTCAAATATAGCTCATAGTTAAAGTTTAGTTAAGAAAGTTAGTTTCTGTGATCAAATCAAAAAAATGAATACCTAGACAAACAAGGCAACGAATATATAAAACTCTTTTTTGGAACAAATGTAAATCGATACAATAAATGAGATGAAAAAAAATGATAAAAATAATAATTTAAATAAATCTAAAGAAGAATTAATTCTTCTATATGACTCAAAAGATTAATAAAAACCTTAACAAAATAATGATTATGAATCGAATAATTACCATTTATTATCTTTAAATGATAACAGAAGTGAAATGCAAAAATAAAATATAGATAATTAATCTGTAATTTTTGAAAAATCAATAGAAATTTATGATAGTAATGAAAATTTATAAGAAATAAGTGCTTAAAATGAATTTGAAAATTCTTATTTTGAAAGTAATATAAAAAATTTATAAATGCCTAATTTAGAACAATAAGATTTTAATTAAATTATCAATCAAGACTAATAAAATTTAAACCAAAATAGTTATCTTGAAATCTCACCCTAGAAGGAATAAAAATAATAAAAAGAAAACCTAAATTCTTCTTCTCCAAAATTAGGTTCAAGCGAGTTTTCTTTAAATAACAATAATTAAAATGAAAATTCTTGTCAATATTAACATTAATTGGAAGACAATAATTGCTAATCTATGAAAAAATCAATTTAAAAAAGTTAATACACATAAAATGATGAAAAATAAGAGTTTGATAAAAAGGAAATATCAAATTTTTTAAATAATTCATTTTAAATGAATTAAATTTACAACTAAAATAATGAATAATAAGAAGAGGAAGAATCAATAAAAAAGCAATCCTAAATACAGTTTAAAGGTTAAGCTAATTTAGATTATTGCTACAACTCAAACTAATCCATAGATTATATGACTAAAAGTGTTTAATTTTATGATTCAGAAGAAAATTCTATTTAAAACAATAGATCTGACTTTGTAGAAAACAATTAAAATGGTCTTTAATAAAATATTACGTTTGAGTAATATTTTTAGATTTTATCTTAGAAATAGAATATTCAATAAGAAAATGGCTAGTTAACACTGACCTTTTCTAAGAATAATGACTCTACTAATTAGTGTATTGATTTAAAAAATCATAGAGGCACCTTTAATAAAAATGAACAATCCCAAAAATCTATTTGTTAAAATTTTTTAGTAGGAATTCCTTAAGATTGTGTGCATTCTCATTATGATATATAAGAATAAAAATAAGTAAGAAATGATTTTTCTGCAAAATTGAAATAAATAGTTTAACATAAATAACTTCAATTTCATAATTAAAAATAGCAAAGTTAAACTGAAAAAATAGATTAAAAAACTATTGTGTCTGAAAATTAAATAATAGACAGCAATATTACAACTGACCCCTCATATTCGTATCAATAATTTAAATTACAGAACTAAAATTAATAATAGAAAATGCTAACAAGTAACATAACCAATGAAAATAGATTCTCTTTCTGTAACAATGCTTCATTTAATGATAATCTTCATCTGTAAAATTAATCATAAAAAAGCTATTATTACAATAATATTGAACAGGAAGATTAAATCAAGCAAATTTAAGGAAGAAAAATAAATCAGTAAGAGTTAAATAATGATTTTGAAAATAAAGAAAATAATTCTTTAAAAAATAAATTTGATAAAACTCAACAAAATTAAAAAGCCAAATCACAATAATAAAAAGTTAAAATTGTCTAAATAGACCTATTAAAAGAGCTTTCATAAAATAATCTCAAATTTGATTAAGATTTTTAAGAGAAAGATAATGTTTATGTTCCTTAAATATTCTATAATGAAAATTCACAATATAGGCATTAAGATCACAATTAGTTATCCTAAAATTTATAGTAAGATAATAATCAAAAATAATCAAATAAAAATGTTAATAAAGCCTGCTTTTATAAATCAAATCATAGAAAATAGAATTCTGAAATTTTTTAAAATGCTTATATAGAAGTTTAATATCACTAAAAAAATGAAAATAAAATCAATAGTTTAAATCATAAATTGTAAAGAAAATAGTCAACAAGCTCATTAAACGTTAGCCATAGCAATTAAATTTAAAAAATGGTATCATCAAAATCTTAAACTCTTTTGAAATAAATGTCTTCTGGAGATTTACATACAAAAAATAATTGTGAAGAAAGTAGCACAAAAATATTAAAATAAATTAGTAGTAAATAGTTTTAGGGTTAAAAGGCAATATTTTAAAAGTTGATTGAGTTTAAATATGTCAATAAACTAGCTTAATTGCATTGAAACATTTTTTAAAATATAAAATTGAATTTTGTAAATATAAAATTAAAATTAATTTAAGAAATAATTAATTGTTTGTAAATAAAAATATATATACTATTTATTATTAAAATTTTTCTGAAATTATAAATTTTAATTAGAAATAATTTTAAATATTTTTTTAAATTAAATGAAAATAAATACATTTTTTTATATATATTGAAAGTGCATACATAATATATAAATTAAATTATAATATTATCTATATTTTGTTTTTATTAGTTTTTTCTTTCACCAAGCCTCAACTACATATTATCTTTTTTTGATTAAGTTTTATATAATTGCTTTTGCTTTTTCACTATCACCTTCTAAATACTTGGTTAAAAGCTCTACGAAACCTTCTTCTACTTATTTTGGCATATATTTTGCTGTTCCACAGACAAATATTTTTATTTTTTCAAAGTTATTAGCTATTAAATCTCCAAAAACTTCGTAGTGCTTTGTAAGTAAATGTTAGACATAAACTTTACTGTCAAAATCTCTTGAAAAAGCAGTGAAAAGGTTTATTCTTTTTTAAATAAAAAATTTAAGTTTACAATTAAAATGAAATAAAATATATTACCTGTTAAGTTCATGAAGTTCTTCTAAGAATTTTTAGTAGTAAAATTCTTTTTATTTATAACGACAACCAAATAGGATAAAAGTTTTATTTGAATACTGCTCTTAAGTAAGTTACTGTCTTTCAATTAAAATGTTTCTTTACTCGACTAAGCTCATAAAGGGTGCAATTCCTGTTCCTGGTCCAACTAGTATTACTGGAATTGTAGGATCATTGAAAGGCATTTCCATAGTACCTTTTTTGATCCAAGCAATTACTTTCTACTACTTAAGTTCTATTTATTTGAGATATTAACTGCATACACCAACTATACTTCTTTTAAATGGAGTTTGATATTTAACTAATCCAATTGTTATGCTTACCCTATTTTTATTAGAGAGCTAAGAAGATGATATACTATATTCTCTTGGTTTTTAAAGAGAAAGTCCTTCTATCAGATATTCTAATGGAATTTGAACTGTTCCGAAATCAAAAAGAATTTCAAAGACATTTCTTTTTTCTTTAACAACATAATTATAATATTCTTCTTTTCCTTCTTTTGATGATATTTCAATTAGTTTTTCATTATGAAGTTCATCATTTGTAAAGTAGCTCATTAGCTTAAAAAGGTAACGAGTTGGAGGAGTTGAAATAGATAACCACTACTTAAATAATTATTCTATTGTTATGTACTCAGGGAAGGGATTCTTAAACTACTATAAACTTTTTTCATTTTTTGTAATTCTAACAATTTAAGATAAACTCAAATTGAGGTGATCAGCCAAATCCTTACATAATTGGTGTGAATTTTCAGGATGGATAACTAAGATGTCACCAGGATTATACGAAGTTTAATCATTTGAATCAAATTCAAATTCTATTTTTCTAGTTTCTCTATCATAATCAGCAGGAGTTAATAACTCATTTTCTACAACTCTTGAAACTATCATTTGGTTTTTTTTACACCCTTATGGAGTTGGAATCAGTTTGTAGTTTTCTTATCTTTTATAAAGAAAATTAAAAATAAATTTATTTAAAAACATAAAAATATAAATAAAGAGATTATACATTTTTTATTATGCTTATTCCTCATACATATTTTCCTTGATTAATTCTATCTAGTATCTAGGCTAAGGTTTTTGTTTTATTTTTTCTTCTAAATTTTCATATTACTTATTTGGAAAGATATTTTTCAGACTTTCAAATAGTTTTTCTGTCCAGCTATCTAATTCACCATCATAACCAAATGGATGTTAATCATCTCCTAAGCCTCTTTCATGGAATATCTTAGCGCCTAGTTGCAGCATACGCTAATAAAGTTTTCTTGCCATAGAATTAAACTATTGATAATTACTGTCTCCTAAACCAAAAACAGTGAACTTTACATCCTCTAGAGCATCATTAGGCAAATCTTTAATAAGTAAGAATTACCAAAAGTTAATCATATTTGAAGGAGGTTCGCCTTATCCTGTAGTTGAAACAACAAAAATTACATAATTTTCTTCTGGAAGATTGGTAATTGCATAATCATCCATAGATTATAATAATGTCTTAAATTCCCTCAAAATTAATTGTCTTTCTAATTCCTCAGCAACATATTTTGCAGTTCCTGTCTATGAGGCATATAAAATCAATATATCGTGGCTACTCATATTGTAAAAAGCCTTTATATTAGCTAAAAAATGATTGAAATTTTAAAAAGATAGACCTAAATATCGTAAACAAGTACTTAACTAATTTTAATCAATAATTAATTTTGTATGCTAATCAGAATTAATTATTAATTCAATGAATACTCTTTCAAGGCAATTCATATTTTAGCGAACAATTCTAGAATAAATCCATATCTTTAAAACCAGAAAAATATAAACATGCATTTTCTTATCAAAAATCATTCATGGAGCCTAAGGAAAACTTATTTTTTATTTAAAATCTTTATTTTGTTTGATTTTAGCTATTTTAATAAAGATTAAAAATAAATATTAAATAATTAAATTTTAACATTAGCAAAAAACACAATATATTAAAATCTTTTTACTAAGTTTAAATAAATTGTTTAATTTGAAAACAAATAAAACTTGTCTTCCTTTCTAATGAAATTTATTTTGATGTCATATTAAATCTCTTACAAAATAAATGTCTAATTTAACTTGTAAATTGATAAATTATTGAAAATCAAATTATTAAAAAAGAATAAATTTTTTTTATACAAAATATATTTAATTTACTGCTTGAATTGTTTAAATAAAATTTATATTTGAGAAATATTTTTCATGAGTAGCAATTAAGAATTGGTTTTTCAAATAGAAAAATGAGACATTGTTAAGAAATTTACATGAGCATATATTTTTTAAATATAGATTTGAAATAGTATTTGAATAAAAAGTAATGAATAAATGATTAAATTACATGTTAAAATATAAATTTCTATTTACAAACAACTCCTCTTAGTATTAATAAAATTCTACATTAATTATTTAAATTTGTATAGTGGTAGTTATAACTAATTAGTTACTCTTTCGATAATTTGGACTCAATAAGATAGTAAATTTATATATCTTAAATAAATAATAAATAAGTTGAAAAATTATATTTATCTAACTAACTTGTGCTTTAGTTAATTCTAATTGGCACATAGTAGAAGATATGTTTATGGATGAATTAAAGGATGGCAGAAACTCACTTTCTTTTTTTGCTTAAATTAAGATACTGATAAATTTTTTTAGTCAATACCCACTTAAAGTTTTAATTGATAGTTATTAAAAAAAAACTATTTAGCTGATTCATCTTTTGGATGAAGGTTACTTTTAATGATTTAGCTCTAGTGATTACAGTTGATAAGACTTAATATTTAATTTTAATCACACAAAATTTGATATTTTTTGTGATTTGTTAAATACCACTAATTAAATGAAAGTCCACTTGAGTTGCTTTACAATTTACGATTAAAATCATAATCAACTTTTCACATCAAATCATATTTTTATTTTAAAAAACCATTAGAGGTTCATCCTTTTTGGCTGTTTCAGTTGATAGAGTTTAGTTGAAAGCATCTTTTTTATTAAAGCTTGAATATAAGTGGCTGTTATTGTTTTACGAAGCATCATTATTGAAAGATTAGTCAACATATTTCGATCTGTTTTTTGTGATAGGTATATCACTCTTGTTTGGTTACTGCGCTTCAGCTTCTACCATAGAGCTTTAATAGCTGGATATATCATTTAAATACTCTTTTTCCATTAGCTATGACCACTACTCAAATGCCATAAAATCTTAATTGTTGCAATGCTATTAATTAATTTCATCAGATATCTTTTTTATTGCTTAGGCTATTTCATTATCCTTTAATTTCATTAGATCACTTTACAATTTAAACATCTCTTTATCTTTTTCAATAAACGGAGCTTGCATTAAGAAGTCAAAAAAGTTTTGATAAAATGAATATAGATCATCTCTTTCTATTTTTCCATCATTGTTTGTGTCAAACAGCTAAAAAATGAACTCAAGTTAATCTTTTTTCTGTCCGTACTGCATCAAATGTATCATTTTGATAAATTTTGAGTAGTCCATAAATTGACCTGTCTAAGCATGATCAATTACCTTTAGGCAAGACTTAAATAGTAGTTAAATAAATTGACAATCTGGAATATAAGAGCTAATTTTATCTGGCTCATCATAAACGTTTAATAAATCACTCTGAGTCCATATATACTATAAAAATTTCTACTTGCCTATAATATTTTCTCTTGATAATTGAACAAAATCATGGTAAAACTAATCTGTATTATTATCTTCAGGAAACTTTTTGTAAATTTCTTGAACATATTCAACAGCATTTTTATTTTCTAAAACCTCTGCGCGTTTAACGAAAAGAGTTTATTACTCTTGCTCTACAGGTAAATAAGCCTTTATTGGTGAAACAAAACCAGTATCTACGGCATCATGATTGTAAGGCTTAACTAGCTTTTTTTGCTTTTATTTGCTTTATTTCTTCTCTTCACCTTCATCATCATCTTCCTCTTTGAAAGCCAACGGTCTCATTAATTATTTGTTTCCCATTTAGCAAATTCAATCTAATTTTACTTAAAAAATGCTTTTATCAACCAATATATGATTCTTTTAAGTTAGCCAAGCCTTATTGACAAATTTTAAAATAATTATCAACTAAGATGATTTGACCTTTATTGTTAATTATATATTTTGCTTAGTCTGGCACTCAATTATCTTTTTTTCAAACTCAATTAGTTTTTACTTGAAAATTTAATTAGCTTTTTAATATTATTTTTATTAATTTGCAAATAATCTAGCTAATAAACAAATAATTCAAGTTTTAATGTAGGAAAGGCGTTTAAAAACAATCAAAAATTCTTTATCTATTATTCTTATTATGCATTTCATTATTTAATTAATTTAAAATTCACCTTTCTGTTTACTTTTTTTATAAATTTGTAAAATACATATTTCTTTTCTCTCATTTATAATAAATACTTTTATTCTTTACTTCCAAAATTTGTTTGTGAAAATCAATAATTTTTTAGCTTTTAGATTTTTTTTTAAATAATAAAGTATTTTCGCAAAAAGAAAGCCAACAAATTTGAAATTAACTCAACATTGAAAATCGCTTGATATCAATATTACCATCTTAAGTAATTAAGTAATTAATTTAAAAATATTTTCTAAAAATAAATTGAATAATTGATTTTTTTAATTCATGAAACATATAAAATATTGTTTTTGAAAGCTAAAATTAATTACACTATATTAAAAAATCAAATCTTTATAATAACATATACAATCTCAAATCAAAAATTTCTAAGGTAAATAATTGATTATCTTTGAAGTAAGGGCATCAGAAAATATTAAAATCACATTTGAGAAAATAAAAAATTTATTTACTACTTAAATATTGAATTATTTATTTATTAATTAATTATTTGTTTTACAGCTTTCTAGAAAATTTTTTGTACAAATTCTAATTTTAAATATTATTTATAAAAAACTAATATAAAAGCATTATTAATTAATTATGAAAGGAGTGTCCAACTTTCAAAGCAAAATTTTAGAATTAGTTAATCAAATTTTAAATTATAATTAAAAAATTGAAAGGTTATTTGAAAATCTACAGCATGGATGCGAAATATCTAAAGAGATCAATTAAAATTTACTTCATTTTGAAATTGCTAAAATATTTTTAAATAAGAAATTTAATTTTTTATTTTTTATAATTTCCATCTTTTTACTTGTGATTAATTGTAACTTGCTTTTACCTTTAGAAAATTTATAGTTTCAATTAAGATATTTAAAATAAAATTCTAGCAATTAAAATTGAAATTCACTAAAGAATAAATATGATTTGGATCTAATGCAAATTAAAATAAACTAATTAATGAATAATTATTTTTTTTTGGTTTAAAAATTGTGAATTGTTTGCTTTCTCAACATTTTATTGAATTTTTTTATTCTGATGATAGCTATAAAATTAAAAAAAGAATAGCGCCACGAGTAAAGATAACACTTTAGCTCGGATGAAACACCCAACCCAAAATAATAGAAGTAACTCGTTGACTTGTCTATGCGTTTATTAAAATATCAAAAATTATAAATAAAAATTTTTATTATTTTAACTTTTTTATGGGTTTTTCTTATAAATTATTAATATTTGATTTTACTATTTTAAATAAATAAGGAAAATATATTTTATGGTTTTAAAATAGCATCACAACTATCATACTTTTTAATTCATATTTTTTGCGAAATAAAAGAGTAAAGAGTAATAAATAAGAAAATAAGTGAAAAATATTAGATGCTAACTATTTATATTTAACTATATTAAATTCCACAATAAAATTATATTAAATTTAAAGCGATATTTATATATATTTCTTATCAAACTATTATTATATTTCTTTTTACTAAAAGTTTATTGATTATCACTTACTTTATTTCCCAAAAAACTTAAGTTTTAGATTAAAATAGTCATCAAATAAAAAAATGGTAGGTAGATTCATTAATCAGAATGTTAGATTTTTAATATTTATTATTAATTAATACAAACACACATTTTCAAAAATAATATACTGTAGTCCCTCAATAATTAAGACGTCATGTTATAAAGATTGATTTCTAAAGAAAAATATACAAAAATTAATAAATTAAATTAAAAAATGAAACTTAAATAGAAATAGAAATATTGAAGTATAACTTATTAGATATTTTTTTAAAAAAATATGAATTTACTAAAAGTATTCATTTGATAAATTTTAATATAAATCAAATAAAAGCTATATTTTAAAGTTATTTCTTTTAGATTTACATTAAGCAAGAACTTAATTTTCAAAATCACAGAGATAATTTTGAATTTATTTAATAAACATTACTCATGAAAATTTACATGAAACAAGCCTAAGCAAATATTTTTTTAATATTCTTTATGTTACCATTTTCAATTAATTATTTTCTTGTTCTTATTATAAATCTTCAAATTTGATAAGTATTCTAAATACTTAAATTTTTGCATTTTTTAGTCCATCTATTATATTTTTTACTGATTCTAATGTAATTTTTTCTGTGCTATACTAAGAGTAATATTTTATAAGTGCCTTAACTTTTTTAGGCTATCTGAGAGTAAATAAGTAATTTATTCTTATTTTTGGTAAATTTTTTTTTACTTCCGCATTTATTTGACTTATTTTTTTCTTTTTGAAAAGTTATATTTTAAACAATAAATATTATTTGGATCAAATGCAAATTAAATTAAACTAATTCATGATTCACTATTTTTCGTATAAAAATTATGAATTGCTTGCATTCTCAACATTTTATTTTTCTTCTAATAATTACAATAAAAAATTTGCACACTGAGCAAATTTCACCAAATTGGTTCCAATTGGAAACCTGAATTGTTAATAACAAATTTTAAAATAAGATGGTATATCTCAGCGTGCATATATTTATTCAATCATCAAATATTATAAATAAAAAATTTTAGTATCTTTAATTTTTTATGGGTTTTTCTTAATTAAATATTTTTAACTTCTCCAATTAAATTAAATTAAAAAAAATCAAAATGTTATTTGAACAATTAAAAAAAGCGAATTACCAATTATTTTACCTTACTTTTTTCCTTTTGAAAAGATATATTTTCATTTAATTTGCTTAAAGTAAAACTTTTACAAGGAAAATTGAATATTACCTAAACAATAAATATTATTTGGATCAAATGCAAATTAAATTAAACTAATTCATGATTCACTATTTTTCGTATAAAAATTATGAATTGCTTGCATTCTCAACATTTTATTTTTCTTCTAATAATTACAATAAAAAATTTGCACACTGAGCAAATTTCACCAAATTGGTTCCAATTGGAAACCTGAATTGTTAATAACAAATTTTAAAATAAGATGGTATATCTCAGCGTGCATATATTTATTCAATCATCAAATATTATAAATAAATAATTTTAGTATCTTTAATTTTTTATGGGTTTTTCTTAATTAAATATTATTAACTTCTCCAATTAAATTAAATTTCAAAAAAATCAAAATGTTATTTGAACAATTAAAAAAAGCGAATTTCCTACCTAAAAAGCTCAAACAAATTAGTTAATTTTGAAAGAGCTCCAAAATGTTTAAATAAGTAATTTATTTTTAATTTTTTGTAACTTTTTTTTTACTTACGCATTTATTTAACTTACTTTTTTCCCTTTGAAAAGTTATATTTTCATTTAATTTATTTAAAATAAAACTTTTGCAAAGAAAATTCAATATCACCTAAAGAATAAATATGATTTTGATCAAATGCAAATTAAAACAAGCTAATTTATGATTAACTATATTTATTTAAAAATTGTGAATAGTTTGCATTCTCAACATTTTATTTTTCTTCTAATGACTACTATAAAAAATTAGCCTAAAGAGCAAACAAAAGTTTTTGAAAAATTTGTTCCAAGTGGAATACCCTATTCTAAAATTAAATAATATGTCATACAACTAACTCTTTAATGTAGTTATTAAATCATCAAAAATTATAAATAAAAAATGTTAGTATCTTTAATTTTTTATCAGTTTTTCTTCAATATTATTAATTTCTCCAAATTAATCATTTGATTTTAAAATTATTACAAACTGAAAAAAATTTAATTCATACTTTGAAAATAGCATCACAAATATCATATTTTTAATTATTATTTTTTGCAAAATAAATGAATACAAAGTAATAAATCGGAAAATAAGAGAAAGATATTAGATTTTTTAATTATTTAATAATCATTTGTCATAAAAATTTACATGAAACAAGCCTAAGCAAATATTTTTTTAACAACCTTTATCTTATCATTTTCAATTAATAATTTTCTTATTCCTATTATAAATCTTCAGTTAGATAAGCATTCAAAATACTTAAATTTTTGTGTTTTTTTAATCCATCTCTAATATTTTTTACTGTTTCTAATGTAATTTTTTCTTATGTGATTATACCAAGAGTAATTTTTTATAAGTATTTTAACTTGTTTAGGCTATCTGAGAGTATTTTTGAAGCATCAAAGCTAAAAGAGCTAGGCATTACATTTAATACTAGTTAATTAAGATTAACTAAGTGCTTAATCTCTCTAAATAAATCTTCAATGTATTCATCTTCGGTTTCAGTTTAAAGAAAAAAGATAAATTTCTAAAGATGAAATAAAAATTAGAATCCTTTCGAAAAATATAAAAGATGAATATTCTGTATTTTAAATATCCTTAATTCTAGTTCTTGTAATGATCTTATTTATCCAATTAATTCTAAAAATTAAGTTATTTTTTCTTCCTTTATGGTGGTTTAAATTATAAAATTAATCTTAAAAGAAGTTAGATTTTTCAAGCTGTTAAGAGCTTAAGCTATAACACAAAGCTCATCACTTATCCGATAATTAATATCTAAGCTGACTTAATTTAAATTCTAAGCACTTTAAAATATATCTACTAACTCATTGCTTATACTCATCTAGTGTACTGTCATAGAATTAAGTTTTAATTCAAATATCGTCAACTTACTTAGATTTTTAATACAAACAACTTCTTTTTGTAATTGTGATTATTCTTACTATATTTTTTTTTATAAGTCTCTTTTTCTGATTTGCAATTTAAGGTTTTCCAAATTACAAAGAGAATTTATGCCTTTCTAAAAAGAATCTACATATGTGTAATTAGTCAAAAGAGACAATTTAAGTGTTTTTATATTTTTAAGATTTGTAAGAGATTCTCCAATCCCATCTAAGCAAATACTTGTTACTTATTAACTTATATTCAAATCTAAATATATTAGGTTTTTCATATTTTAGAGAGAAATCCCTATGTTATCATATCTATCTTCTTAACCATAAAGATATTAGAAGTCCAACTTTAAATATTCAATAAAAATCATTTTTCTTAAATAAATTAATAAATTATTATTATTTTCTTCCTTAATATATATGTTTTAATTAAATTTCAAGTTCAGAAATTTAAGATTTTGTTATACTTTTAAAGTTTCAATAAATTTATTTTGAAGATTTAGAGAACTTAATGAAATGATATGCATTTTTAATTTTTCAATATTTTTTTATTAGGATAAGCCTAAAAAAAATTATTCTAAAGCATTTTCGCTTAAAACGCAATTTTCAGTGATTTACAAATCTAAATCTTCTAAATTTTGAATGCTTGAAATATATTTTGATAGATTTATAATGACTTCGTCATTAATTTCACAAGATTTGATATTAATTGATAAGTTTTTAATATTTCGCATAGATTAGGATAATTATTGTCTAAAAATGAAAGTTTATTTACAATTACTTTAATCAAAGCAAAATGTTTGTAAACAACTAAATTAACTTAAGATTTAGAATAATATGTCTTCTTCTTCAGGAAATAATTCGTTGAATAGTTCTAATTTTAAATGAAATACTTTTGAAAGCTAATAACATACTTGTTGCAAAATATTAAATTATTTTTTAGATTAATAATTTTTAGGAAGAGATAAGCAAATATGATCTTAATTTATATCATACTGAATATGATTAATATAATATTCAATAGAATTAGAAGGATCTATCTAGATTTTATAATATTTATTTGCATTTTAATCCATTTCTAATAAAATATCTTTGCAATAAAAGTTTATAATTTATTTCATTATTATTTATTTTGTATATTTAATTAATTGACTGATTGATTTGATATTTATTATTATCCATTAAAATAAATCAATCATTTAAAAAATATTTATTCAATATTAACATAAATTTTATTTATATTAGCATAAATTTAATATTTTTTATATTTAAAAACTGAAATATTTAATGAATATTTTGATTAAAAATGCAGCCTGTCATTTCATTAATTTATTTATTTAAGTGTTTGCATAATTATATCTGTAGAATACTAATTAGAATAACTTTTTTTTCAAGTACATAAATTGGCATCAAATCTTTTTTTACAAATAATTAGAAAGTTCTATTAAAAAGTCTAAATTAAAAGAAAATATGATATTGAAAAAATAAATTAGTAAATTTTTAGCAAATTTAAATTACTCAAGCTAATAGCCCTTTTGTTATTCACTGAAGAGAGTAGCAGGAGAAGAAATTATAGGTATAGATTTAGGAACTACCAATTCATGTGTAGCAGTAGTTTAAAAAAATGGTCCTGTTGTAATTGAAAATTCTGAAGGTAAAAGAACTACGCCTTCTATTGTTGCTCTTGAAAAAGAAGGTTTTTCTTTAGTAGGGTAGCCAGCTAAAAACTAAGTAATTTTTAGTTTTGTAAATGTTAAAAGAATTCAAATATTTTAAATTTATAAAATAGGCAGTTGTAAATCCAGAAAATACTTTTTACGCTACTAAGAGATTGATAGGTAAAAGATTTGATGATAGAGATGTTTAAAAAGAAATGAAATTAGTTAACTATAAGGTAGATTTAAAAGATAATAAAACAAATTGAATAAATAGCAATTATTTTACTTATAAATAAATAGATTATACCTTCAGATAAAGGTGATGCTTGGGTTTAAACTAAAGAAGGGAAAAAATACTCTCCAAGTTAGATTGCAGCATTTGTTTTAATGAAAATGAAAGATACTGCTGAATAATATGTAGGAAAGGAATTAAAAAATGCAGTTATCACAGTTCCTGCTTATTTTAATGATTAATAAAGATAGGCTACTAAAGATGCTGGAACTATTGCAGGGCTTTAGGTAATAATTTTAAATTTGAAATATAAATAAAAGCAAAAGTTCAAAAATATGAAGCAAATTAAGTTCATTATACAAATTTAAATAAAGCAAAAAATAGCAAAAGCCAAAATTCTACTTGTTAACTATTATATAAAAATTAATTAAATTTATACTTTTTTATAAAAGGTTTTGAGAATTATTAATGAACCAACAGCAGCTGCATTGTCGTACGGTGCAAATAAAAATTAAAACAAAATTATAGCAGTTTATGATTTAGGTGGTGGTACATTTGATATTTCGATCGTTTAGCTTGATAATGGTGTTTTCGAAGTAAAAGCCACTAATGGAGATACTAGTTGTGGTGGTGAAGATATTGATGGAATGCTTTAGAGCTTTTTAATTAAATAATTTAAAGAATCATCCAATATTGATATAACATCTGATAAGATGGCTTGCTAAAGAATCAGAGAAGCTGCTGAAAAAGCTAAAATTGATCTCAGCTAATCAGATTCTACCGAAATTAACTTGCCTTATTTATTCAATACTCCAGCAGGTCCTAAGCATTTCAGATACTAATTGACTAGGAAATAGTTTGAGTAATTAGTTGGGTCATTTTTAGATAAGACAATAGATTCATGTAGATAATGCCTAAAAGATTCTGGCTTGACTATTAATTAAATTGATGAAGTACTTTTAGTTGGTGGTTCATCCAGAATTCCATATGTCTAAAAGTTGGTTTAGGACTTTTTTTAGAAGTAACCAAATAAATCAGTCAATCCTGATGAAGCAGTAGCTCTTGGTGCTGCTATTTAAGGAAGTGTTCTTAGCGGTATTATTATTAATTTGATTAAGAATTTTTAAATTGACATTGAATTTTTTAGGTAATATGAAAGATTTAATTTTACTAGATGTCACTCCTCTTAGCTTGGGAAAAAGTATAATTGGAGATATGATGAGTGTAATTATTCCTCGTAATACTCCTGTTCCATGCTCAAAGACAAAAACCTATACAACAACAAAAGACAATCAAACAAAAATTGACATTATTATTTATTAAGGTGAAAGAGAAGTTGCCTCTAAAAATAAGGAGCTTGGAAGATTTATGCTTGATTAAATTCCTATGGCAAGAAAAGGAGTTCCTAAGATAGATGTAACTTTCAGCTTAGACTCAAATGGTATTTTAAATGTTTTAGCAAAAGAAATTGGAACTGGAAAAACTAAAAAAATAACTATCTAACATCAAGGAGGTCTATCATCTTTTGAAATAGAATAGATGATTAAAGACGCTTAAAACCATAAAAGATATGATGAAAAAAGAAAGGTATTTATTTATTTTGTGTTATTTTTTCTATCATAGGAATTTAATATTTTTATGCTAATAAAATTAGAAATTGACAAAATTGAGACACGAATCTGAAGACTTAGTATAATAAATATCGAAAGAATTAGAAACGCATAAAAGTTCATTAGATAAGCAGGTTTATACAGAGATTAGTTAAGAGGTATCTAAGCTCAGAGAATTAATTTCAAAGAAATTAGCTTTTGAAGATATAAAATTGATAGAACCCCAATTAAAAATTACTAAAGAAGCAGGTTTTAAAATAGGTGAATCAATATATGCAAAGCACTAAAGAAAATAACAATCTAAGGAAGATTGAAACAAATTAATAAATAATATAAATATAAATAAAAGTTTTAAATATTCAATATTTTTTTTAATTTTATATATAAAATTTATTCATAAAACTTGAAAATATTCTTTTCAAATAAAAAAAAGCTTATTTAATTGATTATAACTTGCTTTAGCTATAGAAACATTTTGTAAATTAAACTGATTAAATTCATCTATTAATTTATATCAAGTATTCCTGAGTATTTTTTAATTTTATCTAAAATTAATTATTTGTGATAACGCAAAATTATTAAATTTAATCCACCGATTAAACTTCTAGTAAAACTAACTTAGATATATTTGTAAATACTCTGTATTTTTTATTTTGCTATAATTCAATCAAAAACTTTAAGCATATTTAAACCATCACTTTACGAATAGACAAAATAAAAACCAATAAATTTATAATTTTACATAAAGTTAAGTATCGTAGATATTTATTAAGATTAATTACAGTCAAAATGAGTAAACAAAGAAAATTTTAATATATTTTACCATGCTATTACAGAATAAAAAGCAGTAAATCACAAAGCTAACTTAAATATTTCCAATTGAAATGTATTAATATTATTTTTGAATTTCAAAATAAATCTCTTTGTAGAGTATCTTTTGATGGGTGATTTATAAAAAAAATATAGGTTTGAAAGAAATTTTGATTTAAAGGAGTAACAGAATATAAAAAAAATTAGAAATAAAATAAAAAATCAGATCAATCAATAAAAAGACTAAGAAATTTAACAATGTTAGTACACAAATACCTTTTTTATATTATTAAATTATTTATTTTAGACTTTTAGTTGTTCAAATTTCTAGAAATGACTCATTTTTCTTTTTGATTAAATTGATATTTATTTACATTAAAACAAAAATGGCTTATTTCAAATTGCTTGTTTGATTTGTTTCAAAAAAATGTAAGAATGTAGAAGAATCTTTTATTAAATTATGTACTTTAAAACAGTCATTAATTTTTTTTACAACAAATAAATGGTTATTTATAATATTTATCAAAATTAAAGTGTAATGTGAAGCTTTACAATCATTCAAATATATTTGGGGTAACTTTTTAATAAGTGAATGATAAAATTTTTAATTGAAAAAATAGAAAAATTTTCTGATTAACACAGAATAATCAGATAAAAGCTTACAAAAAAAAGAAATAAGAAAGCACAGATCTTTAAAAGAACTAATATCAAATTATAGTTTGTTTTTAATCATAATAAAAATGTTTTGATTTAAACATATGCTTTATTAAAGTAGAAATGACGAAGTTAAGTTAAGCATAAAAAAAATGTTAATATTTAAGAAATTTCATGCTTAATTTTTTTAAATTTCTTTCTTAACTTAGTGAGTTTCCAATAATATCTAATGAATAATATAGTACTAAGATAAATAAATATTGGTGATTAATTGCCAGAACCAGAATAAGTAAAATAAAATTATAATTTATTTAAGTTTTGCAAAGGTTCTAGTTAATTAAAAAGCTAATTAAAAGAATATTAAAAATTTGTGGTGTTTTTTAAAATGAGTAAATTAAGTTTTTAAATTAAGAATTCACCAGTTTAAAATCATAAACAGCCATTTCTAATAAATTTATCTTTTAATTTACTTTAATTTATGACAAAAAATGATGGTTAAGACTACAATTTATCTTTATCTTAAGTCGTAATTGAAAAGATTCAAAATTATTCAATTAATAATCTTAGGAAAATCCCAATTTTTCTAAATCAATCCATTAGGTATTCTTTATAAATTAATGAAAAAATTATGATTTATTCAAAAGCACATCACCAGATCAATATTTTTAATAATAAATAATAAATAAATAAATATTTTATAGATTTTTAAGCTTTAAAAAAAAGTTGAATCGCAATTTTTAAATAATAAATAAATAAATAAAAAATAGCAGTGTCTGTGAGACAGGATGGATAAAATTGATTTATTTGGTAGTCAGATATTATTAAGATTTAATGGCTAGCCAACTCATAACACGAAGTTTGGCTCTATTATCACTTTATCTATATTAACAATACTAGGTTTACGTCTTTTCTTTATAATCAAAGATGTGTTCCTGCGTACTAGCCCTTAAGTCATTTTCTAAGAAAGACAAGTAGATAATCCAAGTGTTTTCGAAATTACAAATGAGAGTTTCTAATTTGCATTTGGCATGTAAGATGCTAATTTTGATCATTATATAGATGAGTCTATATATAATATTCAAGTCACTCAGAGAACAAAAAAAAGTGTTCTCAATTAAGCTACTAATTAGTATGAAGATTAATGGATTGATAGAGATATTAAATTAGTAAGATGCAGTCTTGATAGTTTTCCTGATCCAGCAACTAAAGATAAATTTGTACAGCTAAAGTACTATAATATGTACTGTTTTCCAACTAATGAAACTCTTTACATTTAAGGAGATTTCGGGTCTCCTGAATATTAATTTTTAAGGTTAACCATCACTCAGTGTCAAAATTCAACAAATTAAGTTTGTAAGGGACCTGATGTCCTTAAGTCATATTTAAGATCTGCTAATTTCGCTTTGTATTTTTCTGATATGTTTGTAGACCCCACTAAAAAAAATGACCCTTTTTAAAAATTTTACAGAGATATGTTCTATACAACAAGTACTGTAGTACCCAAAGATGTTAACTTTTATTTAAGAAACAGCTATATCCAGAGCGATTTTGGATGGGTATAGGAAGATTTGGTGACCTTGCATCATCCTTAATTCAGCTACACAGATGTTAATGTAATTTACTATTTTCTAATTATTTGGAGAATGTTTATATAAAATTTTGATAGTATTTTATAATTGGTTTTTCAGAAATTTATTAATTCTTTTTTAATGTAAATTTTTAAAGATTGAGCCTTCAGATTTTTAAGATTATTTCCTTTAAATGATCGTTAGATTCGAAAAACAAAAAGAAAATTTATATCTAAGATATTATAAGAATCTCAATAACATTATTTCAGAAATTGGTGGTTTTACTCAGAGTTTACTAGCCATAGGATTTTTGATTTGCTCAAGGTTTTCTTAATTAGATTTAAATAAAAACATCATTAACGAGGCATTTAATTTCAAGAATATCCCCTTAAGTTCTTTCTATAATTAAAGTGGTAAAAGATCTCCATAGAGCTCGTCTGATGATAACGAATGTAAGAAAGAAGATGAGAAGATCCAAAAAAATGTAGATCGAAACTAAAATAATTCTAATTTAATTAACATATTCCCTATTTCAAGTCCTTCTAATTCATATATGAATTAAAATTATTAATCATCAGCTATCGATTTGTTTCCTAGTACAGCGAGGGGTAACTTAAATCATACGTAAAATCTACAGAACGAAATTTACTAGTAACAATAACTTTAACAACCTCAAATTTTTTCTCCCAGCAAAATTCAAAGCTAGATAAATAATTCTCAATCCTCACCTTTATCTAAAAAGTAATACAAAGTCAAAAATGCTCTAAATGAAACAGGTTTATCTATGAATGTAAACTAATCTTCTTCTGCTATGTTTGTAAATGAACAATAATTTTTAACAAATTTGATCTAACAAAACTAATACAAGGAATAACAAAAACAGAATTAGCAGGATTAGTTAGCATTCATTTCTACAGATCATGAAAAAGTAAAGAAACAATAGCAAAGACTTGAAGAGAAAGAGCAAAAAATAAAAGAGTCCATTTTCAAAAAATTAATGCAAAAAACAACTAGCCATATGAGCTTAGGTGTGTTTGAATATTTGAAATTACTTATTTGGCCATTCGGGAAATTAAAAGAAAAAAAGAAAGTTTTGGATTTTAGTATTGATACACTTTACTATCATCTAGATGTAATGTATGTTGTCAAAAAGCTTTTAGAAGTAGATAAGTTAAAATAGATATTATTAGATAAAGATTAACTTAAGCTTTTTGAATACATCCCTAAGCCAACCATAACTTCAAATTATGGCTTTACAGAGAAAGAAGATGACCTGCAGATAGATATTGATACCTAATACTAAGATAAAAGAACTGAACTGCAAAAAGCACAATAGGCTTTCAACGCTTATCAAAATATATCCAATAAAGAACATTAAAATTTATTAGATAATAGGATAATAGAACTGCTTGATCCTAAGTTATTAGAATTATTTGGATCACCTTCAAAGAGAAGTAGCTTGAATTTAAATTAATAAAACCTTAATGGTACTACTAACAATCAATAAATAATTCTGTTATAACAATAACATTCTTAAAGTTAAATTTAATTTGAATAGTTAGAATCAGCTAGGAAATCTGATAATTTATCACCTAAACTTCAAAATGGGGTATCTCACTAAAATGCTAACAGCTTTTTAAATTAATAATAAAAAAATATTCACTTTTTTAAATCACAAAATAATCACGCTTAACAAAAAAATAATTCCATCCAACAATCACTAACTTCTTCTCAATAAAATTAATAATCCTCCCCAAATTAATAAATTACTTCATCAAAAGTAAAGTTATAAATTTAATAAGATAACACACACAAAAGGAAAAAGTCAATTTCAATATAAGAAATATAAAACCAATCGATAATCTAAGAAAATAATATCAATAATATTAGTAAAATTATATAATAAAGCTTTCCGATCAGTATGATAGAAAATAATAACAACAACACCAACAATCCAGATTTGAAAGTTGAATCTCATATTAGCATATCTGAAGATAATGCAGCTGCCAGTTAAAGGGAAGAAATTGTAACTGAAGGCTAAGAAAATGCTAGCGAAGGTGAAGAAATTCAAAAGGAATAAGCTAATGACTTCATTATAAGTAAGACAACTAAAGAAAATTAAGAAAAATAAAGTTAATAAAAAGACTTTTAAGAATAGTGATTCTTCTATAGATAATACAGAAATAATATTTCTTTTAAACATCAAATGTAAATAAATCTAAAAGAAATTTTATTGATCATTAAAAAATTTTTGATAGAGGAGTAAATAAATCTCAGCTTTTAGCTTACACCTAATAATTTAATTTATAATAAAAAATGACAATTATTTCTTTAATAAGAATTTTATATAATTTACATATTAGTATTGCATCATTTAGTTTAGTTTATTACTTATTCATTATAAATATTATAATTTCTATGATTGCCCTTACTATATGGACAGATAGATGTTAATCAAGAAAGCAATATTTATTCTCAATATCTTTCATCTTAATACTTATTTTAATGCTAACTTTAAAAATAGTGTTAAATTTCAATAGAAGAAAATAATTGTTTTAATAATAGATTCAAGCATGTACTTATTACTATTTCAAATTACAATTAAATTTTTACTAGGCTAAGATTAAAAAATCTTAATTTGTATAAATTTAAAGAAAATTTAGTAAAGAAAGACTTCTTCATTTTTATTAATTATAGATAGTAGCGTTGCAAAAGAATTAAAAAATACTTTGTTGTTGTTCTTTTAAAACGTAATAAATGAATGAAGTCTTCCTTAGATAAAATAGTCTTTTAATAATTACCAAAATATTAGCTTTTTTGAGTTTTTTCACTATTTAATTAAAAATTTTTTATCAAAATTAATTAATTTTCACAAAAGTATTCAAAAAAAATCCAATAAATACTATTTTAAATACTTTTATAGTAAAAATTAAATTTTGCAAATTACTTAATAGCTATATTTGATGCTGAATTAAAAAAAACGAATAGAAGATTTTTAATTAAACATTTCGAAGAAATTTTAACATTTATGCTAAAAACTAAATTTACAATTATATACACTTAATTTTATTTAAAAGAAATCATTTTATGGATGAAATAACTTTATCATACTTTAAAAATATTTATTTCTTTTATTATAGATGTTATTTATTATATGTGTTTTCATATTACATAAATTAAAAAATTTATTTAACTGAAATTAAATAAAAAAGGAAAAGTTATTTACAAACTTTTATTACTCATTTACATCAATTTACAAGTTAGTTTTGAATCTTCGATTTTTGATATAGAATAATTAAATTAAAATACTCCATCAAATGAAAATCTATTTATTTGTGGTGTTGCTATAGAAAATTAAATTTAATAATAATTAAAAAACAATAAAAAAATAAAAATCAAAAAAAATATCAATAATATTCATTTTAATATAATACAAAATAAAATTATGAAAAAGCTAGATCTTTTTGGCAGCTAGATTCTTTTTAGATTTAACAGGGAGCCAGCTCACTAAACCTATTTTGGATCAATTTTCACATTAGCTATAGTGTCCATAGTAGGGTTGCGTCTTATTTTAATTATAACCTCTGTTGTTTAAAGAACTAATCCTGTTGTCATTTACTAAGAGCGATAAGTAGATAGCCCAAAATTATTTACAATAAATTAAAACACTTTCTAAATGGCATTCGGAATGCAAGATCCTAATTCTAATTAATTCATTGATGAACAAGTTTATAACATTACTGTTTAAAATATACATAAAACTACGAAGGCCGATCCTACTACTGGTAAGTCTACTGATAGTTATATAATAACTTAAGTACCACTTACAAGATGTTCTTTAGCTAATTTTCCAGATTAAAATAATCTTCATTACTATCAATAAATAGACTATACTAATATGTATTGTTTTCCATTAGATTTCGATTTATAAATAGAAGGAGATTTCAGTGCTGATTCTTTTTAATATATTAACATTAATATTTAAAAGTGCTCATCAAATTGCAAACCCGATGATTATATACAGAAAATGTTAGATTATTCATTTTTCTCAATGTAATTTTCTGATATAATTGTTGATCCCACACAAAAAACAAATCCTTTTAAACATTACTCTAGAGATACTTTTTTCTCAACTAGCTTATAAATGCCCAAATAAGTTGCTTTCTATATGAGAAACAACTACGTTGAAAGTGATTATGGATGGATAACCTCAGATATAGAGACTGTTGATTTTCCTTCATTCAGCTATGCCGAATCAAATGTAAGAAACTGAAAAAAATTTCATGATTAAAGATTATTTGCTATTTTTTATGTAAATTATTAAAAAATTAAAAATAGCTATTTAATTTTTACAATCAATTTTGATATTCTAGTTTGAAGATGAAATAATTAATTAACTAAGAATTTATTTATTATTACATTAAAATAGGTTTATCCAAGCACTTTCTAAGATTTTTTCTTCTCGTTAATCTTTCGCTTTGAAAAACAAAAAGAGAGTCTTTACACTAGGAAATATTAAAATTTAAATGACATCATTTCCCAAATAGGTGGGTTCTCTTAGTCTTTACTGGCTATAGGTTTTCTAATATGCTCAAGGTTATCTCAACTTGACCTAAATAAAGAAATAATAAATGAAGCTTTCAACTATGAAAATGTTAACTTCGAAGAAGAGAAAAATTTTAAAATGTTTAAACCAAATGATTAAAATGAAATGGCTGCTCATGTTTAATAAAATATTAGTCCACCAATTAGTTAAGATATTTCATTTAATAACATGTAATAAGTTTGTGTTAAAAAAAAATTGAAAATATTTCACAAAGTCCAAAACATTAAACTAAATAATTTTTTAAATAAGATCAGCCTTGTGTTAATTAATCTGATAATAAAGGCAGTTTGATTAAACCAATATCAATCAATCCTAATCAATCTTATATCAATAACAACAATCAATTAACTCCTACTAATGGAAATATAAATTAAAATAATTAATAATCTTTTATTAATTAAGCAAACTAATCCAATAATGCTAACCAAAATTTAGCTACAAAAAGATACTCATTTAGAAATAATTTTAAACCTGAAAATTAGATGCATGATTCTGATGAAAAAAAAGGTTTAGAAGATATGCTATCAAGCAAGCAATATTTTTTGCAAATTCTCAAAAGTAAGATGAAAATGAAAAATAATTTTTATCTTATTTAATTTAAAACAAAAATTCAGCAGTGAAAAGCAATAAGCATAAAGATGATTGCACTTATTAATTGTCTTAAGACCATTAAAAATTGAAATAGCAGTAATAAAAATTAGAAGAAAAAGAATAAAAGTTAAAAGAAAGCTTTTTTAAAAGACTAATGTAAAAAGCGACGAGCAGCATGACTTTAAATACTTTCGAGTATTTGAAGTTCTTTTTGTGGCCATTTGGATAAAAGATTTAACAAAAAAAGAAAGTTATTGATTATAGCATAAATTAGCTTTATTAAAATTTAGATGTTCTCTATGTTATTAAAAAACTGATGGAAGTTGATAAGTTAAAAAACATACTCCTCAATCCTGATTAGCTTAAATTATTTGAATACATCCCGAAGCCTACAATTAGGTCAAATTATGGATTTTGTAAAAAGGCTAAAGATATTCAATTTGAAATAGATGATCATTATTAAGACAACAGGACAGAGCTTTAAAAGGTTCAATAAGCTTATTAATCATATTAGAATATAGCAAATAAATAAAATTTAAGTGCTCTGGACGTTAAAATACTACAGCTTTTGGATTAAAAGCTGCTTTAATTATTTGGATTTAGCTAGAATTAAAGAGATTCTTTGATATAAAATATATAACTAATACCACAAAATATAGAAGTTTCTTAATATTTGGACCCAAATTTAGGACATAGAAATGCTAAAGATAAAATATAAACCTAATCTATCTCTATATCAAACTCAAACTCTGATGAATATAAAAATGAAAAAATTTAAGAATTTTCCAATTTTAAATTAAATAATTAACCAGCTCCAAACGCAGCGAAAGAAGAGTATCAATTCATCTTCAGTCCAAAAGGCGAAAACTAGCACATGATCAACACAGCTAAAGATAACCAAATATTGAGTGCCCGATTAGATACTGAGAAGAGTATGTATTCAGATATAGCGGGAAACGAAGCTGAGCTGAAGTAAAACGAAATTCATTAATTTGAGAACTCTAACCCTAAAGGCTAGAGCTAATTAAACCAGTGAATTGTGTGGATAAAAAAGTTAATAAATTAAATATAATTTATTTCATTATTTTAAATGTAATAATAATTAATTAATTAAGTTTTTACTAAAAATAGAATTCAAAACTGATTTTGTTTAATTAATTAATAAAATAAAATACGTAATGTTTTATAAAAATTAATTTAAAAAAATGTTTGCTTGTCGTATTTTATTGACTTATAATTAATGTGATTAATTTCATTAAATTAATAAATTTCTAAGCAAATATTTTCTAAAAATACAAAAAATTTGATAAACTTAAAATTTATATTCTGAATACTCCTCTCCTTATTATTATAAAAAGAAATAATTTTAAATTCTAGTTTCAAAATAATTATAATTTCATAGGTATCATATAAATATCGATATAATTTGTCGTTTGAGATCATAAATAAAACACTAGAAATTTTGGAAGAAATTTAGGAAAAATACAAAATAATACACAAAGGCTTATGGAGTTAAAAAAATTAATAAAAAATTGAATAAAGTATAATTAAAGCTAGAATATTTTACATTATAAAGGAGAGTTTTTGACCATATAAAATCAAACAGAATTTGAGGCTAGTAATCATTTAAACTAATTTTAAATCTAATCTGAGAGAAATGAATATAAATTATAAAGTAATAGTAATTCTTGAATAATATTAGGAAAAATACAAAATAATACCCAAAATAAAATTATGAAGTTAAGAAGAATTAATAAAAAATTGAATAAAGAAAATATAGCTAGCATTTTACACTATAAAATAGATTTATATACCATATAAAATCAAACAGAATTTGAGGTTAATAATCATTTAAATTAATTTTAAATATAATCTTAAAGAAATAAATATAATTATAAAGTAATAGTAATTCTAGAATAATAATTAATATTAGGCTGCTTAAATTTTAATTATACTTATTTGCATTTTCAGTCATAATGATTAATATCATTATTAATTTAATAGTAAAAAAAAAAAATAGAAGAAAAAAAGAAAAATAATAAGCTAGAATAAAAACTATTAAGAAAATAAAAGTTTTAATAGGCAACAAAAAAGCTGGATTCCTCTCAGAAACCTTAATTTCGCTAAAAAAATTTCTTCAAACTTAATTGATTTGGCATATTTGTTATTAGTGCTAAACGAAATATGTATACATAGCTATTATTTTCTATATTTACTTTTGCTTAGCTTGCAAAAATAAGCCTAAGCTAGAACTTACAAACAATAAATGGAAATCTACCAGTTTTTTAACCTTTTCCGCTCTCTACTCTTTAGCCTACAAGCTTATGTTAAAATGCAACAACTGATGTCATGGCACTTTTTACTCAAAGCTAAAAAAATATGCTTGCACTGAATTTAGAGCTTTGCGGCTTTGCTATATATGATTTAAGTCAATTATCATCAGGGTAAGTAGAATTAATATATCATGCGTAATTTAACTAGGACAAAGGTTCTGTGCTTTCTTTAAGTGTAACAGATGAACAAAAATTTCTTTGGGTTGGTTATACAAAAGGAATATTGGAAATTTATGATTTATCTTAGTAAAGTTTCCCTATGATTTACTCAAGTAACATTACTTTTTATGGCAATCAAGACAATGTAAATAAAGTAATTCAATTTCCAAATTAAAATGTGACTTTTTTAGCTTGTTTAAATAATTTTAAAATGGTCAACTTTATTAATAACTAACTTTCCATCATTTAAACATACAATTTATCTGATTGGAATATAATTAAAATGAGATTTGCTTTAAATTAGTCTGTACTTGTTGTACTAGGCTACACCTCTCTCCATTTTTACTAGCAAACAATATTAAGCTTTTAACAAGGATAATTAAATTTAACATGCAATTATTAACCAAGTACTGCATATATTTTAAGTTCTTTTGAAGTTATTTAAGAATCAATACTTGTTGTCCAAATTTCACTTTCTCAATATATAATGATTGATATCACTAAGTATATAGCCTCGTATGACGGTAAAACTTGTAACGTAAATACAATTACAACTCTCAACACTTATCCCTCCACTCCTCTTGGAAATAATTTTGCTCTCTCAAAAGATGGAAAATTCCTATACACTCAACAAAGTTCTTTGGGAATCTTAATTTTTGATGTAAGTCAAAAAAGCCTTTAAGTATTTTAATCAGTTAAAATTAATGGATACTGCGGAGACTTGTAACTGAGTGATGATGAAAATTTTGTATTTTACTCTAACTAGTATAATGTGCAGATTTTTTAAACAACTGCTCCAAATTTAAATTTAGATAAACCTAACCTCCTTTTAAACTAGTATCAATTGACAAGCTATTCTTTTTACAAAACAAAAGGGTTTAGCTTTGATAATCAAATAATATTTTAATAGCCAAGCAATTATTTGTATATGGCTAGAAAAGACTAAGGGAGTGCCATATTTCAATACTAGGGTTCAGGAACTTTATAGCTAAAGTCTCAAATTCAGAATGGAATACCAAACATTTCGATTGCTTATCAAGCTATAGTTCCAGGTACTTCTATATTCTATCAAAGTAGAGAAATTTTGGGCTTATAAATAGCTGACTGTTCTAATATAACAGCTCCTGTAGTCCTCAAACAGAACATTACCTTTAATTTAACAAGTATTAAATTTGAGATGATTGTATTTAATTCTAAGGGAACTTTAGCTTTTATTGCAAATCTAGTAAATCTCCTTATCTTAAATACAACTGATATCTTAAACCCTGTACTGCTTTCTGTCCTTAACACTCACCAATATCTAAACGGGGATTAAAGTCTCTACAAATTCATGCTTTCTAATGATGAAAAGACACTATTATTGTGTGCTTAGCTTTATGGAATAACTTTTGCTGACGTCACAAACCCTTAGCAGCCTTACTTCTTATTTTAATTAGAATAATAAAACATAAATTTCATCCAGTAATAAATTTTTTTAATTTTTTATTTGTAAAATTTAAATTACAATTTTGTTACTATTTTAGAGATTAAATTAATTATTATTTATAGATAAACGATGGATAGTAAATATTTGATTGCAGGACTCAGATTTTATGGAGTCTATATTTATACAATAAATTAAGACAGAAGTATAACTTTCCTCTCTTCTGTATAAATAAATGGTGTCCTTTACTTTTAATGGTTGATTTACCAAGATAATTATTTAGTAGTAGGTACAGGAATTAATAACTATATATTTTTAGTGAATTTAGTTGATAAGGCTAATCCTTTTGTTGTACAGAGTGTGTCGCTATATGGGAATCGTCCTATTTATTGGATTTCATCATCCTAAGACTAATCGTTTGTTTTTGTCTCAGCCTATTCAGCACTTTACTAACTGTTCCTTTAAAGTTCTATTATTATCCATTCTTAATATTACTTGCTAACTCCTATCGAAAATACTAACCAATATAGTCGTTAATTGTTAAATATTGGATAGCCTTTGATGGTTGGATAGTAGATAGAGATCTACCTAGTCAATATTTACTAGGCTAAAAACCTATAAATTAGCTAGGCATTTTACTATTAGAATCTGATTGTGTAAAATCTACCGAGCTGGATGTAATATTCTCCAACTACTTAAGTATTAAGTTTATAAGTATCAAGAGATTCTCTCATCCCTGATCAAAACGGAATGTATGTTGGCAAGACACTCCAATAAGTCATATTTTTAAGCTATCAGCAAATAGCATAAAATGCATTCATAAATTCAAATTTAAACATTACTGCTAGTGATTCGTCTTCTATTTGGTCAGCTTGCATGAAAGTTGGATACTTGAATAACTAGGGTTATATTTCATCAACTTACTCTCCATTAAATATGTTTACTTTAGGTGGTGATCAATAAACTGCAGTTTACCTTGCAAAATGGAACTCTTCTCAAAGCTAAATATAGTCAATACTAAATTTCGTTTAATTTATTTTAAACTAAAACATAATCAATTATGTTGTTTAATTCTAAACATAATCATCACTTATTGTGAATTTCACTAATCAGGCTCATCCAATTTAGTCAAACCAGTAGCAAGTTACAGTTACCCTACAAACTTCTAATGGAAAATTTGTTTAAAAAACATATCCAGGAATTTTGAGTGTAATAAATTCACTTGAGAATGTAATACAGTTATAAGGATCAATATCCAGCATTAATTTTGTTTTATTTAAAACAATAAAACTTTCTTTAACAGATAATTCATAAAACTCCACAAAAATTTCGATTGTAATTGATGATTCTATCAATTATAAGTATATCACAACTCTTAATTTAAATTAAGCTACGTTTATTTCACAATAATCACCAGTCTTATTAATAGGAAAGCTTTAATAAGATTTTAATTAGCAATACCCTGGTGGAGAAATTGCAATTTAGACAGCTTTTTCTTACAAATTAAATTCATCTATATTTGTATGCAAAGATTCATAGCAATTAATCTACTCAGCTTAAATAAAAATAAAAGACTAATATTAAAATATACCTTAAGGATATTGGCTATCATTTTCCTCAAATGAATAAACATTTGTTGGAAATCCTCAATCAAATATATACTATGAAAGCTTTACTGTAAAAGTCTAAGTGACAGATGGATACACAGTAGTTGAAGATGAATTAGTAATAAAGGTTGATCTAGTTCCTTTCATGTATATAGTTTAGATTTTGATATAGATCATAGGTCCAATCCTGGGTATTTTTGGAGTCTGGAAATATAGAACTTCGTTATATAACACTATTTATAAAAGTAGATGTATTTACACTCAAGAAATAGTTTATGTATCTTAATACTATGAAAAGAACATAATAATAGCAAGCGATACATTATCTTACTCTCTTTAACTCTGGAAATAAGTTAAAAATAACCTCCCTGTGGAGCTTGTGCAGTAATAAATTAATTAAGCTGCATAGAATAAAGAGTTAGTAGCAGAATTGCTAAAAAAATACTCATAAATTTATGAAAAAAATTAAAACAAACCTAATTTTTTAGAGGAACTATAAAAATCAATTAACCCCTATTTGAATCATTATGCTGATTCAAATGATGAAGAATAAAGTTATAAAATACAAAAATAATTTAGATTACTAAGCTTATCAGATAAGAATCAAATACCTCTTAAATCTAATACTTTTAAAGATTCCCCTCTTTCTCCTGAATTATCAAGAAATAACTTGATTGATAGCCCGTCACAGGGCTTTTTAAGGAAATAGAAGTCTATTAGTGATAAAAATTAAAAAATAATGAGAAAATTTTCAATTTAGTAAAAGAAAATTAACTAAAGTTTAATTTTGGAAAAACAGATTGATACAAACGCTAGTAAAAAATTATTTAAAGACCATTTTTAAATTGACTTCAACTCAATAAAAAATATGATTTTTTAGATTTAAACAAGTTTACCTGTGAAAAAATAAATTCTCTCTAAGTAATAAATAAAGTAACTTAATATGCCTGAATCGCGTTTATAAATAACAATAAAAGGGTTAGCAACATAATATTTTGTATTATGTTCTCCAATTTGTTCATATATCGTGTAGAAGCTTAAAGAAAAAGCTTTATAAATCTATAAATAAATAGATTGGTACAGAGCTTATGTAACTTATTAACCATAGATTATTGATGAAAATACATATCCTAAATATACAATCAACTATGATTGCTTTAAAATTGCAATTTAAGAAATACTACATGAAATGTAGTAATAGTAGTAGTTGTTTTAGTTGTTTCCATAAAATAATGAAACAGTCTAAACTGAAAATAACAATTCTAAAAACTATTTAGAATATATTGTAGTTTATCTACCTTTGATTGAAGAATATATATTTGCTTAGGCTTTAGGAATTTCTAATTAAACCAAAAGAAAATACTAAATTTCTTAAGGTGATACTTTACATTGTAAGCCTTTTAAAATACGTTCCATCAAATGTTTTGAAAAAAGTTAAGGATTTAGTTGCTGTCACAGTCTCTAAGAGTTTTTAGGAATGAATATGGTAGAAAAGGGGCTCTCAGAAAATTAAAGGCTACCTGAGTGGATGTAAGTTGAATATAAAAAATCTCATATATCTATTAAAGGAACTCCAAGCTAAGAGCATGCTGGTTTATCGAGATTAAAAATATATGATTTGGATGGATATCTTTTAAGATAATTTGATATCAAAGTTATGCCACAAAAGAAAGATAGTGTTAATGATCCATAAATTACTTAGTAAGTAAAACTACTTTAATCTTAAAATACTGAATTAAATACACTATTAAAAGAAGCCAGTCCTTAATTTCAATCTACTTGCCGTGGTTATACTAAATCTCACAGTGATGAGATATTAGAAGAAGAAATTACCTCTGTCAAAAGATATATAAGTATTGAGAAAAAATCTAATAATAAAAACTTTAATACTCTCTCTGAAAAATAAGAATAAAATTTTAGTTTATAAATCTGAAATACTTTTCACTATTTTATTCAAAAAAAAATTATAAATATACTGAATTATATTCACTTTTCTTGTTTTGCTTTTTTTTAAAATATTTTAATTTTACTTAATATTCACTTTTATCTTTTTTGTATTTTGAATTTCTTTTTAAATTAAGAATTTATTATGTTAATATTAATTTTAATTTGTGTTGATAAAATAATTATTAATTTATTTAAATTTATCTTGAATTTTTTGAGATAATAAACATTTTTAAAAAATATTTTAAATCCTCACTAATTAAATTAATTAAAATATAAATTTACTGAAAAATAATAATATAATCCAAAATGGTACAAATTTAAGGTGAGGTTAGCCTTAATTATCTAGAAACTACAGTATATTATAGTATATCAAAAAAAGTAATACTATTCACATATTTTAATTAAATTTAGATCAAATATATCTTATCAGGAGAGTAAAATTAGCAAATATTTATTATCATCAAATTTATACAATTTAATAAAAACAAATTCTCAAAATAAATAAGACAATTTATATTAAAAATATGCTATGAAATTTTTTAAAAATCTCACATAGAGATTAAAAGAAGTTACTAAGATTTCTATTCATATTTTAATTAGAAAAGTCAATTTACAAATAAATAAAATGTTTGATTTTTCAATTGAAAATTAGAACTGTTAATTCAATGAAAAAAATATTTAAATGTTAAAATAATAGAATAAAAATTGCTAGAAATAATTGATTTAGGATAGTGATATTTTAGTGATGATTTCTTAAAGTGTTTATGAAGTTTCTCCTAATTAATTTATGTAATTGCGTAATAGAGATACTTATGAAATTATTTAATTAATCATTACTTCAAAAAAAATTAATATATTGCGTAATAATGAAAATACAATCTAATTTGTTTATAAAAATTGAATAAATTTAAAATAATCATTACAAACAAATCCATATAATTTAATTATTATCATTTCTGATTATCTTTGGTTGCCAATTGATAATTGAAAAAATTATTTATAAATCAGAAGTATACTTTTTGAATAGCATTTTTTTAATCCTAAACAGTTAATCTAAATGCTTAACTGCATAATATTAAAGCATACTTAAAATTTTTTAATGCTAATTTTTTATTGGTGATGAAGTATTTAGTAATTTCATTTAAAAATAAGGCTATTCTATTTGATTGTTTAAAATTCTATTTCATTTTAAATTTGAATGAATCTATTATTTATTATAAAGCAAGCAAACATTCATTTAAATTTTGTTAAAAATTTTAAATAGCGTATTAAAAAAATACGTATACTAACTTATCGTCAATACACCTTTGAAGGATATTATAAAGCCTTTTTTAACAATTTAAAAATTTTCTCTACTTTAAACACGAAAAATAAACTACTACGCATGTACTTATTGAGATACAATGCAGAATTTTAGTTTTATTGTGCTTTCGGCTTGCTCATTTTTTTTTTTTGGCAGTATTCTATTTGATTATGAATTTTACTTTCTATTATAAATTTATTATGTCATTACTTTCTACTTGCTTTTTTATTAGCTTTAAAAAAAGCTTTATAATATTAATACTAAATTTTAAGCTAGTACTAAGAATTTTTAAGGAGGGTTATAGACAATCTCCATTTATGAAATTTTTAAAGTTATCTAAAGGTTCAAACGCTTTCAACAAAAAATATATTATAACGATTTAGATACAAATATTGATATAAATTTATAATTCAAAGCCGTATCAGGTTTATCATGTTCGCACTTTGTTAAATAAAAGAAAATTTTTTAGCTTGGGTAAAGTTAACTTATTAATTACTAATAAAGAAGGGGGTACTAAAAATAAATATGGATACCTAACTTAAAATTTAAAATAGTCCTAATAAAATGCCAACAAACAATAGACGGAGGCTACAGATGACTTATTGAGGGTAGAGGAGTTACTTTTCATATGTTTTAGATGAGATTAAGACCCAATAAGGTGATATCTCAAGATGTACAACTATGGTAGAGATTTTAGGAAATACTAAATCTTATCAATAATACGAGAGATGTGTATCTAAAATTCAATATTAAAGCGTATCAAAATATCAGACTTAACAAAATAATTCGCAATATTGACGGCTCGTAATTTTGCAATCACGTATTATTTAAAAAATTTTTCAAAATAATACGCAGTTTCTATCTCTTTTAATATAGATTGAATATTTAGCATATGTAGATGTATAATCAATAAATTAACACTAAAATAAGTAAAAAAAAAAATATCAAGTATCTCCTTATAAAAATGTCTCACACTGCTATCAACACCAACTTTGTCACCTTAACCAGAAACTTAGTTTTTGAATAACAATAAGTCAAGGAAGCTTCTGGTGACTTCACTCTCTTACTTTCTTCCATCCAAACTGCTTGCAAGTTCATCTCTTCCAAGGTCAAGAAGGCTGGTATTGCTAAGCTCTATGGTCACCACGGTACTGAAAACTCTAGTGGAGATTAAGTCAAGAAGCTCGATATCCTTTCCAACGAAGTTTTCGTTAACTGTCTTAGATCCAGTGGTAAGGTTGCAATTATGGCTAGTGAAGAAGAAGACAAGCCCATCGAAGTCGAAATCAAGAACCAAGGTAAATACGTTGTCAGCTTCGACCCCTTGGACGGTTCCTCTAACATTGATGCTAACGTCTCTATTGGTTCTATCTTCGCTATCTGGAGAAGATAAACTGAAGAAGAAACTGGTGCAACCATTGAAGATCTCTTACAAGATGGCAGAAGCTTAGTTGCTGCTGGTTACTGCTTATATGGTTCTTCTACTCACCTAGTCCTCTGCACTGGTCACTAAGTTAACGGATACACCTTAGATCCTTCATTGGGTGAATTCCTCTTGACTCATCCTGACATCAAGATTCCCAAGAGAGGTAACATCTACTCCATCAACGAAGGTAACTCTACCTACTGGGATGAATCCGTTAAGGAATACATCCAAGCCAAGAAGTTCCCCACTGATGGTACTTCTCCCTACTCTCTTAGGTAAATAGCTTTTACAAGCTTTCTTATATGAATTTATTATTTTATTCAGAGCCTTTAATTAAATTCTACTTTTAAAATTTTAGATACATTGGTTCCATGGTTGCTGATGTTCACAGAACTTTACTTTATGGTGGTATCTTCTTATATCCTACCGACAAGAGAGTAATTATTTTATTTTCACACTTATTAAAATGAAACTATTTATATAGCTAGTTATCAGTTAGCTTTTTTGGTAGTGTTTAAGCTTAAGCCTACCAAAACAGCTTGCTAGGCATCAATTATAAATTTATTTTATTAATTAATTCTAAAATGTTTTTTTAATGTAAAATAGTCTCCCAAGGGTAAATTAAGAGTTTTATACGAATGCTTCCCTATGGCTTACATCGTTGAAAAGGCTGGTGGTAAGGCTATCACTGGAGAATGCAATGTTTTGGATATCAAGCCTAAGTCTATCCATGAAAGATGCGGTATCATCTGCGGTTCCGTTGAAGATGTTACTGAAATTGAAAATATTTACAAGACCCACAAGCAATGAACAAATTAGCTAAGCATGTGAGTGATGATTGAACTAATAAGTTGGTCCGTCATCCTCATTTCAAAAAACAAAAAAAAGCATTGTATAAAAAATAAGGAAAAACATTAGTACTAAAAACAAGCAAAAATCCTAATAAAAATTAGTTAAAGTTAATTATTAAAGCAAATTTAAATCTTATTAGAGAAGAAAGCTTAAATATAGATGAGCAAAGGAACAAAAGGAAAATATATATTTAATAAGTAATGAAAATGCAAATGGATCAATACAAATAAAATATTTTAAAACATTCTATATTTATTATAAAATTCAATTTTGATTGTAAATTCATACTTTATATTCTATGTTTTCTTTGCACAAATATTTATAAAATTTCTTCTGACAATAGGAGATAAAAATAGCTTTTCAAAATATAAATAAATAGATGAGCATTTAATTTGCTTTTTTTCTTTTTCTTATTTCAATTTAATTTAAGTCAAGAATTGAATTTGGTAAGAAATTTTTTGGTATTGAGTTAATAACTAAATAATGAAATAAACAATTGAATAATAAAGTAAAGTCATTAAAAAAACCAAATAAATAGTCTAAGACTTTTTCTAGTAATCTTGTATAAAATTACATACATATTTCTACTATTTGGATGGAAACAAAGACACAAGCAATAAAATAATAATACTCATTCTTCATTTCTTTTAATCAAGTAGAAGAATTTTTTAAATATTATAATTTTTTAAATTTAGTTCTAGAAATAGACAACTTATAAAAAATATTTGGAATACCAAATAATTTTTAATTTACCCTCATATTAATTCTAACCCAATTTAGGAAAGTATTTTTTTGCTAAATTTGTCTAATATTTTTATTTTTATATGTAAGTTTTTACAAAAATAAAATTTCAATACACATTATAAATATTTTTATCAGATAGATTAAGTTAATAATTATAAGTCTCTGATTAAATAAAACTCAGTATAAAACTTTTTTTGTGCCATATTCATGATTACCTAATAACAGTTTTTATTGATAATAAAAATAATTAAAATTATTTTTTTTGGTTTCAATCAAAATATTAAAGAATAAAATAGAATCTTTTAATTTAGTAAGATAATTAATTAAATTTTTGAATTTCATTTTATTATTTAGTGAATGGTAGGTATCCTTTAAATATTTTTTTTTAATTCATAAAAAATAAATAAACTTATTTTTACCTGTTGAATAGTCAGCATGTTAGTCTAAAATAAAATTTTTAGATCTGACAATATTATAATAGTGTTATTCTTTATTTTCCCAATTTCTAAATTATTCTCTGTCATATTTATCTATTAATAATAAATTAATATTTTAATTATCAAAACTCATATGTACTCAAAATTATCTTAATTACCCCAACTAGCATTTACTCCATATCTTGGCTCATAAACTGCAGATACTTTCTAAATCAAAGGATTGTATATTTTTTTCATTCTCTTATCACTTTTATAGTTATAAAAAGTTAAAAATTTAATAAAATTTAAATTTATTTACTTTAGTATATCAGGAGAAGAGTAATATTGGTTATCAATTTGAGATGCACTTAAAGGTTATTAATATCCTTACTACTATTAATAATTTTTTTAATCATTATACTGTTGTTATAATTATTATTGGGAGCTTCGACGCTCTTAAACATTTTAATCATATATCTAAGGTGGAGGGATATTTTAGTTAGGTAAATAATCTTATGGTATTCCTTTTTACTGAAATTATTGGTTCATTTACTTTTCTTACTATTAAAGTTACTATTGATATGCAGGATTATCAAAGTCTTTTTGCTTTTATTATTATTATTAGTATTAATCTTCCTAGTAATTATTTGTTCGCTAATCATATTGTTACTAATTATTTAAATTATAGTCATTTTAGTACTATTAATTTTAATAATCAGGCTAATAGTTGTTATATATTTAACTTTGATTTTGCTAAGACAAAAGGTTTTACTAAGATTGTACCTATCTAGAGGGAGGAATAGCATTTTAACCTGCTCCAATTTACATTTAATATTATCTAGAAGGAGGAGCGATTGGACCTTGATTAATTTAATTATTTTATGGTATCTTATGAATATTGGGAGCACTCGCTCTCTATGGGTTATAGTTATTTTATTGCAGTTACTAAGGAGGTGGAGGACTTCCTTGCCTTATGTTTTAATAAACATTTTCAGCTTATGGATAGTCATTCTTTTAAGCGTAATTATTATAAGGACTTTATTGCTATATAGTGTTATTTTGATTGTTTGAAGCAAGGCGATTTTGCTAATCTAATTGGTAATTCATTAAGTTATGACCTTATTTAGCTCTATCGAAATTCTTTTGGCGCTAAAGGTAGTTTTATTAGAACATATCTAACGAATCCACATTATCTTGGCTCTTTATATAAGAATTAACTTGCTCTATTTCCTACTTTTTTTAAGGCATAGTATATTAAGGTTCAATAATTTTTTTGTAATGAAACTCATGAAATAGGGGATTTCTCATCTTCAAATTCATATCTGCATGTCTTTAAACTAAATGAATAATTTTTAGATTTAAATTTATAAAATTGTAATGAAATTAATAAATAGAATGATAATATATTATTCAATTTGATATATCTTTGTTTGCTTTGTGTATTTTCAAAACGATAAACCAATATGGTATCTATCATATTTTTATTTTCAATTTTTGCATTTTCGGATATAGCAGTTCGTTTATTCATTCTTTTTAGACCAGTGAAGTGATAGCAATTATTTTAGCAAAACACAAAAAATGCTTTATATATCTATGATTAATCGAATATTAAATATTTTTACCATGTCCTTGATCATTAGTAATTTGCTCTGTAATAAATTGGTTCTAACCAACATTTCTATCATTTCTTAAATTTCTTGGATGAGATCCTAATTGATTAATAATTAAAATAATTATTTAGATGCTATGAAATAATAACTAAATTTTTATTTCATTTTTAAATTTAAAAGCTAACCTTGATAATCATTTAATTTAGATGATAGAACATCTCTTCCAGGAGGATGCATTAAATCATAGACTTATCCTTACGGACTTCCTCTTTAATATTGCATTTTTAAAAGGTCTAACTATTAAAAGATCAAACTTCTTTTTTAATAACTTTGAACTGTTTTAAGCTTTATAAATTGTTAAAATCTTTAATATCTTAAAAAAAAAACATTGATTCAAGCAACCAAAAAAGAATTAAACAGCATTATTTAATAAATAATTTATAAATTTGTTAATATATTTTGATGATCTATTTGTAACTTATTATAACACATATTAATTAATAAATTTTCATTTTGTTTGACCAGTTAAATTTAGAAAGAAGTAATTAGTATTCTTAAATTTTTTATTTTATAAATTAAAAGCTATTTTAAAATGCAATTATGAAACTTTTTATTTATTACTTCATAATTCCATTTTATTTTTAATAGTTTATTATCTTTAATTTAATTTTATAATAATACTGACTTCCTTAAATATGAAATGCATATCTGTTTTACCACAAAGCATGATTTGATTATTAAAGTAATTTATAAAATATAGATAGTGATCTTATATTCTAGCAAAAAATAAAAAATTATTTATTTAATTAATATCTCACTTCTAGTAAGAAAACCATCGATCTATATTAAAACTTGATTACTTTCAATTTAGTAAATCATAATATTAAATTTATAGTTTGATTATTAAAAACACAAAATTATTTTATAAATTTTTAACATATTAGAAAGGCTTACATTAAAATAAAAATATAAATTTCAAATAATATTAGTTTATTAGTTAATTTTATATCAAGCTTGGATCTTAGCCTTGTAGTATTCAACGATAGCACGAACACCATGGATATCGTTGTTGAGGAGAGTCATACCAGCAATATCAATATGAGCCCACTTAACTCCTTCTTCAACGAACTTTTCAAGGAAAGCAGCGGCAGTACCAGCACCAGCCCAAGGAGCCTTACCTAAGTTTTGAATATCAGCAGTGGGATTGGTGGTGTTTTCTCTAGGATAAGCATCCAAAGGTAATCTCCAGAAGGTTTAGTGAGTATTCTTAGATTTAGCTTCTAATTCAGTGGCTAATTCGTCATTAGCAGTGAATAAACCAGCAGCAGAACCACCCAATGCAACGATGCAACTATTTGAATTATTAAATAAATTTAGTTTAAATCAATTAAAAAAATATATATATACGCTCCAGTAAGAGTAGCGAAGTCGAAGATAGTGTGAGGCTTGTAAATATCTTGTTAGTAGGCAAGACAATCAGCTAAGACTAATCTACCTTCAGCATCAGTGTTCAAGATTTCAACAGTGAGACCCTTGTAACTGGTGATGATATCTGAGTTTCTGTAACATTTGTCAGAAATAAAGTTTTCAACGTAACCCATTGTGCAAACAAGGTTAATCTATTTAATAATAATAAATTAGTTAATTAATTCAATATTTTAATTGTTTGTTGACAATCAATTAAAAATATATTATTTCATTTTCATTCTAATTGATGAACAAAAACATATCCATCTGAATTTCCTCTCAATTATATAATTTATAACTTGATACTTAATACTATAAATAAATGCTATCTTTTTATTTGTTTATTTAACGTTTATTAACTAAATCTCTATTTTAATAAATAAAATGTTTCTTTAAATAATTAGCTACCTTTAAACCAAGAGCAACAACAGCCTTGAAGATACCGAAGATAGTGCAAGCACCACCCTTATCAGTATACATCTTATCCATAAGTTATTGCTTAAGGGAGAGACCACCAGAATCAAAGCAGACACCCTTACCAACTAAACCGTAAACGTCATCCTTACCTTCAGGGTTACCCTTGTAGTAAAGAGTGACCATTTGAGGAGTGTTAGCAGAACCCTTACCGACAGCGTGGATAAGGTTAAGACCCTTCTTAGCAAGGTCATCACCGCTAATAACTTCGATAGTAACCTTATCAGTGTGCTTTTCAGCAAACTTTCTGCAGTAGTTAGCCATATATTCAGGGGTAGCTATAGAATTTAAAAAAAAATACTTTAATATATATGTATGGGGAACTAAATATGTTAGTTAATAGAAAAATAATGTATTATTTTATTGATTATGTTGCATTTTTAAAACTATTTCATTATATGATTTTCTTTCTATTTGAAATTTATTAATTTACCAACATCAGCTCTGGTGTAGGTAAGTTCTCTAGCTTCAATGTGAGGACCAACAATAGTTTGCAAGTACTTGTGGTGTTCACAGTTAGGATTGAAGTGGGTAGCAACAACAGTCAAAGCAGTGAAAGGCTTGAATAAACCAGTAGGTTATTCGCCAACAGCGTGACTCTTCAATTCATTCTTCCAGTTGTATAAAGTAAGACCTTTTAAATAAAAGTTAAAAAATGAATTTCAATATAAGCTTAAGTATTTAGAAATCTAAATATAAAGCATTTAGCTAATTTAATACAGGTGAATCAATCCAAAGAAAAATAATTTTACTAAAATATATTTCTCATTAGTTAAAATATTTAAAATTATATTTACCATATAAGTATTCAGCAAAGAAGGTAGCAGGGAAATTGTCGCTGAAGACCAAAGTTAAATCCTTGAACTTCTTTTCAATCAAGACCTTAGACAAAGATTGACCAGACTTGAATGATTCCTTGCAACACTTAGTGTTCTTAACGAATTAAACGTATGCAACTTCAAATAAATCAGTTGTTCTACCATAAACAGTTTGAACAGACTTCTTAACATCATCAACGAAATGGGTATTGGTAAGATAGTCAGCAACCAAGGTAGTTCCTGAAGTTAAGTCTTCTTCAGAGAGGACAATAACTGCAGCAGGTACTCTAGTTGTCAAAGCAGTAGCGTGGTGAGTGATTGTGGGAACAACTGGACCGTTGGGGCTATGGATAAAAACTTGGTTTTTCTTCATTTTTCTTTGAACAAATTTTAGGATTAATTTTTTTTTTTTTAATTTTTACTTCTAATAGAAAGATACACTTTTCTATTTAAAATCAAAAACGAATAAGAAGTAAGAATAGAATCACACTAGTTGAATAGTAGGATTATAATCATCTTTAAGTATTTAAACATCTTATCAAATGAATCTTAATCTCTTTAAAAATAATAAAAGAATAAAAAATTGAACTAAAAGTTTCTTAGATTTTCATAAATACCTCTAAAATTGAAATAGATACAATTTATTTTAATTTATTATCTGATGTTCAAAAATTAATAATATCTTGTTCAAAATATTTAATGTAAACTATTATGACACAGCAAATATTTTAGATTATTTAATTTATTTAACTCAATTTGTTGAGAATTTTTATAAGATAGTTCAAGCTAAATTATTTATTAAAATAATATAAACAATAAATTTATTTTTTTTTTTGAACTTTTTTAATTCTTTCTTTTTATGAATTTAATTAACTTCATTTCTAGCAAATAAAGATTTTATAATCTATTAATTTAGTTATAAAAGCATTTTAACTCTTTTAAAGTATTATTTTAAACCAGGATATTTCTTTATTTCAAAAAAATACTGAGATAATAAGACATGCAAAGTATTTTTTATTTTTGATATTTAAACACAAAATATCTTCATCTATCTATGCTTATTAAAAATCTATAAATTTAGAGGCAAATTTAATTGCAAATCCAAAATTTTTTTCTTAACTTTTAAAGTAAAATTTGTAACCTTTTACTTAAGTTATTGTTTTTCGCTATATTAAAATAACTAAAAAGTGACAATTGTTTAAATATAAAAACTCAATGTAAATATATTTGATTTGATATGAAATTAAATACTTTTGATTAAATTTAGTGTAAAATATTTAAACTAAGCTTTTATTCTTAATCCATCACATAAAAGAAAATATCTGATTATATCATTAAAAATGACTAAATAAGCTTATTGTCAATGTATTAAGCTTTTTTTATTTTTATTTGTGAGTTTTATAGTATGAAAACTTTAAAATATAGAAACAATTATTAAAAGTAAAATATATTATTAAAACAAAAAAATTAATTCCTGAGTATGGATTTTAAATTTTCATTATCATTATTTCATTTTATTTACAAAGTGATATAATCTACCTAATTATTTAAACTTCTAATAAAATTATTTAAACAAGCTATCGTTCATTTTTAATCACATATATACTATAGGTTTATTTCAGTGAATGATACTCTTGATTGATTTCTAGATAAAATGAATTCTTTGAATTAAAGTACATCATCAAGATAAGCAATTTTAGTTGTCATTTTTAATTTTTTCATTCCTTATTCATTAAATTGACAACTTATAAATAAATAATTGTTAAACTGTAAAAAAAATTATTATATCTTTAGCTATCAGATTGAAGTTAGGGAAGATTGAATTATAAATCTCATATGAAAACTGTAGCGTGAGTTAGGTGCAATTGATAGTAGTAGATTATTAAAGAACAAGAGGAAATATATGGATAGCTTAAAAGAAAATAAATTAACCTATTTACATTAATCTTATTATTAAACTCCAGTTACTATTTGAATAATTCTCTATTAAATATTAAAATAATTATTATAATTTAAAACTATTTTAAGATCTAATTTAAAAAATTTGTTAAATATTTATAATATTTTAATATCTCTCTCTCTCAGAATAAATTTTAATTTTGTTGATAATTTAATTATATCAACTTATAGATTATTTTAATCTATTCATCAAGTCATCAAAAAAGAATTTAATATATCATAATTTATTTTGCAAAATTTTTTGCTTATAATTTTAAGAAATTAAAATTTTATTATAATAAGTTAATTCTTAATATTTGTTTATAAACACTCATTCAAATGAAAATTATAAATTAAAAAATAAAAATTCATGATGCTGTTCATAATTTTCATTCAATTAATTTAGGCATTTTAATATTTTGATCATCCTTAAAGTTACTTAAATTATTATTGAAATAAAGTAATATACTATTTAAATATGATATTCTCTTTATTAGTATATTTTTCTAAAATATTGATTCAACGAAATAAAAAAATTAGATATTTAGTGGTCAAATTAATTCCTTCATTATTTTATCAGCCTTAAATTTACTCAAATCTGTTTTGAAACAAAGTAATGTATTACTAATATATAAACCGCTCATTCTAATTAAAAATTTCAAGTATTTTGCTTTAAAAATAAAAAATATATCAATATTTGACTATTCACTTCACTCATAAACTTAATAATATTATTTTGAAAAACTTAAAATATTTACATATATTTTATAAATTTTTAACAATTAATCTACAGGATATTTAAGTTTTTCAAATTATTTTATTTAAATCCATATAATTTAATAAATATAAATAAGTCATCTTTTGACAAATCAAGCAAAATATTATATTATTTCAGCTTAACACTTTTAATCAGAAATCAGAAATCATTCATTCTACCAATATATTTGAAAAAGAATTTGAATGTAATAACTATGATTTTCATTTAAAATATCAAATTTATTATGAAAGTACAGTTCATATGAAAATCTATTTAAATAATAATGAAAATAACAATTTATTACAAAATTTCGACAAAATAGTTTCCTATTTTATCATATTTTAATTAGTTTTTTTTCTAAGGATAAAAATAGTTTGGTTTTTAATTAATTTAATACCATTCTTTTAATAATTAGAAATTTTATATATTAGCATCTTCAACAGATAACGCAACTAAAATATATTTTAGTAAATTTTTTGACTTTAGACTAAATGTTTTACTAAAACTCCATTAAAGACAGTAGTTTAGAAGGTTACATTAAATAAATTATCAAATAAATACTGAACAAAAACCCTTCAAAAGCTTAATTTTTAATGGAGTTTCTATTAAATATTTTAAAATAATTAAGATTTGAATTTTCTTTTGATAGAAAAATAAATTTTGGAAAAACAAACTTTAAAATATCTATTTTTAGAATTTTATCTTTTTTAGACATTTTAACTTTAAGAATTACTTAAAAATATAACATATTTAATTTAAAAATAATCTAATTTAGGTAAATGATAAAGAAATATGTTGATTGAAATAAATTTTGTAAATAAATATAATGGAATATTATATTATATTTATGAGAAAACACTTATTCGAAAATACATCAAATTAATCAAAATTTATAATCAAAGTGATCTATTTAATAAATTTACTTGTCTAATGTTATATAATCAAATTAATTTTTAAAAATTAAAAAAACAAAAAAAAATCAGAAAAAATAACAAAACTAAGCTCAATTGAAGCTAACCATTTTGACTAACATAAATTTTCAACAACTCGAAAAACTGACTTATTTTACCAGACACCAATCTTTATAATTAAAAATACCATATATACAAGGTAATTATTACATTAATAAAGCATATCCAATAGACAATACTATTTCTTATCCCAAAAAATTCAAAGGATTTAAATATTGAACTCCAAAAAGAAAATTAAAACTTGGCAAATAACATATATTTCTAAATACAAAATAAATTTATCTTATTGATTTTTATGCTTCAGGAGGATTTTATTATTTATTATCTTGCTGAGTTTGATGCAAAGCAGAGTAGTACATTTTAAATACTTTGATCAGATTATTTTTAAAAACAATGAAATATTCAAAACAAATTTTCACTTAAGTTTTTGTGGTAAATTTTGTATTAATATTATTTATTTGGCAGACACATACAATTTGAGACTAATGAACATTTAAATCAAATATTGTGAAAATTAATAAATTGATAATTTGAGATTTTAAGATAAAAAAGAGATTTTTACAGATTTATTTTTTATCATTTTTCTTTGATTTTTAATCTAAAGCAAATCACTAAATTTGTAAATAACTCAACATTTAAAACTTATTTTATTGCTTTTTAAAAAAAACTGAATATAAAATTGGTATTTATAATTAATAATTAAATGTTTTTATTAAATAGATGACGTAATTTATTAAAATTTATTGTAAATTGAAAAATTTTCAACCAATAAATTATATTTAGAGTAATCGATAACACTGAAAGCCTCTAAAATTCTCAATTGCTCGCTTAACAATAGCATGACGAATTTTTGAAGATTGAGATTGTGTAAATAAAATTGTTTATTTTCTTCTTAATTCAATAATTATTTAAATTTTATTTTAACAAATTTGTTATAATCAGACATTAATAACTTGAAGATAAAGATGCTTAAAAAATTGGTTAAAGTCTTCATAATTTTTGTGACATTTAATACTTAAAAATGGACTTGCAGTAAATAAGTTAACTAATTATTTTTCTATAAAATTTAATTATATTTTTTGTTTACAGCCACAACAAAATTGGCCCACAGGGTGCTTGCGAAATAGCCAATGGCCTTTAAAGATGTTTCAATTTAGAAGTTCTTGTTATAAATCTTTGGTATTCTAATTTTAGCTTAATAATTAATATTTATATATCCAAATAAATAATAAAGCTACAATGCTATTTGTGCTGATGGATTGAAAGCTCTCATAAAAGGAATTTAAAATTGTAAAAACCTTAGATAACTTACACTAAATTTAAAGTATTTAATATTAATAATGAAGAAAAACATTTATTAAAATTTACTCTAATGAATTTATAGTGGAAACAATATAAGAGATGAAGGAATCATCTAATTTTACGAGAGACTAGGGACATTTGATAACTTAAGTAAATTAAGTCTTCATTTAAGGTAAAAAATTATTAAGAAGATCACTAACTAAATTAATCAATTAATTTATTTATCTTTTTTTTGTTATTATTTTAGTCAAAATAAAATTACAGACGTTGGCGCTTAATACTTAGCTAAGGCTTTTTGCAAATTTTAATCAATTAGTGAATTGAAAATACATCTTTTGTAAATAAATCTTTTTTTTATTTCATTTGTATAAAATTTAAGCTAAAAATCTTATAATATTTTTTAGTTCTAATCGAATTGGTTAGGAGGGTTTGGATTGCATGGTAAAAAGTTTAAAAAATACAAGCATTAAAGATCTCCGTATAGACATTAGGTAATAATTTTTATTTATTTATTCCATCTTTTAAAATTAACTCATTAAAAAATAAGATAAAACGAGATTGATGAGACTGGAATGATTAATTTGGTGAAAGATATAAAAAATTGTAAATATTTAAGAAACTTGCACATAGAAATTAAGTAAACTTAAAAAATTAATTTATTTTAAAATTAAAATTAATAATGACTTAAAAATAGTCGCAATAATTTTGAAGAAAACACTCTCTTTAAACTGGCTCAAGGACTCAAATATTGTACTTAAATTATGACACTTAAAATCAACATATTGTACAATAAATTTATTTAATTTCAAAATAATAATTATTAATTATTTTTGTCAACTTTTAAAATTTAGATCATAAAACTACGATGATGAAATAATTGACTAGCTTATAAAGACTCTCAAAAAAATGAAAAGATTAGTTAGCTTATGTATAGTTTGAGCTACCACTCAACTCATTATGAGATCTTTAATAAATATATAAAATTTTATTAAACTATTTAAAAACATTTTAATTGAAAGTAGAATTTTTTCAACTTATTTCAAATGAATAGCTTTCAATTTTCTAAACAGATAGCTGAATTGAGAAATAATATCTATAAAATTAAAAAAAAACACACACCCACTGAAAATAAGACAATAAATAAAAAAATAAATACTTTATAAATAAAAAACTACTGTAAAATAAGGTTTACTTTTACCAAAATACTTTTACTTTCAACTATTTACATACAAATTACATTATTAGTAAGTTTTAATTAATATTTATATCTGCATTACTTTGAGTAGTATTCACCCTTTTTAGATTTACTTTTTATCTTTATCAGAAATTCAAACCTTCTTAAATTAATAAAAAATATTATTCACTTATGATTATTATTTTAATTTTGACTGCTTTCTTAATGTTAATTTTATTGTTGCTAATGTTCTTATTTTTATTGCTATTTATGATTATCATCATTTTAATCTTATTGGTGATTGTTATTTTTTTAGCTATTATCTCCTTCTCCATTATGTTTGTTGTCTTTGTTATCAACTTAAGAATTACTTCTATTTTAAGGCTAATTATTTTGTTTTTAATCATGCTTTAATTAAATTTATATTTCATTTAATTCTTGCTAATGTTTTTATATTTAATGATAGTTTTCAGTATTTTTTTACTCCACACTACTTATTTACAGCTACATTTTTTATTACTGCTCAGATTCTTTAGCATGACTTGTCTCTAAATTATGTAATTTTAAGCCTTAATCTTTAAGCAACTAAGAATTATGTATGTTTTCCTATAAAATTGAATCAATTTTTTATTAATATTAAGCTTTGACTTAATTCTTTTATTAAAGTAAAATAAATAAATATTTAAAAATAAATTTAATAACTGTACAATATTTTCGCTAATTTCAGTATCTTTTTATTCATGCAATTTAATAATGTCCTCAAATTATCTAAAATTTTGCTCTGTTTGCTCTATAAACATATCTAAATCTTTAGAGTTACTTAAAATTTCTTAGTGAAGCTAAACAAATTATTTAAATTAAACAATATTAACTAAAAAACATAATTAATTTTATTAAACTAAAGATACCTTAACCTATTCTAGGTTTGCTAATTCTATTTTTTGGAAGCATTACACGAACTGGTATTCAGCTTGCTGAAGGGCATCGTCAATTTGATGTATAGATAACTAATTAAACTATTTCTAAAGATATACTTGATTTTATAAGTCTATAGATGTATCATCAATGTAATTCCTTAATACCTCCATCTACTTCAGTAAGTCAGTTTATATTTTTAGAGTTTTTGTATCCATTTGTTTTAGCGAGTTACTAGTCTCATATTGTAATTTTTATAACTCAGATTCAATATATTTTTTTAAGTTATTTTCACTAGTTTCAAGTGATAGTTTCAAAATTTTCATTGAATCTTCATGTTATTTTTATCTCTCTACCTACTCAGATTGTATTAGAGCTCTTGTAAGAGCTTTATTGCTCTCTACCTTCTACTCTAAAGTATGTAAAAGCATGTTTTTAGTATTTTAAATATTTGTATCTAATTTTTAAAGACTCTCTTTCCTTTAACCAACTTCTTCATCAATGCTTTACATAATTTTCTTTAGCACAATTTCATGCAATTCAGTTTTAAATTATTTAGTTATATCATTCTTTTATTCGTTTAAATCTTCATTTAATTTGACACCTAAAGCTTCTATTTTACTATTTGCATTTGTTTCTTACTTTAGCAAGGCTACATTTGTTATCTTCCTTTCTAGCTCTAATTTTTCTTTTATCTAAATTATAAAAATTTTATCAAAATTAATTTATTAATTTTTTTTAATTCAAACAAATATTCAATATTAAATAAATTTTGAATAAAAAAATAAATATTTTACTTTATTATCTGATTCTTGAGTATTTAAAGCAATTTATTCTAAAATATCTTTTTGGAATTTTGATAGACTGAGATCTGTTTCTGTTTTATGCTTTTCTACCTTTTTACCATGCTCTTAAATAATTTTGTCATTTTTAATGATTTCTTGTTATGTTTCACTTTATTTATAAAACAAAAAATAATATTAAATAAATGAGCATCAAAAATAAATTTTTTACTTTCTGTGATTTTGTAGATTTTTCAAAATTAATTCATAATTCTCTTCAATTTTTGCTAGTAAGTTGTTTGCAAGTATTTTGTCAGCTAAAATGAAATTTTTTTCAAATTTTTAAGACGTTTCTTTAATTAATTAAGCTGTTTAATCAGTTATTTCTTAAGATTTTTATTGAATTTAAAGAGCTATCTTATTCTCAAGCTATTTATCATCTCTTTTGTGGTTTTCTGATATTTCTAATTTTAAATCTTACAATTGATATTTAGTTTTTTCTTTTATTTAATTTATTTCAAAGAAGATTTTCTCATCCATTCTTTTAGTGTGCTCAGCTAGATTATCAACCATTTATTCATTCATAACTTAATTACTAACTGATCTCTGCATTAGATCATTTAACCTATTGTCTGTATTTTGAGATTCCTGAAGCAATTAATAAATTATTTAATGTTAGATAAAGATTCACTTAAAAATTTTACTTTACTGAAATCTGATTTGAGAATTTTCATGGTGTTTGAAATCTCAACAAAAATAGTGTGATTTTTTTATTCGAATTCTTTTTTCCAAATATTATTCTAATTTTCTATTTCCTTGATTTTTTCATTTTAAGTGTTTGTATACACATCAAGCTCTTAATTAATAGCTTATTGCCATTTTTCAACCATCGTAAACTTTCTTTCAAGTTTATCGTTGATATCTTTAAAATGATCTACAATGTTTTTTTTATTATCTGAATCACTCTTTAGCAAAAAAGTACTCTATTGATCTAATAAGCTCATCCTTGTAAGTATTGCATCTTTAAAATTTTCTACATTTACTCTTAAATCTTAAAAAGATAAATTAAAAACAAGTCATATATTTACTAAAATGATATTTACTTGACACAACATCATTTATTAAAGTCTATCCTTATGCTTAATTAGCACTCAATTCTTCTTTGTTTAGCCTTTTTAAATAAAAATCAAGTAAAATTAAATAAAATCAAAATAATTTTTACTTAACAATTCTTGAGAGCTGCTCAATACTTTCTTAGAAGATTTTGACGAATTTGCTTTCACTTGAAATTAGTTCTTTTTCTTCTTTTTGCTTAAAGAATAAATAATTATTAAAATATTTATTTCAATTTAATTTTTACAATTTCAATTTTTAAATTTTCTAATTAATTTTATATGTCCATTTGCACTTATTCAATTTAAACAGGTTTTCTTTCGCTAAATTATTTAATAGAAATTTCCTAACGAGCAATTAAATCTTTTAACTAAGCTGTTTCTTCTTAAATTTTTTCAAATTTAATTTTATCTAAAGTTGATTGCTAGTCTTTAAACATATCTTAAGATTAAAATATCTCTTATTTCCACCTATTGAATCTATCTATCATTTCTCTTTGCAAACCTGCCATCTTTTGCTCAAATTCTCTACCATAATCTATATCTAAATTATTTCTCCTCCTGTTCTACTCATTTATATACTCTTTCAGAGTTATCATTAACTCTCTTTACATTTGAGAAGTATCTAAAATATTCTACTAATAAGGCACTAATTATCCTTACTGATTATCCTTATTAAAATATATTAAATTAAAAGTTAACTTATTTTGAATTCAAACTTACTTGCTAGTTTTAAACTATTTTTTTTAATTATTGATTTTAATTTTTCTATTCATCGATGCCTAGTCTTAACTGATTTATTTAATTTTTAAGACTATTTAATTCACTTTCCAAAGATTTATATTAAATTGAGCTTGTTTCTTATTCTGTTTATCTCATTTTTTAAAACTACTGATACATTTTATCCATTATCTAATCTTCAAACATTTTCATTTAACTTTGAATATTCAAACCATCAGTTTTTACAGTAATTTAATATATTTTTCTTTCTAATTCTGCTTTTTAATCAATCATCCTACCTTCTACATCCTTTAATCTGTAAATAAATATATTATACAATATCATTGAGCTTAAAAAAAATTAGTATTTACTTAGCAAATACCTCTAGATTGCTCATGTCTTTCTCAAAAGTACTGAATTCCTTACTATCTTAGGCTAGTTAAGTCGATTTTTGTCCTTCAAAATAGCTAATATTATTGCTTTTTATAAATTTCAATTAAATTTTTCAAAATATACTGAATGAGAAATACTCAACTGTTGAGAATTAACCGTCAACTAATGATTTTATTCTACTTCTTCTATTACCTGTTTCATTCTAATTCTATAAATTTATTTTTAAAATAATATTTTTAAAATGTATCATATATAATTTAAAATGTACCATATTATTAATTTGAGGAAACTTTGGTCGACTAGAAGGCCTAATTTGAACTTTGCTAAAATTCAAAGGAATGTTAGACTAGCTATTAGATTATATTTTGATGAAGGAGTCATTTAAACTTCTCATCTTTCCACTGTTAGTTCTCTGGTAAGAATAAAATGAATCGTTTTAATTTTTCATGCACTACTATAATATGTGAATTATTTTATTGGTCAATATTAGCCGAAAATATTTATTTTCTGAATAATAATGAAAAATATCAATTACAAAATGTAAAAAAAACTTAATAAAAAATAAATTCACAATTAAATATTCGTTTGATACAAAAAATATTAAATTGAAAATATATTAAATTACTAAACTATAACAATAACAAAATAAATAATTTTATAAATAACTAATACAAAATTTAAATATTTCTATTTCGATGAGAGAATTTTTATTTTTCTTTCAACAAATCTAAAAAATATTTTTAACGATTAAACCTACTTTTATAATCTTAAAATCTATTTAATATAAGAAGCCTTTTACTAAAATTGATTGATAAATAATTATTAAGCAAGCTTTATTTTCAATTCTTTTTTATACCATGTTCCCAAATTCCTTTTTTCTCTATACCTTTTTCAATCATTACCCCTTCTCCATGTGGTTTATCATCTAGCCAATTTCCTTTATAAATCTTATTCTCACTCACAACATACACACCATAACCATTTTTTTAATCATTTTTAAATTGACCTTCATAAACATGTCCTTGGTCTGAAATATCTCTTCCTTTACCTTCCATTTTACCATCTACCCATTCTCCTTCGTATAATCTTCCACTCTCCCACTAATAATACCCTAATATTATATTTAAAATTTTTAATATAAAATACAAATAAATGAAATAATAAACATCAACTATCATTAAACAAGAATTAATTTAAGAAAAAATAAACAAATGATTTTTTGATTAAATGATAAAACAAACTGAATGATTAAATTACCATTTCCATTAAATTAATTATTTTTGAAGTTTCCTTGATAAAAACTTCCGTTCTTCCACATAAAAATTCCCAAGCCTTGTCTCTAGTTATTTAAAAACTAACCTTCATAATAGGCTCCATTATTCCAATTTTTCCTACCTTCTCCTTCTAATCTTCCTTACTTAAACTCACCAATATAATCTTATCCATTTGGATATTTAAGATATCCATTACCATCAAATACTCCATTGAGAAGATCTCCTTCATATCTAATTTACATAAATAATATGCTAATCTTTTAGAAATTAAATAATAATTGAATATACTGTTAGCCATCTTTCAAAATTAATCTTCCTTTCCCTGTCATTTAATCATCTCTCCACTCGCCTTCATAAATACTACCATCTTCGTCATAAAATGTTCCTTTTCCGTGTCTTTTTCCTTTAAGCCACTCCCCTTCATAATATTTTTCACCTTTTACTGATTTCATCAATCCTAATCTTGATTAGTTCTAATTTGTATCTGGTATTTTAACAAAGCCACATTTAGCTTAAATTTCTTTTAATTTATTTTTTTAAACAAAATTTTCTGGCAAACTCTTTTGTGCAACCCAATCTTTTTAAGGCTAGTTAATTTTTATATTTTTTTGATCTGTTTCTACTGGTTTTTGGATCAAATCATATGGAGCAGACTACACAGGTAATTTGCAATGATCAAAATTTTTTTACTATGGAGGCTATCTTATATGTGACTCTTACTTTTCAAGTTGATTTTCAGAAGGAAGATACATTTTAGATCCCTACGGTACAAAGTCTTTATTAGCATCAGAAGGTAATATAATACTCATTTAATTATTTGAGCTCCTCTCTATTTTACTTTTTGAAGGACTATCAAATTATATGTTTTGCAATGAGTCATTTACACTTTAATTATTTCTTTTTTCTGACCTATCTGGAGAAGAGTTTTCATATTAGTTATTAAAATTAGAATGGCTGTTTTCTTATTAATCTTCAATTTAGTTAAGACTCTTAGGAGCTTAATAACCCTAATTTTATTTTTAATTAATAATATTTAAGCAATAATTACACTATCTAAAAGAGTTTAAAGAATATTAAGCAGGAGAATTGTTTAAATTTGTATGAATAATACAGCTATTATTAATAATATTTTTATTTTCTCTTTTTGGACTTTCATAATAAATTGTTGGGCGGAGATAGGGAAATATTTATTTTTTCTTCTTTTTTGATATTAAAGAGTTGGTTTTTTATTTATTTTTTATAGATTTATCATTTAATTCAGGCACAGGTAAAAGAGGAATTAAAGTTGAATTATTTTTTCTATTCTGATTGATAAGAATCAAGGATGTTGTTCTTTATCTTTCTTAAATAACAGGTTAACTTTAGTTATCTTTATTTTACTCATAAATATCTTCTAGCGAATGAGAAAAATGCTTGTTTATTTATTAGCTTCTGGTTTGTTTGACTTAAACACTTTGGTTTTCAATAGGTTATAAAGTCCTAATCTCCTTATCGCCCTGATTTATGCTTGGTAAATTATTGTTATCTATAATAAATTATGCAAAATTTAGTCTCATTTTAGCTAAATCTTGCTTTGAAAATCTGTTTTAAATAGCCATATTTCTCATTAATTGTTTTTTAGTTTTAATTGAAACTGCAGAATATTATTGTTTTTGTTATTTTTTGAGGGGTTACTAAGAATATTAAATATCGTTTTCAATAAATTAATCATTTTAAATTACCTAATATTCTCCATTATGATTTTGATTATGATGATTGTTTTGTCTTTGATACTGAGTATCTTTGCTTGCTTCATTATTATAATGCAAGCTGTTTCCTTTTCTCTATTGAAGTTATCTAGAATAACGAATATACGGATCTTAAGAATCGCTGAACATATCTTATTACCCAAAAGGATAATATCCTTAATTACCATTGTTATTACTATTATAGCTGTTTTAATTACCATTTTGCATTTAAATTGCATACTAATCTAAGCTATCACCATGATGATGATTTTTTTTATCTTGAGATTGATCATGTTACCTAAATAAGACACTCTAAGGTTTAGAATTCAATCCATTATTCATTATATTTTGCATAGATCTTGCTGTACGCTATTATTATTAATTATTATAACTAGCCTGATCTAGATTTCTTTATCTTTCTAAGTCAATGGTATTTTAATTGTCAAGGTCTTATCTAGATTTGTTAATATCTGTAGACATTAAATTTCTTCTGGCATTTCCTATGTTTGGATCATATATATTGTAGCTATTATTCTATCCTTCAATTTCTTTTTATTCTCTCCTGATTGAAGAAGTTCTTATTGAAGGATATGTCTAATCTTTTTCTTTTCTTCTTATATTTAGAATTTCATTTTGATTATCATTCGTATTATTAAAGCTCTCTTTGAAAATCAATGGTATTTACTCCATAATGTTTTTAAAAAAAGCCTCTAATTTGATGTGAACAGTTGTAAAATAGTTATTTATAGATTGTAAGTTTCTGTGACTGATAAAATATTCATCCTCAAGAAGTTCACCGTACTTGTCTCCTCTATAAATTTTTGACATTAAATCTATTGCTTGGTTAGATTGATGACTCCATGGTCTATTAATTATTCTTTGCACCTTAGTTTATAAATCAAATACACTTTATCCTAAAGCCTTTTCATCAATTTAATGATTCATTTAATGAATTTGACCTTAAACTTCTGCGTTTATGTTGCTAAAGACTCCTTAAAGTTGCATATTTGCATAATGAATTTCATCTTTAATTTTTTTATCTATTTTTTACCAATATAGCTAATCTAATTAGCTTTTTTTCCCTTTTTCCTAAAGCTAAATATTAAGCATTAATCCATCTTTTTATACTTTATTTGTGAAATCACTGATCTTTACTAAAGATTAAATGTGCTGATTATGGAAACGAAATTTACAATAAGAGCAGCACAAGCGTTAGTCTGCTGTGCAATTTTCGAACACACAAACATACTAAACTTTATCCAAAAAGTGGTTTGGTATTTCACATCTAATGTCATCACTTAAACTTTATTATAAATTCATCATATCTTGCTTGCTTGCTTCTTGCTTACTTGACTTGATTTTGATTTATATTTAATTAATAATAATAATTATTATTAATTAAAAATTATGAATTTATAACTAATTTGGTAATAATAAAGCAAACTAACTTTAAGCTAATTACCTTATTTATTTATAATCAGTGGCACATGATCACCAAAATTGTGGTTAAAGATAAATTAATTTAGATTTTCACTTTATATATCTTTTACATAAACCATTAAATACTTGCTTACAAGATAAGCCGTATGATAAAGCCAGCCAAACAAATATTTATTATATTTAATTTTGTGTTAAAAATCATAAAAAAATGATTCAAAATCTTGCAAATAATAAATATAAAACAACAAAATAAGTTATTGAACTTAAATATTTAAATTTTTCTCATCAATAATTTTTAAATGAATTTATAAATTCTAATTAAACAACATTACTTTATCTAAACTTAAAAATAAAAAACTACTTACTTTTGATTATGAAAATAATTAATTTTTCTTTTATTTTTAAATTTTAATTTATCATTAATTGAGATGATCATTTTTATCCATTTATTTATTTGAAATAAATCGAATAGCAATTTAAAAAAAAATCTACTTCCCTAAATTATTAATAAATATTTAAAATATATTTTACATATGAAATTATATTTTTTAGAATTGTGTGTATTACAAAATAAAAAAACAATTAAATGTAATACTCAATAAATTTTTAATTTTTTTATTGTAAAAATAAAAATAGTTGAGTCCTTTATTTTTTTGTGAATAATTTAAATAAATTATGTTTGTTGTTTAGAATATTAAAATTCAAATGAGTAAATACATTAAATATTCAAAATAAATATATATGCACATAGATTTTTAAATTTACAGAATGATTCAGCATAGAAGTAATTTAAAATGAATATCTAATTATTTCAAAAAAACTAATGCAACAGTAAGACTTTTGCATAATCATAGAAAATGCTGAGTAGTTTAAATTAATTTAAATACAAATTTTCTTTTGCTTCACTTGCCTTCATTTAATGCGTAGTATTATTGAATGGCTGCATCTACTTGGATGGTTAATTCCTTTTGAACTTCTAATTTAATCTTTCTTCTGTAAATGAAAAGACCTATCAAAAAGACAAAGAAGAGAACTATGCAAACTGTGATGATAACATAATTAAAATTGCTATCATTGCTGCTACTAGTTCCATCTTCTTCTGGGGTTTCAAACTATTCGCAAGCATCAATATTCTTAAGGTTTTCAAAACCTTCACAAATAAATTCCTAAGCACTTTCTTTTAATGTCAAATCACCCTATTTTTTTATAAAAAATTTATTTTTTCCGTTCTCTTCTATATTTTGTAAGAATAGTTTACTCTGTAAGGGGAACCATTAACAAAAAGAGCTGGATAGAACTTTAATCCTTATTCAGTGAATAACTTGTATTCTTATTCTAACAATTTACCTTTTTCTATTTCTGCCACTCTACATTCTTTAATTTCATAGGTAAAACTATCTTTCTTAGCATCAGGCTTTAGTTCTTCTACTCTTTTGAAAGCGGTTTCTTAGCATGAAAGTAATTTTTTGGAATTACCTCCATAGCAATTATTATATTCAGTAAAGTAATCAAAGAAATATTATGGGAATAAGCTTTGGACGCACATTTCAGTAATTGCTAACTACAAAGAATCAACACCACTCAAAGGTCCATTACCATCTTTTTAATTAGAATGAAAATTGATTTTAAAATGAGTAATGAATACTAAATGATATTAAAATATTCAAACTTCAACAAATTTAAAAGAATAAAATAAGCTAATTATTGCTAAAGTAAAATTACCAGGATCAGGATGACAGTACTTACCACCCTAAATACAAAAGCTTTGAGTTGACTAACCATTTCTTTGGTAATTAGCTTAACAATCTTCATTGCAACGGAAAAGAACAAAGTGAGGTTCAAAAACAAGTTTTTCTTATTATACTAAGTATTACAAGAAGCTGGTATGGTTTTATAAGAACTTGTAGCTATCGAGCTCAGCAGGAAGCATCCAATATTGAACTTCACTTTTTTACTTACTGAATGGCTATTAAATATAAATATTTTATCAAGTTATGCTTCAGAAATTGTTTTTATTTTTACCTTATAGAATTTAATTGAAGCTGTAACCATCAAATCTGAATCAAAATGATCCTAACTCATTTCATCTTCAAGTAAACTTTTTATTTTTTAACCGTCTTTTTTTGAAATCATGACAACTGGAATCCTTACCTTTTCACCTATTTAAAAATTTATCATAAATAACTATATAATATTCAAAAATTTGAATAAATGTTCTGCTTATATTCCATATTCTTCTCTAAATAAAATTATGTAAAGCTTCTTTGAAAACATATTTTATTTTTTTAGGTTTTGTTTGTTTAAAGTTGATTTTGTTTTATTCAATCAATTATTAGTAAATGATTAGATAAATAAATATTGTTGCAAACAGAAAAAAAAATGGTGAAAGATTAAATTACCTGAAAGATCGTCACCCATGATAGATTCTGTCACATCTTCATTATCACTATTATCAATAATAATTAACATTTTGCCAGTTTTAGCTGCAAGACTTGCCTTTCTGACAAAGGTGCAATAACCTCTGTCAACTATATAAATTGGAGACCCATAACTTTAAATGTAGGCATCGTTGAATTGTTAGTAAGATTTGCATCCAGATGTATCAAGCTTTACACCATTAGGCTTATCAAACAAATTTGTATTATTGACTTTAACGTATTCATTGCTTGTTTTATTTATTCTATTCATATCAACTTAATCTCCCCAATAAGTGTAGTTTGCTCCAATTTGTATTCTTCCAGTTAGAGTATGTCCATATCTGAATTAACCGAAATTAGCAAGTGATACTTTGAATGCTTTATATACAAAAGACATTTGAATATTTTTTATTAGCTCTCTAACAGAGCAAATTTATTTAATGAAAAATTAGAATAAAAAGCTTTTTTACAAAAAAGCAAAAAACAAATAAAAAATTCATCCATCAATCAATCAATGATCTTAATATATTTTGAAAAATTAAAATATCATCGTGCATTATGGAGAAAAAGTAAGTAAAGGTCAAATATTTTACAATATTTTTGGTTTTTGCTATATACATTCAAATAGGTGTCTTCAGCTTAAATGACTACCAATGACAAAAGGATTAGTAGAATAACCTTTTACATCTTTTTCCTTTTATTTTATTAATTTTTCACTAATAATATTTAATTAGATTATATTTATTATGATTAAATATAGTTAATTAATTTTCATTCTTTTTATTATTTAACAAACTATTTGTTTGTTTTTTGCTTTCTCGCTTAATTAATTATCTGTCTGTCTGTCTTTCTGTATGTATGTGTTTCTGCTGATTAATCTAATTTCTTTTATTTTATCAATTAATTTTACTTAATCTCACGTATCAAATCTACATTCTTTTATAAAAATTTTTTATCCTATTTTTCTTATCATCCTATTCAAAATTTACTAAAATTTGTTTGATAAGGTTTCCTAATGTTCCATTCCAACTAACATTAATTTTTTTCTTTTTATATTTTAAAGCTAGTTTTCTCTTTCTCTCATTCTCATTAATTATTAGATTTTTAATCACCAAATTCACTAAAAAGAGAAGATATTTCCTAATATCTTTTATTTTTTGATAAGTGATCTGCTTATTTAACAAATATTGATAAAAAATTTATTTGGACGATATCAATCGAAAATAATCATTTTTATTAAACATATGCTTTCTCTTATTAAATTAAACTCTTAAATTATTAGCAAATAAATCAATACACACAATCAAAGATACATTGCTAGATTTTACTCATTAAAGGAGAAAATATAATATTTACAAGATGTAAAATTACGCATAAGAAAAGATTAATTTATCAAAAATTGATAAATTTATTAATCTAATATTTCTTTTAATATTAATTAGATCTAATTATTTTTGATAAACTTAATTTCAAAAAACTAAATTTTATTTTTAGAATCATGTTACACATTATGAGTCAAAATTATTCAAATAGAAAAATTTTACTCATAATCCATAAGATAATATCATATATAGATTTAGTATATTTTATAGATCTTTTTTTTAAGTTTTGTTTAAAAAATAATATATTTTATATTAAATTTCAACAAATTTTTAACTTGCTTTCAAAATATAAAATAAAAATTAAGTTTTAAAAAATAAAATATTTTTAATTATAAAGAAATTAACAAATATTTTGTTAATTGGATTTTTAGTTTTTAAATAAAATATAATTAAGGTCTTATAAAAATTTGTCATGCTTTACTACATTTTATTTTAGATTTTGTTAAATTTTAACAGTTTTAAAAATGAAAAATAAATTAAGTTATAAAAATAAAATAGTTTTAATAATAATTAAATTTTTTTTCTATTTCATCAATTATTTTTTATATAAAATGTAATATAATTATTATGGATGGATAAGTTTTATGTATTTAATAAATAAAAGAAATATTTATAGTATTTATTTAGATTAAATAGATGAGAAATCTTATGATATATAAGATTCAAATTTATAAAATAATTTACAACTCAAAATATATTTATTAAATATGAAAATTATTTATTATTATTATTTAGTTTGAAAATTTATTTCATTTGTTTTAACTTTTTTGTTACATTGATAATTTATTTAATTTTTGAAATTGGTTCATTCATTTGTTAACTCATATTAGTAGACCTTGAAATTAATAATCGCATCTGTAAATGGCAATTTTCTTTTCAAATGTATCATCCCATTAAGTTATAATCTGTTAAATAGTCTTTTTTCTATTATTCCATTAAGAGTCATGAGAGTCAAAGTTGAATTTTACATATAGAGCCTCAAGCTAATTACTAAAATTCTCTAAAATAAATAATCTTAACAATTCTAAAGAGCTTTCATCACAATTTAATTTATCAATCCCAAAAGTTCTAGTATTTAAATAATTTATAATATGTATTTTTTTTTATGGATTGAATTATTTTACGCTACGCTAATAGTAATCCATAATACTTTAAGATTAGGAAAATTTTCAAGATACTTAATAAGTTTTTTGTAATCTGAAGTGTTCATAATTCTATTAATTTTATAAGTTTAATATAACTCAATTACACCATTTTTAATTTTAAATACAAGTATTTTGTGTGTATTGCCAATGATTTAATAGAATTAAGGGTTTCTGCATTATTCTTTTCTTCTGAGGCTATATAATCTTTAATCTCATACAAGGTATTGAACTTAATTTATAGTTTTTAAATAAAAATTCATATTTAGAGTGATGACTAAATTTTACATAAAGTTTATGTTCATTTGAATATTAGTTCATATATTCTGAAAATCTTTTTTAAAATTCTTCTTTTTAAATCATCTTTTATTATAATTTCTCATAGAAAATCTTTGTTTATTCTTATTCCTACTTTTTTTTCCTCTCTATTTCTTTTTCAATTTCGCTTTCTCCTTTTGATGTTATGTTGTCTTTGCTAAAAAAAAACATATTGTCTTAAAAATATTAAATTTAAAAATTAGGTAGATGTTTTTATTATTTGTAAATAAATACCTAAATCTTTTTTAAAATACTAATTTAGATTAGTGTTTTTAAAATTAATTTCATATTTTATTATTTAAATGTTAAAATAAATTAGCAGCAATAATCAAATAATATTCAGTTTATTTGTATCACCTTACATTTTTGTTACAAATTTTATTAATAAATATTTTATTTAGTTTGAATAAGTAATTTGTTCATTTTTTAATTTCTTTATAAATATTTTTTTTTTGAAAATGCTCATCGAATTTTAATTATTTATTGATTTTTTTATCTTGCTTTTTATTTTTAATAAAAATATTTTCTAAATTTATAATAAAATTAGTTAAGCTTTTTTATTGTTTAAATTAATATTTAAGGCAATCATTTTTTAATTACTTATTTTTAATTTTTGTTTTTCTTATAATTCACTAATAAACATAGAAAAATAAATTTAAACTATTTACATTTTTTATTTAAAATTTGATTATATTTTTATATAAATTTTATTATAAATTAAATTAATTTTTTGATTATTTTCATTAATAAAATAAAAATTGTTTTTACTAAATATCCTAAATATTGTAACTAAAATGAAGTTTATTTTTTTACTCTTTTAATGAAGTAAGTGAAAAAAATATTGCATTTGTTCTCATTTTCATTTTATTCAACTCATATCCAAATCTATGTCTTCTAAAAATCGAACTTACTTTGATTTTTTTTATTACTTTAAAAAATTTTTAATACATATTTCCAAAAAAAAAGTATTGATTTACTTATTTCATAAAAGAGCTCCTTTACATAATTTTTTCAGGATGACATTACTCAATAAAATTTTTAATATTTTATATTTTCCAGTCTAGATTTAATTAGTTCTTTTTAATAATTAAATAAAAATAAATTCTCAATTAATAAAAATATAATTTTTACAAAAAGATTTGTATATCTTTAATTCAAATCTTTGCTCTATTTCTAATCTAAGTTAGGAGTTTAAGTGTTATTCTTTTAGATATTTGTATTTGATCTTCTTCTAAAGTTTACATTCTCAGCTTTTTTGTTGTCTGCAGTTTTAATACCAGAAATATTTGAAATTTCATTAGAGTAATTTGAATTTGGTGAATTATTTAAAATTAATGTGTTTGACCTAATTTTTGTATTTTACTTATCAATATTAAGAATTTTTACATCATTTTTGGTATTATTTTATAAATTATTTTTATTTTTAGTGCTGCTTGCTTTTAAGTTTTATCCTTATTATTTTGTTTTTTACTAATGCTCATTATTTTTAGGAGTTTCAGTTTATTTTTTTTTTTAGTTCTATGAGCTTTTGAAATTATGAGAAAGAGAATTTGATCTACTTTTAATATTTTACATAATATTTTTAACAGATGAAGGAGTGTCATATATATTATTAATTTATTCCAATAGATTAATTTTTTTAGCTTGATCTTAATTAGATTCATATTAAGAATTCAAAAAATAATTTTAAACTTATTTTTATTCGTTTATTTAATTAAATAATTAAATTTTTTCATTTTTTGCTTATTAATTCTAAGAAATTATTAGTTTCTAAGGATTTATGCTTTACTCAATGTCAATATTTTAGCCAAATCTTATTTCTAAAACATTTTTTTAGTCATTCCTAACAATATCTTTATTTTAGTTTGTATTTTAAATTGAATTTAATTTCTATTTTATTATAAAATTATAATTTAAATTAACAGCTTTTTCTTAAGATTCATTTTTCTAAGGAATAAATTAAAATCCTGTACTTTTAATCATATCTATTTACTTAAGTCCTTCGATTTTAAAATGCTATTAATTTTATTTTCCTTATGAGCAGCTGATTGGAGTTAAACTTTTTTATTAATAAGTTTAATCTTATTTTTATAAATTATAATTGCATATCTGTTACTTCTATTAATTATTATTATATACCTATTGAGAGAGTACTCTTTTTCTATTGGGTTGGCTATTAACAGTACTTTTGCTTTCGTTTACTTTAATATTTTACTCAATTTCAAGTAAATTCTAATTATTTTTTGAATTAACTTCATTTAAATGCTCAATTCGACAAGAGTTGTCTAAGAAATTTACCTTTGTGTTATCACACAAAACTTTACGATGCTTTATCTTTTAAATGTACTAAGAAATATTAGATGAAGTATTTTGCTATTTTTTAACATCATTTTATTACAATTAATTTTTTTCAAAGCCAATTATTAATGGATCTTTTATTAAATGCTAATCTTATTTTATATCTTCAAATTAAAATACATTTTATTAACTTTAATTATTCAATTAATTTGTATTTATTTGTAAAAGTGCCTCGTTTTTAGCATAGTTAATTTTTATTTAAGATTTCTTATTGCTGTGATATTCAATTTATCCACTCGCATCTAGAGTAGATTAAAAAGATTATCCTTTGACAAATTAATTATTTATTTGTTAGTCATTTTTATCTATTAAAAATTAAGAATTTGTACATTTGTTTGAAAGAGATAACTGTTCAAATTGATACTCATTATTTTATGCTTGTTTGTTTGAAGATTATGATTAGCATTCTGATAAGAAGGAAGAGGAATATTATTCTTAAAAATCATTTATTATGTTTTCTTAGCATTCTTACTTTTATTTTTAGTCATCTTCAAACTTTTGATAAAAGTATCCTTGTTTTTTTTATTCCTCTTTTTAGGTATTATCTAAACTTAAATCAAAACTTAAATTAGAAGAAATTGTGACCTTACTATTACAAGAAGATAGTTTATTCTAGCTTTGCTATTCATCTTTAAAATTATTTATATATTATTAATTTACAATAGCTTTCACTTCAAATGATTTATTTGTTTAACTCTCTTAAGCAGTTTATTTTACATCAAGTGCTTTAGCTTATACTTTTTCATTAATATTATTTGCGTTGTTTATAACTGTTAAATATTTTGTATCTTTAACTGATTTTTATACTTTAGTTGCATCTGCTGGTTTTCCAATGCTTTCCTATCCTCTACAAATCTATTAATCTAATTTAATTTCGTTTTTTATATTTAATGAAGTTTAATTTTAATCTTTAGCATTTTTTTTAGTTACTTGCTAAAAATCTAAAGGTTTATAAACTTCCATTACTTATTGCAGCTATTATTTATTTATCTGTTTGATCAGATTAATACGCTTTCTAAACTTTTTTTAGTTTGGAATTTTATCCACTTAAGACTAATCGTTTTTTACTGTCTCCTCTTGGTTAATTTCATTTTTATCTATAATTTCGCTTTTTATTTATGCTGTGTTGTCTTAAGAATCAGAAATTTTCATAATTTTCTTTATATTTTTATGTTTAAAAATTGAATTCTCCTTTATGTTTATTAAATAACATCAAATTACATATAAACTGATTTTAATTTCTTAATAATTTATGCTTACTTTCACAATCTTTGAGATCAAATATTAATGGTTGATATTATTTATTCTTTCAGCAAATAAATAAATATCATTAAAAAATTAATATTTTTCTTAAATAAAATAATAAAATATCTATATCGTTTCTATAAAAAAACTATTCTTCATGAAAAGAAAATAAAATTAACAAACTCTAATAAAATATATTTTTTTAAAATTATTTATTCCTATTTCCCTTAATTTAAAAAGTAAATAAATTTATTTATTTTTTTGTTTAAAAAAATCTAATCTAATTTTATAAATTAATAAAATCATTAGCATAAAATTAAGATATTAAAATATTATAAACATAAGTATAATAAACCATAGAAGCAAAATTTTGATAAAATTAATATTTAAAAGGATATTTTATTACAAATATGCCACATTAATATTTACAGTTAGTTAGTTAATTAGGTTCAAAATTTTTAATATATTTTAAAAGTATTTTTTATTAATTGTTTTTAATTTGTTACTTAAGCAATTTTTTAAAAATAAATTCATATCTTCAAGAGAAATAAATTTCTACGATTTCTGTAATTTATTTATTACAAATTTAGCACAATTAGATATTCTTACTGGTAGAACAGCTTTTACAGCAAACTAAATGCCCACATGGTTTGTATATCATTTATTTATTTTAATCGTTACACAAATCACATTTCATGTCATTAATTTCTTTTACTAATGCCTTTTGTACATTTTTAAGAGAATCTTGCTATTGGTTAATAAGCATTCTTCCAGCTCTTTAAGCTTTTTTAATTTAATTGTAAACGTAGTAAGAGCTTAAGCAAGAGATTACGATAAAAAAATAAAAGTAGAACTTTTTTTCTTTCTATTTAGTTATTAGCCTTCTAATATAATCAGCCTTTTTACCAATGATAGTTAAAGGATTGATCATTTTTAGCTCTTTAGTTTAGAAATTGTAAATAACCTAAAAATAAAAAAATAATTAATTGATTATAAGTTAGTTATCTATCTTTTAAAATAAATATTAAAAATTAATTTAAGAAGTTATGTTTACATCTCCAATAATTGCAAGAGTTCCTCCACTTTTAATGCCTATTTCATGTTCATTAAATCCTATTTCTATTCCTTTAGAAAAGCTGAAGTATTTATCTTTTTAAAAGAGCATTCCTAAAATATTGACAAAAGTAGAAAATTTAGCTTAAAATTTATGTAAAAGGCTGAGTTGTCTATCAGTATATCTTAATGTATAGTGATTAATTGAAGTTTAGCAAATTTTAGGTTCCAAATTTATACAAACTTCTATTTTTTTCTCTAAATCTTTTTCATCAACTAAATTAAATTCTGGGACATACATGCAGACCTAATTCTATTTCTTTTAGTTAGCGAATTTTGTAAAATCAAAAATATTTTTTAGCTCATCATTAGAGTATTTGACTATACAAAAGTTATATCTATAAATGAGATTATTAACATTTTAATCTATTTTAGACTACAATGGTTGTTAACACTGAACAGCTCCTTAAACAATAACCTTTTTAAATAATAATTCATTTTCAGTAAGCTATTAGCTATCTTGACTCGTTTCTTTAACTCTTTATTAAACCAATTTATCAAATTCTTCACTACATTCTGAAGGAGAGTAAAATTTCGATTCTTCCATCCAAGTTACTTTCTTTTACAATTTTTAGATATCATTATAGCACCTAACCGCAGATATGCCAAATCCTAGAGAAATAATGCAAGTAAATACAATACTCTTGTTTAGATGCTAAAATACATTGATGTTTCCCATATTTATTCTATTAATGATTGTATAAAAAACTACTTTTTAAATTATTTGCTTCAAGAATTTTCTGACTAAAAACAATATTTTACAATATTTATTTTAAATTATATTTGATAGCTGTTTAAAATTAGAAAAAACAAACAAATCTGATGTAATAAAATTAAATTGAATATTTATTGATCAATAAGCAAATAAATTTGTGTTTCATTAAATAAAATTTAGAATATATTTTACAAAGGATATAATTTATTTATTCTAATAGAAATTCTTAAATCTTTAAATCCTTTCAACAATTTATCAATTAAATTACATGATTAAAAATAGTATTTTAGATTATTTATCAAAACTAATTTTATAATGAAAATGTTTTATAATAAAATTAAACATTTATAAACAAATAAATTTAAATAATTTTCTTTTCATATTGTAGAGTTTTCTGTTTCGTTTAAAAAATCAAAATCGTTCTCGTTTATAGCTTATCCGCTTTAATCTTCGACTGCCTATAAAAAATTACTGCTGACGCTATTTTCTTGGTCCATTTTTTCTCTTTTATAAAATATTGTTAAAAATAAAATTACATTTTTAAGAAAGTAAAATTAAAAAACTTACTAAAATCCTTTTATGAACTATTTTAGATTTTCGTTTTACTGCGACAAGTACTTAATTTTGTTTTGCATGTCAAGCAATTAAACTGCATGCTAGTTTTAAAGGAACTATATCTCTTCAGTTTACAATTTTTATTGTTGATTATCTTCTTATGCAGCCAATTACTATTTTACTGTTTCATTCTTTTTAAATAAAATTATTTTTAAAAATAGCTTATAAAATTTCTTAATTAATTTTTACTTCTACTTTTAAATTTTGATACTTTTTTATCAACAAATTATATTATTCTTGGAGATTGTTAGGACCTGAATAAATATGTTTGGGTTTTCTTTGTGGGTGTTATTTTTTAAAAACTTGAACAGGACATTGCCCAAACTCCTACACTTGGATTTCCATGGCAGCCTTCTCATAAGGAGATTAATATTTACTCCAGTTTATATTTTATTCATAAGTTAGAGGGTAGAATAAATTATTGGATTTTTTTGCCTGTTCTCCTGTTTGCTTGTATCCAAAAATCAAATCAATCCAATGATGTATGTTCTTACTAACGTAATCTGACTCAATACACAATTTCATTTTTTAAATGAAATCATGAACATTCTTTTTATAAAAAAATAAATTTAATGTGTAAGCAAATAATTAATGAATGAATAAATAAGTACTTCAGCCCAGTTTGGAATAAGTGCATCATCTATAATATCTCCTTCTGGAGAAATACCTAACTCTAGTTTTTCATTATTTACTAAGAAATCTCCATCTGAATAATAGAATTCTGGTATTAATTCTTTAAAATCTGCATCTAGCTTAAGAGTGTTGTCCCAAGTGCTCTCAACTCCCCTAAAAATACGATCTGTTGGACCAAAAACGCCATTTTATAATTTAATAACAAATTCTGGAATTTTTCTAATCAAAAAGTAGACAACTAATCCTGGAGAGCTATAATGTGTTGGATATAAATACCCTTCTGCATTTTTATATTTCTCTCTCAGTATGTCAGTGTAGAAGTCCTTTTTTCATAGAATATTATTGTAATAAAATATTTAGATATTATTTTTTTGCACGATTAAAATTTGTTTTGCTAAATAGAGCCAACTAAATTCTAAATTATTATTATAAAATATTTATTATTTTTATTTACTTTTAGCTTTTGAAGTCTATGTTTATTTAAAGCTCCTACTGGCTTAGATAAATCTCTAAAAAATTCAGGATTATCTAGATCAATTGATTCAGATCTATAATCACCTACTATCCATGGAAAAATTGGATAAGAGCTTATATCATTAAATGATCTATTAGCTATAGTATTTAAATACATTAGATATTCAAAATTAGAAATAGAATTATTTATCCAGAGTTAAGTGATTTAATCTTAGTTATAACCATACTATTATACTTTTGTGCATGCTTCTCCCAAATATGAGAAGACAGTTTATTATGTTTAATTATCATCGAAGACAAGTAATAAGCTTCTCTTTTTGTTATAAAACCATATTTCTATTCCTTAATGCTTCATCAGGTATCTGTATTTCAAAAATCCTTTTACATCTGATAGCTTATATTCAATAATATTAGAATCAATGCTGTTTATAATTGGGCAAAACATCAAACTTGTTCCTATTGAAGTCCAGAACCCATGAATGTTACCTTTTACATTAAAAAAAAATAATTAACCATATTGATAACCAAAAAAAAATAAATAATACCTTCTGGAGTTATTTTCATAGCTTTATGAATAAAGTTTATCTGTTTCCCTTGATTTTTTTTTTATTCTGCAAACTCCTTCATACTTTACTGTACTGAATTTTCTATGATAAAATTAATGTACAAAGTTTCATCTTTTGTCCTTATAAAGCCATCATAAAACTTAAGGAATCTAATAATTTATTCTTTTGTATTTGTTTTGTCAATGCTAAAAATTATGTTGTCTGTATTCTAAAAAATATTTTTGAATAAAAAAATTAGTAACTAAATAAATAAATATAAAACTATCAAAAAATTTACTATTTCTGTGAGGTAAGGAGAAATAGGATTTCTATGAATTACAAAAAGCTTATCATTCTAAATAAAAATTGCATTCATTAAGACATCTTTGAAGTAGTTTTACTATTATTAAATACTTTATGATTCTTTAATGCTATTACTTGATTGTTTTTATTATCTATATAGTCTAGTTACTAATTCTCCCTTTTTTTTCTTTTAAAAAAAACATAATTTGATATTAATCCTTGCAATATTTATCCAAATGCAATAAATTTTTCTAAACTAATTTAAATTTAAACATACATTTTTAAGATCTTAGTTTAAAGGTGATTAAGGTCTAGCCTAATTACTTTATCCTTATAGCTTCTAAATCTCTTTTTCTATTTTACCTTCCTAAGTCATAAAATAAGATATTGCTATTCTAAATATTTCAAATAATATTATATTAGATTACATTTAATTAGCTAGCTGGTAATTATATCTAGAGTAGTGCTTAAAGCTTTTGGCAATTAACACTTTTAATTAATTTAAGGGAAATGTTATGAGAATATTTCATTTTAATAAGAGGCAAATCAATATCAAAAGGTTCAAACACTAGAGACCTGCTACATAAATGAAGCTTTCCTTATACCCTACCATTATAAAATATTAATTTAGTAAACAATTTTTAGAGGTTGAATGTTTTATTCTAAAAATAATTATCATTTAAACAATTTATTTGATCAAATAATATATGAATCAAAGATGATTTTTACTCTTCGGTATTTAAATCAACTATTAAGGAAACGCCCAAAGAAAGTATGTAAAGTTCATTAGATTCCAAGTGAAGTAAATTGAACTACTTCTTTGGCTTTTTTATTGATGATAAACAGTAGAACATTTTTGATAAAAGCTAGTAATTATTAGTTATTTATTTGTTATTTTTCAATAATTAAATGCAAAATTAAACAACATTTAAATTATTCACAATAATACCAATAAATAATAAAGATTTCAAAATTATTTTCGCATATATCTTAATATCAAAAAATCAATCAATTTTTTTTTTTTAAATCTTAGAATTTAAATAATTTTAAATTGGGATAATAAAAAATTTATAATTATTATTATTTTTTTGAAATCGTATTTGTTTAAGATAATAAAAAATATTTTATTTAGAAGTTTTATTAGTATTCAGATTTTATTAAGTCAATATGTTTAACTGAAAAAGCTTATAAATATTGTAATTGTATAATTTCTTTACTTTTTATCGCAAATTCTACTTTTAATTAGAATCTCATAAGTTAAAGTCACTCTAAAAAATAGACATGTTAGAAATAAAAATAATGTCTAAAATGTTTATTTGTCTGTTTCTACTCTTTTTAGAAGACTAGAAAATTAATTTATAATTTCAAATAGAGATATATTTTGATAATTTTACTTAATAAATAAAGCAAAAAAAATTGCATATAAAGTATAAATATAACAACTTAAAATGTATCAGACGAAAGACAAAGTAGAAATTTTTAACAATAAATATTAGCAAATAAAAAGCTTAGGATAGGGTGCTTATGCAGAAGTATTTGCTTGCAGATATATAGGTCAGTAAGAGAAACAGCATCAGGTTCCATCTTTTACTCTTGATAGATTATATCAAGAATCAAAAGAAAAACCGAAGGCAGGAGAACTATTTGCAATCAAGAAATTTAAAGACAACGGAGTATGGAGATGATCATAATAAATAAATTGATCAAATATGTTTACTAGCAATTAATCGTAATATCTCTTTTAAATAGTAAAATAGATTAGGGTTGAGTATGGATAATATTAGAGAAATTAGATTTATGTAATAATTTAATCACCCTAATATTGTCAAAGTAAATAAAATTAAAACAAGCATAAGCAAGAGTATTTTTTACATTAAATTTAAAAAAAGATAGTCGACGTCTTCATAGTCTAAAACGAGAATAGCCAAAACGAAAAATAGTCTAATTTGATGATTGTTATGCCTCTTTGTGTACCTATACATAAATTGCTTGAACTAAAACGTATAGATTCATTTAAGGAAGAAGACTTTAAATGTATGTTTAAGTAAATTTTATAAGGAGTGAAATATTTGCATGAAAATTACATATTGCACAGAGTAATTATTTTATTGAAAGAGTTATTTTATTCGCTTTGAGAGAAAATTAAGCAAAAAAAATAAATATTTGATGTTAAAATATTTATTAGGATATTAAGTGGGAAAATCTTTTAATTGATAAAGATAGAAAGATAGTAATTACTGATTTTGGTCTTTCTAGAGAGTTTGGTTCAACCGAGCGTATTTTTACAACAAACATGTTCACTGCAAACTACAGACCTCCTGAAATTATTTTAGGCAGTGCTAAATATGGACCTAAGAGTGATATGTGGGCTATCGGAGTTGTCTTTATGGAGATTCTTATGAAATTCGAGAAATTCTTATTCCCAATTACTTCCGATAATAATGTTGAAATATTAAATTGTATATTTGCACTTAGGGGTACGCCTGACGTAAAACTATTTTCGATCTTTTTTGCAAATTTCATAGCATATTTTATAATAAGTTCCTTAAATTTTTAAATTATTTTAATTATGAAAAGTAAGAAACATGGAAGGACTATGATTAGCTGCCTTTAAAAATTAAATTTAATCCAGTCTAAGCTAAAAAGTTAAAAAATTTGGATGTCTTATAAGGATACTCAGATGGTTTGGTAGATGTTTTGGAACGACTACTTCAGTTAAATCCAAATAAAAGACCTACAGCAGCAGAGGTAATTAATTAAATTTACAAATAAGAAAATAAATAGACAATCTTTAGTTATTAGAAGATAAATATTTCAAGAATGCACCCTTAGAAACTGAATAATATGAATCAGTAATTAGAATTCTTTTATAAGAATAGTAAAATTAATTAAAATGAAAATGCCTACAAATATTAATCATTCAATCAAAAGAACAAGCAAGCAAGCCTCCTGTCAATAGATCGATAGATTATCCATCTTGTTATTAGCTTATTTTCAAATATTTAACAAATAATAAAAACATTATCGAATTTTAATAAACAATCTGTAAATAAATAAATAAATAAATATTTTTTCCATTATTTTAATTTAAAAATAAAAGTGTATCTATCTTCTTACAATAATAAGTTATCATTTTTAAGCAATAAATTAAATTATCAATTTGGATTCAAATATTTTTTATGTTTGTTTTTAAAAATCTTGTTTCTATATTTAGTAGAAAAAAGTATTTTATGAAAAAATAAATACTCATTTTATTCGATTTAAAAAAACTAAAAGTTTTAGAATAAAAAATAAATGGAGTTTAAAAATATTAAAACTTTTTAGACATTTTATCATTTTATTTTTGAGTCATTGTTAAAATATCACAGCTTTATAAATAAATCAAAATTTTTCATTACAGATTTAATTTAAATTGTTTTTTGCTTTTTTATAAATTACAAATTAAAATTTAGATGTTTTATTTTTATATGAATGATGGGTATCAATTTTTTTTACAATACTTGTAAAAAATATAATTGAGATCTTCAGCATCTTCTTTTGGAGGTAAGTCAATATCCTCTTCATCTTCTGCTTCATTCTTTCTGCTTATAAAAGACTAAGCATTTTCTCTTGATTTTTAATTAAATTAAATTTTTTTATTAAATGAAAAAAAAAATTTTAATGCTTACTCAGATATTATATTTTCATCTGCTATCAATTTTTAAACTAAGGTTGTCACTAGTACAGATAGATCTTTCTTTTAATCACGATTATTTTTTTATTCTTCTTAACTCTTAGGTTCTTTTTGTTGAGATTTTTTGTCTCTCTACTACTATTTAATATTCTAAAACTCTATTTGTATCGGTTATTATTGCTTTTAGGTTTTCTGCACAATCAAATTTTTATTTATTGGCCTTATACTTGGTGAGTAATTAAGATTATCAAAGGAAGTCAATTGTTTATTTGATGATTGAGAATTCTGAAAATTATCTTATAAGTTGCTACTGCTAAGAAGTAACTATGGTTATTATTGCTGATTATAACTTAGCATTCTTCTTTAGATTTTTATATTCTGTTTAGTTACAGCTATTTCATCTTATAATTCTTTTTCTTTTTGATTAATTTTTTAGTTTTTTTCTTAAATCCTTTACTATTCCCTTTATAAACCGATTTAGTTTAAGTTCACTTTTTCTTTTTAAGAGTAGTTCTATGTAAGTTATTTATCATTTTTTCTTTTGATTGGCTCAGTAAAAGTGTTGCTAACACTAATTGGCTATGTGTGTGATTATTAAATTTATTAAACAGGATTTACATCATGAGATTTTACAAACTTTTAATTGTCTATTTAATTAGTTTGCATCACATCATATAAGGATGAACGCACACGACTCTTTCTGAAGTTTTCTTCTACATTTCTTATGTCATCATCACATATCAAATACTCTACCTACTCAGTTTTTTGCTCAAACATATTTTAATTAGCCTTTTCTGAGCTAGGGCTCTATTGTTGAAAACCAAACTAATTGTTTTCATTTTACCTTTAATTTTGGCAACCAACATTACTAGATGAGTTTTAAATTTCTTATGAGCTCACAACAAAGTTTTTAGTTTGTTTTTAGGCTATATTTGATGTTTGCTTTTCTGATAATCTTACTTATTCTTTATCTGAATTATGCTTTCCTTTTTTTATCAATTTACAATCAAACTTTAACCTAAGATTAATATCATAATATTTTTAATTTTCTTTAATATGCTCAGAGTTATTAATATTATTAAGTGTTTAAGAAAACCCCCTTTAATATAGAGAAGGAATATCTTATATTTATCTATCTTCATCGTCATCGTCTTATCTAAGATTCATGAAAAGTTCTGGATGTAATTGCATTTAGTGCTTCTTCAAAGCATCCTTCTTTAACTAGACTTCAACACATTAATGACTTAAGTGATCCTCTTTATCACACAAGAAGCATTTGAGGCCAAATAGTTTATAATTTTTCTAATATACCATTTAATCTTTCAATTTAACATACTTTTACTGTTTGATTTTTAAGGAAGTTTATTATTTTCAGTTAAAAACTAAAATAATTAATTAATTACATAATCTTCAGGAAAGTTTTTGATGATTTTTAAAAAATCATTTCTAGAAACTGCAAAAACATTTGTTAATTCAATACATCTTGCACTTTCATGTTTTTTTTCTCCACTAAAAAACTCATATAAACCAATAAAATTTCCTGATTCAATAGACTAAATAGGTATTCCCTATCCGTTATTGTAAAATTACATATCATAATAGAGTTATACTTCTCCTTGCTCTACGTAATAGAGATACTAGTCTTCTTCTTACTCGTCTTGCTAAATTTAAAAATAGAGTCAATCTTAATAAATAAATCATAAAATTAATAATTAATTACATGATAAAGTAGATCGTCTTCCAAATATTTTTTTTCCGTTATAAACTATGCTAAAAGTTATAAAAATCCATACGAAAAATGCTTAGACCATTCATATTTTTTAAAAAAGAAAGAATTGGCTTAGTAGATCAATTATAACTTCAAGTTTTGAGGAAGAGATTATATTATCTTTTTTTCCTTATCATCTTCTCTTGATTTTGTGTCTTTCCAAACAAAATCCAAATACCCATTTATTTTTTTTGATAATTGAGGATCTATTCCTTTATCTCTCATGTACCTATTCATAGCATTCATATTCTGCCTATAAAATAATATACAAGAAAAAAAATTAAAATAATTTAATTAATGAGTCTATTTTACTAATATCTTTATGTCCCTTAAGAAACTTCAGAGATAATAAACCAAATGCTATTAATACTATAAGCAAAAAGGATACAAGAGCACATCATTGAAAAAATACAAACAAGAACTTCATATGGAGCTACTGGAGTTACATCACCATAACCTACAGAAATCATTGTTGTTATACTCCAGTACAATGCATATAAATAATATTGAAGAGTAGAAGGATCATCAACACCAATTTTACTAAACCAGCACTTACCATCATAATATTCACATTCAATAACACCTACTCTATAAAAAACACAAGCAAAGAAATTTGAAATAAATAATACAATTATTCCAAGTCTTAATAATTAGTATGCTGCTTTGCTATATAATTAAAATTAAAATTTATAAACGATCATGAAATAATGTGAGATCTACTGTATAAAATTTACTACTGGATCTAATAAAAAAATAGTATTAAAATTTTTTTTTTTTCAATATATAATAAAATCAATAAAATTTGATGGTGTTTTTATATTGCTAAATAAAGAAGATCTACAATAGAAATAATTAATATATTTGAATAAAAATTATCAAAACTATATTAAATTAGTTCTAGAGTTTAGTGCTTATTTGTTTAAATTAAATAGATTTATCAATTTAAAGATAAATTACCTCTTTCTATGCAATTAAAGCTACTAAATAATGACTGTATCAAATGAGTTTAAATTGATAATTCTCACATAAAACAGTAGACAAAAATAAGATGATACATCAATTCCGAACTTTCTATCATTTTAGAAGAGATTCAATGATAATCCGGTGATACCAAGTATATCAACAAGAATTTTTCCATCAAAAAATTTTTTTAAATAGTTCATAAATATTTTTTTGCGATCTAAAATAAGTTTTCCTCTATCAAAAAATCCAGTGTTGAGATAGAAGATGATATCCAAAATAAAAGCAATAAACAAAAGTATTCTAATAGCCAAACCCATTCCTTCAGTAGGGATGATGCTAGTCTGAAAAAATAGTTCAATAGGAATGAAGAAAAAGATAATGCAAGTCAAAATAAATATCATAAACTCCCAGTACAAGAGATAAACATTTGATGGCTCAAACACTGGGATTTTTTCTATGATTTGTTAAATTAATGGAACCTATTCAACTTAGTTTTCTATTAATTAAACAAAAATGATGTTATTTATATTTAAATGCAATTATTTGGGTAATAATTGTTACATATTCTTTAATTAGGAGGAGTAAAATTATATAATGCATTATATATTTTCATGTTTTTTAGGTAAGTCTACCTTTTCTAAAAGCACACCACATTTTCTTTTTTGCTTTTTCTTATGTATGGTTACCTTTACTCTTCAATGTGCTAACGATTTGATTAAGATAAATTATCTGCTTTATGCATTGTTTATCTAGTTTAATTGTTTTAACCTTTTTATTCTGTAGAAGTGTAAGATTACTGATGATAATCTATGATGTCTTGATCTATACTTTCTTATCCTACTCCATTTATCAATGGCTACTTTAATCCTCCAAGTTTACTAAAATTAACTTATTAGCTTTCATAATCCTTTTCTTCTTCTGATGTATTATCTATATCTATTTATTAGGAATCTTCAGGTTTTTTAAAAAGAGATTTCATAGTGCACTGCCAAATTATTTACTCTTTTTTAATAAAAGCTACTTTTTGGATATTTTTATTATTTCCTAAAAAAACTTAACTTTTTTTTGATTGAATTTAATAAGAAGTTTTTATGTAGATTAAATTTCTTTAAAGCGAAAATGAGCACAGTTTATGTTTAAAAACTCATATTTTAGATAGATAGATATATCTTACACTTTTTTCAATTTTTTTGGTATATCAATTCTTAATTTAATCTATGATAATATCTAAAAATAGAACTAATTTCTATTAAAAATATTATTATTAAAAAGAGAATATTTATTTTAACTCCCTTTTACAAAAATCAAAGGCTATTAAAAATTTAATTTTTATTTTATTAACATGATAGACACACATAAATATTTTCGATGATATAATAACTAAAAAGCTTATTTATTCAAAACAGAAATAATTACAAAAATATTTACTAATAAATAATTTAAATTTAATAACAAAAAAAAAGTTTATGATTAATAAGTAAATAATTTACATGGAATATTTTTATTTTATGATTATAAAAAGTATTTTATTCTTTAGTTCTAAACAACTAAACTAAATTCATTTTTAAGATTAAATAAATAGCTTAAGAATATTTATTTCAACTTATTTTTACATAAAACTGAGGCAAGTAAAATTAAGCTACTGCCTGTACTATTTATTAGGCGTTCTTCAAATTAGGTGAGGAGAATTTTTGATAAGGTGTAAAATGGAAATTTATTTATATTCCCCAATAAAATGTTTGTAATTAAAATTTAGAAATTATAGTATTTAGTCTTCTTAAATTCTTAACTAAAAGCTCAATGTATTTTAAGGTTTTAAAAAAATAATAAAATAAAACATAAAAAAAGACATAAAAAAATTATTAATAATATTTTTGAGTGAAATATTTATATAAACTCTCCACTTAATTTTTGAATTAAATAGTACACTTTTTATCTTTATTCAATCACTTTTATCTGAAAGATTTTTGGTGAATAATTGATTATTTAAGAGTTCAAATTAGAATTAAAAAATTTTAAATATTAATCTTTCAAATAAAAACGAATAGATAGATATTTAATCATTTTACATATAAAAGAATGTCTTGCTCTTATGAATTTTTTAAATAATCTTGGTCAATACAAGATTAAATTTAATCTTTTACAAAGCTATCCGTTATGATAAATATTTATTTATTATCTTTAAGCTTTTACTATACTAATTTTATCAACTCATCTTTATGAAGAGTTTCTTTGTCTTTCATAATCTATACAATGTATGAATTGATAATTACTTTCCTATGATTTATTATATTTGAATTTATTTCTTTTTAGCTCTTTTAGGTTTAAGCATCTGCTCTTAGATTTTGTAAAATTTACTAAGAATAAAATTATTCTTATGGGATAGAATCAATTTCTAAATCTTAGGTTTTAGCATAAAAATCTGTATTAACTTCATAATTTTTTTTATTTTTTTCACTTTGTTAATCTTTATTGTCTTCTGTTATTTTTAGTTTTAAAATGTTAAATTTGGATAAAATGTTAAGCTTTTCTTTTATTATTTTTTTATTTATCCCTGTCTTTTCCTTTAATTCCTAAACACTTATAGAATTATTTTTGTTAAAGCAAAGTAGGATGATCATGGAGTAAGACGAAACTTAAAGCAAGTAAGTTCCTCCAAATTATAATTTCGAATCACTCTTAAATTATAATGTAGAATAGCTGACATGATGCAGCAAATCTAATTTACGTTAATTTTTGAATACTTTTCTAAAACTTTCACTGTATTCTTAGTAGTATCTTTATAAAGCTTTAGGAAGAATTATCTAAGAGTTTGCATTTGTTTTTGAAAGCTTCAGTGGCCATTTCATATTAGTTAAGATCATGACATCTATTAGTGAATTTTTAATTTCTTAAGAATTATTATTATGCTTTCCTCCTTCTTCTTCATTTTCTTCTTTTTCATCAATTATAATCTAATTCTTTTTTAATAAGTACCTTTTCCCCTTTTACTTAGTAGGTTTGGTTTCACTAATTATTAAATCTTCATCACTGTTATTTTAGTCGCTATCTTCAATTTGTATAAGTTAGTTAGAATCTGATCTTTCAGTTCTACTATTTGATCTCATTTATCCGACTTCTTGATTTCTTTAAGAGTTATCTATCATTATTAATTCTTCACTTTAACTTAGGTTATCCTTAATCATTTTTAAATATAAGTTTAACTTTTTGGTAAAGAATAGTAAATTACTTATCTGCTTTGTTCGATTTCAGCATTATCATCTATTACAATTTAGTCTATCTAATGATTATTGTTTCTTCGAATCTTGTTTTAATAAATAAATAAATAAAATATTTTTTTAATCTATAATTATTGGAATGAAAATAATTACTTAATTATTGTTATTTCTACTATTTTAACTAATAATTTCTATTTCTTCTTCACTATTATCATCACTAATATCTATTTAAATTCCGTTATTTCTCCTTTTATTTGATTTTTCACTACGAGACTCAATTGATTTTGATCTTGATCTGGATCTAGATCTTGACCTTGAAGAAAGAGAATTTTTGCTTTTTTAATCTTAGTTATCCTTATTAATTTTCTTCATCTACTCATAGTAGTCAAATTTAATCAGATCACTTTTATTTAAATCTTAGATCATTTATTTCATGTGATCGATTTGAGTAATCAGTCCTATTGACTTTTCAAAATATTCCAAATACTTTAGTTCTTATTTTTCTCCTTAACTTTATTTATATATTAATCTACGAGAAAGCAGCTTTCTATAAATTTCTAAGAATTAATCTTTTTAGAAAATATAAGAAAATATTTTGCTGATAAAATTTTCAAACTCATCTTCTTTAAGTTCAAGACTAGTTTATCTGAATTTTTCATTCAACAGATATTAATGGCAAGAGTTTACTAAATAATCAACTGCTAGCTCGCTTGAATTAAATTATGACTCAAAAGCTCTACTTAAAGCAGTATTCAAAGTAGGATTGTTATCAAATGCTTAAACTAACCCATTTTAATAATAAATTAAATAAATTTCATAAATCTATTTAATCCATTTTTATTAGCAATTCTAAATATATTGAATATCTTTTTCCAAATTTTCATCCTTTGATTCTGAATTTTGCATATAGTTTTCTGCCTAATTTTATTGCTCTTTCTTATAATCTTCAAACATGATTTCTTGTTCTTTTTCTACTTTTTAAATTACGCTTTCTACAATCGAATTAAATTTTTGGGACAAAGTCTTGATCGATTCGTTATCATTTTAAACGAAATTGTAAATCAACTTCAATTCTTTATAATTTTAATTATTAAAACAATAAGTCAAGCCATACTTTTAATGATTAATTAGTTTTGGATAATTCTGATAGATACACATTTTTTGTAATAAATCAGACACTTTGATAGAAATACGGTTCATGTAATACGAAATAAACTATTACTCTCTAAAAATATACTCCTCTATCTAGGTTATTTAATCTTCCAATTTTTCATCTTTGATACGATCGATAAATTCTTCAGAATCTGATTTCAATTTCTAAATATATTTTTCCTCAATTAAGCTGAAAATAGATTCAAATTCAACTTTCTCTTTTTTCTTTTTTTCCTTTTTACTTTTAGATTCAATCACTCTTTTTTTCTTCTTGCTTTTTTTATTTTCTAATTCTATTTCTAGGCTTTAATCGCCTTCTTCTTACTCTTATTCTATTTCCTATTAATCTAATGATTTTTAGCTACTAGACACTTATTTATTTTCATCGCTACTAGAATCGTCCTCCATCAATTACTTGAATTTTTCTTCCTCTATCCTCTTTTTTTCTTAATACCTAATTAGCTTTTCTGCCTCTTCTTCAGTGAAGTCACAATTGAATAAAACGCTTATCTAAAAATCATATGATTGCCTATCCAAATAAAGCTAATTCAAAAATGTTCTACATGAAAAAAAATTGATAATTTATAATAAATCTTAGCTAAATCTCTCATTTTATTCCTCTAACTATTTTCTCTTATTGAGATCTTTGACAATTTAATCAACTATCTTCATTGAAAATTTCCCATTTGAGCTATCAAGAACTTTTTAAAGACAATATTGCTATAAGCTTACCTAATGTAAACCTTTGAAAATTAATTCATCGAATTAATAGAAAAAAACTGATATAAAATATATTTATATGAGCTAGTCTCTTAAAATTTTTTAAAATTAATTTAAAATAGTCGAGTCATCATCAGAGCTTTTTCCTTTAAAAATAAGTTTTAATTGTTGATTAGAGCTATCTAAAATATTGATCATAATTTCATCAACTAGCAATTATACTTATTTACCATCAAGCTAATAAACATTTTGAAATAAATTTGCATATTTATCTTAAGAAAATAGCTTATTTATGTCTTCATATTGGTTATTCGCTAAAAGCTTTCTAATTTTATAGAAGATTTTAGGAATTTTTTTTAAAATCTTCATTTTTAACCTTGGTAATTAATTAATTGAATTTAAAGTTTTATTTAGTTTATTAATAATTAAAAAATACTAATCAATAATTCTTTCTTTTAATATCTTTAACTATTAATCGTTTCTAATAAATCTTATTAATATTTTAACAGTTTGTAATAAAGCGCCATTTAGAGCCTTTAATTTAAATAAATGAATAATAAAATAAAGATTTTATTACTACTCAAGTATGAAATAATTTATCATTCATTGTTTAAAGACTTATTAAATCTTCATAAGGAGATTCATTTTTATTATTTTATATTATTTTTTATAACTCATAAAAATATTTATTGGCTTCCTCAATTTGTTTTTCATTTTAATGAAGTAAATAAATAACCAATGCTATAAAAAAATATTTTTATTAATTGATTAATAATTTTGCAATTTTTTATTTTGAATTTTATAATTATTTTTATAATAAATGTAATTAAAGGATTTGTTTAAAAGATAAAATTAAAATTTTAAATCCTTTTTGTATACAATAAATAAATAAATAAATAAATAAATAAATAAATATTTATTTTTTAGAATTTAAATGGAATAAAATAAGAATAATTTTAGTTAAAGATTTTTTTATCTCAAAAAATATAAACAAAAAAGTTGTATATAAAGCAAGCAAATAATATTTGATATAATAAACGAATGGCTTTTATTTCTTAATATAAGCAAACAAAAAAATGAATATTAGTTGAATTAAGACCAATCAAATTATATTTCTTACTATTTATTTAAAATTTCAATTTAATTATTTGATCCTAAGATATTTACAAATTAAACTTTTTACTAAATTTTAACTAAATTTACTATTTGAATTTTAAGAAATAGATTTGTAATTTGAAAATTAGAAATAGGTTAATTACCAACATTTAATATAGCATTATTTATGAATGAATAATAAATCTTTATGTGAAATGGATTCTTCAGACATTGATGTACTTATTTATAGCATATATATTTAATAAATATTGATTTTTTCTTGTTTGTTTTTCAGAAGATCTAATCTAAAACTTATTTCAAAAAAGGAGATAATCATTTTGTTAGAGCAAAGAGAGAAAGTATAATAAAATATACAATTGATTTAAAAATAAAATTCAAATAATCCTGCCTCACAAGAAAATTATTATCAAACTAATGAGCTCTCATAGTCAATAAGTGACCTTGAAAATTAAAAAAATAATTTAGAATAAAAGGTTTTTAATGAACTGCTAAAAATTTCAAAATTTCAAAACTATTTTTTAGATGGCTACAGCACATAATTTCGCTAATGTATGAATTACATTGAGTATTAGAAGCTGAATATTCATTAAAAATTATTCACTCAAGGTAAGTAAATTTGAAATGGCAAATTTAATTAAGTATTTTGTTTAAATATTAATAGACAGCAATCCAGATTACTTTTATATAATTTTGAAGGGGCAAATAGGTCTTTTTTCAAGCTAACAGCTATATAATGAATAAGATGGGTATTAGTATCAAGGCAAAACTTTAATTAAAATAAGCAAACTACTAAAATAAAATTAAAATGATAGCAGTTAATGCAATAAAAGTGATGCTACTCCAAAATAGAAAACAGGAGATATTAATATAAAATAAAAAAATAATAATAATATTGATGGTTAGTATTACCTACTTAAAACATTATGTTAAGGCATGCAGTTTGGTGAAATTAGTATTCTTATGGAGTAAAATAGAACATCTACAGCAATCGCTTTAGAAGATGAAACTATACTTTTAAAATTAAACTGTTAAAAATTCTTGTAGATATTAAAAATAAGAGAGGAATCAAAGCTATTTGCAAGCTTGAGCTGCATAAAAGAAAGTAGCTCAATAAACTTTTTATCTTTTAATGCCCTAAAAGATATATTTATTAAGTCGTATTTTGTAAGATTTCAAAGAGATTAATATGTTTGCATGTAAAATTAATATCCTAAGGCAGCATTCTTGATATAATCAGGTGAATTCTCTCTTTGGTCTTATACAAATTTAAACTCAAATAAAGCTCCTCCTTCAAAAGAGCCATACTAAACAACTCTTCCTAAATACCATATCAAGCAGGATATTAAGGTAATTTAATTTTTTCATTAAATAAAATAAATTTATTTTAAATTTCTACATAATCAAATCAGAACATATTTGTATAAAAGTGAATTGAATTAAATTAATAAATTAGCACTATTTATTTCTAATTGATATAAATAAATATCTACTTATGAAATTTAAAATTTAATTTAAATTTCAAAACAATTTACATTTTTTCTTAAGAAAAAAGACAAAATTCAACTTTAAAAATTTAAAAAAATTTTTTAATTTATTTGTTTTCAAAAATAAAATTTTTTATTGATTTTCAGTTGATATTTTTGCTCATTGTAAAATCTTAATTAATATAAATGTGAATTTTATAATTAGATGTCATTACTTGGTGTTAAAGAAATATTTGGAGATATTGAAATACTTTCAGATGAAAATTACTAATACTCTTTAAAATGTGAGAGTGAAGGAGATATTCTTATTATACCAAGAGAGATTTATGAGGCTAAAGTGAAGCAAAATGAACTTCTTATTGACATTATAAAGAACAAGTCTTCAAAAATTAATTAAAAAAGATTACAATTATATAAAAAATTTAACTAGAATTTAGAGGTATTTAGACATTTTATGTATGATGCTGATGACACAGATGAGGAAGACTCAGGAAAGATCGGTTACAACAAAGGCTATGATGTATTCGTAAAGTCAAAATTTTTTAAGAAATTGCTCTAATAGGAAAATGGACTAAAAGGGAGCAGTAAAAATAAAAAAGATGAATAAACCCAACAGATAGATTAGCTTTCTTTTAAAATGTAGTAAGCAGATAAAAATCAAATGAAAGAATTGTTATTTCTAGAAAATATCAACTGCTATGAATTAAATAATTAAGATAAAAAAAATTTTTACTTTACTTACAAGGGATCTTCTAACTAGCCATCCTCATTAAATTCCTCTAATAACTTTACCAATTAGCAACAATAGATTTTTAAAAATAAAAAAAGTGAAAAAGGAAATGGAAATAAGAAATCTTTTGAATTATTATTCTAAACAAATTATCCTAATTAAATTGAAAGAGCTTTTAATTCTACTAAAAATAATTTAGTTTCAGAACAGAATAGTTCAATACAAAGAAATTCAAATAGTCTAAACTCATAACAAATTTCTTAATTTGAAGATTCCTCAAATGTGAGAAATATATTTTATAGAAATCGTTAACAAAGATCTTCAAGCAGGAATTAAGAATAAAGGACAGGATAAGGATTCTATTCAATTTAAGATGACTATGACAGCAAAATAGCTCAAATATCTAAATAGAATGTTTGTTACTCTCTAGAATAAGGTGTAAAGGCTCAAGAAGATAGTGATTGTTAGAGTTATTCACCAACTCATTCAGTTGGGTTCAGTCGATAAATGCAGGGAGAGTTAATAAGTTAGCTTTCTTAAAGAATTTGCAAAAACGACCTAAATGAAAATTAAACTAAAAATACTAATGAAAAATAGCAAAGACTATCAAGCAGAGATCAAAGAAAAATAATAAAAAAGCTGTAAAAATAAAACAAAGACCTTTTTAAGATGAAAATAGATCCAAAGTTAAGATAAAAATTGATTGGTTATGAAAAAAAAAAAAATTTTATTGAAGACTATAGAGAATAAAATCTATAAATCAAAAGAAACTCTTTACATGCTAACTAAATACTAAAACAACTTAATTATTAGCAAGACTAATTATAAGAATTTATTAAAATAAATTAACTTGAAAACTAAGAAAACTAATAAAATGTTAATATATTAAAAATCAACAATTAGCAAACTAACAGTTAAAGAAGTAAGAATAAATCTATGCCTCATACTCCTCTTCCTGGTTAGCATAATAACACATTCATTTAGATTCATAGAAAAAATATTCCTAAATAAAGACCTAACACTTTTATGGCTTAACAACACATGTAATAGGATAAATAATTTCTTATTGCAAGAATAGAAGATTCTTCTTCTGTTTAAACTCCGCTTACTGCTCCAAGTAGTAAACTAGGAGTGCATAGAATAGGATCACCTAGTAAAATTTAAAATGACTAATTTTAATTACTTGTAAAATAAAAGCCAAAAACTGCTATCCCAGCAACTTCAAGACATACAACAAATTTAGTCCAGTAAAATAAAAGTAATTTAAATAGGGAAAGTAACAGCTCTTTTACGTCTCACTATACAGCAAATTCTGAAATAGATGGATTCGATAAATCTCAACTTAGCTTTGAATAAAACGGTTATGATATCAACCAGTATAGGTAGGACAGAATAAAATCGTAATCATTTTCTCTAAATATCATGAACTCTCTTGAACTAGGTATTTAACCCAACACTCCTTTAAATAGCAATAGAATTGTTAAAAATAATATGGATAGCCACTTTATTTAAAGAAGATAAACTTTTAATTGTATCACAAACACAGTAAAAGAAAATCAATAACAAGTATAATAATAATAACAGTAGTAAAAATAGTAATAGCAATAATAGTAAATGGTTCCTACAAGACCACCGACTGGGAGATAAAAGCTATCCTCAAAAGAAGGAAGATCCCAAAATAATAATCATATTAACTAAAATTCATAAATAAGCAAAAATAGCTTAAATAATTTTTTTGAAGACAAAAAAGAATTAATACCATAGGCACTGGTTGGAAATTAAATTTAATTATAAAAAAAGCAAAATAGAAATTCTTCAAGATAAGGCCCAATATTGCGAGATGATTTTTTAGTTAATAATAATGTTTAAAACTAAAATACTTTGAAACATTTTTAAATTTAAAATTCAGATCAGGAAACTCGAGAATAAATAATTGAAGACAATTTGAATAATAAAATTTTAAATTTATAAGCTTCTCCTGCTTAAAGCTTTTTTGTTGGTAATAAACTTAATATTACATATTAAAAACAAAAAGAAATCAGTAGAGAGGGTTCCAACGAACATCAAATTTAGGTTGAATAGCAATAGAAAAATAATAGCCAAAGAAGATATATATCATTTGACTTTCGTCCTCCAGCTTAAATTAGATAGCAATACTGATAACTAAATTTATTCATTAGTTCTTTTTTTTCAAATCTAAAATTAAATTTAAAATTAAAATTCTTAAATCTAATTTATAATCCGAATAGATAAATAAATATCAACTAACTTTTAATTTAAAATTAGTATTTTCTTAAAATGAATTCTCAACATACATAATATGAAATACATTATTGTATTTTATGAAGAGTTTTTATATTTAAATTATTTTTGCACTAAAAATTTTACTGTAACTTAAAATTTTGTTTTTATTAAATTATCTAATGTATTTTTTATTAAAATGTAATTAATACTTCATTTTCGTGTTAGTTTTATTTACTTATATTAGATTAACATTATTAATATTTGATTTTTGCAATTTTTATCCATATTATTTTAGTCAAAATATATTATTGGTTAATAATTTATATTAAATCACAAATTCTAGCTTAAAAAGCGCATGGTGAGAAATATTCTTACAGAGAAGAAATATTTTGGTAGTTACTATACTAAAAATACACATATTTTTTAAGAAATAGATTGTGGATTATTTATTCTTCCTCATAAAGAATTTTGATATATTTAGATTGTATTTTAAAAATAAGATAAATAAACAAATTAAATGTAATTAGACTATATTATGTTAACCTTTTAGCTCTTATAGATTTTTATTATTTTTGATAATTTTTTTGAATTGAAATTTTACTTTAATTTTTTATGCATCAAAGAAATATATAATATGCTCAACAAAATTGATGAAAGTAAATTTTAGAATCCAAAAGTATAAAAAAAGTGTATAAAGAAGGAAATAAAATATAATTGCATTTTCAAATAGAGAAATTCATCTATTTTTATCATTTAAAAAGAAGCAAAGAAATAGAAATGCTCAAAAAACAAAAACAAAATTATAAAATTTACTTAGAAAGAAAACTACTAAAAAATAACTAAAGCGATTTGATGCATATGAGAAAACAAAAATTAAACTAATCAATCAGTCAAATTAAGTCGAAAAAAAAGAAACAATCTCTACCACATTCATTAAAAATATTCAACATGATCCAGATTTATGACTACCTTAAATGAAAAGCTAATAGAAAACTTGATTAATTTAAGGTGAAAAAAGAAGTACGCAGACTCAAAAAATATAAATAAATAAATAAAAAAAGAAAAAAAAAATAAATACCACTACAATAATCAAATTATCAATAAATCAGATTTAACACAAAATACATTAATTCGTAAATCATGAGCATACAATGTATGTCATCGAATTCATCTCTAGACTTCCAAAGTAGCTTTGGATAGCCTGATCTTTCTAGTCTTGCATTCAGCGGAAGTGCCAACCGTAAGTAAAATACCAAGAAAATAGTTAAGTAGATCTAAGAGGATTATTCTATTGAAAAAAATCCATCAACTGACTGCTCTAGTGATTCTTCTGATTAAGGTAAATAAATAATTTGTTTGTTTAATCATCATTTATTTTCAGCGATTTAGCAAATTGTACAAATGGAGTTAACATAAGAACAAAATATCCTACTAATTTAGACGCGCATTTAATTTAACGCTAAATTGTTACATTCTCATGATAACTCTAGCGTAAATGTGCAGTGCCTGTCATTTTAGTGGAAAAAGACTATCATTTGATCCAAATTTGAATTTTTGAAAACTCTTCTATATTAAATATTTCAATCATTTGTCTTTCTTTGTCTTTATTTAAGCTCCTACCTATCACTAAATCTTAAAGATTATACTTAACTTCCTCTTTTAAAATAATAAATAGCAATGAAACCTAAAACCGATGAAACTAAATATAAGACAGAAATGTGTAAAAACTTTTAGGCCACCGGCACGTGCAATTATGGAAAGAAATGCAAGTTCGCTCATGGAAAATAAGATCTTGTGAACAAGCCAATTCAAAACTCTAAGAGTTACAAAACAAAAACATGCAAGGCATTCCATGAAGAATTAAATTGTCCTTACGGATCTCGCTGCCACTTTAAGCACGATTAGCGTTCTATTTCAGAAATTTAATAAAGCAAATACTACTCAAAAAAGCTTGCGACATTAGAGTTTGACCTAAGCGAAATGGAAAATTGCAATTTGAAAATCAGTCATGGATCTCGCTTACCATTTTTCATGTCTATGATCCAAAATAATTGAAAACTATAACATCTAAATATCTTCTTTTATTAATATATTTATCACTAAAATTTGATAAGTCACTAACTAACTAGCTTGCTGGATTAATTAGCAATTTGAACTAAAACTATGAATTAAAATCATATCCTATTTATATATAACTACTTCATAACTTGATCATCCATATATCAATAACATTTTTACAGCTAGTTAATTAGCCTTTACTTAACTACGACTTAATAATAAATTAACTATATCAAGGGAGGAATCACTTTCTTTCTTTCTCAATTAAAACTTTTTTATTCAATATGCATCTCCAGCTATATTTATTTGCCAATTTGCTTTTATAGAGGTTAAATTGCCGCTGCGGAAGAGGGGCAGACAAACTTTATTGCTCTACTTTATCCTCTATAAGCAAAAACAAAAGGAGATGTATAGATTCTATAAAAAAATAACCATATAATAAAACATTTTTTATTTATTCGATTATATTAATTTGCTTTTAATATTGATTGAGGCTCTTTTCAAGCGTTGTAATTAGTTTTCAAAAATCATTATTTTGCTCCAAGGCTGCTAAGATTAGAATTAAATATAGATAAATATTCATACAAATTCAATTAAGATTAGAACTTAAAGAGATAAACAATTATTTTTATGGTTAATTTTTTGAAAAAGGGAGAAAACAAACTAACTAAATAAATAAATACATGCATTATTCTAAAATAATATTTTTGAAATCTGTGACTTTCCTTTCTCAAAACTGAATAAACACTCAGAAAAAAGTTGTCCTTTTAGCGTTAAGTAGACACACTAATGATCTGCTCTTACTCTAACAATAATAAAATATTCTCAAATAAAATTTGAAGGACATTTCTTATCTTAATTAATTAATTCGCACATTCATAATATATTTTTGATTAAATACGTTCAGCATCAAAATATAATTAACATTTCAAATAGAGAAAAGCTAAAACATACATACACACATACACTCATAAATAGATACAACCCTAAACTTAATTAATTCCTATGATTATTTATCAACCTCTAACAAAAATTGATACAAACTTTTGATTCAATAAATTATTATCTCTATTTCCATTTACATGGAGTCTCGCGTCTAATTTCCTTACTTATGTAGTATTCCTAATTCTATAAAAATTCAAATACTTGGAAATAATGAAAGCTGAAACTGCAATCTATTGAGGCAGAACTTTTATTTTATGATTTTAGCACAATTTAAGAAAGCGGAGGTAAAATAGAAATTAGAGAGTGAAAGAGACGTTGTGATACAAATGAAAACAAATTAAGTTTGTATTGATAACAAAACTAATTAATTTCTGATGATTTATCTTAATAGAACAATTTTATTAATTCATTAACTGAGATAATGAAAAAAGCTTAGCTCGTATTTTGTTTGAATCAAAATTGCTTTAATAATCCTTTTATACTAAAATAATAAATTTTTTCTATCCTTAATAACCATATTTATTAACAACCTAAATAGCAATTTATCTTCAACTATTTCTCTTATTTTATAATAAATAACCATAAAAATTTAATGAATTCATATATCAAGAGACTCTGTAAGTTCATATTTATTTATTTTGGCTTACTTACTAATGATAATAAGCTGATTTAATGGCTTATATATAAAAATAAAACGGCAAAAACAAAACAATGAAAGAATCTATTCGATTTTGAAACTAACAACAACATTACTTTAAACCTCAATCAACCAATACATATTAAAGATTTCCTCACTTTATATAATAATTAGGATAATAATCATACTTTTCTACATTAAACACTATGCAAATATAATATATATTTTCCATATTTATTTAATTATTTATTATTTTTTTCATCTATAAAAACAATCTTTCTATTAATAAAAAAATTAAAAGAAAATTGAAGCCAAATTTAGTACTACAATTTGTTAATTCATAGGCTTCAGATGCTTTTTTTTTATTTAATCAAAAAATCTTTATTTAATCTTTAAGCTGTATGCTTTTTGATTTGAAATGATATTACAAAAATAAAGATATAAATATACGCTTGTAATATATACACGCTCATTTTTATTAATAATTAAAATCTAATTCTCCCCATATAATATTCATAAGAATAAATTTTAGAATAAGTAAATAAATATTAAATACAAAAGGAATAATTTAGAATTAAATTAGAAGTAGTTTTTTTCTAGATTAATCTTTTAATTATTTTTATTTTAAATACTCTTACTTTAAAGTAGAATTAATATGCTGGAGCTATTTTTAGGATATTAACTCTGCAATGACAATTTTGAATGATAGTTTATATTCGTACTGCTTATACTTATTTTCATTGAAAAATTATAAATTTTAAACTGAGGCTACTGGCAATTATTTAATGTACAAAAATTTTCTTTTATTTTTAGTTGTGCTGTGATACAATATCAAAAATAAATTGAATAATATAACAAATAAATTTATTTATTAAATCCAGCATTAACTAATCTGCAAAAACAACAATTTGCAAATATAAAATAATTTTTAAAAAAATTTAATTTATTGAATATCTACTTTCATGAAAAGCTTGAAAGAATTAAATTTTATTATTTGAAATATTCTTATTTATTTATTTAATCTTGATGCGTAAAAAGCTTACAAAATAAATTGAGATAAATTTTGTTTTTAAAAATAAAACTAAATTTTTCAAAAATCTTTTAATTTTACTTAAATATTCAAAGAAAATTTATTAAAACAATGTTGAGTTTCAGTTTACAATTTTAAAAAACTATTTTGGCAAATACACAATTTATAAATTAGTATTATTATTTCATTTTATTTACTCTTATGTTAAAAATTCTTATCAAATGCAGCGAAAATTTAGTGAACAAATATTAAGAATTGCTTTCTATTGTATTAAAAAATGTACTTTAAATATTAAAACTAGATGCAAGTAAATATTTTCTACTTTTTTTCAAAAACTTTCATTTTAACTGAATCAAAAGATTTATTTTATATATAAACATTTTTATTTTGCTTTTTTCCTGCAATCATAAGTTTTTTTTGATCATAAAATTAAGAAAATAATATATATTCTAATTATTTTTAACAATAAGAGTACTTAAAAATACTTATTTGTGGAGAAGTAAGTTTAATGTGTTATTTTAAAAAATTACTTGATGGATAATTTAGAATAAATCTAATATATTTTTAAATATAATTAATAAAATTCTTTGAATAATGTTTATTTTTATGCTTAGCATAACAAAATTTAATTAAAATCAAAGCAATAAGATAGATGTCGAATAAATAGTAGAGTTGTCATTGAAATATATTCTACAATAAATATTTGATAAAAATGTAGAATTTATTTACTTTAAAATTTAAATTGATGAAAAATATCGAATATAAATTTAAATTTATGAAAATTTATAATGCGTAATTTCTTTTTTATAAACATTTTTTTGCTCTTTTAAAAATAAGCCAAGGCAATACAAAACCATTTGTTAATATAATTCAAATTATAATATAAAATAAAATTAAAAAAGAAGAGACACTCACTTGTAAAGTAAGAAAAAAATAGACTGTAATCAATTCTCAATACAAAAATAAGGTAAAAGTTTTTATTAAAAAAAGTTTTTTGCTAATTAGCACAATTTTTCTCTGTAAATACAATCTCAAACTGTCTCAAGCACATCATTCATGAACCTATGTGCTTTTGTTTATGACTGAACACGATGATTTTGAGATTAATTTCACTTTTCTTTTTTTATCTTTGAGCGAAAATTTTTATAACAAAAACTTTTCTATTTCAAGAAAAAATATTTACTCTTAAAATTTTTAATACTACAATACATTTACAGTATTTCTGAGTTATTCAAAACCTTCATTTTTTATCCCCTAAACTTTTTTATCGCATTAGTATGCTTGATTAGTAAATTTTCACTTAAAAATATTTTACTTTTAAGAAAGAGAGAAGGAAATCAAAAGAAGAAAAAAATTTTTAGAAGCAATTAAAAGAAAAAATTTTATTAAAACCAAGGAAGAAATATTTCTCAAAATTTTCTACACAATAAAAAATCTCTTAATGATGAATGAATAGCTTTTTATTTGCTAAGATTTTTTAAACATGAAAAATTTAATAACCTCACATATGATAGGCTAAAATATTATTTAAATTTTAGTATTTCGCATTTCACTTCTAGACTAAGAAGCTTTAGATTACACTATATTTAATGCCATGTGTTTATGAAAAATTTAAATTAGTTACTCTAATTTTTTTTTCTTTCTTATTCTTAATAACTTAGGTTCGTTTAAATCCTCTCTTTTAGCAAGAAAATACAAAACTTAATTTATTGTTTTTAGATTTTGTTAGGTACAAAAGATTTTACATCATTGATTCTAAATATTTTTCATAATCATAATTATTATTATAATTATTTGCTACATAAAAAATTTTTTATCATTTATAAATAGATTTCTAATTAAATTACTGCTTCATATTATTATTTTTTTGAAAAAAAAAAAATAGAAAGAAAAGAAATAACTATATTGCTAGCTTTCAAAGATAAATTAATATCTCATTTTAAAAATTTGTTTGCAAAAGCATATCTTAATATTAACAAATAATTTTTTTTGTCAAAATTTAACTAATATAGATAAATAGGATAGCACATAAAAGGAGAAAGGAAAAAAAAAAATGGTAAATTGTTAAAAGTGTAGGAAAAGTGAACCATTAAATTTAATATGCCTAGACCCGAAATGCGGTCCTTAGTAGAATCTAAATTTAATTTGCTGCACATGTCATAACGCTGCTTTAATTCATCACACAATTTCAATAAATATGTTCTTAGATATAGCTTTTATTGCTACTTAGAGCTGGATCGACAGTAAAGAATAGACCAATAGTCTTATTGCTGAAGTTGAAAATTTAATTTAAAAATTATAGGAAAGGAAAGCAAAAATGGTTTAATTTTTATCTTACTATGAAAAAAGTAAGCACAAGTATAATAAACTTTAGAATTTGATTCAAGAATTTCGCTACTAAATAAATGATCAGTCCTATGATGAATACGAAGAATTTGAAGAAACATTCCTTGAGATAAAAAACCATTTTAGCTTTGTACCTAGCAATCCTCGTTTACCAATTAAGTTAAATTCAGAATAATCGCTAGACGTTATTCAGTCTAACTTATAAGAAGAATTGGATGAATTCTCAAGAAGCTATCTTCAATTATTAGAAATTAGAGATGAAGATCTAAAGCAGCTTTTATAATAGCAAATATAATCTTAGCATACAAATAGCTATAATTAGAATGGTAATCACAACAATGTTGCAAAAAATAGCACTTTTTCTAATAATTTAAAAGTAAATAATCATCTTAATGGTAATCTATAAGGTTAAAAAATTACTTATAGTGCAAGTAGTGGTTCAAACCAGTAAAATTCTAAAAAATCTTCTACAAATTTTATTACTTTGCAGTAGTAGATTCAAAATTTATATGAGCCTAAAGAAATGCTAGACTATGATGAACTATACTCAAAAAATTGCATAGACATTGGATTTAAGGTAGTTCCCAAATATGTAGAAGACAGAAAAAATATAGAAAAGTCATCAAATGAAAGTATTAAAAAGAATGGAGTAGAGGAACCAAATAAAATTTATTAGAACTAAAGCAATAACTCTACTTCCATTTCTTAGAATTAAGTTACAGACTCAAAGACACAAACAAAAATGGAAATAGAATAGACAACTAATTCCACCTTATAAAGCGAAAACCACAACCATGACATATAAGTAAAAAGTTAGAAATTAAATAATCAAAATACAATGGAAATTGAAAAAAAAGACGAATTAAATTTAGAGTAGAAGTAATAATATTTAAATCAAGAAAACAATCATAGTGAGAATAAAAATGAAAAAGATTCAAGCTATTAACAATAATTTGATAAATAGGTATTGAGCTTAGAAGATTAGAGAGATAAAAAAGACCTCATACAATATTTTGATTCTGTTCATCAGAAAACAGTTAGCAATAGTAACTTAAGTTTAGCTCAGTAATAGCAGCAATAATAAATAAATAAATTAGAAAAAAAAATACTAACCAGAAGTGCATCTGCAACAAACACTAACAATTAAGGAACCACTAGTGTTGCATAATTTACAAGTTAGCCCACTTCCCTAACTTCAATACCACAAGCAAACAATGCTTCTCCTGAAAAAGATAAGGATAAGGATAAAGAAAAAGAAAAAGAAAAAGAAAGATAAAGAGAAAAGGAAAAAGAAAGAGAAAATGTAAAATAATAGCTGAAAGTAGAAAAGGATATTGAACAAATAAATTATATAAATAAAAAAGCAGATTCTTACTCAAATATTTCTTAATCAAGCAAATAAAATATAGATTCAAAACAGTAATTCTCTTAAAGGAGATATTAAAATAATGAGGAAGATTAAGATATGTCATCAAATAGAAAGTATAGAGGTGAGTCATCTGAAGATGAAGACGATGATAACAATGATGCTCAAAAATCTTAATCATTTCCATCAGGTAAAAAACCTAAGTACATAAAAAAATATGATAGAAAAGGATAAGATTATTTGAAAACTCTCACTGAAGAGTAAATTGACGAGTTAATACAAGATTATAATCATTTAAAAAATTGGAGAGAAGTAGAAAAGAAATGGGGAATATCTAAGTACCACATTATTAAATTTTTTAAAGAGAAAAACTATATTTTAACATCTTAAGATGAAAACGATTTTGATACAGAATCAAGGTGAAATTAATTATAAAACATTAAATATTTCTTTCTTTCTTTATATCAAAGAAAAATAAGTGTAAGTAAGTAAGCAAGCAAGCTTTCTATTGAATTGCCAATTTACTACACTTAAAAATAATTAGTCAATTATAAAATAATTATATAATCTAATAAATTAGTTATAAATTCATTAAATAAAACTTAATTGTGAAATAAAAAAAAATTATTATAGGTCTTTTTGTTGTTTTAGCTTTTATATCATTTAATTTATAGAAATTTTGTTAATATTTTGCAATTTTTATGTGCAAAGTGTCATAATATATGCTCTCACATTAATTATTAGGCGTATTGAATGATAAAGATCTTATAAATCACATTTATTTTAAGATTTTCCACTTTTATATTTTTTAAATAAAAAATAAATATTTTTCAAATAAATTGTTGTGGGATTTACTTGTTATTCTTTAAGATTTTTTAATTGTTCAAATATATTTTATATAATTTTAGTGAAATTATATTGGCTATCTAGGATAATCTTTATGTACCTTCAGTAAATAAATAACATTTAAATTTGTTAGTTTTTACAAATTGATTTAAAAAATAGTTTCTTTAAATTGAATTCCAATACACTTTAGAAAAGTATAAAGTATGTGAAGAAAATCAAAAAATGAATGAAATGTCTTCATTACTAAATTTTAAAATAAAATTTCCTATTTTTTGTTTGATTTCAAAATTTATTGAATTTCTTTTTTCAAAAATGTAAATATAATTTGTTGAGTAAGTCGGTATTATATCCACAAAATTAAACTAATGTTTATATATTTATTGATTTAAGGATTGTGTAAGTGAAAAATAAAATTAATGTTTAAAGATCATTTAAAGAATTGTAATAAGAGATCAATGATTTTGTCAATTTAATTAATTTCTACAAATTATTTTTACAATTTGATAATATTAAAATTTATTTTAGATTTTAAAGCTCAAAAGATTATGGGGTGCGGCGTAAGTAAGGAGAGAGAAACAAATTCTTAGCAAAAAGCTTCAGAACCAGTTGTAGTTTAAGAAAAAGCCTAAAATTTGGAAGATCATATTGAAAAAGACTAAGTTGTAAAGCTAAATAATTCATAAGATTTAGAAGATTATAAGAAGAATCCAGTTTCTGTAAAGAATTAAAAAGGAAACTAAAGGAATAAAATTGTAAGAAATTCATAGTAGAGAGGTATATATAATAAAAATGATTATTCAGGAATCGATGATATAGAAGAGGTATCTTTAAATGACAATTTATATCAGGTAAAGTAAACTGAATAAGCAAATAAAAAAGGATTAGCCATTAATAACTAAAATGATACAGATATAGAAAAAACCCAAACATAAAATGATATCGCTGAAAAATAATTAAATGGATTCTATTTAGGTAATGGATATAACATTAGAAGATAGCATTCTAATTCTAAAAACAAATCTAATGAGCGTTCATTCTCTTCTGAATCTAAAAACGACTTAAATCATTTACATGTCAGCCTTGATACTACTTTACAGATTAAAAAAATGAACGCAAATTAGAGTAATAGCAATTACTTAAATATATAGGATTAATCTTAAACTAATGAGAAGAAAACCTTCAATTTATTTCAAAAAAAGTAGAATAACTAAAATATTTTAGAAAGAAATACTGGTGGTATTGAAGATCTTACTGTGCATATTTTGGATGAATAAAATAATAAATATGACAAGAATACAAGTGCAACTTTCGATCTTGATACTAATGATAATCATGATATTGATTCATTTTTTGCAATAAATGAAGTAAAGCCACCTTTGTAAAAAGCTAATAGTTATTTATAATTCAGTTTAGGCACAGCTCCAGTATTAGGCTATATATTTTACTCACCTGATATAGATTTTACAAAGGAAAATAAGTAGAGATAATTCAGCAAAGATGGTATTTTTAATTTAAATGAAAGCAAAAAAGCATAACCTATTGATAAGTAAACTGCTGATTGTGTGAGAAATCTTTTGTTTGGTAATTCCTAGAAACAATATTTACCCAAATCCTGGTCTCAGGGTTTTATATTAAATGAGTAAGATATATTTGGATTGGTTTAGAGAGAAGGAGGACCATGTGGAGTTATAGCTGTTGTATAGGCTTACTACATAAAATATATTTTGCTTTAATCAAAAATAGATGAATCACTTATGAAAAAAAGAAATGTTTAGGAGAACTGTCTTTTGGCTGCTTTGGCTGAAATAATTTATAAATGCAGAATAATATTAAGTAAGAATAACTATTAAGTTAAGTTTGTGATTGCCAAATAGCAAAATACATCTACTTTCAAATCTTGTGATATTGGCGACTGCCAAGTAATTAACTTATATGTTAGTAAATTTGAAGATTTATTTAATCAATTAAGGGAGTTAAAAGAAGAATTGATAGGAAACTATAATAATGGAATAATTAACTTCCTCTATTCTGTTTTAATCACAAAAGGAGTTGATAATATTGTAAACTCTATGGATGTCAAGTATAACTCATTAATAGGAAATCATGGCCATGCTACTTAAGAATTAGGTAATTTTAAAAATACATTTTTTAAAAGAATTTAAATAAATAATTTTAATAGTTAATTTGTTAATTACGGGGGAATCAACAAGCAACTGTTTTGATGGAGTTAAGGAATTAGGACAAATGAAACTTTTTGGAATAAAGAAGAGATAGTAAATTGGATTCTTAAGTGCTTTAGAGTGTGATTCTTTGATAGAGGTAGGAAAAAATTATAAAGAACCTTATCTACCTATCTGGGTTATATGCAAAGAAAACCATTACACAATTTTATTTGCTAAAGATTCAAGAATCATACATAATTCTTTATGGGATAAATTTGATTTAATCTTTTATGATTAACTTTCTGAGAAGGGTTCATTTTACTATAAAATTACTATAGAAAAAGACAATATGCTGAGAAATAATAGATTTACTCGAAATAGCAATGATATCCTTGAAATAATAAGTAAAAGCACCCAAAATATTCTAAATGTTAAATGGGGTTCAGATATTTTAATTTCATGGCCTTCCAATAATGTCCTATTTTGAAATATTGATTGCTATATTTTTAAACTACTCAATTAAAATATAATTAAAAGCTCTATTTGGATCTAGAAAATAAAGAATACAAAACTACTTTATAATATTAAGTGTTAATTAATTTAATTTAATACATTCTAACACAATCAATCAAAATCTTCGCTACAATTAAACTAAGTATTAAAATATTTAAAAATTAATTTATTCTAGATTGTTTAAAAAAGAAAATAATAATCTTTTTTTTGATCTGAGTATTTAAGCAAATCAATTTAATTTAAAATATTACATATTTACTTACTATCTACTTAATTATATACTTGTTTGCTTATTAAATAAATTTTATTAATTTTATAAGGCAAATTGTTTAAAAAACAAATAAAAAATATTTACATTTTAACTTATGTAAATTATATTGATTTTATATGTGAAATCTATGTTGAAATTTAAAAGATAGATTATATTGTTATTAACTTAATCTTTTATCTTCTACATAGAAAATTATTTTTTAAATTATTGGTTTAAATAAATATCTAATTGTATCAATATTTTTATCTACTAGTTAAAATATAGAAAGATAGATAGATATTTTTTTTGTATTTTATTTATTTGGAAAAACCTAATTTAAGAGAATAAATAATACTTCTAAAATATATAATTGTCAGATAATATTTAAATTTTTCACTTTTAATAACAATTTGTAAAGAAAAATAAAATATTTTAAATATATATATAGTACCTAATGCCTTTTTCAAGGCTACATACACAAATAATATCCAAATATATTATTTTTATTTTCTAAAAAAAATAATTTATGTATGTATTTTTATAACAATCTAAAAAATGATTTAAAACATTAGTTAATTTGTGATAAAACTTGATATTTTTTATATATACAACATTTAATTATTATATTTATTTAACTCATCTTATAAATAAAAGAATAAATTTATATCAGGAAAATAATTATTTTTAACTCATTATTTAAAATTAATACTCTATTAATTAATATTTGATATACTGTTTAATTTATTTGTAGTGTCATCTTTAAATTATTTATTCTATGCTTGGTTTTAGATTATATACTTTTATTAATTGGTAAGAATTTTATTATTTTAAAGAGGTTTGAAAGCTGTATTAAATTCTAATTCATTATATTTTCTTAAAGTAGAAATTTCCATCCATTTTTAAAATGAATCATTATGTTATTCATCCACATTTTGCCAGCCTTCAAAGCTCAATTGATTATCCTACTCTTGTTATGAACTTATTTTAGGAATATAGGGCAGGTGATCTTTCCTAGCTGAGCTATTCTCTTCCAGATAATCCTAAATATTTTTACTTTGAATACTATGTCGTTGAGGATTAATCCCAGCTTAAGCCTCTAAAAGGTAAGGATTTTGTACTTTGCTTTAAATTTAACTTAATATTTCAACAGAATTTTAATAAGAATTTTATAATTCATTAACTAAATGAGATTATTCGAGCTAATTGTTAATGTCTTTAAAAAATATGTTCCCTTTATTTGCATCTTATTATTATCCTGTAATATTGCCATTTATTTATTTATTATTATTTTTATTGCTTAAAATAAGTTTAGAATTACTTGCATTCAATAGACTTTGGTTTGCATTAAAATTTAAGCTTACATTTGATTGATTAATTCTTTCACCATTAACATAATGCTTTTCAGGAGAATTAAGTTTAATATTTTTTTATATAGTTTAAAAATTTGAAACTGGATCAGTTAAGCTTGATGGGGACGTTGCTAGTTATTGTTAACTTATTTATTAGAACGATTAATTATATTAATTGTTTCCAGAATGAGCTATTTGCTACGATTTTATAATTTCCAATTCAGTTTCCTTTAGAAGATTCTTTTGGGATTGCAAGAGTTTATTACCTCCTTTAAAACCATTGGCTTGATTCTAAAAAAAGAAATTGTGATTACTGTTTTCTACTGCATTTTCAGATATGCTTTCTTAAATTATTGATATGTGATTTTTTAACTTATCATTTCGTTCTGTTGATGCAAAGTTTTATTTATTGAAATTTATCTAATTTGGATACTAATTTTGTTATTAAGCTTATTGAATCATATTTATTTCCTAAAGAAGCTTTTTTGATGTCTGAAGAGGCTAGGGATCTGGAGAGTTTTTAATGTCAATCATGAGCTCATTTATCGATGGAAGAAAGTCATACATGAATCCATTTACTATATTGCTTTGAAATCCATTTTGAGACTAAAATGGATTAGAAAGAGATCTAGATTTATTTTTTATGGAAGATAACTAAGTTCTTCCGCTAATTTAAGGGCTTTAATTGCTTTAATGATTATTTGAATTTAATCTTTTAATTATCAGAGGTCCTTATGTTTGAGAATTCAAAGAGCTTAATGAATTTTAGTGATTAAATCTCTAACCTAAAGATGCTTGCTTCCCTAATCCTATAACTCCAAAATCTGTAAAAGAAGAACTTATAACAAATTGATTGCTACTACTTTTCGACTCTTTAATGTTAGCTGTGCTAGATTTTTAGGCACAAAAATTATTTCTTTTTTATATTTGTTGTAGTCTATCTGAATTAATACTATGGTTTTTTTTGTAAGATGTGTTATGCTCTCCATTCTATGCATTTTCTTATTTTGTTTTAGAAAAATTTGCATGGCTCTCATCCAAGTGATTATCTTTAAGAATTCTTATGTCAGAAAATATTTAAAAATGCAGGATTATTTAGTTATTTTTGAACTTATAATTCAGCTCATTGTTGGGACCTATCTATTAGATGAGATTCCTTGAGACGGGAATACCCAATTTAATTTTTTTGAGAACATTGTAATAATCATCATCTCCATTTTAATTATTTTATACACTATTTTAGTTAGATTCTTACAAAGTCTATTCTAAATCTCTTGTAAGTGCAAAAGTGTCTAAATCCTTTTCTAATGAATTAATTATGTGAATATCTAAAACATAACTAGAAATTAAATTTTTTTTAATTATAACTGCAATTTTCCCATTTAAGGGAGTAAATTTAATAGCGTTATCGAGTAAATTAAATATAATTTAATTGAACTTATTCTTGTCATTGATTATGTTATTTAAGGATTCATCTATTTCGTGAAAAATAAGTAACTTTTTTTCTTCTAATTTAGACTGGAATATGCTCAGCCATCCAAATAATTCTTTTCCTGGGTTAAATTCGCACACATCAAGTACATGCTTTTTAAAAGTGAATAAGTTATTTGATGAGAATGTAGCTTTGTTTTAAGAATTTAGTCCTAATTTATTTGAAGAATAAAATTTATTATTTTTTTTCCCTGCTTAATGTTTCTTCTAAGATCTCTCTTATTGCATCATGAAATCACTAACATTTTTATTAAGTATTAACATCTCGTAGCCTACTTGTAGGCTTTATTTAAGTTTTGAAGCTAAACTATTCTTCTTCTGCTTCATAGATTTTAATTAAGATTATAATTAAACTACTATTTTCTTACAGTTTTTTTCAAATCTTTGCATTATCTCCTTGTGGAAAGTTTAGTGAAACTCATTTTTTTTTTATTATTTTCTAAATTTAGACTTAAAGCTCTCACTTTCAATTGTCATAACAGCATAGTTATCAACTAAACAAAATGTAAATACTTTAATCGTAAGTTTCTTAGAATTACCTTTATCAGTTATCAAATTAGCAGAGTAATGTTCAAGATTCTCAAAAGTGTTATTTGTTAATCTAGGATTATTGGTCAGATTTGTATCCCCATTAAAACCATCTGCTTAACTCTGTTTTCGAGTTCTCTCTTACTCTTACTGCTATTAAGCGCTTTAATTTTTTTGATCTAACTATTTCACTAGTTTGTTTTTTAGTAGCTTCTTTAGAGTGAACTTATCGCTGTGAGCATTTTTCGTAGTTCCATTTTAATTAAGGGTAAATCCAAGATTTAGACTTTTTGATAAATCAATCTGCCCTCCTTTAGGAAGTTAAGTTGCTTGTCTTTGAAACGGGGGGTTTCCAGTTTTTGAACCATTTTTCCCCTCCATTAAGATGTTATTATTTGTTGGCGATAATATATTATTATTATTATTCATGAAAGATGTTGTTGTATTTTCATTCGTTTCAATAATTGTTCTATCTAAAAAGTGCTAAAGATCATCATCATTTATAATTCTTAGTTTTCTGCTGGCACATTTATTAGTTTATGTCAATTCTAGCCTTTGAGTAGTCTTATTATATTTAACTACAATTAGGTTTATTGGTAAGAACTCTTCTATAATCGAGTCCCATAAGTTCTACTTGCGTGTTTGCATAAAAAGGTGTCTTTTCATTAAGTCTTCATTGTAAAATTTAACAAGTAGCATGAGCATAAGAAAGGATTGGGCAATAATCAAAATCCAAATATTAGAGTGATGCGGGAATATAAATATAGCAGATATGTTAACCACTAGAATCAAAATTATCTGTAGATTATTGTAAAAAGAAAGAATATTATAATTTGATATTCGAGTGATGTAATTAATTTATTTTCTATTTCTTTTATTGTGTATTTTTTTATTTGCTTAAATTAAATTTAAATAACCTAATTTCCTAATTGTAAATATTCGCATCTAACTAACTAACTAACAAACTAATTATTTCTGTTCAAAATAATGGGTATAAAATGGATAATAATCCTTCTCTAAGTATTTGAATAGTTTAGCTAATTGTTAAAATTTCTGTTATTTTTTTTATTGAGTGTTTAAATTTTACTTGGTATGATGTAAGTTGCGTTAGTATTAAAGTATTTTTAACAAACTATTATATAAAAAGTACTTACTCTAATAAAGAAGATTGATAAAGAGGTTTTGTTTTTAATTAGTAAAATTTGATACAGAAAATCTAAAATATGAGCCATCAATTAAGTGCGAATAAATAAATGTTTGTTTAAAAATAAATAATCAACAATTAAATCTGATTTACTTTTGTTGTGTATTTGGCAGATATGTACAGAAAGATGTAAACGTTTGCAAAAATAAAACCTTTATAGAATTCGCTAAATGAATTAAATGTTGTGATATCAGTATCAACCATTTGCCAGCAAATCAAAAGATGCAAAATAAGAACTATCGTAGAGTGAGTGTAATCAAATAGATTTGGATATTTTTTTTAAACAACTATATTTGATATAAATACTACAATAGGGATAATGTAATAAACATAGATTTTAGCAGGCATTCCTCCTTTTCTCTAGTAAAATGGCAGTAGAAAAAAAGTGAATAAAAGCGGGATAACAGCTATTATAAATGTAATATATGAATATCTACTAAGCTACTTTGCTTGGCTATTGTTGAAGTCATCTTCAAGCTACTATTCCTTGAATTTTAATATAAATTTATTCATCTATTTATCCTTTTTCTTGGCATCTAACTTTGTACCAATTTCTCCTCCACCTATACCATTTCCTTATACACCTACTTATGTATTATTTTATGTCTTCTACGCATTCATTCTAACTACTGAAATTAATTGTTTTTAGTAATCTTTCTTTTTAGGATTATTTTACCTTTCTTTAATAAAGTAAATGATTAATAGTGATATTCAATAAACTTTCAAAGATAGCAAAATTTTAATAAAAAATAATCTCAAATTTTATGTTTATATATATTTGATTGCATAACTTTATCTATTCTTTAATAAAAAAAGCTGGATGAATCCATTTATAATAAAAATTTAATATTTTTTTAAAGTAGCTAATGTACTGATTCCAAATTATATGCTTATTATATAATATATTTTGCTAATGTCCTAATTATGGTATCTTGTAAAAAGCTTCATTATTTATTTTATATTAAAAAATAATACTACTTACATTTTCAACTTAGAAAATTTCTAATTATTAATATTTGTTTATAAAACAGCACAAACCGTCTTTTATCCATTTTTTTTGTTCATTTAATTAAATTCATAAAATCAATCTTAATCATCATATATGCTAAATATTAAATATATTAAGATATTTATTAGTATTTTTTTTCATTTTTTACTCATAATCTACTGTTAAACGTTTTGTTACATAAATAGAAATCTAAGTAATACTTTGGTAAAGCTTAAATATATAATTTAATTAATGACTTGAAATAAAGGTTTACCTCAAAAAAAATAAAAGTTATTTACATATTTTTGTTTGAAAATTTCATAAATAATAAATTACTTCAGTATGGATATTGGTTAACAATCTATAAATAGTTTAGAACAGTTTTCTATAATTTTAACATAAAAAAATTGATTGTAATCATTAAGTTAAAGAATTTAAAAATTAACTTACATTTAATTATTTATTTTTTTATTTTAATTACAGCAAATATAAATCTTAATTTTCTATTTTATGATTAAATTAATTTTCACCTTAAGAATTTTTATTTCAAATAAATACTTTTTCTTTTTTAAATACTGTAGATGTTCTTAAATAAGAATAAGTGAATACAAGATGCCTTGATATGATTATTATCTTATCTTATTTATTTTAGAGTTATACGATAGCAAACATATTTTTATTTATAAGGATCACTTATGGTAAATATAATTAGTGATAAATTTTAACTATATTTCAACAGATCTTTAATAATCTGTTTTTCGACAAAATTAATTGAGATAAGCATAAAAATTAAATTCATTCATGATCACACATTTACTATTAAAAAATAATAAAAGATAATTTTATTTTGTTTAAGCTTTATAATTATTAAATTTTCTTAAATTGCCAAATTGTAAGAAATATTTTTAGAATTTTAAAAAATTGTTTGATTAATTATTAAATTATATTATAAAAGTAAAAATTACTTTAGCAATTAGGCAATTTAATAGATTAAGATTAAATCTTTGTTTTACTCTAAAATAAAATTTTATAGTTAGTAGAAAATTAAACAATAATAAATACTTTTCTAATGCATTTTTTTTTTTTAATAGTTGCATTTGCTTCACAAATTTAAATGAAATATTTGTATATTTATTACTACTCTTATTTATTTTTAGTTAATTTTTGTTGTCTATAGCGAGTTAATTTATTTATGATTTTGATGACTAAACATTTAGATTTTAATTATTTTTTTTCGTAATATTTTAGGAAATTAAAGATAAAGAGATGATGGGTTTTTTAACAAATTTGTCTATTTATTAAAATTTTTAGTGAAATAAATTTTATGAGAATGAAATCAAAGATAATTAATTAATTATTTATTTATTTTAATTTACATTAAATTGGAGAGAGCTAAATGAAATAAGAATGCATAAGAAAAATTTAATAATCAATTAATTAAGAAATTATTTAAAGTATCATAAATGAATGAATGAATGAATGAATGATAAAATTTTAATTAGAAATAAGAATAAAAACTTTATTTACATAAATTATAATAAATTTATACTTACTTAATTAATTAATTAACTTATATATTTATTCTCTTCATATATATTAGCTTTATATTTAAATTTGTTGATAAAATACTGCTAAATTTGCTTATTTATTTTCAAACAAGTAATAATCAAAAATTCTTTTTTTAAATTAAATATATTCATTTAACTTTATGATTTATTTATTTATTAAATGTGTATTTCGTATTTTCTATTTGGATAAAATTTGTGAAGTTTGTTTTTTTGTTTATTTATTTGTTATTAGTTAGTTGATTCAGAGTTTTTGTTTAGTACTATTAACATTCTGTTAATCTTAATTATTTTTTAATAAATTCCTTCTGAAAAATTTTCAGATATTACAAATCCTTTTTAAAACAATTTTTTTATTTAAGCTGTTAATCTTTCAGTCATCATTTTTTAGTTGATTGTCGCTCTTTTAAAATTTAGATGACTGTGCCTTTTTATTTATTTCTCTTAAGTTTGGTGGTGGACCAGGCAAATCCATAAAAAGATCAATTGAAGGCTCCTTTTTACTTTCCTTTAATTTGGTACCGCTTTCTTTATTTTTTTTGCTTTAATTATCTTAATCATCATTTCCAGGTAGAGTATTTTATTGCTTTAAATCTAGTGCTAAATTACTCGAGGCAACATTATCTATTTAACTACTTTTTTCTTTTTCATTTTCTCTATCTTTTTCTTTATTTGCTTATTTATTATCCTTTTCTTCATTTTTAGACTTAGATTTTTGAAAGGAGTCTTTCTCTTAATCATTTTCAAAAGTAGGAGTACGGTTTTGCTTTGCTTGGCTTGATAGCTACTTTTCACTATTATTTTTTAAGCGAAAATTAGTTTACAGATTTTTATGGATAAAAATCAATATATTGAAATTACAAATTTTTATTTTTTCCATGCTTGGAGGCTGTATCGTCAGTTCCAGCTAAATCCTGTATTTTAAAAGTTTAAAAGATTAGGTAATTAAAGAAATAAATAGCAGAACAAATAAGAATTATGGACTTACTTATTTTGAAGCAGTCTTTTCTATATCAGGTTGCGTTTTATTTTCATCTTTCACTAATGTTTAGCTCTAATATTAAGAATAATTGATGTAAAATAATTATATATATACTTTGTTTATCTGTATTTTTTGTATATTAAAATTTTTAATCTATAAGCTCAAATGTGCTGATGAATAAATAAGTGCAGAAAGATGAACAAATTTAGAAAAATATACATTTTCAACATTTTTATGTGTGCAGCAAGTCTATCCCATCTATTAAGCTAAACTAAAGAAGTTTCTTTTCTATTTATAATAAAGTATCCAAATATAAGGCCCTTGCTTGTTGTGGATCTTTATAGGGCTATTTTATGTATTTTTTAGTTTAATTAATATAATTTAGCTATAAAATTGAAATTATTTACGAATTTAATGATTATCACTAATTTAATAAGTAAATTACAAAATTATCTTATTTTGTTATTGACAGTTTTATGGATTAAGTAAAATCCATTACTTCTTAAATTTCTAATTCGATCCATTGATTTATAACATAATTTTTTAAATATGCTTAAAAAACTTATTTGCCATACTTAATCCTAGTCCAATCTTGTTTCTCTTTGTTGGAAAAAAGACAAACATATAATTTCTATACTCAAATTATTTGTTTTCTATTAATATTAAGACTATGAATAAAAATATAGCTTTTTGGTAGAATAAACTTTTTTGTTTATATTACTGCAATAAATATTTAATATTTTTATTAGATAATGATATAGACTTTTTTTAATCTTTGATGATAAAAATAATTACGATACTTAAATTACTTTTGTACAGTCCAAAATATTCACGTAATTATAAGCGATATAGTTTGAAGATTTTTGCCTTAAAATAATTAAATAAATCCCACTACTTTTTGTGAATAAACGAATTATTTAATTTTAATTAAGATTGAGAGTATTAAAAAGGAAGTAATTATAAATATAAATATTTTTGGATATCTTAAACAGGATTAAATGTATGATATAGGATTAAATGTATGAAATAGTATTTATTAAAAGTGCGGAGTTACCAAAATTACAAACAAGAAAATAAGAGAAAATTCCTTAACTTTTCTTCAAAAAAATATTGGTGCCTCTACTTTGTTAGTCAGTTTTTACTTACTATTTTTCTTTACATATAGCAAGCATTTCACTTGTTTATTTTAAAGATATATAATTAAAAGCTATTCACTTTTTGATAAAATTAAAACAAAGCAATCAACCATTCATAAAATTAAGAAGAATAAGAAGAACAAGATCAATAAAAATTAAAATAATCAAAATGAGCACACATAAAATTTAGGTTCTATAATTATTTAAAGAAACTTTGAGAGCTGGATTTGGATTTAAGGATTACAATTTCAGGAATTACATTGTAAGAAGAGCTAAAGAAGATTTTCGTAAATATAGCGCTCTTACCGACTAAAATGAAATAGCTAAACAAATCTAATTTGCTAAGGAATAACTAGAATTGCTTCAAAGGTAAAAGATCATACAGAATTTGTATTACTAACAAAAGAGTATTATTGAAAAGTGAGCATATATCTATAATTTAAATGTTATAAACCTGTTTTCAATACTTAATTTAAATTTGTTGATGGATGAATGATAAATGTAGAAAATAATTTATTTTAAACTTAATTCTTTCATTATTTTTATATTTGGTTTAGTTGTTAAGTTAGTTAGTGAGTTTATTGAAATTTGACATTTTAGTAAAGACTAAAAAAGATCATGCAGTAGAATTTAATTTATTTTTTTTAAGATAATGATTTTTATAGATATTTTCTAGAAAACGAATAAAAGATATAAATAATCAATAAAAGAACTTTATTTTAAAAATTAATATTCATTTAATTGAAATAGAAATATATTTATTATTAATAATTTATTTAATATTTTAAGAGTTGAAGATTTGGTATTGTAAATAATATTTAATATAGATTTTGTAAATGCAAAAATTTAGAAATATAAATGAGAAAACAAAGAATTAATTCATATTTTTTAGATTTAAATATTTATCTTAAAAGAGTAGATTTTTTATCTAGTAATTAAAATTTTATAAAATACTAAATTTTGCATTCTTTAGATAAAAAATATTATTTTTTAACTTATTTTAAAAAAGTATGTCTATCATGTTACCTTTTTTCTTCAATTAAAATTTATTTTTCTTTCATAAATCTTAAATTTTGTTATTTGTAATATAGTATATTTAATACCTAAATTATTTTTATATTTTTAATTTATATCTGCTTTTTTATTGAAAATCTGATGAGTAAGATGATCAGATTAAAAGCATTTAGTTGATATTTTTAAAATTAATCTTTGATAATAAAAATAATACTCTATAGATTTTTACAGTAAAATAAATTAAATAATTATAAATCCATCCACCTAGATTTTGTTAACAATAAAAACAATAATCAATAGATTTTTGTATTTAGGGTAAATAATTATAGTAAATATGAATCAATTCATTTAGATTTTATTTTTAAAATAATTAATTTGACAATAGTTTAAAGTTTGTTTTGTCTATTGAAACTATTAATGTTTGTTTTAATACATAGCTAAAATTTATTTTTAGCAAATTTTTCATTTTTTAATTGATAAAGCTTATCTTTTAATACCTTTTTTAAGAATATTTATTTTATTAAAATCCTTAAAATATAGAATAAAAATAATTGTATGATTTGCAATTAATTATAATATCTTTTAATTAAGATATGTATCTAATATATTAATTATAGATGAATAAGGGAGAACAATTTTCTTAATTGCTGTTAGTTGATTAATAATAATAATAATAACTAACATTTATTCATTCATTATGCATACACTTCTTAGTGTAAATTTACAAGCTTTTCGTCTATTTTTAATTGAAAACCTGAAACTATTTTAAGATTTTCATCTATTTATTCTACTAATTTTGATATCTAATTAATAAAAAATGATTTTTAATATATTTTAATGATAGAAATTTTGAAAAAGGATCTTTCTATCTATTTTATTTACTTTTTCTTAAAATGAAATTGCTTTCTTGATATCCTAGGTAATTCTTTGAAGATCTTTTTTCTCATTTGGATCATTTGATATTTTTCTGTTTTAATTTTTAATAGAATTTATAATATTTATTTGTATAAAATTAAGATTATTTACACTCTTATATTATCGATTTACTCCATTTTATCTTCTATTCGCTTGAGTTCATATACACTTATTTTTCTTGTTCCATCAACTTAATTTTTAAGACTATTAAATTATTCATGAATCATTTCAATTTCCTTTTTTGTATTTTCTATTTCTACTTCATCTAGTCTATTTCGGAATAGCTGCAATCTCTCTTACTTTATATTTATTCTATCTTCTAAATTTCTTAATTCATTAACTAGTCTTTGACAATTTTCTTTATTGAACTGATCCATTTCATCTAAATTATTGAAATTATCATAATTAATGACTATTAAAAATGATTAATTTTATATACCAAGTAATACTCCTTATTCGACATTGTTAATTTTTAACAATCTTTCAAACTTATCCAAGTTATCAGGAAGGACAAGTAAATTATTTACTCTTTCTTTTCTTTTCTAATCTAATTGAAGTTGATAATGAACACAAACTACCCCTATTTCCTTTATTAAGTTTAAAGTGTTATTTAGGAGTAAAAATTAGAAAAATAAATACTCTCCAAATGCTGATAAACTCTTTTTCAATTTATTCTCTCAAAATATGCATTTACATATCAACTCTCTCTTCAATCAATTTGCTGTTATCCCCTATCACCTACTAGTTAACACCTCCAAATTTTCCAGAATTGATCAAATTTTAATAATTCTAAAATTTTGAAATATTAATTAGATTTATTTATTTTCTATTTTGCAGAAATTCATTTTGAAATAAAAACCCGATTTAATTTCGAGAATAGTAAATAGAAATAAATTACAGCTGAAATATGATTTATCGCTTATTGAATACCAGTCTATTCATTACTAAATATCTACTTAAAATCTTCTAGAGATTTATTATGAGCAGCAAGCTTGGAATTTATATCATCTTTCATCTCTCTGATAATATTATTGAAATCGCTTTCTATCTTATTTTAGTTTTTCTTTAGTATATTCAAATTTTACTCACTTTCTTAATTGCTATTACTGCTCTGAGATTTTTCTCTTTTCATTTACTAAACAGGCATTTTCGAGTTATCTATTTAACTTATGCCACTTAAATATTAGTATTTTATCACATCTACATTCTTTTGTAAAGTTTATATCTATTACGAGAATTGAATTATTTTTTCATCATTTTCTATCTACTTTTTTTATATTTTTTTAATGGTTGCATCTGCTTTATTTATATTATTTGCTTATTCAAGCAAGCCAAGTAATGGAATAAATTAATCATATTAGCTTGCTAATATAGATAGTCTTTCTTCTAGTTTATCAATCCTTTTCTCAGAATTTGAGTTAGCTGTTAAAGACTAATACATAGGAAATATATTTGGTGAGTCTAAACCTCCAGCAGCTTAAGTGAAATCAGTAAACCGAACAGAATTAGCCATATGAGTCTTTCTGAAAGTCTATCTTTAAGGAGAGTTTCCAGTTTACATTTTTTGTTTCTCTGTTGCGCTATCCCTAGTTTTAGGCTTTGCAAACATTTAATAAATTCAAATTTTTAAAGTGCAAAATTGATAAAAATCAATTAATTATATTTTATTACATCAATAATATAGCGTTTAAGATATTTTCTATGATTTACTAGCAGCTAATTTTTTATAAATTTGTGATTTAACTAATTTAGGGACTTAATTAGAATTTTCATCAATAAATAAATGGATTAAGATCAAAAGTAAACAACTTATTCTTTATATTTACAATTGTTTTATTTAAATTATTATATTTTCATTTTAAATCTATTTTTAAATATTCAAAATAAAACGATTCGTTGTTAAAGAATTAAAAATCAAATAAAAGCCATAGAAAATAGAAAAATATTTTGTAATAATAAATAATTTTTAAGTTGTTTATATTTCCTTTTATTTAAAATAAAATAGTCAACTCAATATAAAAAATATAAAGAATCAAAAACAAACAGCTATAAAGTAGTTTATAAATGAAAAATGATAAATTTTTTATTCTATTATCATTAACTTTTTTATTTAATTTGATTAAAATCAAAATATATTCAAATTTACTATATGATTATGAATAAAAATTATAATTTAACTGAAATTAAAAGAATCAATTTGTTAAAAACTAACAAATTAATTGAGAAAGCATGTAATTTTGGATAAGTATTATACATTTTTCCAATGAATATGAAAATAATCTAACATGAATTAATACTCAAGTAAATTTTATTAAGGATTTTAAGTTTTTATATTATTTTTTAATTTATTTTTCAATCTTTAAAAATTCATTCAATTCCTCCCTCCCTTAAATTTCATCAATATTTTAAACAGAATTAATTATATTGCCTAATCAGTTTAATTTGCTGTTTTAATAATTTATTGTCTTTAAATCTTTCTATTTATTTATTTTTTGTTATTTTTCTGTTTGTTTTTCATTACTTATTAAAAACTGGCTTTTTACCAAGGACTAAATATTCTTCATTGAATTTTTTTGATTTTTTCTGCTTATAAGGAGGATATTGATTATTTGGTTTTTATTTGACTGAATTCTACCCTTTCATCATATTGACTTTTGTTTCCATTTACATCATATGGTTGGGATTCATTTAGTTTTTAATAGGAGGTAAGAATTAAGGCTTGCTTCTATTGTTGTTATCAGCATCTTCGTCAGTTCCTGAATCCTTATAATTACTTTCAATTTTCAAATTCAAATTAAAAGAGGGATATTATTAGTGTTAAGTTTTCTTCATTGAAGCTGCTTGTTATCCCTTCTTCTTATGGTATGGGTTTGTAGCCTTTTTGATAGTCAGTACAGGATAGAATACATTTTCAGCGCTTTCTCTATAAGGATTATATTTTGTTGTTGTATTTAAATTACTATTGGAAGAATTATTTTATCCACCTTAGCCACTAATTTAGGAGTATATTTTCATAGTATTTAAATTTTTAGATTAATACTAAGGATCATTGTGCTAAGGAGATACTTCTAATCTTGTAGTTGAGTTAGTGTGGTTATTGTTAGTGTTATTGTTTGTACTTTAATTTAAATTCAATTAGTTTTCAGGTAATGTACGATTATACATATTGCTATTATTACTTGGAGAGAGTTTAGTCTTTGAAGTAATAGTGCTCTACAAAAGTAATTAGTTTTCTTAATCCATCTGATAAAGATCACGGAAATATGGATGTTAAAGAGCTTATTCAGCATTAATACGCTCTTCAGGATCATAACATAATAGCTTATAAATTAAGTCTACACAGTCTTTGGGAATGTGTGGAGCTAATTTTTCAATACCAGTTCCTTTTTTAGGAGGAAAATTTAGTTCCATATGGGTGGCGTGTTTTTAAAACTGCTCCAAAATTTTTGGATTAGGTGTTCCCAACACATTATGAATTTTATGGGCTTAATCTAACTCATCATTACCAGGGAAAAGTGGGAATAAACTCATTACCTTTTTAATTTTTAAGTAATAAAAATATTAACATCAAACTTTAATCAAAAGAGAAAGTGTTTGTTTAAAAAGTCTAAAATTTTATTCAGAAATATTTTTTCTTAATTGAAATTGAAATTAATTTATTTATTGTTTATTCATATCGTTTTATGACTTTTAGAACTAATTAATTTTTATAAGGTTTAAGAAATACATGTTAGATTAAAGTTAAAAAAAATTTTTTGTCGCTCACTCATGAGTTTTGTTTGGTTGAAAGTATATTTAAAATTTAAGAGATTTGAAAAATAAATTAAATTTAACAATAAATTTTAAATTGATTGTTTTTATGTATCTTCTGTTTGAATTAACAAAAGTATATTCTAAAATATTAAATATTAAAAATCTTCATATTTATATTTAAAAATTGATGTACCTCAAACATAACACAGCCAACTCCCCAAAGATCCATTTTACTAGAATAATAACCATCTGTTAACAAACACTCTGGCGCACGATACCATCTAGTTGAAATATATTCTGTGTAAGGATGCTCTGAATAAATACCTTTGCAGCTACCAAAATCAGCTAATTTAACGTGATCACCCAAGAGTAAAATATTTTCTGGTTTTATATCTCTGTGAAAGATTCCCTTTTTGTGCATATGATCTATAGCCTTCAGAAGTTGATACATGTAAAATTTGACCTATTTTTAAAGATCAAATATTTTTTTTTAGCCTTATTGAAAATTCAAAAATAAATAATCGTAATATTATAAATATTATCCCATATATATCTGGTCTAGTCTCATGTGATTATTTGAACGATTTAATTTGTATTTAATTAATAATAATATTTCGTAATATTTCATTATTATTTTTCATCTGTTATTTACTGATATTGGTATTGTCACCTTGAATATATCGAATTTTTAGTTATTTATTCTTTGAGAGAGATAATATGCAGGGCGCTTTTCACCTTTAATATGCTTATTCAACTTTAATTTGTTTATTATCTCAATAATTTAGTTAGAATGACAATTAATTGTATCAAATAATTTTGAATAAATATCATTTAAACAAAAAAATTAAAAAAATTCTACTAATTAAATTGCATTTATTTCATTTTCTTAATGAAAAAATATTTAAAATTTATTAAAAGATCCTTCTATGCATTTTATAATTTTATAAGCTTGTTCAAATTTTTATATCAAAAATATTTCTTCTAACTTTTGTAACTAATCGATTACGCTATATTTATTTGATTTTGAAGTGTTGGATTTTATATTATTGATTTTGTATGTATGCTTACTTACTATTCAAAGGATTTACTAAGTAAATGAGATATATAGATTTATAGATATGTAAATTAATTGATATATGGGTTTAGTTTATAATCTCAATGAAATGAGAGAAAGAAAGAATATTGTAAAAGTAAGAATAATTGTTTGTTTACCTTCTATTAATTTAAATATTGTTTTTTCCCTCTAATTGCTTCATATAGGTTCTGATCCATCAATTCAAACACAAGTGCCAAACGTCCTGTAGGTTCATCATAAAGAACCTCTATTAGTTTAATAATGTGAGGATGAGGCGAAACCTTTCTCAAAGCTTATATCTCCTTTAATCTTTAAACTTATTCAATTGAATTAAAGTGATTTTTCATGCATTTAATCGCTACAAACTTGCCCTCTTTAAGAGACTGCGCTTTAAGTACTTCTGAAAATGTACCCTCTCCTTTCTTTGATAACAATTTATATTAGTTCATTTGGTATGATTTTTTAAATATTATTTATTGATTATCTCTAAATATTAATGTCTTTCAATATTTTCTAAACAAGCTCTTCTTTTCCTTTATGCTCTTTAAACCTTTTTAATGCTAAGACTTATTTTTTTAACTAATTGGACGTTATCCAAAATATTTATATCCAGATATAGTGGCTTCTCTGAGTAGCTTCAAACAAATTATTCAACTGGTTTAATTGAATTGAAAAACTATTAAATTGATAAAAAAGTTTCTTTTTTGATTTATTTATTATTTTTTTGATTAACTCAAACAATGATTTTGTTTCTTTTTTATTATATTGTTTGTTTGTTTATTTGTTTATTTATTAATAAATCAGCTCAATTCAATGTATTTTTACATACACTTCAAACAAATTTTGTTTCATTTACATGAAAAAAAGATAGACTCAAAAACAAATATTTTTTTTAAATGGATTCTTCCTTATCGAAATAATGTAAATCCATTCAAAATATAAAGTTTGATCAAAAGGATAACATTTTTAATAAATCAATAATACTTCAAAAATATGAATCTCAACTAAATTAGAAAGGAGTTTAGTGATTGATTAGCAGCATATTGAATAATAATTATTAAAACTAAAATTTATAAATAATTCAAAATAAGGGAAATACTGACAGAAATCTAAAAAATATGTTAGGTAAAATAAATTTTCTGTATTTTCATAATTTTTGTAACTATACAATTTAAAAATATTTAATTCATTTTAGTTTCAAAGAAAATTATACTAGATTTAGTAATTTGTTAATATATTGTATAATAATAAAAAAATTATATAAAAAAATTTCAAAGTAAGAAAAGAAATACTGACAGAAATATAAAAAATCTGGTAGGTAAAACAAATTTTCTATATTTTTTCATAATTTTTGTAACTTTACAAATTTAAAATATTTAATAAATCATAATTTCAAAGATTACTTACTAAATGAGATTTAATGATTAGTAAAATATTGAATAATAATAATAATATTAAAAACAATTTAAAATAAGAAGAGAAATACTGATAAAAATCTAAAAATCTGGTAGGTAAAACAAATTTTCTATATTTTCTTATTTTTAAAAATTTTACAACTTTAAAATATTTAATTCAGCTTAATTTCAAAAATTAAGAAGTTAGTTAAATCTTTATTTTTTATATTTAAATTTTATTTTTTTTTATTTTAACATAAAGACTATCACATAAAATTATTATTTCCTTAAAAAAATGTTTTTAAAATTATTTTTGAGAAATTACTTAAGTTTTATTTACTCTATATATTTTAGATAAATGAACTTATTTGTTTTGTTAAAGTTTATTTTCTTTTAAGATTTTTGGAATATATATTTAATAATTAAAATAAATTTATATAAATTATAATTTTGAAATAAAATATATATTTTATTAATAAAAATTAATATTAAATTTTAATTATTTATTAGTTTCTATTTTAACATATAATAATTCCATGTTAGGAGATCTTAATATAATCATTGATTTTAAGAATTTGTATTTGTTGAGTATGTTCCTATAATAGATGGTAAGTTTACTATTTTAAAAGTTTTTTTAAAAACCTAGCTGAGAGCAAGTTAAATTTAATATAATGAGAGATCTTAGATATGATATGTAGAAATATACGAATTAGTCTAGTTTTAACTTATCATTTCATCACACTATACGAAGTAAAAGGCAGTACTTTCTCTGTGGCTAGACTAAGGTAACTCATCATAAATACGAGCTTATAAGTAGTATATTTCTCTTATTTCTAATAAACAATTTAGGTTCAAGTAGAATTCTAGAGATTTATTTAGACATTATAATGCATTTTTTCTTATTTCATCAAATACTTCTATATTTATTATGTATCAACATATTAATTAATTAATCAGTCTTACAAATTTAAAATTTAATTACATTTGTTTATAGAATCTGAAGCTGTCGATATCTTTAACAATAAAATAGATTTAACATAATAGAAGAAAGCTTATGTCTTCTAACTAAAGTTCATTAACCATTTTTCTTCAATATCTAAAGGTTGATTAAAGAAAATTAAGATAAAGTTTTTTTTTTTTAAATTAAAAAGTTACTTTTTATTATCTTAAGAGTAGAACTTATGTATCCTGTGTGAATTAGTATCAGCACTTTATATAATTTAGCAACTGAATACTGTTCATGGAGACCATACAATTTAGCTTTTTTAAGAACTTATTGGATAAGGGTGAGTGCTGAAAAGAAATCTCTTGTCTAGTATTTTAGCATTATTAAATAAATATACGACTAGGTTAAAAGCTCTTTATGAAAACCACTTTGCTAGTTGTATTTTATATTTTACAGGATAGCTTGGTATGCTTCTGAGTGTTTATTCTCTTTGATCAAAATTTCAATGTGAATTTATTGGATTTTAGAGTTTAAAAGTGGATCAATAAGATTATTTTAATATGTATCTATCATCAATTCAAGCATGAATCTGCTAGATGCTATTTCCATTCTATTTAAAAACATTTTTGCATTAGAATAGTATAAATAAAATTAATATAATGGTTTGAGCATATTATTCATCATCTCATAGAGCTTCTAAAAAAGGGTTACACTCTTATCTAAATCCCAATCAACCTATTTTTAATTTAGATGAAAATCAATTAATTCATTTTTTTTTCTGATAAATGCTTTTATTATTTTACTTATCTAATAGCAATATCGAAAAGAATTTGTAAGTTTTTATTTGCAACTAATACTTGAGGAGTAGTTTCGTAAACGTTATTTATCAGCAAATCTACAAGTGCAGGCTAGTTTTATGAATCAAATATTTATGACTTTATCATGAATTCTAGAGATCTAGGAATCTGTAAAAGGACATACTTAGATTATTTCCTGCCTGGAAGTAAATAATTTTCATAGTTTTGTATGATTTTTCGTATTGAAAAATGGAATAAGTCTATCCACTTAATGTTATTCTACTTTAGGAGATCATTAGTTTTATTGTTTAAGTCATAGTGCTTAGAAAATTTAGCATATGAGAGACAGGAATAAAGCATCAATAGAGGATTTGTTTAGATATTAACTGAATGACAAATAGCGTGCTAAGTAAGCTGAATCGTGTCTTAATGATGAGAAAGTAAACTAGAAATCTCATATAAGTACATTATGCAATGATTTATGCTTTCATCATCCTGATTATTTTAAGAGATACGCATAGCTTCACTGAGACTCTTCAAGCACTCATCCACAAAACCCATTTACAAATTTAGATAAGCCAGATTCAAAATGCAATGATTAACTTTACTCTGATTGTAAGCTACCTATTATTCACCCTATATTTCACAAATGTTTAAAGTTAAAATTTTAACAATCATTTGGCAATATATTAAATAATGAACTTTATTTTATACTTTCATATTTACTTTTAAAAGATAAAATCAGAAATATTTATTTAAAGTAAGTCTATTTAAAGCAGACTTTTATTTTAAATAATTTATATTTTTTCATTTATATTACCTATTTATCAGAAAAGAAGAGCATTTCAAGCTATTTATCAAAATATCTGTGTATGTTATCTAAAGCTGCTAAAGGGTGTTGATTTTTTGCTTCATTTTATGCTTTCAAATAGCTTATTTTATCATTAATTTTTCCATTTTCTAAGCTCTCTATTTACTTATGTATCTCATTGTATCCGTAACAGTTATCGAAATCTTTTTAATAAATTCAAATTAACTAAAATTAAAAAACAATAATTTACTTAAAATTTTCAATTGCAAATCTTCCAATTTTTTATCTATCAGGTATACATTTTAACCATTCTTTTTTAGTTTATATTCATCGTTTTTATAGTCCAAGAAATTTTGCCATAACTTAACCATTTCACTAAATCCACATCTACGTAAATTCAATAAAGATCTTCTCAAAAAAATATCAATAATATTTCCCTATTCAATTCTAATTATTCTCATTTATCTTAGTTCCTTCAAAGCTTTTATTTACATAAAATTTCATATTTTTTTTTGCCAAAAAGTATTATATTTGTTTACTATTTTCTAAATAACTGTATAAATCATGCAGAGACTGAATTCTTTCTATCTAAATACCATTTTAAAAAATATTGATTAACTAATCATTGAGTCAAATATCTGAAAATGTTAAGATAAGAAAATAAAATTTCTTTATTTTTACCTGTACTCTATATCTATCACTAATATCAAAATTTTGTGTTTCTTTAATCATCTTTTTAAAAAACTACGAACTGCTTAAAGCCTCATCTTCCTCATTCAATTTCTATTTCGAATTAAATTTATATATAAATAAATACATTTATATTCTGTTTTATTGAAAATTTAAGTTTGAATTTCTTTTGCTTTCCAAAAATATTGATACCATAATTTTATTGATCAAGAAATTAGCAAACGGATTAGATGGATCAAGCTCGTTTGCATTTCTGGAATACTCTTTTAAAACTATGATGCAAGAAATAGTATTTGGGGAAAGAAATTCAACTCCTCCTCTATTCATTTTTATAAGTGCTATTGTTTAAACGCTTTTGAAGACCCTATTAATTCAACCGTTTCTTGAACCTAATTTAGTAAAATCTTTATTTATTTATTACCAAACTTTTTTATTTATTTTTCAAAATTTACAAATATTTATGATTTTAAATTTTACTACCTCTTCAAGATTATTAAAAAATAATCGTTTAAAAAAAAATTGATCATAAAATATAAATAAAATATTTGATTGAAGTGAAACTAATAAATCATTTTAACTCGTCAAGATATTATTTAAAATTTGTCTATAATTTTTTTATAGTTTTTGTGAATATTTTAAAAATAATTATTAATATTTAAAAATAACATGTACTCTTTGAAATTTAAATTACTAAGCAAATTTTCTGAAATTTAATTTGAACTAATTTTTAAACAGTAAAATTCTTTTTAAAATGTAATTATACCTTAATCCTTCTCAATCCAATTTTTATTCCACATTGAGATATATTTTATTTACAATAATATTTTTTGAAATATTACAAATATTGTGATATAATGGGTGATGATATTTCAAATGCAGGAACAACTATATTGTGTATTTTTTTTTAACAAAACTTGAAATAAAATATAAATAAATAAATAATTTTAAATATATTATATATAGCAAAATAATCTAAATCATATGTTGCTTTTTAATTGTTTAATTTCTAAAAGCTTTTCTTATATTAATGCTTTTAATTCTGATGCTCTTACATTATTACCCTATTGCTTTTTATTTTAGTATTCAGCAATAATTTATTCTAATTATTTATTTTTTTCTTTAATATCTTCAATAATAGTTGTAGAGTGATCTTAATCAAGGAGCTAAGCTATGTTACTCAAATGAAGAACATGATTAGAATTTTACTGTACATTTAGCAAACTATTACGTACTTTAATTTACTAGTTAGACTAATTTTAAAAATATCCAGAATTATTTTTTTAACTCTTTGGTGCTTCAACTGGTATTTCATTTAACTGATTAAATATGTTATTACTTTATTTTTAGTTTTAAGAGAATATTTGCTATTTAGCTGTAGTTACATTTTCTTAGGTGATTTTATTATTATTTTGTTTTACATTTACACCTATTCGCTGGATTTGAATTGTATCTTAGTTTTATTAATTTTCTTATATTTTTTTAGGGACCAATTTATTCTTAACCAAAAACTCTTTATCAAACCAATTTAGAATCTCTTTGGCTTTGTCTTCAGATCCTTATCTGAATGTTGGGTTTCCTTAAGAGGATGGTGGTTTATTTGGTGTATTTTATTAAAAGAAAACTTTATTTTACTATTAAATATTTATAGAATCATTTTGAAATGACTCCTTGCTTAGCTAATGATTTGGGAAAAAACTCATTTAATAGGCATGCTATCTTTTATTACTTCTATCAAAAACAATAGTGTCTTTTGGTTACTAAGCTTTTATGTTTTATAAACCTTTCTGCTATTAAATCTACTACTTGTTTTAATTTTAACAATTTAATTATTTTTTTAAGATTTTCCTTCTTTCATAAAAATCTAGCCATTTTCTACCATACTTAAAGGCTAAATCTTATTCCCTTATTTTTATTTTAACTAAATCATTCTTTTAGAATTTGATCTTACTTTCTTTGATTTCGATTCCCATCATAATAACTTTTTTCAAAACTGATAAAAAATAAATAACAGTTTGAATAAAAAAAGATAATAAAAATACCTTCATTCTATTTATGAGAAATGTGTAAACTAAATGCATCTAGTTCTTCTTATCTTTTTTATTTCTTTATTTACAAAAACTCTTACATTTTTTTGAAAGAAATTTTTTTTTTCTGGTTTGACCAATGAACAATAGCATACTTAACTTTCTATTTAGCTCTCCTAAGCTATTTTAAAATATTTTTAATAAATAATTATATTAATTAAATTACAGCTTTTAGGTAGAGTTTCCATGCAAATAGAGATTTTATCAATAGTTTAGCTAGGTATAGATTCTCCTTTTCCTTTATTTCCTGTTTTTTTATTTACTTCTTCCATAAAAATTATTTCATATGAGTGAATATTAGCTTTTTCATTTTAATCATTTTTTTTAGTTTCAAAGCTCTTAACTTTCTTTTAATTATTCTTTATTCCTGTACATTTTTCTCAAATCTCTTAAATGCAATTTTTTTGGCTATCAAAGTTGACTTTTCTTAAAAATAAGTTCTTTTATTTTTTTTTAGGCAAATTATGTTTTTCCATGATTGTAAAATTCTTTACAAAAGTCCGCTTTAAATATTTTTTTAATGCTTTTGTTAGTCTATTTTTTTAAAGATTTTAGATTTGGAGTATAGTTTAAAAGCATTAAATATTTAAAGTTGCTATTTATTTACATTCTTATTTAAAAAGTTCTAGTATTTAGCTTTCTTTTTCTATTTGTTTGCTTTATTTTAAAGTAATATTTAAAATGATTATTTAGCCAACAAAATGTTATTTTGTTATTCTTTTTATTATATTTTGAGAACTATATTTTTTTTAATTAAATAAACTCTTTTCATTTCATAAAAACCTTATTTTACTGATTTTATGAAGTAAAATTTCCTTGCCTGCCTCTCTTTTTCTTATACAGACTTTTTTCTTAAATAAAACTTAACAACTAGTTAAAAATATTTATGAAGTAAATGTTTGTTTATTATTTTTTTCTATTTTTTCTTAACTTATTAATTAATTTAATAATTTTTTAGTATCTAAAATGATTTCTTCAAATACTATTTGTTCGAAATTTATTAAATATCTTTTTGTTTCTCTCCTTCAGCTTGCTTTAGCAGTAATTAATCTCTCCATTATCTCCACACAAACTGTTTGACAAATTTCTGTCTAGACCTAGTAATTAAGTAGCGCTTTTTAGTCTCTAATTAGCATCTTTACCAATAACTTTTAAATGAGTTGAAGATATCTTTAACTAAATATTTTATTTTTCTTTAATTTTTTATTTTATGATAATGCACGATTTTCTAATAGAGCTTTAGAGCAGTGAAAAATTTTTTAGCTAGCTTTTATTCAAAATGCTTATCAGCATAGTAAATATTTACATTAAAGTTATATTCTAATTATGACACAAAAGAATTGAAATATTTTTTTAGCATTTTCTTTTTAATGAGGATTTATTTTCTTTTAAAATCCTAGCAATCTTTTACAATCTTTTACAACAAGTTAAAATATTTTTGTTTGATTAAATTTCCTACTCTATTTTATTGATAGCTATCAGCTAATTATAATCTTTTTTATTTTATTTATTACTTTACCAAATAATTTTTAAGCTTATCAAAATAGATTTTCATCTTAGCATTCGCCAGTTATTTAAATTACTATTTAATCTATATTCTATGATCGACATTTTCTTTTAGATTCTTAATAAAAATTCTAGCATGAGTCTTCTTAAATATGAGCTTACAAATGTTTATCTTCTTTTATATTTCTCTGTCAATTTAAAGCTTCATAATTTTTGCTTACTTCAAACACAAAAAATACTTTCTTTAAAGACTTTACTTCCAAAATATATTTGCTTTTTGTTTTTAAAAGTCCTACTCCCAAATCAGTTCTTTCTAATTTTTCATTATATTAAAGTACTTGTGAAGGATGAAATCATGATAGAAGTAGCAAATCTTAGCAAAAAATTCGGATCTGACCTCTTTCTTTTATTTTATACTTTAAAACCCTTTAAAAACTTTCTCTTTAAGCTTTTGATTAATTCTTGCTGACTATTCCATTAAAAGAATCCTAACATTAATGAAAATTAATTATTTTTATTAACAAAAATGAATAATACCTCATATTGTAGGAATAAGACTTGTTATATTATAAATAATCAAATATTTTCTTCTTTCTTTTAAATTCTATTTCGTAACGGGCTATAACTAATTTTCTGAACATATCCTATAATATGATTTATATATTTATGATATACTACAAAAATTTTAAACAATCTACTTTTTTATTATTTAGCCTTTACTTCCACTCATTAAATGCTTTCTTGATAACTTTCTTATTCCAATAAATGATTCCCTCTTCATCCTAATCGTTAACTTCTCCTTCATTCATTCTTTAAAGCAACTTTTAGAGTTTAAAAAATCAACTATTTATTTTTTAATACTATTATTTTGATTAGCTAATACTGATCGCTCTTTAGAATTTAAAAATCTTTTGAATAGTAAATAAATAATCTTTAATTTTTTAAAATCATAAAAAAAACCAACAATTAATTCAAAATATTTAACTATTTCATCCAGGCTCTCTCACTTAGTATCTTAAAATATAATAAAAATTGCCACTTATTTAAAATAAACAATATTCGATAAATATTATTCTCATATCTTTTTAGTAGAAATTTCAATAATTAATTCTAATTATTTCAAAAAATTTTAATTTAAACTAAAAAATCTACTTCATCTCAATATTTACTATCAATCTAACTTATCATTACTTGTAAATACATATTTACATTAAATGTTTATAAAAATAAATACTTTCTTGTTTCTATCAATCATAAAACTCACTCATAAAAATTAATAAAAGATTCATTTTAAAAAATCTTAATATTTACAAACTTTAAACACTCTTTAAAAAGCAAATGTATAAAACAGAAGTTAATTTGCTTAATAAAATATGCAAAACAGATTATTTTAGTAAATTAAATACTAAACTTGACAATCTGGTTGATTATAATATCATTTTTAATGAATACTGCGATTTTTTAATGATTGAGAAATACTCCCTACTTTTAAATGAGCCTAGAATAAATTAATTTAAATATAATCAATTTTATTATGATGAAGTGAATCTCAGACAGCAGCTATTTTCCTAATTTTAACTAAGTCGAATTAACCAAACAATAAAGATTTCTAATATACTTGTTCAACCATATAGTAACAAGGGAACTTATCAATTAGTAAAAGACTTAGACTCTGAATTAGAAGCATAGGCTTATTTTTTAGATAATACAGAATATTCTTTTTTAGATGTGATAGTCTTTTCTTCTTTACAAAAATGTAGAATATGGTACAATTTATTGATTTAAATGAATTAAATTTAGCAATCCTTTTTACCATACAATAAATAACTTTATTATCAAAACAAAATCAGGCCAAAGCTCTACAAAGATGGGAAGAAGTCAAAAAAGGAATTACCTTAGCTTATTGATTGGTATAAAGTATTTATGAATACATACAAACATGAAATTGAATACTAATTTGATCCCAATATTGTGACAAGTAAATACTAAAAAAGACTAGAAATATAAAAGAAAGAAAAAAGATTAGATAAAAAATTAATTGAAGCTGTTTAAAGTAAATAATATGATTTAATCCGGAGTCTCATAGAAGAAGGCTCAGATATAGAAAGCATAGAGTAGTAGATGTACAAAAAACCAGCTCATATAGCATGTGAACTAGGAGATATAGAGCTTTGTAGGTTTATAGACTAGTTTGGGTGTGATTGGGAATCATTAGATAATGAAGAATAGACTCCTATATTCTATGCAGTTACGAGTGGAAATTTAGAAGTTGTAAAATTTCTCATTGAAGAAAAAAATGTCAATCATTAACATAAAGAATTTTAAGATAGGACTCCATTTTATTTGGCTTGTTTCTTAGGAAATATGCCTATTATTGAATATTTATATGAAAAAGGTGTGAATATTAATGAGCCATCAAAGCTCAAGCGCTGTGCACTAAGCAAGGCTTGCTATTTAGGGCATGTAGAAGTAGTAAAATTCCTCGTATCGAAGCCTGAAACTGATATTACTATGTAAGATTCTAAAGGTAGAACGGGGATGCATAATGCAGCATGGGGAATTGAAGGTGGGAAAGAAGGAAAGAGGAGGGGAACTTTGAAACTCCCAGACTCTCCTTAATCTATAGAAATACTTCATGATTATGGTAAACTTATGGTATTATGTAAGACTTTTTAAAAAAAAAGAATTATTTTTATTAAAAAAAGGTCATCCTATTGATTTTTAAGATTTTGAAGGAAACACTCCTTTACTTAGTGCAGCATCCAGCGATGCAAGGGAATCCTTAAGAGTACTAATAAATAGAGGCGCAAATAGAAATATTAGGAATTTTTATGGAGAAACTCCAGTCTTTTTAGCAGCTAAATATGGTCATACTGAGATCTTAAAAACCTTAATTAATGAATATAAATGTGATTGGGAAATGAGAGATATTAGAAACACTACTCCTTGCGAAATAGCTGCTATAAACTAGAAATATGAATGTTTTGATATACTTTTAAATTTAGAAATTCAAAACAATACAGTTAATGTTGAGAGTTTCATAAAAAAAATCAATGATGACTACATCACTCATGAAGAATAACTTAAAATATTTGAATTGTACAATAGTAAAGTAGATATTAAGAATCGTATTTAAGATATAGAAAGTGTAATCTCTTTTTTGACTAATTGTACTAATCCATAATTAATGCTTAGAATTTAAGAAATAATATTAGATAGATTAAATCCTTCTCACATTAAACAATTTTTCATTAACTTAGCTGATAATGGCAAGTATGATACAGCATTTTAAATCTTAGAGACATTTGAATTAAAATATAAAGCTTCAGATAATCAAATTTAGGGAATTCTGTTTGATCCATAAGAAATTTATAATTTTATTATTAAGGGAGTTAGTGCCACTGATGAAACAATAAGTAAACTTCTATTTAAGGTTAATAGTGATTGGATCAATTACACAGATGATTCAACTAAAAATAACTTTTTACATATATTATGTGAATAGAGGAGAATGAAAATAATAGTAGATTTAATTACCATAATCAAAGAAAAGAGCATTAATCCTGCTTACTCTTTTACATCTAACATATATTTGCTAAATAATAATTAGTTTTACACATAGGATTTTGTTAGAAAATACTTAAATGCAGTCAACTCTTAAAACTTAAATTCGTTAGATATATGTTTACTTTCAAAAGCAAACGACATTCATTTGATCATAGATAATTTTATTAGGAGCTTTCTTCATGAAGAACCTTCTTATCATTATGTTATACCAAGTTATGACTTTGAAATGATTTCCCAAAGAGACACAGATGTAAAATAAATTATTACACTTGAAGCCAATATATTTTTGTCTCAAACAATTCACTTATTTATATTTTATTTTAAAATAAATTAGCATGCTTTAATCGGTGAATTAGAAGAAGAAGCGAAAAAGCTCTAAGAACAAATCAAATAAAAAAGTGGAGATCTTTAGCATTTGAATTGTTATTCTTTCTTAGACGACTTAAGTGTAATTGATTAGTAAAAAGTGACAGTTGAGGACAATTCAGAATAAAACCAGAACATTGAAAAATTATATCCAAATAGAAAGTTGTATTTTATAAATTAGATTGATTCAGATGAATCAAGAATTCTTAAGGAAGAAATCGAAAAAAACAGTATTTTTGGTATTGACCTTGAGTATTACTCTGAAAATAAAGATAAAAATCTAGGATTTGTATGTACTATTCAGATATCTACAGTTAATATGGATTTTATGATAGATGCTATGGCATTAAGAAATTAGATAAATTAATTACTAAATAAATCTCTCTTTTTAAATAAAACAAAAATTAAAATTTTGCATGGCTGCGAAAACGATATCAAGTGGCTTAAAAACGACTTCGATATTGATATAGTTAATCTATTTGATACAATGTTTGCAGAAATGATTATTAAAAACAAGCAGCAATCTTACTCTCTCAAAAATTTATCTTAAGACTATCTAGGTGTAGAACTAGATAAATCATATTAAATTTCAGATTGGAGAATTAGACCTCTTCCAACTCCAATGATGAATTATGCAAGAGTCGATTCTTTTATTCTGTTGAGACTATTCCCCATCATGAAATAAATGCTAACATCCAAAAATTTGTTAAATCAAATGTTCCTAAAGTGCCTTCTTTTCATAATTCGTTAAAGCAATTCCAAAAAAACACAACAATTATAATAATGCTAGTAAAATAATAATAAGTGAAATATATTTAATCTATTAACAAATATTTAAAACATTTTTATTCTTAATAAATTGAATGTACTATAATAATTAACAATACATAAATTTAAATAATTTTAGAATTCAATTTTTATTATTGTGAAAATGAAAACTAACTTTAACCTCATTATAATTTTGAGCGAGCTTTAAAAATAATTTCAATATTATATAAAGAATGTTTAAATTAAAACTAAAAAGTAGATAACAAATTCATTTTTTTGTTAGAAATTAAATATTTTAGATTATTTTTTAAAAAGTTTTTAAATAAGAAAGCTTGAAATAAAATGAAACAAAATAAGAAATAATCAATAAAATCCAATAAATAATTTGATTTTGTTCAAAAAAAAAATGTTTTTTAATATTTAATGAATTAACAAAACACTTAAGAAAAGTATTTTTTAAATTGTTTTAATGAAAACACTTCAATTAAAAAGATTATTTATCAATATAATATGAAGTTTAATATATTTTATTTGAATTAAGAAACTCTTTAATTTTTAACTAGCTTTATATTTTGTACACAAACAAATACATAAAAAAATGATATATAATACATTGGATATAAAAAAATTTAATTTCAAACAAATGGATAAGCTAAAATCACTATTAAACTAAAGAAGCCAATTAGCTTGAGCGAAAAAGTTGCATCAGTGCATTACCCTAGCCAATCCAATTAAGGGGGATGACATCCACATGTTCCATTTATATTTGTATAATTAAAATCAAAACAATAAGTTGTAACTGTAGGACAAGGATTAACTCCATCTATACAAGTAGGAGGCTAGCAAGTATCAGAGCCTGTATCGTTATAAAAGCCGTAATCTGTGCATGCTTTTAAATAATTTGGTGAGTTTGAATTGCATGCGTCAGTAATTCCATAGCAAAAAGAGTATTATGGTGGAAGACATAAAGTGCTATTTTAATCACTAGTATATCCAGATTAAATGCAAACATTAGGACAAGGCGTTATTTATTAATTCATACAATAGTTCCAACTTGCTATTGGCTAACTACCTCCACCAGACTAAGTATTAACCTAAGTTAGAATTAATCCAAACGTAAAAAGAAATTATAGCTTTAATTTCATAAATTTACAAAACCTTTAAAGTTATACTCAAAAATATCTGTTTCTATTTTTTAAAATATATAAAAAATTCTTAGTAAACGCTTGTACAAAGAAACAAATTGCAAACAAATTTTTTATGAACCTGCAACATATTATAATTAAATATTATGTTAATAATAATAAATAGAAATGCAGCTTTTATTCTTTTTGTTCAAAAAATATATTTATAATTTAAATAAGTAAATAAACTTTTTAAAACAATTTTAATTTAATCTTTAATAAAATATATTTTAATGATCAATAAATAGTTCAACTCTCTGAAAAAAAATTATCCTCAAAATAAAATAATATAATTTTATCAAATTGATTTGAATTTATATTAACAGAAGTGTTTATAATTTTTCTCTAACAATGTAATAAATATGATGTAAGCACTTATTTATTTTAAATAAAGAAAGAATTAAAGACAGATGTTTTAAATTTTCAATAATAGTTTTATAAGCAGCAATATAAAAAATTAGAATAAATATTATTTTAATGATCTTCAAATAATTTTGCGTTGTCTACAATACCTCGAAAAATATAATATTTGTTTTGCTAAAATTTTAATTTATCCTTTGACTTTTGATGCTAACTTCAATAAATTGGATCTAAAAAATTTAAAGCATTCGAGTAGTGTTTGAGTTTAAAATTGATGTCAACTTGTAAGCATAGATTTCAAAATTGATCATCTGCAAAAGTTACGAAATGAAAAATTAGTATATTAGAAATATGGATTGAGTATAATAAATTTTCTACTTTTTTTAAGTGATATCTTTTTAAATGATGTGTATTTAACTGAAACAATAATAATAATTAGTTCTACTTTTTATTTTTAGGTAAATCTTTGAGGAAATAGTTTTTGAAATAGCTAAATTATTAAAATTGTGATAATTTCAATTTAGAGTAAAATTTAAAAAAGTTTGCTAATAATTTTATTGGAAAAATGAGCAAAATTAAAAAGTTTAATACCAAAAATGTTTTTTATAAAATAGAATTACACAAATAAACCCATTTATTTAATATATGTACATATATTTTTCTTTCTATCTCTCATATAAACGAAATTATATTTTATGATTTTAAATTTATGAGTTTTTTGAAGCAATTTGTAATTATTTAAAATTAATAAATTTCATCCTTTTCAAAAAAAACTCCATATTTTTAATTTAAAATATATGATAATATTTTATGTTTTATGATTAAAAAAGTAGATTAATTTAATTTAAATACAAATTTTAATAATATTTATTTAATTTTAGAGAATAAGAGGAATAAAAAAATATTATTATTTTTAACACTTTTAATCTATCATTTGAGGATTATATAAAATTTTTCAAAATTATCTTAAATTTATAAAAAATTAGATAGATAAAGTGTTAGCAAGTATTATATATAATTACATAATTTAATCCATTACAATGTATCCTTTAGTAAGTCATGAATTATATATTTTTATTAATTTTTTAAGAAAAAATTAAATTATTCGTTTTTATATCTTATTTCAAAATAGATAGCAATGATAAGTTTTAGTTGGAACGTTTTATAGCTAATCCTAGTTTCAATCATAATTCTTGTGACTTCATCTTTGATTTAGCAATATTAAGATGATTTAGTATAAAAATTTAATGATTCCATTCCTAATTTAATTCAGGAAGCTGTTTCTTCTGGCTAAGGCAAAGCTAGTTAGCTTGAAACTATTTCAAAATTGATTAACTCTTACAAATAAATTTTAGAAAATGCATTTGGAAAAACAGATGAATCTTATAATCAAGTTCGTAAAAATTAGAATTTAGCATTTGGATATGTGGCAGATTTAGATATTTATGTAGACGCAATTGAATTAATGAAATAATTAGGATTTAACTAATTTTAATAACCTCATTTTCATGATAGTTTGCTAAATAAATAAGAAGTTGGAGAGACATTCTCTTACTACTTTGAAAAAGGTGCAGGAAGCGAATTATTTGTTCAAAATAAATAGCTTTTCGATGAGATAGTAGATATCTCTAAAAAGATTTAGAAAAAAGATGGTTTAGGAGGAAATGCATCTACTATGGCAGCAAGGGCATTCAAAGAAGGAACAAAAGTTATTTTAGGCCACGCTATGAATAAAAAATTTTACAAAGAAATTTTTTAGGAAAAAGCAATATTAGTTGAAGAACTTTCCGAAATTAAAGATGTGCATTTAGTACTAGATTATTATAAAGACGAAACTTGGGGAGGTAAAGCAACACCTCGCTCTAATAGAATGTATCTTAATCACGATATTGAAAATTCTCAGCTTTCATATATGGATAGATTGCATGAATTTATTAGAAAAACTCCAAATCTCAGATTAGATATCCTTGGCTTAGGAGGATTTTAACTTCTGAATCATAGAAACGCTACAGAAATTTCTTATTTAATGAAGAAGCTAGGTAAAGAATTACTTGAAATGAGAATGTATGGACCTAAAATTCACATGGAAATGGGCACTTTTACTGATGATCATTTGCTTTCTGAGCTTATTAAACACCCCCTTCTATAAACAGATTCTATTGGGCTTAATGAATAAGTAAGTTTATATTAATGATTTATTTTAAGTAATTAAAAAACATAAATTTTATCAGAAATTAAATTTTTTATTTTAGATAATTATCAAAAAATATAAATTTATTTAAAAAAATAAGTTTTTTTTATTCAAAATTCTTTTCATATTAAATAATAGGAACTCAAGAATCTGATATAGTATTTAGAAAATCAGCACTTTATTGAGGCTGTATCATCTGAATTTGAGCTTAACCAAGCTTTGCATGATGTGTTAAAATTAGTAAGTCTATTTCACAAGTATAAATTTAAGATTAATCGTGTTCACTATCACACTATTAATCTATAAATGATTTGCAGTAACGTTAATGAATGGGAATCTAGTCGACTTGCTTTAGTAAAATCAATAACAGTAGCGCTTTAAGAGAGTGAAAATAAAGAAAGAAGCTTCTTTGATTTTGAACCTTAAAAACTAAAAATTTCAGTTCCAGAACAAATTATTCTTCCTTTCTTCGATGACACTTTTAACATTATCTAAAGTGATTAAGGATAAAAATCTATTGAATTTAATCCAGAAGATCCTGTTTCATGCTGGAATCCTCATAAATCTATAGAGTGTTGTGTTGCTCCTAATATTTAGGTTATACATCCTTAAAAGACATGCGGTTTAGGTGATAATATCTCATCTACTGGTCTTGTTTATCACAAAGTTATTTCAAAACAATGAGACAGATTATTTATAATTATAGAAAATAAAATAAATATCATTAAAAAAGATAATTTTATATTGTTTTATTTTTTGAATTAATGTCGATAAAAATGTATTAATAGACAAATAAATTACATTTCAAATGTTTAAAGTGAATAACTTATACATAGAAATTTTGCAAATCATATTAATTAGTTAGTATTAATAATACTAGTTATTTTATAGTGACTTTAAGCTATAACTTTATATTGAAGAAAGCCTAAACATTTTTAAAATAAAAAATCTTTATTTATTCTTTTAAATTTATCTTATATTGAAATGAAATTTAATTTGTCATTTCATTAATGTGAAATTTATTTAGTTATCTTTTATTGATTGATATTGATTGGTCATTTCTTTTATTATTCTAATCTAAATTAATATTCTTCAAGTATTTGATTATGCGATATGAATGAATCTTGATTTGTTCGATTAATATCTATTTGCCAAATATACAATAAAAAATGTGTCATTTTTGATGGCAATATTATCAATATTAGCGTATATTTTGAAATAAATTTATATTATATACTCTTAGTATTATGTATGTATATCTTTTCAAATTATTTAATTAAAACTTATAAAAGTATCCAATCATATAAAAAAGAATAAACTAAAAGAACCAATTAAATATTATCAAAATGCTTAGCAGATTAGTCAAGTCATAAGTTTGTGCTTTAAGAAACTTTAAGGCTCTTTAAAATAAATTCTAAATGAACTTCGCAGGTACTTAATTTTTAAAATATTAGCACCATGCTCTAGATTCATAATTTCATTTGCCTTTTTTATTAATAAGTCCTGAATCTATTTATAATATATTAAAGTTGTTAGAAAATTCACAAAGGAACACGAATGGGTTGATTATGATGAAGAAGCTAAAGTAAATTTATTTTGAACATAACGCTAAATCAAATTAATCTAATTATTTTATTTTTTTAGACTGGTACTATTGGTATTACTGCTTATGCTGCCTAAGAATTAGGTGATATTGTTCATATTGAATTCCCTGATGTTGGCACTAAATTCAAAGTAGGAGAATCAATTGGATCAATTGAATCAGTTAAAGTAGCTGCTGATGTTTATGCTCCTGTTGATGGAGAAATCGAATAAGTAATATTTTAATAAATAACAATATTCTATTATCTTAATATTAATATTTCTGTATATGCAAACAAATAATTGATTTATTAATTAACAAAAAAAAGATCAATGAAATTGTTAATGAAGACCCTGCATTAGTTAACTAAGACCCTAACTTAAACTGGTTCTTAAAACTTAAGGTTACTAATGAAGCATAAATTAGAGAGTTATTCACTGAAAAGTAATATCAAAGATTCCTTGAAGACTTAAAATCTGGAAACGCTGGATCTCATTGATTTTTTTGTATAAAAATATATGTTAGTAATAAAGTTTAATAGCAAATAGTAATATTGTATAGATTTGTTAAATATGGTTTGTAGATATTCATTATCAAATATTAAATAATTTGGTTCTATTTTTTACTTTACTTTCAATTTATTTACATAAAAAAAACAAATAACAATTGTAGTGCATATTGATGTTAAGCAACTTTGTTGATCTATCTCTTAAAATCAAAATTATCAAAAGTATCCTCTTTATTTTTGAATTCCTTTTGATTTAATTTAGATTAAATTTAATGGAATAAGGAATATTCTTTGTTATTTTAGATTGATATTCGTTTGCTTTTCTAATTTATTAATAAGGTTAAATTATATTTTATTATTTAGCTTTTAAGCTAAACAAATCTGATTAAAATTTCTTTATTATACTTATTTCTTCATAAAGTATTGAATTTATTGAAACACTGTAACAAAATATCTTAATATTAAAATTAAAACACGTATATACTACTTATTTAACTTGAAAATCTTAATTTATTTTATTTATGAAAAATATGAATAAAGTTAATAATTCGTGATAAAAAATATTGTAAATTAAAAAAAATCATTTTTTTATGTGTAAAAGCATCACTTTTAAAAATCATTTTTTAAAAACTATTCACTAAAATTAAAAAAATTTTTTGGTTTTTAAATATTTGATTAAATCTTATAAATTAATATTACGAAAATAGTTAAGCTGTATGTAAAACATTAAAAATTGAATTTATTATAAAAATAATTTGAAACATCGCTAAGCATGATATCTGTATTGGTGATATTTTATAATAGGAATAGCTATAATTCAAATGAAATAAAAATTTCCATAATTAATATAGTAAATTTTAAAACATTTTCTTTAATGAATATATTTATTTAACTTAGTTTTTAATCAAATATGATTATTGAAATAAAGGGGGAAATTCAGATGTTGATTATTAAATAATCCTGTAATTTTTCAAATAGTTTTGCTAATTTATTTTAGTTAAGAAAATAAAATAAAATTAAATAATATCATAAAAACAAAAATCTTTTTATCAATATTAATTTTTAAATTTATTTTACAAAGAATGAATTAAAGAATTGATTTATTTATTTAATTAATTTTATTAATCAGTCATAGCAATTTTTATTATATATTTAAGTTGAATAGAAGTCATTTTTTGGAATCATTGCTAGTGGTGGAGAATTTCTTTTTGCCAAATTGTTAAGCAAATGAATTTGAAGGAGTTTGAGCTAATGAAGTAGAATTAGATTTAAATAGTTTATTTATTGATGATACATTTTTGAAATTTTATGAAGAAGAACCTTATCCTACTGCACTTTAATTAGAAGAACTTTTTTTATTTAATTTGTTTCCTTTATCAAGAGGTCTTGAGTTTGAATCTTCATTATTTTATTTAGAGTAAAAGATACTTTAAGAGTGGTCAGCATAGTTTTAGAAAGCCTTTGTAAGAGCTGATTCACCAAATTCATTAATCATTGACTCTTTATTAAAACTATCATTGAATTAAGAGAATCTATTTTTATTGTTTTTAACATGCAAAATTGAATTCTTAAGATTTGCTCCTCTTAAATTACTGAAACCTTAAATATTTTACTAGTTCTATTATTACTTTTGACTAACTAGTTACTAAGCAAGACTAGTTTACCCATTTCCGAAAGATAAATTACCTTTTAATACTCCAACTTTTTCAGAGATCTTTGTAGGAATTATTTTTTTCTAAATAGTGGTTCCATTAGCTGCAGGTCCTTATGCAGTTTGGGTATTACCTGCTTATTTATTTTAAATTAAATCTAAAATAGAAGAATCCACTAAATTCTTTTCATCAAACTTATTCTATTCACTTGCTTTCTAGTATTCCTTTTTTAGAAGTAGATTTGCTTCTCTAATTTATATTTGTTCCTTTTCGTTATGATCTTTCTTGCTCTTTGACTTATTTGTTTTTTAGTTACCAGTAATAGGATCAAAGTCCTCTTCAGATTCATTTTCATCTTCTTCATCTGAATACTAGTTTTCTCCGGTTTGTTCTTACAGAGTTCTGATTGCATCCTATATTCTCTTTAATTTTTTAGACTCTGAAGTTTCGCCATCTTCAACGAGTAAATCGCTTAAATTTCTTCTTTTAGCACGAGTACCTTTGTATGCACCTTCGATAATCTTTTTGATTTCTTCTTTGTCTCTTTTTTCTAAATCTCTGATAAATTTACTTGTAGCAAGTTATTCATTTTCTTCATTAAATTCAACAATGTTATTTATCAATTCCTTTAATTCAGCATCTAGGTCTTCATCTTTACTCAAGCCTGCTTCTTTGTACTCATCTTCATCACCAATTTATTTAATTTTATCATCATTTTCTTCATTATCAGAACCAAGCTCTGCCTCGTCATCTATCATTTCATTCATTATTTTTTTCATTATAGGGTTGTTTAGCAGTTACTTTCTCCTTTCCTCCTTTTGTTAACGTATTCTCTCTTTTTCCTTTTTTTCTTACTGTTTCTTCAATATTTCTGCAGCTATGTTTTTTAAACGTCTCATTGGTTTTATTTCACTTTCATTATCATCATTCAATTTATTCTAGTTTAGTCCTTCAGCATCTTCTTCAAAACCAACAAGTTAATCTTCTAAATTTTAAGCTTGCTGATCTTAATTCTCTTCATCTTGCTTATTGTCTTTTTCAGCAGGATTTTCTTCTAAATCTTCACTCTCTTGATCGAGATCATCATCTATTTCCAGATTTTCTTATTATTCTGTTTCCAATCCATACTCTAAACGAATTTATCTTTCAAAATCTTTTTCATCAATACCTTCTTCTAAAGCTAACAGTTTTCTATATTAAATTTCTGCTTCTAAAAGTTATCTTTATTTGTCTCCTTCTTTATCGTCAGATTTTTCATCATTATTAGCTTCCTCTGCCTCACTTTCTTCAGAATTTTTATTTGGGTCATAGTCACTATCATTCTCTGTATTTTGACTATCATTTTCATCATCTTCATTTTTTTTAGTTTCTGTTCTTGACTTTTCGCCATCTTCTTTTTCTTCAGAGCTTTAATTTTTCTTTTGCTTTTTATCATTTTATTCAAGCAAATGATCGAATGTTGTTTGTTTGAAAGTATTTTGAACAGCTTTTAAATCAATATTTTGAGATTTTCTTTCAGTGAATCTCTTTTAACTTTACTTTAAGAACTCACCTCTTGATAGAGGCTTAATTTTTTCTAACATTTTTTGACTACCAGCTTATCCTGCAATTTGAGTATTGCTATTAGTAGAGCTTATTGAAGATTGTTGCTTTAATAACAAATTTTAATTATTGGTTCTAATAATTTTATTAAAGAATAATGTATTATTAATTAGTTGCTAATGTTTCTAAGATTAATCAATTGTAGGCACTTATAATTCGAGTTCTAAATCATCATCTTAACTTTAACTTTATTTGTTTAATCCTTAACTTAAATTTTGAGATTAAGAGAAAGAAAGCATTCTTGTAATTTTTTGTGAACTTTACTTTAAAAGTTATAATTTTTTATCCTAAGAAGATTTAGGAGCAATAGAATCTATTATGGGAATTTCTGTTTAAGTATTAGGAAAATCAAATAATTTCTAACTATCATCACTATTTGCAATAACTGATACACCTGACTTTAACTACATCTCTTGTTAGTTATTTTAGCTTCTCTACGAAAGATTTTGCATATTCTAAGATTGCTCAAGCTGTTCTTTGTATTATTCTTAATTCACTGAAATTTATTTAGATGCATTGAATGATTATGATCTTTCTAAAATATTTGTTGATTCCTATAATATAAAATAACATTTTTATCTCAATTGATTTTAATTTTAAATTAAAATAAAGTAAAAATGTGTTTACCCTTAACATGTTTTAAGAATTTTCATAATCGATACCTCTTTGCTTTTTATATATCATAGACTATTTCAAAAAATCAAGTAAATTTTTTTAATTTTTATTATTTTGTCTTTCAAATTTAATAGACTCTTCAAGCAAACATTCCTCTTCAACAGGTTGTTCTTCAATGTTATCCAGATTTGCAGATTCTAGAGTATTTATTTCTTTAAAAAGTTTATTATTTGTCTTTATAATTGCAGCATTTTGGCTTGATTTAGAAGCTGCACCTTTGGTCCTCTTCTTCTTTCTTTGATTTTAATCAGTGCCATCTTCATAATCTTCATCGTCATCATTATCTTTTTGATTTTAGTAATTATCATCTATATCTTCTTCTTCATCATTAAATTTATCAGCCAATCTTTTAATCATATCTTCATTTTTTTCTAATTCTATTTTCTCTTTTTGCTTCTTCTATTTCTTTTTTTCTTATTTTTCTGCTATTTTTTTCTCTTCATCATCATCAAAATATTAGTATTCGTTATCTTCGCTAAAATTTTTCTTTTTATTTAATTTTCTTGATTTTTTTTATTATTTTTCTGCATCCATTAATGCTATCTACTCAGATAGTTCATCAAGTTTAGATTTATATGTTGTCTGTTTATCATTATTATCTTCTTAAATAAGCAATTTGTTTTCAAACATATTATTATCAATATCATTTAAATCTGAGTTAGCATTATTTTTTTTTATATCAACTTCATCTTCTTAGAAAATATTGTTATCTTCTTCAGAAGAGGTTTGCTTTTTACTCTTTCTAACTAGCTTTCTAATCTTTTTTATTTTTGGAGAATTTTGCTATTATTCATTTTATATTTAGAAGTCCTCGTTTTGCATCCCGACTTATAGGTCTAATACTTCCATTTCAGCTATAAATTTGATTGAACTTCTATTATTAAATAATTTTATTTGACACTAATACGATACTGTATACTCTATATAGCTTTAAGATAATGTGAAAATTTGCTTATAATAACTTTTGATATTTTAACACAATATTATTTAATATACTTAAAAGAGCTTTCTTACTTAATTAATACTAAATTATAAGATTGGTTAGTAAAAATATTTAGATTTAATTAAAACCTTTCGCGCCTCAACCGCTAAATTTATTTGGTTGCACATAAATTAATATAAATATCAAAAAATTTGGGTTATTTTGATACTTAATTTAAAATTTAGAAAATTTTTAAATTGTAAATTTAAAACTCATAAAAAAGGAGCTAAAAAAATCTAAAAATTTTTACTTTAAGAATGATAATAGTTTATTTATTTTAAAATTTTAAATAAATAAATAAATTTTAATTCAATATCAAATCCATTAAAACTAAAAACAATAAATTAATTATTATTTAAAATTAAATTAACTTATTTTAATTTTTTTGATTTTGGATATTCTTAATTTAATAATTATCATCTTTAATTCAACTTTTATAAAAAATAAAATATTTAAACTTTTTTAAAAATAATTATTTTTATTTTTTAAATAATTAGAATTATTTCAAATATTTATTTTTCAAATTTATAATTTTAAAAAGAGTTATGAATTTATAATAAACAAAATTAATTATGCATTTGAAAAGTATGTATGTATATATATAATTATACTATAATCACTTCAGTTTTTTTAATTATTTATAAAGAAGATTTCAATGTAAAGAGAAAAAGTTTTTGAAAATTTATTTTAAAATATTATAATTATTTATTTATTTTTTATTTATTTATCTTATATTAAGCTTATATTCATGTAATAATTCTTTACTAATATCAGTGGAATAATATTCTTTAATAACTATCATTTTAAGAAATCTTGTTTGTGTATTGATAAGATTTTTTATAAATTTTAACATTTTTCACTCTCTTAGTCTTTAATGTTTTTTTTGAGTAAATTGTAGAAATTTTTCTTAATATTTTGATTGGTATTTAAAATATGGAAGAGAGAGCTAATTAGACAATATCACTAAATTTTATCTATTTACTTATTGTTATTTTTTTGAAATTTTTATTATTAATTAGTTTATAATTTTAGATATTTGTTATGTGATTTTCTTAATATGTATTATATGATTTTTAGCTCAAAAGGTTGATTAGCTAGTTATTCCTGTCAGTTACTTTAATTGATTTTTATAAGTTGAGTTAATTTAAAAATTTCATGAAAGACTGCTTAACTATTTAATAATTAAATTGGTATGTATTTTAGATCTTTCAATAATTCTGAGCTATTTCACCTTTTTATTAAATTGGTATTTAATTGTATATTTAATTAGAATTGTTGAATTGAAATAAAAAGAAAGAAGTAAAATCAAAGAAGATAGATAACAGGAAGGAAGATATAGATAGAAAGCTTTTTTATTTATTTCGTTTTTTTTTTATTGATTAAGTGCAGGGAATTTCTTTCATTTTTAATATTTTATCTTGCCTAAAAGATTTAATAGATTAGATAAAAGTTAAAATGTACATTTACTGTTGAGAATATGTTAAATCTTTTATTTTTCAATTTAAAAGCTATCTTATTGCTTATAATTCCTAAATGCTATTAATTTATATGGTGTTTGACTTTGCTCTTATTACAAAGTCATCTACTTATTCCTCACTTTCATCATTTTCTTTGTGTCTACCTTCATTTTTTTCTTCTTCATCTACTTCTTATTCTTTTTATTCTTCTTCAACTTCTTTTTATTAAATATCTTATGCTTTTTGTTAAATTTATTCTTCTTATTCACTCTTATTGAAATCATTTTCTTTAATATCAACATCTGTTTTCGCATATTCATCATTTTAATTTTACTGATTTAATTTTTCCTCTGCCTTTTTATGTAATTATGCATTTTTTTGGTTTTTAAAGCTTTGAATAATCTCCTCATAATTATCTTCCTCCTCTGAATCCTCATCATTTTCATCAATGAAATTCTAATTACGTTGCATGTTGAGTTAATTCTTTGCTTAATGAGTAACTTTTTTATTTTTAATTTCAATGTCTGTGTTATCTCCTATATACAAATTAGAATCTCGAGTCACCAAATAATTATAATTTTTTTAAATAATATAAGGATCCTATATCTGTAACACATTATTTTAGTCATTAACTTCATTTAGCAAGTTATTGAAAAGATGATTACTCGTTTATTCATCTAAAGTTCTTGAGGAAAAAATGTCTTCATAATCCTAATATATTATTTAAACTACCTCAACTACTGTAGGATTCATCAGCAATTCTTCTAAAGCTTCTTTATATTTGTCTCCACTTGGTTTACTTCTTATTAAAGTAGGAGCAAAAATTTTTGTCAAGGCTTCCATTTTCATTAAATTAGCTTCACTATATCTGGAAACAGTTCTTAGCAAATCAATAATATGCCTTAAAACTCTAAAATTTAAAACTGGTATCTGCTCAACAATTTCGTGAACTTTTTTCTTTTTCAACTAAATGTCCTTCACTTTTATGAAATAAAATAATAAATTAAAATAAAGCATTGCTTAATATCTAATTTACTTTAACTCAACTATTTTATGATTTCATATTATTTATAAGGAATAATTGGTTCAGGCATATGACTCAGCAGTCTCTTTAAAGAAGCTATAGAAATTTAATAAAATATTTTTATTTTTATTGATTATTTGTTGATAAAAAATGTAATGAAATATTTTAAAATCAACACATAAAAATAGAAAAATTACTTGCGATGACATGAGGGTCTTCATGATTTTATATAAATTCATAATTTTTATTTAGCATTTACTTCTCCATTTCCTTAATATCATCTTCTCTAGGAGCCTTACGAAAAATACCTGGCTCTTTTATATGGTCCTCAACTTCTTTAAAATAATTTATAAACTCAATAATTATTTTAGGGATCTACTAATCGTTGAGCTCTAAATCATCAAGACCTAAGCCAAATAATTTATCTTTTTTATCATCATCTTAGCTTTTAGATTTTTAAAGTTTTTGATCTTAATTATTGAAGGTTTTAACATAATTTTATATCTTTTTATAAAAAGATACTTTAAAAAAATCGAGATCATATACATTTCTCAGCCTATATTTTAAAAATAAGTTACTTCAATAAAATTACTTTATCAAAATTATGTTTTTTTTACGATTTTAAATACTCTATTTTATTTTTGAGACAGCTTGGCGTGCTAAAAAAGTTATAAGATTTAACTAAAAAAGTAGGATTAACTATATAAAAGCTCTTAAGATTATTATAGTATTTTTCAGGAAGCTTTTTCATTACATTATACATAGTTTGAATGTAAGAGTAACTTGAAAGGTCTGTGTGGAAATAAAACAGGTAGTATTTTCTATTTTTTAATTAAAAATATTACATTAATCTAGCTTAAAGCTAAAATAAGATATTTATTATCACCAATGATGACTTTGTTTTTTTGTGTATATTTTAGAGCTTAATATCTATTTATTTATTGCTAAATATTTAGATAATCAAGTGAATTAATTGAATACTTTTAATAATAATTGATTTTAGATCTGAACGAAAAATACCTACATAGTTTTAGGTAAATTTTGAGAGTTAAAAAACTTTTAAAAATGCAAATTGCTTTTCAAGGATATTAAATAATAAATTCAGAGTACTCGAATTTTAAAAAATCGATTCCAAAAGTATTTGTTTGTTGCATTATTCACTTTTGCTCAATATTAAATATATGAAAATCATCAGTGGTTTCTATGAATCTTAAAATATTAATAACTAACTACTTACTGATCAACAAGCTCGTCTAGAAAAAAATAGAAATACCTTTTAAACTAATTATATTCTTTTTTCAAGCCAGGGTTTGGCAAATATTTCCCAAAAACAAAAATTATATTTTCATTTTAATCTGTTACTCCTATTTATTTATAATATAATTCATTAAACGCTATTGATTCCTAATACTATATATTCTAATTGTTCATCAAAAATTTACAAACAATTAATTCAATATAGCAGCTTTTTTATAATCGAATTGCTTAGATTTTACCTGCATGCACTATAACTTCATCATTCTGAAATTGCTAATTGCAAAGCTAGTATTAACCTGCTTGCTTATCGCTTAAGTAGTCTTCTAACTGCATTTATTTCTTATCAGAATTCTAAATTTTACATTCCTTCTTTTCCTCTTAATCGCTCATGTTATAGATTCTTTTCTTTGCAGGCTAAAATTATTTCTTTCAAATTGATTTTCTTTTTCAAAAAACACAAGCAAATAGCTAAATATGTAAATTGTGTGCGCTATTAGAAGCTCTTCAAAAATATTGCTTCAGTTTGTCTAGAGTTTAGAATAATTTTGCTAGGTAATTACTTTTATTGTGTGATATCACTTAAAGTTACCTGTTTTATTTTAATTTATTTTTAGATGAAATTTACTCTTAAAAGAAATATTGATAATACCTACCTTATGTACTTTCTTCCCAAATAACTAAATCTTTACTATCAGGTTGATTAAATTAATTAATAATCTTCATTCGTTCATTTATTCACATATTGAATTAGTCTTATAATCAAAAACTTAGTGAAAATTTTAATTTTCTTAAATATTCTTACAATTGAAATAAATTAAAGGTCGATCATCATTAAATCAGAATAACTATCTTTTAATCTTAGCATTTAGAATGACATTTTGAGGTAAAGGTAAATACATTCATACAAAAATAGAAAGATAGATATATATCTTAAGGTATAAGGTTATTTATTTATTCATGCCTTTTCTCTTTTTCTTCTTTTACTATTTCATCAAAAATAAATATAAAAAGGAAAAATTTAATTTTGCCTGATCAAACTCTAACTTAATAGATAAGTTATTAGATTCGATTGGCTTAAATACATTTTTTTTTTGAATACAATTAAATAAAATTATTTTTTTTATATAAAATTTAAATATTACACAATTAATTTATTTAATATCATATTATAAAAAGCTATAAAAAATATTTAAAAACTAATTAGCTTACTATTATTATAAAAATACCTAATATCTTTCTAAATAAGCAGAAGTTTGAGTCAATATATTTACTTATTTTTACACCACATAAAGAGTATCAGAAAAATGTAATCTATTATTTTTTATATATTCCAAATTATTTTAAAATTTGATTACTCACTCAAAATCCATTCTGATTCTTAAAAATTCAAAAAACAATCAGATTTATTTAACATATTTATTCAAAATAAATACAAAAAAAATAATAAATTTTTATTAATTTCTTAAAACCATAAAAATATTTTATCTCATTTAATTTAAAAGATTTATCATGCTGTTACATGTTATTAAAATCATAAATTTAGTATAAAATTTAAAAAAAAGAAAATTTATAATAAATTAAATTCTGTCATTTTTTCAAAGGAAAGGAATATTTGTGGAATATATATTTATTTAAAAAACAACAGAAAAAGTAGTTAAAATCACTTCTATGTAATATATCTTATTTTAAATCTTAAATTATACTTATTATATAAAATTTTTGTAAAATTTTATTTGATTAAAGCATAAAATTTAGTAAGATGAATAAAAATATTCATTATTATTTTATTTAAAACTATTTTCTGATTATTTATTTATGTCGACAAGTGTAATTAATTAGACTGGAGAAAACCATTTTTATTCAATATATTAAATATTTAGAATTGAGAATATTTTTACCAAAGATTTTGATTTTAAAAATAAACTAAATGAAATTTATTATATTACATCACTCTCAACTGATTATATATATCTAAAAGAGTATGCTTTTTGTTATGCATTTTATATGAAATATTTTACCTTTACAAAATTCTATAAAATAAATTAAATTTACTTTTTTAATTTAATTAGATTATTGATAAATGAAGATAAATATATTTTAGATAGTTTTTCAAAAAACCTATTAAAAACTAATAAAAAATTAACTATGTGATAAAATATTTTATTTATATTTTAACTTTTTATTGAATATTTTTTCCTTTCTTAAAAATTTTGAAAATTTTATAAATTAAAAATAAATTTTTCATAAATATTTGCTTGATACTTTATTTTTATTTTTTAAATGACATAGAATTAATTATTTAATATGCTTGGATTCTTATTTGATTACTTATAATGAGATATGGGAAACCTCAAATATAAAAAATATATATTTTACTCTACTTATCAAACTTTTAAATAGACTTCAAACATCTTTTTCTATTTTATTTAGTGGTATTTGCATTTTATATGTTTTTTTTTTAATTTCTTAAGAATGTTTATTTTCAAAAATCTTCTTCTTTCTTAACCTTGATTTTAGGAATGTGCTTATATTTAATATCCTAACCACCAGCGTTAATGACATCAATTTCTTCTTATGTCATTATTCTTCTAACGAAAGTGCTCTTAGTGTGCTTGAAATCTAAATTATAATTAATAGAGTTAATATTTTTAAATTCTACTTAGATAAAATAAAGATATTTTTCTCATTTAGATACTTTGATGGAATTAAATAGTAAAATATGTTAATAGTTTATGATAAAGCTTCTCTTTCTTAAGTTTGATAAATTTCTAATGAGTTTTAGGTTTTACAAATATTTGAATGGCAATAATATTAAGATTACCTGATAAACTGTATTTAAAAACTGGAGCTGCTTATTAATTTCCTAATTCAAGTAATGATCTCTTTCCTAAAAACTTAATACGAGGAGAATAAGGACTCAAGGGAGTATAAAAGTATCTAGCTTATTATATAAGAGACTTTGTGATTCTTTCCATTTTATTTATCTATTTGCTGTGAAATTTGATTGCACAATTATTTTATAAGTCTTTATTTAATTGATTAATTTTATTTATTTTATTCTTTGATTTTCTTTAGAAAATTGATATACATATAATTCCATTCTATGCAAATTACATACATAAATTATTTATTTATTGTCTTCAAAGAAATTCTTTGGAAAATAATCAAAGATTCTCCTAAGTGACATATTAACAGTTTTTATTAAGTCATTATGTCATGCACAATAAGTATCGATGATATGACAATTTTTTATATGAAATACTTTAAACAAAATCTTAACAAGATTTTTGCTTATTTTAATATAATTCAATGTATCAGTGACTAGGATTATTACATTAGTTTACATTTATCTTAAAAATAATCTGATTATTAATGAGAAGCTAATTCTAAAGCTCATTATTAAAAAGGTTCATACTTAATCCTACCTTTATTAAAGTATGATTTTAGTAAATATAAAGCAGTAATTAATACTAAATCTTAGATGATAACAAAATTAAAACATTTGAATTTTCGAATAATAAAATAATATAAATTTAAGAGTCTTTTTTTAAAAAAATAGACAGATGCTAAGGTTTATCTAAATATCATTACAAAGATAAATCTAATTGCTTATTGTAATATCAATCTTATAACCAATCATTTTTAATTTTAAGCTGTGATTTCGTTATTCTAAATGCTACTAACTTACCTATAACAAAATCAAATAATATAAAAATTAATATATTTATTTCAACTTTTTAGACTTAAATCAGAGTGCATTCATAGTTGAATATAAATATATATATTATAACTTTACAAAATCTTAAAAAAGAATTTAATAATAGTCTTATCAAAATAATTTAATAAGATCACTTTTTTACAAAACAATATTTAAAATAAAGATTTTTAAATGGGTCTTATGTTTGAAAAAACTGTTAAAAAATAGACAAATTAAGCTAGCACAATGTAAGAAGATGAGACATTAAATAATTAAGTTGCGCAAGACAACAAAATTTATATGGTTATAGCATTTATAAAGAAAAACTATATAAAAATATGTGTAGCTGTGTTAATCATAATTTCAATTATTTTAGTTTTAAGTTTTGTTGGTAATGAGCTAAAATCTTATTTAGTAGAAAAACTTGATTAGTATAAAGATCTATCTTTGACAGGATTTATTTTCCTTACAACATTAGGAACAATCATGGTTTTGATCGGTGCACCAATCCTTTTTTTTGAACTTTCTCTGGGGTGTATATTAAATAAGTACATATTTGCAGTTTTAATTGCTGCTTTTTCGAAACTATTAGGGATATTTATAAGCTATTAGATAACTCAAAAGTTACTTATGAATTATATTTTAAGAAAATTTGGAAATAATCTTTATCTTAAACTTCTTAGGAAGATGAGTAAAAACTAACCTGCTAAAGCTGTAGGAATGCTTGCTATTATTTAAATACCAATGCTCATAAAGAATTATAGTCTACCCCTTTTTGAAGTACATGTCTAATATATAATATTAGTCTTTTGTAGTATTTAAGTACTTCAATCGTTTTTATTTTGTTTTATAGGCTCTACTTTCACCCCATCTTAATCATAAAATATTGATAGCTAAAACAGCATTGCTAAAGATGTTCTTACTTATATATCATATGCATTTACAATTGTTGCATTCTATATTATCTACAAAGAAACTTAAAAATTAAAATAATAGTCAGAAATAGAAAACTAAGATGAAGTTGATAATGATATTTATGATAAAGATTTAGAATTGCAGTAAAAAATATCATATACAAATACATAATAACTATAGCAAAAACATTAAATAAAACTAGTTTATCCTAATACTAATCAAGACGAATGAAAAATAAACAAATAAATAAATAAAATATATAAATCATAATTAAAATAAACAAAATTAAGAAAAAAAGATAAATTTTTAAAAAGAGACCAAACCAAATAAACAAAATTAGTTAATATAATATATTCATTTATGAAATATAAAATACTTACAGAAAATATAATACAATTTGCCATCTAATTGTAGATTTTATACTTTTTCTAATCATACACCAAAAATATTATTTTAAAAATTTATTTTTATATTTATTTGTAATTAAATATAAATAAATAAATTATTAATTAGCACACCCTATAAAAATAATTAATTTTATATCAAAATATTTTTTATAAAATTTTTATTTTAAATAAAATTAAGTTTTTAAAATAACTGAAATTGCCAAATTTTTAGCCCTGCATTATATAAAAGTAGCAATAATTAAATTTATTCAATGAATAAATAACTATGATGCAACCCTCTTGTTTATCAAATCAACAATTTTAACTATTCATATTATCTAGGAAATATATTTTTATAGATAAATTATCAATTATCATTTTAAAATATTATCAATATGATTAATACATATTTGTAAAAGAAAATTACTTTTGTTTTTTGATAATTCTTTAATATTCTGAATTTAACTATTTATTTTTTTATTTTAAAAAACCATCAGCTATTGCTGTATTACTTTTTTTTGATAAATAAAAAAAAAAAATTCATTATTAAACTATATAGATTATAAATAAAAAAGCTCTCCTTAATTATTCCCTAATTTATAACATCAATATAATAAAAATAGTAGGAGATTCTTCTAATAATAAATGCCATAATCGATACTTATTTAAATGAAAATAGTTTTTTTTTTATTAGCATAATTTCTCAAAATATTTGCTTTGAACTATCAAAATAATATTAACTTTGTCTATTCCTAGATAAATGTAACAAGCTTTGAGATTAGTGATTAATTAAGTGCATATACATAAATCAGGGTAGCAAAGAATGCAAATTTAGTGTTTGTATCTTCAGGAATGGAAGGTATTCTTATAATAAATTCTCTTAATAACAAATTAGTCCTAAGATAAACATTTAATTAGTATATTAATACATTGGATGTTACTTAAGATGGTAAATATATTTTTACAAGCTTAAATTCCTCTCTAACAATAATGTCGTTTGAAAGTAGAACTTAGCTATAAATATTAAGATCACTAAATTTTCCAACGAACATAACAGACATCGTTATAGACAATAATGAATTAAGAGTTTATGCTGTAGGTGTAGGAGGTTTTATAGTAGCATATGATATACAAAATAAATCAAATATTTAATAAGTAGGCATTCTTAATACTTAATCAGTAACAGCTCACTCTGTTTTTGTTTCCCCTGATGATAATTGGCTTTTTATAGCAAATGATTAAAAAGGCCTTTTCATCTTAAAGATCATTATTAATTAATAGCAAAATCCTTCTTAAATTTAAAAATAAGACTAATACTAATTGAATTTTCACTTAAAAGCGTACGGATTAAGTTATTGGAAGATAGTAGATGTGGTTATTACTGATTCTATGGATTATATTTATTGTATAGATAACTGGTATGGAATTTTTATTTATGAATTTTCTAATTTAGTCAATTCTGTTTCCTCAGAAATACCTTAGGAAATTTAATTCATAAATATTTGGCCCTTTACCAAAATAAATCCTTCAACTTACTGCTTAACTCTTTTGTAAAATAGCAGATATTTGGCAGTTGGTGTTAGGTCTTAAGGTGTTTTTATATTTGACATCTAAAATAAAATGTTACCAGTTATATACCAACAAATTTCTGTTTAATAAAACTCATTCTCAATTGCTGTTTCGAAGGATGAAAATTATTTATACTACTCAAATGCAAATTCCCTTTTGGTATTTGAGAAAGTTAAACCAAATTTAAATCTGAATTTCCCAAATTTATTTAATGTTCAGTAATCTCTTTTTATTTAAATATCATCAGCATACTACAAATGGCGATGTTACTGTAAAGATTTCGATGGTTAAAGCTATTTTTTTGGAGCTTTTGACTAAGAAGGATTATTTATATACAATGTCACAGATCCATACAATTTCAAGCCAATTTATAAAAATAAATTTAATAACTCATTAGTTGATTCTATAGCGTTTGCTAGCAATTTCAAATACATGCTGCTTCCAATATAAGAAAATAACACTTCAATTATTGCTTATGATATTTCTGTTTTAGATAACCCATAAGAAGCTTTTAGATTGACAATGGATCAATTAAATCATGATGAGGATATTTTTATAACTAAAGATGAAACTTTAATTGCATTGAGCTTTGACGATGGAGTACTTCTGATATAGTATGATTTATCAGAACTTCAGCTTCTCGATTATTGGAAAAAATTTGGTTATATGATTGGAGAGAATGCTGGTGTTATGATAACAAATGATAATTAATTTCTTATAGGCTGCGTAAGAGGATATGGTTACTATGTTTTGAGCATTCATTTATAAAATAAATAAAATGTATTAGTGTGGGAATACACTTTACAAACTTTTGGTGGAGAAGGAATAATTCCTTCTAAGTATTACAACAACTATGCGTATATCTATGATGGATTTAGAGGAGTAGGAGTAATTGACACAACTGCTCTACCAATAATTAAAGTCATTAGCAGAGTTTAGTTGTAGGGGTGGTCTAATCTAATTGTACCTATTTTAAATGAAGATTTCTTATTAGTAGCATAAATTGAATCTGGAATGATTTCATTGATTGACTCAAAGAATAAAACTAATATGATTCTTATATCTTAGCTTTAGTATCAAAGTTAAACAGCACAATCTCTATGTACCACTGAAGATTATTCATATTTATTTGTGAACAATAACCTTGGCACTTTGGTAATTCCTCTATAAAGTTAAATAATTATTCATACTTAGTTTTAGCAAATTACTAAAGATTAAAATGGGGTTAACACTTATTAATAACTCGAAAGCAATTCATTTTATGTAGGTTAATTTATATAAATGAGCTTCCTTATTTTATTTCCTAAAGAAGGCACTTAAATAATAGGATTTTAATATTATCAGAACGAATTGATTTACGATACGCCTTAATGGATATCATTTGACATTTTAAGCTAGTAAATTACATTAGCATTAGATAAATAAGCATTAGGAGCGTTGCATCAAAATAAAAATGTCAATATAATCTTGCTTAAATTGGCTATTCCTCTTCAAAAATCTTCATTTATATTCAATTTAGATGATGGGTCATCTACATCTTTAGAAGACTCATCCACTATATATAGTATATTAAAGCAGCAATAACTTATTACAAATGATAATTTTGTTTCAGATAACTTTGATTATACTATGGATTTACAGATTAGCTTGAATGGCATCCTCTTATCTGATAAACTGTAGAAAGCAATAAGGCTTTAACTGTAAAATAGTATATATATAAATTAAATATAGTTTTTTGTGTCTTCTTCGCTTATATTAGATCTAGAAGATTCAATTTAACCCATTAAATCTCTTAGCCAATAGCTAGAAATTGTGTTTTCAGTAGATTCAGGACAGGGAAAGTTTATTTTAAATAATTATGAAGGAGTGATAGCTTCATTTTCTTAAAATTAGGAATAACTACAAATATAAGGATCATTAGGTAGTATCAACAAGCTTTTATTGAGCAAAATTATATTCTTTTCATAAAAAGATATGAATGGAATAGATGTTAGTATTTAAATTTTAGATTCTTTAAATTATCCCATAACTTAAGTTGTTAAAGCAGCAAAATGTAAGGTACTAAAATAAAAATACTAAATTAGAAATAATTAATAGGATGGTCTATAAGCTCAGTTTAATAAAAAATATTCAGATGGAATAATTAACATTTCAGAACTTTTTTAAATTGATTTCTCGTCTGATACCTTTATAGATTAAGATTCTACTTCAATTACTTATGATGGTTTTATTGTTAGCGAAAGTGGTGTCTAAAATTAAATATAGTTTTCAACATGGATTTAATTTAAAGAAAATAGTGGATAAATTTCTATATAAGGAACTCCTGGTTCTTCACTTTTATATTAAAAATTTAGGATAAGAATAATAGCTGATGATGGATACACTTAAGCAACTGATGAATTTGTTATTAAAATTTACGGTATTCCATTTACAATAGTGATAAGTATCCTTATTTAAATTTTAGGACCTTTAGTTGCAATTATAAAAATATATACTTATAGGTTTTTTATACTCAACTTTTTCTACAAAAATAAAGTGACTTTTTCAAATGAAACAGTGAAATGTGGTGAGATTTATAGCAAAAGATTCATAATTATGGGGGATAATATGGCCAAGTGCTTAAATTTATTTAAAGGGTTTATTATTTAATACAACAAAATCGCTAAACCAAACTAAGGGATATAGAAGTTAAACTAATAGCGAAGTTCTAATTCTGAAAGTTTTATTTCAATTACTAAGTAAAATAAAATGATAGATGCTGAAAAAGAATATGATGATAATTAATAACACTAATAATAACATTTATCATAAAATTAATTAAAATAGGATAATCTACTTTTAAAAATTCAGAGAATTTTAAATCAAGAAAATAATAAAACTAAGCAAATACAAAAAATTTAATCATAGTAAATAATAGAAAAATAATTTTCTAAATTAGATTCTAAATTCATAGACGCAATAGATGGTAGCATAAAATGTTAAATTATTATTAGTTATATTAAATAATCAAATCCATAATTCAGTATTTCTGGAAAAGATTACTCGATTAAGTCTTTTGATTTAGATTTTAAGAATAAAAATTCATTTATTTATAAAGGAATAGAAGCATTGTCAGCTCGTTTCTTTTTGAAAAAAGATAACTTATCACATTTAGTATACTAACATCTGAAAAGATAATCGCTAAAATAGGGCAATTACAATTTTAATGACTGGTATAAATAATATGTATAAATTTAGTATGATGATAATAATAAAGATTGCTTTGGAAAATAAATTCCATTTCCTAATCTTACTTTAAAAACAACAGCTATTGATTATGTTTTATAATCAATTTAAAAAAACATAAATTCTAACAATAGTAAATAATATGGCATAAATTTAAGATTAATATAGTCAGTTTTGTTTGCTGATACACTTGGACTTGTAGGGTTTCTACCTTAAAAATTATCTCCATGTATAGGAGAATCTATACATCTACATTCTTACTAAATCCATGGGATATAAGCTTACTAAGAAATCCTACATGGTCGCTGTTTAAATTTAAAGAAACTGTTAAAAATAAACTATAATTAATATGGAACTTCTAAAAATAGAAGTCTTCCGAACTGGCTAGAAATGGAGCATAAAAGCAATACTATTGAACTAATTGGTATGCCTATGTCCTAAGACACTGAAGATATCCAAATAAGAGTTACAGATTCAAATAATTTTGTCATTAAACAATTTACTCTATCTATAATATAATCTGATTCTTTGATTTAAAGTAAATAAACTAATGATTTAGATACAACACTTAATAGGTAAGATACTCCAAACATAAATAAACCAGAATATCTCGATATCCCTACTAGGTACTATAGCAGAAGTTTTACAAAAAAAGTAACTAAATTAGATAAAATTAACAATTTAAGATCCCAGTAAAATATTTAATTTCAAGTAGACAAAGTAATAACTGAAGAAAATTCTAAATACTTTATTGATTAAATAGTATATGATAATAGTAATATGTAAACAACAAGAGAAGCTAAAAAAAGTATATTTTGTTTTGATAAAAGTATAAACTAAAAGTCTTTAGATTCATAAGACCTAATAACGTTATATTCTCCTAAATTAAGCTAGAAAAATTTCCTAAAGAATGAATTAAGCTCTAATATAGATAAATCTAGTATACATTTAAATTAAATTACACAAAATAAATCAAGATAATTTTAAATCTCACAGCTCTAAAAAATAGAAGATTAAATTAATTCATCAGGCTCATGTGATGATTAAGAGATAAATTTTTCGAATGAAGACTTTAATAAAAACAATGTTTTTAAATAAGACTATTTTACTCCAAAAAAAAAAAAAAAATTTAATTTTAAAAATGAAAAAAATTAAACTAATTTAACGCAGTGAATTAAATTTAAAATTTACTTGTTAGTATTTTTAATTAATTTGTAAAAAACATAATTTTGCTTAGAAAATTTTTTTAAATATAAATATTTAGAGTTTAAAATTTTTATGAAAGTAAGTAATTAAATTAAGCTTGTATTTATGTGTAAATAATACAAATTTTTTAAATTAAATCACATTATGTTTTTAAAATTAATTTTAATTTTAACTTAAAGAAATAAAATACTTAAATTTCAAAAAATATTTTATATTTATATCTAAAGGATAATTGAATATAATTAATTTATAAATTAATATTTTACTGAATTTTATTTAAAATTAGAAAGCTGTACTTAACATGATAACTTAATTATTTTGTATTATGTCAAAATATATGATTGGAAAAACCTTTCAAAAAAAAATATTTTTTTAATTATATTTTACTTAATTATTTTAATTTTTAAAATAGTAATTATTCATAGTAATCAATAGTTTAATATTATCAAAATTTACCAATATTTGTGCTATTTATATTATATTTTATAATTATTTAATATTTAATTATTATACAAATAAAAAAATAAAAATTTAGAGCAAAAAAATAATATTTTTAAAAAAAATGTACCTACTTAATAATTTTAATAATTATAAATATTTTAATTTAACTATATTATAATAAAAATACTGTGTCATATTCATATTTTGATTTAGCAAAGGATGCATTAATTAATATGTAATATGAAAAAATAATGATGAAATTTTAAAATATAAAATTTAATTTTAAAAATAGTTTTGAAATATACACCTAAAATCACAAATTTTCATATTTGGAAGCATATTATGATAGCATGTTTGTTTAAAATAAAATAATAAAATTAATCAAATTTCCTCTATACTGTTTAAATTCAAAGAAAAATTAAAATTTCTAAGTAGCGCTATGTACGAAAATTAAAATGAAGGAATTTGACTATTACTATCTTGACAAATTTTTTAAATAATTAAAATTTATTTAATTTTTTCTCGCAATTTGATTGGTTTGTCAAATTTATTTGTTATTTTGTATCAAAAAGGAAACAAACAAGTATAAAAAAAGATTAAATTTATGATTAAAAGAAATATTATAATAATATAACAAACATAAAATTATTCAAGCTTATTATAGAGAATACAATACCCATCTAATGCAACTTAAATATATTAAAATTTTGATTGAAATATTTTTTAGCTACTTTATATTGAGCAAAAATATTTCAAAAGTAAGCGCACTTATGTTATAACAAGATATGCATTTTGTTTATTCCTAGACCTATGTTTAAAAATTCGATATCACTAATCCGGATGGTGCTTATACTAAAATACAAACAGCAAAAAATGCTAATTTGGTATTTGTATCTGCGGGGTAGGAAGGAATTCTTGTAATTGATACAAAAACAAACTAAGATCTTGCAAGAGTTAGTTTTAATGTTTATGTAAATACTTTAGAAGTCACTTCAGATGGAAATTTTGTATTTCTTAGTTTCAATAACACAGTTAATATTGCTTCTTTCGAAAGTAGAACTTCTTTGTAATTTTTGAGCTAATAAAATTTCCCCACTAATATAACAGATATGGTATTAGATAATTAAGAAAAAATATTGTATGCTGTAGGTGTTGATGGCTATGTTGCTGCATATGACGTATAAAATAAATATAAAATGAATCAGCTATGCGTCTTTAATACTAATTCAGTTACTGTTCATAGAATTAGAATTTCACTAGATAATAATTGGCTAATATTGGCAAATGACTAAGTAGGACTTTAAATTTTTAAAATAATAATTACAAATAGCACAAATGAGAATTAATAATAAACTCTTAATATTACACTTGCAGCATAAGCTGCTGCTTTATGGAAAATAGTTGATGCTGTGATTACAGATTAAATGGATTATATTTATTCTATTGATAACTGGTATGGAATTTTTATTAGCAAATTCGATAGTATACTTAATGCTGATTAATCTTAGTATCCTATTCAAATAGATAATATTAATTTTTGGCCATTTTTAACTTATGTCCCTTCAACTTTTTGCTTAAGTTTGATTTAAAAAAGTGACTATTTAACAGTTGGACTAAGATCTTAAGGTATTTTTATATTTAACATTTAAAACAGAGAAATTCCTACTCTTTATCAAATTATACCAGTGCCCTCTAATTCGTTTTCTATCGCTGCATCTGTAAATGAAGATTATATTTATTATTCAAATGCAGAGAGCATATATGTTTTCTAATAAGTCTCTTTAAATTTAAATGACAATTATCCTAATTTGTTTAATTTGCAGTAGTCTATTTTTGGATAAACTTCATAAGCATATTATAAATGGAGGTGCTCAATAAGATAAATTGGGTAGCATTCTTACTTTTTTGGCGCAATTGATTTGTATGGATTTATCATTTTGAATGTTACAGATCCATATAGATATTAATAATTATATACTTACTAATATCAATCATCAATTATTGACTCAATCGCACTTTCTTAAGATTCTTAATACTTATTTGTACCAATTTAAGAAAACAACACATCTATAATAGTTTATGATGTCTCTGATGTCATTAATCCACAAGAGGTTTTTCGTTTAAAAATGTAATAGACAAATCATGATGAAGGTATATTTATATCAAAAAATCAAAAATTTATTGCCCTGACATTTGATGATGGAGCTTTGCTTATAGATTCATCTAATCTACCTTAATTATATCTTCTCGAATATTGGAAAAAGTTTAGTTATATGATAGGAGAATGCTCATCAGTTATAGTTACAAACGATAATAAATTTTTAGTTGGAGCCATAAGAAGTTATGGGTATTTTTCATTAAGTATTAACCTAAATAACACATCTAATATTTTGACATTTTAATACACGTTAAAGACTTTAGGAGGAGAAGGCTTAATACCTTCTATGTACGATGATAGATTCTTGTATATTTTTGATGGTTCTAGAGGTATCGGAGTTATTGATGCTACGCAGCTACCAGCTTTGGTTGTAATTAGTAGGTTAGCTTTAAATGGTTGGTCTAACTTAATTGTTCCAATCTAATAAGATAAATATTTTTTAGTAGCTTAAAACGAACAAGGAATGGTATCTCTTGTTGATGCTAATGACAAATCTAATTTGTTTTTAATTTCTTAATTTTTAAAAAACGGTCAATCAGCTTAGTCTATATGCTTATCTATAGATCAACAATAAATGTTTGTTAATAATAACTTAGGTACATTAATCATGCCTCTTTAAAGCTAAATTAGATTACATTCAGAGTTTTAGATGGTATCAGTAAATAGCAGTGGATATACAAATTACACAAGATATAGCAGTAATCAGTTCCAAGTTGGTCAACAAATTAAAATGACTTTTGTTATGATTTATCCCATAGAAGGAGCTTAAATCGTAGGAGCCTAATACTATTTAAATTACATAGTCTAAGATCTTCCATCTTGGATTTAGTTTGATCCTGTAAATTAAAATATCTTTATGACAATAGATAAATAAGCACTTGGCACTTCATTTAACGGAACTAATTTAAATATGATTCTACTCAAAACTTCTATACCAATTAATTAAGACTATTTCATATTTGATCTAGATGATGGCTCTTCTACATCTGAAGAAGATTCAATAGCAATTTACAACACCTTAAGGTAGTAGGAAATTATTTCAAGCAATGGTTATTTATCTAGCAACTTTGATTATACCATAGATATGAGTATATCAATAAATGGAACAATACTATCTTCATCTCTAGAGAGTGTTATAAGAGAAAAGCTACAAAGAAGTGTATTCGTAAACTAAATTTCATTCTATGTAAGATCGTCTCTCCAACTAAATTTAACTAACTCTGTTGGTCCCCTATAAAGTCTGTCTTAAAGTATTCAGGTATCATTATAAGTAAATGAATAATAAGGTAAATTTGTTTTAAGTAATTACTAAGGAATCATTCTCTCAAGTTCAAATTCGCAAAATTAAATAATTTTAAAAGGTAATCTATAAAGTTTAAATCATGCTCTTTTATAGCAAATTATATTTTTTCCTCTTACTGATCCATCTAAGATATAGGTTACTATAACACTTTCAGATGATATAAATTACTCTTAGTAATAAACTTATATAGTTTCAGAGTGCCCCATAATTAGATAAAAGAAAAAACTCTAAAGTAACACAAATACAACATTACAATAGCAATTTAATCAAAAGTTTGTTGATGGCATAATAAGTATATAGTAGCTATTTTCTATTGATTTTGAGATTAGCTCTTTTTTAGATGAAGAGAGCTCATAAATCTAGTATAAGGCATATTTTGTAAATGATGATTCTTTAAAAGAAATTTAATCTGAATCATGGCTTTAGTTTAGAGTAAGTGCAGGTTTCTTTTCTTTTTAAGGTACTCCAAGCTCCTCTCAATTATACCAAGTAGTTCGAGTCAGAGTTTTAGCAGATGATGGATATTCTTCAGCTTATGATGACTTTGCTATTACCATAAAGGATATACCTTTTACTTATGTTTTAAATATTCTTCTTTAAGTGCTAGGTCCATTATTTGCTCTTTTAAAATTATACTATTCTAGATATTTATTTCTTAATTGCGTATATAAAAGTAAAGTAACTTTTTCTCAAGAAAATGTTTCAGTAGGTAAACTTTACATTAAAAAATTTATACTCATGGGTGATGATATGAAAAAATGTATAAATCTTTTTTAGGGATTTATATAAGAAGAGAATAAAAAAATAAAGGAAAATGCTCTTAGTAAAAGTAAATTAAGTAAAAAAGCTTCATTTTCTTAATCTAAAATTATTTCTTCTTAAATGAATACCAGCTCAGAATTCTAAAAAAAGTCAATAATTGATTAAGATAAAGTGAATCGCCTTGACAATAAAGAGCAAAAACCTTCTAATTATTCATATTTATTGAAAAAGTATACAAGAGCTATTTCAGAATAACTTGAAAAGGCTAGTTTTAACTTGAATTTAAAGTAACCATCATTTTCAGATGATTAAATAATGTAAAATTAGTCAAGCGAAATTAAAATGGAAAGTATTTTACAATAAATAAATAAATCTCAGATTTCATTTAAATTAGGAGGAAAAAAATATTCACCAGAATCATTTAAATTAGATTTCAAGAATACAGACTCCAGGATATACAAAGGTTTAGAATCATTGGCAGGAAGATATTTTTTGAAAAAGGATTAAAATTCTTATAATGTATATAAATATTTGAAGCTTTATTCTATGGAATACTCAATATATAATAAGAATGATTGGTATAAACAGTGGGTGAGTGTTTTTCCAAATTAAAAAAAAGATATTTATGGAATTCAAGTACCTTTTCCATCTTTAAGTCTTCAGGAGCAAGCAATAAACTTAGCCTTGCAAAAATTAAATTCAAAAGTGACTATTTCAATATCATCAGCATCACAATTTGGGATTAATTTTAATTTAATTAAAACAGTTCTTTATTCTGATGCTCTTGGCTTAGTTGATTACATTCCTAATTCATTTAATCCTTGTATAGGAATATCAATCCATCTCCATTCATATCAAATAAAAGCAGTCTAATCCTATAAGTAGGTTACTCATAGTAGGCTTTCTTATGTAAGAAAATTACTAAACATGGAGTATAGTGAGTATGGTACTTCTAAAAACAGGAGCCTGCCTAACTGGCTAGAATTAGAGCATAATAATGGGGTTATTCAGTTAATAGGAATACCTATGTCATAAGATGCGGAAAAAATACTATTAAGAGTAATTAATTCTAATGATTTTGTAGTACAATAATTCTCTCTATGCATTGATTAACAGGATGATTAAAATAAAATCCAACCTCAAAATACACTTCATGAAACTTTCAATTTAGATAATGATGATTCAAATAATTAAAAATCTGAAATTATTAAAAAATTCTCAATTTATAGTAGAATTTCAGAAAAATCTGGATTTCATAAATAATAGTTGTAACTTATAAATAGTAAATAAATGAGTGAATCACCAATTAACCAACTTTCATATCTATCAAGTTTACCTATTGATTGTAAGGAAGAATCTTTAGTTTATTTAAATAGCTATTAATTAACAGATTTAAAAAATTAAAATACTAGAAAAAGTAATTTTTCATAAGATTAAAAACTTTATGAAAATAAAAAATGTACCTCTAATATTACATAAAGCGTAAATAGTAAATAAAAAGCTTAACTATAAGCTATACTTAGTGATTCAGATAAAAATGAAGCAGCTTTTCCTTCAAATGTATAGAATGTTGAAAATTAGAGCCCATAATCAAATAATGAAAACAAAAATCATATCTAATTTTCAAGCAGCATTGATTTGGATTCATAAAGTGAAGATATACAAGTTTCAGATGTTCCTCAATTCTAATAATAACAAATAAATAATAAATAGAAGTATATGTATAAAAATCTATAAAAAAATAAAATATATGAAGAGCATTAGTGAATTTTGAATTCGTAAATTATATTTTATTGTAAATATTAAATTTTTTTTAGTAATTTAACATTTGCATTATTTTTTTTGTTGAATTGATAAAAATATTTTTAATAATTAAAATAAGTATACTGTTGTTTCTCAAATATTAAATCTCTGTTTCAATAATCCTATCAATATCAAAATATCTTAAAAAAATAAATAAAATCAAAAAATAACAAATTAAATTCTCTCAATACCCTCCTTAAAACATTTATGTATAACACTTAATTACCAATTTAAACTAATTTTTATATTTTATAAAAAAATTAGAGATAGTTGTAATAAAGTAATAGATAGAAGAATTTAATTATTGAGTTATCTTAATAATTTATATTGAATAATTGAGATTAGAGTAAATCTCAAAAAATTAATTAATATTTAGTTGATTTTTAATCAATTTTTATATTGTTTACCTAAATTATATTTTGAAAAAAACAAATTTTTTTGATTTAATTTTTTACTATCATAATTAATAATGCTTTTATTCAAAATTTTATCATAAATATAGCTTAACTACAATATTTTAAAAGATAATGTTAACTATATATAATTTTTGTTATATTACATAATTTTATAACTAACTTAAATAATATAAATAGATCATAGCTTTTAATTCAATTTTTAATATATTTTTTTGTTTTTTATTGAAATAAATGAAAAACAATAATATTTATTCGAATTATCAAAACAAAAAATTAAAAAAAATATATTTAAACAGATAGATTAGCAACTCTTACTTTTTAGATGGGTCTTAAGAAAATAAATTTCTATTAAAAACTACTTTTTGGCTGTTTTAAATACAGCTTATTTCTTCTTTAAGTACATGCATAACTATAATAATAGAGTATACCTTTTGCCTATTCTTAGTCATATTCATTTAGATTTGATATAACTAATAATGATGGTGCTTTTACTAAAATAAAAACTGCAAAAAATTCTAATTTAGTTTTTGCATCTGCGGGATTAGAAGGTATTCTTATTATTGATACCAAAACTAATTAAGATATCGCTAGAATTAATTTATATTCATACATAAATACTTTAGAAGTAACTTCAGATGGATAATTTCTATTTCTTAGTTTAAACAATACGCTAAGTGTTGCTTCTTTTGAAAGTAGAAGTTCTTTAAAAATTTTGAGTCAATCAAATTTCCCAACTAATATTACAAATATGGTTTTAGGTAATAGCGAGTCCATATTATATGCTGTAGGAGTTGATGGTTATGTTATTGCTTACGATGTTAAAAATAAGTATAAAATAAATTAGCTTTTAGTTTTTGAAACAAATTCTATTACTGTTCATACTGTTTAAGTGTCACCAGATAATAAATGGTTAATACTGGCTAATGATTAAGTGGGACTTTAAATATTGAGAATAATAATTACAAATAACACTAACACAAATGAAAACAACATTCTTAATTTTACTCTCGCAGCGTAAGGTACTTCTTATTGGAAGATAGTTGATGCTGCGATTACAGATCAGATGGATTATATCTATTCTTTAGATAATTGGTTTGGAATTTTTATATGTAGATTTGATATTATATCTAATGCTAATTAATCTTAGTATCCCATTTAAATTAACAACATAAATTTTTGGCCTTTTTAAACTATAAATCCTTCAACTTATTGCCTATCTCTGATTTAAAATAGTAATTACTTAGTTATAGGTCTAAGATCATAAGGAATTTTTATATTTAACATCTAAGATAGAGAAAACCCAAATATATATCAAATAATACCAATATAGTATAATTCATTTTCAATAGCTTTATCACCTTTAGAAGATTATATTTATTATTCTATAGCTGAAAGTATATTAATTTTCTAAAAGGTATCTCTGAATTTAAATGATAATTATCCTAATTTTTTTAATGTTTAACAATCTCTCTTGAAGTAAACATCAGAAGCATACTATAAATGGAGATGCTATGTCAAAAAAGTTAATCAATAATAATATTTTTTTGGAGCATTTGATGTGGGAGGTTATATCATTCTTAATATCACTGATCCATATAATTACAAATAAATACTTTCTTACACATATCCAACTTCAATAGTTGACTCAATTGCAATATCTCAAAGTAATTAATACATGTTAATTCCTGTCTAAGAAAATAAAACTTCTATTATAGTTTATGACATTTCAACAATTTAGAATCCAGTCGAGGTCTTTCGTATGAAAATGTAATACACAAACCACAATGAAGCTTTGTTCTTTTCAAAAAATTAACAGTTAGTTGCTTTATCATTTGATGATGGGGCTCTCCTTATAGATTCATCATAGCTACCTTAATTATATCTTCTCGATTATTGGAAAAAGTTTGGTTACATGATAGGGGAATGCTCATCAGCAATAATAACCAATGATAATAAATATTTAATAAGAGCTGTTAGAGAATATGGGTATTTTTCACTAAGTATTGACTTAAATAGCAAATCAAATATTTTAAAATGGTAATACACGCTAAAGACTTTAGGGGGAGAAGGTTTGATACCTTCTGCGTACGATGATAGATATTTATATATTTATGATGGTTCTAATGGTGTTGGAGTTATTGATGCAACATAACTTCCAATTTTAGTTGTCATAAGTAGAGTACCTTTAAATGGTTGGTCTAACTTAATAGTTCCAACCTAATAAGATAACTTATTGTTTGTAGCCTAAAACGAATCAGGAGCGGTGTCACTCATTGATGCGAGCGATAAAACTAATTTACTTTTAATTTCTTAATTTTAATACTAAAATCGTTAGTAAGCTTAATCTTTATGTCTGACATTAGATTAATAGTAAATTTTTGTCAATAATAATTAAGGTACGCTAATAATGCCTCTATAGAGCTAAATTAGATTGCATACAGATTTCTAGCTAGTATCTCTAAATAGTAGCGGATATACCAATTATACACGATTATAAAATAACAATTTTAAAGTTGGTTAATAAATAAAAATGTCATTTTTAATGCTTTATCCCATTGAAGGAGCTCAAATAGTAGGAGCTTAATACTACTTAAATTATAGAGTTTAAGATCTTCCATCTTGGATTCAATTTGATACAGTAAATTAAAATATTTTTATGGCAATTGACAAGCAAGCACTCGGTACTTCATTTAATAAGACTAATTTAAATATGATTCTTCTCAAAACTTCTCTACCTATTGATTAAGACTATTTTATCTTTGATCTTGATGATGGCTCCTCTACATCTGAGCTTGACTCAAGTGAAATCTTCAACATCTTAAGGGAGCAAGAAATTATTACAAATAATGGATATCTATCCAGTAACTTTGATCACACTTTAGATATGCATATAAAAGTAAATGAAACCATATTATCTGATTCTCTTTAAAGTGCCATAAGATAAAAACTTCAAAATAGTATTTTTATAAACTAAATTTTATTTTATGTAACCTCATCTCTTTAATTAAACCTAAATAATTCAATTAATCCTGTTACAAGCCTTTCTTAAAGCGTTGAGATAGAGTTCTTAGTAAATTTTGATTAAGGTAAATTTATTTTAAGCGATTATATAGGCCTTATAATTTCAACTTCTACATAATAGAATTAAATCATCTTGAAAGGTAGCTTATAGAGTTTAAATAGTGCTCTTTAATAAAAAATCGTATTTTTTCCTTTAATAGATCTATAATAAATTTATGTTACCATTACACTTTCAGATGATATAAATTACTCTCACTCATATATTTATAAAGCATCTGAATGTCCAATAATTAGGTAAAAAGTAAGGCTTTAAAGTAACTCAAACTTAAAATTGCAAAAATAATTTAATCAAAAATATTTTAATGGCATAATAAGCATTTAACAATTTTTTTCAATTGATTTTATTATTGATTCATTTATTGATGAAGAAAATTCATAAATCTAACTTAAGGCTTATTTTGTAAATGGTAATTTAATATAAGAGATTTAGTCTGATGATTGGCTATAGTTTAGAACAAGCTAAGGCTTCTTTTCTTTTGAAGGCACTCCAAGTTCGTCTTAGCTATTTTAAGTAGTTATAATTGGAGTTATTGCTGATGATGGATATTCTTAAGCTCAAGATGAATTTACAATTACAATAAAAGATATCCCTTTCACATATATTTTAAATATTATTCTCCAAATACTAGGTCCATTACTTGCTCTTCTAAAAGTTTATTATTCGAGATATATATTCCTTAATTGTATATATAAAAGAAAAGTAACTTTTTCTCATGAAAAAGCAATAACAGGAAAACTTTACTTCAAAAAATTTATACTAATGGGTAATGACATGTAAAAATGTATCAATCTTTTTTAAGGTTTTTTATAAGAAGAAACTAAAAAATAAAATGAAAAACCTTAAAATAACCAGAATCTAATAAAAAAAGAATATTTTTCTCCATCTAAGATTCTTTCACCCTAAATTAATATGAGCTCATAATTACAAAACAACAGTACACACTATTCCCAAAAACTAGAAAAAAATGAAGTAAAATTGTCCCATAATTCATATCTACTGGGGAGATATTCTAAAATTATATCTAAATAACTTAATAAAGCTGATAATTCTATTAATGATTCATCATTTTCAGAGGATTAATTTATGTAAAATAAAGCAAACAATATTTAAATGGAAAATATTTTAAGCTAAATCAATAAATCTAAAATATCTTTTAGATTAGGAGGGAAAAAATATTCACCTGAATCATTTTAATTAGATTTCATGAATCCTGATTCAAGGATATACAGGGGCTTAGAATCATTAGCAGGTAGATATTACTTGAGAAAAGATGAAAAGTCTTATAATATATATAAATACTTAAAGCTTTATTCCATAGAATATTCAAGATACAATAAGAACGATTGGTATAAGTATTATGTTAATCTTCACCATAATTAAAAAAAAGATATTTATGGAATGCAAGTACTTTTTCCAATTTTAACCCTTTAAGAGCAAGCAATAAACTTAGCTTTACAAAAATTAAGCTCAAAAACAACTATTTCAATATCATCAGCATCTAATTTTGGAATTAATTTTAATTTAATTAAAAATGTTCTTTTTTCAGATGCACTTGGTCTAGTTAATTATATGCCTAATTATTTGCAACCATGTAAAGGAATATCTATTCATCTCCACTCATATGAAGTTAAAGGTGTGTAAGCATATAAATTGGTTAATGATAGCAGGTTTTCCTACCTCAGAAAGTTACTAAACATTGAATACAACGAATATGGTACCTCAAAAAACAGAAGTCTACCTAACTGGTTAGAACTAGAACATAATAATGGAGTAATCTAATTAAAAGGTATACCTATGTCATAAGATGCTGAGAATATATTTTTGAGAATAATTAATTCAAAAGATTATGTCATTTAGTAATTTTCTCTGAGCATTACTTAGTAAGCAATAAATTAAAGAAACTTACCAAATATACTTGATGAAACTTTTAATATGAATAATCTAAGTAAATTTGATGAGTCATGTTATTATAGGCACGATATCAATAAATTAAACTCATTTTACTCTAAAAATCGTGAAAAATCTGCTTTTCATAAATAATAACAATAATAACAATCTCTAGCAAATTCTATTTTAATTTCCGAATCACCTCTTTATTAATTTCCATACCAATCTAGCATTCCTAATGATATTAAAGATGAATCTTTTGGAATAATAAATAATGATCAAATATTAGATTAAGAATCTTGCATCTTTAAAAAATGTAATGTTACATTTGATTAAATCGTCTAAGATAATGAACAGCAAACTTAGAATATTTTTTAACACCTTAAAAATAAATAAAATGAAAAAAATTAATCAAAATAATTAATTTAAGGCAAATAAATTATTCTCTCAAATTTCTCTAAAGAAAAAAATTTTCAAAATAAAAATAGCGAATAGAACAACGAAAATGAAAATTTTGTTTAGTCTTTAAGTAATACTGATTTAAATTCGTAAAATGAAGATGTTTTTGTTCCTGGGATCCGTTTATTCTAACATTAGTAAGAAAATAATAGAGATAAGCATTTTGAAAAAATAGATTAAAAAATGAAAATTTTGTAATGAAAAATTTAATTTATAAATTAATGAAAATATTTTGATTTCATAAAATCTTTTTTGTTTTTGATTTTACCTTAACTTTAAAAAAATTCAAACTTTAAATTTTCATTCAAATTTTTAACAAAAAAATAAAATTAATAATTTTTAATATCTTTAATTCAAATAAAATAAGCTTATTATTTACTTAATCAACATTATATTTTTTTAGGAAATATTTTTATAAATTATTTTAGATTCTCATAAATTAACACCACCTCTCCTACCTTCAAAGTTTTAAAAAAAATTAGGCTTAAGGGTTTTTATGATATAATGTTAGAGTAGATTATTTAAAAGAAAATATATCTAATCTTAGCTTAAAAAATAACGATAATATTTTTTATAAATATAAAATAAAATAAGATGATATAAAAGACTTAGGTTGATAGAAATAAAATATTGTTTGAAAGATATTGTTTCTTCTTGTTTTAATATTCTCAAAAATGATAATTTTTTGTTATGAAATTAAAAGTAAGTTGTTAAGGCATTCAAAATTTTCAAAATCGAAATTAATCAGAACTATTAATAGTAGGCTACATTTATAAAAATAGAAAAATTTATAAGAATTAAATCAACAGAAACAATATATTTTAAGTATTAATTTTAAATTTCCCCAAACATAAATATTAACAATAGTTATTTAATTGACAATAAATGTAAACTGTTCAAATTTTTAAAATTTATTAAATCAAAATTAATCAGAACTTATAATCACAATTAGGGCTACATTCAAAATATTAAAATGAAATAAATATATTAAAAAATTGAATTTATCTATTTTTCAATTTATCTACCAATAATTTGTTCTTCATCTTAATAATTTTATTATTATTTTTTTATACTTAGTTTTATTTGAAAATACTAAAAAAAGAAAGCTGGCAATTATAAAACTATAATAGTTATTAAAATAATACTAAAGCTTGATTAAATTACTACAATAAAAACTATTTTAAAATTTACAAGAAATAATGTAAAGCATACTTTCAATTAAATTAGTATTTATAATTCTAATTTTAATAATAAATACTAATGCTTAAAATCATATGACTCCACATAGTGGAGTTTATCAACCTAAACCATAATAAAAATATAATTGTTAAACTCATCTGGGATTTATAAAAGTTAGCTCTTTGATGAAAAGTTTAACTTAAGCAGACGTTAAAGCAAGTGTAGCTACTGATAACATTATCTCACAATTCAAAAAAGCTAAACCTTAATAAATAAGGAGTCATAAACTTGGTGTGTGCAGATAATTTGCTGATCAAAATACATGCTGCAATTCAAATATTGTATCTTTCATTGACCAGCTAGCCCTATATAAAGTTTAGTCAATTTAAAAGGAAAAGAGTGCTTTTTAAAAGCTTATATCAGTCTACATCAAATAACTTAATTTAAACTGTAACTCTAAAGTAATTATACATACTACTTATGAATAGATTTTAAATAATTCAAATTTAACTAGCTTTTAAGAAACAAGAAAAAATTAAAAAGAATGCAAAATTTCATTTTCTAAAGCTATTAGTGCCTATACAAGAGGCGTTATGTGCTCTATTTGTGTAGGGGTTGAGAAAATCGGTTCATACTTTAATAGTGAAGGCTAAATGATTATATCTTCTTAGTCTTAGCTTATGTATTCTAAAGCTACAGATGATGCTATTAATTGTTTTTCTAACATCTTATCAGCTTCAAATTTAGATAAAATTATTAATGAATTTAATTTAAATTATATTAAAGATAATGATTAATGTGGAATTTTAGTAAAAAAAAATGTTTTATCTATATTTGCAAATCATAGTGTGTAAAATAATGACGGAAAAGGAAATAAACTGTGTAAAGGTACGCGTATATTTAGTGATAATTCTGCATGTGAAAATGTTTTACTTGGATCTCGTGATCTAGAAACTAAAGAAAGGTTATTGAGAAGTGAAAGCAACTAAACAGAAAGGATATTACAAACTATAGAAGATGTCATTCTTAAGCCTAATGGAATGAATATATACATACCTAGTAGTATAGATGTTACCATAGATGAAGATGGTAAAAGTATTTCTGTTGATTTTTCAAATTTCAGTTCTTCTACTAATAAATCTTAGATAATAACTAGTATTTCTTTAATGGCCATTTTAATTTATTTTTTATGATAAAAATTAATCCTTGTTCTAAAGGTAAATTAAAACAAAAAATATTTTTGATTACATTTTCAAAGATTAAATTATATATCTATTTTTTAATAATAGTATATATCATAATAGTTTAATTTAATTACTAAACTTATTTCGATTGCATTAAAACTCTTTTATTTTATAATTCTCAGATTTTTATTTCTACATTTGATTTAAAAATAATTTATAAAGGAAGTATGAAAAGGATTATAAAATTTATTATTTTATTAAGCATGAAAATTATTAAAATTTTATATGGTGATATATTAGGGTTATATTTAATCACTAAAGATTATACATTTAGAATCTGGATATACAATTTCTTTTTTTAAATAAAAAAGAGCCTCTCATCAAACAATATCTTACTTATTATCTAACAAAAGAAATATAAAAATAATAGTTTAGCTTAAAAAAAATATTTTAAAAAAAATCATATAATGACTGTATCTAATATTAGATAACATTAAAATGTGAGAATATTTAAAAAATTTAAATTTGATTAAATAATAAATAGAAATATCATCAAATAATTCTTATGTTTAATTACTTCATTTTTTAAATTTGTTAAATAAATTTTGTCTTTCTTAAATATATACTTGCTTATATTATGATAAAATAAATATAAAAATAACAGGTTAGCTAAAAAAACTATTTCATCTTTATTTATTCACTGACTCTATTTAATTTTATGCCACATAAAAATATGAGAATATTTAAAAATTTTTAAATTTGAATAAATGAAATTAAAAATACAAAAATTATCAAATAGTTCTTATTTTCTATTACTGCAGATAGGCGCCTACCATTTATATTTCAAAATAATAAAAATCTATTAGGCTATTTGTTGGATGAAGACGCTTTAGCATCTAAGTAGAATTTAAAATTTTTATTTGTTCTTTCGATTAATTCTTTTAACTCTTTGCTAAATTAAATTTAAAGAAATTCGAAAGAAAATTTAAAAAAAATCAAAGTAGTATATTTATTATTCAAAATTTTAATTACTTATTAGGAAAAATGTATAAATTCTCGAATTTGCTTTTGAAAGAAATAAACTAATTGACAATTTCGAAAAAAAAAACAATTCGAATCGAATGTTACATCAAGATTAGTCACTTTAATTTGATTATAATTTCAAAGAGGAATATTTTTGCTTTGATGACATGAACAATATATAATCAAATTTTTTTAAATTTTTTGATCATACCAATCATATTTCTTACACCATAAACAATAATTAAAATAAATATTTGATTGATTTATTGATTCTCTTTTTAAAAAATTTAATGTAATCAAAATTTTTAAATATTTATTTCTTTTATTCAAATTTGCTGGTAAGGCTATAGCTATCTCTTACTGAAGACTTTACCTTTAATAATTTTGATATCAATAAATGATGAAAAGCTAAAAAAACTAAAAATTTTAGCTATTATTACAATTATTGAATAAATATATAATTCCTCAACAAAATAAAATAAATTTATCAATTAAGTGTATATATTTAATTTTTTAGTGTGGGTAAAATATTTTTGTTTAGTATTAAAAGTATATTTATTTTATTTTGTATTTTCGAATCTAAAATAATAGTATTTATTTGATCTTCAAGTAAATATCAATGTATTTACTAAGAAACAAGAATTTAAAGGTCTCAGAAAAAGTAAAATTATAATAAAATCCTTAATAATATTAAATAATGTTTATTTATACTTATTTTTTTTGTGATAGAATCTTTCATGAATGGCTTTTTTTTTATTTCATTTATTCTTTTTCCTCTAATTTAAGATGAAATTAAAAAAATCATGAAATTAAAAATTGGTTATATTACAAGATTTACTTTTTTTAAATTTTCTCAATTTTCTTTTTAAAATATCTTTTAGATTATCATTTTACATTTAAGTAGAAAAATGTAACTTAATCCAATTATTATCAAAATATTATTATTTTAATTTAAAAAAATGAAACTACTTTATTGATTATAATAATTGTTGATTAATCAACCAATTTCTATATTCAGGTAAATATTTATCCATAACTTACTAAATGAATTGATAATTTAATTATAAATGCGTTTGAAAAGCATCTAGTAAATTTAATACCTTTATGTATCATCGTTAAAACTGATTTAAAATGAATGATACGTTGTAAGTTAATATATTTTTTTTGGTGATTGTATTTTTTTCCTTGAATTGATAGTTATTTTTATGGAAATAGCTTATGAGATCATTTTATTGTGTTTATTTATTATTGTATGGCAAATTTGGAACTCTCAATCATAAGTATCTTAGAGATCAAATTTATAAAATTATCAAAATACTAGCCATGCCTAACAAAAAAAAAGTATAGAGTAAAATTAAGTAAAAGTTTATGGGATTCACTAATCTTTTAAGGATTACCAATAAAATTACAAATATATTAGATGTAAATAATAATCATTTTATACTTTTACAAGTTTGAATATATATATTATTTTCAAACATTTTTAAATGTTTTTGAGTAATGCCTAGAAAATGCTTGAGTGAGTGATTTTTAAAGACAAATTCAATAAGCAATAATGATAACTAATTAGTTAAGCATAGAATTCCATTGAGAGCTTATTAAATCTTTATGAAATTCAGATAGATCGCTTAATTTTAAAAAATTATCAAAGAGTTAAGTAGAATAAATAAATAGTTAATGAATGAATGAATGATGTACTGACAAGGAAGGCAGAGAATAAGTTAAAGAAAGAAAATACAATATAAATATTCATAAATTTGCATATATTTAAGATTGGGTAAATAAGTAATTAATTAATTTTATATTCCAAGTATTTTGAAAAGAATTGAAATGTGATTTGTTAATTTACTTTAAATATGTACATTAAATTTTGATATTTTATATATTTTGAAGATAAGCAGAATTTGAATCTTTGGATTTTGGATGAGAGAGATTGTTTGTTGGTTTATAGTCTTTTTTGTTGATTTTTTTGTTATTATTATAGAGTTTAATTATTCTTTTTTAAATATATTCATGTAATTAATTATTTATTCATTCACTAATTGATATTATTGTAATCAATTTTATTATAAGATGAAGCTGGATTGCTTGAAAAGAGCAGGGTTGTTAATTAAAATTTTTGAGTTGGAGATGATGAAATTAGAGTAGTTTTGCAATTAATTAGATTAAACATTTAGTGCATTTGCATAATCGTTTAAAGGGATGTTGATTCCGTTTAGTAAGCAAGATACAAGGACAACGGAAGATGAAACTATACTAGAATGTTCACCCTTAAGGAGTCCATTTACATAGATATTCTAATAGAGATACTAGCTGGCGTATAATATTTCTTCGGGAGCATTGACAACTGAAACGATTTCTTTAATAAGAAGCTCGGGCTCTGCTATTTAAATAGATTTGTATTAAGGAAGAACACCTACTAAATGATTATAGACCTTGTTGATGCATCTTTCTTTATCAGAGACGATTTCTGTTAAGGCCTTGATTGTAATAGGGAAGTTAGCCAATTTGCTTGCATAAAGGACAATAGCTTCAGAAATTATTTCAAAACTTTTATTCTTGAAAAAATCCTTATCATTCAAAATAGCAACGATGATTTCCTAAGCCATTTTAAATATTTATTGAGAAGCTTCAGCGGTAAGCTAAAGCTTTTCTATCAAGCTGATGATACATTCTTCAAGCTTTTGATATTTCTTTTACAAAAATTTATTTGAAATTTGAGAATTAGAGTTATTATTTTCATTTTATTTTGATTATCTTGGTTTTGATTTTTGTTACTATTACTATTTTTTCTTGTTGATTTGATTTGCAATTGGTGTGAATTAAGTATTTTCGCTTTTTTAATTGATTTAATTATAGACAATTTCGATTTTAGAGTCACTAATATCACTTGAAATGGGTCTGTACGAAGCTGTGGAAAAATTGATGCTGCGGACAGGAGACTCTGTTAAGCCAGTTGAAGATGAGTCGAAAAAAGATGAAGAAGAGTTATCTTCGTACTGCTTTTCGTTCATGGGTACGTAGTTGAAGTTTTCAAATTGCATATCTATTTCTTATACTTCCGGTTCTTCTATCTCTTCTTCAAAATCAGGTACTTCAGGAAGAATTTTTCTAGTTTTTTGAGAATCAACAGCTCTCTACTTATGAATTTCTTCTTACTTTTTCTTCAAAAAGAGCTTTCTGATCAAATTCTCCTTTTGATTTTTAAGTTGTTCCATTTTTTTTTAGTTTATAAAATCATTATATAGCTTATTATCAACAGGTGAGTCAGTAATTTTTGAAGAATTTTAATTTTTGTTAAGGTGTTAGTTTAATTGTATTTTTTTAAGGTATTCGGCTCTTTAAACCCATTCTTTTTATTTGTTGAATAATTATGCACGTTGGGAAGCAGAGAGGGACTCATATCTCTTTTAGCTATATAAAATGTAATTGGTTTATTCAATCATATTTGCAAGTTTTTAGAAGCTATCTTATGTCAAGTTACACATGCTGGGGAAGGCTGCACTTAGGTCTTTTTGCTACTAAAGAAATTCAAGTAAATACTGGTGAAAATTTATGATGACATTCTTAAGAATGATATGATTATTGCCATTAGCGCAAAATTAGCCAGAAGCAATAGATGCTGAGCTTTGATCAAAGGTATTGTTATTCATTGATTTTATTTAGCAAATTTATAAATATTTTAATTTTAACAGTGAGATCAAATTTGATAGATAGACAAGCAAGAGGTTATTTAGAGTGATTGTAGGAAAAAATTGAATTGGTTTCTGATTTATTCCTTAATTGTATCAAATTATTTAGTTTTTCTTGGGGGAAGAAAAATTTAATTTGTTTCTTCGATTGATGATTTTTTTTAATAAATTATCTTTTTTTTTTTAATTAATATTTTATTTCAATAATAATTGTTCTAAATTAAAAAGGTTAATTAATCTTGCTTAGTACTTGCAAGTATAACATATTATGAGATCTAATTAATTACGCTCAGATTGCTTTAACCTTTGATTTTTATAGAATATAAATCATCTCTATTTAATCTCATGAATTACGCTCATAAATATAATTAAATGCATCTTTTTCTATTTACTTTTCATGGTTGCAAAAGCAACATTAAAAAGTCTCTTGGTCATAGAAAAAAAGGGTAAATAATCATATCATCAAAAAGCTATCAAAAAAATCTTATTTAAAAAGCATAGGCAAATTTTAAAAAATCTATCAATCTTCTCTTTTTCTATTTTCTTTTGAACATTCATAATATATTTTCTATTTTAAAAAGCCAACAAATTTTTTTTCATAGCTTATTTTCTATTATAAAAATTATTTTATTTGTTAATATTTCCTAGACACATCTGTTTACCATCATTCTGATCAGAAAAAAAGTGTATTTTGGACTCAATCATTCATCTCCCTGTCAAAAATCTATCTCTCTATAAGCATCTAGTATTGTAATCACCTTTGTCTATTATAATTAGATAATTTACTTTTTAACTTGAAATTGTTATATTTAACAACTTTAAACTTATCTGTAAAATATTATTTATCTATTTTAATACAATTCTTTTTTCTATATGATTAAACGCGCTATCAAAAAAGAATAAAGGCATCTTCATTAAAGTTATTTACTCCACTTATTAAAAGGAAGTGCACATGTTTAAAAAATACAATAATTATGAGAGTTCGTTTCGAAGCTAATAATTGTACACAACCTAAATCAATACAAACAAATAAATTATCAAAATTTGAATAAATTAATTAAAAAATCTATTTAGCTTGAAAGTTATATAAATTAATTTGGAGAGTTTTTATAATTTAACTAGAACATCACCATTTATTACTCAGTATAACACATAAATATTACAATTTTACTTATTTCAGCAAAAATCCTCATATGAAAAAATATACAAACAAAGTCTCTAAATTATTTTAAAAAAGAACAAACATTAATCTTCAAAACCTTTTATTTAAATTTCACATTGCTTATAACCTAAAAAAGTGTATCAATATATCAAAATTAATTTATTTTTATATATTTTCTATCTTTAAATTAAAAAAATTGTTGTTTGTTTAAAGTAAATTTTTCAAATTTTCACTATAAAGCTAGAATTAAATGCAGAAATTCAAAAATAATGATAATCAAAAAACCATTTATTTCAAAAATAAATTATCTTTAATATTGTTTATCTTCCTCTGAATTTGATTTTGTTCTAATGTTGATTTTGAGATTATTTAAAACAAGTTGGTTGGCTAATTGATTTGGTCGAAATTAATCATCAATAATAATGATAAATAAAATTTTTTAATTTTAAAGGGTGTTAGTTGATATTTTTCAAAGGGATAATTTAGTTTAGTTTGCTGATTTTGATGTCTTTATTTTGATAGCTTACAATCATAAATTTTAATAAATTATTTAAATATTGCATACGAAATAACTGAATTTTAAAACTTAAAAACAAATAAATAAATAAATTTAAATTAAGAATAAAAATTTATAAAACTTTTAGCCAAAACTTTATGTCTTCTTTTGACTTTAATAAAAGAATAGGACAAAATTAAATAATTTATTGTATGTAATCTTATTCTTATACATTTCTAATTTTCTCGATTTTGAGCTTTTAATGATACAATTTTTTGTATATTTTTAATTAAATGATAATTAAATTTAAGGATTAAGTAAAAGAATTATATTTCACCAATTACTAGAAATTAATAGATATCAGTAGTATTTTTAATAAAACATTTTGCTTTCTGGTTTTTTAAAATATGTGTACTATTCAAGTTGCTTAACGTATACAAAAGTATAATCAGTTTCTTGAATTTATTTGATTTCAGTTAGGTTAATTTAATTTTTTAGTTATGGTAATAATTAAGAAACAAATCGACGCTGGCAACTATTTCGCTCATGACAATAATCCAAAAATTTGTGATAATTAAATGCATGAACACTTGAATACTTAATTTTAAAGTATATAATCAATTCAGTCAAATTTTTTTAGCTTCGCGATTTTCGCCTTTTATAATGAACCCAAAATAGATTATTATAATTTAAAAAATATTCATTTTTGCTTTACTTTTAGAACTACTATGAGAGAGAGAGATGAATAAAGTGTAAATTTAAAATAAAATAGATAAATTGATATAATCGATTAAAACTAAAAAATATTTTGAATTTTAAAATTAGCAGATGCAGAATTTGTCAAAATTTGAAGAAATTTAGAGTAAAAATAAAAAAATTCAGGCTATTTTTAAAATATCTTTAAATTAAAATTTTTAATAAAAATTATTAATATTTGAATATTTACTATTAATTTTATGTAATTAATTGTTAACTCCTATGAATATTGATGGAATTAAAAATCTATAACAACTTACTTGCTTACGTTGGTTTTATTAATGACATACTAATTAAATTTCAAAAGCCTTCTAAATAGATTTGAACAAAACGGTAACCGCTATGTTATGTTGTAGTATTAAGCTTTTAAAAAGTCTATATTTATTTAAATTTGTAGTTCTATTTTTAAAATGTTACAAACTATATCTGTTATCTTCTGTACTTTTTTATTAACAGATATTACTGAATAATAAAAAAATTAATGTTTTAAGCGTATCTAATTTATTAATTTACAGAGTCTTATTTATATTAGGAAAATTTAAATATTTTTTAGAGACCTATTAATTAAGAAATTTTAATTTAATTAGCAAAAGAGCAACTAATTTGTAAATGGTTTGAATTAAGTATCTGCAAATGATTTAATTGAAGATATTTCAATACAAATTAATGAAATATTTTTCAAAATTGGTTACTTTTTGACTCATTTATAAATTACAAAAAAAAATGTAAATATACATAAAATAGCTAAATAATTGTAAAGAATTTTTATACTGTGGTCAAAAATATAGTTTAGATTTCAATAATTTAAACAATATGTCTTTTTTAATGATAGGAAATGTAAATGACTTTAAAGAAGATAATTAATTTACACGTTTTAACAATTTAACCCTAAATACTAAAAATAGCTTTTTTAAAATAAAAATCTATGATTTTTAGCATACAATGAGCTTTATAAAATATGAAAATTAAATAAATAATAGAATAGACAAAAGTTAAAATAGACATTTTAATTGAGAAAATAAAATCTACAAACAACCATAAACATTTTTTACACATATTCAAATAGCTTTGCAATATTATTGTATAAATTACTTATTATTTGCAATCTGATATATTCTCTTTTATCAAACAAATTATTAAGTTTTCTTTCATTATTTTACTTTACTTTCTTTTAAAAGTATAATTTGTTTTGGTTGTATAATTCAAACTAAGGGCTATTTATTTGAAAAAAATAATTTCAATTTATTCAAATTAAATCAATATAAATTAAGATAAAATTATTTTACAGCTGAGAAAGAAGAACTTGCAGATTCGTTTTGTTCCTTTTGCTTACTCTTTTATAATAAAATGTTATAAAGATAAATGAATAAAAGCTAAATTAATAATATTCTTTTATATGTTTTATTTAAGTAAAAGAATATCGAAATGATTAAAAGTTAAGTTGTATGTTTATTTCTAACTAATTATTACTATGAAATGAAGAATTATGTAGTATACTCCAACTGTAAAGAGAATTATTCCGTATATCCAGCCTAATATGGCGTTTGTTTCTTGTTCAACGTTGTATACAGTTAAACTGGATAGGCTTTTTTAATTAAATAAATATAATTGGTGTTAACAAATAAACATTTATTTTTTAGTTTTTATAAATCAAGGCTATAAGTAAATTTAGCTAAAAGCTTACAATAAGTAGAAGGATCCAAGACCAATATATGTTTTTAATATTTTTAAGTATTCAATGATCAACTCAGGCTTTAATTCAGACAATAAAAGAATACCGCCAAAAAGACTATTTTTTAATTTATTAGATATAGAATTTTAACATTTAAAGATCTAAATAGATTTATTTTAAGTTTTATTTATTTATAATTCCATTTATTTGCTTTTTTTGTTGAATTGTGCTAAAAACATTTATTTTACATGAAGAAGAATGGAACAAAAACATTAAAGAACTTGAGAGTCAATATATTAGTGAAAATTTGCAAAGTGATAATCTTCCAGATACCTATGAATATTAAAAGACCTCTATTTATATTTAAAAAAATACCTATTTAATTTCGCTTTTTCAAAAAAATGATCAAATAATATTTTATTTTAATGGATAATTGAAAATGTAGTTGGCATTCTGTTAAAAACTAAGCTCATTTGTTCTCACAAATTATAATTAAACTAACATTTACCCAATTCCAAGGTTGATTATTCTAATATATTTAGGAAAATCGTACTATTTAGATTTCTTTTCGACGTAATCGCCGAATTCAGAAAATTTATTTTAACTCATTTTACAGCTACTCTTTCTAATTTGTTATTAGTTGATCTTAAAAAATTTGAAGATTTTTTTCTTTTTTCTTTTAATTATTTTGTTCTGTCATCGTCAGCTAATTCACTTTATACAATCCCTTTAAAAATAGAAAATTGATCAGAAATATACACAAAAGATTACCTTTTGAAGTGCCTGGTGTTAATTAATTTTAAAAATTATAAATTAAATTCTATTATTATTATTATTAAATTTTATTAAATAAATAAATTTCATTTTAAAAATTGATTAATTTTATCAAAAGAAAATTATGCAAGAAAGTAAGCAACAAAAAGATATTTCCATACGAATTAGCAACTCTAATTAAATAAAAAACATAAATTACAATTTATAGAAACTAAAATAAAATAATAATACAAATAAATTAAATATATGGTTTGGCTAAAATGAAAATAATTTATTTTTTAAATATAAAAAAATCTTTTATTTATTTTAAATTTATCTTTTCTATTTTTTAAAATATCTTACTTTTAACTTTTTAATATAATCTTCCTTCTTTTGCTCTTCTTGGAGATTAAAAAAAATAATGAGAAAATTACAATAAAAAGAAAACTAATTCATTCTTTGAAACACTTGGTAGAGTTCGGCCTGAAAATAATAAGATCTCTTTCTATTCTATAAGATACTTTCTATATTTTAAGATAACTCTTTCAGATTTTAGTCTATTCTAGCTTTTAAAAGTTGGAAAGTTATTATAAATTTACTGAATATATATAATTAAATATAATATCAGCTCTCTTTAAAGCAGTCTTAATATAATGCATTAAATTTTAAAAATAAAATATATTTTATCAACTATAAATGAAAATATCTTTAAATAAATGTAAATTCATAGATAAATATTTAAATTTCAGAATACTTTCAAACATAATTAATTTGAAATTTACCCTAAACCAAATAATAGATACTTGATTATAATTATTATGGAGGAGATTAAAAATATTAATAATTTCAAATTATTTGTTCTCATATTATTTGAATGAGTCAAGAGAAACTATTTATTATATATGCACATATTCAAAAGATATTGTGAGAACAAATAAATCATCTTGGTTTGTGTATTTTCATATTTTTAGCTGTTTTCTATTTTGTATAATTATGAAATTGAAATATTAAAAAAATATTTAAATTAAAAAGAAAATGTGAGAAAAAATGATAAATATTTTATCTTCTCAATACAATCAATGCAGCAAAAGAAATAAATTTTTACAATAATTTAATATATTTTATCATTAGTTTTTCATATAAATAAAAATGAATTGATTAAAAATAGTTATCAGAATATATTTATTAAAAATGTATTATTATAGACAATAAATAAGTATTTAATTTATAATATATTCCTGGTCAGATTCAAAAAATATCTTCTTGAAATAAATTCTTGTAGTTACTTTAGCAATTATTTTTTAATAAGAAAGCTTTAATAAAAATAATTATTTTGTAGACACTATAAAAAAATTTTATTGAAAATATAAACTATTTTAAAATATCTAAAGTTAGTTTCTATTTTTTAATTTTAATAGAAAAACGGTATCATGTTATCATATAATGAGCATTGATGATAATAACGTCTATTATTTTTTATCTTTATTTTGTATTTTGCTAACAAAAACAAAATATCATTAAATAATTAAGACAGAAGAGAATAATTAACTAATAATAAAATAGCTATTTAGCGAGTGCTACTCACAATAGGAACTTTCAAATAAATTAAGGAATAAAATCTGATAAATACTATCATAAAGCTTATAATAGGTATTTGAATATTTTAAAGCATCAAATAAAATGCAAAGAGAGATTTTAAATTCAGAAAATGCGGATGTTTAAAATAATGAGTTATTGCCTTTAAACTATAATAAATTACCTACAGATCTGAATGGATATACCAAACCAACATATTTTTACTGTAAAAATTGCTAAAAGGCTAATGTAAGCGATATGAATATTTCCCCAAATACAAATACATGGCTAGCATGCATATTATTTTCTTGTTTTTGTTGCTGTTGTACACCATTTTTCATAAAAGACTGTAACTCTATGCATCATTATTGTTCAGTGTGCAATATTAAAGTTGGTTTTACTAAATGATATAATCATAAATTAATTAATATTTATTTTTTTGTAGTCTTGCTTTAAAATTAAAATAAATAAATAAACTATCTAAAAAGTATTTTTTAGTTTAAAATATTTTTCAATTTATAAAAAAACCTGATTTTATAAAACAATTGTTAAATATTTTTTAAAAATTTTAACATTAAAATTGGTATTGTTCTATTAAATTTTAATCATAAGTGTTTTTTCAAATTATTAATTACAAAAATTTTTAAATGATTACTTTATCATTTCAATCAAAAAAATCTAAAATAATAAAAACAAAAATAAAAATATTATTTTAAAATATTTTTTTTAAAAATTAAAATAAATTAAAATTCTTAGATTTTTTGACAAAATTGTTTGAAATAGCATTTGATTTATTTTAAGAAATGTGATTTTTTAGGCTAATTTATTTGTGGGATTTTATTGTTTTTGGTGCAAAGATATTATATAGCTTTATATCCACTTAATTTTTGATAAAAGAATATTAATTAAACAAAAAATATTCAGCAAATATAAAAAGCAAGTCTTAGTTATGACCAATCAACTATCCTAATCAGATTCAGTCTACGTTATAGGAAATGATTTCCAAAAGTATTATTGATTTATATTTTTAATTTTTATTTCATCATGTTTTTTATCTATAGAGAAGAATAGGAGTTTGTTGCTTTATTAGAAGATTATATTAAGTTCATAAGATAATCTAATTGTTTATTTGATGAAAAATTAGAACTGAACGAATAAGCACAGCAAATTTAATAAATTTTACTTAGCTAAAAATGCTAAGATGTATAATTAGTTAAGGTATACTATGATAAAGGCATTCAAATAATAAACATTTACTTTTTTAGAATCGTTTATGGAGGAAAAATGTACATCATTAAAGTACATAAAAATGATGTTTTGATTAGCCATGATGAAATGAAAGGAATAAAAAATCTTAAAGAGATAGAAATAGGATTAAAAATAATAAAAAACATTTCAGCGCATGAATTGATTAATGCATTGTAAACATAATCTAGTGATAGTGAAATGTTTTCTTTTATTCTATATGAGACACTCAGTGATATGTGGTTGAATTTAGATAGAGCTGCAGAATTAAAATAAATAATCTAATAATATTGCTAATAAGTAATACCTATAGGTATAAATAATAATAACAATAATATTTCTAGAGGAGAAAACAGCTACTTTTTTAGTATTAAATATGAAGATAGGTTTTATATCCTTAAGGCTGTTTAGAAATCACACTCTGATGCTAATGACTATTTATAAATACAGTATAATCTATTAAAACAATAAATTTAAAAATAAGGTAATAACAAGGATCTTCATTCATAAATTCTATAAATAATTGATAATCATCCACTTTATAAGGATTTAATATAACACAAAGATTACTAGTTTGTCATTTTTGAATACTTTATCTGCAATATCTCAGATTTGCTTATTTATCAAAATGACATTTAAAAAATGTATAAGCAATAGAATTAAAGAAGGATTCCTTCTATAATTATTGCCAGAATAATGGTAGAGATTTTTAAAATAATTAAAAACATAAAAAATTAAAAAATCAAAATTCAATTTTTCAACCTTAATAATATTTATTTAACCTAACATATTTCAGTAGCACAAAAAATCTCAATAGAGATTAAAATAGGGAATTTTACATGTGTCGATAAGTAATTTAATCTTAACCAATAAGTAAATATTATCAATTGTGCCTTTAATCATTCTCTAAGCCAAAATGAGTAATAATAAATAAAAGATTATAATTTAGCACAATTAATAGAATCATAAAATAGAAATAATAGACATTTTTACTCTATTGATTAAAATGAGTAAGAAGATGATTATGAATTAATTGTTTCGCAAGATAAGGTGATTCCAGGCAAAATTTAAGTGCTTGAAAAGGGAATAATTCATCAAATAAATGCATCAGTTTTTATTTAATAGGAAGAATAAGCCAATGAGTTATCTTCAAATTATGATGATAGCTAACAAGAAAGCAGCTTCGAAGAATCTAAAAGCAACTTCGAATAATCAAATAGCAACTATGAAAATAGAAATCAATTTTATCTAAATAACAGAAGCAGTGAAAGTATAAACAATTCAAAGAGTTAAACTATGAGTACTCATACAAATAGGTTAACAAAAGAAAAAACTTTAAATTATTCAAATATTTTAAAGCAATTATTTAATGTAGTGAAAAATTGTGAAGCTTTTAAGATAAATTCCTCACTTTAATTAGCATATGAATAATCTGAAGAATTTGCTGAAATAAAAAGCATAATTTTACAAAATAATTACATAAATGTAAAATTTGTAAAGCTTGGATAAAATTCCAAGCATTTTTTTTGCTAGAGTAGCTTTTAAGAAAGAGACTACTATGTCAAAGTTTATAATAAAAATAAATAACATATCCTCACAGATAAATTTATAAGCAATTAAATAGAAGCAAGTAAAAACATTAATTGGAATAATTAATCTATTAACTGTTTAAATTAGTTTTAATAAACACAAATTTAAGAGAAATACCTATCGAATAGTGATAGTCAAGCTACAGGATTAGGTGAAACATATAAGTATCTTCTAAATCCAAATCATGAAATATCTTAAGGCAATTTTAGAATATTTGTTTATGAAAAATGTCTATGCAATTTAAGGGAAATACTTCCTTATATATAACCAGGTTAGTTAATATTTCCTAAAAATTAAAACAATGAGTATACAATTTACGATTTGCTTAAATAAATATCCATGCAGATTGTTTTTATTTTTAAATGTATTCATGAGTCAGACTATGTTCACATGGACTTTGATTTGACTAAATTTCTTATCGATACTAAGGGAAACATCAAAATAAGTAATTTTTAACTTTGTCAGTAACCTAAATAAATTAAAGTAGAATTTGCTAAATGCTATAATTAAATTTATAAAAAAATATTTCATAGATTATTTGATTTAAACGAAATTTATGTAGATAAAGAAATACAAATAGGAAAATATAATTCTAAAATTATATTAGCAGATTTTTTTATGCTTGGTTTTACTTTAATTGAGCTTTTTCTCTGTCTTGATAATAGAAAATTCACTGAAAGAATCTTAAATATTTAAAATAATTCAGATGTTAAAAGCAAAATAGAGGATTCTGCTGAAATCTTGAAGATAAAATTGTTAAACCCTAAAATATAATTCATCTTTGACTAAGAATTTTAAATATAGATTAATGATCCATAAGAATAATAGCCTCTATTTGAATTAAGCTAATAACAGAAGTAGTTAATAGAGATAGCATTAGATTTGATGAGTTTATCAGAAGATAAATGTGCTAATGACTTATTAAATTAACTGTTAAAAAAATTAGAAAAAAATTGAAATTAATTCATTTTATATTGCATATTTTATTTTTCTATTACTTTATATGATCAAATGCTAACAATCTAATAAAACATAAATAGATATTTAAATTTTGAAACATTAAAAAATTTTTAGCTATTTAAAGTTACAAATAATTTTTTTTTTTAATTTATATCCTTTACAATTTAAATAATAATTTAGGTCAAAATATTTAAAAAATTTATTTTAACTACTCTAAATTTTTATATTAAATAATCTCATTATTTTAAATGAAAATAAAGCTTCTTATTCATTTGTTTTAAATAATGATTTGTATATTTTTATTATATTATTTGTATTTAACCACACAAAAACTTATAGACTTATGGATTTTAGATAATTTTTTTTTCTATTTTTTACATTTTAGGAAGAAAATTTTTTTTTTTAAGAATCGATAACTAGTTAATATTTTAGAAGAAGGAGTTTTGTCTATACTATCTAAATAAAGAATAAAATATTTTAAATAAACTTCAATTAAATATAGAGAGATGATATTAAGGCTTATTTTGTATTTATTTTAATTTCATTATAATCTAATAAAATAATAAATTTTACTACTTTAAAAAATAGAAATTTTTTAATCAGTTACTCCAAATAGATTTATTAATATCACTATCAGTATTTCTTTAATTATCGGATTGACTCTTGAATAATTATTTTCAGAGCTAAATTCGATAAATTGTACTTCTAAATCGATTTCTTTTACTTTACATTAGCATTTTATTATTGTTTCTTTTCAAAAAAAACAAAAAAATGTGTTTTATTTTGACTTTTAAAAAAATTATAGCTTATGAAATTTTTCAATTAATGTAATCATTCAATTCAGTTAGTAAGTTAAATTTTCTTTAATACTTTAGTAATTGAGTTATTATTAAAGCATAACGGCTCATCTTTTTTATAGACTAGATATTCATAACTGTTTATTAACTCTTAATTTTAATGTAATAGAAAAATGATAGCATGTAAATAATCAAAAATATAAATAGGTTAATTAAATTAATTTATCTATATTAACTACTGAAATTAGTTTTAAATGCAAGAAATGAGTTTAATTTAAGAATTATTTTAATTAATAAAAAATAAGAAAAGAAAATAAAAAATATTAAATTTAAAATGGCTGAAGAATAGTAAAATTTATTATAATAATAAAATCAAATCTTAGATAAAGTTGAAAAATTTTTTGGTTTCCGTCCAAATTTATTTAAAAAATTTGATACTTTTCCTCTTGGAGCTGACATTTTTGGTGCTTTCGCCTCTTAGTTTGTTAAGCGTAGACCAGACCACTAATTACCATTATCTTAGCCTGAAATTGAATATCTAGGAATGAAAAGTAGTGAAGAATATGAGTGTAATTATTTATTTTCTCATCACAAAGCATTACTTGAGTAGCTTTTGAAAGACGATTCTAATAAGATTCCAGAAGAAAAGAAAGCAGCTTTAGACTATTTTGCTCATATTATTGCCAAAGAACCTAAAAAGGCAGGAAATGATGCCTTGTTGAATAAATTCAAAGAAGCAGGGTTCACTGACGCCTAATTTAAGCATGCACTAATGGTGTCAGGTGTTTTTAGTGTAGCTAGTAGATGGTGTTTAGCTAATTCAATATGCCTTGAAGAAGATTTTGACCTCATCTATAATTTAAAATAATGAAATAATTTAGTTTTCAAGTATGACTTACTTAGCATTTACATATTTTATTTACTTAAAGTATTTTTTAGAATTATTAAAATTTTTTTAACTTATAAATACTTATTTGATTAATCACTAAAAAAAAATAATTCTTCTAAATTAAGATCATATTTTTTAAATTACTCAATAATTAACTAAAAAACATACTTTAATAGCTGCTATTTAATTATAAAAGAAAGTAAATATTTTTTAATTATATATTAAATCATTAATAACTTATATATTATTATAAATTGCTTAAAATAAAATTATATTTTCAAACAAAATTTAATTAAAAAAAAAAAATTAAATGCTTAATACATACAATTAAAAATCAGTTTTATTTTAAATTAAAAATTTTATTTTCAAATTTTAAACTAATTTTTATTTTTGATAATTTTGATACTTTTATGATTTTTGCAAAATTTCTCCCATATTTCACTATGAATAAATTTATTCAAATGCATAAAATAACTTTTCTCACCACTAAATTCTACAAATTGGAAAATTAATTTTACTTTATTTTTAAAATATTATTAACTTTTTTAAGATATTTTTGTAAAATAATTAGATAATTTATCTAGCTAATTATATATAGTCTGTTAGTGATAATATTATTAGTTTTATATTTTTATTCAATAAGGAATAAATTGATGCAAAATATTTTAACAAAGAGATATGATTATTAAGCTCAAATGAGTTATCATTTTTTATCAACTTATTAAATATTGCAATATATTTTGAGATAAAAAATAAGCTTTTCTATCATATATGTTAGATATTTTTATAATAAGTTTTAGACACTTTATAATCAATAAATTTTAATTATTAAGATCATTATTAAATTGCAAGTAATGGTAATTCAAAAATCAGCAGTAATAAATTATATTTATAAATATTAACTGACAAAAAAATTAGTAATAAATTAATTTGATGGATATAAATAAATACTTTTAAGGCAGCTTATAATAAATTTACAGAATCAAAAAATAATAATTAATTAAATTTTTATTTAGTGTTTAGTTGTTTTTTATCTGCTAAATTTTGGAGCGAAAGAGGAGTTTTAATCTATATGTTTAATTTAAATTTTGATTTTTGAAATATTCATCCGAAGAAATGTAAATCACAGAGACAGTCTAAAAACAATCTATATTGTTTAATTGAAATAACATTTATTAATAAATTATGTTTTTTAAATAAATTGATTGATTGAATGAATGAATGAAACAATCAAATTAAATAAATACAATTAATAATATAAAGCAAAGGTGAATAATACATTAAATTTTTTAAGATATATAAATAGATAGATTTCGACACAATTTTTAATAAATCAACTAGAAATAATTCAAAAGACCTACTTCTATTAAAATCAATTTTTTTTTCTATAAAATAGAAATCGTCATTACTTTCTTGAAAATATTCAATTAAAATATATTTATAAAGTTTTGATTTAAAAATGCTTAAAGAAAGTACCAAGTAGAATATATGCAACTATTCAGATCACTTTTAAAATGTAGAATAGTCATTTTCTCAAAGCCAATAATAGAATTGTCAAAATAATAAGGGCTAAGGTAGCCCAACTTTAATTAGATAAAATTAAACAGGAATTAAAAAGATCACCGAATAGATAAAAAAATCTATAGCTTTTAATCAAGTATAATCAGTCACTTCTGCATACTCAAATCCATAAAAGAAACTAAGTGAATCTGTAAATGAAAAAAGTAACTAATTATCTTCTGATTTAAATAGCAGCTAGCCAATCCCATTACAGCGTAAAGGTCGTTCATAGAAATCTAAAATGTAAGAGTAACTTAATGAGGCTACTAAATCTTTGTAAGCTTTTCGTGACAAGAGCAATGAGCTTTAGATAAGACAAAATAATCTCAAAGTATAGTACAATGGATTAAGTGAAAAAAGAAAAAAATTTGATCAAGAAATAGGAGATTTTACTTTGAATTCAAAATAATTACAAGAATATACAAGTGAAGTTTAAAAAGATTTAAAAAAAGTTAGTTAAAATTAAAAAGAAGTTGTATAAGATACAAAGGAAAATTTGTAGGAATTATTGAATTAACTCCTTTAATATAGGGATTAAAGATAAATTATGGAACTACTTGGGGATGCAATTTCCTAAAAAGACTAGATACTCAAGCGTATCATAGAATCAACATAAAAAAACTAAAGTAAAGAATTAGAGTAAGTCTTATAATAAAAGGAGCTTGAAAAGCTATTGTAAGAATCAAGCTAATCAATTGAGGATTTGGATAGAAAAATTATATAACTCACTATTGAAAACTAGTAATTAAGCTAAAGCATCAAAGAAAAAGCAGATAAAATAAATGAACTGATTCTCAAACTCTCTGAAAAAGATTAACTTGAGGCAAATCTTAGAAATTAAATTTGTGAATTAAATTAGAAATAATTACGTAATGAAAGCGAGCTGTTCAAGATCCAAGAAAGATAACTCGTAGAAAACTTTTAAATAAAAGAGAAAACATACCAGCAAAGAATTTAAATGCTTGAATCTTAATTAAATGAGAAGACTTAATCTGAATTGGAGCTAAGATAAAAGATTGTTGATTTAGAAAATGAAATTAAAAAATATCAAAAATTAGGGAAGTAAACAGAAATTCTAAACGCAGAATTAAAAGATGTGCTTTTACACAAATAATCTGAAATAGAGCAACTCAAAGTATAGATTGATAACATCCACCAATTACACGAATAAGGACATTAAGAATTCAGATCTAAACTCACATAAAAAATAAAGCAATGTATTGAGTTATAATCAGAAGCATCTTCATCTCCAGAAGACAAAAAAAAGTAAACATTCTTAAACATTTAAAATGTGAACAACAAATATTTATTTTCAAACATAACAAAATACGAAGAAAAAAAATTAATTTAAATTAAAATTTTCAATGCTTGAATTTACTTAATTATTTTTAAATTTAAGTAAATAAGTTGCATATTGATTGTTAAAAATGTAAACGAATCGATATTTCAAATTCAAAACAAAAATTAATAACTGAATGAAAAATAAATTTAAGTTATTTAATATTTAGGCAAGATAATTAATTAATAAATTTTAAAATATTTATTTTCTAATCTATCTAAATAAGTTAGCAATAAAAAAAATAATATTTGAAAATGAATTAATAATGAATAATTTACCTTTTTTGATTAATTTTATTTAGAGTTTTTATTAATTTAAATTAAAATTTATTTTAAAAATACAAACTCAATTTTATTATATTAAATAGCTCAATATTGAGTTCTTCATCTCATAAACTAATACGTAAATAGATTCTTTTATAGCTTTTATAATTAATTAAATCATAAATTATTATATAAAAAAGCACGAGAAGAGTAAAATTTGACAAATCAAAGCTTTGATAGGCCAACCAGTAAATCATAACACATTTAAAGTACATAAAGTGAATAGAGTAATAAAGGAGTAAAAACTGATATTACTTAAATTGAAAAGGAATCTCAAATGAACTAAATATTTAACGAGCTAAAAATATTTAATGAGTAAACAAGCAAACCTACTCTTAGTTAAATGAAGCTTAAAACATTAACTAATGTACAAATAACTCCTATTGTTTCAACTATAAAATCAAATTATATGTCAAGAGATACAAGTGCAGAGTGTAAACAAGCATCCTAAAGCTACATCAGTGTAAATGTTGCTAATTAGAATATTTAAGGTTCCTCTTAATCTTCTTCTAGTATACTATAATAAAATCCTAATAACTTATCATAAATATCTTAAAATACCTAATCATATCATCCACCTCTGAGCATGGGAGGCAACACAGCTCAATATTTACAAAACCGGGTTGTTCCAAATTAAAAATTTGTATTTAAACATCCTCATCACCCCTAAAAAATAATAGAAATGAGTCCTATATCAAGATAAAGTTCTGTTTAAAGCACAATATACCTCATGAAATAAAGCAACGTTTCTTCTTACGGATAAGGTACACCAAATACAAGCAACTCACTAATTAAAAAAATATGAACTAATTCTTCTTGAATTAATAAACATTTAAACTAATTTAATCAAGAATATCTACTGCTAAAGGATACAAATTTATAATATAATTTAATACGATCAAATAAATAATTGTAAAGTTTGAGAAGATAAATTAATAATTTCTTCCAGCTTTTAATATATATAGAAAATAATTTTTCTTAATAAAGTTGTAAATAATTTCTATTCTATAAAATAATATTCAATAAATAATTTTATCAATTTTTCAAATGCATCTTTTTAAATAAATTAAATTCAAACTCAATTTTATTTTAGATTTTATCTTAACTTAAATGGTTAAGTTGAAAGTTCTAAGAAAAATTAATTTATTTTCAATAAAAAATAAAAAAAAAATATATTTTATTTATTCAAATATATTGCAAAAAATAATTCAAGTCAAAAAGCATAAAAATAAATAAATTATATTAATAATATTATGGAAAATAATTAATTTATTTTCATATTGAAAAGTTATTTTTAATTAAATTTTAATGTACTCGCTTTGAAATCAAGCTTTTTCTAGAAAACTTTTAAAAATAATATGCCTAATTATAGCTATTCAGACAGTTTTTTGTTATCTTAACATATTTGCTTATTTATAAAAATGTTTTAAAATTATATTTAATCAATTTTATGAAATATTTTTTTTAAAAATTTATAATAAAATTAAATTATTAGAATTTTTCATTTTAAATTATTTAATTTTAGCAGAAAAGAAAAATATTTAATCATAAAATTTACATTCAAAATTATAATTCATTAAATTAAAATCATATTTAATATTGTTTTTAATGGTTAGTCTTTATCTGGTTTGAGATATAAAATAGATTATTTACTTTTAAATTTTTATTTCTTAAATTTACTAATCATCAAATATACATTCATAAGAATTACACAATATTTTTTCTTATTCTAAATTGTTTATTAAGTTAAATATTCTGAAATTATTTTTTAGTGGTGAGTGATTTATGTTGTAAAATTTAGTAAATTATATTTTTCATTTTACCTCATAATTGATAATTGGATTATTTTAGATAACAAAATGTAAATTTTAGATAGTAGACGTAGAATGATTCGTATTATTTTCTAAATGCAAATGACATATGTTGCTTTCTTCATTATTTAGATGTAAGATATCTGCATGATTTTATAAAAAAAAGATTTTTTATTTGAGTTAAATAATAAACTGCTTGGGATTTTATCATATTATTACTGTAGCTGATCTTTAATAACTATGTTTGTTAAAAACATCATCTCCTTTTAATTAATCTTAAATACATTTCGTAATTTTAAAATAAATATTAAAATTCTTAATCAAAATCTTTGAAAATAGGGTAGAACGCCTAAATATTTATTAATAGCAATAGACAATTTAGACAAAAAAATAGCTAAACATACTTAATATGGAAGACTAAGGAAGCCAAAAAAAGGAGAAACCTGTTGTTGACATTAACTCACTTAACTAAACTGAAATTCTTCATATAATTACCTAGGAAATACAAAGGAAATCATAAAAGCTATTATATAATTTTGGAACAAAACTACAGGCATCTGTTGGTTTAGTATTCCGTCCTTCGCTAGATACGCCCAAGGAAGTTTTGTAGAAGCTATAGAATTAATTGAATGCCATTCGTAAGAGAGATGAAAACCATTATATAACAGATAGATTTCCTGAAAAATATTTTAGCGAGATTTTTGGGGATGATGGAGATCAAATTAAATATGACTTGATGGTAGCTTAACGCTCAGTTAGTTCTATTTCCACTACAGATATGTATTCCCAACAAGTTCGTTTTTTAGGAGGTAAATGTGAAGGTAAAAGGCAGGATGATTTACAGGCAGTTTTTCGTTCAATTCGTGATGATAGTGGTTTAGATCTACAAGATTATGGGTGTTCTACACTCTATTTAGGAGCTCTCCCTAAAAATTTTTACACAGGAAGAATAGAGTCAAGATAGAGCGAACAAATATAAAGAGAAGTATACAGTAGAGCACATATATTTGTAGTTCTAAATACAGCTAGAACAGAATAGCTTAAATTTAAATAAGGAAATATTGAAATGGTGAAATGGATTCCCTTTACAAATTTATTAAATTTTGATGCTAAAACATAAATCAAAGAGCGTATTATAGAAAATCCTAAGCAATTAGTAGGAATATTGCCATCATTTTTATAGAAATTAGCAGAAAATGGTATAAATAAAATTGTTTTCCTATCTCTTGATGTTGGAATGCCTAGAAATATGTGGGGTCTGCATGCAGCAATGGTTGTGTTTTTCATGAGTGTATTTACAAAAGGAATTTTAGATAGAAAGAGTAAGAATTCATATTTTAAAGTTTACAATATAGTTGTTGATAAGTGGAAATAAGTGTTTGAGAAATTTTCTGAAACATATTGCACATCTGAAGCTAATCTATTAGGAAGTTTCCTTTTAAAATACTTCTTTGGTTAATGGAAAAAGGAATTCCACAAAAAATATAAAGAAAGTGATGGTCTTGATTATTCATTCATGATGCTAATAAGCTCAACTGCTCTAATATTTGCTTTGGATTGCTATTACAAGAATCTTTCTATCAACAAAAAACCTTCATTGTGATTTATTTGAAGAAATCTAAAATACCACTCATTTAAGTTGAACTCAAATAATTAATATCGAATAGCAAAAAAATAATTAATTAATCTATTAAAATAAAAATTTTAAATAGAATATTGCAAATGAGTTTACTTAACATAATTTATTGTATGTAATTAATTTCAGTCTTTTGACAAATAAAATAGATATGTTATAAAAATTATATTTTAGTTAACTTTTATTATTAAAATTTATTTATAAATTCAGAAATTCATTCACTATATATATTCAAGTTCAATTAATTGTTTAAAGAGATTAATTCATAGCATTATTTCATCTCAATTCAAATTATTATCTTAGGCTATTTTTCTAATAATCAATCAATTTATTGTTAAAGTAGCAAAGTGTAGTATATATAAATATGTTGCTTATATTGATTTATCAATTATATTAGTATATAATTATTTTCCTTGAATATTTTTAATAATACTTAAATTATTATTCAAAGTCACATTTATTGAAAAGTTTTTCTATTTAACTTTAAAATTTATCTTACTTATATTTCTTTTTATTTTATTTAATTTAATCAAATTACAATATATTTTTTTTCAAATACTTTGTCTTTAATAGTTAAACAGATTAAGTACTCCACAGATTTTTGTACTTATATTCTTATATTTATTTAGTGCAGTATTTTTTTATAAAAAAGTCAAAAAAGCTGAAATAATTAATGCTTACTATTATTTTGTTTGAACAATTAGAAAATTTTTAATATCATCATAGAAAAAAAATATTTGATATCAAAATTTTTTCTATAAAAAGATATTACAAACATGATAGCATAAATAAAGGTTTTTTATTTATTTTCATAAATAATTTTTCTTGTTTTGTTTGTAAATAATTAAATCAGATTTGTTTTAGTGAAAGAACATTGATTAAAACAATTCATTTTTTATGTTTTAAAAATAGATTTAAATATAAAGGATATATCTTTCAAAATTTCATATGACTTATAACAGATAAAATATCATTTTTTATTTTTAATATTTTTGCTCAAAGATTAGTTTGAAGTGCCTTCTTGTTTGATTTGAAGTGCCTAAACTAAAATTAAAGCTGCACTTATAATAGTAAGCCCGTGTAGCTCAGTTGGTTAGAGCGCGAGTCTCATAATCTCGAGGCCGAGGGTTCGATCCCCTCCGCAGGCATTTTTAAATTTTTTTAAAATATGAAGAATAAGCACTACTAGTGTGATGGTGTTCCAGTTTTTTTTATAAAAAAATAAAATACTTATATGTAAATGAAAAATGTATCTCTTTTGTTTGTGGATAAAATTTAATTGAAAAAGATCAAAATGTTTAACTAAATAGATATAGATTACGTATTTTAATTTAAATTTTTGTTGGTTTGCAATCTTAGCTGAATCTAATTTGTGACGCGAATAAAAATGATTAATAACAAAATTTAAATATGATCGAATTACCGAAATTATTAAATTATGTGGCAAAAAACATTTGGTTTTCTTAAAATCAGTAAAAAATATTTAGATGGTATAAAATTAATTCATAAAAATTTGGTCTTATATTTTTATATTACATTCATATTTAAAATTATTTAAAAATTCCTCCAATTTTAATTTACAAGTATGACAAAGTAAACTAAAAACAAAATCAAATATCCAAAAAACAATTAAATAAACAAGCAAACAAATAAAAAAGTAATTTTAGGATTGTCTTTGCTCTTTCTCTATTATCTATTGAAGATAATTATTTTTATTATTTAGTATTTTTCTAAAACAGCATATTTTGAAACAAAAATCATTTGTTTTTTTAATTTAGTTCTAGTAAAAATGTAATATAAATATTTTTCTCTAAAATTATTAGCAATTATTAATAATGTGTTGACAATTAATTTATTTTTCTATTAGGATATTACAAACTAAATATTTTTGAAAAAGCATCAAAGACGAAAGTTTTTTGGATAAATTTGTTCATTTATATTTTAAAATTTGCAGCAATAAAATGCGACTTTAATTAGATTAACTCAGTATTTACGTAATTATTTGATATTTTTAGGACGTATTTTTGATCATCATCTAATGCATAGAAAATATAAATTACATCTATTTTTTTGTTGCAATTATAACAATTTATGATAATTATGAGACGACTATGAGGAACTTATTTAATAATTTTCGCTTAATTTGAATCAACAAATAGCATTACGTAAGATAAATCGATGTTTTATCAGAATAATTATCTTTACAATAGAAATTTAAAAGAATTGGCAATATATTTGTTTCAATTTTCAGTCAAAGGTTAATATTGATATTAATTAATATTATAAAAGTTTTCATTGTGAATTAGAATCTTTTAATAGATATTTTATAAGTAATAATAAAAAGAAAAAAAAGAAATCAAACAAAATTTTACATTACTGCTAACTCATACCATTAGATAATAAATAATACATTATTTGTTTATTAAAAGTAAATTGTGTCTTTTAATTTTACTTTGCAAAAAAATAACTCTAGCAAACATATTTTCAAAAGAACTCAATTCAGCAACAATTCTAATAAACTAATCAATAAAATATATGCGCTATCAATCACTTAATCCACTTAACTAGCTTTTTCTCTACTTTAAAAACTTTGAAGATGAACTCCACTTCTTAGAAACAATCTCTAATAAAGTAAAAAATTTTTTCAAGTGCTAACATATCATAATTATGCTAGCAGGGATTAAAATAATTCAATAATAATGTTGTTGACAAATTTTATTTAAAATTAGAAATTAAGATTCATGTCATGGAAAATTTTTTGCTTTTTTACAACTATATTTCCTATTATTCAAATTATCTATGATGAACACAACTATATATACTTAACAGTATCTGGAATATCTTTTTGCTTTTTGCTAGGATTCTAGTATGCACGCTATTATATATGTCTTTTATAGTGCTTTGCTATTTAAATTATGGTATAAATTTTTATAGGAATATACTATTCAAGTTAATTATCTATTGTAAACAACAACAATCATGTGACTATCATCGCTTAGGTAAATTCCCTATTATTTTATAATATAACATTTAAATGTGTGATTAAAAATTACAATCAATCAATTAAGTAAAGATTATATTATTTTTTATATATTAAATTAAATTAATTGTAATATCATACGAAATAACCTTCAGACGTAACATTTAATCAAAAAAAAAAAAGAATAAACAAAGATTTTAATTTTTTTTAATTTGTATTTCAATAATCAAATAAAAAAGATAAAGTATCATGTATGTATGGTCAATTTGCATTTACCAAAGTGATTAAAAGATTGAAAATTTTTACTCTTAAAATACACTTTATAAATTTCTCTAAAAATTCTTTCAGCAATAATCTATACTTAATTGATATTTTGAGAAGATCAATTTATAAATAGGCATCTTTAATTATTTAAATGCATTTTAAATTTCGTTTTAAATAACTTAGATTTTTGAATAAAAAATAATATTTTATTTAATCAAAATAAATTAAAAATATATTATTAAAATGTTTAGATTATTTTATGCATGCTTCTTTTGGATAGCTAGATCTTTATAATAGAATTCACTTAAGCTCTTGTATTCACAGCTATTTAGCTAATTTATATTAATCCATTTTCAGCTGTACTTTGTGTGAGTTAGATAACAATAGTCTTGCTTATTTTATGCCTCAAATATTTTTTTTATAGAGTTGTCCGTCAGCTTTATATCTTTTCTTAAAATTTTAGTAAGTGGGAGCATATTGTTGATTCAGTAATGCCAATTAATTATTTAATCACTAACTTTGAAGTTAGAACCCATAATATCTAAATTTACAGTAATTTATTTACACATTCAAAATAAACAAATAAATAAATAATTTCAATTATATTTTTAAGGTCAAAATAGAAAAGTAAGAGAAATGGGAATAAGAAATAGTGATGAACTAAAAGATTGGTTGGAGAAGCTAATTATAATAAATGATTCAAAAATGATTAATAAGCGTTAAATTACTATGAAAAATCATTTGCTTAATCGTCATAATTAGTTGCTAAAGGATGCTAAAAACCTGAATAAAATAAGAGATAAAATAAATGAAAATTAAATTGTTTTTGCTGAATTGGAAGACGAAACTACATATAGATTTGAAATGACTCCTATATTTATGGCAGAATCTCCTCTTTTGTTGATTGCATTCGAAGATATAACTCAATATTAAAAAAGCAGCAAAAAGAAAAATGAATAATTAAATCTGTGCTCTATGATATTTGATAATCTTAAATCCATATCTTGCAAGCTTGAATAGACTTTGCATACATCTCTAAGCTAAAAAATTCATCCTAAATTAATTGAAATTCAAAAGATAAGCTCATATTTCATTAACTAGCTCTTTACTTTTGTCGATGTCCCAAGAGATATTCCTCTTCAAACATTTAAATTCAAAGATGTTTTCTCTTAGATTTAGAGTTTATTTTAATGTTATCACTATTAAATTGAAGTAAAAAAAATTGAAATATGTTTATTTTATTAATATTAATTTTATAAATTAAGGACAACGTAAATGATTTGAATGTAAAATCAAACATCCTTCTAATGAAGTATTGCTTAATTAGCTTATTTTCTTGCTTTGAAAACAGCAGACATCAAGTTTAAATAACATTGAAAAACATCTGTAACAAATACATTATGTTCGAAATTCAGCTTTTGGGTAATTATCAAGTTGACTTATTTAAAAGGATGAATCTATCTTCTAACGATTTTTCCAGTAGAAAGCAAATTAGTATATTTTAGTAATTTGTCTAAAAAATCAGCCCTCAAGAAATATAGATTAGCTTTAACTCTGAATAAAATAAAACAAAAATCTTTTTGTGCATGTATATAAATTTAGAAGAAAAAACATATGAAAAAACTTAAAACTGGATAAATTTTATCAACAAAGGGTAACCTATATTGATCTAGACTCCTACCAAAAATGAGTAACCAAACTTAAGTGAAATGTTAAATGGAGTAAACTCCATCAATCACTCTTATATAACAACTTTAAGCTAATTTTTCTTGAACGAAAAAACAACTTAAAATACATAAACAACTCCAAAATATCGCAAAATTAGTTTACAAAATAATATTCGTAAATTTTCTAAGGAGTATTCTAGAAAGAGAAATGCTTCAATTTCACTCCATTCTCCTAAAAATGAAATTTTGGAATAATACACTCGCTTTAATTAAATTGGTGCTATTGAAAATAATTTGAGTGAAATAAAATCTATAGCTTCTGCCAGCAATATCTATGATGAACTAAAATAATCAAATAACATTTAGTTAGCTAATGCTTTAAACTCTAATAAAAAGTTAAAAATCTAAACAGATTCATAAATTCCCAAGCATGCTTTTTCAAATAAGTTTATAAAATCAGACATAGAAAACGGTCTTATAGTTCATTCTCCTAAATCAAACTCTCCTGCAAACTAAGACTTTGTTGACTTACTAAACAATATTAATAAAAAATAGTCAAAGGATGAAATTAATATGAAAAACTCTTATTTATCAGATAGCTTTAAATCACAATTAGTTGAACATAAAAATGATTTAGATATAGAAGGGTAGTAAAATAGAATAAAAGAATTTACTTTAAATAGATAATAACAATAATCTAAATAATTTGATTAGTAGAATTTTTAAGAAAATAACTATAATAGTAATTCAAACAACAATTATATTCCACCTCATTTCTGCTAAGAGTAAAAAAATGTATAAACAGTATAATTACATAATAATAATCAAAATTATTAAGCATCTATCAATTTCGACAGGCAATAGTATGCCAGCACTTCTTCAATTACTTATTTATCTTAAAAAATAAATGATGAATCAATAGTATTTTGTAATGGAGTTAACTCTCTCAGTAACAGCATCTGCTAATTTGATAACTCAATTAACTACCAATTCCAAAATAACAATATTAACTTCTAGGACCGTAATAAATTCCAATCTCTATCTCCATCTAAATTATTTTAATAGCAATACTAACAGCAGGTATAAATTATGTGAAACAAATTAATATTCTTTTCTAAAAAATAGTCCCTTCAAGTTAAAAACTTTTAAATAAATTTATAAGCAAAATTAATAATTAATTATAAAATTATAAACAAAAAATATTTAATAAAAAAATTGTAAACAACTATTATTCTCAAATATTATTCTTCATTCTCACGGCGTCTTTCTTATTGTGCAATAAATAATTGTAATTAAAATGATATTTTCTAAAACCATAGCAATTAATTAAAACAATTAAACTTAAATATTACTTATTTCTTAATAAATTTAATATTAGCAATTTAAGAGTATATTTATATATTATATTTATTTTTACTATTTTATAAAAATATTTATTTAATAATTTAATTTTTAAACTGATTCAACAATCAACTAATAATATTTTAAATCAATCTTAATATTTAGCTTGACATTAAGTAATAAAAATATTAAAATATAAATAAATTTAAATATTATCTACTTACAATTTTATTAATATTTATTAAATTAAAATTTTTAAAAAATTTTTTAATTAAACAAATTTAATCAATTAAAAATTTTGAATATATTTTTAACAATATTATAAAAAATAAATTAATAATAATTATTTTTTTAACTATTTGCTTATTTAATTACAAACTTCAATAATTTCAATGAAATAATTCTTAAAGAAAAAATGAGATATTTTTTTATTTAAAACAATATTTTAAATTTAACTAAAAAATGTAATAAAATTCTATTTGGTTATTTAATTAAATTAAATTTTATAATTTTTATGCATTTATAGGTTTTAATTAATAATATATTTTTTAATTTTATTTTGATAAATATATCTATTAGATATGATCAATTATTTTGGTTTAAATTTGCATTTCTTCTTGATGTTATTTCGATCTCTCCTAGTATTCCTTCTAGTTCAATCCTATAGCTTTTAATTTCCTGATTTTTCTGCTCTATTATTCTTCTTAATTCATTCTTTTCTATTTCATGTCTCTTAATTAGATATTCGCTCTCTCCAGTCCTTAAAGAGCTGAACCTTGAAGGATCAGTAAATTATATATTTTTTTCAAGGTCGTGTAGCTTATTTTCAAGCTCTTCTATTTTAACGATTGCTTTTGACTTTTCTTACTTGCAAATATCAAATTCTTTAGACCTAGCTTAAAGCATACTCTAATATTATCTAACTTGTTTCTCTAGTTATTAAATTTTTAAATTTAGTGTATTCTCATTAGAGTATTTATCAAGAATTCTCTCTTTCTACAGTTTTTAATAGTCTTCTAAAGTTATTCCTTTTGGGATATTCTCTTTGTTATTGTTTATATTAAATGTTTAGTTTATAAAATTATAATTTGATTAATTATGTTGATCAAATACATTTTATTATTGATTGAATTTATTTTAATTGTTTTTTATTTTATCAAATTCATATTTTTTAGTCATTAGCTGGTTTTTAGTAGAAAATTACTAGACATGTCTTGTTAGAATTTTATAATATTAATCACTTATACTTTGAATTTACTTCAACCATTTTTCATATATTTTATCATTTTGGTCTACATTCTGCATATCCCTTGAGTCCCCAAGCAATTCTTAAATCTCTGTATAAAAATCTCTTAAATTTTAAAATTCTTATATCACACAGCTCATTAAAATATCAAATTTTTTAGGAATAAACTCAGCATTCAAAGTTATAAATTACAATATTTTTTAAGATCTATCATATATTTAGCTATGTTATAGTTTCATTATTACCATATCTTAGAGTTCATCAAAATATTTAGTTATTTAAATCCATTTTTGTGAGTCTTCTGTATTTAAAAATTCAATAAAATTTCTACAAAACTGCATATTTTAGCTTTAATTTAATTGTTAATAACTCATTTGGTTATATTGGGCTAAAGATGATTGAAAACTATCGTTTTGATTATTCACTTTTGGGGAATTTCCCTTTTATGAATTGAATTCAGGTCTATAATTTTGCACAATACTAATGCTTTTATTAATTTCTTATAAATTGTTGTTTGTGAGTCCTAGAGATGCTTTTAATTAGCTCAAAGATGTTCTCCGATTACAATCATATTACTGGCTTTATTTAACAGAATCATGAGAGGGATATTAGTTTTACAAGCTCTGTTACTGCTAAAGAATTGAGTTGGACTGCTATTAGCGTTAGTTTTAGGAGTTTTCAAAGTTTTAATTCAGATTGTGATATATATTTTATTTATTTTAGATTGTAACTATTCCTTAGTTACTAAAGGATCTTTACCTATAGCTGTTAGATTTTAATTTATCCATACCTTTAAATCAATGTAAATTTTGAATTTTTAGAGAAAATTGAATAATAAAAATTGGATAATTTGATATTTTCAAAAACAAAGAGTGTTTAGTTGATTTAGAATTAAAAAATTCTAATTTAAATAAATTGATTTTAAAATATAAAATTAAAAAATAATTTCATTTAAGAAAGCTATTTAAATAATTAAGATATCAATAATTGAATTCTTAATAATAAATTAGGAATAATAAAGATATCAATCAGAAGTGAAAGAGGGCATATTGAGATATTTATTCTTTACAATATTGATGTTAGCTGCAGGAAACTAGTTTGCATCTACGACATCTAATTGAATTCTTAATAATATATAAAAAATAAGGTAAGAATATTTATTCATTTTTTAATTAATTTTAATATTCTTAAAAGTAAAAAATTTCTCAAACAAAGATATTTATAAATAATTTTATTAAAAGATATTATTAATTTTATAGTAAATATTTTTATCATAAAACCTTAAATAATAAAACTAACGAAATAAAAAACATGGAAAAAGTAATTATTTTTTAAATGACTTTAATTTATTTAATTAAATTTACCTTTTTTAATAACTATAAAAAACACAAAGCAATTTCTCGAAATGACAAATTAATTACATATTAATTTACATAAAATTTGTTAAGTTTTTAATTAAAATATTTAGATCTTCAAGATTGAATAAATTAGTTCATAATCTAAAATTTATTTTATATATTTTCATATTAGTGAGTTCCTCCTTCTTCTATATCTAATTAAGCTTAAGGTAAAAACTAAAGTGTTTCTTTATAGTCTATAACCTTATCACCTTTTTATATAAGTAAAAGTATATTTCTCTTTTAAAGTTCAATATCTATTTAATTAGCTTTTATTTTTTCAAGTTCCTCAACATGGGTTTGATTCCACTCAAATTTAAAGTTTCTAAAATCAACATGCATACCACAGTGCTTTGATAGAGCTTATTCACAATGCACAGAAGGGTTAATTAATATTACTTTAATTAAATCTGGATATTTATTTAAAAAAGATAGAGCATAAAATCCTCCTAATGAGCTTCCAATCAGAATAATTTATTAATAAAACTGTTTAAAGTTTTAAATAAGCTAGTCAATAGTATCGCAAGCCAAAAATGGGGATATTGGCAAAGATGGAGATATAAAATTTGCAAATTCCTATTTTAGTAATTCTGTTTTAGGAGAGTAACCTGAAGATTTAAATCCATGAAGATAAATCACTATAAAAGATGATTTATTTGTCGTTTTTTATTTTTAATTATCCATTTGATTGCTCAATTATTTAGTTTTTCTTAAATTATTAAAATTTTGTTAAAAATAAATTATATAATATTTATTAATCATAATTTCATACACACAAATAATATAAACAAAGAAAATTTTTAAATTTTGGTTAATAAACCAATTTATTTTATTTTTTTATTTAACATTGTAAATTAAACGTTTTATTAACTTATAAAATGTGCTATTTATGCTAAATGTTAAATCTCAAATAAAATAATCATTCCTAAATGTAGTTTACTAAAAAAAACTATCAAATGAAGAGGAAACTATAAAAAAATTATGTTACAATTTTTAATATTTATGCTGATTAATTAAATAAAATGATAACATCAAAACTTTATTTAATTAATTTTATTCCCTAATTGCTTAAAAAGACATTTAAGCATTTTTTATAGTAAATTTTAAAATTATTTTCTATTATAATTGATATAAAGAAAAATAAATCTTATTTGTTATTTATACATAAAGTATCAAAAAAATAAAAGAACTGATTAAGCTTACAATTTAATAATATAATCATATATTAATATATGCTCATAAATAACTCATCAGACAGAGTTAACAAAATTTTTTATCAAATCCATTTTTTAATCTAAATTAATATAGGAATGATCTCCTCCTTGATAAATATCTGTTTATGCATGAGGAAGATACTAAAGTGCTTCTTTATAATCTAGCAGTTAATCACCTGTTTAGACAAGAAGCAATACTCTCTCTTTTTAAGTTTACTCATCTAATGTAGTCTTTAAATCTGATAATTCCTAAATATGAGTATTATTTAATACAAACTTTGTGCCACCAAAATCTTCATTTTCACCAATATACTTAGATAAAGTTACTTCACAATGAACTGCTGGATTAATCAAAACTACTTTGCATAAATTGGGATATTTTTTTAACAAGCATATAGATAAAAACCCACCTAAAGAACTTCCAATTAATGTAATCTAGTGATAAAATTAAGAAAAAGCTTAGACTAATTAATCAAGAGTTATAAATTGCAATTTTGGAGAAATAGGAAGCGAAGGATTAATAAAATCTTCAAACTATTCTTTAAGATACATGCCCTTTGCTGAAAGGGAACTTGCTTTAAATCCGTGTATAAAAATTACTAAGTTAGCCTTTTTCTGGATATTCATAATTATTTGAAAAATAAATAAAATTTGATATCTATTAATTTATTTATAATCAAAAAGAAATATAAATATCTGAATATTATATCAATTTATTATTGGATTAATAGACAGGTTGCAAATCCAATAATTTATTTAATAAAAGTTGAAAATATTTATATTTAAAATATAAGTAGAGTTAGCTTTTTTAAGCATTTTCTTGTCATAAACCATATTTATAAAAATCAAAAAGATAAAATAACATTTTTGAGAACACTTAAACATCTAATTGATAAAATATGCTTTTTTTGTTATATATTTTTAAGATTAAGACATATCTTTTAAATTCTATTTTTTCATACATTCTGATTTATTTTATTTAATTAAATAATAATCAATAATCTTATTATTTTTATCTATATCGCGGTAAAATAATTAAGATTTTATTTTTAAATTTTGATTTTTGTATCAAAAGTAGATGTTTGCTACTAATAATCGTCTTACTATTAAGCAAAAATATTGGAAGGTATTTTTTAATTATTTATTTATTTATGATATTATTTATTATAGGTGTATCAATCAATAAAATTCCATTAACTCTATCTTTATTTTCAAAGTTATTCACAAAAATAAATGGAAATTGAAGAAGATTTGAATTTAAAAATACTTGAAGATGTCAAAAAATTATATTTATAGTCTTTTGACTATATAAAAAATGGAATAAGTAGCAGTTTACCTAGCGATAAAAAATTTTTGGCAGATGATGATATTGATCTTAGCAGAATTACTTTTTTGTACAAGTTTATATCAGTGAATCCTACCCTGCTATTAATAAATGAAAAAACTTAAGCAAAAAGGCGCATATTTTAAGGCGAGTATTTATATGGTAAAAAGAAAATCTAATTTAATATTATTGCTAAGAACTTGGAAATAGAAAGAGAATTAATATAATTTTTCAAAAAACCATATTAGTGCTACATAATGCATAATGTATAAGTTTTTTAGATGCTCAATAAAAATAAAAATAATAATGTTGTTGAATTTATGGATTCTGAAGATCTTTAAAGCTCTGTAGATTGCTAATTATATTATCTTATTGATGAGTCTTCGCATGTATTAGAAGATGATTCTATGGATTTTATTTCTACTCTCACCAGGTTATCTGATAGCTTTAATTCTAATGAATTCGTATTTGAAACAAACTACTCTATCTAAATTTCATAGATGCCGAAGCCACTAAATACAACCCACTTTAAATTACTTTAACCAAAAGTTGTGAATTCTTTTGAGGGAGTTATTTTGCAAGTTTAAGAAGGTAAAAACATTTTATAAATAGAAGAACTTATTGACTAAGTTTATTTGAATTCCCGTAGAGATAGATTTTATATTCTTAAAGTAGCTAATGGAAAAAACTATATGGATTTTATAGAAGTTTATCTTGTATACGATAATGAAGACCAAGAAGCTAAATAATAATTATAATTTTATTTAAAACCATTTTAACGTATACTTATATTTTAATCTTTAAAACACTTCACTAAAAATTTGAAATTGTTTATGATTTCATTTTTTTATTCTTCTGGAGTTTAACCTAACAACTCAAATGTGAAAAACTTTTTGGTTTCACATAAAGGAGTTGAATTTTTTAGTAGATTTGACATATAAAAGAACGAATTGCTCTGTAAAGATTTGATAAAAAGTTATAACAAATTACCACTTAGTAATATTTCTAAACTTTTAGAGGACGAAGGAGTAATGATTCGTTCTAATATGAAATTTTAAGTAAGAGTAAAAAAAGTAAAATATTTTAAAATACGTTTAAATTGTCTAAATTGTAAATAAGAATGGACTGTGGGATTGAAAAATTGTATAAATTGTAAAGGGTAACAAAGTTATATTAGCTACAACATATAAGTTCTTGTTTAAGACTAACATTTTTTAGAATAGCAAGCATACATTTATCTCTACGATGATTTAGCAGCACAGTTCTTTAACATAACTGAAAGCGAAAAGAAAGAACTGCACCTACACCTTACTAAAAATGAAACTTTTATATAGCTTTATTACAGCTTTAATAAAGATTACCCACTATCTATTATTAAATTTAAAGATAAAATATTTAACAAAGATATTACTAATTGTATTGTTGCATATCCATTTGCAGATATAGATAACAAAATTTTCAATTCCTAGTAATAAATCATTTAAGATGAAAATCTTAGGATAGAAAGTGAAAAATTTATTTAAAACTTTACAGAAGATAATAATTTGTAGGAATCTAAATTGTATTACGAAAAATTTAAAAGCAAAAATAAGCAACAAATTTTTGTAAATGGAACCTATATTTCTACAAATTACTCATAAGGATAAAAAATATGTTTAAAGCCTATTCCTTGTTTAAAAGTAATGTATGTGTTTCCACAAGAAGATATAAAACTATCAGCCCTTAAAATTATAGAAGAAATAAACTAATTAAAAATACAAATAGATTAGTTAAATTGAGAATGAAAATAAATTATTTCTTTATTTGAGTTTTAAAATAATTAAATAAAAAATTATTTGTAAATTATTACTATTTATAAATATCTTTAAATATTGAACTAATTATTTAACAGCAATTCTATTCTATATATTTAAATCTTTATTTATTTTTTCAAAAGAAATTTATTTGAAAAATTTGGCATATCAATCTTAATAAATTTTAAATAATTATTTAAAATACAATAATATAGGCATAATATTTATTATTAAAAAATCTTTATATCTTTAATGATACTCAGAAATTTAATTCATTTATTCATCGATTTTTTATTTTTAAGTTCAATTATTAAAATAATCTTAAAAATTTACTTTCAGATTAAATTTATATTATTTACATAAAATTATTTCTATTAACTTTGAAGATAAAAATAAAAATTTAGTTAAATTAATTTTTTAAAGTTGCTTTTTTAATCATTATTTAAATTTTTTTGTTTGCATTTAAAGATTAAATCTAATCACGTATTACTCATAGTAATTAAGTGAAATAAGATATTTTTAAAATCGATATTAAATTTTTATCTTAAATGAATTTAAAATCAAATGTTGCATAACTTTTATTTTTTACTCTTATTACATTTCTATCCAAAAATGTTAATCTTTGAGTATTTTGTATTTCATTTACAATCTGAAAAAAAATTATTGATTTAATTTTTGAGGGGTTAAAATGAGCAATTTAAATCTAAGAAAAAAAACACACTTTTTTATTTGAAATTTTAATTGAGTCTAAGATTAATTAACATTAGAAACAATATATTTAGATAATTAATATAAAATTTTATTACTTTCTTTAATAATTTATTTTTCCTTAATTATTTGTCAGTTGAAAGAAAAGAATTTTTCAATGTTCAAATCTTGAAAATTTTTATTATTTGTTAATATAAAAAATTAATTAAGAAAAAAATTAATAGAGACGAAGTCTCAAATATACAAGTAATATAAATACTAATGCTCAAATAATAGATGTAGATATAGATTAAGTATGTAATGATGCCATTAATTGATTTTGATTGCTAGTAGTACTCAATAGCTGAAGAACATTAGGGTTACGGAAAAAAAGCAAAACTTTTCTCCTATCGATTCAATCCCTACTTCACTATTGATACGAAAACAATTAATTGAGATTTATGAATTATTCATACGCAAATTTTTAAAACTCCTTAAATAAAGCAAAAAACCCATCTAAACAAGATAAAACGTTTTTAAGGAAAATCCCAATACCAATCCAGGAAAAAATTAAAACAATCCACTAAGTTTTTAAACAAGATCTACATCACATTAGTACAATATAAGAACGTATATAATTTAATCCCGACAAGGGATTGGAGCATCAAATCACAAACTATTCCTCAAAGTTCCGAAATGAACAAAAACTAATATAAAAAATAGGAAATTAAAAGATAAAGAGACAGTTATAAAAATATTTTTAGAATTTAGACTTTTTTTAAAATACAATTTAGTTAGTTAAGCAGCTATTTTTTTTTAAATCATCATCTCTTAGTATAAAATAAAAGATAAAAAGTATAAAAACATTAAAAAGAAAAAAGAAAAAAGAAAAAAGATTAAAAAGAATTAAAAATAAGTAATTAATAGTGATTTAGATATTTACAATAAAAAGAAAAAGAAAAAAGATCAGTTAAAAAAATTAATTAAAAAAAAAGAATCAATTAAAATAAATTAAGGAATAATTAAAAAATCAGTTAAAAAGAAAAAATAAATTAAGAAAAAACTCAGAAAAATTAAGAATAATTAAAAATAATTAAAAATAAATAAATACACACAAAATAAACCAAGAAATTAATTAAAAGAAAATAATTAAATAGGAAGCACGCATCAAATTTTGATATTTTAATAATTAATTTAATTAAAACGATGTATCTAATTAATTTTTATTTTATTTTTCTTATTTTATTAATCATTAGAAGCAATTTTCTTAAAGTTAAGAATATTTTTCTGTTAAAGTAAATTATTTAAAATTTGCTTCTTAATTTATAAAAAAATATCTAAGTATAATGTTAATAACTGTTTTTATTTAGTTTATTCAAATTTTCATGTGTTCTTCTAAGATTTGCATTTTATATTTTGATAAATGAGTAAAAAAATTATCAATTTTATAAAGTAAAATTATTTCAATTTAAGATTTTAGAGTAGATTATATAAAGCTTACTTATTTATTTTTTGAAAGTATGAAAGCATTTTATTTGAATAACGGATTTTTACTTTATTTAGTAAAAATATCCATTTATTATTCTAAAATTACATTTTATGATTTAAGAAATGATCAAACCAATTGGTAAGGGTTTTTATCAATAAAATTGTTTCAATTTAATTTAAAAATATTTAAAGCTCAAATTATATGAAATTTCCTTCATTTTTTAGATAAAAATTGAAGAATTATATTTTAAATTACTTATAGTTATTGTTAGCTTCTTATTCTATTCAAAAATACAATAACTAAATTATTTATTAGTATTTATAATAAATATAATTACTACTCAATCTTAAATATAGAGAAATTCAGAAGGGATAATCACCTTTTTTATAGATATAATAAATTCATCATTAACATTTCAAATAAAATAAATAATTAAATATTTTTTTTTATAAGTCATTTATTTCTTCAAAGGTTTATTATGAATATTTTATTCTTTTTTTAATATTTTTTAATAAAATTAAGATGAATAAAATAAAAATATGCTTTTTATTATAAAAAATCATTTCTATTTAAGTTTTAAAAAATTAAATAAAATTCACTTTTTATTTTGAAAATATTTACTTTCCTAATAACTTTTATAATTAAATAGTTATTTATTTTGGATATTTTTTGAAAAAATATAAATAAATTTTTTATTTATTGACTTTATAATTTACTAATGAAGTATGGTTAATATTTATCAACACTTATTTTTACTAAATACTATTTATTATAAGATGAATAAATTAATTACATATTTTTTTTACAAATAAAATTATTACAGTTTAAGTTAATTATTATAAATAAGCTTAGTGTAAATATATACATAAAATGATCACTATTCTATATTAGTTTATCTCATCCCTTTTATTTGTATGTATTTCATTATGTTTTTATCTGCACTAGGGAAAACTACAATAAATTATATTATTAAAAAAATTTAGTTAAATTGAAAAACAATTTTTTAATTACTTTGCTAGTCTTCCCATTTCTAAGAAAGAGACTGTAGAGATTTAATGATTACACTTTTGTTTTAGCTATAACAATATGTAATATCAGCTACAATAATATAAAAAAGGCTAAGATTTTTACTCCAGCTACTCATTAGTTTAATAGGTATCAATTCTTTAGAATTCAAATCCTTAATTTAATTTTCAAATTTTATAAATTAATTTTGTAATTAATAATCAAAAATTAACAAATTACATTTTTATAATCTTGTAAATTTAATTCAATTGGAAATACTTAGTGATCTAAACATGAGTTCGTTCCCCACCACGCTAGACGCTTGTCAATTGTTAAAACTATGCTTGATCTTAAACCAGCTCTAACTTGCAAAAATGAATTGATTGAGTCTATAGATTTACTTTTCACAAAAATTAATTATGGATTTGATCTATATTTAGTATCTCCTACACCTAGTTACCCAAATCTATTGTTTCCCCAGGAAAAAATCTTTCCTGATATTAAAAAATAAATGTAAGATATATGATGTTTTTTTTAAACGATATAATTTAATAAATACCTAATGCTGTGAGACATATTGTATGCTTTAGCCCGCAAGATACTTATTTGATCTTTTCTCCAAATTTCTTAAATGAGCTTATAAGTTAAGGACTTTTTCTAAATAGTCTATCACCATGACCTAATTCCCCTGAAGTATTTTAGCCAGAAGAGAATAGTGTACCCTAAATTGACAAAAACATAGTAAAATGACCTCCACAGCTTATTTAAGATATTTAGACAGGGAATCTGATTCTTTCAAAGTCAATAGATTTTTTATAATTATAGTGTAAAACATCTCCATCAGTTAACAAATAAAAAAACTAATTAGAAATGGCTTGCTAATCTATTTAAGAAATTTACTATGATTTTTAAGGATCAATTTTAGAAATTTCATACAAATAAATATCTTCAAAAAAGGGTATTTCAAATTGACTATTGTCTCCCCAGCAATACATATCCTTTAGTTAATTTTGAATGAACAGCTGATTATTAGCCTTGAAAATGCTATTTATTTTATCTATTTTGCATTTTATCACCTTTTTAGGTGGATTAAATTATTCTTCGGTTTAATATGAAATATTATTTTAGGTGTTTAAAGTTTAAGTAGAGATTTGTTCAGGTGGTTCTTAGTTTTAGAAAAGACCAGCTTACTTTCTCAAGCTATTATATAAGCTATTATTTGAATTATTTTAGTTCATTTTTAATTTTTGCTAAGAGTTATTGTATTAGTCTTATGGACTATAGCTACTTTAAAATTTTTTTTAACTATTCTATTAATAGTTTTAAGTTTCTAATTAAACAAATAGAGGATTATTTTAAAGTACAGAGGGTATGAGATCATTTTATAATTTTTTTTGAGGAGTAGAATATAATTGTGCTTAGTAATTAGGAATTTATCTTTGTAGATTTGGACTTTCATAGATGTTAGATGTGTTTTTGGTTTATTACTAATATCTATTAGATGATTAACTTATTTTAGATTATAAGGGTTAATCATTTAAAAACTTATCAGGACTATAATAAATTTATTAATCTGTTGTGTGAACTTGATGATTTAAAAACTCATCTCCAAACGTATAACAGACTGAGTTATCTCCGACTATTGTAGTATAAGAATCTCCAATAAAAATTTTTAAAATTGAAGAGTTTGATTACTCAAGTTCACTCTGAATATCCTAGTAATGCTGTGCCCATATTTAAGAAGTATAAATTTCATGTGATTATGGTTATTAATCGAAATCAAGTAAAATAGTATTTAGCTTTATCACATCAACTGACATTCTTTTTGCCTGTAGCTAACTTTAAACTTGCTTTTTTCTGCTTTCTGAATTAAAATCATATAATATATGATCCTTTTCAAGACCCAAATCATGATAGTAATACTCTTAAATTTTAGGCTAATTATTTGAAGTGAATTCATTTACTTAAGTCTAATATTGATCATTATCTTTCAAGGTTATTTACATTTATATTTTGCCAAATTAATTTTACATTAAGATATTTTAATCAATACCATTTAAACAATCATCAAGCTTAATATTAATTTCATTAATTGGAGATTATTTTTATATCTCCTGCTTTTCTGCTCCTCCTAACTTAATAGATGATTTTAGGATTTTTAACTATTAATCTAAGCCTAAATCTTCGAATTCTTAAATAGATTGCTATTGACTTACCTTCGCTGAAGATAAAACAATACTTTTCTAAGATTTTATCTTTTATTTTAAAGCTGCTAATTTTGCTAAACTATCTTATCTATCCAGGTTCTTTTGTTTTTTTTATAAATACTCAATTTTTTTTTAGGCTCTTTGTAAGCTTAATACAGTGTGCTACTCATAAAACTAATTTTTTAATTCTTAAAATTTTAAGTTTTTCACCAAATTTTTTTTATAAGGAATTCCAAGAATGACCAAGTTTTGCTAATTAAGCATTTCATCTCTTTTAACTGAATTCCAATCATATTTAACCCATTTCTCAGTTAGAAAATATTTTTAATTCAACCAAGACCTTACCTTTAGAAATTATTTATGAAAAATAAAATCTCATAAAATTTTAAACTAAAAAAATAGATTGAAATAATATTTGAATAAAACAATATGAGAGAAAAAAGGTTTTTAATTTAAATAATAACTAAATATTCTGTTAAAGTAAATTTATTTTACATGCATCTAAATGAATTTAGTATTCTTTTTGATAAGCTGAAATAGAGCAGAGCACCACTTTTTTCTGAAATAGGCTTGTATTCTGTAAGCAGCGTTTCTATATCTTTTCATTGATAAATAAAAATTTCTATATCTCCAATACCTTTAAATTTTTTAGATAGCTTTTCTTTCTAGAATTACATTTTTAGCTTCTCTTGATTGTTTTACAATACCGTAGTTGTTAATTTTAGCCAAGAACATTCTAACTAGGGATTGAATCTTAATAGCTGAAATATTTCTGATTTTTAGCCAAGACTTGTCAAGCGATTAACTAATTACCATAATGACTTTTTTGCACATTTCAATTTATCTCTATTGTAAATTTTTTTTATACCACTTTTATATTTGTAGGATACTTTTAAGCTTTTTTTTATAAATTGATCTTTCCTTTAACATCAAAAATTTCGATTTTATAAACTCCTTGATACCTTTAAGTTTCTATTTGTAATATTCTTTCTTTTTGTACATAATATATGCACGTTATATCATCAAAGCTGCCCTGATTTCTTTCATTCTTTTCTTTAAGATAAAATTTCTGATCATTTTTTAAATTTTCTTAGCAGAAATATTTTGCTTTGCTTCTAATTCCTTAGCTTTCCTCATTCCTCTTATTTTTGCAACAACATCAGATTTTAAATATCTGAATCTATAAATTAATCCTTTCAAAAATTGTTTAACTTTCTTTCTGTTTTTTAACCATTTTTTAAGCTTGTAATTTCTAAACAATTTCTGTATTAATTTAACATTGCGATTGATTTCTTCTTTCTAATATTAATTAAATAAATAAATTTATGATTTTATTAAAATTATTTATTTTTACTGTTTGTATCAGCTTTGATGTTAGGATCATTAAAGCACTTTCTTTTATAAAAATCATGCTATTTCCAAATAAAATATTATTTTATTCTAATTATTTTTGGTCAACATTCATCTCCACTAATCTAATATTTGATGTAAAACTCTATTAAAAAGTGATTCTTGAAATTCTAAAGTAAATATTACTTTTAACTTAGTCTTTAATAATCTGTTATTTTTTAAAACATAGTAGTTACATCTGCTTTAATTTCATTGAAATTTGGTGGATATAGCTCCCAGTGGTCTTTATAAAATCTAAAATAATCAGCTCTGTAAACATACCCTTATTTCCTGACACGGATTGTCTCTAAAACACCAAGACAGTTTATTTAATTCAGAGAATATCTAGGTTATATAAATCCTGCCTTTTTTGATGCATTAGGTTTAATACATCTTACAAATTGGCACTCACAAGAGCTTAATTCTTCCATTAACTTTTTCATTTAAAGTCTGAATTTTGAACCTAAAAATTTATCTGTTACTCTACTCCCAACTTATTAAGTATTAAAATCTGTAATTCCTAGCTAAATGATTGACTTAATTGTTTTTTATTAAGCTAAGTTTTATAATGCTAATGAGACTTCATCCTTATTCTTTGCCCTAAAGTTAGTAATATTGTATTCAATACTCCCTGTTGAGTGGTGAATAGTAAAATTAGTTTTTTAAATCTAAGAAAAGGAAACATGCTAACTATTTGATTTATGCTCCCTTTCCATTTGAGATATCAAATTTAAGTCACTTCCAGTACTTAAATTGCTTGAATCATCAATTAAATTAAAAACTCCAATAGGATCTTTAGGCTTGTCAAGAGCCTCTATAATAGATTTATTATCAGTATACTTTATTTCCATTAAATATTTTTCTAATCCTTATTATTTAAATATGTTTCTTTCTCCCTCATAAATATAGCTAATATAAAGTTATTAAAGCTTTTCATTTGCAAAATTTATGCACAATTACTCAAAGCTGTTATTCTCAAACACCTCAAACCCAAATATATCTAAAATCTCTATTTATCTCTTCTTCCCTTGCTTTATTAAAATTAAAATAATTATTAATAAAATTCATAAATAGAGCAAAGTCTCTTATCCAAAAACAAGAAAATACTTATTTAATATTAATCTGCTTTTAAAACAAACAAACATTTTTTAAAGACTTAAGATATCTCCTTCAATTTTTTATTTATTTTTAACGATTTAATTAATTAATAATAAAATTGTTTACTGTTATGCTTTGCCTCTTTTATTGAGGAGCGAAGGCATGCAATGTATACTAGTCTACTTCGTCTTAGTCCATAATAGACTAATTTAATCTAAATACTATCCAATTGAATAGCTTTTCATATAAAAATTTACTGTAAGAGTCTCTATTATCTATTGACTCTTTGATAGAAAGAGGAGAAGTTGTAACATTGTTGTTAACTTATCTTTTTTTAGTTGTTAAAGCGTCATTTAATTCTTTTTCAGTACACTAAAGCTTTTTACATATAGTTTCTACTGTTTATTTCTATTTAGGCGAAATAGTGCAAGAATCGCCTGTTGTTTTAACTTCTTCAAAATCTAGATTTCCTAACAAAAGGACACAGCTAACTATATTCCAAATTCCCTTTTATTCTATTTCAGTAAAATTCAAATCATCTAAACTTGACATAACTTCTAAAAACAGCTATTCATCAGATAAAGTATCAACATTACTGCACTCACTTTTTAAATACCTTTTTGAAGTTCAAAAATAATAAGTATGAGCTAATTTAAAATAATACTTTTTTGTTACCTATAAGAAGAAATATCTGGACTCAATCCTAATTGAGAAAGAAATTGAGGCTCAGCTCCTTTTAGAAGATGATAAAAAATATGATAATTCCTTTCTTATTGCGAAATTTAAACTATCCTGCTTTTTTCTAGCAAGTAGTTTGTAAGAGAAGCAGACGAAATTACTAGTTTTTTTTACTTTTACTTGATTGAAAATGAAGAACCAATATCTTCCTTTAAATGCAAGATAACTAATTTTCCAAATCTAGATGAATTATCATTTCTTGTTGTTTTAGCATTACCAAAAGCTTCTAAAATTGGATTGCAGTTTAATATTCTTTATTCTATAGAGACAGTTGATTTTAGAGTTTATCTAGATTTTAAGTTTAAGTAGCTTTCTCTCAAATTAGTCAAAGTTTAAGGTGTATTTTACTATTAAAATTAAGCATTCATTTGGGTTAAAAATTTCATAGCATATTTTGTATTTTCAGTCTTACCTGCACCAGACTCTCCTGATATTACAATCGCTTATTTAAGTGTTTTTTCTTACAAAATACTTTGCATACAATAAGCAGCTATTCCAAATATGTGAGGCTATTCAGAGTAAATATCTTAATTTTAAATAACTTTCTCTTAGTACAATTCTTGTGTTTTTTCATTAAATAGATGATCCATTCTTTTATAAGGATTTACTACAACAAGAGTAGGACCAACATAGCTAAATATTTTATCCTAAACATATCTTTGAGCTATTGCTTTAAGCAATTCAGGTTCATTTAAAAAAGGAAGGTTAACTAAATCATTTATTGAAGAATAATCTCCATCCTCTTTATCATATCTAGGTTCCAAAAAAATATTATCAACAACAATTAAGTTTTAATTTCCACCTTATTGAATTTATAAATTAGAAGGCTTTGCCTAGTTAGCTTGTTTCTCATTAAGCAAGCTTAGTATTGAAGGGCTGGGCTAATCTAGCAATTATATTAAAGATTTATTTTTATCAATTACAGAAATGACTACTGATTCTACGAAAGCAGGTGCATCAGCTTATTTTGAAGTATTCTTCAGACCTTCTTTAAGAGAATACCAAACTGGTGCTCCTTCCTCAAATTGCATCATATTATCTTAAAGTATTTATGTGGCTAAAAAAATAATTAATATATAGACCTATCTATCTACTTATAAAAATTATTTATGATGAATTGATAAAAATTAATTAATGATTATGATAGTTTACTACTTAATATTAAATGTTAATTAATTAATAAAAAAAGAGCATATAAAGTATTCCTAAAGATATTTATTAATAAATTTAGAGTTAATTCTAATTTAATTTTTGATGAGCCACAAAAAATATGCATTCACAATTTTAAAAAGTATGATATTTATTTCCTATTAAATTTAAAATATTTTTTTAAACTAAACTGTAAAAATAAATTACTTTTTTGATTGCTAAATTTTTGAATCATATAATATGACAAGAAATATTAGAAATATATTTAATTTTAATAAATCTGTAACTAAATAACAAAGTAATTAAGTAAATAAATAAGAAAGCAGCTAACTCACTAACAAATTGAATATTAGCATGTGCGTTATTTTTATTTTAATTGCTGCTATATTAGGTAAAGCAAATAAAAATAATTGTTTTTAAATGATTTTCTTAGGAATATTTAAGTGAGCTAATTTGGTATAACAAATAAATTTAATTAACAAAAAAATTAATTTAAATAACAAATTACAAATTTATTATTTTGCAAATAAGATTATCTTAATCCTGTTGCTTTGTTATGAAATTCTTAAATTAAAAAAATCTATTTTTATTTATATATATTTTGTTGATTGAGAAGATGTAAATTATAAAAGCTATTTTTACTATTTATCTTCACTAAATGTAAAATAATTGATTGATAGCAATCAATCAATCAAAGAACAAATTATAATAAATATTTGATTGGTTTTTATCCATTCAAATAATAACATTTCTAACTAATATTTTCATTAATTATTTTTCTCCTTTAGAGAAAGAATAAAAAAGCAAGTAATTTGTAATGATATCAATTGGTATTATCTTAATTAATAAATATTTATCAAAAACCAAATGAATATAAAATAAGCTTAAATTTATTGTATATCAAGATACTAAAGAAATAATATTTAATTACTAATAATAGGTTAAAAATAGTTTAGTTTGTTATTAGTTATTTTGCTGTTATTTAAATGAGCTAAAATAAAACTACTATAACGTATTAATAGCATGAAAGACCAAGCTAATTTGAAACGCCATCTAAAATTTTTCCTTAGTTTAGTAGCAGCTTGAATTAAGGAAGTTAAGAGAAAAAAAACTATTTCAAAAATGAGCATCAACAATAAAAATTTTTTTCTATTCAAAGAAATAATCATTAGCCAAGTAGACATTTCAGTCCAGAGAAATAATTACTAGAATTGCCTATACTTAATAGCACAAATATAGGGGAAATGAATTATAAGCGTTTAAATGAGTTTAAGACTGCATTGAATTAAACTAGAAAATTTAGGAATGGAAGTCTCAATGATAATTACTACTCCCTAATCCAATAAATAAAAAGGAAACACCGTTTCGATGAAGAGCAAAGAGATAACTCAGACTACACATACCAAACGAGTGATTGTAATAGGAATAAGATACTGGCTAATGCAATGTTTAATATTGCAACACCTTTTAATGAATTAAATCATATAAATTAATAGACTTGCTTTAATCTAGATATGAATCTTTGGTTAAATAAATAAAAATAAAATTTGAATAACAGTTTATTTGCTCTTGCTCCAATAGGAGATTCCCCTCAAAATAATTTTAAAAAAACAATTAATAAACCTCGCAGTAGAATACTTTCACTTCCTCCTACAGCAACTACAAAATTAAGCGAAGGCTCTTAAATAATTAACAAAAGCTATTAAATAACAAATAGCTTTTAGTAACAGCAAAGTTAATTAAATAAGCATAAAAAGCTAAAAACTTAATAATCAAGCCTCTCTCCCGCGAAGACTTCATTATTTGATGAGAATTTTTAGTTGAAGGAGATTTTAGTACCTTCTCCAAAAAAAAAGATACTTGAAATAAATTTTGCTACTGGGATGAGTGAGAAAAATAAAAAAAAGCATGGAGATAAAACCAAAACAGAAATAATACACACTCCTTACATAGATAAAGCAATATAAATAATAGAAGAAAAGTATTAATTAGATAATAATAATAATGAAAATGAGAATTCTTAGCTTTTTTCCTCTAATATGTAAGAAGAAATCAATAAAAAAAAGTTGGCTGAAACCCAAAAAGACCCATTTATAAAAATAGATGGAGGCTTTGGAGATTACATTCTCAGATATCATCATATCAAACAAAGGATTTAAAATAAGCTTATACCTCAAAAAGTTGCTATGCCTAACTTATCTAATCTTTTATAAAACTACCAAGAACTAGAAGCTGAAATTGAAAGAAAAAAAGAGGAGTAGCACTCTGAACAAGAAAATACTCCAATTCCTTAAACTCATAAAAAGAAGAACTAGCTTGAACCAATTTAGTTTAATAAAATATGATATTATTTATTTATTATTATTTGTTCTATTTTCTAATTAGTAAGTACTAAAGAAAAAATTATTCATTATTTTAATAATAAATTTTATAATTTTTGCATTTTAGATTTTCATGAAAATAAAATAATTATTTCAAATTATTAAATTTATTGAAAGAGATTTATCATTTATATTTTTGATAAAGCTTTTAGAATATTAAATTAATAAAGAAATTTTCATCTTAAGTATTTATAAATGATATTTCATTTAGAATATTTAAATGAAAAAAATTTTTTGAATACATAAAAAAATATTGAGTGTTAACATAATTGAATGAATGAATAAATTAATTAATATTAAGAAATAAATTTTTTTAAAAAATTTGTGAGATAAATAAAAATAATAAAGAAATGATAGCAGCTAATAATGCAAATAAATAATAGATAGACCTCCTGAATGAAGCGGCCAAAAAAATTATTAATATTATTAGAGGTTATAATTTTGATAAAGCTAAATAAAATATTTTGTTTTAGATATAGTAAGTAATTGGCTCATATTAAGAATTGTTAAGCAATTAGATATAAGAATCAAGAAAAATTTGGAATTTTTTCAATAAAAATGGCCTAGTTAACAAAACTAACATATTAATTACAGAAGAATTTAGTAAAAACAAAATAAAGAATATTTTGGTTTCATTTTAAGATTCACTCATTTCTTATTCCAAACAAATTCTTGATAAATTAAATGAATTCTAAGAAATAATAAATTTTATCAATTTAGATGATATACATTAATTAACCAAAGATCTTTAAAACTATTTAAAAAATTGCTTTGTCAATAATTTAAATGAATTAGATGATTAATAAATAGTCTAATAAATTTGGTTTATAAATAGAAGTATTAGCTTTGAACTTAATATTAAACAAATATTAAATAATAAAAATTCTGAACAAATTTAAAGAAATATTAATCAAGCACTTGGCAATATAAAAACATAAATTGATAAGCAAATAAATGATATTTCTCAATATGTGATGAACTATAAGTAAAAAGTGAAAAAATATTTTAAATTAAAATAAGATTATCTACAATCATAAAATCAAATCATATAATAAAGCTAAATGCAGATATAACAACCCTATTATTTTTAAAATTAACTCTCCTAGTAAATAGTCTTCCCATAAACTAATAAAGAAGATATACAAGTCAAAGATGAATTCATATAATTAAACTAACTATAAATGAACATCATATAAAAAAATTAAGATGAATTTAGATCATTAGAAAGCTGTATATAATCTAGGAGGTCGAGTATAAGCAGCTGTATGAATATAAAATCTAATGATCAGTTTAGATAAAAGAGTCATTCAGTTGTTTGGAATGATAATATTTTTAATTCTTCACAAATAATAATTTGGATAGACAAGAATATTAAAAGTGATGATAATTAAAAATACATTTTTAAATTAAGGTAAAAATTTCCTTGGGTAGAAGTGAAAGGCTTTGAAAACTTTAATGAATTTTAGAATTATTTAAACGATAAATTCTAATAATAATATGAAATGAATAATAAAATTAACTAAAATTTGAAAATAAAAAGATTTAATACAGAATTAAACTTAAATTTACTTGATGGTCATAGTACTCAAGAAGATTTAACAAAATCTTTTATATCGTAGTGTACAGTTTATTAAAAGTTAGAATAGCAAACTGAAAAAGAATTGAATCTATAATTCATATTTATTGCATCAGGAAGTCTGATAAAAGAAGAATATGATAGAATTTCATGCTTTTTGAAGAGTATTATAATTTACTGTAACTGTATTAGTGAATACCTTAAATTATTTGAAAATAAAAAGAATATTTCTATTATTAGCAAAGATTTTAATTAAATTATTCTTAAAATAGAAGAGACTTTGTAATAAAAAAAAAAAGAAAGAATTTATAACTACGACATAAAAAAATTAAAGGAATTTGAAGAATTTGATTTAATTAGGTATATGTCTAAAGACTACTGTGCATAAGAAATAGTAATAAAGACTAAAACAGAATTTTAAAATATTTTAGAAAATATTTACAAATGTTTAGGAAAAAAAAATGAAAAAATTGATGCTCTTTCTGAAAAATTTAGTGAGTTTTTCATAAATGTGGATAAAATTATAGAATTTTATACAACTAATTAATTTTGCAACTTTATTTAAGAACTAATGTCATATCTAAATGAATAAATTCTATAGAGTGCATCATACTTAATTACTACTCTTAGATATTCAATATAAGTTTACAATGATAGTTGTAAAGAAATATTTAACTAAGAAAACTTTACGCTTTATCGAGGTATAAACATAGATACTGAAAAATTCTAAAAAGATTTTCCAAAAGGAACTACATTTGTAACTTTTAACTTCTCCTCTAGTAGTTTAAAGAGAGATATAGCTTTATAATTTGCAATACTAGGATAAAAAAATCCAATGATTTTTGAGATTACTTTTGATATTAATAACGAAGATTTTGAAAAGTGTAGACCAAAAAAAATTAAACGTTCTAAATACTAAGAAGGAGAATTTATATTTAACTGCTTTTCAATATTCCACGTTAAAAATTATAGAAAGTAAGATTAAGTTACTTATGCTGAATTATCTTTTATAAATAATGTGTTTGAAGACTGACTCACTGATTGACTGACATTTTAATAAAAAAATAAATAAATAAATTTATTAATATTAAGAATTTATTGTTTTCAAGATTATTTGTTTTTAAAGTTTAAGTCTAACAATTAAAAATGTTTTTTTTTAAATTTTAATTTGATTTTTCTTTATTGTGATACTGTAAATTCTCATATATTAATTAACACCCTCTCCTAATAAAACTTTTAAATTTTTTTTGGGGGGTTAATATTTATTTAAAAATAACCAAATCTCTTCAGGTAAAGTTTTGAAATTTTTAAAAGTGATTTTTATTAAGACCCAAAATCATGTTAATTGAGCTATTTATTTGTCTTAATTAATGAGAAAATATTAGTTATATAAAAACAAACTGATAACTTTAATATTTATAATTATTAAAAAATAATACAATAAATGATTTTCAATTATTTTATATCTAATATTTGCTTTAACACTTAGAAAAATTAAAAAATAATTTATTGATTGAAAGGTTGATTGATTGTTTTAAAATTTTCTAAAAGAAAAAAATTCTAATTTTGCAAATTTTAGAATATAAATATTGCTTGAAAATCTTTTACTTTTTCTTAAACACAATTCAATTTATAATTTTAAAATATTCTTCAGAATATGTTTTATTATAAGCTACATTTTATTTTTTGTAATTATTATGACTTAAATAGATAGAGAAGTTTTAAATTAATATTATAATCAATATGATAAAAAGTTACTATTAGTTTAATTTAAATTTTTTACACAATTTAAATACCCAAATAAGTAAGTAAATAAATAAATAACACTAATTCATTAAGCATTTGGAGAAATTGTTCTTATTATAAATAATATTAATTTTAATATTAAAAAGAAAATATAATTTCCACTGTTCCAGCAAAAGTTACTGAAAGGGACAGCTTAATATCCAGGAGCTTAGTCGAAACTGGCTAAAAATTTTACTTTTATATCTTTCCATAGTTCATATGCTAAATTTATATTCATATAAATGTCTTCACCTTTATTTTATTTTATATACCTTGGAGCTAAAATACGTCCTAAAATTGATTAAAATAGAGTCATTGCAAAGGAAAAGAAATAAGCATGATGAGTCAATTACTTTGAACCCTTTAAAATAGAAATAAGTAAAGGAATGAACCATAAGTGATGAGTGCTAGTTAAAATTCTTAATTTTGTAGTAGTGGGCCAAGTGAGATATTTAGCTACACCCACTGGGAATTTCTTAGTCAAAAGATAACCAATAATATCAACGTACCAGAGACATTAATCAATTGAAATAATAACTAAACTTGCTCCTACAGTTAATGCACTATTACGGATAATACCACATATCATCATCACAATTGCAAGATTGCAAGCCCAAAGCATTTCATAAAGGCTTGTTGACCCATTTTATTTTATACGAACTATCATCATTAATGCTAAATAAACTATAAGGAGAGGAAGTGCTTTATCTTTTGCAAATTGAGGTAATCCTTCTTTCAAATTAGGATATTGACTTTCTATTAATTATTATATTTTTCCAGACAATAAAATAGTTGATACAAACCCTAAAAGGCATGAAAATATAGCGTGAGGATATTTTAAATGCTTAGGATCAGTAGGAGATGGAACAAATGCCCATTTTGCAGCTGCATTAATATTTCCCATGAAACTTTTTAACTAAACCTAAATAAATTTTGAAAAATTGTTTGTCCTATTTTATTTTTTTTTTAAATTACGAAATTTCTTAATTTTTTAATTGTTTTTTGATTATATTATTTAAGATAGATTTGATGATTAAAATTAATACCAATAAAAATATTCATATAATCTAATAATAAATTAATAAATCAAAGAGGATAAAATTTTATAAATAATTCAAGTTATGCATGTTTAAATTATTAAATTTAGTTCCACATGTTGATGAATTGTATCCATAAAATAAATAGTAAAATATAAAGTTAGAGGTGATAAATTCAATTAAAATCGTCATAGATTATAAGTATATTTTATTTTATTAATTTAACATTTTTAATTTCTAAAAAAAGATTTGGTTTGATTACATTTATTTAAATAGAAAGAATGCTAAATATCTTTTTTTTAAAATCAAAAGTGAAAAAGAAGGAATCATAATTTTCTTTTAGAAAAATAAAATTAATACTAAACAATCACACGAAATGAATAAATAATAAACAAACAAACAAAGACAATTCATACTAATATTAATTTTCATAAATTTTTGAAAAAGAAGTGTTCACAAGATGATAAATAAAATCTTCAATATTTTTAAAATTTTAGGTGGAATAAAATCTTTTTGGATTAAATATATAGATTACATATATACATTCATACATACATACATGCATAAATAAATTTATAAATATATTACACAAATTATTTTTTTTATCTTAAGATTAAAAGAAATAAATAAAAGGCTTTTTATTTACCTTAAAAATATTGAAAAATTTAATTATTATTTTTATTTTCTGGTTAAATATGAAAATTAATATTTTTAATTTTTTTTAATTGCTCAATAGGCATCTAATGAATCCCAAAATTTCTTCTGTTTGTTTTCTCTTTTTTTCTTCTTTTTCTTTCCAAATTCGTCTTTGTTGTTTTTATTTCTAATTTATTTTCTTTGTTCTTTTGTTAATTTCTTTTGTTGCTCGTCTTTCTATAATTTTTGACGAGCCTTGACTTAAGCAATTAGCGTTTAATCTGATTGCATTCTTTCTTCCAGCTTTGACTCCAAATCTATAACAGCTTAGTCAATGTCTAGAGCTAATTTACCTTTATGAACTTTCGAATCAATTTCTCCTTTTTCAAACTTTTCAAATAACTTCTTTTTCATTATTTCAGGAATGACATCTGATATTTCTTTTTTAAGTTCTGCTTACTTTTCTTCTTTGGTGCTAATTGCAAATCTTACCTCAGGGCCATACTTAAATCCTAAATCTCTGCATATCATGCCAGAAAAATATTTAGCAAACTTATTCAATCTAACATTAATCTTTTCTTCCATTTTCTACTTATATTCTAACTGTTTTTCAGTATGAATTCTATTAACCATACTCTTGTATTTATAAAGTGCTTATTATTCCAAACTTAACTATCTAACAGCCTGATCAAAACTATTTTCTTCTTATAAAAGTTACCAAAAGACATAAATTACAGTCATAGCTTCATTGCAGCTAATTTTATCAACTTAAATAGGTTTAAAAAGTGTTACACTCTCTAAATTTCCTTTATTTCCAGTTAGCTAGCCTCTAATATATTAAGAAAGTTGCTTCATACTCCTATTGATTTATTTTATTATTGATAAAATTATATATTCCATTCTTAAAAATTTAATTCAAAATCCTACCTCTTTTTATGGATATCCCATCTTGAGTCTTATACTTGCATTTCGTTGTACTTTTAAGCTAATTCTTTTAACTTTTAAAAAATAAATTAATTTACAAAAACGTATTTAACATTACTTTTTGCAAATCAGGTATATCTGTGTAGATTGAGTGTTAAGGAACATTCTAACCCTTGAAGTTTTGTGATGGATCTGTATAGTCAACATCTTTGAATTAAACTTCATTCAATTTTTATTCAAACTTTCTAACCTCTTAAATTCTCTTACGTCTTTCTACTTTCTTCTTAAACTCTGCATTTTCTTCTGAAAGCTTCTTTTAAATAAACAAATCCTCCTTACTGATATCAGCCATGACTTCATAATCTTCAGCATCTTCAGGATCATATTTATTAATACCAAGCTTTTATAAACTGTTTTCTAATTTTTTTTCTTATACAAGGAAACTATTTCTTCTAGGATCAGCGAAATCTCTTTTTAACTATCTCTTTTCTTTATCTGTAGGAGCTTCAACTTGCAATTCTGTATTCTTTGAATCAACTTCTACAAGATCTCTAAATCTTTTATCTTCTTTTTAATCTATCTCAGCTGCATGCAACTTCTGAGCTAGAATTGTCTTTTTCTTTATTTTTTCTAATTTCTACTCTTCATATCTATCAATAGCTGATTCTTAAACTTCTGCTAATAAATCACGCTTTTAAGTATAAGTAAGTCTATCAGGATTTCCTTATTCAAAAACCCTAAATTCAAGCATTTCCTTTGGAATATTCTTTCTATCAGCAAATGGGTTAGATACATAATTACCTACAGCAGCAGCCTTAGAATGAATCTCAAATTTTTCAGATTCAGTTAATTTACGATTCAATTTGAATTATTCTTTGAATGGTAGTTCAGTTAAAGATAACTTTTCTACTTTGTCTTAATTTTCTTATAAAATATCATAGAATTGCTCATAACTTGATGCTTACTTTTGAAAACCTTTATCGGATTAAAATATGTTGTAGTTTTTAGATTCTTCTTTTGCTTAATTTATTTAATCTTGATATTCTTAACTGAATCCAATTGTCTTTTAAGTTTTTTGTAGACCTAGAATTTCTTTAACTATATCATTTGCACTTTTACCTTCTTCTATTCTCTTTTCTATCATCTTATCTAAGTGCTTATCATATTCACTAAAACTTGCTTCATTTATAATATTAACCGACATATCTCTATCTCTCTAATCTTGCTACATCAAACTTTTTATTTCATCTTTTGTTAGCTCTTTATCTCGTGTGCTTATTTCTGTTAATAAATTAATTTACTCTTTTCTGGTTAAAATTCTATTTGGTTTTTCATTATTTTAACCTTTAGTTTAATCTTATTCATCGCTTTTTTTAGCATTTTATCCAAATTTTGGACTAGCTTTACGCGCAAACCAACTCTTAAGTTAGAAATTTAGTGTAGTAGTTTTTTCACTATTTGTGCCTTACTTAAAAAGGCTTGAATTTTTTAAAACTCTTCCACAAATCCTACTAAACATTATTAAAATATTAAGATTTGAAATTATGAAATTAATTAGTTTTATATATTTTTGATAGAAAGTAGATTTAAAGATAGTAAAATATTCTTGTTTGCTTTATTGAATAAATTAATGAATAAATGATAAGATTAATTTGTGAAGATACAATAATCTAAAAATATATAAATTAATATAACCCATCAATCTATCTATTGCTTTTTTTTAAGAAAAAAAAAGTAATTTCTTTTTTTAAAGGAAAATTTGTTTAAATTCTAATTATTTTGTATTGATAAAATGAATTAAATACTACCATAATTTAAAAATTAAAATTCCAATCAAATTATCAAACTATTTTAATCATTTTTATTAAAATTAAACCAAATTTAAAAATATTTTAATTTATTTTATTTTTTATCAAATCTAAAGAGTCAATTTTACATTAAAGGTATGTATGTATATAGTATATGTATGCATGCTTGTAATATATAAATGAATGAGTGAGTACATTTAATATTTATGATGATATAAAAAAATTATAAATAAATAGTTTGATCAGTTTTATACGTAGTAGTTTTCTGGGGATTAAGACCTTGATTTATTTCTTTCGTTTTATGCTAAATCTCTATCGATATTGTTTTCTAATCTGCTTATCCTTCTTTCTATATTTTGCTTAAATAACTTTCTGTTAGCTTTGTTTCTTTCTAACCTATTATAAAAATATTTTTAAATATATATTTGTTTTTTTATTAAATACTCTTCATGAATTTATTCAGCTGTTTCACAGTCTTCGTAAGTAGCAAAATTTTCTTCACCAAAGCGATTGTAAGGATCATAACTTGCTCTTGTTAAGGCATTTCTTTCTACTTAATAATGAGCTTCTCTAGCATTAGAAGGGTCTGTGTGAATTCTTTATGCAGGAGCTGTATGAACATCCTCGACAGAATGTAGATTATAAGTATTGTGATAACTCTGATTGTGAAAATTAGAAAAGGTGTCCACACTTCTAAAATTAACTTGCATTTCGGATTAAGGCTAGTAGCTTTTAATAGTGCTAATTCCACTATTTCTTAAAACATTTCCAGTATTTTCTTATTCCTTTATAATCCTTTCACTCATTGGAGAACCCTATCTGCTATAGAGCGGACTTGTCCTTTCATATTCTTAAAATATAAATATTAATTTTAAATATTTGAAACTAAGCATTTATTTTTTTACATTAATTTTAGTCTCTTAATGTCTAATTCTTAACTCTTCTATCAATATCTTAAATCTAATTAATGCTTCTATTTAGTTTATCCATTCTCTTCTTCAAATTATTTCTCTAAGTATCAAGCTCGTTCTAAAGATCTTAGTATTCTTAATCTTAAATATTATTTTAAAAAATGTTAAAATTCCATTTAAAACTAAATATTTTACAATATTAATTCACTTGAGGATGTTCGAGCATTGGCTGTATATCCTAAAATAGTTCTAGTTCTAAATGTTATTTCCTTAATTCTTGTTAAAGTTCATTAATTTATTCTTAGAATCGGATTTGCTTGTCTATAAATTCCTATATTTGTGTATTCTTGCTTTCAATAATTGCATTGAAGTCATTTATTTTTTAATCATACATGTCAGAAGACTCTCTGATTAAATCTAAACTTTCTTTTAATTTAGATTTCAATTATTCAATGTCCAAATCTTTTCCATATACTTAATCTTTTAATTCTTCATTCTAATTTCAAAAAATTAAGTTAATTTTAAAAATCAAATAAACAATTCAATTTTACTTCTGAATACAATTCTTCAATTTTAGTTTTAAACTCATTAGCCATCATTATTGAATTCTATAATTTTTTTTCTGTCTCTCTCAGAAGTATAGAGGATTATTCTCCTCTATTAAGTAAAGCTTTTTCAGTTTCCAAAATAGTATTTTATTTAACTTTAATAAAATAAAATAATTTATTATTTTTAAATAAATTTTTCATAAAAAAAATATATAATTTTTCTACTTTTCTTCTTAATACTATTTTGAAAAATCAGTTTTATTCCGAACTTTAAAATCTCAAAAAATATTTTAAATTAAAAAAATATTACATTCAAGCTCTCTTTGGAGGATAGATATTTACTTTTAGACGGCTCTGGTTTCATTTTTAGACTCATGAATTTCTATGTCTTTTTAATGAATTTATTTTTAATATTCTGAATGGATTTATTTAAGCAATTCTTCATAATCCCTTATTCTTAACTCATAAGCTTCTTTTTCTTCTTTAAATATTTTTTCTTATCTCTCAATTGATCTTAATTAAGAGTTACATTTAATCTGAATTTGCTAAAACTCTTCAATAGCTAGTTTTTAGCCAAAATTTTCTTCTTTTAACTAATTAATTTCATAAATTAAATTCTATTTTTCGTTTTCATAAGAACGAATAACTTCAGAGCTAGAATTTATATTTGTTTCATTCAGCTTTAATTCATGGTTCATTTGATATAAAATCTATTTTTGCTTAAGGATATTTTCCCTTGCTAAAGCATTCAAGAATATACGATAAATCTTAAATTTTTAGTTTATCCTAAAATTAATAACTAATTTTTTCAATCTAATTTCTTATTGAGTGTGCTTTTTGAAATCATTAAAACTTTAAATCAATTTTTTTTTTTGCTTAAAATCTAAATAATTATCTAAATTAATTTGATTGAACTTCTTTTTAATTGATCTTTTAGCATAGTTTTTAATTTGATAAAAACATTTAGCAATTAAATTTGCTTTATTTTTAACTTACTATTATCTTGCAGCATTTAATGGTATCATTCTCAAGTACCATTACTTGAAACAATACTTATAAAAATTGGATTGAGTGATTTTCTACACTTGATCATATTTAGCTCTTTCTTCAATCTTATTTTTGCGATATTATTTAATTGCTTAAAAGTATTTAGCCTAAATTTATTTTCTTAGATAATTAAGAACCTTTAAGGTCTATTTCTTGCTATTTCTGCTATCTAAAAATGAGTTTCTCCATTGCTTAAACATAGATTTCAAAGAATTGTGTCTAACTAAAGCTTAAAATTCTACTTTCTAAGTTCTATTCTTTAAATAAATTTATTTCCAGCGCTTGAAAATTAAGTTTTTAAATCTCTTAATTTAGAATGTCTCATATTATCTTGCAGTAAGCAAATTTTATCTACCTTGCAAACGAATTTATTGAAATACTTTAAAGATTCTTTGCATTTACTAGAACTAGAGAGATTTTTAAATATGTTATATTCTTTTTTTCTAAGGAATAACTATATCATATTAGTAATTTTACCACTACTCAAACATTTTGCATCTTAACTTTTTATTGTAAAAGTTGGTGGCTTAATCCATTAATCTTCTTTCTTTAATAGGATTTATTTTACTTGCTAATAAATTAGAACGTAAACACTTAAAAGCTTTCAATTGTACCTATAATTAAAAATAATAATTAATTTTGTTTTTTTTAAATAAATCCTCTAAAAATAAAAAATACCTTTTTTTAGAAAATCTTCAAGATTTTTTCTTTTTTCTGCTATTTTATTTGCTAAATTCGTTAGCTTTGCTTCCAACATATCATACTTTTTTTCAAACATATTTTTTATCTTTTCTCCTTCATGATAGACAATCTCTACTAGAAAATAATATTTTTTCTCCATGTTGTAAGCATCTTTTTTTACAAGGTGCATTTCTATTCATAAATATATGCCTTTTCAAATTTCTTTACAATGACTCTCCTCAACCAAGCTCTAAAATATTCACTTTGTAAGTAGTCAGATTATTCTTATAATTTCTTTGCTCTGAATTACTATATTTTTTACTCTGTTTAAACTGCAAAACCTAAATATTTCATCAATAACTTTTTTAATCTTATTTCATTAAAAGCTTCTGCTTTTTCTTCAATTTAGTTTCTGTAATCAAGTTCTTGAATTTGTCCCTCTTTAAACATGATTTATCTTTCAAGTTCTGATTTTTCTTATGCCTCTTTCTCTAAATCAACATTCTTTTGCATTAACTAATTTATTTACTATCTCAACTCCTGAATTTCGAATTCAATCTCATTTTGTCCTATTTCCCTATCTTACATATCTTAAATCCTTCTTTAAGCAAAATCTAATAGCTCAATTTTTTCTTTATCTTTTTCTTACTATTCATCTAAAATTCTATTTTGACAAAAAAATATTATAAAAAATATAAATGTAACAAAATTACTTTTAATTAATAAATTAAAGTTCTTTAAGTTCGTCTTCTTTCTATTACACAACTTAATTTAAATCACTAATTATTCCTTTTAAATCATTATTAGTTTAACGATAAGGTGAACGAGATGACTAAGACTTTTTAAATTCTTCTAAAGAATGGTCATCTTAGTTCATATATCTACGACAACAATCTTAATTTTAAGAATTTAAATTCTATTTATGATAATTTCTGTTGCTGTTTGATTATTAAAATGTGATATTCTCAATACTTTTCTTTGAAGAATTTAGTCCTTATTCTTAAATTTATTATTTTCTTACTTTTTAAGTAATTTTTTTGCTGCTTGTTGGGATACCTTCCTATTTATTATTAAACATTTATTTTATTTAAAAAATGAAAGAAAAATTAGAGAAAATCATTAAAAACAAGATATTTATTTTGAAAACTAAAATGAAATAATTACTTATGAAAGTGGAACAGGAATTGTTCTATTTGGTGATTGTGACCTTTTTGTTGATTAAGTTTTGTGCTTTTAATCTTCTTCCTCTTATTTTTATCCCTTTAAGCTTTTTTGTAGGGATCTGTAATACAAGGTATTTTAATTATATTCTTGTTCTTATTGTGGAGATTTTGTACGAATTTCTTCTTTTGTAACTTTAGGTGAATACAAAACTTACTATTAATCTTAGAACTATTAAGATCTTTAAGTAGAATTGAATTAAGAATATTGAGATGATGCAAAAGGTTGCTCTTTATGTTTAACTTTTATGTTTGCTTTTAATGAGTTTAGTTTATCTACCTATTACTAACATTATATATTTAATTGAGCCATCAATTATTGTTATTTCATCAATAACTCTGTAAAAGCCTTTTCATAATTTTATTCTTATTCTCCTTACAGTTAATTTAATGATTCGTACAAGGTTAAAATATCAGACATTATATTATCAACCATTTCCTAAAAAATATATAATTTAATATTATTAATTAAATAAAGAAAAAGCTTACATCTTTGACATACTAAGGGAAGTCAGACTAAAAATCATATTACTTTTTTATCTGTTACAAATTGACAGGCATATTTTAAAATTGAGGATGATAATTAATAAACTAAAAATGGTTTTGTCCAAGCTACTAATGTAAGTCAAGTTTTTTAGAAATCTATATATTTTAAATAATTTTTTTTTTAGCAAGCAAATTAATTTCTTTAGCAAGTTTACATAATTCAATTTTCTTATTTCTATGTAATTATTGAGAATCAGGTCAAGAAGTGAATTTTACTTTTTAAGTTAAACTTCAGCAATTTATTTGTCTTCTTTAGTGACAACCTGTAGTTTATAAATTGTATGATAAAGTACAAATTATTTATATATGTGTGTATTTTATATAAATATATTTCTACTTTTCCATCAAGTTATTGCAAATTTGGAAGTGTGGTTAAAATGAGTTATCTGTAAATTGGATGTTTAGTTACAGGATTCCCAGACATGTTCAGACTTTCTAAGCTGTCTAACTTTCTAATAAGCTTAATCATTGAAATATCTTTTAGCTTTTTTATATAAAAAATAATCATATTGTCAATCCTATTTCAAACTTTTATTTCTTAAATAGTTTTAAATTTTATGTGAATTTTTAAATTTTTTGATAAGATTTGCAAAGCTTACTCTTAAAATAAAAAATACTTTCTTAAGAATTGCTTGATTTTATTTTATAGCTGAGGAATAAAAAACAAGAAATTATAATAAATATTACATTATTGTTAGTGATCGATAAGTGTTGTAAATGAGTGAATTATTCTATTCCATCCAATGTTTTTATGCTGTTATTGCTTATATATAATGTATCAATTTTTTTATAAAAAGTTGGAACTTTGTCAATTTCTTTAATTTATTTCTGAACTAATCTAATTTTAAATTCATCTGCACACTAAGGATATTTCTTAATTGCCTCTGAAAGCTGTTTATTAGGAAGTAGATGTTTAGATATTAATTTTCTTTCATTAAGGCTAATAATAAAATAAAAAAAACGTCTTTACAGTTATCTAATTGCTTAATAGTGCTTTACTTTACTGAATCGCATCTTTAAGTGGTTGTTTTTTATCAATAGCCTTATATTTATTTTAATATATTTTTAATTTAGTGATAATGGAGCTGCTTTATAAATGATAATAAAAATTTTAGTAAAGTATATACGCGCTATTTAAATTTTGAGAGATAACCTAATTACGAAGTTGAAACACTCATTCTGTTGCTATCTAAAATTATTAATATGAATATCTAAATATTAAAACTAATAATTAATTAATTAATATTCAGTCTAATATTTCTTAATTTTATTGATTTGAGAATTTTATAGTTAGTTGCTGATTCTTTCAGTAGAAGAATAAACTTTATTAATGTCTTAATATCTTTTTAAATAATTTATATGAATAATTATTAATTTAATTAATAATTCCTTTAACATCTTTAAATTTCAAAAAAAGTAATTTTTTTCAAAAAATTTGCTGACACCTACCATTTCCTAAAATAAAAACAAATAAAGATTTTTCAAAGCTTTTTCAAACATAAATATTTGACATATGTGATCAATCTATCAATCAAATAAGCAAAGAATAAATAATTTACTGGTTTTTATTCTATGCTTTAAAAATCACTTAACTTGAATAAGATTTGTATAAATCATTTTATATTTTATCTAAAATTATGTTTATAAATGTTAAGAGAAATTAATTTTATAAATGTACTGAAATAGAGTATAAAATAAATAATTATTGACTCCATTTCAGTTTTTATTTATATTTGTCAACTTTGAAATTAATAAAATCATTAAACTTGAATAAATATTTATAAATCATTTTATATTTTATCTAAAATTATGTTTATAACTTTTAAGAGAAATTAATTTTATAAATTTACTGAAATAGAGTATAAAATAAATAATTATTGACTCCATTTCAGTTTTTATTTATATTTGTCAACTTTGGTATTAATATTTGTGAACTTTGACTTTGTTATTAAGATTTTACTTTTTATCTACTCTAAATGTAACAATCAAATAAATATAAAAATTTAATTCAAATATTTAGTGATATTTATATAAATAACATAGCTAATAAATTTAAAATTAAAAATAAAAGGTTACTTTTACTTTTTTACAAATATTATTTTTTAAAATTATTTTTATTTCTTTTTTATTTTTTTACATTAACAAACAATTTACAAGAAAATTATTTTGAAAGAATGAATGCACAAAGTATTTTTACTGTAATTGTTGTTTGAACTGTATATATAAAGACTTATTTGCTAGCATTAATAAAGAATTTGAATTAATTTAAGACTGAATACTTAAATTTAAAGATAGATAGATAGATACACTGCTTATATATTTACAATTTATTTTAATTTCTTCATTCAAATTATCTTAAATAAATATGGATGTGATTACCATCATAAGTTATAATGTATTCATATCTATCGAATGTAACTTTTTTTAAAAAATTTAATTTATTAGCATTTAAAATCTTCCTTACATCTTAAATGATAAATAATAATTATGTAAATATAATAAAGTTAAGGTTCATTTACCATTTAATTTATGGAAGGTATTAGTTTCATTCTTTATTAAGCTATTTGTTCCTTCAAGCATTTTAATAGCGGTACTAACTATTGCTGATTAATTATTTTACAACTCTCCTGAACTCTATAGTTTTTTAAAAATTTTAAATACTATTTTGACATTGTTTTTATTTAGTTAGATAAAATTTAGTAATTGTTTTTTATTTAAGTTATTTTTATAGAATATCCTGAAGCTTTGTTAGTTTATTTACCTTAATAACTCTTCCGTTTGGGTCGGCAATAAGGGTACCTGTAATACTTTCTTCCATTTTGCTAATCTAGTTTTAAATCTTTTTTTAATTTTGTTGAGATACTAAATGTAATGTAATTAATATATTTAATATTTTTTATTGAAAAAAAGACTTCTATGTGGTTTTAAGTATTTTTATACTTTTGATAGATTGTAGTTTGTTAGAAAGAAAGGTTATCAAAAATTAATTTCTGCTTTTACCAATAAACAAATAGATATACTTTCAATACATGTAAGCCTTTATTTCATAAATTATTAAAAGAGAGAATTCTTTTATTTATTTATGATATTTAATATAAGAAATTATCATATTTATCAAATAAATAAATAGGAAATTTATTGATTTTGTATACAAACAAATTTTATTGATGCTCATTTTGATAGAGAAGATATTTATTAATTTTTCTGATTTAGTTAGTTAATTATTCTGGGTTTAATAAAGATTCATGAATTTGTTAATCGGAATTAATTTTTGTAAATATTTATAGCATATTATATCAATCTCTACTAAAGTAGGAAAAACTAAAATTTAGAATTAAGAAGGAACAAATAACATTATATTTTAATTAAGCATTAAAAATGTAGACTAACGATATTAATTGGGAGACATTGCTATTCTTAGAGAAGTCTCCTTCGAAGAAATATTTAAGAAAAATTATTGAGTTTGCATATATTATTAGAAATAAATTACAATAATATGATTAAAATTATTAGACTCCTGTTTCCACATAATTTTACATAGATCTCAATCTTACAGAGGAGTAATGTCACAAAGTAAAGAGAAATTTATTATTTCATAAAGAAAACTGATGATATAATATTATAATGTCTTTTGCAGCTAAGCAAAAAAAAAAAAAAATCTAAATTATTTTTATATTCATTTTAATATTAATATAAATAGATGCTAGTTTCAACTGTAAAGTTATTGGAAAAAGCTGCTCAATCTAATTTCTAAAACGTTATTTAAATATTCCCTGGAGATTTTAACCAGTCATTAAGAGATATGCTGATTGAAATTTTTGAATAGTACGGTGAGAGTAAATAGTTTACTTACTTTTTATATTTTTACTAAACAGCATTAAATAATTTAAAAGAATTATTGCTATTTTTTCACATAAATTTTCTTAGCCTTTTAATTGTAAAAAAGTTATCTTAACATTTTAAAAATTATTTTAAAGTATGGAAGAAGAACATGAATAGCAACATATAATAGGGAGATAAATTGATTGATGTTGATTGGAGAATAGATGTATAAGTTGCTACTCATGGATAAGAAAAGATAAAAAACCCTGTTATTTTTATGCAATTAGAAACTCAAGGATCTAGAAATGAGATGAAAACAATTAATTTCCAAATGAACTCTGCTGAATTAAACACATTCCACAACAATCTTCAAAAAATAAAAGATCAACTCTAACAAATTGTTTAATAATGAAACATACGAAATATTTTTATTTTAAATCTTGATTTATATTTTATAATTGTAATCAGAAATTCTCTTATTTTTTTAATACTTTTATTTACACAAGTTACTGAAATTTAGAGCAAGAGTTAATTAAATGTATGTATATTAATATTAAGTTGGGTAATCCATTTACTATTATTGTATATTTATTTTGCACTCATTTAGAGTTTTGAGCTTCTTTTTATTAACCTTTTTCAATTTGAGGAACAACTACAGGTGTTTGTTACTGACTTTAAGTTTGTTTTGAGAAAATAGATGAATCTTGGTAGTCTTCTGTAAGCATATTTTAAGACTTTAAATATTCAGTATGTATTTTAATCTGCTCTTAGACTTCTTCAAAAGTAAGAGAGCTATCTCTATTCTAATAAAGTTAGTTGGTAAGATAAGGAACTCCAAATCTTTCGATGTTTGCTTATTCTCTCAATTTTTCTATTTCTTTCATACGAAGCCATCTTTTTCCTTCACTAGGAATACGATTGATTTTAATTGATTCTTTTCTATAATTATCTAATCCATGAATTAAAAAGTAGTGTCTTATCTAAACGACATAAATATCCCACATTATAGATCCTATACAAAGAGTCCAAGAGAATTTAATGCTTCTCATAAAATTAGCAAAAAACTTTGCTTAGTTGCTTTATTCTAATTTATTTTTAATAATTTTAAAGTTTCAAGTGTCAAAAATTAATTTTATATTTTTATAAAAATCTTTGGATAAATCTAGAATTATCAATTTAATTAAAATTGTATTATTACATAAATATAAAAATGTTGCTATATTAGTCACTACACCTGCTGCAGTATTGCTAATGAATAATTATTCACGGTCCATACTTCTTCTAACTATTCCGTTTGCTACTTCATTTACAGCTATTCAAATTTATCAAGTTTTATTATTTAATCATAAGTTTTTTGCATCAATAAACTTACTATAATATAACAGTCCCATCCCAAAAGCGCCTAATCCGTGGCTTTTAATCAAAGGTCTCTAAGGCACTTCTTTATAAAGGGCTTTTGCTAAACCGAAAAAAGCGCCAGCCGTACCTTTTTGTTTAAATAATAAAATAAATTCAAACTTAAATTTAAACAAAAAACTCTTTACCAGCTAAAATTGAGTTTAATGGAATTCTTACAACTGAAGAATCCCTACTTAAAAAATAATTTTTGATAAATTCAAAAGGAGTAATTTCCTAAGATTATGCAGGACCTTGAATTTTAGTATCTTTAAATTTAAAATAAAATGTGCATTGAAGTCACCCTACTTGAATAAATATACCTATAAGTTTCATCATTTTTAAAGAAGTTTTTTGTTAAATTCAGAATCTTTATTTATTGTTGTAAATTTTAATCAAAATAATTAATTTCTAAAATACCACTAAAAATATTCATGTAGAGATAGTTTGGCAAATAAATATCTTTAAATTAAAAAGAGAGCAAGCGAGCATTCTACTTATTTGAAGAATATTTATTCCTATGAAAAAAGCAACTAATTTAGTTGAAATTTAATAAAATGTTTTATATAAAAATTGTTACAAATAAATCTAAATTTAAAATAAATATCCTAGTTAGTTAGTAAATTAGTAGCTTACATATTACAATATTTAACATAAGATATAGTTTATTATAAATAATCAAAGTAATTTATTTGAGAGACTTTATAAATTATGTTTATATTTTTATTCAGTATAAATTTATAAACAATTTTTAATTTATTTATTATAAAATTTAAAATTAATTTACTGTAAATTATTTTTTCTACTAAGAACATTATTCTTTAGTAATAAATTTCAAATGATTATTTAGTTTACTAAATAAATAGTATTTCAATTATACTCAGGAGAATTTACTATACTAATGTTTTCATTTTTAGCATAATTTACAAGTAAACCTGTAGGTGTATATAGATTCAAAGAAGGAGCAGTCATCATTGGAAACATAGGAATGTTATATGTGTTGTTTTAAACTGATAGTGGGTGAGAGAAGAAAGGGAAGTTATAGAAATTAGCTCTATCGTAATTTCCACCTTTAAATTCAGTATTTAATTTAGCATCACTTGTTTAAGGAGCTCTAAAAGTGTTTTTTTAGCTTGAATTTTTAGAATTTTGATTGTTTAGTTAGGATTAGAATTTAAAGTTCTTGCCACTAATATCAGAAGAGCTTTTCGAAGAATGAATTTTCCTTTTTTCTTAAGATGTATTGTATGATCTTTTTTCTTAGATATTAGGCATCCTATCATCGTTATTATCAGTGTATTTCTGAAAGAATTTTTGATTTTGGCTTGAGTAGAATTAAGAGTTTAAGTTATTTGAAGAGGAGTATTGCTGAGTATCAGGTCTCTTTGAATTAGCTGCTGTGCTGATACTAGTTTTCCAAGATCTTACAGTCGATCTATTATTCTCACTACTTCTACCTTTTTCTCTGACATTAGACCTTAATTAAAAAATATATTAAATACATGTTTTCTGTTTCGTTTAATATCTGCAAGTAATTGTTTGAAATAAAAATTTACGTTGTTGCTGGGAGATAGTCATTTTAATGGCTATCTACTGAACTGTGAGCATTTGTGTGATGCTAAAATAATTTATTTTTTGAACGTTCACTCTCTAACCCTTTGATTGTTTCAAAGTTTGCTTTCTTTCTTTAATCCATAGCATTTGTAGATCTAAGATAAGAAAATGTTTATGATTGTTAAGAGCGAAGTTTTGCATAATTTTTTCCTAGAGTTTCAACATCATCATCATTTTCTTCAGACTCTTCGTCTTCATTATTTTCTTACTTAATTTGAATAGTGTATTTGTTTTATTTATCTTACTTTTCATCTTGCTCTTGCTAAACCATATTCTTGTATATACTTTTCTTTTCTTCTTCTATCTTGTTAAAAAGCCTGTTTGTAGTAGCTGTTGTATCATAATTTTTATCTAACCTATCTATTTTTGATAATATCTTCTAATTAGTACTAAACTATCTTAATGTCTTTTTATGCATATTTTGTGTATCAGTAGCTTAAGTCAATCTATTGTTTAAATCTTGAATGACTTTAAACTAGGCATTTGGTATTTTTTCTTATTCTATCTACAACAACTTTTTGTTTTTTTCTTTTTCCTTTATGAGATACTCTATGTATTCTTACTTCTCTCTCTATTTTTACTTTTTTGCTATCTCATCAATAAATAAATCTTCTTATATATCCTGCAAAGATTTATAATCTTGTGTTTTTCTTTGTTATTTCTTTAGAATACCTGATGTACCACCTTGTGTAATTCTTTAAGATGAAGTTACATCTGTTATTTATGCTGTACTTTATGTGTTTTATAGATTCGCTAGGTTTTATGAATTATTAATTTAATTAGACTGTAATATTTATGGTCCATTATTTTAAAATTAAGATGACATTGTTTGTTGTTGTTGAAGTAATTAGTGCTATTATTATTATGACGACTAAATTTAAGAATTTTAAGTAAATTAAAGTGGTAAAATTTCTTTATTTAAATGAATTGTAGCTCTGTTGCTATGAGATACACTAGCTGCCATTTAGATTTACTGATTAGAACTGTTTGTATGGTTGATAATTAATGAAGAAGATAATAAACTCTATCCGCCAGAAATACCAGAACCATTATTCTTTAATGTCTTTTATCCATAGCCTGAAGGTATCATATACTTTTTCTTCGCAGCTTCTCTTTGTCTAGAAGAAGGTACCTTCTCAATATAATCAATAATTTGTTATAAGCGGGAGCCTTCCTTCTGGTTTTAAGGTTCGTTTTTCTATATGTCATCACTACTAATTTTTTAATTTAGGATTGTATGATGTAAATGATGACTATTTTAAGGTGATGTTTGCTGGATTTCATCTTTGTTACTTTCACTCAAAGAGAACAAATACTCATTTTATCTTTTAATAGCATTTTCTACAGCTTAAGCAATCTTTGGATTTACTTATTATTCACTTTGCTTGTAAAGACGAAAAGGGTAGTACACAACATTTTTTTCTTTTAAATCATCCAAAATTTCTTTACTTTCTGTTTTAATCTAATTCATCATGCCAACAAAATGATTATACAACTCATTTAATTTATTATTATATTCTTAAGATGCACAGTTTTCTAAATCAATAAATTCCATCAAGAGTTCATTTACAGTTTATTTGGAATCATAAGAATGTGAAGCATGTCTATTAATCAAAAACTCTTAAATATTTTCAGTATTACAAAAAAACCAAACTAATCTGTCATTTTTGATGGCCTAAAAGAACTCAGCTGCTTCTTAGTCATATCCCTCCCCAAAAATATTTGTAAACATCTCCTTGATTTCCTCTAAGCTAAACTTTTCCATTATAATTTTAAATTTTTTATGTCTTTTAAGTTCTTTTTCAACTTATATTTAATGCAAAATTTCAAGCTATTCTGCTTAGATGTTATCAATAGAGAGACGGCTTTTATGCTTATTACTGTTCTAAACCTGCAATGCATTAGTATTAGTACTTGAGCCTGAAGGATTCATTTATTACTATACACTAGAAATGTTGCTTTGCTGCACTGAAGACAATTCAGGTAGCATAGGAAGAGTCTCTAAAACTTCTTTATTTTTTTCGTTTTCCATCCAAATACTTGATATATATTTAATTGTCTCTTAGCATCTCTTATTCATTAAGGGAGAAGGAGAGTTTTGTAAGATTTTTTTGAAAATAGTCTTAACAATTTTACATATTCTAACAATAGAATCTCCATAATTCATAAAGAAGTTAAAGAAAAAGTTCTTATTGTATTTAATTTCCTCTACAACAGGTCCAAAATCTGTCATGTCAGACATTTTAAGTATATTGACTGTAGTGTAAAGAGATAGCTTTTTTGCTAGTTCTTCTCCTTAATGAGAAGCAGGTACTAAAGAGTACTTAGGGGTGTTAATTTTAACATACCCAGCATCAAATGCTTCTTATATATTTTCTAATCTTTCTTCCTCAACACTATTGTTTCTCATGAGTTCGACATAAGGGTTATTTTTTTAAAGCTCTTTAAAACTCTTTTCTAACTCGAGCAAATCATGAGTTTTTAGAGTTTTTGATTTTAAAAGAGTTTCATATTTTTCATTATTTGTTTCTTATTCGTATTTCATTTCATTTAAGACCCTTAATATATTTTCAACACACGAGTCTAAACCATCTGGATATTGATCTAAAAAGCTATTTATATAACTAATTAGCTCTGTTCTTTCAACTTTTTCATAATCATAAAAAATTATTTTTATTTTTCAATCTTTGTTATTAAGGAGCAATAGAATATTTAATAAATAATAATTTGAAGGTAATTACTTTCTTAATCTTCTTAGTTAAGGTTACTATTGTTGTCACGATAGTCCTATTCCTTTACCTAATCTTTGTTCCTATTTAAAATTAGAAATATTCTCATTTTCATTTTAAAATAAATTAGTTACTATTTATTGTAAGACATGCTTGATTTATTCTCAAAATTAATTGGTGCAGCAGAGTTCATCGAGTAAACACTTCTAGCATCTGCATCTGGATTATTTTCTTTAATTATATCATCAAATTACTTTTCTTCATTATGGGAGTGCAAATCTTAGGCTTCATAAAGTTTTTTAATTTTATCTTCTTCTACCTTTTTTTTAATTTTAAATACATTAAAATATAAAAAAAGTTAATATTTTATTGTAATTTATTTACATTATCTCCCATAAAAAGCTCTCTAAATTTCTCAAAAAACTAAATGTACTTAATTATATATTTAGACTACATACGTTTTTTAATAATTTTTCTTTCTTCATTAAGTAACTCTTGAAGTTGTTATTTCGTTTAGTTAAAAATTACTTGCTACTCATCTATTTTTATTAATATATTTCCTGTAGTTTCTTCATTATCTTTTCTTCCTTTGTGCTCTTTCTCTCTCTTTTCTTCCTATCTCGATAGAATACCTTATCTCATTAGTTCTTAATCTGATAATTCCTATTTAGGTAACATAAAATAAGATTTTAAAATATATAATTCATTTAAAAGAATAAAAAAGGATTTAAATTCTTCAACTATAAAGTTAAAGCAGCAAGCAGTAAAATGTTAATTTTCATTTGATCTAAAAATATTTATTAATTTTTGGTAATAAGACATCTTCGGAATTGAGTTAAAAGTAATTGAGAAATTATAAGCAGTGCTTAATAGTTTACTGTTTTTATTTTGTTAAGCTACTTTGATGTGCTTTATTCTTTCTCATGAGCAAGGAATTAAATTCTTTATAAATTATCGAATCTACGATCTGCAGCTTCATTTAAAGACTCAATTTCACCAAGAGCATGCTTGATTTTTTGCTTTGTTTTAAACAACTAATCTAATTAATTTTTAATACTGTAAGTTCTCTCTTCTTCATTTTCAATATTAGCTTGAGTAGTTTCTATTTCTTATTTGATTAATACTAAATGGTCTTCTATTTCTTATTTATTGGCCATTTAAGTCCTACTTAATAAATTCAAAGTGTTAGACCTATAATAAGATTTGCTGAATATGGTAGAAAATTATTTAGCAGAAAATTGGCTCTTTGTAGCAAAAGCATTTTCTTACTAAAACTAACTAGCATACTAAGAATTACTTCCTTATTCTGAAGTAAGTGATATCAATTATTATTCTAAATCTCGGAGCTGCTTTTCCTTACTCTATCTAATTTCAGCTTATACATCTAGCTCTTTCCTAAATTAAAATTCTGTGCTGCCTTTTGTGCTTTAAATATACTCTTATTATTTTGTAGTGAACTTTTCTAGCTCATCTATCTCATTGAATTCATCTTTCAATAACTTTCTTTTCAAATTAAGTGCTTATTCTCTCTTCCTTTTCTCTTTTAAATCATCATCCTCAATTTTTTTAAACTTCTTCCCTACAAAGTTAACATTTCTCATTTTTCACTCCACTGTAAAGTAGGTTTTCCCTTTTTAAAATGGATAATTTCACAATAACTAAAAATTGTTTTAAATTATATTCCTAGCTTTTTGTCTTGGTTTATCTTGAATATAACTTATTATTATAATTTTTTTTGAAAAGCTTAATCAATACTGATTGAAAAAAATATCTATTAATTAATTGTAATATTTTGTATAAGAATCAAATGTTATGGTAATGTGTAAAATCTAATAAACATATTAAATAATTATGAAAAGAAGAGAAAAATATTTAAATAATAGCTAAAACAAACTAATATATATTTGATATCTTAGAAATTAATTACATAGAGATTCAAAAGTTTTATAAAATTTTAATAACTCTACTCTAATTAATTAAGATTTAAAAAATAACAAACATCACCAATATGTTTTTAATTAAATACAGATTTTTTAAAAAATTTTGATTAAATAATCAAAAAAACTTTTTTTAATTTCATTTTGTAAAATATTCTTAAGACAGACTTAAATTTCAATAAATTAAAAACAAAAAGAATAGAAAATTGATTTAAAAAAAATAAAACAAATATTGAAAAAAATTATTAATGAGTAAAAATGTATGTGAGTGATTAAATATTTTAAAATACAGAAAAAGTTTCAAATGTTAATGGCGAATATAAAATTAACAGTTGGTTTTAAAATATTTAAATAAGCTACTTAGCATAAAATAAAACTTAGAATTACTATAACAAATAAATAAATAATATATTCAAGGATTTAACCAGTTTCTAAAGATATTTAATAAAGCTTTGATCATTTAATGAAATTTTAACAATTAATTTAAATAAAGAAATCACCAAATAAATTATATTTATAAGTCTTTGCAATAATAATTATTCTTCAAATATTAAATAATATCTTGATTGTTTTAAAGAAGGATAATAAATATACAATAAAAACCGAAATAAAAGGCAAAAAAAGTAGTATTTTTATAGGGCAAAAAAATGGCTAGTTACGCTAACGAAGACTTTATAGTTGAAGAATTAGTTGGTAAACAGGGAATATCATCTCCTGTCTAACAGTCTTAGAAAGTAAGAATATCTTCTTCGCATCAAGGACCTGAAAAATCTGAAATGAGAAACTCATTAGCAGATAAATTCAGCTTAAAGGATTAAACTCCACAATTATAATCTTCCATAGCAATCTAAAAATTATTAGGTATTACTCCAGCAGGCAATAACGCTGGACAAATCAACACAGCAACTTACACTTCGTAAATCTAAACAGCTAACACTCCTGTTCCATCGTATACTAGCCCTTCTGGATTATACGGAGGAGTTACGGAAAATTATAATGCAAATAGTAATGTGAATCCTTCTTCTTTAAGTGGGTAGTATTCTACAAATATATAAGGTTATGATTACAAATATGATAATTAATCAAATATACCTAACTATAATAGCAATTCTTCAAGTGGCTTAACAGGTTTAGATGCAAAAAGTGATTCAAAAATAAATTAAACTTCAGGAAATTAAGCAATAGCATCTTACTATTCAGCCATACCATCAAGTTTAAATAATAAATCTGATATAAAAACAACTACAGTTACTACAATCACAAACAATAATTATGCTACTAGTATTTAAGACTACAAGCCATATGTGCCTTCTTCTACATAAGCAACTATTGGCACAAATTTTTCAACTTCTCCTTATGTTCCCTTATCAAGTACATATCCTGCACAAAATTACAGTGTTAGGGCTAGCTAAGAGTATTTCCCAATAACGGATAGTAAGTAACTTATAAAAGACTCTAATCAAACAAAAGGTAGTGCAATAGTTGAAAAAATAGATTAATTAAATCCAAAAAATTAGGATATTTATGGATCACTTCAAGTAAATAATCAATTAAAGTATGGTGGCTCAATTAGTGGAGTAAATTCTATTAGAGACACTTTAATTCTTTAAAATTAGAATTTAACAAGCAATGTGAAAGACAGCATCACTATCAATCCTTCATTGTTTGCAAATTAATTTTCTAACTCACCTAAAAATTAGGATGATAAAGCTACTTAAGACTAATATAAAATCTAAAGTGTTTTAAGTAAATTCGCCTCTTATCAGCCTACTCCACAAGGTGCTCGTACTTCAGGATTGAAAAACTCAACTTCTTAATTGAACATAGCTGCAAATTACCCTTCAATTCCAAATGAAACAGTAGAAGAGACCATCAAAAGAGCCAATAACACCTTAAAATCATCTCTGCTTAAATCTTCTTCAACAAAAAATTTAAGTAGTAACTTCAACACAAAAGAATTGTCTGCATACGATTAAGGTCCTTCTTCTTATAATTATTAATTTTAACAGAAGCCAATAGAAATAAAATAAAATGAAAAGCTCTACACAAAAGAGTCAGTAATCTAAGATTTTGTTCCCCCTTCTTAAACTTATCAAGCTCCATAATATCAGCTTGAAGATTACTCATCTAAATACAAAGTTAACACCAAAGAATCTGTTATTTAAGATTTTGTGCCTTCTAAGCTTTTCTCAGCTTAAAATTAGTAAATTGATACAAATAAATAGATCAATACTGAGTAATTAAATACTAAGTAATCAGAAATATAGGACTTTGATCCCTCTAGAAACCTCTAGCCTTAATCATATGAAAATAAAGTATATCAGTATGATTCTTAATATCAAAATTATAATATTCCTTCTTCAAGTGTTAAAACTAGCTCATTTGCAAAAGCTAATCCTTTAACTACTAAAAATTAAGCTGAAAATAGTAGAGTATCTAGTTTTCATAAACCATCTAACAGCATTTCATAGTCGCCTATTAGAGAAAATCCTCCTAGCTTTTAAGCAAATATGTTTAATACAACTCCATCAAAATTTGATTAGTTAAGAATCATTTCGACTATATAAGCTGGTGCTTTTTCTACTAATTGGTAGTAAATAATACAAAAAGGAGAAAAAGATGGCATAGAATTCAATGACTCTGAATTTCCAGCTACATTAGCTAATATTGGAGGAAAATACCCTGATGTAATTATTTATTATTTTTTTGATTTCACTTTTATATTTTTTTTAAAGCATAAAATTTTTACTTTTTTCTATAATCTATTTATTTTTTTATTTTTTGTAAAAAAGGTTGTTTCTTGGCTACGTCCCAGAGATATTTTTAATACGGGATATGAAGTATTTGTCAAAGGTATAGATCCAACCACATTAATTTCAGGTGATTTAGGTGATTACTATTTTTAAGGTGCTGTGAGTGCTTTAGCTGAAAGAGATTATAGCATATTGAAGTTATTCCAAACAAAGTCAGTCAATAAAGCTGGATGTTATGTCCTAAATATATGTTGGAAGGGTGTTTGGACTTCTGTTATACTGGATGATAAATTCCCAACAAAAGGTAACAAATAAATTTGCTTTACCCGCTCCTCAAGCAATGAATTATGGGCTATGCTACTAGAAAAGGCTTGGGCAAAACTACATGGTAGTTATGCTAAAATAGATGGAGGACTAGTAAGAGAAGTATTACATGACTTCACAGGAGCTCCTTGTAGGAATTTCTTTACTTCAGGTAAAAATATTAATGTAGATGAAATAAATAGATTAAATTTAATGAAAAAAATATTTTAAAGGTGAAGGATTTTTGAACAGATAATTGCTTTGGTAAAAAATATAATATGCAGAGGATAAAGATCTTATTGTACTCGCCTCTTGTATGGATGATTTGTTGAGTGCAGAATAAGAAGAAATTAAAGATCTATTTGGAATAGATAATGTCCATCCTTACACTATTCTAGGAACAATTTGCTTGAAATATTAAAACAAAGACTATAAATTTATAAAATTAAGAAATACATATGTCAAGCAAGGTAAAAAAATATATTCTAATACATCTTTTTGTAACAATTTTTAACAAAATTTAGAATGGTAGCCAATGAGTGAAGACAAATATTTCAATAAATTGCCTTAAGAAGTTATAAATCAGTTAAGCTACGGTGGTAGATGCACAAGAGAGGGTTTCTTCTTAATGGAATATGAATTTTTCTATAAGTTCTTTACTGATGTTTAAATATGCTATTAATTTTTAGGCTACCAATACACTGGCGAAAAGCTCTGCACAATGACAGCTTAAAAGAATTACTTTAAATTATAAATAAGCTAGGCTGGGTACTACTTCTTTTAGGTTTCCTAGCAATCAATAAGAACTGAGAGAATCTCAGATTAAATGTCTACAACTGAGAGAGATTACTATTCTCAAGTTTATTTAGTAGTAGCACCTGAAAGTAATCCCTCTTAACCAGTAGTCGCTGTTAAAGGTAATTAAAGAGATCTTACCTCATTTAATTACATAGATAATCCTACCTATTTACCACAAGGAGAATATCTTGCATTTATTGAAGTTGACTGGAAGAGTAGCTAAAGTAGCTCAGGTAATTGCGGTTTTGGAGCATATGGTTCTAATTACATAGAAATCAGAGTATCTAATAGCAATTAATGCTAAGAATTCGCTAATTATGTCGATAAAATTTTAAATGATAGTAGCAAATGGGAGTAAGTATGATAAAAAGGTAATTATCCTATTCCTGCTCAAATTAAATTTTAAAGATTTTAAAAAAATTGAAATATTTACACTTTTATTGCAAGAATATTCGTAAAAGTTTAATTATTTGTGTGTCATTTTAATAAATTTTTTATTTTTAAACAAAAAATTCTACATAAAAAATTAAAAAAGATTTTTATTATTATTAAAATTCATTTTATTTTTACATTTTAAGAATTTTAGGAGAAAAATTTTTTATCTAAGTGTGGATGGATTGATAATAGATAATTAAATATTTAACATTTGGTTTGAAATATAAAAATCATCATTGATAAAATATTTAATTAATCATGTTTTTTGTTAAGATAAATTGGATGTAATTATAAATTAATGAAATTTTATGAATATTTTTAACAAGCAAATGTGATTTTAGAGTTTTAAAACAAAGAAGAATTTAAGAGAAAAAAATATTTAATAGTAAAATTTAAATACCTAAAATGTATATTTAGTTAACTAAAATCTGGTAAGTTACACAAATTAATATGTTTTAAGGAAAAAAAAAATTAACAAACACTTTAAAAATGGCATTTTTTTGTAAAGGTTTTATTAACAATATAATCCAAGAATTTAAAATAAAAAGTGAAATTCTTTGCTAATAAATTGCTCATCACAAATATATTAATCATTAAATTGCTAATTATAAACTACATAATTAGTTAAATTGCTAATCATAATAGTTTACCATTATTATTATCTGGTTGAAATACAATTAGTAACAGTAAACAAGTATTTATTTATTTAAATTTTATTTATAATTTTATACTTTTTATAATTTCATAAAGAAATTTTTACCAACCCCTTCCCTTCTATTTATTTTATTTAAGTTAATTTTTCTAATTTTTTTCTAAGAAAATTTATAATTTGAAATGTAATAAATTGAAAACATGAACAAAACATTTTTATTTTTATAAAAGGATACAAAATTGCATCTAAATTACATTCTAATATAATTAATAAAACTAAATCAATAATAAATAAAATGAATTTTAAAAGTTTTAAAGAGATAGTTTTTATTTATTTGTGCTTACTGGATTTTAGCATCATCAACTTTGAAGTTATCTTTGAATAATATTAGCTTTTTGGTAAATAAATGAAGAATTTTGAATTATTTATTAGATCATTCTCTTTATAAGTTAGTCGATTTTTTGTTTAATAGAGATCACTAATATTAATTATTGCTTTTAATAATATATTTATTTAAAAAAAGATAAATTACACGTCATCAATTAATCCTTTTTTTGGAAAAAAATTTAATTTTTCTTTATTCTTAGGATTTTTTAATGCGAAGTAATTTAATGAAAAAGTGCTTATGAAGTAAATTTGATACTGAATATTAAAGACTCAACATAATTTTAAGAATATTAGATAAATGTTAAGCAAGACTATCTTTTCTAAAGGCAAAAATGCTTTAGTGAGGTTAAATATTTCGTAATGCTTGACGAATTTCAAATGTAAATTAAAGAAAGTAATAGTCCTAAAATTTTTATAAAAGATTTCATTTAGCAAGCAGTTCTTTAAACAAATTTGTTTTACTTTTATAATTTGTAATATTATAAATAAATTAAACTTCTAGAATAGTTTTGTTTGTGAGTGACAATTTTTCTTAGAGTAAAAATTTAATTTTGAGATATTTATATTAATATTACATCTAGTCTTATTAATGCTTTAGATAAATTTTATTTTTGACGTTATCACCTAATTTTGGTATAATAAGCGTTAGTTATGTGAATATGTTTTACGTGCTTCTTATATCGTTATTGCATATTAAAGAGATCTTTAAATCTTAAAATTAATCAAATAAATTTGAATTAAAGAAACAAAGAACAATTGTCAATAAATCAATACATCATAAGAAACGTATTAATAGAGTTGATAGAAAATATGTTAGACCTTTCAAAAACATTGTAAAAGTTATATTCGAGATACAAACAATTTGTATATTAATTGAAAAGGGAATGTTTTTGAGTTGCAACAAAATGTTTCTTGAAAAGTACAAAATAATTAACCTTATATTTTATTATAACCAGATATACAATTCTAATATATTATATTTATTTAAATGAGGTAAATGATGTCATTTGTTTATTTTATTTTTTATTTAAATACTATTTTTCTATTAAATTGTTTTTTGTAATCACATACTTTTAAATATTCATATTGTCTAAATAAAAACTCATATTACTATCTAAATTATTGCATAAATGATAAATCACACACTATCTTTCTAAATTAAACGATTTGGTGAGCTAATTATTTTTTTTTAATCAAATTATTCACAAAAATAGTTATTAATTTTTCTTATTAATTCTGAGCTAAATTTTCCATATTTACCTTATAATCTTCAATGTTAACACAATATATTTATAATAATGGCTGATATTAAGCTTGCAGTTTTTAATTTATTTTATTTTTTAAAATTATTTTTTATTCAATTTTATTTGAAAAGGTTTTTTAAATGTAATTTATCTATTTTAATTTAACCAATTTAAAATTTTGTAAAATGCTTTAAATAGAAAAGCAATTGCCTTTAATTGAATGCTTATACAATTCAATAAGAAAGGTAGAAAGAATACTTTGAAATATGTTCTAAATGTTTAGAAAATAATTAAAAAAAAAATTAGAGATAAATTTTTAAGAGGTTAATAATTTGAATATTAAATACCACAGAAAAAATTTTAAAATAGACTTAAATAGATATTTATCTTTTTTTTTGAGTTGTATAATTATTAAAATATATATATATATTACATTATTTATTTATTTAGTTAATTGATAGATATGATTGTAGGTAAGTAGTTCATTGCAATATATTTTTGATTATAATAGAGTGTAAGAGTAATTTTTTAGATTTTTTTCATAATAGTTAAACCTGCCATGCAGGTAGGTCGTTTTAGATTTAATTTAGTGAGATCAGTAATAAAATCACTTTCTGAGTAAGAAAGTTAAGATTTTGTGAGTTACTCTAAGCAATGATTACTATTTAGTCATGGTAAGGCTTCTCTTTTAGATTTTTTCTCTTACTTTTCTTTCGAAGTTTTAGAGAGCGTATTTGTCAACTTGGGTATCATCTTGCATGTATTTGATGTAGCTAGGAAGAGTACGGAAATATTCGAAGACGTGTTCAGCTTCCATAACTTGTTCGACGTTCTATTCGAATTTTTAAATGTTGTTGAAATGTCTCATCATAACACCTTAGTTAAGGAAAGGGTTGTTTGGTAAAATGGCGTATTCGCTTAAGTATTCATTCAAAGTGGCGAAGTCCTTTCTTAAGGCTGCGTTTTCCTTGTCATCATAGCAGGCTTAGAATTCAACATCCAAAGGATTAATGGAAGTTAAGGCAAGAGTACCTTCAGCAGAAAGGAGTCTTTCCTTGGCAAATTAGTAAAATTTATCAGGTGAGCCAAAGTTATGGATTTAAGAACCAATAGTAACAAGATCAAATGTCTTGTTGGGGAGCTTATCAGCGATTTTAAAGACATCGCCATCAATCAATTGAGTACGATTGATAGCTTATGTAGGAAGAATCTTTTAGGCTTTTTGACGAACAAATTCTACTCTTTGAGAGTTTAAGTCAATACCAACAATGTTACCGTTGAATTAGTGGTAAAATTAGAAGAAGTTTTATCCAGTTTCCATTCCCAAATCTAAGTAGTTGTTTCTGTTCTTGACTTAGTTCAAAACCATGTCGAAGTGTTGAGGAGGAATAGCAGGTCTAGATTGATCGTAAGTTTGAGTATCCATTTATTTATTTTTGTTTAAGTTGCGTTAAATTTGTTGATTTATAATTAAAGTTTTATAGAAATAATCTAGAGATTTTTGATAATAAGAGTTAGTTATTTAGTTGCTTTACTATTAATTAATGAATAGGTTATTTAGAGAGTTGCTTTCAATCTTTCTTTTTATACTAAGTATGTTGTAGCTGTCTACTAGGCTTTTTGAGTTCCGCTATATATTTGCTCTTGAAGGCTGTTTTTTTTGTAACTTGGTTGCTTGGATTCTGTGTTAAAGAAGTAGAGATGTATAGCTCTGTAGGTTTGAGTTTTTTAAAAAGTATTTATTTTTTTTTACTATTTTTTGTTTCTTGAATTAATTATGTATTTTTGGTGGAAGATCTTTTATACATACAGACTTCTTATTAAATTATTAATTGATATCTGATGCATTACTAATACCCAGATTGCGTAAGAAAATTATAATCTTCTAATTTAATTACGTAAGCTTACTTTGTTTAATACAATTTGCTCTTTTTTTTTTCTTAGGACTTTATTTCTTCAAATTTTCCAAACCTAATTGTTATTCATATTAAAATAGAAGTGTCAAAGGATTTTTTTGCTACTTCATCTTTTTCATTCATTCTTTCAAATCTATTTTTATTAATTTTTTTTTACTCAAATAATTTTTTTCTATCTAATTTCGAAAGAACATTTTACTCATTTAAATACATATAACTTATAAAAATTTTATTCTATACTTCAATACTTACATTTTAAATAAAATTTATAATTTTTTATGTTAATTCCTTCACACATACCACTTACTCTTCAAGCTAGTCACTGAAGCAAATAAGAGCCCACTTGAAACAACAAGCAGTCTCATTCACTCTTTTTGAAAACAATCTTTAAAAAATACACTCCTACCCCTTAATTAATATACTTAGAAAAAGCTTATGTAAATTATTATAATCGATAAATAATAATAATTGGCAAATATTTTGTCATCTCTTCAAAAAAAAATTTTGGGAACTAGCTTGCTTTCTTCCTTAACCGCCCACCTTGTCTGTTAACAGTATAAAAGAATTGAAAATTTTATAATTTCAAGAGGCTATAGAATACTATTTAGTTTATGTTTGAAAAAACCAAAGATCTGTTGAAAAGCAGCAAATTTTTTGAGCTATTTATTGTTTGAAATCAAATAGATTAAGCTAATTTTAAACATACATTTCTAAAATTTCACATAGTCACAGATTCAATTGAAAAATTAACATTTTTACAAAATTATAATAATAATACTTTATTTATAATTAACTGAGTAAATATCGATCTAGCTAATTCCTTTTTTCTTTTAATACTTTTATGTATTTAAAATTAACTTAAGGCGTTTCTCAAAAAAAATAAAATGAAAAATAGACAATTTTTTTTTTTAATAAAAGAAGCATTTTTTTTATTTATTTTTGATAAGTAAAAATTTTTGATTTATAATATATGGATAAGAGTCACAAATGACTGCATTAATATTTCAAATATCAGAATGCAATGTAAGTACCTCATTTCCATTAAGCTTTTTAATTCATTTCAATCCCCAAATTAAACAGAATATTTATAATAATAATGGTCTTGTTTGAGTCAGCTATTTTTATATATGGATAACTAAACTCTGTAAAAAATGTTTTAGAGAAGTACAAATCAAAGACTCCCTTTTTTTACATGTATATTAATAACTTATTGATGTTTTTACAATTATGAGAGTCAGTTATTTATTTTGAATGGATATTTATATTATAAATATTGTAGTATTTAAATAACTTGTAAAAATACTAAAAAAAGCACAAAATTTAAATTTCCTAAAATTATTGGAGGGGTCCCATTAAACAAACTTCTTCAACATTAGCCTCAGGGGTAATTGCAGATAACTAGTTTTATGAAAATTTAGGTAAGTCGCAAAAATTTTCTTAATTTAAAGTGTATAAATACTCATAAATTTCAAATTTACTCTGAATTTTAATCAAATGAGACGTATTATCAAAATTAAATTGCTCTTTTGTTAACTAAATTTTAAAGGCATTCTTTTAAAATCCCCTATCTAAATATAATTGTCAATCTATTTATAGTTATTTAGTATGTAAATGAATTTGATTGATACATTAAAAGGTAGGGCTTAAACAAATTTCTAGTATGCATTATTATGCTGAGCGGACTTTTCTCTCAATATTTATTCCTGTTTTGAGCTGCTATCTCTGTTTTTAGATAGCTATTTATGCTAAAACTTTTTTGTCAGGTTTCATTTCATTATACAAACCAATTACACTAAGGATGATTATATTTATTAAAATAGAGATTATTGCCAATTATTTTTTGGCTATATACTTCAAAGTGCGTAACATTTTAATTCTTCACCTATCTTAAATTGACGCCATGTTACGTATCAATTAATTTGACTATCTGTTTGAGCACTCAATACTGAACATATATTTAAGATTGCCATTGCTTTTTATAGATTTGGTGTATTCATTTAAAATCTAAATTGCTACATAATATAATTCTGGTTTCAAGCTACAAATAAATAAATAAATCAACTCTTCTTTCACTCTCTTTCCTCATATTAAATATTGCTTTCTTTGAATTTACAAAAATATCTATAAAAAATTGATATTCGTTAATTACTTGATAGCTCATGACATAGTTAAATACGGTAAACAAAATATACTTTTTAATATTAATTCATTAGATTTAGTGATTTTTATAGGTGATAAGTTTATTTGATAAAACATGCAGCCATATTCTAAAATTTAGTTTATTAAATAATTGTTAGAAAACAAAAAGTAAAATGCCAAAAATCTAGATTGATTATAAAAGAATTTTAAAAGAGTTCTTATCTATAAATATTTTTTGGTTTATTTTTGCTAATTTTTAGCTAAATCACCAAAATTTGCTTTCATAAATACTAATAAAAATGTTTAGTTTGTTTGCAAACCTTAAAAATGTGTGAGTTTTTTTATAAATTTTAACAAAGAAAATTAGTTTAGTTGAATTATAAAAATTAGTAATAGCTCATACTATACATGCAACTTAGCAAATTAATAAGCAAGCATCAAAATTAAATAAGTCATATTTATCTTAATTTTAAACATATTGACATAATATAATATTTTGTATCAAATAATACTTCAAGGCTAATGAACATCTAAATTACCAGCTCGAAATGATTACCAATATGAATATATATATATTTAATTAATTGATAGATTTATACTTATTTAAGGAATTGAGTAATTTTAACAAAATAATAATATTAAACTTTTTCTATCTCATTTAATTTAAAATAAACAAAAAATAAACAAATACATTTTTATGCTAATAAACTAGGTATTTATTTCATAAAGGCTGGGTTTTATATTTTTTCTTAAAAACATATTAATATTCAATTATGTATTTTAACTATCCTCTAAAAATACATATGATACTCGTCTTATACAAGCTCCATAAAAGAAAAATACCAAAATCAAATAAAATATAAACAGAAAATCTAATTAATTAATTCATTTAAGTAAATTTTTAAGAAAATTAAATATATTTTTTTTTAACAATAATTCTTAATTTTATTAATATTTTATAAATAAATTTTATTTTAAATTATTATGAAATATTTGATAGATTAGTTATTGAAAGATTATCTTCTATTAATTTTAGGAATGAAGGAAAAACATTCAGAAATAAATATTTTTCTAAATTTTTTCAATCACACCAACTCAAATAATAAAAAAATTCATTTTTATACATTTATTTTTTAAGATGGGAATTTATAGCTTTTGAAAGGAACACATTAAATGTCTGAGTATTTTTATTGAAGATTAATTTATTCTTTGTGTTTACTGACATTTAGTGATTGTTTTTTCTTTGTGAAAGGGTTTTATTTTTTAATTGCAGGAGATTTAATCATCAATTTTTATATTGAAATTGTATCTTCACTTTGCTCTAAATTTTCATATTTGTTTGACTTTGAGCTCTTCTGATTGAATATCATTTAGACATTAGAAAATTCAGAATCTTGCTCAAGTAATAGAGTATTTTCTTAATTGTTTATTATTTTATCTTGCACATAGTTGTAGCTATCAAATAGGTAAGAGTATTTCTTAATACTATTTAATCTAAATGGTAAAATTTAAATTTAAGTATTATTAAAAGAGTCATTTGAAGGATTGATAGGTTCAATTACTCCTTAAGTATTCTATTTTAGCTTTATAGGTGGTAAAGATCTACCTTTTTTTCTAGTAATTTAAGGTAATAACTCTTGCTTTTCCATGTCTATATTAAGTTCTATGATCTTAGAATTGCAGGGTGAAGTATTTTTACAAGAAGGTAAATTGCTGAAATTTATATTACTATTTGCATTATTTATGCTTTGATTAAATGAATTCCACTAAGTAGTAGATGAAGGAGATGTAGGAGGATTAATTTACATAGTTTATTAATTAAAAAGAGAATTTATAGCCTCCTTAGATCCTTATGATAAGTCTGTATATTTATAGGAACCTTCTGTTTTCATTTTGTAAAATATATCATTCTAGCTACTTCTCTAGCTAGGTGAAGTATTTATAATAATGTTCTTTAAATAGTGCATTTTTGGTAAAGGAGATAATTTATTTTGATTGTTTATAGTTTGTGTCTTTTATTATTGAATGGATGATTTGTTATTCTTATCAAAATTTATAGTAAAATCTTCTAAGTAAGAAACTTTAAATGATCCCTTTTTGGCCAAAGCCAATGAATTAACTTTCATAAAATCTAAATCAATCTACTTTTAGTTATTTTCTTTATCGCAGCTCTTTTACTTTCTTTAGACAATCTTTCTTTACTTATTTTACTTGAATTAAGCATTAAAGTTTAACTATCTTCTTTAATCAGCTGCTTCTGTTTGAAAATGATCCCTTAGGATTATTTTTTAACTGTCTTTCTAACTTTCAAGGTTTAAGAACATGTTTGCAGATTGCTAAATTTATAAAAAAAGTATTCAATAAGAAAAATAATAGAATGTTAATAAGATTATTAAGTATCATACAATCAATTATCTAATAATTAATTAATTAAAACCAATTATTTATTAGTATTATTAATTACTAATAACAATTTAATTATTAAATAATAACCCTCCTGAAAATATATTTTTACTTAAATACATATTTTATTGTTTTACTTTTAAAATTTAGTTAATAAAATTTCATAAATTTTTAGATTTAAAATACAATAAAGTATGATTTTATAGTTTAATCAAATTTATTTTTCAGCAATTTTTTGCTTAAATAATGAAATTTTAGTAAAATAGCTTTATGTCATAAAATTAATTCAGAACAAAAATAAAATAAATCAAAATAAAATCTCAAATTTTTATGCAAAACATCTATTTACCATTTAATTAAAAATTAGAATATTTAAATTTCTTAAAAAAGCTAAGTAAATTACAAATAACCACAGCTGATATTTATTGTTAAAGATTGTATTTTATGGAGAAGTTTCATGAATTTTTTAATTCTTAATTTATTTCTATTTTATACTACTTTTTAAAAAAATTTTACTGATATAAATATTATTATTTTGTTCAAAGCAATCATTTTTATCTTTAATTTATTTTTGAGATTATCTTACTTAAATAAAAAAATAAGTTTCTTACTTGCTAAGTTATTATTATAAATTCAATTTAATTTAAGATATTGTTGCAACAAAGAAAAAGATGAATATTTGAATTCTATTGTTTTAAATAATATTTTTTCCCTTTAAGTATGATTGATTAAACATAATTTATTTTTGGGATCATCTTTTCATAAATTAAAATATTAATAAAGTCCACATTCATTAAATTATTAATGTAAACTTAATTTAGTTTAAGATATTTTCACAAAAAGAAAGTTGAATATAGGAATAATAACGTTAATTAAAAAGTTCGGTGTTGATATGGTTTAATTTATTAATTTGTAAGTGATGATTATTATATTATATTTTTCTTTTGCATTTTGCTTAAATATTATCCACATGAGTTTGGTGATTATAATTCACAAAGAGTATATTATTTACAGTTCTATTTGCTCTTATTTTTTCAAAATATTAATTATATCCAATCTTATTAATTATAATTAGTGTATATAATTTATTAATAATTTATTGTCATTTAAAAGCATATTTTATATACAATGACTAATCTATTAAGTGTTAAATAGTAACAAAAAAACAATATCTTGTTAGCAGATTACAACTACAAAAATGACATGTAAACTATTCCATCGACTTAAGCTAGAAAATCAATTAAAAGCAATGGCAGTGAAAATTCATAAAATAATTAAATTTAGCAAAAACAATGCGTTAGTAAACCTAGATCAATATCTTATAATTAAAAAGGAAATTTACAAAATAAACAGTAAATTACTTCTAATTTTGAAAAAGAAGAAAGTAAAACGAGTATAGAAAGTTCTTAATTTGTAGTGAAAAGCTAATACTCTAAACAGAAATGCAGAAGATAAACTTTAATGATGACAGGATAGGAATTTGAAGCTAAAAAGCTACAAATTACAGATTTAGATCAACAACAAAAAATAGAAATTTTAAAAAGACTTTGCAACTTAAAAGCAGTTAAAACTGATAAAGATAATTAGCTTATATATGATATCCTCAAAGAAAATTAATATATAAAATTTATAAAAGATACAAAAGGAGAATATTTTGTTTTGTCTAAAGTTTGCCCTAATATTAAAATTGTTTACAAGCGATAAGGAGAAATAATATATGAATAAGGTATGTATGTATTCAGTTAATATATAAATTATTTACTTTCTTATTAAAATCTGCTTACTTGGCTAAATTTATTCATTAAATCAAAAATTGTGATAGAATTTTTCAAAATTATTTATTATTATAAAGATAGTTAAAGCCAAGGTTTTTATGTTGTAATACACGGGGAGTGTGAAGGTAGGATGAAAAACTATTATACTGGAGAAGTCAGATTAATAACTGATAAATACATAGAAGGCACTGAATTTGGAAATATTGAATTACTAGATTAAAAAACAAGGATTCAAACTGTAATTAGCAAAACAGAGACACTGCTTATGTACTTCGATACTAATGTGCAAAAATAGTTTTTTCAATCAATATAAAAAACTCAGTTAGACTATTTAGTTGATATGCTTCTTTTGTTTCCATGCTTTCAAAATTATGGAAAAAGAAATTTATTAAGTTTTTTACCATTTTTTACTTTCTCAACATACAATCGCAATCAAAAAGTATATTAAACATCATAACTCAGCGATTATATTTATTTTATAATTTCTGGGGATTTTAAAGTTTATTAGAAAATCAATATGAACAATGATATTACTCTAGATTAACTTTTAAAACTTCCTTCAAGATTACTTACTGATGAAAAAGACAAGTACTCTCGTTCAATAGAAGTAATCTTATCATAATTAATTTTATAGAATTGATTTAATTTAAACATATATTTATTTATTTTAGGTTTCTGTTGTTGGCTCTGGCTAAATATTTGGAGAAGAAGAAATAATCATGAATGAAAATAACCGAAAGCAAGATGTGGTTTGCTCTTCTCCTTTAGGATAGGTTTTACTGCTTCATAAAGAAGTAAGATATTCTATTTTGAGAATTAAATATTAATGAAAATTTTTGTAAAAAGGATTATGTCTTTAAATTTGCGAATGATCAGTACTTTAGTGAAATTTTTAAATCACTTGTAACTTAAAAAAGATAGTTCAGAGAGCAGAGATTAAAAGAAATTGAAAATATTTCTAAAACTACAATTAATACAGAGGAATAAAATTACAATAAAAATGTTATCACAAAAAAAATTAAGCTAAAACTCGAAGACAGAGTTTTGGATTTACAAAAAAAGGGTCTTATTAAATCTAAATTCGAGTTTTAAATTCATAAAAACTAAAAGCAGTAGCAGGAATAATTACAATAAGATTAAATTGCAAATGCATCTTCTAGGATATCGTAAAATAAATTTATAATCACGATTTATTATTGAGTTATATATGTACTTAATTAAAAATAGAAGTCCTTCATAAAGTTGCAGAAGATAAAATACAGGAAGCCCAATTCAATTAAGAACAGCAAATAAAAGTAAAAAGTTTATTAAAATAATTATAAATATATATAGTACCCTAGGTCACTGTAACTGAAAATATTAGTTTTATTTATTTCATTGAAATTGAATCACCGCACACAATGGTTTCCCATTGGCTTTTACGATTTCTTCTTTTACTCTTTTGAATAATTTTATTTATTTTTTTATTTTATAACTAGAAGCAAGAAATTAAACAAAGTCTTCAATGAACACTGAAAGAGAAAAGAGATCTGAATAATTAAATAACTCTTCTTATTTAAATTTTGATAAAGGATCCAATTTTAAAAATGATATCAAGATTAACACACTTAACAGTTTTAATGAAAGTCAATAAATTTTTAATTTGCAGAATTCAAGGGTGGTACAAAATAATGGTTTAATTGGAAGAGAAGTTATACCAGCTATATTAATTGATAAAAATTACACTGACAATCACATAAATATATTTTACGAAAGCTAACTCTTGACTAGTGTAAAATAAAAGTCTCCAAAGTAATAGCATCATTAGGATTCAGTTAAATTAAAAAGCATAGGCAGTCTGGGATAGCTCAGTGATTAGAGCTAAAAGATTTCAATTAACAGCGAAAAAGAGCTATCAAGCACACTTAATTTTAAGAGAATCAAACAAAAAAATACTTTAGATAAGGGAGATTTTTATGGGGTTGATTACAGTGGTGATATTTCTGTCAAATGTGAGACGAGCCCAAGCTAAAGAAGAAGCAAGTAAAATAAATAAATAATTTCCAAAGAAAATACTTGCTATGAAAGCCCCTATAAAAATAAAGATACATCTTAAGACAAATTGGTTAATCTTTATAAATAAAAAAGAAGTAAAAGCAATTAACAAGAAAGCAGCATTCATTTTGACCCTTAATTTATAAATAAATTGGATGATGTAGATGATGAATTATCTAAAACTTTATAAACTGTTTTCTATAATAACTAGCTAAATCTTTATCAAGCCCAATAAAATAAGTAAGAGAATCAAAAATCTTATGGTGAAATTATGGAAAATAGTTAAGCTGATGAATTTACTTCATAAATTGATGAGAATACCTAACCAAAACAAAATTACAATAATTTCCAAAAACCAAAAACTACTTTAGCTAGTATAAGATCACCATAGGACGAGCCATAAAAGATATACGATCCAACTGGAATCAACAAATACCTGAGAAGAATATTTTATGGGAAGCAAAGAAAGAAAAATTACACTGAGCCTCATGGAAGCTACAACGAAATAAATGATAAATCTTACAACAACACATAGAGATCGTTTGCAACAGATAAAGAAAACAGCCCAGAAAAACATTAAAAAAGAAATGCTTCTTTGGAGGAAAAATTTGTTCGCTAATTCAAAAAAAATAAAAATGAAACACTGCAAAACTCATCTTACCAACAAGTAATGAAATCTGTTGATAAAAAGCAACTTAAAATGTAGTTGTATAAAAAAAATATTTTAAGAGATTTTGGTGAAAAAGAAAGATACAATAAATTTATAAAACCCTAAGGAGTTAAAAAAGACTACTATTGCTTTGAGTATGTTAATTCTAGGTTGAGTTCGCAAAATAATTTGGATGATGAAAATTATCAAAAATATTCTTAAATGGTTTAACAAGAATACTAAAAATTCAAGTAGCAAAGTAACGAAACATTCGATTAGCAGTCTGTAGTAAGAGCTGGCTCTCCGTGCGAACTTGATTTTCATACAGCTTATAACAGTGATTTTTAAAATATAAAAAACAAACCAAACCTCAATGAAACAGAACCTAATATTAGTTAATCTTAACTCCATAATGTTAGAGTATCATCTTACAGCAAGAAGAGAAAAATTCTTAAAATTGTTAATGACCCTAACACTAAAAAAATTATTATTTTAAATGCAAACAAAGCAAATGAAACATAGATTTCTTAAAAATGTGAATCATAAACAAAATAAATAGACGCTTTATAGCAAAAAGTTAGAAATTTGTAATAAAACATAGAATAAAATAAGAAGTAAAAAGAGTTACTTCAACTGAATGAATTGATAACAACCAAAGATGTCATAAATAATTGTTTTATACCTTCATCTAATGAACCTCGTTACAAAAAGTAAAAGCATTAGAAATTTGTTAATCATAAATCTAATACTTCAGAAAGTAAAAAATTCACTTAAACTTTTGAATATGTAGGTGATTTGAAAAGATATTCACCATCCCCATTCCGATTAGCTACAATAGACAAATGAATAAAAAAAATTAAATTAAATATTTCAAATTTTCCAATATAAATAATTTTAAACATACTTACACACATACTTAATAAAATAGAGTCCTATTTATTTATAAATATAAACTATATATTCAAATTTCATATTTCTATAATTAAAATAAATGAATTAAAAAATTATAAAATATTAATAAATTATTTATTTAATAAATTAAATCAAATATTTAAAATTTTAGAAATTAAATTAATTTAAGCATACTAACACATACACAATAAAATAAAGTCCTATTTATTTATAAATTAAAATCATATATTAAGTAAGATTTAATATCTTTAATTAAAATAAATAAATTAAGAAATTATAAATTCTTATAAAATATTAAAAAACTATTTAAATAAATTAAGTCAAATATTTAAAATTCTAGAAATTAAATTATTTTAAATATAATAAACACATGAACATTAAATTCAATTCTTATTTATGTATTTATTAAACTTTAATACAATATAATGCCATCAAATTATAAACTAATTAATAAATATTATAAATTTTAAATAAAAAATAAATTTCTCTGAATCAAATAAAAATAACATTGAATTAATAAAGGATTATCATATTAAAATTTAAAATAATATAACATTAATGGAAGTGATAAAAATGAGATAGATATGTAGATTAAATATAAGATAGATTGATAGATAGATAGATAGATAGATAAACATTAAAAATTCATATAAATTCTTACAAAAGATATCTATAATAAATTAAAATAAAACTCATAAAAAATTTAAAAGTTTTATTGATTTTGTTAAGATTTATTAGCTAGTCAATAAAAAATAAATTTTGAAATAAAAAATTGCATAGTTGTTTTCTATTGATTTTTTTATTTGCAAATAAATATAAATAAGACAACATATAATTCATTTTTGCACAAAAAAATACATATATTTATTTAGATAAAAAGTTATTCAAAAACATATTGGATAAGTATCATTTTTGCTATATAGCATTTTTTTGAAAATTTATTCATTAATTCATTTATATATTGAAAAAAGAAAAAAGATTTGTTAATTGAAACAATATTTATTTATTATTATTAATTAACGATAAAACCAGCAAATAAAAAATATTAAGAAAAGAGAGATTCTAAGAAACCAAATATTTGTAAATGGCTTCATTTAGAGCATCGTAAGATAGAATATATTCGTTAAAATTTAATCAAAAAGGAATAGGCTGAGAGCTTAAACTTAGGTGGCGTAGAAAATGCTGCTAACCAAAATAGAAAAAGCTTTCAGTATTTCAATGGATTTCAAATTACAGAAAATACTTTGATGCAACACCTAATATATTTTTAATTTAAAATTAAAAAAAAATAGATTTGAAAAGGAATTAAAGTAGAGATTGACTTAAAAGTCAACTTCTCACAGCAGCGATGAAGCTGTTTTGCTCAAAAGTTTTAAGTACTTTGATTTAGATAACAGCGGAAATGTGGATCAAAGCGAATTTATTAAGGTTGTTGAAAAAATTGGTATCCCCATCTTCAATAAATAAGTAATCATTTCTAAAATTTGGAACAATTAAAAAAATTCTTTTATCTCCTCTAAGTAATTGCAAAAATAACTTAATTGCATCTTTAAAAAATAGGACTTTATTGATTTGTTCAACTATTACGATGTTAATGGTGATGGTAGACTTGACTACAAGGAATTTTCAGCCATGATTTTCGGATATAGTACTGCAGTTACAAGGTAAATGGGGAGTTTAAAATTTTTTAATTTATATATAAATAAATAAAACAAAAAGAAAGAAAGAATTTATTAATGAATTAATGAAAAAATGTTTAATTGATTTTGTTTGGAGAAATGTTATTTTTTAAATATTTTGTTAAAAATAATTAGAAAAGATTCTCCTAAAAAGCCTTCAAGTATGAAAAGAGCTAATGACTATTTCTAAGGGCACACTTAGCAAGATGCTGTTACTCGTTTCTAAGAAAAGTTACGTTCAAGAGGGGCTACTGGCATTTTGGGTATTGCACGTTAATTCAAGGTAGTTAATTTAATATTTATAGAACTTTTTTAAATTATTTTAGTAGATTTTAAGTTATTATAAAATTTATTTATGTAAAATTATTGATTGATATTTCGTTTTCAAAAGTTTGTGAGTTGCAATATAATTTATTTTATTTATTTATTTTTCTTTCAAAATTTTACTGAATTTCTATTTAAAAGATTCAATTTTAAAATATTCGAATATTAAATAGATATTTGATGATGATAACTCTAGAACATTAGATATTTAAGAGTTTACAAAGGCCGTTAAGGATTTCAGAGTAGAATTATCAGAATAAGAAATTTAAGATGTATTTGACTACTTTGATAGAAATAGAGATAATGTTATTAATTATGATGAATTCTTGCTAGGAATTAGAGGTCCTATGAGTCAAAGCCGTAGAAAATTGGTTTAATAAGCTTTTGCCATTCTTGACAAAGATGGTTCTGGTATTGTTGACATTAATGACATCAAAGGTACTTACATACATTAAATATAGAAATAGAAATTTAATTATTTTCATTTATTATTTAATAGGTACTTATAACGCAAAGTTCCATCCTGATGTTAGAAGTGGAAAGAGAACTGAAGAATCAGTATTGCTTGAATTCATAAGCACTTTTGAAACTTATGTTGGCTTTAGAGGTATCAGAGATAACTAAATTACTCCTTAAGAATTTGAAGACTATTACACCTTTATCAGTGCATCAATTGATAGAGATGATTACTTCGAGTTAATGATGAACAATGCTTGGAGAATGAACGAAGGTGCAAATAAAAATTGGAACACTAAAGGATGGGCTTCTAACTCTCAATAAAATTAAAATTTATAATCTGCTTACAGATAAAAGTTTGACCAACCTTCTAATTAACACACTCCTTATTCTATTAGATAACAAGAACAATAACAAACTCCTTAAAAGAGCGTCCGCAGTGGTGTTTAAAGCTAATAGCAAACTCCTCCTTAAAGCTATTAGAGAAATAACTACGAATAAGAAGAAAAAGTCAAGAGATCTGGAAATCAATAACAATAGCCTTTATTCTCTCAACAAAATTACAACAACTAGCGTCCTTAATAGTCTGTTACATTGTAATATTAATTATAAACTCTTTTTAACATTTGCAAGAATAATGCATTAATATTCTCATTTTTTTATTCATAGTGATGTCAGAGATTTAATGACCAAAGTTAGAAATAAACTAAAAACCAGAGGCACTAGCGGATTACTTGGAATCTAACGTCAATTCAGAGTATATTCTATCTTTAGTTTCACATATTTATTCATTTTAAAATTATATTTAGATAATGGATGATAACTTTGATAAGTGCATCAGCTATCCTGAGTTCAGAAAGGCCATGAATGACTACAAGATGAATCTTACTGATGAAGAAATGTAAGCCCTCTTCTAATACATTGATATGAATGGTAACGGAGTCATCGAAATAGATGAACTAGTTAGAAACTTACAAGGAGAAATGAATGATTTCCGTAGAGGTTTAGTTGATTAAGCCTTTAACAAGATTGATAAGAATAAAGATGGTACTTTAACTGTCAACGATATTAAGGGAGTTTATAGTGCTAAAAATCACCCTGATGTTAGAAGTGGTAAAAAAACTGAAGATGAAGTTTTAGGTGAATTCCTTGAAACTTTTGAACTCCACCACCATTTGAAGGTAAAAATCTAAAACATTAATAATTAATTTTTCATTTTATATCTTACATCCAATTTATTCAATTAGGTTGGTATGAGAGATCAAAAAGTTTCTAGAGAAGAATTCCACGAATATTACAACAATGTTTCTGCTAATATTGATAACGACTAATACTTTGAATTAATGATAGTCAATGCATATAGAGTAATTAATTAATTATTTATTATTTAATTCAACTTTTTAATTATCAATTGAAAATTTTTCAATCATTTTAATTTATGTCTTTTTTAATGACCAAAAAAAATAGCTCTATCAAGACAATCCCTCCTAATATTAGTAATACGCTCCTGCTAACTACAAAAATCAAGAATACAGAGTTGGTAATAAAAATTAATTTTTTCAAACCATTTTTTTTATCTAAAAAAATTTTTTAAAATAGGTGGACCTTAAGAATTCAGATCTAAGACTACCTAAAATGCACCTTTCGGAACTTCTAATGCCCCTACTGATTACTCTACTAGCTTACGTCCTAAGACTGGAAATACTAGTAATTTGAACTTATAAAAATCAGCTGTTTACTCTTAACCAGCTGGTAACCCTTCATGGCCTGGATATAACTGGCGTCCATAATCCTCTCACGGATAATCTAATCCTGTTGTTGAAGAGTAGGATGAAAGAGTTAAACGTGCTGGCAGAAATGTTCAAACCTAAGGCTCATAATAATAATCAGAAACTTAATCCGTCTAGTAAAGCCAATATAGCTAATAATAATAAAGTAATTACTCTTAGTTGAACAGTGAAGAATTATTCCAAACTTTCAGAAAGAAATTAACTTCTCGTGGAACTAGAGGAATTTTGAGCTTAGGAAGACTCTACAGAATTATTGATGATGATGGAAACAGATCAATTAATTTCAATGAATTCAGCAAGGTTTGCAAGGATCTCCGTGTTGGTCTTAATGAGTAATAAGTAGCATAACTCTTCAAGCTTTTCGATAGAGATGGATCAGGAAGTATTGATTATGATGAATTCATTAGAGCCGTTAGAGGTTCTATGAATAAATTCAGACTTGATCTAGTTCTTGCTGTTTTTGCTAAATTAGATAAAAATAGAAACGGAGTTATTGAAGTTGACGATATTTTAGGTACAAATTATTTAATTTTTTATTTTTTTCAGCTTTACTGGTACTATTACTAAAAATTTTTAATTTATAGGCGTTTACGATGCTAGCAAGCACCCTGACGTAAGAAACAGAAAGAAAACAGAAGAAGAAGTTTTAGGAGATTTCTTAGACACATTCGAACAACATCATGCAATCCAAGTAATGAATTAATGAAATATCTTTAACAAAATTCATCTAAAAAATTTATCCAATATATAGACTGCCAACAATAAAGGAAGAGATAAATCTGTTACTGTTGATGAATTTGTTGAATATTACAATAACGTTAGTGCTTCTATCGATGACGACTAATACTTCGAGCATATGATCCGCTCTGGTTGGAAAATTTGAAAAAAAATAAAATTTATTGCATTTTTGATGATTATATAATAATTGCAAATTACTTATAGATTGAAATAAAAAATATATCTAAGTAACTTCTTTGTCCACTCATTTATATATATAGAAATGTTATTTTTGAATAAAAAATATTATCTTTTTAAATCAGCTTTTCAATAAATTCGCTTTATTTTTATCACATAATTAAAAAAAAATATTAAATTTTTCCATCAACTCAATAACAAATATTAATTTCAAATAAAATTGATAAATCAGATTATTATGTTATTAAATTATAAAAATTGTGATTATTACTGAGAATCTTATTTTCTTTTTTCAACAAAGAAAGTAAGTTATAAATATTTACATAATAAATAAAATATGGTATTTAATATTTTAAAAAGATCTCTTTACATTTTTAGAAAATTAAAAGTTTAAAATTATAAGCCATAAATAAGTAGAAATAGTTATTTTATTATAAAAAATATGTTCTGAATTTTTTGCTAATTAAACAAAACTAAGTAAGAATATAACTATTATTTAAGAACAAAGTATCTTAAGGGTTTAATAAACTTTCTAAATTAAAATTTTTGCTATTTTCTATCATTATAATAATTCTATGTACTTTTCAAATGAATACTAAACGTAGTTGTTACTTTATAACTTTTAAATAAAAATATTTAATTGTATGGTTATGTGTCTTTTAATTCAGATCAATTAAACAATAATCATTTATATGTGCTTAATATATAAATCTTTCTAAAGCAAAATATATAAAATTTAATAAATTTTTGTTTAGTTAATTTAGAAGCATTTTAAAAACTGAAATAGGAAAAAAAAAAATGATTTAGCAAGCATCGACTCGCCAATCTCAAACATCTACCACAACTTATGTTGTATAAAGTGGATTTTAGTAAGTCCCAAAATCTGGTTTTCATAATCATATAGCTGGTGATTTAAATTGTCCTTGTTGTAATACAAAGATTGTAGGAGAAGTTTAATATAATCAAAATAACTTTGTAGAAAAGTAAGAAATCAAAAAAACTGTAAAAGAAAAAATAATACCCAACTTAGTCTCAAATAAAAAGTTTGTTCCTAATCAAAATACAAAATACTGCAATATTCCTAACTGCACAGTATGTGAAGGAATGTATAGACTAAAAGAAGAAACTGAAGTTAAAACAATTATTCACCGTGATGTTTCTCACTCATGTGATTTCTAATGCAAGTTCTGTTCATATAACGCTGCAGATGCTCGACTCTTATAGTTAATCGAAGAGCATCATACAAAAATGGTAATTTTAATTATTTAATTTTCAAAGGACAAAATCAAAATAAGTTGGTAGCTAGCTGGGATTACAGACTTTATATTTACAATAAAAATTAGCGTTTTTACTAAAAATAGTTTGATATATAAATTTTATTTAAAAAATTTGATATAGGCAGAATTAAAGAGATAAAAAGAAGAAGAACTCCTAAAGTAATAGCTTATGGATGAAAATCATATTGATTAACAAATTGAAGTTTAGTCTTAGAATTTAGAACCAAACAGTAGAATTTCAATGTGACTTTATAAAAAAAATAATTTTGCACAAATATTATTAAAATATTAAAATTAATTGTTATCAATCTAGGAAGCAATTAAATAAATGCTCTTCTTTATTTAGAAAATTTGTTTTTATAAAAACTATAAAAATTTATTGAAAAATATCTCTTCATAAGTTAAATAAGTCAGTCATATCGATAATTAAATAAAATTATATATATTTTTATACAGTTAGTTAAGCAAATTGAGTAAATAAGCTTAAATAACTTTTAAATATTATTATTTTTATTTAAATAGGTATATTATTATAAATTATTTTTAAAAAGCAATGTAAATAAATAAATAACTAAGGTTTGTTTTTCAAAAGTGAAATAAATATATCCAATTTTAATAAGAAAAATATCTCTAAATTAGTTAAATAAATCATATTGATAATTTAATAAAATTGTATTTTTTTAAGCAATTGGCTAAACAGATTGAGTAAATAAACTTATTATTATTTTTATTTAAATAGGTATTTTATTATAAATTATTTTTTAAAAAGCAATATAATAAATATAGGTTTTTCAAAAGTGAAATAAAAATTGTCAATATTAAATTTTAATAAGAAAAATATTTATAAATAAGTTAAATAAGTCATATTGATAATTCGATAAAATTATATTTTTTATGCAGATAGCTAAGCAGATTGAGTAAATAAGCTTAGATAACTTTTAAATATTATTCTTTTTATTTTAATAGATATTTTATTTTTAAAAAAGCAAAATAAATAAATAACTTAGGTTTGTTTTTCAAATATGAAATAAAATTTGGAAATTTTAATAATTTTTGAAAGTTTTATCATGCTAAATCTATGATTTTAAAACATTCTATTTTATGAATAATATTTAAGCATTATTATTTTTAAAAATGTAAGATACATACTTATATTATAAATTGATTCATGTATGCATGAAATTTATGATAAATAACAGTGATTTTTAAATTTTTCAAATATTTTTAATCAATCAAAGCTTGATTTAATTGCTTTGATTCATTTTCTCTTCGTATGATTTCTTTAGTTATTCCAATACTTTTGCTTAGTTATCTAAAGATAAGCTTTTGAAATTAGAATTAATAGAAGCAATAACACTAACAACTGATCCTATGACAATGTAGTTCAAGTAACAGAAAGTAAATGTTCCCTTTAGAATGTTATTTATTTATTAATTTATTTATTTTAAATAAATTTAAGATGAATTTTTACCATTAAAAGTTGACAATCCATACGATCTGTGAGGCCACCATGTCCTGGAATAGAAGTACCGAAATCTTTGACTTTAAGAGCTCTCTTGAAACCAGAAGCAAAGAAACCACCAAAAGGTGCAATTAATGAAGCAAACAAACTCAAGTAAAGACTGTGAACTTAGAATTCTGAGAGCTAAATATGATTGAATGGGAATGTTTAACTAAAGAATTAATTAGTTAAAGGACTAGGAATATAGAAAGAATCTACTTAGCAAGATTTGAATACAAAAGGAGTAATTGTTTGAATGTCATTTTAGCAAATCAAGAAAGGGACATTTTAGAATATGTAAGAGAACTTATTTTAAATAAATATTGAAATTATCATGTAAAGCATATTTTAATAATAAAACATACCAAAACAGCGAAGAATAGTGAACTGAAAAAGCCACCTATAAATCCTTCCCATGTTTTATTAGGAGAGAGCTAAATGAGTTTTGTTTTACCAAATAGTTTACCAAAAATGTATGCAAAAATATCATTGCTAATAACTAAGAGTGCAGGAAGAATAAACCAAACTAAACCTTGATATAAATTGCTAACAATAACGGAAGTTTGAGCTACAACTATAAGTATAGTAAGATGAGTCCATCCAAACAATCTGAATTAATAACGATAGAAACCTTAAGTAAGTGATAAGACAAATACCAAGAAGCCAATAATCCAAAGACTAAAAGATGCAAATTTGTGATAATTTAAAATGGATCTAACATAATCTGGTATAGATGTTTCTTCACTTATCTTTGAGGTATAAAATGCTCCATAGAAATAGAAAACACCTACAAAAAAGAAATACCAGTTGATCATATTGAAAAAAGGTATTTTATACTCCCTTTATGTCTTTCTCTTGAGATTGATAATTTCTCTAAATATACCTAGTTTTGAGATATAATATTATTAGTTTATATTGCATCTATCTTGAAGAAAATTAATATTTATTATAAAATGCTTTTCACATTTTCTTTTAAAATTACTGCTACTAAATAACCCAAATACATTTCCGTGCTTTGCTTGCAAATCAAATTTGAATTAGAAATTTAAATATTAATTTTTTTTTTTTGTAGATTATTCTTTAAATAAATCTCTTCTAATTTTCGCTTCAATTTTTATTTATTTATTCATTCTCTACTTTGAAATTTTGTCTAAGAATAAGATAAATTGCAAACTTGATCTTTATTTATTTTGTCATCTTTTATTATGAATTCTAAATAACAAAAATACCTGCAGTGATAGTAGTAATAAGAAGGGCACAATAGAAAGCTCCAGCAGAAACAATTAAGATGAAACAGAAGAGCATAATCAAAGTGTAAATAGTTCTGACTTTAGCGCTTTATTTATATAAAGTATCTTGAAGTTAAAAAAACTCTATAAATAAATTTATATTTATTATATTGTATTTTTTTCAAATTGCTTATTAATCTCTATTAAAAATTATTTTATTTGAATCCTTGTTTGCTTTTCATTTATGGTATCCTTAGTTAATTTACTTGCTTAAAGTTGCTACGGCAATAGGTACGTTTCTCATTGTTTTTTGGGTTTCTTCTTTCTTTTATGCTTCCTACTGTTATAAAATGAGCATTTAATTTAATCATCTAAATCAAATACTACAAAAGATATATACTAATTTATCTAGTTCCTCCTCAGAGAAGTCATCTGTTTTTTCATCAGAAGAATCTTCTTCTGATTTTTCATCTCTCTTTTGATGAGATTTCTTTTATGATCTATTAGTTACTTAGCTCATATTTAAAATTTAAAGTAATAAAAGGATTTTTAATTAATTAATTTATAAATATTTATTATTGTAAATATCTTAGGAGAAGCTTTTAAATTAATCATCAAATATATATACCAATAATTAATTTGCTAATATCTACTAAAAACGATATATATTTAATTAGCTATTTTATTTTTTTCTAATTAAAATAATATAAATTCTCAATTAATTATTGGTTGTCTATTTCTAATATATAAAAGTTCACTTTTTATACATTTTTTTTATTTTGAAGATGAGAAAATAATTTAATTTTTTATCAAATATAAATGATAAAAATAAACTAAGCTATTTTCATTTTTTTATAGACATTTTAGAATTTTTAGATAGATCATACATAATAATCAAGCCAACTTTATTTCACTAATTTAAAAAAATTATCTTAATAAAATACCAAAATAAATGCTGTTATTTATATTCATTCATTCAAACAAAAATTTGAGAAAAAAAATGTTTTCTATTCGTATAAACAAACTGTTAAATTCTTATCATTTAAAGATTTAATTTGATAAATAATTGTTTACATTTTTGTTTGTTAGAATAGAGAGGAATGAATAACTTATTCATAAATACTGATGAATAAAATTTAATTAACTTCTTTATCTATCTCTATTTATACGTATTAAATTATTGAGATAGATATTTTATTGAATTCTAAGAATATTTAAAAAAACTCTTCTCTTTTGAACACGTATTTGATGCAATTTTAAATACCAACCATTCTTTTAATACAACCTTCTATATACAACTTTATTTTTAATTTCTTTAAATTCATAAAAAAAGTCGTAAAATTTTATAGATAATATTTTATTATTTTAACTGCCTTTTCTGACATTTTGCTTTATTAAATTAAAATTTTTTATTTAAAAGTAAAATTTTTGAAATAATTTTGATTTTAAATTATTAATGCAGAAAAAATATTACTTTATATTTAAATTACTATTAATAATTTTAATTATTATTATTAATTTGAAATTCAAGAATTGAAGTTTGTAAATTCTTAAAGAGTTTTACTTTCTCTTTAATTAGGTTTCTGTAATTTATTCTTAGGAGAACTGACACCAAATTTTTTTATATTTGAAGGAAATCCTTTATAAAAATTTAATTAGCAATTTAGTTTGAATATATCAAGCTCTTGCTATTTCATTTCTTAATCTTTTTAGTTAATTTATTTTTTTAATAGCTATATTTATTATTTAAGTTCTTAATTTTCTCTTTAATTTAACTCATTTAAGCTGAAATTTTATAAGTATTCGCTTTCATTTTTGAGGATTGGAAAGAAACTCGTTTTTGATGTTTAAACTAATTCTAAATCTAAATTTAAATTTTAAATTTTCTCTTTCATTTCTATATTTATATTTTGATCCAAATTTTATTCTAAATCCAAAATAATAGAAACCATACCTTTTAAAGCAATCAAAACTTCTTGTAGTTTTGTTCTTTCATTAGGAATGAATCTAGTTAATCCCAATATGAGTTTCTTTAATTGGAATTTAAAAGGAAATTCTTTTTCGTCATCTTAAAATTGAGGAAATTCCAATTCTTTATTTTTTTATGAGATATAAAATAGTAATTTGCTTTCTCCAAATATCAAATAATACATCAAATATCCAAATGAAAAGCAATCTCCTCTCTTACTTGGAGTGTTTTTAATTTTTTTGCTATTATTTTTGTTTATTTATTCATAATAATCCTCATAAAAGTTTTATACTTCTGGAGGGCTAAATAAAGAATTTCCTTAAAATGAATCTTATGCATAATAATTATCCATTTCAATCAGCTTGTTTCCCATTCCGAAATCTGCCACTACAGCATTATTATTGTAATCTATTAGTATATTGTCAGGTTTAATATCTTATACAATAAATCTATTTTTATGGATATAGTATAAATTTTCAGCAATATCTTTAGAGTATTTAATTGTAGAGTAAATATTTAGTTTGCCACCTTATTATTAAATTAAATCCTTAAGAGTTCCTTTACATTCATTTAAAACCAGATAAATCATTAAATCTCCTTCTAATTTTTTGAAAAGCCTTAAGTTGTTAGGCTAATCACTCATTTTTAATAGTAAATCTGCTTCTTTTTCACAGGCTATTCTATCATCTTCAAATACCTAACCACTCTTATCTTTGATCTGGAATCCTTTAATAGCGTATCTGAATTTATTTGCATTATCTAAAGCAAGTAAAACACATCCTTAATTCCCAGCTCCTAAATATTTAAAATTTGAATAACCCAGCTCAGATAGTTCTGACTTCATAATATCAATTTTATTTGAATAATTTGCATTCTTTATTTTAATTTCTTAGAATTACTCGAGCACTTTATTCTCTTTTTAAAGGGTTTCAATTTTTTTATTTATAAATAGATTTTTATTGGTATCTCTATTTTCTAAATGCTAAGTTAGCTATTTATAAACTTCAATGTTATCCATTTTCAAATTAATTAGTATTTTTTTTATTTTTTTATTAATTAATAATCAAAAAGAAAGTCAAATACTAATTGAATTAGAATATAATCAAAACAATTAGCTTTGATCATGAAATCTATTAAATATAACAATCAATCTAATTAATAACAATTTTTAAAATAAGTTTTAATTAAGAAATAGAATTTAATTGAAAATGTTATTATATTAAATATTTTCTTTTTTAAATTATATATTTATTTACAAATTCTATTATAAATAATAAAATTTTTGTTTACTAATTCTATTATTATAAATAAATTAGAGCTCAAAGCATATTATATTTTTGTGTGAAAATAGTTCTATTAATTATATCCATTTAGTTGTTTGATTATTTGTTTATCAACGGTAAAATATTCATATTATTTTTTATAAGCTGGTTTTAAGATCAAAAATTTTAGAAAATAAATTATCATATCAAAAAAGATAAACCTAATAGCATAAATATATAATTATAAATAGTTCTTATGCTCATAAAATGAACCATAACACTTCTTTAAACAGCTTAGGCTCAAGTGATTTAGATAAATCAAGAACATTCTCTTCATTTTCGCAACAGAAAGTTTACGATGCATATTAATCACTCAAGAATAATGATGGTTTATATTGGTAAATTATGGAAGGACTTTAAAATGAATAAAAAATTGAAATATTTTTAAGAATATTGAAAAAAGAAATTCCAGAAAGTAGATCTGAATACCAATTGTAATTTTTATAATAATAATGTAAACAGTTTGAATTTTTTAAAAATATTTCAAATAATTACGGAGATGATGTGGTAAAAACATGTGTTAGATATTTGAGATATGAGGATCGAGCAGCTGATTAAATTGTTTTCGAGTAGGGTGAGAGAGGTACTAGATTTTACATTATTCTTTAAGGATCTGTTCACATTTTAATTCGACTTCCTGAGAAAGGAAATGTTAATAAGTTTAAACAATAAAAAATTAATACAATTCACGCAGGAAAAGCCTTTGGAGAAGTTGCTTTAATGAATGATAATACTACTAGGACAGCAACAATAAAGGCAGCAGAGTTCTGCAGATTTGCATACCTTGAAAAAGAAGATTTCAAGAGTATAATAGGAAGTAAAGCGGTGGAATAAATTAACTAACGTTATAATTTTATAAAAGACTATAGCTTTTTTGATGAGTTCGCATATAGAGAAATTATCACTTTTAGTTATCATTTTAACGAAATGAATTTCAAAAGAGGAGAAATTGTTTATGATATTTTTGATAGCAAGATAGATGATATTTATTTTGTAAAAGAAGGTTCTTTTATGCTCTAAGGATCTTTCGATATAACCTAGCAAATTGTACCTAATTTTAAGCAAAAAAGGCAACATAAAACATTTAATATAGACTTCCTAGTAGAGAAAAGTATTTTTGGGCTCGAATATTTTAATAAATAAATTTTAAAAGATACCCATTTCTATATTAAATACATAGAAGAAATGAGTAGCTCAGCTCCTTAATCTCAACATGGGAAATTAAATATAAGCAATCTTAATTAATAATAAGTTGAAGGATAAAACTAAGCTCCATACTAACCTTCGAGGATAGCGTAATAGTTTTGTTGTCATAAAGATTTTAAAAATTGATAGGGAAAATATATATGAAATCCTCAATTATTATTGATTGAAATTTTTTTAACATAAATTACTAGTTAATTTCATTTACTTAATGCATTTTTTATATTATATAGACGAGTTATTTGTGATTCTACTAGAGGAACGCTGTATAGAGTGAAAGGAAGTGAAATAGAACAAAGATTATGGAAATAAGATAGTAAAGAAAAATGGAACTCACTCTCAAAAGTGATTTTTGAGAAGTAGGTTAAAAAAATAAAAGAGTTTATTGAGAAGAGTTTACAAGAAAAGTCTGATTAAGAATTACAAAGAGAATAAGTAAAATATTTAAAACCTCCAATTGAATATCTAGGTAAGACAGAAGAAATAAGGCAATTTTATTCATCAGAAAGTCCAACATAAAGAAATTCATTAGCTAATGTATAAAGTAAAAGTCCTAATAAACATATAGATCATGCATAATCGCCTCTTTTAAAGAATAGCTCAGGATCTCTATTGAATAATCATATTTCTTTATTGTTAGATTTAGACAAGTTCATGAAGAGTAGTATTGATATAGGACTAGATAAATCTCCTTTTTCACAGAGCATATAAAAAATGAGAAATATATAAAATTCTCCATCTCTTTCACCCTCTAAATATAAAAATAACATTCAAAATTGTATTAATTCACTTAGGTGGATTGATGGATCACCTAAAAAAAGTAAAAATGTTACTATTTCTGAATTTGGAGATTAACAAAACCTTGAAAAAGCTTCTCCTAAAAGAAATTGTTATTAAGGCAATGCTTCAACAACAAATAGAAACCACTAAAATATTAATAAAAATTTCACTCTTAGCATTTTTTAAATAGAAGAAAGTGGGTCATCTCAAATATTAGATAAAAAAATTGATAAAAGTTCACATATTATTAAAGAAGAAGATGACTTTTTTAATAAAATGTACGGATCGAGTCTCCTTTTAAACAAAAAGAATTCTCCGAGGAGATAACAAATAAAAAAAACAAATTCAGCTTATTCTTTTAATTCTCATGAAAATCTAGATTCAGCTCAAAGAACATTAGAAAATTTAGTTTATGATGATGAAGATGAAGACATAAAGAGCAAAAAAGAGAAGAAGAAAAAAATGAAGCAATGCAGTCCTCCTAAAAAAAGTCCTGAAAAAGAAGCATTACAACAAGAGAAAGACTTAATAAAAAGCGAAAAGAAATTTAAAAAAGATTTCATCAAAAAATTAGAGAATATATAGAAGAAAGAAAAAAATATTTAACTATAAAATTAGAATTCTACTCAAAAAAACTAAACAAAAGACAATAAAGTAATAAAAACCGAGAATCCCTCTGAGACATTAAATAAGTTATTTTACTTTTCCCATAAACGCAATTTGATGGTAAAGAGATAGGAAGAAGTAAAACAATTTAAGAATAAATTTCTGGGTGAAGATCCTGAAGAATCAAACCCCTCATAAGTTATAAGAGGTGATAATGCAAAGCAGAATGTATAAGACTAAGATCTCTTATAAGCAACAACACTTGATGACTACAAGAGAAGAAAGTTTTAGAGAAAATTGGAAGAAGAATAAATAGATAAATTTTAGAAATTATTTTCGAATGATTTGGTTGAATTATCAAACATCAATGAAGATTCAGAGTACAACTAAAAAGTTAAATAATTGTATATAGACAATAGTAAAGTAGATAAAATAATATTTGATTAAACAGCTCACATAGTAAAATAGTAGAATTGTAGCTATAACTAGGTTAGAGAGTACTTTTATAAGCTCAATCATAAAGATAGATTTTTTTAAGACCTTTATTTAAAAAAAGCAAAATAAGAAATTGCTAACAACTTAAAAAATACCAGTTAAATGAATACAGATTCCAGATAAATCAGTGATAAAAAGAGTACTGAAATAGAGCTGAGCTAAGCTAGTTATATTCTAAGTAATAGTCGTTAATCTTATGCTACCCCTAAAAAGCCTTCTATTAGTTCTGTAACTCCTAATAGGAGGAGAACTTTAACACTCAAAGAAAAGAGAGCAAGCTCAAGTTTAAATGGGTAATTAAACGGGTTGGTTAACGAAACTAATGTGAATATAAGCAACGACTTAGATAATGACAATTTGAAATATCACTCTGATTAACGTTAAAATCTATCTGCAAGTAATCAAGAAAATATTTATAATGAATACATAGAAAATATCAATTAAGATGAAGAAGAGGGAAATAGAAACAAAAAACTCATCTAATTAATTAAAAATAATCCAAGTTATTTGTTTTATCTTTAGTAGAAAAACTACAGTGAGTGTAATCGTATCTTTGAATAATTATTGTCCTACTCTTAAGAAATGAATCAATCTCCTCTAAAAGTTTAAAAATTAGATATGTAAAATGAATAAGAGTATTACTTACTATAAGCATTAAAAATACACTAAGAACTATAAAATAAGTAGCTTACTGAAAATACTAAATAGGAAACTTAAGCTGAAAATATGACTGATGAAAATTATTCTGGTTAAATTGTTACTTAAATTTCATATAATTGTAAAACAGAAGGAGATAATAAATACAATTATAGAAATTAAAATGCAGACGAGAGATATATTGAATCTTTGAAATAAACAGAAGGAACACCAAGGCTTTCTTAAAATCATTTGTCTCATTTAAAATACACTCCAAAGTACAATAAAAACTAAAAAAATAATCGTTTCTCCCCATTTAACAATTTTTCATTTGACGCTGAAAGTTTGACACAGCACACATTTAATAAGTCTCATTCCTAAATGAATAATAAATCAACTTTGGAAACACATACCTTGAAAAAGATAATATTGAACCCTAATGATTTGTTATCAAATTAAAAAACTCATAGTAGTTCATTTGTAATATAAAAATCTCCAAACACTCTACCTTAGTAATTAAGTGTTTAATTTAATAATTCAATATTTAAGTAAGATATAGATACCTCTACAAAAAATACCTTTCTAAGTCAAAATCATAGAAAGTAAATTATAGATAATAAAATTAAAAATAGGGAGTTGTTTTTACGTTCAAAATCTTCCCTTAAAAGATATTCATTTGCATCAACAAACAACACAGAATCTAAGCAAAAAAATAAGCTATAAGTTTAGTAATTAGAAGTAAATTCAAAATGCCTTACTTAAATTCCTGGATGGAGTATCAGAGCTAATACAAGTAATGGAGTAAGATAAAAAAATAAATTTCCGAACAGGCAAAAAGCAAATCCCAGATCTCTTTAAATAGTATCATCAGTAAGTCCAATTAAATATAATACAGAATAACGAATTCAAACTTCTATAAGTTTTTATTAGTCAACTCCTAATTAATAAAAAGATAATTTTTTGAATGGTAACTCTTCATTCTGCTACAGTCATGAAAAGAATATTTGACTGTCTTATTAAATTGATATAAAAATCTAAGTTTTTAGATATTAAATAAAAAATTTCAAATGTATTTAAAATTTTAACAAATAATATGTTTAATTTATTTATATTCATTCCTAAAAATTAATTCCTTTCAAAAATACAGCAATCACTTTTCATCCCAAAAAAGAGCTTTTAAATTATATTTAAAATTTTAGAATCAAATACACAAATAATGTTGAAATAAAAATCTTATTTTTGTTTAATAAAATAATTTCTAGAGAAATTAAATTTAAGTTTAAATAAAATTAAATTAATATTCATTCATTTTAAAGAATTGATTCAAAAACTAAATCAAAGAAACTATTTAGTTTCTAAGCAAATTATTTATATTTTTTAAAACCAAGAAATCATTTATTATTGAAATAAAAATTAATTTTAAATAAAATCATTTCGAATATAATTTAATTTTAATTTTAACAAAATTTGTTAAATTTATTAAAATAATATTCATTCATATTAAATTATATTTTAATAATATTATGTTTCCAAAAAAGAATATTAAAAACTATCTTTTTGTTAGAGTCAAAAACACATTTATTTAATATTAAAACAAAATTAGCTTATTTATTGAAAGTATTTGTAGTGTAATTAAATGTAAAATTAGTTAATTTTAAAAAACTCCTTCAAAAAATAAAGTAAAAAAGATATTCCATTTCCAAAATAAATTATTTAAAACAATCTTTTGTTAGAGTCGAGGACACAGTTAACATTTGAAAAACTTATTAAAGTTGATCATCAGAAATAGCACTTGTAACATAAAATATTACATAATTAACAACTAAAATATGATTAAATGCTAATGAAATTATTATTAAATTATCTTAAAAATTAAAAAAACATAAAGATATTTTATTTCATAATAAATTGATATTTATTTTACAAAATTTATAAATATTTTAATTTTTTATTTGAATTAAAGTTTTAAATGATTAGATTTGTTAAAAAAAATGAATGGCTCGCTTATTAATTATATTTTTGTTTCTATTACTTAAAAATAAATAGAGAAATTATATTATTTTTTTTTTGGGTGTGTTATTGGAATAAAAATCACAAACTCAATAATGCATAATATTTATTTATAATAATGATTCAAATAGAATATTTGTTTGATCAGAGCGTTCAATTTAGTAGAATCAAACATCATACACCCACTTTACTTTTACAAATATTTCTAATGATTTCGTAATAAACTATAAATTATCTAAAAAAACAAAATATTATAATATAAAATGATGAGGGTTTGTATGTGGTGGTAAAGATCAAGGAAGATCATCGGAAAGATCTTTTTTCTGATTATAGATATTCTTACATACAATTTATCAAAATATTAATTGTATAAAATTAAAAGATTAATTCAATTTATATTACTTTTTTTTACAAAAGATTCAACAAATTCTGATTTTATGGCATCATTAGGTATGAACGATTAAGAAGAGTGCAAAGTTTCCATAACAAATAGCGAGGAAGCAAAAATTAAGAAAGAAGGTCATGATAAAAAACAAGATATGTGGAAGTATAACTAGGTAAATTGGCCTGAATAGTTAAAGAAGCTCACTTATAAGACAAAATACATTAAAGTTGATTAAAACCTTTATGATTACTTGGAAGAAGATGGTATTTACATTCATCCTAGGTATTAGAAGAATTCCTCACAGAACTATCTTCTTGAAAAGAACAAAGACTTCCATCTTTAACAATAGAAGAATGAAGAGGAATAGAATAAATAGGATGATAGTTTTAACCAAGATTATGATGATGAAGATCATGATTTTAAATTCCGTATTTTTTCTAAAGAGTTTGAAGAACAAGTTAAAGAAGCTTTTGATGATTTTGAAAGTGTCTTTGTTAAATTAAATTGGAGAGCTCCAAGAGACACTGAAAACTGGCTTCATGGCCTACAAATTGATAATTTGGAAGACTTACTTACTGTGCTTAAAAGTAGTGGAATTCTTGCTGAATTGTTAGAAGAATACAAAGATTAATTTGGTCTATGTTCTACTATTAATACAGAAAATTAATTTGAACAAGTCTAATAGCAGATAGATTCTTAAATGGGTTTATATTTAATTTTAAAAAAATGGTATAATTTGCACAAGCATATGATGGTTAGATGCTTTGTAAGAAATAAAAAGCTCATAGCAATTTCTTAAAGACATTGTTCAAGTGTCAATCGCACTATTGAAGAATTTGGTGACTTATTCTCTTAAAAAATAAGTTCTTACTTCTATGAAAAAATAGCTCCCTTCTTTGAAGAAAATAATTATGTATTCGATTTGTACATTGGTATAGCTCCTAACTACAAGCTTAGATTACTTGATATAAACCCTTGGAGAGGTCACACAAACCCTCTCTTATTAGATTGGGATCAGTTAGAAAAAATAGATACTGAGGAATTTGGTTAAGATAAAAAGATATTTATTCAATATGTTAGGACTGAATCCGATGTAATAATAGAGGATCTCTCAGCATACAGAGTTCCTGAAGATATGCTTTTTGATGGAGAAAATGCTCAAGAATCAATGGAAAAAGTATTTGATTATCTAAACATCCACAATAAAGATTTGTATTAATGATGCAAAGAGCTTACATATATATTTTTATAATACATTTATATTAATTTCTTAGTTAAAAAATAAAAATTGATCATTAACTTTTTTAATTCATTCATTTTACTAATTTAATTTATTTTACATCTAAAAATAATGCATAATATCTTCTTTGTAGATCGACGTAAATTTATAAATTTAATATAAAATCATCTTTTATTTAATTCATTTAATAGTAAAGTAAGGATTTTTTTTTTTTTCATTTTACTTATTTAAAAAAAATGCCTTATTATCAAAAAAAAAAGCATAATATTTACTTTAATTGTAAATGTTTTAATTTTAAAGTAAAATAAAATTGAAAATATAAAATTACATCAAATTTATTTTAATTAATAAAATAGAAATTTTAATTTTTTATTCAAAAATATGAAAATATATTGATATTATTTTAAATTAAAACGAACGAGTTAATAAAAAATTTTTTATTTATAATTTAAGATAAACTGTAAATTTTATATATTCTCACCCTCTCAAATATTCAATTTTTTTTGACTTAAAATTTCTAATTTAACAGATAAAATTAATTTTTTTTTTTTGAAGTGAACACCTACTTTATTTTAAAACACAGTGAATAAATTGCTATAAAAATAAATATTTTTATTGGTTTTAAGCAAATAACTAAATTTTTTAATAAATAAATTAATTAAATTTTATTTTATAGCTATTTTTTTTAGCATCTTTTTAGAATATTTTATAAATTTAAAGTATGTTACAAATAAAATATTAAAATTTTTAAAAAATATTTAAGATTTATTAGAACATAGACTAAGTAGTTTACTCAAACAGTTCCTTACAATCTTTTGTTTAGAGGTTTTATAGGCTAAAAGTCCTTATCTTTTACATAACCAAACTAATTTTTAAATTTTTTTAATCTCACAAAAAGGACATCTGGAGTGTTTTTGTTTTCACCAAGCTTTTTCAAATAAACTATTTTTGGTTCTTTTTTCATTTCAAGAAGTTGATCAAGAATTTTGCACATGACATCGACATCTTCTGCTCTGTATGCAGCATCAAAAACATAATTTAACACTTTCCAAGTTTCATCCAATCCTTCTGACTTCAACCAACCATGCAATTTATAAATTTATGGTAAATCTTTTTTCTGATGATATAACTCTTTTCATGTAAAATTAGCAAAAAAAGTAAAATGAAATTAGTTTAATAAATTGAAAATTTACCTAATAAATTTTCATAAGTTTCTGTATTTTTTTTAATATTATATTTTTCATATAAAGGCAAAATGAGACCATCAACATCATCTTCTCTTAAAGCTTTAACATGTACATCAAGCAAAGAGTTAATTATGTGCACATCAACCATATTTTCTTTAACAGCTCTTTCAAACAATTTCCATGCATCTTTTATATAGATGTCAATAAGATCGTTAGTCATATAATCAGATTTAACAACTCCACCATATACTTTTATTGCTGAATTTAGAATGTATTTGTTCATTGGGATTTTATTGAGTTTCATTATTTAAAGAGCATCAAATGCTGTTTTTATATCTCCAGCTGAAGAGCATGCTTTAAAGAGATGAACAAAAGTATCTTCATCTGGCTAAACTCCTAATTCCTTCATTCTTAGCCACATATCGATGGCCTCATCAGCATAATCGCCTCTAGAGCCTAAACACTTAATAATATTATTAAAATGTATTGTGTTAGGATAGAATTCAGGCATTTTATCAAGTTTCCCCCATAAGAGTTTACCTTTTTCAGCATCCCTTGTCTAATTTAACATGATAATTCAGAATTTAAATAAAAAAATCAATTAAAAAACAATTTTACATGGGAAGCAATTTCAATCATTAAAGAAGTCATAGGAATGTCGATTAAATTCTATTTTTCTTTCTCTAGCTTTTCAAATATCTCCCAACAACGTCTGAGATTTCTTGATTTATAATGAGCATTTATGAGTGTCGTATATATTGGGGCATCTAATTTTAAGCCTTTTTCTTCCATTTCTCTTGTTATTTTTTCACATTCCAGAGCATTTTGATTTCTTGCATATCCCAAAAGTAAAGAGTTGTAATTGAAGAGATTTGCACCAAACTCTTTTGACATAAAAGTGAAATTTAATCACAATAAATTAGACAAGAAGAATAAATTTAATATTTACTTTAAAGAGATTACTCAAAATATTCTTCAGCTTTTTCCATATTTCTTTATTTACCACAAACTTTAATCAAACTGTTGTAAGAATAAGAATCTGGTTCAATATTCATTTCCTGTTTTATTTTTTTACCAATAATTAAAGCACTTAAATAGGCTAAATAGTTTATTAGTATACCTTCATTAATTGAAAGACACTTTCTGCATTTTATAAGTCGCCCTTTTCAGCGAGAATTGATAACAAAAAGTTAAAATTCTTTTTATTATACTCTCTCTTTAAAAAGAAACCATCGAAGCTAGTGTCCATTTTTTTGTAAACGTTTAAAGGATTCATTGACTAATTTTTAAATAAAACAATTAAGCTTTCTTTAGAATTTTCTACTTTTACTGAAATTATTTTTGATAAAATTTAATAGACATTACTTTAATTCTTTATTGAATTAATTCAGGAGAGCCAACGTCTTCAAAATTCTCTTTTGCAAGCTACTTCAACTCCTTATTTACCTTTTCCAATCTAGCTGTTATAAAATATTTTATTTAACCAATTTTTCATGAAAGATTATGAGATTTTTCTCATTTTTATACTTTATTCATATTATTAATATTACTTGAACTTCCTTTCCTGATTAAAGAACCTTATTTTCCCTTTCCTGAAGAAGGAGTGGAGCAAAATAAGTAATGTATAGCTGATTATAATTGCTTATTCTTAGGAGCATTTATTTATCTAAACGACCTTTCTAACACTAAAGCTATTTAATTCATATCAAAACTACTTCTTTAATAATCCTTAATTATATATCTTAAAAATTTTTTAATTTTTAATAAATATTTGTTTGCAAATATTTAATTCTGACTATAAATTCAACTAAACAAACAAACAAAATAATACTTCTCCTTTTCATAATCAAATAAGGAGTCTAACTTCACTAAATGAATGATTAAAAATGTTAAACTTTGAAATTCTACTATATTTATTTTATTTAAAAAAAATTAGTTAATAAATTAATTAAAAAATAATTTTGTATCTTTTATCAAAATGGTTAAAACTACAAAAAATTAATTTCTATTTTTAAAATATTTTTTTATAAGTTTGTGAATAAATTTTTAAAATCCTCATTAAAAAATAATTTATACATTTTTTAGTTTAAAATTTTACACAAATAGATATTTTTTGCATAACTTTTAATATGATATAAATTCATTTTTATATTCTTTAATAAGATTAAAAATATGTTTTTACTATAAAATATACTTCAAATAGTTTGTTTTTTATTTTAGAAATTAAAATAATTTTTATTTCTAAATAATAATTTGTATTTAAAAACAAAAATTTAGAAATTAAATTAAAATAAAACAGAAAGCATAGATAAAATTTATATATTAATCTTTTGGTTCTCTTGATATTAATTATTTTATTTTTGAATTAATCTAACTAAATTAAATTATAATTTTATTTTGAAATAACTAAAAATAAATAAAATTTGTAGAAACTTTAAAGAATAAATTTCAATATTTTATAGCATATTTAAATAAAGTTAAATGAATAAAAGGATATGTTATATAATTAATTTTAAAAACTACTTTCTAAATAAAAAAAAATATATTTTTATATGTATGTATAGTTTCAATATTTAAATGGATAACTAAAACACAATAAAATATACAAAAAGTAATCTTACTTTTTATACTTTTTAAGGAGATTATTTGTTACTTCACGCGAACTCAATTAACACTAATTAATAAATAAAAAGTCAATTATTATTTGTTATTAACAATTTATTTAGAGTTTTGAAATAGAAATAGGTTTAAAAACAAATTTAATAACTTTATTTAAAAACTAAATTGTAAGTAAGAGATGTCACATTTAAGTTAGAGCTCAGAAAATTTTAACAATCCTAAAAGATTTATTATAACTATGCACACAAAATATAGGCCGGTTAAAGAAAAACATATTTTGGGAATAGATTATGATAAATTAAAATATGGAAAAAAAAGATCTCATCAAAATTTCACTATGAGCACAGTTCAAGATTCTTCTTAAAATAATGAATTTCCGAGGGATTCTTTATTACGCAACTAAACACAAGAATCTTTTAGACCATCAACGAATCATTCTAGTTCATCTAAAATGATTTTTAGATCTTCAACCAATGAAGGAGCAAAATAAATAGAAAACCCACTTAAAGCGTATAAAACTTAGTTCTCAAAATCAAAAATATTTATAAAATTCTATTTAAAGAAACTATTAACATAGTATTTAAAGATTTTAACTAGTTTTGGATTAAATTAAGCATTATTTTGCATTAAAAATAATTTTTTGCCTTAAGAGTTTGAGATTTCAGCCAAAATATTTTTTTAAAGCTTCATTAATATTTAATTTGCTAACTTGTTTAGCTAAAATTTTTTAACACAATTTGGAGAATAAATGATTTTTTTTAATAATAATCTAACTACAAATAACATATTTAAGTGACTTTTTTTCATTTTTATCTACCTTTTGATAGATAATTAATAAAATCAAATGTTGAACAATTTTATAATTTTTTAATAAAAATGTTATTTATAGATTTTTAACTATTAATTAATTAATTAAAATATATAGAGATTTTGAAACTTTCAAGAAATACCAAAAAGAATTCATGGAGTTTAAAAAATAGAAAAATATAAATACACAATAGCACTATATTAACTCACAGTACCCTAGAGTTTAAAAGCAAAATTTTACAGCTTAGCCCCCTTAATCTCCTAATGTTTTTTAAAGATTGAGCTGGCATAAAAATAACAAATAGAGTGGATTCCAATCTATGCATGATAAAACTTATTCAAAATTTGATCATAAAAGAAGTAGTCTAAGTATGATCCCTGCAGATAACCTATAAAATATTGATAAAGTAAATGAACAAAAAATTGAAAATGCAGAAGCTTTTTCTTAGCAGGAGTCTTAGAAAATAGGCTAAGTTTAATTTGAAGATTAAATAGGTGACAATTATTATTAAGAGTAAAGCAACAAAAAAAACGAAATAGTTATTTAAGATCAGCTACAATAACTAGAGAATGCAGATAGAAATTTCGAATTATAAAAATAATTATAGTAAAATGAATTAGGACTAAACCAATAAACAGATTCAAATGCTTTGGATAATAATTATACAAGTTCATAGCAATTTTTTGACCCTTATTCTACTCAGTACATGAAAATGGTCGAGAAGCACTTCGAAAAGAATCCTGATTATTATAGACACTTGTAAGGTAATCAATCAAGTTTTTTAATATTTATTTTGTTTAATTTTAAATTTCAATACAATTATGCAAATTCATAAATTTTATTCTAAATATTTAAGGTGATTGTATATGTGGGAGATGCATCTGTGGCAAGTGCAAATGTCCTTACAGAAATGTCCCAGTTGATTTTAGGAGAGGAATGTAAACCTTATATCAAGCTGATTTTTAAAAACATAAAAATCTAGAATAGCTCCCATAAATCACTATGGATTTCCATAGTTAGGTGCAGTGCTTAGAGCCAATCAAATGTTGCTCTACGACCTAAGTAAATTTAAACCACTTAACACCAAATTTAATTGATAATATAAAACATAGAATGACTTTAGACCTCACGATGTTAAAGAACCTGTTTATGAAAAAGGACCAAAATAATAGCATTATGACTAACCTTTTATAGGTTCCACAAACTATAGAGTAAATTAAAAAATTTCCATTACGTGCTTCTAATTATGATTTATTAAATAGAACAATTTCGTTAACTGGAAAGCTCAGGTGCCAGAAAAGCTACCTAATCCTTCCGAACACACAGTTGTTCAATCAATACCTTTTATAGGCAAAACAATGTATATGGAGAACTTTTAACAAAAACCTATGAAAGATAGAGATTTTGAAGAATACATCAAACAAAAGAGTAAATCCAAACTGTAATTTATTCATTCATTCATTTTTTATTAAAACTGTTATTAATAACACTTAACTTAATTAATTTTAGGAGCTCGCCAATGAATCCTGATTTCAGATATATGAACGAAACAAATTACCAATTTTTTTACTAAGCTAAAAATCAACAAAGAACAAACATATTAAAACCATTTGTAATAATTATTAATTGGCTTTAAGTTTTTTTAAATGAATTAAATTAAATCGTTTTAAAAATACATAGTAACACTCTGTAAAGACAACTCCTTCTGTTCCTGATTAATATAGAACTACATTTGTTAGAGAGTTCGAAGATAAATCTTCAATAGTTTGCCCTTCTAGACTAGAATTAATAGAGCTTAATAAAAAAAAGTAATAGGAAAAATATAAAGAGTATCTTGAAAAAGAAAGACTAAAAAACTAGCCAGGCTAATCTGTAACCATGCATACTATTTTATAATAAGCCAATTCTAAATCTCACAAAACTTACCATGCTTGATTTTTCAAATAATTAATTAGTTTGTTTAATATTAAAATCTATAATTTTCGTTTTGTAGTTTTTATTTTTTGATTAAGGGTTCATTCTACTAACTTTGGTAGAAGTTTTTCTTTAAATTTCTTTTTGGAGTTCAAAATAAATTAAATTTATTTTAGATATTTTAAAAAAAAAAATATTTGTTGCATTTTTAATTTATTTTTTAAATTAAATTTATCACTCAATAAAACTTATGCAATATCATTTAACTCATTTAAGAATGTATTTTGGAATTATCTTAACAAACAATTGCGATTATTACAAATTAAATTAATTGCAGTTAATATTATTTATTGCATATAAATAAAAAGATCATTTTGATATTTGAAATTTCATTCTTAGAAAATTTATTTAAAAAAGCTAGTTAATACATACACTTAATTACAAACACAAATCCAATTCTAAATTATAATTTTATTTTTCTTTCAATCATCGTCATCATCGAAGTCTGTTTTATTGTTACATCCTAATCATATCAATAAAGTTATGACTTTTTTGTATCTCTTTAAATTTTAATTACCAATAATGCATGCACTTAGACAATCTTTAGGGTCAGAAGGTGCTCTAGAAAAAAATGAACTCCATTCTATTTTTTAAATTCAAAATAAAAATACTCATTATTTTTTAATAATGCGTTGAACTTATTTACTTCCAAGCTTAGAATTATCGTCTCCTAGTTCGCTTCTGATACAAAGTGATGAACACGTTTCTGCTTTACACTTTTGTCTTTAAATTATTAAATTATATTTAATTGAAAATGATTTAATGTTTTACAAATTGTCTTCATCAGAGTCACATCCTTTCTTGCAAAAAATTCTCTTAGGATCCCATGCATTAAATTTGTTGTTACAAGATTAATAGCAAGTTTATTGTTCAGCCATTGTTTATTACCTAATTAATTTGATTATTCTTTATACTTTTTGAGTTATTTTTAATCAAAAACCTTTATAATTTAGTATGCTAATATGCCTATTTCGCTTTTTATATAATTTTTAACTAATAATATCAAATAACTATAAATAAACAAAAAGAATAAATGCAGCTGCAGCTATTAATTATAAAGTATTTTCCAATTGCTATTTTTATTTTTTTTCAAAAACTACTTTTCAATAAAATAGTTACATATAATAATCAGTTTTAAATTTGTTTATCATTAACTTTAAAAAAAAAATAAAATGTTTTGTTTATAAATATAAAACCAAATTAATTGTTTTTTTTAATTCTTCAATTTACCTTTTTGTGTCTAAAAAATTTTTAATTATTTTTCTATTTAAAATATTTTTTATCTTTACTTCCTTATTTAAAATTTTAAGAACATTTAATCTAAAAAAGAAATTTCTAAAAATAGTAAATCTAGCATAATAAAATTAATTATAAAATAAATGAAAACCTAAAATATATTTACTGCTTATTTCAAGCATCTATTATAAAAATAAATGTCTAGCAAAATTTTTATTTTTATCTAAATTATAACATTTTTATTCAATCTTTTTTCCTCAATTTTTCACAAATTGTTTTTTTTCAAATTCTTTTATTTTTAAAATATTTTTTTAATTTAAAAACCAATAAACAAGTATCAAAGCATGAAGAAAATTAAAAAGAACTTAGAAAAATAAACTAATTCAAATCATTCTTTGTCGAGTCTTGGATTGGAACTCAGAATATTGCTTTTTGTTTAAAAAAGAATTTTTTTGAATGAAATTTATGAATGATTTTTGATTAATGAAAAAAAAATTAAATTAAATAATTTATTTGTTAAGAAATTGAAATTAGCTTCAAAGAAAATAATCTTCAAAAAATCACATTATAAAGTAAAGAAAAAAGCACAAGCAAAGCGAAAAAATGGACACTTTAGACAATCACAATAATAACTAGTTGCAATAAAACATTGATAACTAAATTGCTAGAAAAATGTGGTGTCACACATGCAAATTTGAATTTTAAACTGCAAATTCAACATCATTCGAATGTGTTAAATGTAAGAATGATTTTTGTGAAGAAATAGAACCTCAAATTGAGTAAATAGACGATCCAAGATAGTTTGTTCCTTTTGGTGAAGAGTAGAATCAAACTAATAACTAATAACAATTCCAAAGAAATGTTTAGAATTCTTAATAAAACAACCTTCAAAATGTTTAGTATCCCTAATAAAATAATCGCATGGGAAGTGCATCAAGTAATTTATCAATTTATTTATTGAGAATAATTTCTACATTTATCTAGCATCATATTATTTTTCAGAAATATATCAATGCATAAACGAAAATTAATAATGCCAAAATTTTACATTACTAGCTAAGATTAAATATTAATTAGACTAAACTATGCTTGGCAAAATAATTTGGATTCTATTAAAACAAAATCTAAAAATTGCGGCTATTTGCTGCAAAAATTATTTTTACTCAGCAAGACAAAGATAGTTTTTATATGAAGTTTATAAAACACATTCTTGATTAATAAAATACATAATAGCACTTGAAGTTAACAAATTTCATTTGCAAGATTGAATTATTACTTGGCATTTAATTTAATAGAATTAAATTTTTTTCACCTGTTTTCTTAATTTAGTAGCATTAAAATTACTAAAGATTATGGAAATAGATAGATTGATATAAATACGCCCAAACAATTTTAATGTTAGAATATATTGATTAAATTAAAATAGTTTTAAAAATAATTAATCTTTTTTTATATATATAAAGCTATTCGTACAAATATCAATCGCTAAGGTCAAGGTCAAGGTTAACCTACACTATCTTATTCTATTTCAATTTAGTCTACTTAGCTTGAAAATCCATTCTTCGGAATTAATAACCTCATTTCAAATTTATTCCCTGTAACATCTCAACGTACAGGCCTATTTGGAATGAATGACAACAACTTTGATAATATAATTGACTTCTTGATGCGTAATGACCCAAATGTTTATGGTACTCCACCTGCTTCTGAAAATTCCATTTCTAATTTACCAACTGTTACTTTCTCAACAGAATAAGTAAAAGAAGAAACCCTATGTGAATGTAGTGTCTGCAAGGAAGAATTTACAGAAGGAGAACAATTAGTTAAAATGCCATGCAATCATATGTATCATAGCAGCTGTTTAGTCACTTGGCTTAAGATGCACAACTCTTGTCCTACTTGCCGTTACGAACTACCAACTGATAATTAGGATTATGAACGCAGAAAATAATAAAGAAATAATTAAAATCAAAACCGCAGAAATTGATAAAGCAATCATTTCTTCTTAATTTTATCAACCAATTCAAAAATGAATATAATTTTAATTTGATAATTATTAAATCACTAAAAACAATAAAACATGTAAAATTTATAATTAAATAACTAACTAATTAAAAATCAATCAAGCAAGCAAGCAAGCAAACAAACAAACAAAAAAAGAAACAAAAAATGCATTTTATATCTAATTTAAAATTCATGAAAGTAAGAAAACACAAGAAAAATAAATATTAGCTTAATAAAAATACATTCTAAGAAGAAAAAAATAATTATTATTGGTTGTAAAAAATGATTTAGGCAAACTAACAAATTCTTTTTAACCAAAAATAACTCTTCCTTCTGTCAATATTTTATTTAAATTTTGAAAATTTATTTATAAGAAATAAATAACTCATATTAAATAAAAATCAAAGAAAGTAACCTAGATAGACATAAACATATTCAAGGAAATATAAATAAATAAATATTTTTTCTACTTAATAAGAAATTAAATAAAATTATTGATTATTTAACTCATTCACTCTCTAAATAATTATTAAGCTTCTCACTATCTATTTATAATTAATTTACTATCATCTATACTTTTTTATATATAATTAATAAACTGTATTTTTTTAAAAGTTAATAAAATATATTGCTGAAATTTTTATTTTAACTTTCTACAAAACAAAAATAGTACACTTTTAACACTAAAAATTTTTAATTGAAAAATATTCTAAATTACATTATCTATATTATAAATCCAATCAATTATATAGCATAATAATATTTACTTATTTAGTGTTTTATTGAAATAGTTCATAAAAAAATATTTAAAATATTTACTTACGATTTTTTTAATATATATAATTAAAGTATGAAAATAAAATTCATTTTTAAGATGGAATAGATTAGTTGTTGGAAAAATGATTATCAGTAAAATATTATTCTTGCTCAGTGTTTTATTTCACTTTTTTAAGTATTCTCAACTTAATATCAAGTAGATTTTTTTATAGATTTATTTCGTGTTCTTTCCTTTTGGAATTTTAGAATCTATTCACAGGATTTATTACTGGACTTTATTAGTAATCAATCAAAGGCTCTAAGTTTGTAGATCCTAAATTTTATTAATTTGTATTGTGAACATTAGTATTTTAACCACTGGCGATTTCAAAGTGATGAGAATCATTTAGTTAGGTAGCGTTAGAATTAAAGACAATAAAACTATTGCTAGCTATTTTAGTCCTATTTTAGCTTGTTGCACGTTTTCTGTTTTGAGAAGAGCCTATCCTATTGAATTAATTAAGTATTAATTCTTGGTTTTCAGAATGCTGAGATGAATTTGCTTGATCTCTATTTTCATAGAATCTATTAAATGTTGGCTTTATGATGTGCGAAGAATCTATCTTTTTATTTTGTAAATAAATCGGTTATAGTTAAGAGTATTCATTTATTGGATTCTTATTTATTTTTTCATGGCTCTACTGAATTATTGCTGAACCTTTATTAGAAATCAAGTTATTATTTACAGATGAAGTTTGTCCTTATGACACTAAAGCTCTTTTAGCTTTCTGGGACGAATGACTCTACCTAACTCCATTAATTTATGAGTCTAGATCAAGTGCTTTTGTAAATGATATGTTATGTTCTTTACAAGCATTTGTGTACTATATTTTTTTTAACTTTATTTGATCTTTTTCTAATCTCAGGTAAGGCCTTTTTGGCTGAATAGGAGATTCTTAAATTTAGCTTTCTTATGTTTGGAAATTTTTATTATTTGATTGGTTTAGGGATTTTAAACGTATTAAAGGGTAATTGCTGTTGGAATTTTCTTCAAGATCATCATTGAATTCTTCTCCTTCGTCCATGCTTTAATTTTTCTATTATTCTTTTTTGAGGTTTGAGAGATTATCAATGTTACCTAGAGTTTAGCTATTGACTCTATCAATACCACCTTTAGGAGACAATTACTAATTTTAGCTTAATTACAAGAATTCTATATTCATCAAAGACATTTAATATTAATTGTAGTCTAGGAAACTATCAATTAACTTTTCAAGGGCCACTTCAGTTTTATCTGCTTTTTTCCAAATATTTGTAATAAACACACTCATTTTTTACTGTAAATTTTCATTGAATTTTATATGCTCCATTTCAGCAATATCAATCAATTGTTTCTATATTTCTAAAACAATTGTTTGGAATTCTTTAATTCTCGGAAAAATATCAGCTAGTCCATTTTCTAATTTTTCCAAATCAGCAATAATATCATTCCTAAATGTAGATACATTTTTACTAACATTAGCTGTATTAGTTTTTATGTTATTATTTTACTGCTCTATTTATGAATTGCATTCTTTTTAACAGTTATCAATTTTAACAATCACATCTTCTATATTTGTTGTTATTTTATCATTGAGCTATTTATTAATCTCATTAATTTTAAAACTTAATTAAGTCTTAACAACCTCATTCCCTTTTTATGCTTCATCCATAGCCTTTTTTATTTCTAGAAATTATGCTTCAATAGGTGGTTTTAACTCTTCGATTTTTCTATTAGTTTGAGTGATTTCAGTATGGAGTGTATTACACTTTTCATCGTATTTAGAATCAAGAGTTTCAATTAGCAATTTTGATTACTGTAAGAATTCTATGTCTTGCAGTCCTCTTTCAAGCTATTCCCCAAATTTATCAAGATTGTAAGAAAATATTTTGTCAAATTTGTTTTCGTTCATCTTTTATACTTCTTGTATAGTTACATCAACCTAAGAAATTAGATTATTATTAGTGCTAAGCTATACTTTTGTAGAATCTATTTCTGTTTTAAGTTGTTATTAATGAACCTCTATGATTTCTTTGATATTATGTAATTCAGTATTAAAGTGGCTCTCATTTAAGGCAGCATTAATCATTTTCCAAATAATAAATTGATTTTCAAATTAATAATTTTCGTCCTCAATTTACTAATTTATTTCAACTGAATCTTTACAGTTGCTATTTTTTTCAGAAACAGCTATTTCTTTTTAGCTGCTAACAACACTACTTCGTTTACTATTAATTGGAGTATCTTTTGCAATCGAGCTTTTTCTTTGATCTTTTTTTTATACATCTTCAATCTTTTAATTAGAAGCCTGGCTTTGCTTACTTCGACTAAAATATTTACAATACACCTTATTTAATTAATTATATTCATCTTTTATTTAAATCTCTTATTCTACTTAAAAATCTCTCATCTTAAGTCTTTGCTCTAAGCTTTTGATAGTATCTTCTTGCTGCTATAGTTTTTTATTTACTTCCTAGAATTATTGGCTTGTTTTTTATTCCATAATCTTCAACAAATCTTTAAAATCTGAATCCATTTCTTTAATTTTTTAATTGCTCTGATCAATTTATTTCTAAACACAATCAAATTTTTGGTCTAATTTATATTGCTTGATCCACTATGTAACGTTTCTAAGGATCTTTTCACTATTTTTAAACATGAAGGGTACTACGTTAGGCACATTGTCCCACTGAGGCCCTTCATAAACCCAATTATCAAAATCTAAAGACATTAAAAACAAATAGATTTTTTTAATGTTTTTTCTAGTTAATATTTACTATTAAGGATACTAATTTGATTTAATTAGATAAATTATAAGTAAAAGCCAACAAAAATGAATGAAATTTATCTCTTTTATTAATAATCAAGATATTCATCACTTCTTTAACATTTCATTTTCTAATTTTTATAATCATACATTTTTAATTAATTAAATATTTTAACAGAGATGTCCATTGATTTGAGTTAGTCAATTCAAAATCACAAATTAATAACTCATAAATATTTCGCAAAATACATTAAATAACCATAATTTTAAAAAATTTACACTTTTTAATTCAGGAATGCGTTGTAACTAGTTTCTCTCCTAGCATAATGTAAATAAATACCAAAGAAATACATGATTTTAATTAATATTAGGTTTTAATAATTTTCATAATAAACTTTCTAAATTATTTTTTAAAAATTATTTTAAATTTAAATTTATTCAAAAATTAATTTGTTTATTTACATTTTAAAATTAATTTTTTAAAAACTACAAAAAATTTACTGAAATATCTTCAAAGTTTTTATGCTCTTTTTCTTAATAAAAAGTGATGGGTTATTTTAAATTTGTAAATTTATACAAAATTCAACATGAAAAGTATTTTATTTAAATAAAGTATGAATAGTATTAGTGAAAATTTATAGATATTATCTAGAGTATTTTTTTATTATTTATCAATTCTAACAAAACAAAAAACAAAGCTCTAAAAAAGAGAAAAAATTAATTTGAATTTATTTTATTTTCTAAATTAAAATGAGTTAATAAAATAATCAAGATATTGAAAAAAGTTAAAACTAGCAAATAAATTTGCCTCAGTAAACTCAAGCTTAAGTAAGTTATATTACTGTTGATGAAAAGCTAATAAATCAATGTAGATTACATGTAAGAGCTAACAGAGTTGCTCTTGAATCTAAAAATCCTCAGTATTGTGCTTGCTGCTAAAGATCATATAAAAACTCAAGAATTTCATTATTTTGTTCTTTAAAAGAACTTGCTTTTTTGGGCTCTGGAGTTCCATTATATTTTTAATTTGTAAAAACAGCTAGAAATATGTTAATAATGAGTGGTCTGTTTTCAATTTACATGATTTACTACAACTATTAGGGAAATTACTGCTAGGATAACTCAAATTAAGCTTAAACTTCTAGTTGCTATAAAGATTTTTACTCTAATTTTTCAATGGTTAATATTAAAAATAAAGAATAATAAATAGATTAATACTCTATAATATAGTTTTCACTTGCTATTGTAATGTTTTTTGTCATTAAAATATTTTATAGGCAAATGGAAACATTAAAAAGTGAAGTTGAATATTTAAATAGAAGTCCTGAAGATTATACTGCTTAGCTATATAATATGCCAGCAGGTTTCAAAGATAAAAATAAATACCCAGATATAAAAAGATATGAAACAAAATCAGTAGTAAATTTTGGTACTAATAAAGTAAATTAATTCCAAGTAGAATGCACTAATACCTATAATTAGGATAAAAATTATGATGATGTATCTAGAGTTGGATATACTAAAAATGAAGTAACGCTTGCAATCTAAAAATCTTTGAATGAACAAAAATTATAAGTAATTGCTGTAAATATTGCTTATGATTTAGAGGATTTTTAAAATGGTGACTAAAATATAAAGAATTATATTTTACATGGAGAAAACAGGAGATAATACTGCTCAAAGTCTTGTTTTGTTACATTTTCTTCAATAAGAGAGCTTAACTAGTTTATATCAGATCATCAAAGAAATATTCTACAAACGCTATGGGCTAATTTACGAATTTACTTTGAAAGACCTTCAAAAAAATATTTAATATTCAGGAATAAGTTAATAAGGGTAATAAATTATTTTAAAAATAAGAAATATTTCTAATTGATTTGAAATTAACAATAGATACGAAACATATAAAACATATGTTTTTAGAGTTCAAAAATTCAATAATTTTAATTTCAAGATAATATTTAAATTTATTTTAAGATTATCATAAAAAATCAATAAATAATTTTATAGAAATCATTTTTTGTAGTTAAATTTATTAGTTAATAAGTTGCTCATCATTTTAATTTGATTTAAATTCCAAAAATTACTTTCATCATTTTTATTTTTCATTTTTTATATTTAATAGGCTAAAAAAGCTCCTGCTCCTGATGATGTTTATTGGGAAAATATTTCTTATGGTATGAGGCACCCCTATAAAAAACGGTTAATGCGCTGTGTGACTTTGTTAGTAAATATATTACTTATTGGAATTGCTCTTGGATGTCTATTTTATGTAAACGATTTAAAGAAGCAGATAAAATCTAGCGCTGACTTTTAAGAATATAAAAATAATAGCTATGCTCTTATGGGGCTAAATTTTTTAAGCAGTGTCATCATTTATATTATTAATCTGATTAATAAGCATGTTGTGACTTATCTCTCAAAAAAAGAGTATCACTAAACAAAAACTCATCTCAGTATATCTAAAGGAAACAATCTCTTTTTAATACAGCTTTTTAACACAGCAGCTATCTATGTTATAATTTATTTAACAAAGTATAGAGATCAAATTTGGATGAGTTCTGGAATTTTGGCAGATGTCATGATAACCCATGCATGTATTGCTGTATTTACTCCTCTTACTGATTTTATACTTAATTTTTATAAATACCTTGAAAGATATCTTTGCTTACCCTATGGAAAAAAGGCATAAAAAAATACAGTTGAAGAGAAGCTCTTGATAAATAAAATAATCGATAGACTATAAGGATATTAATTTGATATTTCATATAAATATGCAAATACACTCTACTTTCTATTTAGTATAACATTTTATGGACCTCTAATGCCATCCTTGTACGTTGTAGGTTTTTTTGCTTTATATTTATAATATTGGGTTGATAAATACCACATTGTAAAAAGATACACAATTTCAAGTACCATTTCTGCAGATATTAATGGTGAATTATACTAATTTATTAAAATCATACCTCTTCTTTAAATACTTTCTTATTGGTTTTGGACTTAGATTGTTGGATTTTAGTCTAAATAACCGTTTATTTTTTATGGGATAGCTATATGCTTAGTTACTTTTATTCTACCAAATAGAATTTTTTTAAAAATATTTTGCTCTGACCATAATACTTCTGTCAATGATAAAGAAGATTTAACATATAACGATGCTTTGATGAAAGGCTTTTTCAAAAAATTTTATGAACATTCAAATCCAATTACTTGTAAAGAATCAATGAGAGAATATAAAAATATTCTATAGAAACAGTAATTATCCAAAAAATTGACAAGAGATTTAAACGAAGTATTAACAAGTACATAGGAAAAATAATCGTTGATGCAATTAAGCTCTATTATTAAGTAATACAAAAATTAATCTGATTCAATAATTAATCAATAACACTTAAGAATTATCAATAATTAAAACTCAACTGAAAATTAAAATAATATGGAAAGCCCATAAGAAATATGTTAATCATACACAAGTGAGTAAATTTGCAGTAGCTTTTAAGACTAAATAAATTACTAGGAATATGCAAATTAGAGTAAACAGCTTTAAAACATTAATATAGAGCTAAACAAAATTCAAAGCTGTTAAACTCAACCAATCTCTTCCTCAAGAGAAAAGTAGCTTAATTCTTAAATAATAAACATGCAAAAATTCAGAAATATTTAAAATATTAACACTAACTTTTTGTGATCAAATTATTTTTATAGATTGATTTGCAAATACAATCATCATTCTTGTTAGTTTTTGTTTATAAAATTTAATTAATACTATTAAAGACAAATCTTGATATCTACTTGTTTGTTTTCTAAAATAATTAATTTAACAATTTATTTCTACAAATTTTCTATTTTAAGATATATTCTGACAAATAGCTTCGATGGAGACTTTAAAAGACATTATATTATCTAAAACAGCGGTAGCTGCAGCTATAGGATCTGGATTAGCTCTATTTGGGTCATATTTTTTGTATCAAAATGTGAAAGAAACAATAAAAATAGAAAAGATTGCCTCATTAATTGAAATAGATGAAGAAGCATTTAAATAGGCAAATTTTATAGGTAAAAAGCCCCTTTTATAAATTGTATCAGAATCTCAAGAAATAGTTGCAGATACAATCAAGATATAAGAAAAAAAATTTATTAAAAAAGCTCTGCAGTTATTAAAGCAAAAAGAATATTTGGAATATGCTGATATTTTACTAGAATTGGAGAATTTTAGAGTATAAAAGTAGTTAGAAGCTCTGAATTAGCTTCGCGAGTATCTCGGAGTGAGTGAAGAGATCTTTAACAAGAATTTACAATAGATTAACTAAAGTATGTTGATTTAGAATTAGAATTTTATTGATGAATATAAGGAGGTAGTCAATAACAAGCAATTGTAGATTTACTAAAAAGAAGTAGAAGATTCTGAACTTCTTAAGCAAGATTTTCTTTCTTTTTTGTGCTTATTAGAGGAACATCTAGTTAATATTCTTGAGAAAAACGAAAAGATTTTTGATGTAGTTATTAAGAGAATAGTAGAGAAACTACCTGAAATAGATATTATTTATCCCTGTATGGAAGCATTAGCATACTAATTATTTTAAATTTAAACAAGCTTTTCAATTTATGAAGTCAAACAAACATAAAAAAAATTTTAAAATATTTTTAAGGAGAATAAAAGCTAAAATTCATAAAAGCTTTAGAAGTAACTTGAAACATGTTTTGCAAAGCTTGAAAAAAGTATTATTGACTTTTTGCAAGTAAAGCACAGAAATGAGGTTGCAAAGTTAGTTAAGAAGTGAAAAAATAAATATTAAATTTAATCTAGGTATAAATTAAAAATTAAATTTCTACTGTATAAAATAAATAAAACATAAATTAAATGTATCAAAATTGTTAAATTAAATTAATAAAATTCAAAAATTAGATATTAGTATTTTATTCTTTTAAAAATTTAATGTTAAAATGTGTTTTAAATTTAAAAGTTTTATATATTTTATTGTAAGCATTCTATTGATAATTTTGATTTAATTAATTATTTTATTTATATATTATTTAAAGAGCTTATTAGCTACTAAATTTTATAATATTTACCAAAAGTTTGCATAAATAAACAAACACATTTTTTTTTATTTTAATTTAAATTTTTTATTATTTTAAATGATAAAAAGTATTTAAATTGTAATTTGATTAAAATTCAATCAAAATTATAATTTAGAAATCTTAAAAGTTTTTTTAAAATTTATTAAACTTAAATAAAATTTTCATTCAAAAATATATTATTATTTAGATATTATTTTTAAAATTTTAAATATTGTAGTTAAATTTGTTTGTTAAAAATGCATAAATCCTTGATTGGGTTTTTATAAATTTAGACTTTTTGCAAAATACTAATAAATAAAAAATACAACTAAAAATATTAAGAGTAAAATATTTATTAAGGAATATGTTTTAATCATTTATCAGCTTCTCCAGTAGATTCATCGTTAGAGTTTGCACTTAATAGATTTTAAGCTTCTTTCCTTTTTTCTATGGCTTTTTTAGTGTTTTAATTGAATCCCCAGATTGGAATAACAATTATCTCATAAAAAATCATAGTACCAATGGCCAAAATCACGTATCCAATTAGTTGGCCATATAAGAATGTTTCCCATCCTAATATGAGACAACCCATCCAAACAAAGAATGGAGAACAGACTTAAGCAACATTTCTAGCCAAACTGCTTACATATTTAGTGATAGCCAAAGAAATAGCATTAAAGAATAAAATCAAAATTATACCAAATAAAATTAATATAAGGAGTGCTGGTTAATTACCTTCCATTGTGAAAACTTACTAGAAAAAGAAAGGAACATCTTCTAAATTTTTATTAGGAGGACAATCATCTGCTATGCTAGAAGGGCAGGGAACATAATTAAAAATAGCAACAAAAACTCCACAAATTAAAATACCCCAACAACCTTCAAGTCCAACTGTTTAGAAAGGGTTTAGCTCATATTAATGGAAAAACTTTTCCTCTATAATAATTTATGATGAAAAAGTAATGAAAGAGCACACAAGTAGAATAATTCCAAGAATAATTTTGGATTAACTGCCACCGCTAGAGCTATTTAAAGTTACTACAACACCTGCAGTAGTAATACCAATCATGACTGTAAGCAGACCAAGATAGTGATGTCTGTAGAGCTTTCTTTTGAGGAAAATAACAGAAAATAATGTTGTAATAATTAAACCTCCTCCTCTAACCATCGAATAAAGGGAAGTAGGCATAAATTCTAAAGCAAAGAAAGACAATGTTGAAGTGACGAAATCACAAGAAGTAGGAATAATAAGCAATAATGGATTAATCTTGGTTTTTTTACCATTGATCTCTGCGTCTGCTAATTTTTTTTGATATCTTTCTCTATATTTTGTAATGTATGCAATGTACAAAAACATGCAAAGAGCTTCTCCAATGTACATAGTCATTGACTGCATAAAAGGATGGTTGTAGTTTGACCCTTCAACTACACATCTTGATTAGCCTTTAAAGATCAAACTTGTGAAAGTACCTACTATCTAAAAAGCTGCTAAAAGTAAAGCAGGATGCATTCTACTAAATATTTACTTAACTTTATTTATAAATCAATTTTATTCTACAAAATATGTTTGATTGAAATTTTGTATCATAAAATAAGGAATTTTGCTGTAATTTTGTTAAGCTTAACCTAATTTAATAATCAAATTAATTTAGTAATGCATTCAAAAAAATTTATTGAATGCAAGATAGATAAATTTATTATCTTAATTTACACTTAACTACTAATTAGCAATAGGAACATATAAAAACAACCATTTAATTTTCGAATGATGTAATATTTAGCTTTAATTATTTGTTTTTTTCTCTGCACCTATTCCATCTGTAAAATATATTCTATTAATCAAAAAAAATTTCTAAAAATTTCAATAATTTGTTTGTATGCTTTTGGGTAGATTTCGATAAAATTCAAACATTAAAATATATTTAAATGAAAAGTTAATCATAGAAAAAGCTTAAGAAAGGTAAACAACTAGGTAATCCCTAATTAATAGCAATTAACATATTTTTAGAAAATTTTGTTATGCGAATTAAAAATTTTATTTGAAGATTTTTAACTGAGTAAAGATACTACTTTATTTAAAATTAAAAATATACAATTGAGTGTACAAATAAAAAACTAATTATTAACTTATAAATTTATGTTATTTTATCTCACTCAGCTTGAGCAGCGTGGAGAGTGGTGAAAGACTTATCGTCAGTAACTTCCTTAGTGATCTTGATGAAAGGAGGTAACTTGGGTTGAGTTTCAGAAGAAACAGTTTCGTATCTGAGCAAAGTGTTGCCCTTGAAAGTTTCTAAGATGTAAGAACTATTTTAATTTAATTAAAGATTATAAATTTATTAAATTTTATTTTAATTATATGAAAATTAATTACAGCTTGTCATAAATGAAAGCAATTCTGGTCTTCTTAATAATATTTAAAGTGGTATCTCTCTTTTCAAAGAGGTTAATGTATTCCCTAGCAGTGATAATATTCTTAACTTCACATCTCATTTCTTTGTTGCTTGATTTTTGTCTAACAGTGTGGACGTAAGAGAAAGCGTTGTTTTAACCTCTCTTTCTGATCTTTTCGAATTCATTCTTTTCAGAGTCAGTCTTTAAGAAGGCTTCTTCAACTTCAAAAATTTCAGTCTTGACATCAGCAGGGATTTAGTCTAAATTTCATTTAATCATAAAAATTATTTAATAAATATTCTTCAATGACTGAATGATAAATTAAAGAATTTATAAAACTAACTATTTTATTAATTTTCATCTTAACAACAAATTTATTTTTTAAATTTCTCTTATCATTTAGAAGGCATGCAAGTTTTTTACGTGTATTTCGTTAAACGATGAATAAAAATTTTTATATTAATAGAAAATAGTTAATCAGTTTTATCATTTAATTTATTTTTTAACTTTCTAAAGACTAAATTTTTTAATAATTACATGATTCAACTAAGAACTTTCTAAATAAAGTGGTGGTGACTGGGATACCAACGAACTTTTCGACAGCATTGATGACCTTTTCTATCTTCTTATCGAATGAAGGTGCAGAGTTATCAATAATGATGTGGTGGGGATGACCTCTCCAAGCATTTTGAAGGGCTTAATCAACCTTGATAGCAGTAGGTCCATCTTCATATCTAGCTACGTTGTTTTCTAAGGTGTAGAACTTTTCAGCACCATCAGCAGCAGTAACTAAGTGAATGACTGCATCGTATCTCTTATCTCTTAAATAAACAGAGTTCCAGCCACTTTCGTCTAAAACTGCCTACCAGGTGTTGTCATCCATGTAACCCTTAGGATCCATGACACCTAAATTAATGATTTAAATACAATTAAAAATATATCTTTAGGTATTTTTAAATTTTAAAAAAAGATTTTCATAAACAGAAGCTTGATAATACTTAATTTTTTTCTCAAAGCTAAATATTTTATTGTTTTTATTTTAAAAGATACACTTCTATCTTACTAAATTTTTAAATTAAATTTATATGATCCTTATTTAAATGGAATGTGCTTAGATTTGAAAATATGCTTTAAGTTTACACCTTTGTTTTCATATCTTTTTAATGAAGTATATGTTACTAGACATGGCAACTTTCAAATTAATTATTATAATAGTATTGTACTAGTTTTATCATAAGTAAACTGATAAAGGTATTAAAAAGCAATTCTAATTTAACAATAATTGTTTCTAATCTAAAAACTCATAAATATGAAAGTCTATTGTTACCTCTATCCATAAGAACAACAGCGGGCTTTCCATTAAGCTTAGCGAGATCAATGAAGTAATCTTCTAAATTGATTTAGGCCTTCATTAACAAACTTTAGAATCTGCAAACATTTTCAGAAGTTAAACCACCCATAATGATCTAATTTATTTAAGATTGTTTTTGATAAATAATAAATAGAAAAATCGTGGGCATTAATAATCAAAAAGCTTGTTATTACCATACCACCACCTTCCATGGTTAAAGTAGGAACTTCAGGGACAACAAATACCTTAAGACCCTTTTCAGTTAACTTTTCCTTTAAGGTAGTAAGGGCTATTTATAAAAAAATAATTATTTGAATATGAATTAGAGTAAAGCTAGCAAAGTAGATTGGATTTTATTGTAAATGTAAAATAATAAAACAATTTGGCATATTCGCGAATCATTTACCTGTAGTCTTACCAGCGCAAGGACCACCAGTCAAACAAATCTTATAGACAGGGAAATAATCGACCATTTTAAGCTTATTCTTGAAAATTTAGAAATTAAAAATTTTTATTTAAGATTTTAATTATATTTTTTAGTTCTTTCTTGAAGTGAAAACAGATAAATAATAAAAAATACGGATATTTCGTTTGATATGTTTAGCTTTTCGATGTAAATATATATTATAAAAGATTCGCGATAAATCTTCACCCCATGAATCTATTTTTTTTAAAAGTCATATTTTTCTATTAGAATCCATTAAATAAAGCATTCCTTCAAAAGATATTTATCGTAATCATATTTTTCTACAAAGTTAAGCTAGCTATGTAAAACAAACTTATATCTTTAACAATCGAAAGATGGGTGATGTCCTTACAGAAAAATATACTTAATCTAATTAATGAAGGAAGTAAAAATGATGTATTATGCTTCTAAATATTATTTTTTATAAACAGAATTTACTCTTAATCACATCCGAATTCATTCAATATAGATATCAAATTAATTTAGATTTTTAACTTATTACGTTGCTAATTAAAAAAAATTTAAGTCTTTCAGTTTTCTTTTTATTTTTTGTATTTTTTTATAAAAATTTAAAATATTTTTTATCAAATTTACCACAGAAGAGTTTACTAAGTTAAATATTCATTTTTTGGTCATTTTACTTACAACTAAAAGTATTTAAAAGTTAATAAAGTAATTTATATATTTAAATATTTATCATTACCAGAGAAATTCTCAAAAGATAATCATGTGTGTGCACGATAGTGGTAAAAATTGCATCAATTGTTATCTTTGATATTTTTTACTATCAAGTAAAATAAAAAAATAAACTTAATTTTTAATCCAAAAATTAATTTAGTTCAGATATTTTATATAATATAAAAACAATATAAGATCATGAAATATTTCTATTTAAAATTCAAAAGCATTTTAAAACAAGTAAATATAAAAAATATTAAAAAACATGATTAAAAAAATGAGAAACTTGCTTATTGATTGAATTAATTTATAATAATTGTCTTATTTATTTAATTATAAAATAAAATAATATGTTTTTTCAAGAGAAGAATTAGAAGCTTTAGCTTTAAAGTTAAAAATATTAATTTAAAAATCATAAAAAATGAAACCTACTATAAATTTAGAATTTTAATCAGTATTTTACCATCTAAATTTTGGGTAATTATTTAAAATTAATAAATTGATTAATTAAAAATGTAGGAGTTTAGGTAGTTAAGGAAAAAATAATAATAATTAATAAAAAATGAATATGTAATTTGACAGTAAATAAATTAATTCATTATATTCTCTGTTTGTATATTCTTAAAATATACTATAAATTTTACATTTGGATCATTTGATGTAGTATTTTGCATTAGGCTGATCAAATATTCATTTATTTTAATTTAAAACTTTTGACAAGGTTATAATCAAAATAGAAAGGAGTTGATAGATCAATGATTTATTTAGCTATTTATATACTAATGGACGAAGAATTAAACGAAAAAGAAAAATAACTAAAAAAAGAAGGAGCTAAGAGAATCGATTGAAGGTAAGATAAGAGGCGTTAAAAGAGTTTAATAGGCGAAATCCTTACAAGGAAAAAAAGAAAAAGAAAATAATATATTATGGTCTATTTTACTGAGAAGGAAGTAATTAAGTGTGTATGTATGTATATGATTGATCAATTTGAAGAGTTTTGCTGATTAATTGATGTTAGGAATAAAGCTTTTTGCAGCAAGCAAGAGGAAATGAATTAATTGCCTAACTATTTATTTACTTGAATAATTAAATTAAATAAAATAAAAAAGTTTAAAAAGAAAATATCAAAAAAGAAAAAAAAACATATTCAAAAGAGAAATACATCAATTTCAACATTGTAAGAAAAATGGGACCATATATGTCATAACCTAAAAAGGAAAAGGTATACGATTAGAATAAAGGAAAGAAGGTCGAGTTCTGTGCTGCCTCTATGCAAGGTTTATAATTAAAATTTGTTAAAATTTATGTTCTTAGAGTTGTTGCTTACTGTTAATTAACTCAAAGGAAAATTCTTGGGAGACATGGCTTATATTAAACGCTTAATGGATTATTTAGTCTTTTAGTTAACTAATACTCCAAGTTAAAATATAAATTATTGCTCACAAGCAAATATTCAAACTTTTACTGGAATGGAAAGCATAAAATATCATTCCATATCTTAATAATTAGCCTAGGTTGTTTAAAAAAAGAAAATCGTATTTTTATACTAAGAACCATATTAAGATATAAAATGAAGCAAAATCATAATTTTTTTTACCTATATGAACTAACGTTTTAAAAAGAGAAGACAAATGCGTTCAACTAATCAGCTCAATAGTGCTGCCAATTTAAAATTAAAAATATAAAATTTTTGATATTTTTAGCCATGCTTTTTGCAATACCTTTCAACTTTTATTTTATTACCTATTAAAAACTAACCATTTAAAAAATAAAACATAGGATGGAGAAACACAATGGAAGACTCTCATATTGCTGAAATGAATATTGATGGTGATGAAGATGCTTGTGTTTTTGGTGTTTTCGATGGTCATGGAGGTAACATAGATATTTTATTAACAAGCAGACAGAGGTGCAATCATAGATTAGCGATAAATAATTAAATGTTTCACCAATATGTCATTTTGTCCAACCTGAATTAAAGAGTTTAGAACAAATTTTGCATGTCTTTTCAACATTTATTTATTGAATAGAATGCACTCTTTAAATATAATGTAGTAGCATTAAATGGACCAAAAATTTTTAGCATAATAAAAAAGAAGGCAAACAAAATGAATGATAATACAACATGAAACAAATATTCAAATTACGTTTATTTTTTAAATGAAATTACAGAAAGAGTTAAGAAGAAATCTTATAATAAAATGATCAATCAGAAATTTCGATTGAATCAATCAAAATTTATAAAAGTTTTAAATTTTAATTTTTTAACTTTATTTCATTTCCCCTCCTCTATAACTCTTAAATAAAAAACAATTACATTAAGGAAAAGAATGTGAATTTCAATTATGATTTCCAAGCAAATAAGGAAGAAGAAAATAATAAATAAATAAATAATTTAGTGTTTTTGAGTGCAATTTTTAATTAGAATAAGATTTGTTTTGAAATCAAAAAAAATAAGATTAGTTTGATAAAATTTTGAATTTTAATTATATCTAATAGCCACCAGCTAGCTTTATATTTATATAGCTAGCTAATTATCAATAAATCTAACTAATTAAATCCTATCCGATTTGTCTCTAGCAATTTAAATAATTATAATCCAATTTTGATGTATTTTTATAAAAAATACTAAATTTAGTTATTTACTTTTTATATATTTTAAAATAAAAAAGTTCATTAAAAAAATTAGCATAGTAAAAATTCATCCATTAACCAATTAATAAAAATACAAAAAAACTCTTTTAATATTTTTAATTCAATTTTAAAATACAATCTACCCTTTGATTTTCAAAGATAATTAGTTCGTTAATCATAATGATTCACTTATCTCAATCTATTTTACTAAAATCTGCTTGAATTTTATTGGTTATTGTTTTACTGATAATTAATTTTATAAACAATAGGTTCTGAGGTAGCTCAATTTGTTAAGAAATATTTTGTTCAAGAATTGACAAAAAATCCCAACTTTAAAAGCAAAACAAATCTCGGAGAGGCTTTGAAGGAAACTTTCATTTCAATAGATAAAAAAATGATTACTAAAGATGGTATTAGGGAACTTCACTAACTTAGAGACCCTAGCAGAAGCGGAAATCAAGATTATGATTTATAGACAATCTATGCAGGCTGCACAGCAAATGTATGTCTTATATATAATAATTAATTATATGTTGCTAATTCTGGTGATTCTAGATCAGTCCTTTGCTCCAAGGACTAACCTTTTGCTATGTCTATTGATCACAAGCCTGATGACAAGATCGAATTAGAAAGAATTAGAGCTGCTGGTGGTTTTGTTGCTGAAGGAAGAGTCAATGGCAACTTGAATCTTTCTAGAGCTATGGGAGATTTCGAATATAAAGATATAGGCGAATAAGGTGGCGATAAGGTATATCCTAAAGAACCTGAAAAAACTATGATTACTGTAGTTCCTGATATTAAATCTAAGAATTTAATTACCACTGATAGATTCCTTCTTATGGGATGTGATGGTATTTGGGAATGTAAATCAAACGAAGAACTTATGGATTTCATTATTTAACGTTTAGACAGATAGGTTCCTCTTAAAGTTATTCTTGAAGAATTGCTAGATACTATTCTTGCAAAAGATTGCTCAGGTAAATAAAACTCATTCATATATTAATTAAATTAATTATAGCAATTTTTTAATATTTCGCTTTTTCTTTTCTTTCTATGAACATTTTTTATAAAATAAAATATTTTTGAAAGCTTTTTTATATTAAATTTTTGTATTAGAATTTATCTAAATAATATTTTTAATGTAAAAATAGAGGGTATTGGATGTGATAACATGACAGTAATTTTAGTTGTTTTCAACAATGCTAAGTAGTGAATTAATAATAAATTTATATAAAATTAACTATGATGGATGGATGAGAGTATATAATATGAATGAGAAAATAACTCTTCAACTTATAATTCATTATTTTAATTAAATGCTCTTCAATATAATTTTAGCACTAATCAAGCAAAACGTATACTTTTCAACTCAAAAACAAGCAAGTAAGCAGGCTGATTGAACAAACTTAGTTAGGTACACAAAAAGCAGTAACTAAGTAGGAATAAAGTATGAAGATTTCGAAAGGAAAATGCTAGTATAAGCATAAAAACAAACATACTTACATACACATGCATAAATACATTCAATCAATCAATCAAGCAAGCAAGTAATTAATTAATTAGTCTAATAACTCACTCACTCACTCAGTTTGTAAGTCAAACAAGAGTAATTCGTAGTTCATAGAATATACATTACCATCATCAATAAATCAATAACCAACTCATTATTTTCTCTATATATATGTTTTATTACCATCATAATCATTAACATTTTTGGAGAAGCATTATAAAAAAGTAGATAAAAAAGCAATTAAACAATTTATAAAAATATATAAAAAATTATAATATCCATACAAAAGCAGCTCTTCTTTTTCATATAAAACTTCTCCTATCTGCTTATCAAATTATATATAAAAAAATAAATCAATTTATATTATTTCTTTACCGTGCAATATAAAATTTTTTTTTATATTGCTTCTCAGAGGTTGCATGCATAGGCTTCATTTATTCTTCGGAAAAAATAGAATCCGGATAAAAATGTTTGGGTGTCCTCATTTCTGACCATCCATCGTTTCATATCTTCATGTGTGCCAATTATTACAAAAAAAACTACAAGAAAGTAATATTTTTAATTTAGTTGTTACTGAAAGTCATAAATCAATCACATTAACTATCAATCTTTCTTTGCTAACAAAAAATATCTTTTTTCTAATAGAATTACTAACAAGCTGTAAATTAATTATGGTGGATTGGAGAAGTAAAAGTGCTAGCTTAAAATTCTATTTAGATAAAGATATAATCATTTGTTTTTTGAATAAGATTTCATTCAGTGATCCTAAAATTACTAACAAATGTTCTTCTTGAATGTTTTCCTCTGAGATTATAAATATATATATTAATTGCATCATTTGTATTGTTATATGGCTGTTTTATCTATTAAAATATATTAATTATAATTTAATCATAACATTTATATTCCACTTTAAAGTTAAAAAATGTTAGCCAATCAACAGTAAAAAATTAAAAAAAAGATATTTTTTTTGAATAAAAAGTAATTTTCTAGAATTACTTAGCAATTTCTTTTTTATAAGAAAGACAAAGAGATCTCATGTTAACCTTATTATCAAAATTTATACAAACAAAGAGTGATATTTATTTAGAACAAATTTTTAATTTTCTAGTAACTAAATTTTATATCAAAATAAGTTAAAAAATTCTTTTAAAAATAGCTAGATAGATACAAACAAACAAACAAACAAACTTAAGCAAAAAACATATTTTAAAAAGTAGGATGTTAGTAAAGAGTGTTTTGTTAGGAGCTGCTGGTACAGCCTTATTTTCATATTCTAATTAAAAGACATACAAAGCTGAAAAAAATGCAGGAGAAAGAATAGCTATTGCAATATTATACCCTGCTCCAGGATATGATGTTACTGGTGCTGTTACTTTCTACTAGAAAGATTTACATTCAAAAACTTAAATTACAGCTCGTCTTAAAAATTTAAATCCTAATGGACTATTTGGTTTTCACATTCATGAGTTTGGTGACTTGACTAATGGAACAGAATCTGTTGGTCCTCACTATAATCCATTTAATAAAAAGCACGGAAGTCCTAGAGAAGATGAATCTCATATGGGTGATTTAGGTACAAATAATTTTTATACCAAAAGATATAAAATATTTTATAATTCATAGTTTAGTTAAATGCCTTTCAGGATAAATATTTACACAAAAAAAGCAAAATACAATAAATTTTAAAGTAAATTTTAGCTACAAATAGTTTTACATAAATATAATAAACTTATAAAGAATAATTTATTAAGAAAATAAAATATTTCTTTAAATTTGTTCTAAAATTTTAAAATAATTATTTAAATAGGCAATATTAAAGCAGATGATCTTGGTTATGGTTATTATACTTCTGAAAATAATAAAGTTACTTTATTTGGAGAATATTCTGTTGTTGGTAGAAGCGTATTAGTTAATAAGAATGAAGATGATTTAGGTAGAGGCAACCACCCAGACTCCCATACAAATGGTCACTCTGGTCCCAGAATAGCTGCTGGTATTATTGGACTTGCTTATGAACTTAAAAACTTGCCTGCTAGATTTTGAGGGAAAAATATGTTAACTAAATAAATGAATGAATTTACTCTATTTTCAATAAAAATATATTAACTTAATAATAATGAAGTTTTTTTGTACATTTGCTTAGATATATCAAATATGTGTGTGAGTATTTATTTTTCTTATTCAATGCATATAAAAATGAATTAATTTATCAAAAATGTTTTAATAATTTATTTTTAAAAATTAAAAAAATAATTTTATTTATTCATTAATAAATACCTAGAATAATCTAAAATTTATTCATTTTTTGTTTTTAATTGAAATTATAAGTAATTAATTAAAATTTGAAGACCTATTTCATATTTTATCAAAAAATAAATTTTATTTGGTAATTTAAAATGTATTTTATTCAAAAGAATAAATTTTAAAAGAAGAAAAGCAAAAAATTAAAATTTTCTTCATTCAGATTTTATACTTAAAAATAAATAAATTGCTAAATAAAGAAAAGTAAACTTATTATAATTATTATTTTGAACTGTATAACTTTTTATTTAATTAAGTACAAAAAATTTTAGAAGTATGTAAATAATACATATATAATTGATATTTAGCAGAAATATTAATGATAATTATGAATCATTTTTAAAAATAATTTAACAATAATAATTTAATTTTTTAAAGTTGTTTGAAAATTTAAAGTAAAGTTTTTTTCACTAATTTTTTAATAAGTAGGTTTTGCTCCTCAAATCAAAACATTTTGAATTAAATGTATTGATGAAATCAGAAACAAATAAAATAAGTTGATTGAAATATTTCACATATTTTAATGAAATTTATGTTAAATAATTATTTTAAAATAACTTTAATAAAAATGAAATAATTTTTATATAAAAATAAGAATAAATGTTTAATTTAGATTTAAATTTGTTTTCATCTTTAAAAATGAAGGAAAAAGCTTCTGTGAAATTATACGTTTTTACATTTTATTAAGATTAGATTTAGTTAATGAACTTTCTTTTCAAAAGATTTATCATAATCAAAAATCAAAATCAATTAAAACTGAGATGCAATTTTTAATTTCTCAGTTGTCCGTTTCTAAAAAGGGAAATTAATAAACTTAAAGAAAAAATTTTGTGAAATCAAATCATATTTACAACACAAACATAATAATAATAAATAATACTTCTCTTAGTAAAATGAATGAAAATTGTTATGATAAATCGATATGTAAAATAAATGAGGTATAATAAATAATAAAGACTGTAAATTAAATTCATTTATGAAATAAAATAGATGTATTTTGTATTTTTTCATTCAATCAATCAATGAAAATAAATAGAATTTATATAGTTCCATTTAGATAGAATGAAATTTGATAAAAATTTGTTTAATACATTCACAAGGTATTTGAAACAAAAACAATTAAATTAAAAACAACAATCTAAATAGTAAAGAAAGAGAGGCAAAAAGAATTATTCTGATACAAACAATATTTATCTCTTTGTAAATAATTATAAACTCCTTCTTTCCAATATAAATTATTCCCTCTTTAAGAGATGGCTGTACTTACTGATGTAGGAGCTTATACCTAAATTATTATATTTTCTCTAATTGGTTTAGGTTTTACGGCCCTAGTTTACTTTCAAAATGTATATTATTTCTAAATATTTATTTGTTATTGTTATTAATTGCTAGTTTTAACTACAATAAAAAATTTAAACTGGTCATAATTGTATTTCAATCTTTCAATGAAGCAAGTTCATAATTTAATATATTTTATCATTTGTTAAAGAAATTAGGACATGATATAGAGAAAGATTTAGAAAAATAACTTGGAAATGAAATTGTAAATGAATAGTTATTAGGAAATCAATAAGATCCGTCTTCAATTGCAAGCTTGAAAAAGTATTATCTCGGAATAACAGTGTAAGTACAAAGATGCGCAATGGAATTCTACAAGAGCCAAACCTTTTTTATGTCCTTCTTTGCATTGATTTTCTCAATAGGCTTCCTTGTAACAATTTATAAAATTTTTGAAGCAAATATGATGTGCATGTATATCATCTAAAATAATTCGATCTTAAATTTTCAGAAAGGCAAAAATATACTTCATCGTATTAAACAGTTCTTTGTTCAAAAACGTTTTAAGTAGAACATATAATTTACTCTTAGTTAGATGAGTCTTAAAAAAAAAAAACTATTTATTTTTTTATGACAGTAACAATTTCTATACTGACCTTATTGGACTAGAGATATAAAAACGAAAATACGCTATATATTAAAACGACTTTCTAAATTAATTAATTACTTACTATTAAGTAAAATCAAAGCAAAATATTTTGTAATGTCGCTGAAATAAAAGGTCTGGCTAAAATTTTATAGTAACAGATTTTACTATATACACAACTAATTTTATATCGTGGCTAGCCAATAAAAAAAGCAAAGATATACTTATTTAATATCGAATTAGATTTTAGATATAAACTTTTTCTATTTATCTATTTCTACTTATTCTAAGAAATTTTTTTATTTTAATTTTAGATTTGGTTGTCTCAGGATGATCGTACTTTTATGCTAATGATTGCTTTTGCTTTAGGGTGCACTTGCGTTGCTATAAATACTTTAATTACTTTGAAGATATCTCTTGCTTCTGTCATAAGAACAGCTATATTATCAAAAGAATAGAGTATTATCGGATTCACTTACTTTAACGCTTCAGCTATTTCAATAGCTACTACTGCAGTTTCTATCTTAACACTTAGCATATTAATTCCAAGTTTCAGTAAAATAAATGTTACTAATATATTTTTTACTTAATTTTTTAATTTATTAATCAGTTTCTGTTTTGGATGATGAAGATACTACTGTTCAGGATTACACTAATATTTTCCAATCTATTTTAGGTTATGCTTTGGGAAGTAAAAAATTATTTTACAAACATATTACTTTCATCATTTAACTTAATTAAATTTAATAATTCAATAAATAGAATGTAAAATGATGCTTTTCATATTTTCAACTCTTAAAATATTATTTTAAAAATTTATTTTTTGTAAAGCATTAAATTGAGTTTTAGTAATTTTTTTAAAATAACAATAGCCGCTTTTGCTAGTCTTTTTTATAGAGAGGCTGGTGGTATGAGCTGCAAGGGTATTTTAGTAGGACGTGATATGATTTAAAAGTCAAATTACCAAAATTATGATTAAACTGTTATCGAAGTCAATTTAAACACAGCTAGTATTATTAGTAATATTTACAATAATAATATTATCAGTGTACTAGATTTCTAGACTGTTTTTACTGCTTTCCTTTGTATTTATCTAATAGTTATTTGCTAATCTCCTTAAGTTGATAAAGATTACCGTGGTACCTTTTATTTACCTCTTTACTTGGTTGGTATAAACCTTTTAGTTGCTATTGCTACCACTTATGTAACTAACACAAGTCCTACTATTGAAGAAGAAGATAATTAAGCTTGTAATAATATTTATTTCATCTGCATTTATTTATATTAAATTAATTCTTAAAATTTTAGATGAATATAGCATTCCTAAAGAAACTGCCAAATAAGTTAGATTACAAGTCTTAATCTGCAATATTTTCTCTTTCATTTTCTTAATATGCTTCCCTATATGGATAGTCCCAGATGGATTTACCATAGGCTCAAAAAAGCTAAATCTTGTCAGCTAAGAAAATATTGATTGCTCTGACGCAATTTGGGCATTAATGACTGGATTGGCATCTTAAACATTTTTGATTGTATATTCTGAAGTCTTCACTTCTCACTACTTCTCTCCTGTTAAGAAAATTGCTTAAATCAGAAAAGATCGTAAAAAAAATGTTATTTTGATTATTTATTTAATTTATATTTATTTAAAACTAGATCCTAAGGGTGGATTTTCAATGACACTTTTGACTGCAACTGAATATGCTAATATCAGCTAATTTGGTATTTTTATTCTTTTCAGTTTCACTATCATGCTAGGTTATCTTCTATGTGGTATGTTTGGTGTTGCATGTGCTATTTGTGGATTAATTTGTGCACCTTTCTCTTTAATGAGTGTAAATATTTTCTCTGGTTTCACTGCAGAGGCATTTGAAATCTCTGGAGTAGGTAAAATAATATATTACATATCTTTAGAATATAAATATCTAAAACATTTTTAAATAAATATCTAAAACAGGTTACCTTAAATCAATGAGACAAAAACTTTTCGGTTATAGCTGGGCTTCAAGAAATTTCAGTATATATACTCAGATAGTCACAATTGTAGCAGTTATTTTGACTAGTGTTTTATGCATCGGTGCATGTGTATTTATTACTGGCGATTTTGATATTTATGTTTGGGATGCTTATGGAATCTTTGGATTTTTATATGGTGGTTCCCTTGCTTACTTCATTAAAGGTATAGGACTATCTGGCATTAAGCAAGTTGCTGAAAATTTAGTAAACTATTTAATATTGTTTAATTAAATTATTCTGAATTGTATTTTATTTTCTATAATAGAAAGAAACATACTAACTCAAGAAGTCTTCTGATGTAGGATCTAAAAAGAGCAATTTTAAAGAAGTTGATGTATTAGTTAAAGATTAATATAACTCAGTTATCATGAAAGTTGCCATTAACATTTTCACTGTAAAATTTATAATTTTTTGCTTTTTTAAGCTAAATTAAATTTATTATTAAAATTAGAGCATTTTTAGTATCGTTCTTATTGGTATTTTCTTTGGAAACAAAACACTAGTTGCTTTCGTTATTGGTCTTAATCTAGTAGGAGTTTATCTTTGCTTTATGTCTCTTATCGTTGGATACAGTGTAAAGAATGCTAGAGAATATAGTAGAGGTACTTTTTTATTGATATTTTAGTTCAATTTTAATTAATTTTAATTTTATTTAGATTATGGTAAAGTTACTGATGTAGATGAAGCTCCTATTTAAGCTGATATTACAGTCACTGCCTGTGAAGGAATTCCAGGAACAGCCCTTGTTACATACTTAGTTTTCAATACAGTTTTTGTATTGTAAGGAGCTATCAAGTGGGCCTAATACGGCTATTTCAGAAAGTGGGTTGATTCTGGTGAATTAAATAAGTTAGCTGATTCAACTACAGATGGTTATCTAAGTTCAATTAAAAATATACCAGACATTATATCAAAGGCCTTCGATGGTGAAGGAGCAGAGTGATGATTATAAATATTTATCAATAAATATTTTTTTTAATTACTACTTAGTATAAAAGATAAAATTAGGGATGAGGATCAAGATAATTCTTAATAAAATTGATTAATAATCTTCCCTTATTGTTAAAATACTAATTTAAGTTAAACACTCTCATGAAATAGGGTGCTTAAAGCTTGATTTAAGTAACTTGATATTGCTTATAATTAGTTATATCAGTCATTCATTATTAAACTAAAAATATATACTTCTTTCTTGTAAACATTTTTGATGATACTTTACTATTTTTCCTTTATATATGTAGAAGTTATTACATTTATTTTCCTTAGGCACACAATTTTTTATTTAAAAACCCAAAATAATAAACGAAAGGATATAATTTATTTCTTTATCTCATAATTTTAATCATAAAACAAATTAATTTTTTACTTAAGAATTTGAGCAAATAATAAAAGTAATTTAGTAGAATTAATTTGTATTTTAATTGAAATTTAATAAATTTTTGTATTAGTTTTTTAATTTATTTTTTTTGATTGAAATTAACTAGATAGATTTAAATAAAGAAAAATAATTAATTAATTAGATTTTTCTAGAGATATTTAATTTAAAACCTTTCGTTTACAAAATATTTATCTCATGTTTCCTTTCAAATTAAAAAAATAATTCAATCAAATGAAAAAATAACAACTAAAAAATATTTAAAATCAGTCAATATAAATTACAGTAAATAATGTTTAGAAATTTAACAAACATCATATATAAATAAAGAATACTTGTTTAAATACTTACAAAAATATTAATTAATTTTGTTCTTTTGTTAATTTTTTTCACACCTATCTCAATTTAAAAAATTTTCTTTAATAGAAGCTATTGTTTCCTAGAAGTTTTTAACGGAGTGACCTACTGTACGTTCGCTTGTATAGATTTCATAATCGTTTCCACCCTTTATATATTTAAATATTAATTTAAATTTTTAAAAAATCTTAATTTGTACTGGGAATGTCTTGTCTCCATAAAAATGGATTTCCTTAAATTCTTCAAGGAAACGCAAACAATAAGTCTTATCCCAACCAATAGGGAAAACATCAAAGCTAATCTACCCACCAATAGAGTATTTAAGATTTAAATCAGGGAATTCAGATTCAAGTTTTGATATCAAATTCTTTCTGATATTATGTTGCTTTTGATTTTTATTAAACATAAATAAATTAATAAATAAGGTAGATAGATAGATAATGTAATCAAAATATTATAAATTATTTTATATTCAAAATTACCAAATCAAACTTTTCAAATTCGTCTCTTTCTTATTGGGAGCAATTTCTACCAATAGGAGAAATGTTAATCATACCATTTCTGTACTCAATAAAAGTTCCTCTCTTAACAGGAATATCTATTTCGGAAAGAAGTCTTAAAGTTGTATTTATGAACTTTTTCAATTTGTCTTCACCGATTTCATCACCAATACTCTTTAATTTTATTTGAAATAATTTTAATCACTTAGAATATTTGCTCATTATATTAAGTGTATGTTTATTTTAATTAATATTTACTCTTTTAGCAAAGAATTGGCCTTCTTTAAGAGAGTATGTACCATTTTCACTAAAACAATAATCGAAACTATCAACAACTAATTTTCATATTAAAAACAATAATTTTATTTTTATCGAATAATTTAACTTAATCTTAAAATATTTACCTGGTTTAGTTAATTGCTCAATAATCTTATGTAAATCAGAACCTCCAACAACAGCTACATAATGCTTTTTTTTTAACTCAGCTAAAGTATCTATCATGTCTTATTCTACTATCTATTTTAAATTAATAATTAATGAAGCACCTTATAACTGTGAAACTATTAAACAATTATGTATTTAAATACATTTCTTGGCTTGGTCAAAGTGCCATCAACGTCAAAAAGAATAATTTTATCTTTTGATCTTTCCATTTTTTAAAAAGTTTTAAAGCTTTATTAGAGTTTTTAAATAAGTAATTATTTATTAATAAATAAATTTAACTTTTATAAACAAATCATAAAATTTCAGCAGATTTAATTTGTATTAAATTCACTAATCTTTTATTCAAATATTTTTATCAATCGACTTGTTCTATTTTAGTAAAAACAAGTGTTTAAAAAATATCAAATTTCAACATTTTACATTTATATCATCATATTATATCAGTTATTACATTTTTCTATTTTATATTTTTTAAATTACTTTTTTTTTACAAACTATTCTAAAAATAATTAAATTTATATTTATAATTTCAAATTATTTTCAGAAACTAACAATATTAATTTAAAATTTAATTTATCATATTTCGAAAGATTTTAAAATATACTTTTTAAATAGTACTTTATAAAATTCATTTTGGATAGTTTAGAATATAATTATGGTACTTATTTTAAAAATATCAAAAAATAAATAAAATTTTAAAACTAAAAATAAACAATTTATTTAAAATCATAAAATTTCGTTATATATTTTAACCTGCAAGTGTATATATAATATTTAATTATTACAATCAAAATAGATTAATATTAGATATCAAAAATGTGTTTTCTTGGTTTTCAACTATATTCAGATAATTAATACTGAATTATTTTTATTAATTTTATTGCATATGAAAAAATTATGTAGATTTCTTTCAAGGTTATTAGTGAATAAAATTTATTAATTAATTAATTTAATATAATATTTTTAAAAATATATTTTTTAATTAGAGGTAGGTAGTTAGTTAGTTATCTTGATAATATTTAAGTATAAAAATTCAATCCTTTCTTAGCATATACATTTGCTTTTTTTGCACATTTTATGGTATTAAAGAGTAGTTTATACAATCAAGGGCTTTATGGTTAGTTTCTAAGTCTATATCATAAATATTTTCTATATTTTCAATATTTTCGAGCTATTTATAACTCTAAGAGTATAGATTCTTCAGATAAGAACAAACGTAGCTTTTTATATCTTGGGAATTTTCATTTTTTAATTCTGGCTGACTTGTTGCGTTTGGCTGAACTCCTCCATATAATTAATTTAAGTATGAGTTTGCCATATCTTTGAGATTTTGCTCTTCAACATTTGAATTACTGTTAGGTTTGTTGGAATTTGAAGAAATATTTTTAGTTTTGTCTTCATTAAATAAGACCAATTCTTTAGTAACTCTTCTAGAAGCGAGCATAGAAATAACCTATTGATGTTATTCATTTTTAAGAGATAGCTATTTATGAATATCTAAAATTTCTGCAAAAAACTCTTCTGTGATATTTTAGTTATCTTTATTAATATTCCACCATTTTTCTATAGATTCTTAGTCTGTGCATAAAAGAATGGACAATACTATTTAAAAACACTTTATTGATATTGTTAACACTTTTTCTATCAAAGGAGGAATTTAATTATCTGTGCATTTATCTTACAGCATCATAGCTAATAAGCCTTTAAAATCAAAATCTTTGATTTTGTTGTGATATTCACTAATCACCTGTATGCAAGTACTACCTTTGTTATCTACGTTTCTTGTAATTTGCTCATTCTTTTGTCTTATCTTTTCTCTAACATTAATTATCGCTTTTTCGAGCTCTGGATTATTTGTGATATTTGACTCAACTATTACTTTGTAAAAAAAGTTTGTATCTACAGATCTCATTCTTAAATGTTTGTTAAACTTTTGGCTACATAGAAATTCAATCTTTTATTCAAAATCTTATGGAATAACATAATCTTCTAAATCAGCAGGATTATTGTCATTAGTTTCCTTTTCTTGGTATTTATCTTAATTATCTTTTTTTAAAATGAATATTTTAAAAATTTAAAATTAAAATTCTGATTAACATCAAACTAAAAATAATTAATATAAGATTAAAATGTTTTATATTCCTTTACTTGAATCAATTAATTATTAAAATTTAGTAATTAAAATGATAAAGTACTTGATTCAACTATTAATTTGTGGGTTAATTGTTTACTTTATTTATAAATGTTTGTAAAATATTTGCTTGATATTTAAAATATGCTGACTTAGTAGAAATAAATTAATTCAATAAAATATTTACTCTTTTTTACATTCTTAGGCATTTTAGCTTTTGTACCACAAGCACCCATATATATTAATAAAAATAGTATCTACTATTTATCTATAAAAGTTATAAATATGTCGGTTTACTTTAGTTATCTTTCAACTGCTTCTATTTATTTTAAATATAGCTGTTTGTTATTATGATTAAAAATTGATTTGATTGATTTGTTATAATTTTTTTCTTATTGATCACTCAAATTATATTTTAATTACTTAGCAAGTAAATGAGCAAATATTTATTAATAGTCTATTTTTTCATGATTGGTACTATTAACTAATAACTTATTCAGTAAAATATTAATTAATACAGTCGAATTTCTCATAAAAAAATTAAGAGATATATACTTTTAACGATTACCAAGAAGAAAAAAAATCAAGTAAATATTAAAAATACAAATAAATGAATTAAATCTTCTGTACTTTTTTTTATTTTTAAATTGTAGGATATAATTTTCTAAATTTTTATAAGAATTGATATGTAAGTTTAAAATAAAATATATAAATCATTAAAATAAACAGGCATTATAGCAAATAAAGCATTGAAGTAGGATTTATAATTTAATTAAGTGTAATGAATCAATAATTTTTATTTTAAATTTTCTTTAAAATGTTTGCTAAAAAATAAATAGTTTTATAAGTTGAAATTTATAGATATTATATTCCACATAAAATATTTGTCAAAAAGATATTTTTATTATCAATAAATTCTTTTATTTTTCAAATCATGTAAAATAATGAATATTTATTTTTTATAAAAGCACAAATAATAAGTTATAAAAATTAAAGCATCAATCGAATAAATTCTATTTAATTATAAACTGGCCATTAAGTTTAAAATGATTCAGGTTAAAGTATTATTTGGTGGATTTTATTGAATTATTAAAGTATTTTAGTAAAAATCTCTATTTTAAAAAGATATTTGATATATACTGTAGTAAGAATTTCGTTTAAAATATTGAAAATAAATTTGAAACTAAAAAATTGTAATAATATGGGGTCTTATAGTAGGGGGGGATCTTATTATAGGGGGGGATCTTAATATAGAGAGTATACAGTAGTTATGTTATTTTAAAATAAAATATTTGCTAACTATTTGCAAATAATAACAAATTCTTCCAATAAAATAAAATAAATATTTTAACTCATTTTATTAAACTTTTAACAGCTAAATATAAACATAAAATAAAATAATAGAAAAGTTTAAGTTTTTTTTAAGATTAAAGTATAATTTTAACAATTTCATAGTTAATCTGCATCAGATTCTTCAGAGGATTCTTTTTATGATTACTGATTACTTGATAAAGAGTCTTGAGATTATGGCTACTCATAATTTTCAATGTTTTTAATAAAATCATTTTTAACTATTTATTGATTATTTGTATCTCTACCTGAAGGACTAGTTTTGAATTTCTTTTTGTTATTAGATGAAATTTCCTTGCTATTTTTTTAACCTAATTTAGAGAGATTTAACTAGTATGATTTTCCTGTTGCGGAGATCTAGCTTATTTAGGATTAATATTCATTACTTTGACTTTTATTTATACTAGAGTTGAGTCGGCTAAGATTTGGAGATTGTGGAGGGCTGTTTTAATTAGCTTTTACGCTCCTTTCACTAATTTTTGAGTTTGATTTTTCTCTCGTATAATTTTATTGATTTCCAAAAAAGGAAGTTTCTCTTTAATTTGGACTTCTCTAACTTTCCATTTAACTATTCTCAATAATTGAATCTGACCTCTTAATTGAAACTTCAGATTTATTAGACTATGTATTTATTTTTTAACTATGGAATGAATTAGTTTTTTAAGATTTCATATTATTTCCTTTATTCTTTTTGCTTAAGTAATCATTTTGAACTCTCAATAAAGACTCAACAATATCATCTTAAGTTCGACCATAGCTCTCATTTTCTTCATGAACTTCTTACTCCCATAAAGAGAATTTTTAGAATATTATCTAGTCCTATTCTTTCTACAACTTCGCATTTTAAATAGGTTAGCTATTTTTATTCTTATTCTAAGGATAATACTTTTTAATATCAAAATCTAAATAATTATTGTTTGCTAGAATTCTATCAAACAAACCTGTTCCTAAGATAACTGTTTCCATTTGTATGTCTTCTTCGATTTTATCCTTTTCTTCTTCCCTTCTGATTTCATCTTATATTTTTTATCTAAAACTACTAGGTGTTTAATTTTTATTTTAGTTTTAAGAACTAGACATATTGCCTTTACTTTTATTTGAAGAATTAGATTAAGGTCTTTCTTTCATATTGCTTGTTTTGGAATTATTGTTACCTCCCTGCTAATTAGTATTTATATTCTTTTTTGATCCTTGATTTTTGTTATCATTAGTATTTCTTTTTGATTAAGATTTATTTAAATCAAAGGATTCATTCAAATCAAAAGATTTATTTTAATTTTGATTCTAATTTCCTTAAAAATCATTTTGTTATTATTACGATCTGTCTTCTAGATCTTCTAAATCATCCTAAGCTTACTCAAAACCTCCACTGTCATCTGAATTTTTTCTTCTTGCTTTTCTCCCAGTGTTCTAGCTAAAACTGAGACTTAAATCTATTGATTTTGGAGAGTTTGGATCTTTCTATTCACTTTAATCTTCCTATTTATCTTTAGTGCCACCATCAATACTATCTGGATTTACTTCGCTTATAGATTTTATTGTTCTCTTGCTAGGATTACTGCTAGGGGGTTGTGCTCTTTTTGAAAATTAACTTCTAGCTTAAGCTTTTTTGTCATTTAAGTTTTGAGGATCTTCTATTTTATCTTCATTTTCACTATCATTAGCTTATGCGCTCTTATTTGTTTTAGGACTATTTACTTTTTTATTAAAATAGGAGGGTGATTGCTTGACTCTAGGTTATGGACTAGAATCAATTGAGCTTCCACTTCTAAATCTTTGATTCATTGTTTTTGAAAAATTTGTTCCTGAATCATCACTTTAATCTGAAGCACTTGAGCCAATAGTATTCCTCCTTTTATCAGCTTCTTCATCATCCATATTTTTATTATTCTATGGAGGCTTTTTCTTTTTTTATTTAGGAGGTTTTGGCTATGGTTAAGGATCTTCTTCTTAAACATTTTATTAAAATCTTTAAGCTCTTTCAAATTTCATTTTGTTTCTTGCCTTCTTTTGCGAATAGGGGGTTTCAATGTAGCTTGATTCTTCAGAGACTTCCTCATTATCAGTCTCCTATTTTTCTGGAGTTTTTGGTTCTTCTACTAATTTTTATGAGTGCATACTTAACTCGTCTTCAATAAGCATCTGGTTATCTTAAGTTTTGTTAGCTGATTCATTATTTGCTGTATGAATACTCAGCATACTTCCAAAGTTTTCTTCTGCAAGAGATTAAAGTGTCCTTTGTATATCTTTTAATTAGTCAGGGTCCTCATAAATATAATAATCATTAAAATCTTAATTTCTTGGACGAATATTAGGTGGAAGCTGAATCCTATATGACTTTTTATCAAAATTAGCAAGCATCTGCTCATATTACTTCTTCATCATTTTCAGCTTTTCATCATAATTAGTATTGTCTGAATTTAAATAATTTCTGCATCTTTCGAGAATATAATCTTAAAGTCTTTAATGAAGAGCTAAGCGAGAGTTAGAAACTTAGCTTGGCTAAATCTTTGATTTCTAGCTGATACTAGGTAAAATGCTGTTTTTTTGCAAATCATCATTTAAATTTTCTAATTACTCAGTATTTTAGTTCTGTACCACAACCTAAACTTAAAATCGATGACCCACTGATTTAAAATGATTTAAAACAAGAAAGTATTATTCTCTCTCTTCATTTGTTAAAAAGCTTAATTGCTTTTAAGACAGCTCTTAGAATTGATGCTAATTAATTTAATAGTAAGTGTTATACTACCATTCTATATCTTTGTTTCTATCAATAAAGCTACCTTACTTGTATCCACTGTTTTAATTAATGTTATTTTTAGACATCAATGATGTATCGTTGCTTATGTTAAATTCTTGCTAAGTGTTTTATTAAAGAGAAGAGTTTAGCTGTTATTTGTTTTATTTAAGCTAAGCATTTTATGAAATAATAGAGTCTTGGTTTGAAGGATATATATTAGGATTAAAAAAATTAATATTCTACATTCTGTTTGAATTTTAATTACTAGAATGTTACGATTCCTTTTAAGCACTGTTTTATGTAACATTTATATTATTTTGGTTTTAATAAATAGATTAAGATGATGGAGCTCTATTCTATAAATTTATATTCAAATTATTTAAACCTCCCATAGACTACAGAACAGTTTTATAAGATTTTTCATGAGATTTTGCACCAAGTTCTTTTTTTATTTTAAGCATTTTTAAAAACTGTTACACTTTCATCTCAAATTCTTGTATCAGCTATCTACGTTAGGCTATGGTTATTGGATCATCTATACTTTATGCAATTTTTTCTTCATTGTTTTTTAATTGACTGAAATCTTTTACTCTAAAAATATTTTTATGATCATAGAAATTTGGTTTCTTTTTATCTATTCCTAGTTGATCGCTTTAATTCATTGAACTGCTGAGGTGATTAGGCTGATAATAGCTATTTTATGTATGCTAAAATCTTTAATTAAATGACCTTCTTGTATTTTATTAAGAATAAGATGTTGATTTTTTTTAACCAACTTATGTAAACCATCCTCTCATTTCATTAAATAATTCTTTTTGCTATACTAACCTATCTGGTAAATCTAATTTATTCATATTAACGCCTAAATTTCTCTTTTTTCTAGGTTCCATACCTATACTAGAACCTCTATGAGAATAAAAAGAAATTCCTGATGATTTTTGAGCTGAGTTCGTTGTAAAAGCAGGTAAAGTTAATTTTGCAGCAGAATTGCTATTTTAAAAACCATTTACTTAAGTGACTGCTAAAAAACTAGTTGAATAGCTATTATTAAGCCCTCTTTTTTTAGATTTGATTGACATAAAACTAAATTTTATGATAAAATTCTATATGTCTCCTTTACTTATTATTAAAAATTATGTATTAAAAGTATTTGCTTCTTCCTATAATCTAAAACAGCGAGTGCTTTCCCTTAAAAAGATAAAAAAAATTTTATAAAAATTTATTAAAATTAAAAGTAAGGTTGCTTTATTTTTTTACTTAATTAACAGGTTTTAGTCTTAATTATGAATAAACATTTGAATATTTTAAATAAAAATTTAGAAGTGGCATGTTTTTTATAATTTAGCAAAGAAATCAAAATTTACTTCTTAATAATTTACTGGACCTATTTGGATTTATTTAATTTTATTTTAATTCTAATTTTTATTAAATTTTAGTTTTTAATAAAATAATTTAGTTTAAAAATATTTTTATGGTATTATTTTATTTTTTTAATATAATCATTAATAAGCTAAGCTACTTTACTCAAAAAATATTTTATTTAGTTAAATCAATGATTATTTAAAATTCAACAATAAATATTTTCGATCATCTACTTCTTTCCTTTTGAATTAGGTTTATTTAAATTTCAATACAAATTAAAATTTTGTTTAATTATTATTAAAAAATTGTTTAAAAAATGATCTTTTTAATTATTTTATAAATTGCATTTAATTGTTTAATCATTTTATTAAAAATCATTTATTGTTTATATTATTAAAAGTCCAATACTATTATATATAATACTATAGTTAATAAAAATAAATAATTCTTAAAATTAGAAAATTATTAAGTTAGAAAATTCTATTAAAATAGTATTTTTATTACAACAAATATAAAATTTATTCTATAAGTAGTTAATACGATAATTATTTATTTATTTATTTAATAATTCTTATAATTCAGTTAAATAAATTGTTCCAAAATTAAATTATATTGAAAACTATTACATTTTCAGAGTTTAATTTATAATTTATTAATTTATCAATTTTTGTAAAAAATTATATTCATTTTTACTTTTTGTTAAAACTTATTTGTTTTAATATTTTAAACAAATTTTAATTAAAAAAGTGAAGATATTAAAAATTCGTTTTAATCATATGTCTTCTTCACATTCTAAGAAATCAAAGGAATCTTTGTAGATAACCTTTCTGGATTCAGTTAAAACTCTCCTTTGAAATAAAAAAATAAAATTAATTTTAAATAAATAAATAATCATATTTACTAACTGTGTGGAAAGCTTTAAATAGAATTAGCTATTTGTTAAATACTTTTTTATGGTGAGTTGAGATCAGAATCTTTGATACCTGCTTAAGAAGAGAATTAACTCGGTTTATAACCTTCTTTTTATCTAGTATTAGGGCGAGAATCTAAAATCTGCAAAGTTGGCTGAGAGTTATTTTTTGGTATTGATCTTGAATTTGATTTAGCTGTAGTAGAAGAATTATTATTGCTATTATTACTACAAGTACTATTAGGAGTTTTTACTGATTCTCTAGATTGCTATTACTATAATTGTAAACTTTACTTATGAAAGGATAGTTACTTTTCTTATTTTTATTTATTATTGTTGTTATTTTCGTTCACTCCTGCACTTGATGTATTTAAACATGGGCTACCTGAGCTACAAGCACTAATATTTACAGAATTTGTTGATTAATTATGGGGATTGGTGACTAATTTTATTTAAAAATTTTAGCTCGATTTTCTTACTTGCTTTGAGGTACTTGATAAATTTGTATAGCTAGGTTAGTTTGATTAAGTATTAATGGGAGTTTATATTGGTCTTTATAAAGAATTAGTTTTTATATGAGAAATTAATTAAACACCACCATTTTATTGTGGTCTTTATGCTCTTTGTGCATGTGCTGATAACTTTTATTAATTCTACTACATTTTTGCTTGATTAGGTTAGTTTTATTAGTTTCCGAAATTAAATAAATTTTAATTATCTTTTTTACCAAAGAAGATAGGTGTAGATTGTAAGCTATTTTATCCTTTGTTAATCTATGGCAACTATATATTTTTTTAATTTACTGAGTTCGGACTTTCAGCATAGAATTTTGAATAGCTATTTGATATTTACAAATTTTATTGGTTTCCCAATTATATTTATTTAGAATTTATCAACTATGGAGAATTATCCTTGCTCTATGATGAATTTGGTTGGTTTGGTGAATTTGTTTAGGATTTTGCTTATCCAATCTAAAATTTATTATTCACTTTATGATCTAAGGGTATTTATAGCTTAAATTTAAAAGATTAATTATTAGTTAACTTCTCTGCTGCATTCGATTTTTCATTTATTTTGGCAACATTTAAACGAATATTTCTTGCTGGAGAGTCCTCTGCTCTCTTTAAGTCAAAATTAGGCTATATTTTACATATTAAAATTTTATAAAAAATCTTTAAGTTAATATTTAATTACGGAGGAATCCATTTATAAATAGTTTTTGTTCATATTATCCATATATAAATCCTATTCATTAGTGAATGTCTTTCTGGTTGCTTATCTTTCAGTCGCTGGCGAGTCCTTTTCGTCAAACGTTTTATATTTCTATGGACTCATTTTTATCTTTAGAGGTTATATTTTTATAGAATTCTCAGTCTACTTTGTTGATTTTTATTAAATGTATTTCAAAACTAAAATGGCCTTAATTGCCTATTTATAATTAAAGGATAAATTAATTTTAATAGATTTTTTAGCCATTTAATATTAAATACCTAAGATAGCTTTCTTTCGTTTTGAAAAACTCTTGCACTTTCTTAAAAACTTAAAGGGATACTTGAGTTTAATTTTCTAGTAATAAAAGGGTGCTTTAAAACCTAGCTAGCTGTATATCTATTTGATGGTTCTTTATTCAGCATCCTTAAAAGTAAATCTTTTGCCAGACTTTCAATGATAAAAAAAATACATCAAATTAAGTATATTATTTTAATTTAAACTAGAGGGTATTATATTATTGTGTGCTTTAAAAATTGTAAATCTTTACTCTGATGGGAAGTCATCTTCATCTAATACTTCTTTTGATACATCTAAGTTGATAATTTTTTTTATATATTCTTCTCTTGAAATGCTTGAACTCTTGAAGGGGTGCTTTCCCATTGTGTATAGCATATAAAGGATTATTCCGCAACTCCATATATCTATTGGCTAAATGTAATTAATAATAATTAATTAATTAATTAATTTAGAAAAAAATTAAATTTGTATAAGAAATATCTTATTATTTTTAAATAAATTGAATGGCTTAGAGATAATTTCATCATCAACTTCATTTGATTATGAGAACAAATTTCTTTTTTTTATAATCTCTTAGACCTCAAACTCGATCATAGCATTCAAAAAATAAATAATTTAGGTAATCATGAATTTTCTAACATATAATAAACTACTAGTTCATAATCATCATTTTTTAGATATAAAGAATATTTTCAAAAGGAAAATTAATTACCTTAGAGTATTATTTCTCAGCTAGAATCTCTGGGGCCATAAATATGACTGTTCCACATTTCTAAGAGTATGACTTAAAAGGTACTCCATCTTAATACTTAACAGATAACCCAAAATCAGATAATTTTAATTTTGATAAATCTTCTTTGCTTCCAAGAAGTATATTTTCTAATTTAATGATATTTAATTAAAAGTAAATTAACAATATTATGTCAATATAATAGCTAGTAATTAATTAAAAATCTTTCAACGCTGAATTATATTTAATTTCTACTGTAACTTCTTACCTGGTTTTATATCTCTATGAAGAACATTATTTTCATGCATACATTTAAGTGCTGACATCAAGTGGCTCATTATCACACTTATTTCTTGTTAATTAAAAGGATTATTTTTTGCTTTTCTTTCTTCAATTAATTGCTGCAGTGTTCCGCATCCAATATACTCCATTACTATATATTTATTTGAGTCGAGTTCTATGAACTAATTTTAAAAATTATACAAATGCTTTATTAGTATTCAATCAAATTAAAATTAACACTCATTTATTAAAACTAACTAATAAAATATATATGTCTGTCTGTAAATCTATCTATCTAATTTAATTTCATGAAATTTCGATACAGCTAAGGGAATTAAATAATTTTTTTTCAAGTCTATAAAAAATTTATTTTTTAAATATCTGTGAATATGAAATAAGGCTATAAATTTCTTTTCCATACTTGCTGACTAACATTTTTCATTTAAAAAGTATTTGCTTTTTTGCTTAACAAAGAATTTATATCTTAAACTTCTTCGTATGCTATTTATAAAGCTTTTAATAGAGGTCAATTTATTGAGTGTGTTGATTAAGCTAAAAATGCATTATTTAAAAGAATTACCTTCTTAAATTTAACTATGTTAGGATGGTCTAAACCTCTCAATATAGATGTCTCAATACTAGTATATTTTTCTTTATTATTTTGAGTAACCTATTGTTAATAGAAAATTATATTTGCCATTTCAAAGCTATAGAAATGTTTAGTTGATTAAAAAAGCATGATAAACTAATTAACTAATGAGAAGATTCATGAGCAAAATATTTTTTTATATTTCTTTTTATTTCTTTATATGGCTAAGATTGAATAAGAACATGTATTTCAGATTAATCGTTCAAATGTTTACTTTGACTGCGCACAAAGAACCATCTTAAATATCTCTGCCTTTAAATACAACTCCAAATGAACCTTCATCTATTTTTTCTATTAATTCTATGGAATATTCTTCTTTTAACTGATTTTGTTCATCTTCGTCTACTATGGAAGAAATTTCATCTTAGTTCATTTGCTTATTTTTCTTTCCTTATTCGATATTTAAAATTTTTTTACTCTACTACTGTTTATATTTTTGATGAGACTAACCTACTTCGATTTAATTAATAATATAAAATCTTAGTAAAAAAAATTTTTTTATTAATTTCTAATTTTTATAAATTAATAAGTATTGAAGAAATACTCATTTTGATACTTTTAAGCATGATAATTTAAAGTAAATACGCTAAAAGCAGAAAAGCTACTTAATTATTTTCAAAGGCCAGTGACATACTTATAAAATAAGATTCAAAATTAAGTTAATTAATCTACAGTTTTAAAAATATTCCTTTTCATCAGATACTCACTCATCAATGTAAATTTTCAATTCATTAAGTTATTTAAGATTTCGTAGAGTTATTTATAACAAACTAATTTTTAATCAAAAACATAGAATTTTAATCTAAAATCATATAAAATAGTGTATATATTGAATTTTTTTGGGAAATAACTTCTAAAAAAATTCAATTTTAATCACTAAGGTTATAATATTTTTACAAATAAATACATTAAAATTAATAATTAATTTAGGTTATGTCTGTATAATTTATTTGTGATTATAAAAATATTCTTTAATCTCAAGGATTTTAAAATTATGATATCTTTGGTAATAAGCAAATGAGTTTGTTACCAAGATTGCAGTATTAATTAAATTTATCTGTAATTTACCAAAATTTGCTTAAACCTATTCGTTGATAGATACTTAAATATTTAAAATTTTAACATTTTTTATTTAAATTTTAGAAATTTATTAGATTTTTATTTATTCATTTTTTATTATAAAGTCTTAATAAAAGTATCAAATTTAAAAATCAATACACCCGTTCTTTTACTTTAAATTCTTTCTATAGAATTTATTATATCTACTTACATATAGAATGATAAATATTTGAAATAACTCTTTCTAAAATAAATTGCTTTTTTTTAAGTAAAAATTATAATAATTGTTTAAATATAAAATAAATAAAATATTTACTTAACTCATTTTTTGAGTTAAAAATATTTACTAAAAATCATTAAATATTTTAAGCCTTTATTAAAACGAGTAAATTTATCTAAATAATTATTTTTTATGGTAAATTAAGAATTAATGAAAGAGAAGAAGAAAATTAAATAAGATAATATTACTGTAATTATATTTATTTTCCAGCGCTTGAATGAATTGATATCTCATAAAACTTTCTTTTTACATTATAGATGATAATAAATAAATAATTCTAATATTTATCTCTTTTATTTCCAAATACTTTAAGCATAGAATATACATAAAAAATATTTTAACTAATTTATAGATTTAACAACTTTATATTTGAGAGAATAATGAATAAATATAAAGAAATATTTACAAATGCGTTAATAAAAACTAAATAAATTACAAACAGCTTTATTAATAGCTGTTAAATCATTAATTCATCATTGAGGGGCATTATTATTAGGGTTAATTACTTAGAGGGGAATATCTTATTTTTATTGTTGCTGTTAGTTTTCTTAAATGAAATCATCCATATTTTGATTTTCATCAAGCGACAAAGTTAATAAATATCCAAAGAATCCTAAAATTGTTGTAAAGTATAATGGATGAATTTCCAGATTTTATGCTAAAGGAGCCAAACTACTACCTAAATTATTTATTAATTGTTAATTTTTTACTTAAATATAAAAATGAATTAATTACCTATAGAGCCAACAATCATACAAATACCTTGGCCTTGTGATCTTAATACTGTAGGGAAAGCTTCACTTGTGTATGTCATCAAAATTACAGTAAAGAAAACTATAGCGAATTTAAGAATCTATTTATTTCAATTAATATTTATTTTAAATCGATTGTGCTATTAATCAAATATGTTAATTACAATTGCAAATAGGATAACTGCTTCTTTAGCTATACAAAAACTTCCTATATATCTGCACTCAGGAGGGATCTCAATTACAGCTGAAAAAAATGAAAAAATAATCATCATAAGCATAGAATGCTTTATAGCTTTTTTCCTTGTTAATCTTAACTTCAGGGGTACTAATTATTGATTAATTTTTAATTTAGAAAATGTTTACAATTTATAAAATATTACTGCTGACCAAAGCTGATAATACTTCAATAATAGCTAAAATTTAGAAGTTCTTTTAAAGTTCATCACCTTTTTATAGTTAATTTTAAAAATATGATATCTTTAAAAGATTATTTTACCAAAGTTTCTGATTGAGAAAAGCAAGGAAAAGTAAGTAAAATATCTTGTAAACCAAAAGTAGCACATAACCAATGTTATCTTTATAATTTTTTTAGATTTGACAAGATCTAAAAAGTTTGTTTATCTTTACAATTCATCTTAAAAAACTTTTTAAGGACGAATGTAGCTTGTGTTTGCCTCCTAAGGATCTTAAATATTATTCTTATCTTAAATTTAAGTTACAATTGAGTTATAATCATCTATTTCTTCATATAAGTGAAATTCATAAGGAGGTCTATTATTTCTAGCACTGATAAATCTAAATACCTCTCTTGCTTCGTAATATCTCTTTCTACTTGCTAAATAGCGAGGACTTTCACAAAAATACCTATAACTTAAAGCAACACTTAATAATAGTGGAAGACCTATGCAAAAAATATATATTAATCTCCATTCTTCAACAAGTCCACTAATTGTAGGCTACAGAACTTATGAAAGTGCCCACATAATTTACAGAACTGTAACTGATATGTCTCTAAATCTTCTTTCTAAAATTATTATAAACACAAAATAACTCTGATTTCTTGGACTAAATAATGTAATATAAAATACCAGAAATCTCAGAGCAATATACCAAAATAATAGTTTCATATCCATTCATGCCAAAACCTGCAAGAAAAGTGAGTCCCATAACCATATTGATATTTGAAGAAAAGCCAATACCTATCGTGGCTATACTACCTATTATGATAGATATTAAAAAGCTTTTTCTTCTACCAAATCTATCTGAACACCAACTACTCACTAAACCAGCAACAAAATAACCTTATTTAATAAGTATTAATTTATAAGCTTGAAATTTTCAAATATTTTATCTAAATTTGTTAATGAAAATATTTTAATTTTATCCTAAAAATGATCTATTTATCTATGAATCTTTGTATTATTTTTTTTTATATATCTTAATAATATTCTTAGAATTAATTTATTAATATTTAACTAAGTTATTGTGTTTTTATTACCTGCAAATATAATAGACTGAGCTATAGAGACTAAAGGAGCTTTATCGCAATACAAGTCAAATTCAGATGCAATTGATTAATCTTTATCTATTATTCTAAATTTTCCCTTTCCTGAGTTAATAATGTTACACACTCCTTCCTCTTAGCAGGTGACATATGTGTTTTGATTATAATAATCGCATTCAAATTTAGGAGACTAAAACATGATCGGTGAAATCATAACTAGCATACTATAAAATATCCATTACTATTTTATCATTTAGAAAAGAATGCTTAGCTCAATATTAAATAAACATTTTATCTTACAAATGAAAGTATCCATGTGATTCTTTGCTAAAATCTAGAGTTATCGCCGACATATATATAAGACTTATTTAAATCTATAAATGTTTTTGTCATATCATTTACTATGAATGCTGGTCTTTTTAATGGTCTACTTTACTTTAAAAATCATTTAAAAATTACTAAAAAGCAAAGCTAGATGATTTTTTCTTTAAAAACATAAAATAAATTTCATTTTTATGAATAATTTTTAAAAAAAATATTTCTTGTGGGATCTTTTGTTAAAAAATGGTTATTTGATGCTTATTTATTTGTATTATTTTGACTATTTATTAATCATTTGCTAAAATCTTTATTCATTAAATTTCTCAAATAATACTTACTTAATAGATTTGACGAAAACCTAAATGACCAGCATCAGAGTTGTTTGATATAGTAGAAGTTAAAAGCCTTTCGTTTATGTTGTTGCTACTCATTTAATCTAAGCTTGAAAGTATAAATAATCCTTTTAATATATTTATTTACTTTTTCTACTGTAGTGAAATAAATAATCAATTTAATTAATTTTCAATTTAAAGAAAATTTATGAATTTATTGGATATTATAATGAAACAAGTTATCAATCAATAAATAAATAGGAATGAATTCTTTAAAATATGCAAGATTGTGACTTGTAATTATCTATATGATTTTTTAAATAAATCTCTGTCATAAACCAGCCAAATATAAATTTAAAACAATTTGATATCAGTAATTTATTCCTAATTTAGAGTAGATAAAACTAAATTTATAAAGTAACATATCTATCACATAAATACTTCAACTTAGCTTTTAATTTTCAAATATTTTTATTTACTTTTGTTTCATTATTTTTTTAAAATTAATGACTTTATCATGTTTTTTTTATTTTATTTCAAATTTTTTAATAGAAGTTTTAATTTGCCCTTTTTACAAATCTGTTAGAAATTAAAAACTAAAGATTTTTACTCTTTGTATTCATTCCTTAAACTTAAACCTATTTTTTTATATAAAATTGTGATTTAGCTCAAAGTGATATCAATATTATTAGTTTCCTAAAATATTTTAAAAAATAAAAACCTTAAAATATTTGAAAACAAGCTGTTAATTTAGTTTTAAGATCTATTTTCTGGATTTAGAATTGATTTAATTTTCAAAATTTTAATACCATGCTTGAATTATTGTTTGATATAATATATGAACTCTTTAATTTTATAAATAAAACTTATTATTTATAACTTTAAATGATGAAAATATTAAAATCAATATTTTTATTTGCAAATATAAATAAAATTATTATAGAGTAAAAAAATTTCAAATAACTATGAGAATTTTTAAGATAGAGATAATTTTCTATTACCATTTATTTAAAGCTTATTAATATCATTTGATATTTCTTATATAATCATAGCATCTACTATATTTTTATAAATTAATTTAATATTTTTTGTCTTTTAAGTTTGTGAAAATTATTAGAAATATAATTACAAAATGAGCATGAAGGATGATTTAACTAAGGAAGAAATTCCTGAAAACGATGCAAACTACGAAAAAGTTGTAGAAGAAGTTTTTGATGAAAAGTATGGAAGAAAGAAGTTTATAGTAAAAAAAGTTTTAAAGCAAAAATAGAAAGATGAGGATATAGATGGAACCAATACTATTTAGTAGACCATATATTTTTAAAGAAGAACAGAAGACTTAGGCTTAGATAAAAAGATTGGTGAAAGAATTAATGTTCTTAAAGAATCTCATAAATCAGAGCATGGTGGTTTTTATTGCTAACTTTGTGATACAGTAATTAATTATTTTTAATTATAATAATATTTTTTAACATTTTAAATTTATTGAATAAAGCATGTTTGGGATAGTAATGCATGGCTAGACCATGTTAACGGTAAAAAGCACAATCGTTTATTAGGTATGAATAATAAAGTAGAAAAAGTTGGTCTAGATCAAATTAAAGCAAAACTAGAAAGCTTAAAAAAAGATAAATAATAAAAAGTTAAAGACTATGAGCAATTGATTTATGAAATGGATAATGAATAGCAAGACAAAAAAATAAAATTTTAAAATGATAGAAAAAAGTTAAAAACAGAGGAATAATCAGCATATAATCCTTCTGATTCATAAAATAAGCATGAATAAAAGTCTAAATCTGAAGAACTATAAAAATAAGAGTTTACAGAAGATTCCAATAAAAAAGAAGGTGATGATAAAGAATAAAATAAAGAGCAAAAAAAAGGAGATGAAGATAGCAATTAAAATGAAGAAGAGGAAGAGGAGGAAGAAGAAGATCCTAATGCTGCTATGATGGCTATGATGGGTTTGCCTACTTCTTTCAATACAAAAGCTAAAAACTGAAAAACTTAATATTTTAGAATTAAACTAGATAATAAATTTGTATATATTTAAGAGTAATTACTTAGTTAAATTTTTAAATCATAAATGTTATTCATGAAATAATTCAAATGTCTTTTCATTTTTATAGAATATATGTGATAAAAAAATATATTATGAGTAGAGTTTTTCTATAATTTTAATTACTGAACCATTAAAAAAAATAAATAGATAAATAAATATGTTGTTTTTATTTTAAAATAATAATTAATTGCCCAAAAAATTAAGAGCTCAGCTCAATAAAGTTTTTGAATTTGTTTATTACAAAATTTAAAGATATTTTACATTTCTACTTAACAGCTTTATAAAAATTAATGATTTAATGATTATAATCAGATTAAACTGTAAATCTTAGGCAAGCATTTATAAATAATTTATAGCTTTTTGCTGAAACAATTCAAATAAAATAAGAAATAATAAATCCTTTCTTAAAAATAAGATTAATAAATAAATATATAAAATAAAATAAGCTTTAGCTTAAGTAAGTAGCAGGAAAGCTGACATAACTAAGGTTAATTAAGTATAGAAAGCCTTATTAATAAAGATGGATACATAGTAAGATGAGGATTAATAAATAAACGAAAGTATGCAAAGCGATAATATAGAAGTAATGTAAATGACAATTATATTTATGAATATTTTGCCATTTAAAAAAGTTAATAATGATTTAAGACTTTTCATAAATTTTAAAAATTAATTCAGTTCTTTATTAGTTATTTAATTAAAATTATTAAAAGTGAGTATCCATTTTAAGTAGTCCTGATTGGAGATCCAGGAGTTGGAAAGACTAGCTTTTTAATTCGTTTTTCTGTAATTAGTTATTAAAGTTTCACAATCAATAATGAGTTATTTCTGAAAAAATTAATTTGATGAAGCTGATTAAAATATTTATATTAAAAGGAAGACTAATTCTTAAAAAATGTGAACACATCAGTGGGTATTGATTTTGTAATTAAATAATTAAAATAAATTTATTCAAAAAAAGAAAAAATATTCATAGTTTATATTTTCTTAGAACTGAATTTTCTGCAATTTTGATTGATAACTACTTTATAGATAATTAATTTTTTGTATTTATTTATATACATAGAGATTCAGAAGTCTAATCCTATAAAATAAATAGATAAAACTTAAAATAGTAAAATATTTTTATAAAGAATTTATTAGTATCTATTGCATTTTATATGAATTATTAAGTGGGATACAGCTGGATAAGAAAACTTTAGGTCAATATCCAAAAAATACTTCTAAAAAGCAGATGCAGTAGTAATCATGTTCGATATAACTAATAACGTAAATAAATAAAAAAATACATTGCAGTTACAAGATAATATAAGTAGTTTTAAATAAATTAATTTAGGAAAGCTTTAACAATTTAGGATATTGGTCAAAAGAATTAAACGAAAATTGTAAAGACATAAATATTCCAAAAATATTAGTAGGACATAAATCAGATTTGAATTCAAAAAGAACAGTTTTAGAAGAAGAAATAGATGACTTTGTTAGCAGCTAAAATATGGAATATATTGAAGCAAGTGCAAAAGAAAATACTAATGTTATAATGACATTTGCTAAAATAGGATAAAAATTAATAGACATATATGAAGACGGCGAATTAAATTTCTAAAAAAATAACAGAGAAATGCTTATAACATAAGAAAAAAAGAAAATACAGTCAGAGGCTCATTGTAAATGTTGCTTAAATGAATGACAGGTAGAAAATAAACCAAAATATAATTATAATTCTTAATTAACTCAGCAAAAGTATTCTAAGAAGTATTAAAATATTATTAAAAATAATTAAATTAATCAATATTTTGTTAATTTAAGTTAAATTATTTAAAATATAATTTTTGTAATATTCTTATTATTTGTAATTCATCTGCTTACAAGAAAAAGGTAGATTAAAAATTAATATATATAAATTTAAAGAACTTTTTTAATTTTACCTTCTTTGAAAGTATTTCCTTTACATTTTTTTACCAAAACTTAAATAGATTAAAAAATATTCTTTGAAATTATTTCCTTTAAATTTTTTTACCAAAATTTAAATAGATTAAAAAATATTTTATAATTCATGGATCGTTAACTATTTTTAGCTTCTATAAACGTATTTTTAAACATAAGAGTAGAATCTAAATCAAAATTTATTTAGAATTGGTAACTCATTAAAAAAAAATATTCTGAGAAGCATTTAAAAGCTATTACAATAGAGTATATTCCAAATTAGTATTTTGCAATTAACTAAATTATTTAAAAATAAAAATAAAAACACTTTTATTATTTTAATTTCTAATTAAACTAATTATAGGTAGATTAAAATTTATGATATATGTTAAAATGTACTGTAAACTAATTTTAGCTTCTTTGAGAGTCTTTCTTTCAAATATCCTTCAATTAAAATTTTTAAATATGATTACTATTCAATAAATTATTAATTCAATGTAATCATTTCTTAGATTTTATTTGATATAATAGTAATAAAAACCATCAAAATTTTAATTTATTGAAATTTACATTGATATTCTGAAAGAATACTTTTATGAATCATAAACTCCTTGAAAGTGATAATATTTCGGTAGTGTCAAGTTAAGAATATTCAAGAAATGTAAGCTTAGTTAGAGTAGAGGAGACTCTTATGATGAACCATATTGGAGATTAGTTTACTAAGAAGGAAGGGTTTTGGATTGAAAAAAGATCAGATGTATCTTAATACTTTTTATACATTGATATCTTAATGCAATATAAAAAATAATTAGAAAATATTAAATCTAATGTTATTCTAAGCTAATAGTAACTTACTCTATTGTAAAACTTTTCTGAATTGCAAGTGTTATATCCAGATAGAATTTACGATCATATTTATAGCTTCATTAGATTACAAGTTGATTTAATTCGTTGCAATAATTTGAATTTTGGAAAATGGGGAGTATTATTGTTTATAATATTTTAATTCGTTTAAATCGGAATTTATTGCATACCAATATTAATATCCAAGTATGCAGATTTCTATTATATCTTAGTATACCAGCTAGTAACTTTATCATCTCTTTGCTATGTCCTTTTGGTCTTAAATTATCTTCTAATTGCTTTTTTTTATAGGATAGAGGCTATAAAAAAAATGAAATTCAACGATTCAATTATACCTTATGAGCAAAGTTACTAAGAATTTATATTTAATGACAGGTTAACTCATTCTCTAAGTGATGGACTCTCTTGGTTCTTTATCCTAAGACTTTAAAAGTAAATCTTTTTTGATAAAATAGGATATTGTTAATGCGAACTTAGTTAAGATTTTATTAATAAAATGAATGTAAAATATCAAGCAATAAATAGCAATGATGAAATAATAACAATAGTATATAATGCTAAGTGGAAAGTTAAGAATAGTAAAGCATATAAGGGTTTAAATGATGCTGTTTTTAATACCATCTTTTTATATGAAATAGCTTTAAGTATAGTATTTTCAATCTCATATGGATATTATTTAATAGATAATTTTGATCTCTTTTGATAACACCTCTTTGATCAAAATCAAAGATATAATTATCATTGATCATGATATAATAGTTCAATAAATATTTATATGTAATCAAAACCAAACAAATTAAAAAAAAAGCTTTTATAATAATCAAAATTAAAAATAATAAAAGATAAACAAATTGTCTATGTAATATTCAAATTACTAAAAAAATTAATATTTTATAAAAGAAAAAATAAATAAGTCAGAGCATTTATAAAAAGTTAAACTGATAAAGATAAATCAATAATAGTAAAATCATGAATTAAATAAACTTATTTTAAAAGAAAAAGCTAAGAATGAAATATAAATCTAACATTGAAAACCATAAGGCCTAACTAACAAATTCATAAAAATCTATTTTAATTAATTAAAAAATAAATATTTAAATAAAAATTAACAAAAATTATTTTAACAAACCTAAATATAATGTTTTAACTAATAAAAAATTTGTAATTTTTTTGTTGTTTCAAAATATAATAATCGAAATTAATTTATTATCTAATTTGCACATAATGTAAAATTTTGATAATCATCGACTTGATTATTATTGCTATTAGCGATAATAATTATTGAGCATTAAATGGTTTTTTTTAAAAGCAATTATGGATTTAATTTAATAAACTATAAATAAGTATACTAATTTGAATGATATTAAAATAAAAATCTTCTTGATTATTATAGTCAAACAAAAATATATTTTAAAACCTCCGTTAATTCTTAGAATGGTAATTTTAATAAGAGGTATCTTTATTTTTAATAATGATAATTAAAATATTAGAGTAAATATTTGTATCAATATTTTAATAATTTTAAATTTTATCAAATATCCTACCAAAAATAATTAAAAATTTTCTATTTATTTATTTATAAAATAAAAATAAATTTTAATTACAATAATAAAAATATAAATTATTTTTTAAAAATAATTAAAATAAAATATTTTTTTAGAATAAAAATTTTTTATTATATTATCATTAAAAAATCATTAAGAATTATTTATTAATATTTGGGTAGATAAATATGTTAATAATTTAGAAATTTTATGAGCGATTCTATCAAAAATTATTTATGGTATCCATAATTAATTAAATATTAAAAATAAATATTATTTATTTATAATAGCAATAATAATTTAAAGAAATTATGTAAAACATTCAAATTTGTAATCATAAAGAAATGAAAGTTTCTATCATGATAATTTTTCAAAAATTAGTAAAGATTAATTAATATGTAGATGAAAGCCTGTTTATTTTTTAATAATAACTAAATAATTAATAATAAGTGTCAATTTTTTTAATTTAATGACTCAACATGAACAAGGGTGGAAATTATGTATTTATTCCAAAACTTTCATTGCGTTTAAGCATTTTTCGTCTTCATATGGAAGAGTTGCTACTTAAAGAGCTATTGGCATACCCTAAATACCTTAAAGATTCATTTAGATTAGCTTTTTAAGGATTCTATTATTTTTCTTAAAGTCAAATGTAAACTGTTCATCTTTTGCCTCAGCCAATCTCATAGGGATAGTACCACAAGGCAGCTCTAGAGTATTTGTCAGACAGCCATGGAACCTATATGATAAAAACCATTCTTCATGTTTTCTTGGTGCCCATGCATAAGAAATTGGAAGTATTAAGGCATCTATTTCTAAGCTCTACCAATATGAAAAGAATTTTTTCTTTAAAATTTCTCGTTCTCTTACCAATCTTTCATATTCTTCACTATCTACTTCTTACACAGACTCTATAGCATCGGCTATGATATCTTCTCCTATTAGCTTGAATAGCATCTGCCCAGCTTTTTTTATAGTAGAAGGAAGTTCTTGACCAAAGATTCCTAATTCTATACCTAATATTGATCTTTCACCTCTTAGCTCATTTAGCATCATTGCCTTATCTTGAGAACCCATAAATAGTTTTCTACTTATAAATTCCATTTTCCAAAATTCTTCACTAAGGTCAAATTCAACAACTTAATGTCCAGCTTTTGTCAATAAAGCAATATTCTCTTCTACTAAATTATTTATATATGAACCATATCCTATCCTTATATCCTTTTTAACTATTCCAAATCTTAATCTAAGTAATTAATTAAAAAATTATTTTAATTTTAAATTAACAGAAAAGAAGAATTTTATTTAGTTTTGCTTCATTAATTATTTACTTTCTATTGATATTAAAAGCTTCTTCATTAAATTTCATAGGAACACATTATTTGTCTTTGTTAAAATTACCAAACATTCCTTTCATACAATCTACAAGGTCATCAACACACTTTCCCATAGGTCCAAAAATTGGCATTATGGACTTAGCCACATCACAGTCATATCTTAATTCAAATCCTTGTGCCCCACTCTTAGAGACTCTTCTAGATGTTGGATTAAATCCATACAATCCACACCATCCGCTAGGCATTCTAATGCTACCTAGAAGATCACTACCTATTAAAATTAAAGTAGAAATAATTAATTTTATTTTTGATTAATACTAAATACAGAATTTCAAATTATTTTTCTTAATTTCAATTAAAGAGGAAATTATTATTAAATTAAATTCTTGGTTGCAAGTTGAAAGCATTATCATTATTCATCAAAAATTTCGAATTAATTAGATATTATATATTGTTATTATCAAAAATTTAACTATTCAATATTTACTCGTTTATAGAGATAATCTTAATTAAAAAAGATCTACCAAAAAAAATTTCAAATCATTTTAAATTTACAAAATTTATTTATCATATATTAATTAAATACCTATTGCTAGAGGAACTGAACGGGTAGCTACAATACCTCCTGAGCCTCCAGAAGATCCTCCTGTTGTTCTATATTTTTAGTATGGATTCTAAGAGAATCCAAAAACAGTATTATTAGTAATGTAATGCCCACAAAAGATTGGAGTGTTTGTCATGCAGATTACAATAGCACCCATTTCTCTGAGAACTCTGACCATTTCTGAATCTTCAAATCCATATTTGCATTAAGGGATATGTGATAGTACCTTTTAATTAGAAATTTCTTCATAGCTTAGTCTCCTTTTATAATCAGCACCTCTGACATCTCCTTCCCACACTTTTTAAAAATCCTACTAAAAGGTCTTACCGTCTACTTAATCAGCTAATCTAGATTAAAGTCCCATGGTGCATAAGAAGTTCTTAGCAGTTATATGATCTTTTATGGCAATAGGAATTCCATATAATGGAGGTAATTTACCTTAATTAGACTCCATTACTTCCTTTTTTTTGGCGTCTTTTTCTTTTGCTTCATTTAATGCGTTTTACAAGTCAATGTCAGCACAATGGTTCATCCCAAATGAGAAATCTGCTATTCTTTGTGCATACACTAGTACTATCTTTTCACAGCTAAGTTCGTTTTTCTCAATTTTAGAAATCAACTCTCTAATATTCTCAGCCTTTAACACAGTGTCTATGTCTTATTGGTCGATGTCGCCTTAGTGTTTCTACTTGAATTAAAGAACTTCATCTCTTCTCTTTGCCAAATATTCCTTTGTTTTTTTTTCTAAGTAGCTACTAGAGTAGAAAGGAAAACGACGTCTTAAGCGGGCTTGGAACCTCATATAAAGCTTGTGACTAAGAACCCATACAATAAGAAAATAAACTAATGATTTTTTCCTATTTTTTAAGAGATATTAAATGAATCTCTCTATGTCCATCAGTCTATCAATCATAGCTTTGTTGTTATTATATTTTGATTTATGTGTGTATGTGTGTTAATGTTACTTACTTTTTATGATTTAATATTTTTAAGATTATTTTGAATTATTTTTTCTACTAAGCTTAGTAAGAGGATGTTTTAAAATTGTAATGGAGAGACAACCAAACGATTATAATTAATATTTTTTGAGTTTTATATTAAAAATATATTTCTAATTATAAATAGGATTTTTTGAGTAAGAACTTGCAAGTGCAAGAAAATTAATTATGAAATTTCAATTAAAAGCTAATCAATATTAATGGTTCCATTCAAAATTTAAAAATTATATAAAATATACGTCATTTCAGCTTTTCGTCATTTGTTATAATCCAGAGAGGAGAGAGAGAGAGTTTTGGTGGTCTTCTTAATTTAAAGAAATCTAAGGCTTTATATTATAATAAATTGAAAATATATTAGGTTATCAACAATTACGCAACTGATAATACTTTGCAGAGTATTTTAATTTCATCTGAATATTTGGGCAATTATTGTTTAGGAATTCGATTTTAGTAGGTAAATAATTGAAGTGATGGCATTAAAATATTACGTAGGTACTTTGTAAAGAAATTACGAAATTAAATTTTTTTTATAATCAAGTCATTTATTGACTTGAATCTATCTTTTTTTTGTCTTTTAATTTCATCAAATATATTTTTTACTATATAAGATATAAAATATATACTTATATATAAATAAATAAATTTAATTCTCTTGTTTTTAAACCAATAAAATTTTATTTTATAATAATTGATTGATATTATCATTCCAATCAAGATTCTTAATAAAAATTTCAATTTTTTTAAATTTACAAATCAGTATTTTTTGTGTCTAATTATTAATTTTTAAATCAAAAATAGCTTAATTCCAAATTCAATATTATTAACTCTGATAATCAATCAATAAGATTATGAAAAAATCATCAGATTAGATAACAGATTTTATTCCCCGAATATTACAAATCAATTAAATAAATAATTAAGAAACGATACTCTAAAAAAATAAATAAATATCTTACATTTTTTAAATATAATAAATTAAATCTAAATTAAACATGATTTGGATTCACATTTTGATTTATTCTAAATATTTTTTAAATTTTGGAAACAATTTAGTATAAATAAATTTCCCTGGTTTTATATTTTAACTATTTTAATAATTATAAGTAATATTTTTATATTTAATTTTAAAACAAGACAGTAGATTTTTGATTTTCCTCATAAGAATATTTAATTGATTATTCTAGTTCTTTTTTAATACACTAAAGATCAATTTAATAAAATTTATTTTTTTTGATATATCTTCATATATTTATGTTTTATAATTTATATGAAATTAATTTTCTCAATTTAAAAAAAAACAACTAAAATATTAATTTTTTCTTCATAATTTATTTAGTCATTTTTTAATTAAATATTTTTAAAATTTTCAATTTAATTACAAAAATGATTAAAATAAAAAACAACAACAAAAATGATTACAAAAGCAAGTTTTTATTTCCAATTTTAAGATTACCAATTTCCCCAAATAAAATAATTCTTTTTTAAAGTCTTAAAGATTTTAATGTTCCTTTAAAAAGGTAAATATTTTAATTAAGGTGGATAGTTTGAATATTTTATAGATACAAAATATGAAAAAGAAAATACATCTTAATCAAATGGATTTATATTTACATGTTTTTTTAAAAATATCTTACTCCTTTTATTATTCAGTTTTTATTTCAGGATAATATTTTTCAAGAAATATTTATGAAAGCAGAGTATACTCAAAGTTTTGGTATAAATTGTTTTCGCTTTGTAAGTTTTAATTATTTTTTTTTCTATGATTAAGAATGGACTTTATTGAATTAAACTCAAGATCAAATTTAATAATTAATAAATAGTCTAATTCTTACTATATTTGCTATTAGCATTAATATTATAATTCGGGTGGATAATCTACTTCTTTTATCTGTATGTAAGCATCATAAAATATTTTCAGCTCATCCAAAGAAATAAGTATAAAATCTTGTTTAAAGATGAATTAATTAAGTAGTTACTTTTAAATTATTTCTAAAATTGCACCAAAAAATACTTCACAATTAGAAGTAAAAATTGTATCAAGAAGTCCAACCCTTAAAAGAAATTAGCTTAGATTATTTTCTTCTAAACCTATTAATGCAAATATTCCCTTACTAATATATATACTTTTGATTTCAGTTTGCTGAAATTCGAAATTTGTGCTCAATTCTACTATTTAAAAAAATTCCTCATCCCCTAGCTATTCATTAATAAAATTATGAACCATTCCTTTTCTGTACTAAGATCTTAGATCAACAATATTCCTTAAATTGTCTTCTTAATTTAAGTAAGCATCCTTAATCAACTTAATAGTCTCAGTTCTGATTTAAGAATAGTCTTGATATCCTCTAAGTTGCTGAGCAAATATATATTTTTAATTGTCCTAAGAACTTTCTAGCATTTTTATTGGTAGTTCAAAATTCTTTAGCTTCTTGTTATGACTTATATCAGCTTATACATACCTATCATATATCTAAACTTAATTTATTTTTTTTTAAACAATACTTTCAGTGATGCACGCACTTTTTACGTTAACAAATAAGTCTCCGTCAATATTAAAAAAATAGTTTTATGTCAGATTTTATAAAAAGAAAATACTATCTAAAGTTTTAAACTATGCTTAAAGCTTGTAACTTTTTTTTTGGTATTTTTTAATTATCTTCTTTTATTTTTTTGGTATCAATTATCTTTGACTTTCTTTAGAATCTTCACCATTATTTTCACTTATTTAAGAAGAATTTGGTAAATCTAAATTGATATCTATACTCTTTATTTAAGCTTAGCTCATATTTTAACCTTATTTATCTCTTTTAAATTAACTGTTTTTATATTAATTCACATACTTTAACAATTAAATTATTTATAAGAATTTTCTATTTTACAATTAAAACTTAAATATACAAAAATTCTTTATGGTCAATATCGAATTAAATGTATAGAGCAGATAAAGTTTTTGAAGGAAAGCAAAAAAATTAGTTCGTAAAGTTAAATTAAAAGAAAAATAATATATTTCTTTTTAAACTATATGAAGGAAGTATATTTTTCTATTTTACATATTAGTCATGCATTGTTAATATATTAAAATTATATGAAAATTATCTTTTAACAATTCTTTTGTTAATTTTATAAAAACTAATATAATATTATAAATTAATTTATAATTATAAATATTATCAAAACAATTTAAATTTTAATATATATTTTTTAAATAATTAATCTTATTTTGAATTTAAATATAAAAAAAACAAAATAAGAGAGCAAATCTATGTTATTAGACAAAGAAAATATTAAATTGTAAAAAAAAATTATCAAAATGCTTGATGATTACCATTTAATTATAATTTGCCTGCCTTTACAATTACCAATATTATTTTCTTTTTATTACATGAGAATGTTTACTTTTTGTTTGATTTTAAGATATTGATATATTAGTTTTGAAGGATACTAATATTTCTTTTGAAATCTCAGATAATTAAAAATAAAATAAATAAAAAAACAGGAAAACATACTTTCTCTTCTTAATTAAATGAAAAATTCTGAAAATTGCTCATAAATTTTATATTTATTAAATTTTTAAAAATTTTGCGTAATGCCTCTCTTAAGATTAATTTTCTTTTATTTATTAATTTTATTTTTTATTTTTCATATTATTTAATTTTCTTTATTTGTTTGTTTGTTTTTATCTTTGGTTATTTTGTTTCTGTTAATTTTCTATTCTATTTGAGTTCTATTTTATTTGTTTGTTATTTTTTTGCTTCTATTTTTTATTTTTTATTTTTTATTTTATATTTTTATTTATTTATTTTTATTTTAAGTTTTTTTATTTTTTTTTATATTAAGATATTATTTTATTATTAGATATTTGATCAAGGATAATTTGCTGATGCTAAAATGTTGCTGCTTAAAATTTTATTTTATTCAGAGAAGAGAGTATTTTTATAAAGAAAAATAGGTGTCTGTGTGTCTTCTTCGGTTTAAGGTACCTAAGGGAATAGGAGATTCTAATATAGGGGGGAATAAGAAAAGTAAGATTTATTATTTTGATCAATTTAGCTTTTGATACATAATAACTTATTGGTTTTAAAAATTTAGATGTGGATCACTTTACTTAAATGGAATGAATATTATTACGTTCGGTTCATTGTCAAAATCAGTCTTTGAAGTAATAATTGGAGATTTAAAAACTTATTCCATTTAAATAACTCTTATTTAAGTTAATTATGTTTTTTTATTGCAAAATTATCAAAATTATCTTACTTTTTTATAATATTTTAATTTTATGTTTTTCATTTTTTGTATTTTTTCTTATCTTTGAGTTTTTCCTCTTTCTTTTCTTTTTGAAATCAAATTATTATATGATTTTCTTACTTTTCGAAAATTAATTAATTAATTTGGATATGAAAGATTTTCCTATTTGCTTAATATGAAAATATTTAAATAAAAAATATTGCCGGTAAAATTAATTAATTTATTTATTCATAACAATAGATTTATATTATCTATTGTATTAATAAAAAATTTAACTTTAATTTTAAGTTTCTATCTAAATTCTTCATTTAAAATAAGAATAAAATTTGTAAATTTTTGAATATTGTAACAAATATTAAAATAAATTTTGTAAATTTTGAGTTCTCTAAATTAATTTTGTATTTTCATTTCAAAGGATTAATATATTTTAGATTATATATTTATCAATTAATTTTTTAAGTTTATTTATTTATAAACTTGATTTAGTGAATTCTTTTATTTTTCTATGCAAATTTAGATTCTAAAGGAAAAAACTTAACATTTAAATTTGATTAACTATTGTTTATCAATTTAATTTGGTGGTCACTCTTCCTTTAATATAAATAAACCTTATAGTGATTTTTTTTTAGTTTACTCAATTAATTTCTGAATTACAAATAAAAGCATGGGAATATAATCTAATAATATTGAATGAGGAACTATATAATGTAATGTAAAGTTAATAAGTGTAATTAGATAATCCAAATCATTAATATAAATAAATAAATGAATATCTATAAACATTTTTTCAAATCAATTTTGAAGTCAATTAAAACAAAACTTAATAATTAATCATCTTTATAAAAAAAAAGTTTATATTTATTTTGGATTTTTATTATTATTGTAAGATTTATATTTATTTTTGTGAAAATAGCTAATATTAGAAAGATATTAATTCCTTTTCGAAGAATAAAAATCATTTTAAATCTTTATTGAAATATTTTTTATCATTAATACAAATAGTTGTTTTAAAATTTTTATCTTTTATTCACAATATTTGAAATTCTAAATATTATTTTCTCAATAAAATCTTATATAGTTTACATACTATAAATCAAAATTATATTGTATTAATAGATTTTTAAGAAATATGAAAACAAATTTTTTTTTTCAATTTACTAATTTTGAAAAAATACTTAAAAATTGTAATTAATTGAATAATATCTTAATTATTTTTAAATTTTAGCATTATATATAAGTTAATCATTACATTAAAAAAATATTTCTTTGAAATATAATTAATTTAAATATCTTTTATAAATAAATAAATTTTTTTTATGATTTATTAATTTGCTACAAACTAAAATTAAAAAGATATATTTACCATTATGAAGTTCATTATTTTTATTAAAAGTAAACCTAATAATCTGATTACTTAAAACCAAATAGAAACTATTAAAACTATTTACTAGCAGTAATCGAAAATCTATTTGAAATAAAAGAGATTAGAATAACTAATTACTATTTTAAATAAATCTACTAAAAATTCAATAATAAATGCTTTTAGATTAGCTCTTAAAGACATTGTAAATAAAAATTTATAATCCTATATTTTTTTGAAGATAGATAAATTTATAAATTCTCATACTTTAGTAAAAGATTTATTTTAATTAATCAAATTTTTGATAAGAAATTCAAGGATAGAATCAATTTAATTACTCAATTTTTGTAAATTTTATATATTCACCAGAGAGTAACAATCAATACAAATAAAATTATAAATAATCATATTTTATATTAGCTCCTGATTCTTAATTTGAGAGATGAGTAAATAATCATATTATCTAAGATAAAACATAGTAAATGCATAGATTTCAATATAATTTTCTTTTTAGCAATTTTAAGAATTTTAGAAAAGACTTATCTTTTTGAATTCATGAATGAATAAATAGATAAACAACTAATTAAAAATAAAAATTTTGTGCACATTAGATTTATTTAAGAAAACTTTTAATAATTTAATGCTTAACGCTTAACTTTAAGCATTTTGTATATTTTCATAAATTTGATTGCTAAAAAAAGTGTAATGCACAAATTCATCTACATTTATATAAAGTATTATTCATTGAAATAATTTTATTTGCATATTAAAGTTCAAAAAGAATGAAATCAACCATTCAACTTATTCATTTTATAGATTATAAATTTTGTCTTATGAAATTCAACCTCCTCAATTATTGTTTTGATTGTAATCAATACCTTTAATTCCTAATTAACTTTTATTGGTTTTTAGATCGCTATCAGTTAATTAAAAATAAATAATATTTTGAAGATTATAATGAATATTTTTCTCAAAAAATCAATCTCAAAAAATTTTCTATGAAAATAATCTTTTAGTATTTACTTTAGATACTTATTTACTGCCAAGCAGCATTTGCAGGTAATTTGAAGATTTGCTAATTTAATTTAATTTTCATAACTATCTAAAAATCAATTATAAATATGATTCTTATTTCAAATTATTTTATTAACTACAAAATAATTTTATAAAATAGATAGAAATATTCTACTTGTTTCTTCTGAATTAGGAAATTTATCTTATTTCCCTAAAGCGATTTTTACTTGTCCTAATGGTTATGGGGTTTTTAATTAAGCTATGTACGGAGGTTTTGTAAACTCTCAATAAAGTCCTTCTACAATCACTAATAACTAAGCTATTTTTGACATTAACAACCTTCCTCCTCATTTCAGAAGAGAAGTGAGAATAGAAGTTTTTCAAATGAAATAAGCTTAAGTTGGGATTTTGTTTAAATTGGATGACATGACACCTTTTTCCTATGCCTTTTAATATTCTGCTCAATATACAACTGAAAGACTTAATATCCCTTGCGATAGAACATAAAATTCATATTTAAAGGAAAGTGACTACTATTACAATTGTAATAATTATACTTTTTTATTTTTATTTACTATTTTGTCTATGAAAAAGTCAATTATTTTACAACTATCATACCACCAAATAATGCTTACACTAAATTTTCTATTGTGGATAATGGTTCAGCCAGTGGATCTTCATACTTAAAAGTAAAAGAAATTTAATACAATATTGAGGCTTGTGATAACTCTTGTCTATCTTGTTCTGGTTCATCTACCTAATGTACATAATGTGATACCACTTGTTCTTCCTTATCTGGATCAAGTTGTATGATTAACTAAAGCGGTTATGTTCTATAAGAAGGAAAATGTGTTAATACTTGTACTTAATCACACTTTGAAATTAATGGAGCTTGTGTTTGGATTCCTAACTGTTAATCAGTTTTATAAGGAAGTACTTAATGCACAACTTGCAAAGCCGGATTTTTTCCTGTTTAGATAGCTAATTATGAAGCTTAATGTTAGCAATATTGCCCTATTGATTACTAGTTAGTTAATGGGATATGTACAGATATCAAAGCTAATTTATAAGGTAATAAAAAAATAAAAAAAACATATTTAAATAATTTATTTATTATTTAGGAATGTATTTGGTACAAGGGTTGTATTAATATGTCTTTTCTTACAGTGAAATTAATAGATTGCAGTTAACTTTAAGTAATTTTTAAAATAACAGTGGCTTTAATTCAAAATATACTCGTTGTGGAACTTATTTCCTCTTGGGAGGATATTTTTCATTTAAATATAATTCTGTAATTTAAACTTAAAATTATTAAACTTCATACTAGTTTGTTAGAGTTTCATTTAAATGGGTATTAATTGACTATAATTCCTCAGCAAATCCAAATGATCTTACTTTTCAAGTATCTGGAAGTTCTTCTCCTATCCAAACACTAAATCTTAGTGGCCTTACTCCCAATTAAATATGTGGTTTGAGTGTACCCGAATTTGTTGGGGATTTCTAATATGATTTTTAAGTCCCAAGTGGTTAAGTAACATTTTAAATAAATAATTAAATGGCAAATATTAATAGTAAAGCTTCATTTGATGATGCTGCCGATTCATCAAATAAAAATTAATATTTTGGTATTAGAGAATTCTCAATTTTTGCTTTCAGTGTAAATTGATAAATTAATTATTTATTTTTTATTAATAATATTTTTAAAATAATTTAATTTTAAAAATTTAATATAATTTTAATATTCAATCATAGTGTACTTAAGCTTCTTGCATCTAATGTTAAGCGTAGACATAAAATATATGTACTTAATGTATGAATGGTTATTATCTTTTTAACTCTACATGTTTACCATGTTAATCAACTTGCTAAACTTGTGCATCTTCAAATACTTGTTAATCTTGCTATGGAGGAGCTTTTCTTGACTCTCAAAATTAATGCGTTTGCCCAAGCAAATAATATTGGTAAAATTCTAGTTGTGTTGCTTGTCAAAATACATCTTGCTAAACTTGTGATAAAGCTGATAGTAATAAATGTTTAACTTGCCCAACAAGCACTTACTTTATTAATAATAATTGTGTTCCAGTTTGTCCCAAATAATATTTCCCAAACGATCAAACATAATATTGTGATCCTTGCATTTCGAATTGCTCAAAATGTTCTAATAATTCTTCTTGTGATATTTGTATGCAAAACACTTATCTATAAATTGATGGAAAAAGTTGTTTAAGTAATTGCCCTGCTGGATAGTAATAAAATTCAAATAATAATTAATGTATTAAATGTGCAGATCCTAATTGCTTACAATGTTAAAATGATATAAATTAATGTACTCAATGTCAAAATCCTTATAATTTACAAGGATTTGTGTGTAAAATAAATTGTGATTCTTTTTATTGGCCAGTAAGTAATATTTGTTAACTTTGCTCTTCGCTTATTCCTAATTGCTCTATATGTACATCCTCAACATGCACTACTTGCTTAAACAATTACTACCTTTAAAATGGGAAGTGTTATAATCCATGTCCATTAGGATATTATGGAGATTCTACAAGTATTCCTCCTAAATGTGTTAGTTGCTAGTCTATATGCAGTGATTGTACAGCTTAAAATAACTGTTCAAGTTGCAATGGAGGAGCTACTCTAAATAACTCTAACTAATGTGTTTGTCCAGTATAATAATATTGGAATGGATCTATTTGTGCCCCTTGCTCTAATACTTCTTGTTAATCGTGCGATTCCTCAAATAGTAACAAGTGCTTATCTTGTCCAGATGGCACATATTTATATAATAATACTTGCCTTGCTAATTGCCCTGATTATACATTTTAAAACAAAACTAATCAAAAATGTGATCCATGTTTGAATAAATGTGTAAAATGTAGTAATAATTCATCATGTGATGTATGTGAGTCAAATTCATATTTATCTATAGATCAAAAATAGTGTTTAGATAGTTGTCCTCTAGGGTAATAATAGAATTAGAATACATGGAAGTGTATTAGCTGTACTGATCCTAATTGCTAATTATGCTAATAAGATCCTAACTAATGCTAAAAGTGTGGTAATAATTAGAATCTGTAAGGCTTTATATGTCAACCTAATTGTGATTCTTAATACTATCCAGCTAGTAATATTTGTATACTTTGTTCTACTAAAATAGCAAATTGTGATTAATGTACATCCTCAGCTTGCTCATTGTGCTAAAATAATTTTTATTTATTTAATGGATAATGTGTAAGTTAATGTAATCCAGGCTATTACATAGCTAATAATCCTCCTTCTTGTTAGCCCTGCAGAAATGCAACTTGTAATACATGTGAAGCAGCCCCAAGTTAAAATTGCCTTTCTTGTGCAACTCCTTACTTTTTAAATGGTGCTTAATGTGTAAATGATTGTGGTCCTACTATGTATTCTAACTCATTTAGAATATGTGTATAATGCTCTTAGACATTTTCAGGGTGTTTATCATGTACAATTAATTAATGCAATAGCTGTATAAATGTTAACGATTATCTCAATCCAATAAACAATTCATGCTCAAATACTTGTCCAAGTAACACATTCAAATCTACTGTTGGATCTCCTCCTCAAAATATATGTGTCATTTGTAATGCTAATTGTTTAACTTGTGATCAAAATAGTAATAATTGCACAAGCTGCTCTTCAAATATGTTTCTGTAAGGTAATACTTGTTAAGCAAAATGTGATGTTGGATATTATGCTAATCCAAGTAATATTTGCATTAGTTGCATAAATAATTACCCTAACTGTAGTGAATGCACAATTAGTTAATGTTAATAATGCACAAATCCTTATTATATAGTATAAGGATTAAATACTTGCTAACTGCAATGCCCACCAGGATATGCAAGTACTTCAATTAACAATTCAAATCAATGCATAAAGTGTACTAATAATCTCTGTAAGGAATGTTCTCTTTCAAACTTGAATTCGTGTATATCATGCTTTTAACCATCTTCAAATCCTTATTTATAAGATGATAATTGTGTTTCTAGTTGTTCTACTAATTACTATTAAAATAATCAGAATCAGTGTATTTCATGTTAAACAACTTTCGCAGGTTGTGCAACATGTTCTTCAACTGCATGTCTATCATGCTCTAATCCAAATTAGTATTTAGATATTATAGCAAATGTTTGTGTGGATAATTGCCCACCTCTTTTGGATAGTGTAGAATCTCCTATTAAATAATGTGTTTAAAAGTGTAATAAAATACCTTCTTGCATAAAATGCACTATTGATGCTAGCAATAATCAAACTTGTCAATAATGTAAAGAAGGAACGGTTCTCGATTAAAATTAATGTGCTCTTAATTGTTCTTCAGGAAAATATCCAGATAATCAAAATATCTGCCAAGCATGCAATGCATTATTTAAAGGATGTATTATATGCAACTCTACTACATGCAGTTAATGCTAAAATTCAAATGAATATTTTGACCCTGTAGCAAAAATATGTACTTCATAGTGTATTTATGGAGCAAATCCATAGTCTCCCTCCTTTTAATGCTAAGTTTGTACAAATCTCAAATGCAAATCTTGTCAAAGTTATAATCTCAATTAGTGCATAAATTGTGATTCAAACTCAAAATATTAATATCTTTAAAATGGGGATTGTGTTGAGATTTGTTCACCTCAGTATTATTTAAATGGAAACTAGTGTATTTTATGTTCTACTAAATTTACAAATTGTAATACTTGCACAAGCAATAACTGCACATAATGTAATTCTAATTATTATTTAAGCTTAGATGAGTAAACTTGCAATTTGAGCTGCCCTTCAAAATAGTATAAAACTAATATTGGAGGGATTAATGTTTGCCAAAGTTGCTAAAATTCTTAGTGTTTAACTTGTGATCCAAATAATTCTTTAAACTGCCTAAGCTGCGATCAAAATTCTAGCTTCAAATATTTTGAGAATAATTAATGTAACTAATCTTGCTCTTCTAAAAACTATGCTGATTCAAATAATATTTGCTAATTATGTAATTAGCATTTTTAAAATTGCGAAAGCTGTACTCTTTAACAATGCCAATCTTGCAAAAGCGGATTATATCTTGATCCCCAAACAAATACCTGCTCAAACAGCTGTCCATTGTTTAAATATAAAGACTAGACCACATTTACTTGCTAAATATGCAAGCAGCAAACGGAGTGTGAATAATGCGATCCTGGATTCCCAAATCAATGCATTAAATGCACCCAACCATATTTTATTGTAAATAAGTAATGTGTTTCTTCTTGTCCAGCAGGTACATTTGGAGATAGTAATTAAGTATGCTAATTATGTGCATCTCTTGATATCAATTGTATTTAATGCGAACTTGGTTAATGTAGGTAATGCAAATAAAAAGATTATTATTTAGATTAAAATAAAAAATAATGTGTTACCGAATGCCCAACTGGGTATATAAAGTATACTGATGTAAAAGGTATTTAAGTATGCACCTTATTAACATCAGGAGGAGCTACTCCATAGTTGATAATCTTTAACTAGATATCAAGAGTTGATAATAAAATAATTTTTTAAGCTTAAATAACATTTGATGAAGATGTTTAAGTAACAAATCAAAATTGGATTTTTAGTTTAGATAACGAATATCCTTCAACTAATTACAATATAAACTACGATTTAGTTAAGATACAAGAAAAACCAACAGTAAACAGTGTTTATGCACTTAAAATTTTGATAAAAATTATTGTAAATGATTAAACAAAAAGTTACAATTATTTAAATGTAAATTTTGTTAACTCAAAAAATATTTTAGATAATCAGCAATTCGGTTTGAAACTAATTTAATTAAGTGGAAACTTACCAAATTATAGCGAACTAGCTTATCCAAAAATAAATTCTATAACTAAAGTTATATAAATCCTCATTATGTGTAGTCATGTTATGCTTTTGCTAGGATCCCCATTTTATTTGTTGGTGAGTTTATTTGATATTTTACAAGTATCAAATTATCTCTTGTACTTAAATGTATAGTATCAACCTACATTGTATAATGTATTCAAATTATTAGATTTCGCTAATTTTGAGATTATACCAAATATAAAAAATGATGAATCTAATGCGCCATATAAGTTTAAAATGGAGAAAATAGATTCTTTCTTTTTTTCAAACTTAATATAGTCGATATCTATTTGGTCATTTAGCTTCGCTTTATATCTTACTTGTAAGCTAATAGCCAAAAAATGTATTCACAGTTAAAACTTGGTCATAGAAGCTTGCAGAAATTATTAAAGACAATACTTTTATTAAATTTTAGTAGGATTAGGGTTTTTAACATATTGTGATTTGCTATTAGCAGTTTTTTTATAATTTTATGATTCTAGCTAAATAACTATAAACAAGACACTTGGTTTGTCTTTTGGTATATTTATGCTTTTGATGATTATTTATTTAAATTATTTGACATTTAATTCTACAAAAATTTAGGAAAATTAACTACTATATAAATTAGAAATTAAATAATTATACGGATTCCTCTATAATGGTATTGAAATAAATAGAAAGAAGGCAATTATAAATTTGCTTTTATTATTTAGAAGAACTATTTTAATTCAGTAATTAGTTTTTAATTAAGAAAATCCAATTAATTAAACATATATGTGCTGTCTAGTTTTAGGAGTAGAAACAACAGTAATGTTGATACTAAAACCTTACCAAAGTTAGGAGGAATTCAAGTTACATATTATAAGTAGGCTTTTTTTAATTTTAGCAATTTTACTTATAATCATTTTGGCCGTAAACGATGCTATTTCTAATTTAAGTTAAGGGTAATCTCTCCTGATTTAAATAATCATCTCTGTTTTGATAATTACGGTTTACATAACCTAAGTAAGTTACCTTGTTTATAAGCTATATAGGATGTATAAATAAAAGAATTATGTTTCAAATAATATTAGATTAGCTTGAGTATTAATATCTAATACTTTTTTCTTAAATTTGACAATTGAGGTGAAAGTACTAAAATATTAGTAAATATATTTTTTACTTAACTTGTATTTGATTTATAATAATTTGTTACAGAATTAATTATTAATAAAACTAAATACATCAGAGTTAATTTTTAATTCAGCTATTTAAAAAGTGCAAAACAAAGAAGTAAAGTAAATAATATTACAGAAAGAAAAAATAAATTGACTGGGTAATATATTTCAATCAATTTTAATCTGTATTTTTTTATTCACTCTTAAAAAAATTATGAATCTTTTTGTGAATAATTGTAACAAAATAAAAATATCCTCAGTAAAATATAACTTGAGAGTTTATTTAATACAATACACTCACTTTTAAAATTATTAATGAGTTAAAAATCTATTTTTTTTTATTAAAATCAATTTTTATTATTTAAATTATTTGTTTGATAACTGATTATCTAAAATCACCTCATAATATAAAAGTGTTTGCTAATCAAAATGAGTATTATTAATATTGATATTATTATTAATATATATCCTTATTTTCTTTTATTATGCTAATATTTAAAATATATGGATGAAAAACATGCAAACAATTAATAATAATTTAAGAAAAAAAGAATTATTCTATACTCGTTTTATAGATTGTAAGCTCCTTTTGAAACTAAATCAAATTGATTTTAATGTATTAAGACAAGATAGCGATTGTTAATATCAATTAATAAATCTACTTTGCATACTTTAAATAGCAGAATGAGTATCTTAAAAAATTAATCCTTTTTAGAATTAATAATTTTGTAATTATTATTTTTAGATAATGGTTTATACCTACAAATTAATGTAAGCTAAATTAAATATGCAATATTTTGATATGGCATATTTGTTTTTGAAATTGTTTATTTTTAACAAATATTTAATTTTGATTAGTCGAAATCTTCTTATACTATTTTTGATAGAATCTAAATTATAATATTTATATTTAAAGTAAAGAAATCTTAAATTATTCCATTATTTTATTTCTATGAAAAATAAATAAATCTTTTATTAAAAAATCTTAATTTGAAATGACTAATATTTGTATTATAATATACCTTATTTAATTTTTATAAAGCAATGGCGATATTTATAATTAAGATTTAAATGAAAGTATAAATTCTATATCAAATTAATTAAGTAAGAAAATTAAAGATTAATATTTAAACTAACTAACTTTGATTTAAATACATTTTTACTTTATTAATATTTTTAAGAGATAAATTTATATTTTTGACTATGATAAATCCTTATTGCTTTTCAAATAGGTCAATGACAAAATTAATTAAAATTTTGTGGGGTTCAAGAAGATATCTTTTTACCTTAATTTTTAATGTAATATGTTGCTTTACTTGATCAAATTAATTTGAGACTTAAGCTTAACCTAAAGCTTTTTTGTTCTTTAAATGGTAAGATTTAGGTATTATTAATGTCACAGCATGAAGCAGTTTTTTATACCAGAAAACATAAATAAAATGATACTTAGTTTTTAAATTTCGTTTAAATGTTGGATTCCTTACTGTAATTTACAAGAATTGTGTTCATTTAGAAAATATTTACTTTTATTATATCTAGTTTTGAGTTACTGCTTATAAAAACTTAGAATAAATTAGATTAGAGACTTTTAAGAAAGGTTGTTCTATTTAATTAACCAAATTATCGTAACAATATACTATTAGCATTTTCCAATAATTCTTGTCAAATAAAATTATGTATGATAGAACCTAGCTAATACCATTATAATAAATTATTCAATCAAAAAATTAAATAAAAAATATTTAATAAATTATGGCATTTTATTTTTATATTCTAATAGTAATCTTCTTTATTATCTAGCTAAGCTTTTCAGGTAAAATGAAAATCTATTTATTTTTAATTTTATATATTTACTTTTTTAATTAAATAAATTAAAATAATAAAAAGCTGACAGAAACATTTTACTAGTTGCAAGTGATTTGGGTAACTTGTCTTTATTTTCAAAACCTACTTATACTTGCTAAAATGGATATGGAGTTTTTAGTTAGCCTATGTATGGTGGTTATTTTGAGTTTTCATAAGATAGTCCATCTACAAATAGCGCTAACTATGCTGTTTTTGAGGTTAACAATCTTCCTCCTCATTATATGAGAGAAGTTAGAATTGAAGTATTTTAATTAAAGTAAAATAATGTAGGAGTATTATTTAAATTGGATAGCATGAATTCAATTTCATATTCTTTAAGTGTTTCTGTTGCAGAAAGATTTAACCTACCATGCAATTTGAAAGGAGACAGCATTGAGCAAAACAGCGATTATTTTTATATATGTATCTTTTATTTTAAAGTAAAAACATAAATCATCATATTCTTTAAAAAAAAGTAAATTATTAGACAACTGCTATTCCATCAAATCCCTCATATTCAATATTTTCAGTTGTAGATGATGGTGAAGAATCTGGGAAATCATATATAAATATAAAAGAAATATAATATAATATTCAAACATGTGATAATACTTGCCTCTCTTGCCAAAATGATCCTAATTAATGTAAATCTTGTGATACAAATTGTTCTCAATTGTCTGGAAATAGTTGCATTCTCAATAATTTAAGTAATTATGTTTTATAAGAAGGAAAGTGTGTTTTGTCGTGTACCCTTCCTCATTTTAATATTGGAGGAAAGTGTATCTGGATTCCAAATTGTTAATCTGTGGCAATCGGAACATCTTAATGTACATAATGCTAAACTGGATTTGTTCCTGTTTAAACAAATAATTACGAGGCTCAGTGCCAGCCATATTGCCCAAAAGATTATTAAAATGTAAATGGAATTTGTGTTGATAATAAATAAAACACTCCTGGTAAATTATTTTTATTTGCAGCAAAGTAATTAAAATAAATAAACATTTTTTAAATAACTAGGATAGTATTTAATATAAGGACTTTATTCCTACATATTTTCTTATAGTGAAATAAATAAAATGTAGTTATAACTAAATAACTTTTTATCTGGAGGAGGTTTAGATTCTAAATTTACTCGCTGTGGAAATTATTTCCTATTAGGTGGATACTTTTCTTTTACTAAAAACTCACAAATCACTACATAATAATATACAACAGCATTTTAATATGTTAGAGTATCGTTTAAGTGGGTATTAATTGATTACAATACTAGCACAAACCCTATAAATCTTACATTTTCTGTTATTGGAAGCTCAACTCCTAGCTAGACTTTAAATATTAATGGTATGGCTTCCAAATAAATTTGTGGATTAAGCGTACCAGAATATATTGGTGACTTTTAGCAGGATTTCTTAGTTCCAAGTGGCAAAGTTACATTTTAAATCAATAATTAAATGCCTATTATTTATAGCAATATTCCTAGCGATAGTTCAAATGATAAGAATAACAAAAATTAATACTTTGGAATTAGGGAATTTTCTATTTATGCATTTAATGTAAATTTTTATTATTATAGATAAAAAAAATATATTATTTTTCAAATTTCAATTTTTTAATAAGCAAATAAATTTATTTAATTAATCAAATAAACTATTTTAAAATTCAAAAAAGTGTATTTAGAGCAATTGCTAATTATGCTCATCTTTAACTTCAAATGGGTGTACATAATGCATTTAAGGATATTATTTAGATAACTTTGTATGTAAACCTTGTTAATCAACTTGCTTAACATGCTCTTCTTAAAATACTTGCCAATCATGCTATGGAGGAGCTACACTTGACTCTTAAAATTAATGTGTTTGTCCAGACAAACAATATTGGAATGGAACTAGCTGTGTAGCATGTTCAAACACTTAATGCTAAACTTGTAATGCATCTAATAGCAATCAATGCTTAACTTGTCCAATAAATTAGTATCTATATAATGGAAATTGTCTAGATAAATGCCCAGAATAAACCTATCCAAATAATTTGGCATGCAATCTTTGCTTGCCTCATTGCTAAAAATGTACCAATAATTCTACTTGTATGATTTGTATGCCAGGTAAATATCTTTCTATTGATGGAACATAATGCTTAAGTTAATGCCTTCCTGGGTAATAGTAAAATCCTGATAAAAGATAATGTATTTAATGCACAGATCCTAATTGTTTATCATGTTAAAATGATGTATCTCAATGTACTTAGTGTGGTAATAATTAAAATTTATAAGGATATATTTGTAAAGCTAATTGCGATTCTTAATATTATCCTTTAAATTAAATTTGCAAGCTTTGCTCTTCTAATATTTCTTAATGCTTAGAATGTACACCTACAACTTGTACCAAATGTTAAAATTCATATTATCTTTATTAAGGAATTTGTTACAATCCATGTCCTCCAGGAACTTTTAGTGATTCCAAAGCAAACCCTCCCAAATGCACTTCTTGTTTAAATAATAATTGTGGAACATGTGAACTTCCACCAAGCTAAAACTGTCTTTCTTGTATATCTCCTTATTATTTGAATGGTACTTAATGTATAACTGATTGCGGTCCTACTATGTACTCTAACCCATAGAGAGTATGCACATTATGCTCTTCTACTTTTTCTGGTTGTTTTTCATGCACAATAAATGAATGCATTAGCTGTATAAATCCTACAGATTACCTCAATCCAATCACAAACACTTGTTCAAGTACTTGTCCAAATAACACATTCAAATCCACTGTTGGATCTCCTCCTAAAAATGTCTGTATTATTTGTAATTCTAATTGTTTAACATGTGATCAAAACAGTAATAATTGCATTAGCTGTCCTTCAAATATGTATTTGTAGGGAAATATTTGTTAAATATAATGCAATAATGGTTATTATCCTAATGCAAGTAATGTTTGTATTAGTTGCACAAATAATTTCCCCAACTGTAGTAAATGTGATAGCGTTGCATGTAAATAGTGTTTAGACCCCTATTATTTAGTATAAGGATTAAATACTTGTTAACTGTAATGCCCTCCTGGGTATGCAGCTACTTCTGCTAAGGGGTCTAACTAATGCATATAATGCACTAATAATCTTTGTATGAGATGCGATAATTCTAATTTAAATTCTTGTACATCGTGCTATCCTTAATCCTCAAATCCTTATCTACAAGGTAATACTTGTGTTTCTAGTTGTTCATCAAATTATTATAATAATAATTAGAATTAGTGCATTTTGTGCTCAAGTACTTTTCCAGGTTGTGCAACTTGTTCTTCAAATGCTTGTCTTTCATGCACTAATACAAATCAATATTTAGATATTACAACAAACTCTTGCGTAGATTCATGTGTCCCTCCTTTAGTTGGTGTTAACACTCCTTCAAAGTAATGTGTTTAAAATTGTGATAAAATAGCTTCTTGCATAAAATGTACAATAGATATTAGTAATAATTAAACTTGTCAATTATGTAGTAATGGAGCAGTTCTTGATTAAAATTAATGTATTTCTCATTGTCCTTAAGGAAAATATGCAGATAGCTAAAATATATGCTAATAATGCAACAAATTATTTATAGGATGTAGCATATGTACATCTACCACATGCAGTTAATGCTAAAATTCAAATGAATTTTTTGACCCTGTAGCAAAAATATGTACTTCATAATGTGTTTATGGAGCAAATCCTTCATCTCCCTTTTCTCAATGCTAAACTTGCACGAATCTTAAATGTAAAGCATGTCAAACTATAAATTTGAATTAGTGCACAAGTTGTGATCCAAAGTCATCGTATCCATATCTTTAAGATGGTAATTGTGTTGAAAAATGTTCCTCAAAATATTATTAAAATGGTGATTAGTGTGTTTTGTGTTCAACTAAATTTCCGAATTGTAGTACTTGCACAACTAGTAATTGTATTTCATGTGATTCAAATTACTACTTAAATACAGATTAGTAAACGTGTACTTTGAGTTGCCCTTCAAAACAATATTAAACTAATATAGGAGGGGTTAATATTTGCAAAAATTGCTTAAATTCCACCTGCTTGACATGTGATCCTACTAATCCTTTAAATTGTTTAACTTGTGATCAAAGTTCTAATTCAAAATATTTAGAAAACAATTAATGTAATTTATCATGCTCAGCAACAAATTATGCAGACCTAAATAACAAATGTTAAATATGCGATTCTCTTTTTCAAAATTGCCAAAAATGCACTCTTTCGTAGTGTTAACTTTGCAAAAATGGTTTATATCTTGATCTATAAACAAATAAATGCTCTAATTTGTGTCCAGATTTTAAATATACAGATTAATCTACTATGAGCTGTAAACTCTGTTCTTAACCCACTCAATGTATATAATGTGATGCTAAATTTCCTGACTAATGCTTGAAATGTGCTAAGCCCTATTTTCTTTTAAATAAATAGTGCATTTCTTCTTGCCCAGATGGTACTTATGGTGATAGTAATTAAATATGCCAACCTTGCAAATTACTAGATGAAAACTGCAAACTATGCAATCCTGGTTATTGCACTGTGTGTAAACCAAATGAATATTATTTAGATTTGGATTTTAAAAAATGTTTGACTTAATGCCCAAGTGGATATGTAAAGTACAAAGATATTAATGGTATTTAAATTTGTAAAGTAGCATATGGGGGAGCAACTCCAACATTGGTTATATCTAATGAAATATCAAGAGATTAAGATAAAATAATATTTTAAGCTTAAATAATATTTGATGAAGATGTTTTCGTTACAAACAAAAATTGGATTTTTAGTTTAGATAATGAATATCCATCAACTAATTATGACATAAATTATGATTTAGTAAAGGTTTAAGATCATCCTACAGTTAATGGAGTTTACACCCTTAAGGTATTTGTAAATATAATTGTAAAAGTTGATTCAAAACCTTTTAAGAAACTTTATGTGAACTTTGTCAATCCAAAGAATGTTATTGATGATTAACTATTTGGGTTAAAAGTTTATTATATTAATGGAGATTTACCTAGCTACAGTGATTTAGTGTACCCAAAAGTAACTGGAATAGCTTAAGTTACGTCATATTTAGTTATATTATCTCATATTATGCTTTTAATAGGATCTCCATTTTATTTACTAGTGAGCTTCTTTGACATTTTATAGCTATCTAACTACCTTTTATACCTGAATGTCTAATATAATACCACTCTTTACAATGTTTTGAAATTGTTAGATTTTGCTAATTTCGAAATCATACCTAATATTAGAGATTATACTTCAAATGCACCTTTTAAATTTAGAATGGAAGAAATTTCTACTTTCTTTTTTTCAAATATAATATAATCAATAGTTATTTGGTCATTATCATTTATTTTATACTTAATTTTTAGATTAATTGCTACAAAATTTGCTGACCATACAAATTCTATTGTAGATTTCTGTAAAAGCTATTCAAAACAATACTTTTATCAAATAATAGTTGGTTTAGGATTCCTAACATATTGTGATTTAATATTAGCTGTATTCTTACAATTTTATGATTCTAAATAGATGAATGCAAAAACAATTATAGGAGTAGTAGTAGGAATGTTAATGCTTTTAGCAATTTTATTTTTAAATTGCCTGACATTTAAATCAACAAAAATCAAAGTAAATGATTTACTACAAAATACTAATGTAAAAAAAGTATATGGTTTTTTATATAATGGACTTGAGATTAACAGAAAAAAAGCAATAATTAATTTACTGTTTTTATTTCGCAAAACCATAGTTATATAGCAATTGGTTTTTAATCAAGATAATCCTATTAACTAAGTTTATATATGTTGTCTAGTACTAGGAGTTGAAACAACTGTTATGCTAATTCTTAAACCTTATGAAGCATAAAAAGAGTTTAAACTACATGTTTTTAGTAGAATGCTTTTGATTATATCTATGATAATGATTATAAATTTAGCAATAAATGATGCAATAGCAAATTTGAGTTAGCATGGATCAACCATAATTTAAATACTAGTCTCTGTTTTGATCATCGTTATTTATATCTCTCAGGTCAGTTATTTAGTTTATAGGATTTACATATTCTATAAAAAAAAAAATATAATACCATCAAATATTAAATACATTTGATGATAATTATTAGTTTCTAAAGATAGTTATTATTTTAGTTTAATTAATATATTTTCCATATTATAAATATAGCATTCCAAGGAATTAGAGCTAACATTTAAACATATATTTTAAATATATACACATTTTTTTTATTGAGTATATTTTACGATTTGTAAGATTTTTAGTTTTTATATTGTGCAACCGAAATTTATATTTTGGCAAATAAGAATTTTTTAAAAATATAAGAAATATTATTGTTCTAGAAAACTAGGATTAATTGGCTGTTTTTACAGTGAGCACATATTGAAAAATTAAAATTTAATTTTTATATTGAAGAATTATTTTTTTAAAAATATCATTAACATTCTCAAAAATTAAAATAAAATAATTATTAACATGAAATTTAAACAAATAAAAATATTTAAAATAAATAAATAATGTAAATTAATAAAAAAAGGAAATCCTAACTATTAATATTTTACTAATCATATGATTAACTTTAATACTTTTATCAATGAATATCCTAAAATAAATTAAGTTTTCACTTGAAATCATATGATATTATTTTATTAAAAATCTAAAAGTTTGAGAACAGTTAATCAAATAAAATTTAATAATGTAAGTAAGTATTTATTTACTCTTTTTCTCAAGACAAGTTTTTTTTGCATTTTATTATTTTGTATTTTTGATGTTATTAAAATTAAGTTCATCTGTTAAATATACACTAAAATAAGTATTTTTTGATTAAAAGTCAGATTATTGAGCAATGATCTCATTTTAAGTTTTAAACATCACTTTGAATAAGTGTTATTGATTTTTATTTCAAATAAAGAAATTTATTTATGTTACTTGAAATCTTTACTTTTTATGCATGTAATCATAAAATATAATTAATTAAATTAGATTACAATTTTTAAATATAAAAGAATTATCAATTAGTTTTAAAATTAATTCTTATTGATGAATCTGTTTTTATCTAATAAGGATTAGTTATAATATAATTATTTAATTCTTAATTTATACCTATTATTAATGTCTCATTCAGTTTTAAAATATATTTTTGCACTTAAATTCTCTTAAAATTTATCAAATTGTAATCTAAAAATAAATTAACTTTAAAAAAAAAATAAATTGTTGTGTATATCCTTTTGATAACAAGTGTAAGTAGGAATTACTAATTTCTAATTAAAAATAATAGATTTTACAAATATATTTAAAAATAAACTATAAATGGATAAAATATGTTTGACAAAATACAAGATAGTTTTTACTCCTTTTTATACATAGATCATTCTAGTGTTCAATTGTGGGTATTACTTGTATTTAAATCTAAGCAATTTAAAGTTGTTATTGTAAATTAAAAATTTACCTTATTTTAATTTTTTAGTTGTAAAGTAAAAATTTACCTTACAGTTTGATTAGGATAATTAAAGATAAAAGCGATTAGATTTTTAATACAGGATTATTTTTCAATACCAAAAAAATCGTCTTTCTTATAATTGAATAATTCAGGTGATTATGTAAATTTGAGTTAAAGTCCTATTTATTAACAACTAATTCAATATTTTACAATTAAAATATAATAATCAAAAAATTAAAAAAAAAAACCAAATTAAAAAATATCTAATAAGAAAAAAATTAAAGAAAATAAAATGAAAAGATTTTTTACTTAAATACTTGGATTTTTTCTAAGTTTTTAAGTATTTTTAGCAGGTAATTTTGTAACAAAACTTTTAGTATTAATCAATTATTTATTTTTATACAGATAGAAATATACAGTTAGTTTCATAAGAATAAAATAACCTAAATACCTACAGTAAATAGACAGATATGTGTTATGATGCTTATGGAGTATTTGTTTAACCATTCTATAGCAAATTTTTTTGCACTGATGTACACCCAACAACAGCTACCAACTCATCTATACCAGTTTTTGACATAAGTAATTTACCTCCTCACTTCAAAAGAGATTTAAGGATAGAACTTTACAGCGTTAAATATTCAGGGCTATCAGCTTCATTCAAATTAGATAATTTAAGTCCTATTCCATATACTTTTAATATTAATGGTGATGAAAGACTTAAATTACCTTGCTAGAGAAATAGCTCAGATCCTGTAGCTTAAGATGGAGATTTCTATTATAATTGTAAATTTAAATTTAAAAAACTTTTAAAATTAAGTTGAAAAAATAAATTTAAAATATAAAGTTAACATCAATACTACTACTATTCCTTCTATGAATACTTACACCATTTTCTCTATTATCGAGACTTCTTAAGGTTGTACTTAATCGTATCTGAGAATTAAAGCTATTTAGTATAATGTAGAAAATTGTGATAATACATGTTTGTAATGCTCAGGAACATCAACTAGCTGCACAAAATGTGATGCAACTTGTTCAACTCTTCAAAGCTCAAGTTGTATTTTAAATAATAGCAATTATATTTTACAAGAAGGTAAATGTGTAACAAATTGTTCATCTCCTCATTTTAATATAAATGGAAAATGTGTATGGATTCCTAATTGTTCATCAGTAACATCAGGAAGTATTTATTGTACTTCTTGTTAAAATGGATTTTTGCCAATGTAAACAAATAATTATGAAGCTTAATGTTAATATTAAAATTGCCCTAACGACTATGAAATTGTTAGTGGCGTTTGCTAAGATAAAAAGAGAAATCTGTAAGGTAATAATAATTAATTATAAATTTTGTAAAAATCTTTGAAGTAATTAATTCTAATATTTAATAGGTTCTTACTTATTGTAGGCATTGTATAGCTTTACTTTTTCGAGCTTTGAGATAGATAAAAACGGATTAATTTACACAAATTTTGTTAATGTCAATAATTACTCATCAAAGTACACTCGTTGTGGTAACTATTAGCTTTTTGGAGGATACTTTAGCTATCGCAATACATCTTTAATTGCTACTAAGTAATATACCACCACTTCTAAGTATGTTAGAGTGTCATTTAAATGGATTTTAATAGATTATACTAACTCTACAAATCCTATAGGTTTAAATATTTCTGTAGTCGGAAGTACTTCTGGGACCTAGAGCATATAAATAACTGGTATAACACCTTCATAAATTTGTGGCCTTTCAGCTAATGACTATGTTGGAAATTTTTAATACGATTTTTTGGTTTCTAATGGTAAAGTTACTTTAAATATTCTAAACTAAATGCCTGCTACAATAAGTACTAAAGCGTCTGATAATGATGGAGATTTTAATAAATATCAATACTTTGGAATCAGAGAGCTTTTTATTTATCAACTTAATGTAATTATTTATTATCAAATTTAAAATTTTTAAAATTAACTTAAAAATTAAAATATTTTTAATTTTGGTTTCATAAATAATATTTTAACTATAAATACCAATAAGTAACGTATTTTATTAAAGGAAAGAAAATTAAGCTATATTTTTATAAAATAAAAATAAAAATTTTATTTATTTTTTCTAGATTTTTATTCAATAAAGCTCTTCAAAAAATGTTTTCCCAAATAAAATACAAATAAATTAATACTATTATCCATTTACAAATTTGCTGTAAGCTTAAGAAAAAAAAATTTTTTATAAATTTACAAAGCTTAATTAATTTGAAATTAGCTAAAAAATTTTAACTTAATTTAAATTCATAATTTTTGTCCCTTAATTTATATTTTTGAAATATAAGTGCCTTTAAAGTTATTGTATAGCTTGTAGTTCTTTATCAAATGGTTGTACTTAGTGTTCTTAAGGCTATTATTTATCAAATTCTGCATGCCTCCCTTGTTTATCAGATTGCCTTTCTTGTACAGAAGGAACATAATGTACAGTTTGCACTGGTGGAAGAACTTTAAACACTTCAAATTAGTGTGTTTGTGCAAGTAAATAATACTGGAATGGCTAATAATGTGTAGCCTGCTCAAACTAAAGTTGTAATACATGTAGTACAAGTGATAGTACTAAATGCTTATCATGCTTATCAAACACTTTCTTATACAATAACTAGTGTTCATCGTCATGCCCTAGCTAATATTTCAAAAATACTGTCTCTTTAACTTGCGATTAATGCATTACAAATTGCTAAACATGTATAAATAATACCTCTTGCAGCCAATGTTTGCCTAACTATTATTTACAGCCAGGCTAAAACACTTGCTAAGCTACTTGTCCTTCTGGATATTAGTTAAATACCTCAACTTGGAGCTGTAAAGCTTGTACAGTCTCAAATTGTGTCTCATGCTAAGCAGATATTAGCTAATGTACAAAATGTGCAACTAATTATAATTTACAAAGCACATAGTAAGGTACATAATGCTAAATGACTTGTAATAGTTAATATTACGCTTTAAACTAAGTGTGTCTAAAATGTTCTTCTAACTTTAATAATTGCTTATAATGCAGTAGTTCCTCTTGTACCTAATGCTAGGATTCATTTTATCTATATTAAGGAGCTTGCATAAGCATATGTCCACAAAGCTATTATCAAGATACATCAACTTCTATTGCATAATGTACACCTTGTTAAAATTCTAATTGCAGTACATGTTAACCATCTAGTTAAAATTGTTTAAGTTGTATTTCAACTTACTTTTTGAATGGAAATTCTTGTGTGTAAAATTGTGGAGCTAATATGTATCCTAACTCTTCTAATGTATGCACCCTGTGCTCTTCTTTATTCATAGGTTGTTATTCATGTTCTTCTACTTAATGCACTAGTTGCATAAGTTCAACAGATTATCTTGATTCTATAAATAATTCATGTGGTTCTACATGTCCTATTGGATATTTTTAATCTACTACATCAACAATACCATCTATAAATATTTGCAGTGTTTGTGATTCTAATTGTTTAAGCTGCACTTCAACGAGTACAAATTGCATAAGCTGTAAATCAAATATGTATTTATAGGGTAGCTAATGTTAACCATCATGCAATTAAGGGTTTTATCCTAATTCTAGTGGAATTTGTGTTAGTTGTAATATAAAGTTTTCTAATTGCAATTAATGTACAGCAAGTAGCTGCTCATAATGTTAAAGTTCATATTATTTAGTTTAAGGAACTAATACTTGTATAAATTCTTGCCCTTAAGGATATGCGACAGATACTTCTTCATTAAATTAATGCATCCTATGTACAAATACAGATTGCAATTCTTGTAGCACTGATTTAATTACTTGTATTACATGCACTTCAATTAAACCCTATTTATCTAACGGTACTTGCGTATCTCAATGTGGTAGTGATTAGTATGTAGATCAATTATCATCTACATGTACTAATTGTAGCTTTAAATTTGTTGGCTGCTAGACATGTACATAAAATTCATGTTTGTCTTGTATCAATAGTACATATTACCTCGATATTACTACTAATTCATGTGTAGCATCATGTGATGCATCTCTAATTACACTACCTCCTCCTATCTCTTAATGTGTGTAAAACTGTGTAACTCTAGATCCAAGCTTAATAAATTGTATATTATGCACAAATTCTTCAGGAACTTTAACCTGCTAATTATGTACAAATCAAAAAGTTTTATACTAAAATGTTTGTCAGGACAATTGTCCTTCTGGATATTATGCAAAAAGTTAAAATATTTGCACTTCTTGTAGTATTTTATTTTAAGGTTGCAATACATGTACATCAACTAGTTGCTCATAATGTTAGAATTCCAGTGATTATTTTGATCCTATTCTTGGTCAGTGTGTAAATCAGTGTTAAAATGGAGCAAATCCTGTTTCACCTTCAATTTTATGTTAACCATGCACTAATTCAAGCTGCTAAACATGCTCAACAAGCAATTTAAGTTAATGCATGAGCTGTAATTCAAATTCATCATATGCTTATTTGTAAGATGGAAATTGTGTATAAAATTGCTCATCACAATACTATGTATACTAAAATAGTTGTTTATTATGTTCATCAATCCACTCTTAGTAATGTATTTCTTGCGATTCTACCTAGTGCTATTAATGTAGTACTAATTATTATTTAAGTATAGATAACCAGAGTTGCGTTTAGGTTTGCCCTTAAAAATAGTATTAAGCTTTGATGGATGGAGTTTATAAATGCCTATTATGCTAAAACACAAGATGTTCTTAATGCGATCCAACAACTCCAAGCAAATGCTTAAGCTGTGATTAAAGTTAACCTACTATTTATTTAGAAAATAGTTAGTGTAATTTATCATGTAGTAGTACAACTTATCCAGATTAAAATAATGTATGTCAGATATGTTCAAATTTATTTCAAAACTGCTAACAATGTACATCTACTATCTGCTTACAGTGCAAAACTAATTATTTTATGGATTCTATTTCGAACACTTGTGTTTAAACTTGCCCTCCAGGTAAGTATGGTTCCACAGTAACAAATAACTGTGAATTATGTGGATAAAGTACAGAATGTTCTGTATGTAATTCCTAATCCCCAAATATATGTACTTAATGTAATAGTTCTTATTACTTATATAACTCAGTCTGTGTAATCCAATGTCCCAATAAAATGTATCCTGATTCTAATAATTAGTGCTAACCTTGCACTAACATTTAATCTAGCTGCTTATAATGCACTTCTGGCTAATGTACTTAATGTATTGATGGCGACATTTATCTAAATCCCTTAACAAATTTATGTGATAATAATTGCCCAGATGGTTATTTTAAAAATATCAGCACAACAAATGGAATAAAAATATGCTAACAATGTTCTAATCCTCTATGTAAAACCTGCTAAATTGATGGATCTTGTTTAAGTTGTTATTCAACATTACCATAAAAATACTTAAACGGTTCATAGTGTGATTCAACTTGCCCTTAATATATAGATAATGTTAATAATATTTGTGTTAGCTCCTGTAATGCCAACGAAACACCAGATCCAACTACTTTTATATGTGAAATTTGCCCTTATTTAATTTACAATAATTAGTGCTTGACTAATTGCCCTTCTGAAACAATAATCGACCCCGTAAATACTAGCACATGCACTTTATGCTCAAATATATATTCTAACTGTTCCTAATGTAACTCTAGTTAATGTACATAATGCTTATAAGGATATTTCCTATCAAATGGAATTTGTGGATTAAGCTGCCCTAATGGAATGTTTAAAGACTCTTAATCAAGTTTATGTGTAAGTAGTTGCTCATAATCAGGATATTATGCAGATGTAAGTAGTTAAAGCTGTTTGTAATGTAATTTAAATTAATGTGCTTAGTGTATTGATAATAGTAATAAATGTACTACATGCAATAGTGGTTATTATCTTTTTCAACAAACTAATTTATGCTATTAAACCTGTCCTGCATAAACTTATCTTGATCCTATATCCTAATAATGTATCACTTGCACTCAACCAACATGTTTATTATGTGATTCTGCAACAAAATGCACTTAATGTTCAAATTATTTGAATATAGATGATAATTAATGCTATTCTTAATGTCCTAATGGAAAATTTATTTATAAAAATTAATGTGTTAGCAGTTGTCCTGGTGGTAGTTTTTATTAATTATAGACAAACACATGTATTTCTTGTCCACAAAATTGTTTGAATTGCACATCGCTAACAAATTGCACTTCATGTTAACAAAATTATTAAAATAATTCTGATTAAACTTAACTTTAAATATGCGATTAATGTATTTCTGGATTTTATATGCTGAACTATTAATGTGAATAATGTTCCTCTAATTGTTTAACATGTAAAAATACTGATAGCTATTGCATATCTTGTCGATAGAATTAAAATTTAAATAGCAATAATTAATGCATTTAATGCTAGTAAAATTAATAATTTGACTCAATTACATTAACATGTATTAGCAATTAAGCTGGAGGAGTAACACCATAACTTATGATTTCTGATTAAATTTCAATATACAAAGATTTAGTGATAATTAATGCTTAAATTATTTTTGATACCAAAGTAATTATTAAAAACCAAAATTGGATATTTAGTTTAGATCAAAAGTAATCTAGTGATTATAAAATTATTTCCAGCATTTTTTAAGTCACGAATTCATCCTAGTAACTTCAACCAGTAAACATTGCTTAGGAAGTAAAAATAATGCTTTAAATATAAATTACAGAATCTTCTGCGAAAATTACTTATTAAATGCTATATGTAAATTTTGTTGATTCTTTAAATATAGTAGACCCTAAAAATTTTGGATTGAAAAAAATAAATTTAAGTGGAAATCTACCTAATTATAACACTCAGACATATCCATAAGTCAGTAGTGCAATAAAAGTGATCTCAGCCCTAGCCGGATTAAATCTACTTATGTTACTATTAAGTAGCCAATTTTATTTGCTAGTTAGTTTTTTCGATATCCTATAGCTAGCGAATTATCTTCTTTATTTGAATGTCTAATATGGTAGTACACTTTATAATGTCATTAGAATTTTTGATTTTGCTAATTTTGAAACAATACCCAACATAAAAAATTAACACTCAGATGCTCCATATAAGTTTTAACATGAAAAAGTTGATACTTTTATTTATTCTAATCTAATTTAATCAGCAGTTATTTGGTGCTTTTCATATGTCTTATATTTATCGAGCAAATTAATAAATAGGAGGTTTTTTAGCTATTAAAATATATTTTTAGATTTAAGTAAAATATATGAAAATGAATACTTCTATCAAATAATAGTTGGGCTAGGATTTTTGACATATTGTGATTTGATTTTATCTGTTTTCCTTTAGTTTTATGATTCAGAAAATATAACAGTTGTAACTTTGGTTGGAATAGTATCTTCTATTATTTTACTTTGTGCTATTGTATTTTTGAATTTTATTACATTTAGCTCTGTTAAAGTTAATATTTACGAGTTAGTTAAAAGCAATAAATTGAAATAAATATATGGATTTTTATATAGTGGATTAGAGCTTAACCGCAAGAAAGTATTTATGAATATGATGTTTCTTATAAGAAAAACTATTGTACTTTATTAATTAGTATATAATTAGGATAATCCAGTAAACTAAAGTTATGTTTGCTGCTTAATAGTAGGAGTAGAAACAACAGTTATGTTTATTCTCAAACCTTATAGGAATTATTTAGAGTAAATTTTGCATTTACTAAGTAGAATGTTTATGATATTCACTATTATAATAATAATAAATTTGGCTATAAATGATGAAATAAGCAATTTAAGAGATGATTAGAATAATTTATTACAAATTATTTCATCTATACTTTTAATAGCCATCTACATTTTATAAATTTCATACCTAATTTCAAAAGTGATAGACTTCATTAGAAGAAGAAATAATTAAAATATTCCTTTGAAATTGACCTGATATTTTTTGTATTTTTTAAAATAATTTCTGCTAAAATTATCTAAATTTTTTTATTTTTTGTGAAACAAATAATAATAGTTATTTTAACCTGATGTTGTGTTTCAATATTTTTTTCTTCCATGTTTTAGTTTTATATTTATGAAGCGAATGTTAAATTTAGTTTGTTGATGATATGATTCATTTTTTACACATGAAAACAGTAAAGCTCCAATATATTTTGGAAAATATATTAAATCAATTTAAAAATCCTTAGTTTAACTATTTTTATTACAATTTCTACAAATAATATTTTATATTAATTGCATGTTGATTAGATAATCTTATATTTTAAATATAGATTTGAATATATTTATTTTAAAGAAAAATAAATTTCATTTAAGTAATTTAAAAAATATATTATATATTTTAGAATTTAAACCTAAAATAGAAAAATTTGGATAAACTTGTAATGGTTGTTAGATTATCCTACAAATATTTTTTAGTTTTTGTTACTAGAAAAAATAATACGTTTAAGAATTCTAAAATATAAATAAATATTAATAAATTAAAATAAGTCAAACTTCAATGATTAGTTTTTGTTTGTTGAATTTCTATTATTAAAATTTTATTTTTTTATAATTTACAATTTATTTTTAATACTTAGGTATTTAAAATGAAAAACTAAACAAACATTTACAATTTATCTTTATAGTTTTTAAATAAAGATTTGTTGCTATTGATTTTACATATGTAAAATTAAAAAATTAACTTTTTTCTGAAGAAATCCAAATATTCAAAATAAGATCAATTGAATTTATAGTTATAATACTGAAAATAAAATTATTTTTTTTCTATTTATTATATCACTAAATGTTAAAATTTTTAGAATTTGAAATACCAAAAAACAATAAATATATTTCCAAAAATTTAGTAGAAAATGGTCGGCGCTAAATTTATTCATATCCTTAGGTAAATGTCTAATTACAAAGTGAGGAGCATTTTTTGAGGTAAATTTTGCTTAGATTTTAAACCTAAAAATTAACTTTAAAATTTTTAGCCTTAAATTATGCAATTAAAAATTGAACACTCTTTGACCTTGAATTGTTTACATGTGATTGTTTTTTGGTAGAACCAATAAATTTCTAATAGGTATTTTATTTTGTTCATGTCTTATTGCGATTGATTTAATAATTTTTTTAAAATAATAAAAATTAATTAAAAGCAAAATAAATTAATATAAGCATAGGTAATCATATATCATATGAGACTATTATTTTAATATTTTTTTATCATAATAATAAATACTAACTTTATTGCTGCAGGTATTTTTATCTAAGCTTAAATTTCTTTTAAATCTTATTTTTTAAAGATAGAAATATTTAGTTAATTTCAGACGAATATGGAAATCTATCAGAATATGATAAAAATGTTGTTCCATGCAATACTTCATATGGATAGTTTAAAACTAGTTATTATGGCAAATTTGATTGTGTAAAAAAATAACAATCTAATATGAATTCCAATTATGGAGTCTTCTAAATTGATAATCTCCCTCCGCATTACAGAAGAGAGCTTAGGATGGAAATTTTTCATATGAAAGAGAGTAAAATCTAGCTATCATTCTAACTAGATAACTTAAGTCCCGTTACTGTTTAGTTTAATAAAGGAAGTATAGCCAGACTTCAAATTCCATGTTAAAGTAACAGTGGCAATTCTTATGATTCTGAAACTGAATACTTCTACAATTGTAAAAAAATAATATTTTTATTATAAATAATTTTATTCATAAATATAAAAATAAGTCAATTAAGTTAACGATAATTTACCTTCTACTAACTCTGTATCAACTTTTTCAGTTTTAGAGTAATGCAATGATAATGATTCTTATTTAAGGATAAAATCTATTTAATTTAATATTGAGTCTTGCCATAATTCTTGCCTTTCTTGCACGGGTCCAACTGAATCAAACTGCTCCTCTTGTGACTCTACATGCGCTACTTTACAGAATTAATAATGTATTTTAAAATCAAATATTTATCGATTATAAGAAGGGAAATGTGTAAATACATGCTCGATACCTCATTTTTAAATAAATAATAAATGCGTTTGGATACCAAACTGTTAAGCTGTTTCTTCAGGAAAGTATTGTACACAATGCTAAGTAGGATTTTTACCAGTTTAAACAGAAAATTTTGAAACTTAATGCTAAAAATATTGCCCAAAAGACTACTCTAACGTGAATGGAATATGTGTAGATAATAAAATAAATATTTCAGGTATTCAATTAATTACTACTTATAATTTAATTTATATTAATAAATAAAATGAATAAATAGGTTAGTACTTATTAAATGGCTTTTTTAAAAATATTTTTTCGAGCTATGAAATTGAGTAAAATAATATTAACTTGACTGGTTAAATGTAGGTAAATGTTTACAGTTCTAAATATACTCGCTGTGGCGAATACTAACTCCTTGGTGGATATTTTAGTAATTTTAGCGGAACTTAAATATTTACTAAGCAGTATAGTACAAAATATAAGCTTTTGAGAGTATCATTTAAATGGATATTAATAGATTATAATTCTAATTAAAATCCTAACATATCCATTTAATTATAAGGATAAAATACATAAACTTAAAATTTGTCATTAAATGGATCTTAATAATAATAAATTTGTGGATTAAATACTCAAGATTATATTGGAGATTTTCAATATGATTTCAATGTACCCACTGGTACATTTTCTATTATTATTTCAAATTAAATGGCTGATTTATAAACTTAGGAATCTGATAAATATGATAAGAATAATAGACATTAATATTTTGGAATTAGAGAATTATAGATATATGCTTTTAATGTATTAATTTTTTTAATTAAAACTTACTTTTTAATAATAAATATCTTTAATCCTTTATGTTTATTAATAGAAATAGAAAATAATATTTAAATATATTTTTTATAAAAAAGTGTATACAAAGCTTTTGTATTTTATGTTCTTCTTAGCTGCCTAATACC